CTCCATCACCTGCACCTCCAGCCCTTCCGCCTCTTTCCATCGACCTTGATTCCAGTATGTCGACGCCAGGTTAGCCATACTGGTCAGCGTGTCAGGATGTTCCGCCCCAAGCACCCTCTTCCTCGTCTCCATCACCTGCACATTCAGCCCTTCCGCCTCTTTCCATCGACCTTGATTCCGGTATGTCGACGCCAGGTTAGTCATACTGGTCAGCGTCGAGAGATGCTCCACACCAAGAGTTTCCTTCTGTCCTTTAAGAGCCTTTTGAAGGTAAACCTCCGCGGCAGAGAGATCACCCTTCCAATTGAATGCCTCTCCAAGGTTATTGTACGCCTCCAGGATCTGTTCTCTTGCAGTCTCGAGACTATTTTCCCTCCACTGTACTACTGTGGTATGTGCTTTCACAGCTTCATTATACTTCCCATCGACAACGAAACATAGACCCATCTTTTCGAGTAGTCGGTACCGCTCAGGAAGATCTTGAACCTCTCTATCTTCACAAAGTCGCTGAGCGTGCGGTAGATAAATTGTCCAGGTCCCTTTGTGCTTATGGTCACGCGTCGGGAATAGTTCGGCCACTCGCATGAGGCAGGCTTTCGTCCAATTAAAGAGCGAACCTTCTACCTTCAGCCATTTCCGAGCAGCCAGCTGCACCAGCCTATGAAGGTCATAGAATTCCTCGCCATCTGTCATGTCGTTGCTCTCTGTTAGTCTTCTAACAAACGAATATCCAGTCAAGACGGCAACGGCCTTAATAGTCTCCAACTCCGACTTAGCTGCTGGCAGCAGCGATCGTGGAATGTTCTTCTCATGAAAGCATGCCATGGACGACAGGAACGTTGCCGCGAGCTGATGGTGCTTGCAGATGTGGTCAAAAGAGACCAGCCAAGTCATTGCAACCGGGTTTTTCGCATTAGGATATCGGGTCGGATCCCCAAAGTCTTCGCTTAAAAGTTTGATCACTTCTTCCTCAGGCTGGTCTAGAAGCTTAAGATACGTCTGCACGGGTCGTTGAGTCATGTTGATAAATGATGCAGCCTGAATAATAGCGAGGGGGAGGTAAGCTAGCTTCTCCACTAAGGTCAACGTTGCAGCATTATCCATTGCGAGATCTGGTTTTCTGAGGGCTTTAGTGAACATTTCGACGCTTTGGTTCGGCGACATCTCGCTCAGTTCAATCACCTCTTTTCCCGCGAGAAAATTCGCAACGTGTGGTGTGCGGGTTGTGATGATAATGGAGCCATTTGTCGTGGTCGGTAAGTACTGGACTAGTGTCGATGTCTCCAGACTTGAATCCGCTTGCCTTCCCCATAGCGCTTCGTCGTCGGCATTGTCGAGTACTAAGAGCCATTTTTCCGTCGGCTGACTTAGCTTCTGCTTGAAGAGGCTCTTAATATCTGCTTTCTCGTCTTCAATCCCTGGAATTCTGAGTTTCTTTCCTATTTCGAGCACATCCTTTTCAAACGTAAGCTGCTCGGCGGCATCCACCCAAAAAATCGAATGTGCTGGGTGGTCCGACTTGATGCAGTAGACAAACTCCAGTGCGAGACGACTTTTGCCAATGCCTCCTAAGCCCAGAATAGACACGACTCGTCGACTGTTGGTTTCGAATATCTGCCGTTTGAGACGATCAAGCTCTTCTGTGCGGCCAACAAATCCCGACAATCGGTCAAAGGGCACGTGCCATATCGTGCTGGGCAATTCATCTGAAAAGAAATTTATCAGTTGCTATTGCCATGAACTGAGGTTGAAGATAGAAATATCTAACCGCCGTCTTCCGACTGATCTGGTATAATCCACTGCTGCAAGAATCCTTTTAAACAAGCCGCAGCTGTTGCCGCAGCGTAAGCTTGCCAATCATCATTTTTATGACTATCGGCATAATCACAGGCTGCCTTGATCACGATAGTGGGATGTTGATCCCACACCCCGGCGCCTTCCATTTCAAATGCAATCAATTCATCCAGTTGTGCCACCCGATCGCGATCGCAACCGGATTTCATCACCGTATTCGCGGACGCAAATCGCCCAAAGTGGACGAAGGGCGCATCATCTGGGTGCACTGCTAGGCTTTCCGTCTTAGGGAAGCTATGCCGATTGCGAAAGATGAGGTTTTCTTCTTCGCACCCGACTTCATCGCAGCTCTTCGGGCACGTCTCGAGGTTGTCATGGCACTTGTCGCAACTCACACGAGGACGGTGTTGATGAACGTAAGAGGCATCGTAAAGCCGGTCTCGAATCGCACCAGGATACTTGGCAGCAGGGACCTCTCTCTGGAAATTCTCCGATTGCAGAAGCTGGACGAGATGCCTGGTCAACCTCTGGCGATTTTGGCGCACCTGCAACATGTTGAGAAATGATCGGATCTCTGGGCTCGCTCTCCCCAGGCTATCTTCAATCTCCCTCATTCTCTGGAATCCGGTGGGGTATTGTCTGCCAAAGTCATACTGAATCATAGCCGTGCTGATGACAATGTCCCCTAAGACAATCTCTTCCTGTGTCTTGGGGTGAATGGGTACAACGCCACAAATACCCACCACCAACGCAAGCTGAACACCGGGAAAACTCGACCGTAGACCCGCGGCTACAGCCGAGGCGTTGATGTTGCCCGTGCCTGGCATATAAGCCAGAACCACATTATGCTTCCCGATCACCCCAGTCGTGTATGTGTTTGAATCTCCTTCTCTTTTGCCATATTGTTTGTCTTCGTCCTCCCAACATATATCGAACACGGATCGTACACTTTCAGCTTCCAATGGCAAGGCGCATATAACTGCCACTTTAAACCCTCGCCGATTTCGAGGCGGGCTAGGTGTCGACATAGTCAGCATTCAAAGGAGGCTAGAACTAAGGCTCGCTGTCAATGAGGGTCGAAGCCCATCAACGTAACAGTAGCGCTCTCGATTCGGGGTATCGCGGTGTAACGAGTTCGACATGAATTTCAGTTCGCAATTTAAGACGGACGAATGCCATGAGGTCGAGAAATATTTAATCAGGCTGAGGCTGAACCCATGTGACGGCTTGTGCTTAGTTTCTGTACACCGCGGTCTTGTCCAATGCGATCATTCGTGTCCACTGCTGTAGCCTGAAACAGTGCTAGTCCGCTGTGCACCTTCATGATTCACCTTCATCACCTCCCCCATCTTCCAATATTTCGATCACCAAGAGGGTTTCATCGCAGGGGTCGAAACGCTTTCCGGCTGACATACATGGCCCATAGAAACTATTCGTTGAGTATGTCAAGAATGGATTTGGCGACGAATACGTGGAAGTGCAAAAGATTTTCCGAAAAGGACACGTTTCCCCACGATTCCTGAAACATCTCTTCAAGCCGGGCGACATTTTGTACTTCCCATCGCATCGTTTCCGCCGTAGAAGCTAGGATGCTGCTCGGGAAGTCTGCCATCCCTTAAAGTCCAAAAACAAATTACCCCCGCTTCAAGTCCGCCAGGAACACAGTAAACCCATTAGTGTCAGAGAGAAGGTCCTCAAAAGATGCTATTGTGAGGTCAGCTGCTAGTCTATTGATGGACACGGACTTCGAGGACTTGGTGATCCATATCAATGATCTATCAGAATGTGAGATGAACAGAAGGCAGATCAGAAACGTAATCCCGACTGGCAGAAGACCTTGAACTACGAGACCCTCAGAAAGGTCATCAGGGTTGGCATCGAGGTTTGATAAATATCTTCAAGGGATCAAGAAGGCTGAGTGAGTCAAAGATAGGACCGAGGACAACAAAGTTGTGTCAAAAATCCTGTGCAGCTTGAATTGAAAGAGTGCGCTGGCTCTCCAAATGAATGCAGGATAGAGCCCATCTATATACCTATCTAAACGGTGTCCGTCAACGCTGCTACCTTGCCAGAGATGATGGGAGGAGATGAATCGGTGAGAAAATTATAGGAGCATGTTCTTTTCTTTACGATGTGAAAGACTCAAATTTTGATTCTAACACATGGCCAATTTCTACAAATGCTTCTCGTTAACGAGAACATAGCGATATCTGGCATGGCCGGCCTCCATGTTGACGATGGCCTTGTTCGCCTCAGACATCGGAACGTTGTTGTTCCAAGTGTGAACCCCCTTCTCTGCGAACAACTGCATCATGTCTCTGATATCTTGAGGAGAGCCGATCAAGCTACCCCAAATGCTGATTCTCTTCCAGAGAAGGCTAAATATGTTGAACGGAGGCATCATATCTTCAGGAGCGCCTACCTGGACAAATTTACCATCGAATCTCAGCAGGGAGAGATAATCCCGAAGAGGCATTTTGTCCGACGACACTGAATATCAATTCGTTAATGACAGTTCTGCGCTTCTTGATGTGGCCTGCCGGCTTACCTGTGGATACAATGATATCAAGAGTATCTTCGTGCTTCTTGGCCCAGTCCTTATCCTCATCTGTCGCAATGTACTCTGTGGCTCCCATCTTGAACGCGTCTTTCCTTTTTGACGACGTCCGAGAAATAGCCACGACTTGCGTGCAGCCCAGAGCTTTGGCTCCCATGATTCCAAAATGTCCTAATCCACCGATGCCGATGATTCCTACCCTCTTGCCGGGTCCGGCGCCATGTTGCGTCAGAGGACTGAAAGCAGTGATGCCTCCACATAACATGGGCGCCGCTTCGTCCGACGGAATGCCATCAGGGATCTTCATGACAAAGTTTGAATCCCCCCGCCAGTAATCTCCATATCCGCCGTATGTTTTGCTCCCGTCAGGCCATTTGTGGTCGTAAGTGACGACTAACTGGGGACAATATTGTTCAAGCCCATCAGCGCAGATTCCACAATCGCCGCGTTGGTTCGTACAAGCGCCACATTGTGCACCGACACCGACTCTGTCGCCGACTTTGATATCCTTGACCCTTGGCCCGACTCGGACTGCGTGGCCAACTATCTCGTGTCCGACGCAGACCGGATAGTCGGCAGGATCCCAGCCAGAGCGTAAGGTGTGAATGTCCGTCCCACAGATCCCGCAGTGCGTTATCCTGATATCGACGTCGGTATCTTCGAACGGCTTTGGTTCGAATTCTCTCCAGACCATCTTGCCGTTGGCAGACTCAGGATCGAGGCCCATCCAGCCCTGGAATTTGTAACTTGTTGACATTGTGATCGAAAAGTTAGGAACTGACTTGGAAAGGTGTGATTTCAGACTTGGGGATGCTGATACAGATTAGGACAAATGTGACAGATTCCTGACAGTGTTCCAAGGTTTTCGACAGTTTCTGCATACAATGGCAGCATCTCGTTTATATTCCTTTCTCCTACATGGTGTTTTCGGGTTTAGATGACTTTGAGCCATCGTTAGAATGGTAACTAAGTTGTTTCACCGATTCGAAGTTCTGATGATACTATCGTTCTCCGTAATCTCCTTGGATAGGCTATTATGATTGGTGAAAGCTGTTTCGTTCAAGTTGCAAAACCTGATTTCGGAAGAGGTTTTCGTTGATACGGTCCTGATTTCTCAGCACATGGCCCTGGCAAAACATCCTCCTCGACTTTCATCGGATGGCTCATTGCGAAACTTGCGAAATTAGCAAACTTTTGTTTGGGCAAGCAGCATGAATATGCGAGACGCCTTACCTCCGTGAGATAATTCCAGATCACCCCACGAGCCGAACCGGAAGGGGAATCGCTATCGGCCGATCGCATCGCAAGATCACAGAAGTGGATATGGAAAGGGGACATTTGCAACTTATCTCCAGTTCCAGTTCTGTATTGATTTAGGCCGCCGATGAGGAGACAGCGGCCGTATTTTGCGAATTCGAGTGCACGAAAAGGGTTCGATGGGGACCAAATACGGTGCATCTCCGCTTGCGGATTGTCTGCGTTCAATATGATTTTTATCTTCGTAATCATCTTGCCCTGTATCAAGCCCGTTACTTCCTTCAAATACTACACTCACCGTCCATCTCGACAGAAAAAAAAAGAACCCCTACCTGGATACAAAGTTGTCATCGAGCTGTCATTGAATCTTGTCGTCGGTACTATCAAGGTGTCCAGGCCACGTGACTGTATCGTTGTGTAAAGTGGGTCTTCAGCCTGCTGGTACCTTCTCGTGCCTGCGTGTGCCTATTTCGACAACTCATTGGACAAATATATAGAGATGCTAGATAGCAGGACCTGTTGCAGGAAGATGGAGCTCTCCAGATGAGATATTGCGCAACACAAGACATTAGTTGTGATCGGCCGAAAAATTCGGCCGACATTGGGCCACGGCCCTTGTTAGTGGACCCATCGGGCGAAAATGGGCGGGTCTCAGGAAAGGCGCCCCCAATAAAAGTGGTTTTTTTCAATATTTGCCCATCAAATCGTCGACGTTTGTGGCAGACTTCTCCGTCAACCTGCGGAGGACAAAGCAAGGAAGTTTTCTTCCATCACACTCCATTCCGGGGGCTCCTTGGATCCATCAATTACCGAAGAAGACAAATGATGGGTACAGGAAGCATATTCTTTCTTCAGGAAGCGAAGTAATAAGCAGTGTTCCGGGTTGTCGAGTCACGAGTCGACTCGCGAGTCAACTTGCGAGTTCAACGGCCCTGGGTGTCAGAGGGGTGGTATGCGGGCACCAATATCGGCTCAATCTTGCCACCCGCCGATTTATCCTGACCTCGTCGTCGCTCGTTTGGTATAGGAATCCAGGAATCTTTGGTGTTGATAAATTCTGGCTCACGTGACTAGCAAATACATGCCTCCACATAGCACCCGTAATCCGGAAAATCTATAATCCGACAATTCCCAAATATTTTGCCCTGGTTGGCTCGCTTAACGGCCGAGTCTCTAGCTTGCAAGTCGGCAGCGAGTTGACTCGACGAGTCGGAATACTGGTAAATAAGGGGACTGAGATATGGAATTCAGCAATTCATCATCGGTTCATCAGTTCATTGATAGTAAACACTTTTTTTCCCTTCTTCGTAGTCTTGATTGCTTTCCAATAACTAAGTTCCCGACCAAATTTCAAGTTTCTGCCAAGAACTTGGAGCGAGTTAGGAGAAAGTTCGAGGGAAAACAAGATTCGTTCGATATCGCATGAAGCATCGTTTCGGTCGTTGTAGTAAGTGAGACTCATCCAGAAGGTTTCTGCACCAATTCTGCCCGAACACGAAATGTCCTTGGCGATTGTCGCTCTGCCAATCCCAGGATTCTCCAATCAAGCCGAAAGGAGGTTCAAACATGCACCAGTCGCTTGCTAATCATCATTAGTATCATCATCTTCGAAGCCGAGGTCCTTGTGAAGGACACCACTGAATCGACCAGTGCCGCCTTCATAGAATCCATCTTCGACAGCAGCCCATCGATCCAAACTGTCTCCCCATCCAAACTTCATGCGCCAGGCCTGTTCCAAGATACGCTTTTCGATTGGATGGATACATTGTGTCAAAGTTCCCAACCACGGGTATACCTCACCGCTGGGAGAAGATGTGTTCATCATGACACGCTTGGAACACTCAGCATCATCCGTGTTACGTTGATGACGAGGCCGATAGCCGCCACCACCTAGGTCCTGGTTCTCATTGACCAAGGGTCTAGTGAATCGCTCTTTGCGTATGCGGATCCCACTATCCATAGGCGTGAAGAGATGAGTGACCGCCGAATTTTGATTGAATCCAGCGGTGGCGTTCTTGGGGAGAGAAATCTTGACGTAACCACAGCTGTTGAGAGTGATCTTTTGAATGTGACCTCGGAAACCTTTCAGAGAGGGCCGAATACCTCTGGAAATATAACCTTTGAGACATTGGGCCTCAAGGAGGGTCATACTTGGAGTAATTGCGTCCAAGACTCGAACCCAAGCGGCACTGCTTGGGAGAATTTCTCGATACCATTCATCTTCAGCGAAGTGACAGTGAAGATTGCTCGAAGAAGTCGTCAAGGGCTGTTCGATACTGGCGTCATGACAAGTGAGCATGCTCACAGATTCGAGAGTGAGTGAATGAAGACTCGTATCTCGACTTTTCTTCATGAAATCCAGCAGCATCCACGGACTGAACCAGCAATTTTCGAATCTGAGATCCCGGATATGGTCGAATTTCGTCATATACGCCGGGGATCTCCCATCTCGGGTCTCATGAAGCCAGTCACTCGGATCCTCAATAATAGGCGCAGGCAAGACGTGTTGATTCCGTGCAAAAATCCCGACGCCATGTTCCCCACCACCGACATAGCCGATGGCCAAGCTGTGAAGGCTCTCGATCTTTACGACATACAATCGCAAGAATTCCGTGAATTTCTGAGCAGCCTTCGCCGGTGGGATAGGCATGTTTACTGCGTAGGATCGATCACCGGTGATATGTTCTTGACGCCAGTCTGGGCTGATGAAGATCTCCAACTTCTTCAAACCTGGTAGGGAGCTCCAGAATTCGCGCTGTTCCAAGGACGGAAGGAGGCCAGATGACAATTTGCTGATTCGAAGCGTATGAATGGTCTTAAAATTTTGCCGGTTGGTAATGACGGCGGTGGTGTACGCCGAGAGAAAGGCACGCTGTGCCCAGACCGTTTCCATCAACCACTGAGCTTGGGCTTCAGTAAGCGAGCCAGGCAATAACGGAGCTGACGTGGGATTGGCAACCTTGGCTTGAATGAAGTTGCAATGACCTCCAGTCTCTGCGGCGAGATTGTAACCATTGAAGATTAATGGCCATTGAAGCTGTTTCTTGGTCGAGCTCGGACGATTTCCTGCAATGCGACGTTGGCGAATAGTGGGGGGATTCGCTTGCATCAAGACGGCGACGTGTGCCAGCGGGTTTCCATGCATGTCCTGTCCAGTGTTGCTGGGCGTTCCACCAACGTGAGATTCTGGATCAAAATCATATTGAGCAACTTGTGACTTGAAGCTTTCGATGTCGCGGATTTTGAGGTTGTCCAAAAACTTGATCTCCTTTGCCGCACACTCTTGTGTGGGTGATCGAGTCTCCATCACATGTTTAATGGTTTCATTGATCGTATTTTGCTGAGCCCATTTGAAGTATTCATTGCGAGCAAAACTTGCCCAGACATCTTCGGAATCAAAAGTTTTGCCGAAAACTCTGCTTCCGTTATTCAACCGTCGATTGAACAGAGCCATATCGGAAATGTCAGGACCTTCAAGCCAGCCATGACCACTGTCAATACACAAGCCAAGTTCTGAAGCTTTGGTGACACGTTTGAATGCTTCCTTTAGTAATGGACGATTGTGATCAACCAGGTCTTCAATTGCCTGTAGTGCTGGATATCGTGGGTATTGTTCTGTTGGCCAGGTGAATTTTCCAAACCACGCAACCTGTTCCTTTTCAATGACTTTCGGTTTGGCATAGGTGAGTCCGTGCAAATCATATTCGAACGAGATGCCAAATTGATTGATATTCTCTCCGTATTTTTGAAACATGGAGTTTGAAGGAAGCCAACCGGATTTGCCGTCCCAGTCGCCACCAGAGATGTCGAAGAACGATCTGCCAAAGTTTATCACCACATTTCGATACTGAATTGGAGTCAGGTACTGCGCAAGTGCGCGATTCACGAGACGGAGGATCTTGAGATCCTGGGTGGAAAGAAAACTGGCAATATTCATCCAAAGATCCACGCCGAAATCTTGCAACCCGGTAGGCGGGACGCTCGTTGACGGCCGAGCCTTGGATGAAATAGATCTCGGATTGTGAGGACGCAGACAAGGAGGTTGAGAGACTCTCCAGGTGCGAGGAAAAGGTTTGACCGTCGATTTTAAGGAGTCCTCGCCTGCCTTTGACTCACTTCCTTGCACTCTAAACATCTTATCCAATTCTTTCGCTTTGGCGTTTTGTTCCGATGCAGTGCCCTGATTTGAGCGGTGTCGTTGTGCCGCATTAAGGAAGTCCTTTTTGACGCTTTCAGGGATAAGCTCGGGGACGACTTCACCATAATGAAAAGGAGGAGCCAAGCTGTGCTGCTTCTCGACTTCACCGGACGAATTACGGCACGTTGATTTGGAGTCAGCCAACGGCGCATTCAATGAGAGCTGCACGTCCGAAACGTTACCATCGAGCGAATGAGAAGCTTCTCCTTCGGTTGCAAGTTCAGTAGAGGAACTGCCTCGTCCAGGGTCCACGGAGATGTTTTTTCGCTCCGACGCAAAGAGACGAGGAGGCCTCATGGAAGTGCTTTCTGTGATGAACGAGCGATGTGTGCTCTTGTCTGGGAAATCGCCATCCTGCGGGGACAGAGATGACCGGAAAAGCCGACTGAGGGCGGAAATAGAGGAACTTGCCGCCGCTTGATCGGTGGACGGAGTTCCACCCTTGAAACGAGGGGCCTTCTTTCTCGGAGGTACTTTCGTACGTGATGGACCGGATGTATTCTCTAGAGGTTCAGGTGATCTTGCAGTCATGTCTCGAACAACCTTTCTCTTGTTCTTGGTATGTTCTTCGAAGTTGGTTATCCGGGATGAGCTGGGACTGCCAAGTTGCGAGATGGTATGGGCGGGGTTTGGTAATTGAGCCTTCGAAGAGTCGTCGTGTGCATCGAGACTGGCTGATGGGAGACTGTATGAGTCGCTGAGTGGAAGAGATTGCAATGGTGTCATCGGCGGAAATGAGTGAGATCCTGCTCGAGGATGAGTAGCGGCATCTTCATCTTGCCCTAGACCTTGCGCAGCAAGTTCTTTTTGTGCCAGACGTTGCGATCGACGTCTCGTGGAACTCAGCACTGTGGACGGGTTAGAAATTTGTTGATTCTCAGTATTGTGGGAGTTGGAGCGATCAGAAAGAGTCGTGAATAGTGGTGGATCGGGTCCCTCTCCAGGAAGGTGTCCAATATCATTTTCCGGCATACAGGATTCTGGCTGAGACACCATAACTTGATGCTCACTTGTGGTTGCTCCCGCACATCGTAGGCCGACAATGGAGGGGAAAACACTCCGTGAGCTGCGTATACTCGGGGCACCCTCAGCCTCGTCTGTTTCGGACATCAAGCTCGGATGGGCATTGTGATACGGCAACGACGCATATTCATGGACTGGACCATCTAGCAGTACAGATCTCTTTTCTTTTCCTTTGCCCTTTCCGACTACCAGAGCAATTTTCAACTTATCAATCTCAGACCGCAAATATTGTGTCAATGTTTTGGGGCCAAAGTCGGTAGAGCCAGGATGAACGATGTTGTTTTCGTCGCCTGCGGCTTTCTTCGGTAGTAGAGAGGACACGGAGTTGCGAGAGACGCGATCGAGGTTGGCGTGGACGGTGACACGGACGTCATCACGCCCTTCAGATGATGTATCACTCTCATTGTCACCGTCTGGTCCGAGACGCTCAGGGTGTCTGAGGGTCATGGTTGAGGAGCATTGGGACTCTATCCTGGGGGAATGGAGAAGAGGGAAAAGGATATTTCAAATCTAAACTGATACAATGTATTCCGATGTTGAGAAACCAAAGGAGGGAGCGAGATTGGGGACATTTTTGCTTTCACATGGATTCGGATTTCACCCGGGCGCAGCTCAATTTGCCCCGCCCACTGGCCACTTATTGACGGATCATGTGTTTGGATCCAACTGGGTGGATAGACGCTTTCCCCAGATTCTCCTTTCACTTTCGGATCGGATAAATGATGCACCAGAGGTGAAAGGAAGTACAGAAGAGGGCATCCCATTGGCCAAACCGCTGGTCATACAAACTTCTCGACGAAGCATTTGTCAATTTTTTTTTTTTTTTTTTGGGTAGCAAATTTAGAGCGACTCCCAACCTCCCCATACCGGAGCCCAGGCTGCATAAGCACAAGGCAGAATACATCCTGATGCCAACTCGAAAACGAAGGCGATAACAGAAGCCCTGCACGGTTTTTGTGTGAAATGGTACACTAATTTTGCTGGAACTAATAATAGGTTTATCACCGACGGGATTTATCTCGTCTTGACGTCCGGACTCGATAATGTCATAGAGATTGAGCAAGACTGCATGCAATTCGAAGAGTGCGTCGGAAAGCCATCTCCATCCAGATGTTGATGGAGCTCTTGGATCCCTCTCTGTGTTGAGGCAGGGTTAGAGGCCGATAGTTGATTCACAAATCAGCTTGTGAAGCCATTCCGGCATCGAGCCGTGTATTGCAGTAAACTCTGGAGCAATTCTGGCACAGCCGAGAGACCTCGAACTTGCCAACTTTGCCTGTGTCTATCCTTGCTTTGAACCAAGCCTCGCGAGCAACATTCGAATCGGACAAAGCACACGCAGGTGCCCTTGTGGAATGCTTTGTATCGCTATTTGCTGTGCTGATTCCCACTCTGCAAACCATTTTATGTTTGACTTATATGAATTTCCACAAGGAATTAAAGTCTGGAAAGGGATTTATGTATGGAGCGGGGGCGATTGTTCTAATATGCCTATTAACCATATCAATATTCGAGCTGAAGGTTCGAATACGCAACTTTCCATGGGGTGAATCGTTCAGGAGTGTCGGCCAATGGTCCGTTCTGATCAACAGCGTGATGGTGATCTCGGGTGCTATCCACACTGGATGGAAGCCTCGTATACGCATCCCCGGGATGCCTTTTGCTTCATATTGGCACGTCGTTGATCCGAGAGAGGAATTGAAGCTTCGTGGTTTTATGCTCTCTGATATGGCTTCTCGTACGGATCAAGGAATGACGATTGGCCAGACCGACGTTGAGGCGCTGATAGATGCATTCCCTGGTGAACGTCTTTCAAAAGGCATTCACGCATGTTGAGCGGACCCAGTTGAGTGCTGTAGCTTCAGAAATGATGCCTTACACCGATGTACCACCCACGTTCCGTCGAGGACACTGGCGGAGAAGGTGTAATAGGCCAAGTCAAAACCAGTAGAGCACCAGCAAACAAACAGTCGATCGTAGACTGTGTGGGTATCATTATGCACCTGTGATTCCAGCTAACTGTTATGGAGTTTGAAATTATCACCAAAGTATGTATGCTGGAGACTATATGATAGTTCAATCCCGCCGAACTCGAAGATTCTAACCATATATGCCGAAGAAAATTCAAGGTCGTCATACGCTTTTCGCTTTCCCACCAGGACGGGTTTCAGGCAGCTCCCTCAGATTGGGGTCCCACTTGGTCAGCGATTCCTCAAGTTTGGAACGAGAGTAGTGTTTGGCCGAACAGATTGGTATGATCTTGCTGAAAAGCCTGTGGGGTGCCATCGACGTTGACCATGTTTGTTGATGCTTTGGTTGTGAGGCCAAATAGGCTCACGTTCGATGAGCACTGGATATCAACCATGTTCTCCTGACAAGATTCCGTGTCCAGACAAGTCTGAATGTAGTTGTCAAAGAAGCTGTAAAGTCCCCCACCGTACATGTAGATTTCGCTTGAGTCAAGAATGCGCAATCCCCACGTCTTCTTGCATGAGTCAGTCGTGCAGTCCGCAAAGTCGGGATCTGAGAAAGCCGGATTGGGTGGGAATCCTCCACTCAGTGCATTCGGGGTGGCCTGCATGTAAGCAGTTTCGGTTTGAATGGCTCCCATAAACACGTCCTTTGCATTGGAGAACTGGTAGTTGTAGAGTTGGCTGTGTTCCGATGAGGTTCCCCACAGCCAGACTGGTCCTTGACTCTCAACCAACAAACCACGACCATTGTAGATATTGATTTGATTGTGCGGAGGGAGGTCAAGTTCGTGGTCAGCGACCCAAAACCAACAATTCTCCAGATATACGGAGGCTTGCTGGGTAATGTGCATCATCAAAAAGGAACCTGCGCATTGAGGCTTGAATTCAAAAGACCCGGTTACGTTGGCCTGGCACGTGTCTTGTTGTAGCTGAGTTCCGGCGGTTCCACCGATGCGGAAATGAACATCCCACATGCCGCAAGAACCTTGAGATGTCTCGGCAACATTCCATTCCATCATAATGGCACCGGGAAGAGGCCCCATGGTCTCGAAGATGAGGTCGGTAATTTCCACCGAGCCACTATCACCGGGAACTCCGACCTGGAAGACCGGCTTCGGATTGGCCAGATCGGTGAACGCATTACCCTGGGCCATGATCAAAGGCCAGATCTCTCCGGTGATTTTGATATTCTTGGGGACTTTCACCGTATCTGTCACCACATAGGCGCCGTGGTCAAAGTAAACGATCTGATCTGTGGTGGCATTGTCGAAGATACTTTGAATGGAGGCGGTATCATCCGTGACACCATCTCCTCGGGCCCCGGCTGACTTGACACTGACAAATGACGAGACAGGGATATTCTCGTATTGTGGCTTGGATCGCTCGAATACAGCATTGCCGTTCATGAGTGATGCAGGCATAGTTGGTGCCGTCAACACTTGCTGAACGCGAGCCGACTGTAGGGCGATGGGGGATGCTGAACATAGGCCAGGAGTCGAAGCAGTGGACGCCGCCGTAGATGTAGGGTTGCGCTCTGATGTGGTGTCGGAAAACCCAGGAGACCGAGTGCCGGCGTTTAGTGACGGAATCGGGGAGACTGTGACTGTTTCCGTTGTCAAGGGAGAATCAGAGATGGCCGGCACCGGAGAAACCGTGATGGTGGTTGCGGCGGTAGGGACGGAGGATTGTTGAGATGACGAAGGTGGCTCAGCCTGAGGTGCCCGTTTCAAACGCCGTGCTGGCCCTGCTGGATGGTAGATATCACCTTGTCCCCAAGATTCGACCATCATGCCGCCTCCGAGAATCTGATCAACCCCGTTGGCACCAACGACGCCAATCTGAGTGCTGGTGAAATCCACATTCTGCAGGCCCAATGTCCCTCCCGTTGTGGGTTGGCTTGTTTGATTGTAAGAAGTCCGGATCCCAACACGAGTGTTCGTCATTGCGCTGTCAAGCACAATGACTGACCCCACCGTTTGGTTTGCGGAATTTGCCAAGTTAGACATGTCGATGCCGATATCACATTGATCGATATGGAGAGATTTAAAGGTCCACAACCAATTCCAATTCATAAAAATAGCCGTGTTGCACCCATTGAAGGTCAGGTTTCTGGTGGTGAATTGTTGGTTGCCCAAGAATGCCCCGTAGTTGCCTCCATTGAACGTCAGGTCACACATGAGGCCCCCAGAGCCATTATCCATAAAGATGCCCTGCTGTCTGTTGGTCGGGCTTTTGGGCCGCATGTTGAACACAATATTCTGCAGACTGGTAGCTTGTGCCACTTGCCAGTGGATTCCTGCACCTTTGTCTTCAGGCATTTGGGTAATGTCGACGATCAAGTTACGCATCTGGCGGTAGAAGTTATTTTGATTGGTGTACCACTGGGCCCCGTTGGCTCCAGGGATATATGGATCGGTATCGAGAACGGCTATCCCCTCAAAACTTGGCATGGCCAGGATAGTTGGGACATTGGTAGCGTCGCCGACAAATTGAGTGTAGTAATACTGAATGATGGGAGCCGAGACAGCGTATTTGCCTGGCGGGAAATAGATGATTGCTGGGAGGGTAGTCGAACTGTCACAACCGACTCCACACCGAGCCCCATCAGAAATGGCGTTGTTGATGGCGACAGTATCATCGGTTATGCCATCCCCTGGAGCAGTCAATATCATACCGGACGATGGGTAAGGATCTTGCTCACCAACAGCACCATAATCCATGACATTGCGGAAGATCTTGTAGCTGGGATTTGAGCCAAACGCGACTGTTCCTTGTCGTTGAATCTGCGCGAACCAGTAGGAAGAAGTTACCTGTCGCGGTGCGACCGATGGCGCCGGGGGTTTAGGAACAGCGCCAGCAAGCCATGGCAGCAGGAAGAGGAGGTAATAGAACCACATTGTGATCAAAGCAGGCACGAAGAGGAGCACTGGGCCTGCAGGAGAGCTGTTGTGTATAGATTAATAGTAGTTGAGGTGACCAGCACCAGTGCCAAACAAGTGCGACAATAAGGACGAACTTTTTACAAAAGGGTGCGTGGTGGGAAGAATGACGATGTTGAGGTAGTAGATGCGTTCCTCGTTAAAAAAAAAAAACCCGTCACTGCCCAGCCGACAATCCAACCGACCATCGAAATAGACAATTATTGAAGCAAGAGAGGGAAAGGTAGGGGGAAATTGTGCAAGTGATACGAGAGGAATGATGAATCTCAGTCATGCGACAATCGCAGGCGCGGTCGCGACAGACGATGAGCGCGAAATAGAGCAAGTGGTGGCAGTCTCTCGGGCGGCGAGTGAATGACTTGGAGGTGAACTGCTCAAACAAATGAATGTGAAGGTCTCTGAACCTTTCGATCAAAAGCGAATGAATGGAAGAAATCGAGGGGACAACGAAGAGGCAGACAGAAAGAACAAGCAGTCAGTAATTGAAGAGAAAGACGAAGTGGAAATATGCCAACGTAATAAAGAGAATGGATGTTGTCGCAGCTCTGTGAGTTCTAGGCTTTGCCAGCTGCGCGGTTTGCTGTTCGTCTGTTTGACAATCTTCACGCAATTGCACCGGAGGCAGTTGTACGTACTTACACTGCATTTCTTCTTCTCTCAATTTTAATCTTGCACTTCGAAGCACCCAGAACCCTTGCTTGTGGATTCTTACTTCCCTCCAAAGAAACAATGGTTTTGGACAATGAAAATGAGTCGTTGTCTCTGATTGTGCTCTCTCGGCGATCTCTCCTGGTTCAGCAGCTCTGAACTCTCGTGTCTGCCCGTTAAGGGAACATCCGTGTGGCGAGAGCCCAGGGTCAGGCAGTCTGGAGCATCCTATAGCCCCTGATTCGATGGGTGGCATCCTCAGAAGAGCTCCTTAATCCGCACTTTTCTTGCTCTCCACTCATCAGCTCATCGACTCGGGAAGATGGCGAAAACGTGAAGAAACAAGAAGAGGAAGAGGCAGAGGAAGTTCAAAACTCGACTTGGCAGGACAGCTGTGGTGCTGCCGATTGGTGTGCGCGGCAAGCAATGAAACACTCCGAAACTCGCTCTGTTTGACAAGGAGGGCCGTAATAAACCTTTGGTGGCCGTGAGCAGGGCGCGGTGGCTGACCATGCGCCGGGCCAGATTGGGGGTCATTCATCAACATCACATTTCATTTTCATCTCTCATCTGATGTGTTCATCTCCCTTTCTATTACCCGAGCTAATCGAACCACTCCCTCCTCAAGCATATCCACCTCATCCCAAGCATAGCAAAGCCGAAAGTCTCTGTTAAACCTCGTTGCTGTGTTCTGCCCATCACCATCGACCCTGAATTTTGGTCCGGCAATAATCGTCAAGTTTTCTTCTTCCAATGCCCTGTTATATATCTCAGATGAATTCAGTGGCTTTGGCAATGTCAACCAGATGAAATAACCTCCGGCAACGTCTTGGTCGGCCTGAGGCATTGTCAAACCCAAGGGTAATAACTCCCGCACCACGGCTTTCATTATCCGGTGATATCGTCGAGCGTATGCCGGCTGAAGTTCTTGGAAAATGTGTTTCTGCAAGACCCCTGTAGATAGCATCTGATAGATGAACGAGGCAACGAGCTGCGAAGGACAACCTCCGGATCGGCTTGATCCTGTTTGTGAGATACCATAGGCCAGTGCTTCACTACCTTCAGCCCATCCAGTTCGAACGCCTGGTCCTACAATCTTGCTGAAACTGCCATTACTGACCGCATTCCCATATGCATCCACCGGGCCACCGTCAAGCTCCCGGTCCACGTCAACTATTCGTGGAAGTACCGCCCTGTCCATTTTGCGAGTGCCTGCGTTGGGATCCGAAGGCCATTGAAGCATGTCATATACATCATCCGTTACGATCAAGGCATCGTATTTTCTCGCGAGTCTCACCAGGTCTTGTCGGTGACCCAGGCTCATGATCCGGCCTGACGGGTTGGCAAACGTGGGTACCGCATAGATGACATGTTTGTATATCTTCCTCCACGGCTTTGGGAGTTTGATGCGCGGAGATGTGTTGTTCTCTGCCAATGCTCGCTGCTCACTTTCTCGAAGGCCATGTTCAAGATATGCAAGGTCAATCCCTTCCGCATCTTCGGGGACAGCCCTCATCCGTTCATCGAAGCCGGAGTCTGCAAAGATCCTACAAGCCAGATAGTATGTGGGAGCGACCATCCAGATATTCCGGGTAAAAATGGGGTCAGTAAACGTCTGCAAGATGCAGGCCAGATTCTGGCTGGCACCGCCACTGATACATATTCTTCCACATGAAATCGGCTCTCTGGGTTGGTAGAAATCATTGAGCCATTTGGCGATTTCTCCCCTCAATGGCTGATAACCTTCATCTGGTCCGTAGAATAATACATCTTTATTCCTAGGATCGGAGAGAATATGAGTAGACGCATCTTCGAGTTGGCATGGGGGCAGAAGGCTCGGATTTGGCCATCCCTTGAGTAAATTGATGGGCCTCTTTTTGCTTGCAGAGGTATTCACATTGTTCGTTCGGGTGCCGACCCGGAGTGTCATACTCGACACGAATTAGCGGTGGAGCTCGAAGACACGACGACAAAGATGACGTTGACGGTGAGTGAAGCTGTCTAATATAGAACCGCTCTGTCCATATGTCAGCGGACAAAATAGGCTTTGGCTTCGGATGCTGTCGTAATGTGTCTTGAATAAGAGTGTTGCGGAGAGGGGCAGGCGGTCCTTAGCTGCGTTATAGGCGTCGGCGACTTTTGAGTGTCCCTGGAATTAGCGACATCGAGGGCCGATGGGAGAGGAATTTTGTTGGACGGGAGGTTTCTGGCGCATCCCCGGAAATTCAATTTAGTGGCTTTGTGATTCCACCGATTTACTCCCCCCGTTCCGTGCGTTCCAGAATGCGGCCCATTCTTCATGCCCACATCGCTCTTTTAGACCATCTCTAGACTCATCAGGCAGTACGTCATCCACCCCGGCAAGGCGGCTCGATGGCGGATTCGACACACCTCGATTCAGCACCCTTCTGTACCTGCAAGTCCCTTCTCCGCCAGGCATGAGCTGATTCTTGTGCCTCTCGTTAAAATTCCTTCCTGTACTCCCATTCTTTCTCACGACCATGGTGACACTGCAGCAACGTGAGCTGCGCGTAGCGAATACCACCATTCGGACTACCGTCACGGCCTCAGGTGAAGGGTTGTGGCTTTCGCTTGCCCCTAGCCGAACATTACACTGGCATATGGCCGAAAACACAAGTCATCTTCTTAGACATTTGTTGTCTGTCTAGGACTTCACACAAACATGGCAAAGAGACTGTCTTCGCTATTCTCCCTTTCAAGGGATGATAACGAAGCACCACAATCTACCACTGCGCTCTCTCCCAACTATCCGCCGTCTCCCAATCACGCGATCAGTCCTACCTCTCGGAAATCGTACAAATACCGAGTTACCTCGTCCTCCGAGGTCGATCCCGTTGAAAATCTTCCTCGTCTTGCCCCTCCTCCGCTTCTCTCCGAATCCGGGTTTGTTCGACCTCCCAGCAGTCACCGGGGAACAGACAGCCGACCTGGGAGCAGAGCGAGTAGCCCGCAGAGTCAGGTTCAAAGTCGGGATGGGAGCAGGAGTCGGCCTCAGACGCCGAATTCGTTGATACCCCCAGGCGCAGCCACTTCTACGGGGCAACCTGCAACGCCTACATCCGCGAAGATAACCAAGAAAAAGAGTTGGTTGGCAGGGAAATCAGACAAGCATGAGTTTGAGGACGGGCATTCGCACCAGAAGGCTTGGATTGCTGGACTCCGGGAGTACGTGGCGTACGATTTGACGCCACTGCTAAGAGGTGAAAAGGTGAATATCAATTCGGGCATTTGATTTATGATCATGCTGATTGTTGTTTAGGTACCCGAACTTTGGAATGATCACGGAGACACCGTTCTCTACCTATATCCCCCATCTTCAGGCCGAGGACCCTGCTTCAAGATTGACTCCTCACTTCTCATGGACTCCAAATCTCTTGTCAACCTTCGATTACAGTCTCCAACCTCACCTGTGGATAGACATGGCGATCCGGAGCAGATTCAATCTCCTTTTTCAGAAATGTCCATGGCTCCTCGGCAGATACGTCTGCCGTCGCCGCAAAGCTCTACCTACCGTTCCTCCATGACCTTCTCCGTACCAAATATCGTCACCGCTGTCAATCAGGAAAGGCACGTGTATCTTCCCATGGGATTCGAAGGAGATCTATCACAACCCGGCTCTGAGCCCCAAGGAGATGATTTCGAGCTGATTGTTCTGTACCGCAACTTTTTGGCCTTTCTTGCCGGCGGTGCGCTTGTAGCAACTCCCAGACAAGTTACTCTTTTCGCGATCTTTATGGGTATCAGTACTATCCTCAAAAGATTCTGCTTCAGCAACTCCGACGGCTCCACATTCGGAGATGTGCCCTTTAACAGTTTCTCCCGATACTGCGACGAGTTGAGACTCGCAGATGTACGATCGAGCCGAGAAAAGACAATCGAAGCCATTGTTCTGGGTGAGCATCTAAGGTCCTGGCCGCTTTACAACGAAGGGTTCACGCATGCTGTCGGTCGGCTTGCAGATATTAAGTCTATCAAAAGTCCCAAATACGAAAGGATGTCCCCGATCACTATCAGTCGGCTGGAACGTGCACATCTCGACATTGAGCAAAGATTATTGGCCGTCAGAGGAAAGCTTGAGGACTTCGACTTCCCTTCCATGTTTGCGGGTATTGCCAATTCCCAAACATCGACCGAAGCCAAGCTCGTTCGCTTCAAGGAATGGAAAGCCGGCTTTTTGGATTTTCGACGCTTCACGTTGGCCTACTATCGTCGGAAGTATGGAGCATGGCCGCCAAAAGCATCTTCGAAAAAGAACAATTTTGAAGAGAGCGGCCTGAACCGAGTGCTCCTTCAAGAACTATACAAAGATTTCACGGACTTGTACGACATACTTGTTGACCGATCTTCATTAACAACGCGAACGGTCGACATGCCTCCCGTGGACGAAGATGTCGAGTCAAGCGACCAGAACGAAACTATTCAACATGCCATCCGACGTGTGGAAAGCGAGTATGATCGAGCAACTCCTCCAGTCATCCCGCCCATACCATTCGACACACCGTTGATTCCTCAATTCTCGCACAGTTTTAATCGCAGGCACGTTGTAGTCTCGGACAAGTCGGCGTTACAGACCAAGAAACTGAAAGAGAATGAGGTGAACGAAGTACTGCTTGGGTCTTACAACCGTGAGTCCATCAACGCCAGTACGTGGGTCCAGGATTTCTTCAACTACGAACGCCGTCTCGGTCACGGAAAGACTCTTGATCAAGTCGTCGATGCGAGATGTGGACAGTGGCTTTTCATATATGCCGTTTTGCAGGCCCTACCAATGACGGTTGTGGATGCAAGGGATCTCAAACACACCGAAGGAGTTGAATACTTTCTGTGCGTCGCACCAAGGGGTGGTCGACCATGGATGAAGGAAGATCAATCAGTATCACGAGCCTGGTACAATGTCGCCAGTGGCGGCGGCATTGTTAGCCTTCCTGCTGACCTGATCGATCACAGCGTCGAAGGGATTTACCGACGCAGCCATTGTTGGACGGAAGCCACGAAGTGGACACAATCTTCAGAAGACAGTCTCATGGGAACCACTCAGCATGCAGATGGCACTGCTCTTCAACCACCAAACCGAATCAGCGCTCATTCACCATACCTCAGTCCTCAACAATCACCCTATTTGAGCCCTGTGTCCTCGCCACAGATGAGACCGATCTCTCCTGCTATCTCTAATGACGGGCGCAATGCTGGCAGAGACAGAACTTCAATGAATCTTGGACTCGAAGCCATGGATGCACCGCCTCCTCAACGTGCATCCCGACCTAATTCAGCCTTCAACCCGAATATAACCTTTGATGCAATTCTGGGTCCTACTGAAGAACTAAAGCCTAAAGGAAAGAAAGGAAAGAAATGAATGCGTCACGAAGGCCATGATTTTGGATAAATACAAACCGTCGATTCTGTATGACGGATGTTCACGATTCTTTCGGTTTCTCGACTGTGTCTCCTGCTCTAGGTTGCCTAGATGTGGTGTCTTGTTTACACGAATCACTGCACCCACACTAGGTCTCGTGTCTGTACTCATTAGTCCTCTTAATTGTTCATCCTCCCCCCTGCCAAACAACACCCAATCATATGGCACAGTGATTTATGATGTCAATTTGAAGCGGAGTCGTCTTTACAAACGAGGAAGATATTTTGACCAGCGTGTGGTCCGGCTCTCACTCAATACGTACAAGCTACGCAGAACATGTAAGGCTGATATTTCCGACTCGATCAGCACCAACATACTCGAACCATACTGTTTTTCCACGGATCTAGAATTATGCGACACAATATACCGAGCTTGCCTGTAATGCAATGCAAGGCTACATGATCCTTGGCCCAAATACGCAGTTTCAGAATAGTCAAATATCGATCTCTCAGTCCTCCAATGATGGTGGTGATACTGGCAGCGGCAATGACAGCGGTGGCGGTGGAAATCATATCAATGAGGATTCGAACACAGAGGTGGATAAGACAAATAACATTGTCATCAACCACTATGGGTCCGTGTCCAGTGGTAATGCTGCGAGCTTGAGAGACAAGAGGCTATTCAGCTTGCAGATGCTCCCTGTAATTGTCATACTGGCTGTGGTTGTCTTCATTTGGTCGTGAGTATTTTCTCTTGCTAGAATATTTCAACGAGGCTGGATGAAGGCACTATTGTCGAGTGTGTGTCCTGCTTGTTACATCGGGAATGAATTCTTATACGGTCTATTCGTGGCAGTATGAGCCAAATTGGTATATAGATCCTCTTGTTTATGGCTTTGCAGTGGATGTATCTGCTTGGGCCTGCTATTTGGGATGAGGTCAAGAGATGAGGCTGGATATTAGGTAAGCAACAACGAGCGACAAGTCTCCTTTCTTGGGAAGTCAGCCGAGCGAAATCCTACGTTGCCGAGGCAGGGAGATCGACTTATTGCTGTGAACAGATAATAACCTACCAAGACGTACATATATCCTCCCTTGACCTCGCACGCTCGCTACCAGCATGTCAATTTCGACCGCTATCGCGACCATTGCTCAAACCCTCGGCTGACCCTTCCAGACGGAAGACTGATCTTTCGCTTTCTGTCGCCTTTCTTTGCGTACGACACTGTACATAGTTAATCATGTCTCGCTCACCCTCTCCTCCTTTGAAGTCTTCAATCGACCGCCAAACTACGACGCCCTTCCTCTTGAATTTTTGCTACAAATCCTCCTCTTTCCACAATCTAACGGATTTTCCGACCCCAACTCCTTCCAATCCGCATCCTCACCTCCCTGCACACTTACAGATATACACATGGATGAGCTGTACACTTCGGGAGCTGGCACATTTGTTAACGCAGGCCCTGCCTCAAATCCTGCCAGATCCCAGCGTTGGAACGAGGTTGAGCTTCAGGTTGGTCTATCCTGATGTCCATGCCAGTCGGGGCGCAGGAGGGAGATTGGAAACAGAAGGCAGGGGAAGATATCTAAGTAAAGAGATGGGGAGTGTTGTCGTCTCGGCCCCGGATTTCCCCAATGGAGACGGAAATGGTGGGATCCGATTAGAAGGAGACGACGCAGATAAAACTCTCGAGGATGCTCGGTTCGTCATCGGTGACTTCATCGACTGTGCAGTCTTTCCTCCCTTGAGCGACGGCAGCACAGTGGGCAGAGGCAGTGTCAGTTCCAGAGGACCAGGGAGAGAAAATGGCTATGGACGAGTACGAGGAGGGGGATATGGATTGGGTAGCAGGGGGAGTTTCAATGGTTACGGACCAAGAGGAGGTGATTTTGGCAGCTCGGGGAGTATTCCGCGTGGCGAGTGGAGGAGGGGGGAGAGACTACCGGATCCCGCAGACTATCGAGGTGGAAGAGGTGGGCGAAGGGGTTATTGATGATGACAGCGAATGTTGATGCATGGCAATACTACCGACATCAGATAACGCCCCTCGATGCGCTGTGGTCTCACCGAGAAGACACACAGAAGAGCCCTGTCGAGACTTTCCCCCAGATGAATCTAGTGCGAAGGATATCTGCATGTCCGAGCGGACAAGACATCGCGGGTTCAACGGTGGAAAAGTCCTCTTATTTTCATGCCACCTGACGGACTTCGTGTGTGGGATGGAAACAGGAACGGATTCCTAATTTGAGCATATCCGCTAATTGAACGGATAGTTCAGGAGATAGGGCAAGTGAGGCCTATGAGAGCGAGAGGGCTAAATTTGGATCCGAGATGATCTGAAGCAAGGGGGTTTTTTACAGATGGGACCAGTTGGACGATATCTGGATGTCTAAGCACCCCACGAGACATCCTGGGAGTCGGTGAAGCTCTGTGAAGGGAAACAGTAGCGCGAAAGGACCAAAGGACTGACTGTACCTCTATTGTGTACACCGCTGGATTTCACGTGGGGAGGAGCCCGATGTTGATGCGCTGTAGAGGCCCACGATAGGGAAGCACGACGTACAGGTATCATTTGCTCAGTTTCTCTGTGGCGAGGTACTTCAGGTACTTTAGACACCTCGAACCAGGCACCTTGAAGCCGAAATTTGTTCGGTGGTTCCTTCCCGGGTTTCCCCTCCAAGAATTATTGTTTCCTTCAACTGTCCATTCTCGTCCCAACCACACAACATTTTTCCTCTACAGCTTCATTCCACTTCGTTTCCCTTCTTGCTGCGACAAGTGTTATAGAATCACCCAAATTCATTACTTTACACTCTCTTTATCTTCCAGGCAAACTGCATCACCGCCGTCAAAATGCCCAAAGTCTGTTCACCCACTGTTTACACTGCACCTCAACCTGCCCCTCACCATTCATCAACGCTCAACAGTGCCCCCCACCTGACCGCTCATCTACTCAAGCATCCCAACGTGACAGACGATGATACTAACATCATGTGTCTCTTGCAGGTCAAGTACATCCTTCTTGACTGCGACAACACTCTTGTCCTCTCGGAACGTCTTGCGTTCGAGGCCTGCGCCGATCTCACCAATGAACTCCTTGAGAAGTACAACATTCCCCACCGCTACACTGTCGATTCTCTCCTCGAGGACTTTGTTGGACAGAACTTCCGTGGCATGATGATCGGCCTTCAGAAGAAACACAACTTCACAATGCCCCCAGAGCAGTTAGAGGAATACGTCAACAGCGAGCTCGGCGAAGTCATCAAAAAGCTCACCGCAAAGGCCCAGCCATGCCCAGGCGCCCCTGAAGAGATAGAACGCTTGTATCAAGCCGGATACCCCATGTCCGTCGTCAGCACCTCTGCCAAGCCTCGGGTCGTTGCTTCTTTGGAGAAAGTTGGCATCGACAAGTACTTTCCCAACCAGCATGTCTATAGCGCTGCGACTTCTCTGAATCCACCATCCAGCAAGCCAGACCCCAAGATCTACCTGTACGCCTGTGAACAATTGGGTGTCAAGCCAGAGGAATGTATCACTGTTGAGGACAGCAAGAGCGGTGCTACTGCTGCCATGCGAGCTGGTATTCCTCTCATCGCCTACGTCGGCGTCTACGGCATTGAAGAGGGCAAGGAGAAGATGGAGCAAATGGCCAAACTTCTGACTGAGCAATGCAATGCTAAGGCAGTCATGTACGACTGGAAGGAGTTCCCTGAGATCTTGAAGAAGATCGAGGCCATGTAAATGGAGACACGTCATGACAAGCGACCACGATTGCATTTGATGACATGATGAACGCAACAACGACTTACGAGATGCCTGATACAGTATCGATTTGCCAAAGCAAACAAGGATGAAAGACGGCAAAGCTGTGAGAGAAACGATCTTTACGGAATGGCCTCCGTCCCCCACAACACTGAGCTAGAATAGAGAAGCGTCTCATTCCAACCGAAGACGTGTCTTCATTTGTGGTTCATTTCCTACCCTTTGTCCCTTCTCATTGCCCCAACTAAACGTCCCAGCATTTCCCTCATGACGTATTTCTCGCCCTCATAGTCCATGTCGAACCAATAATTTACAGCTATACAAGGCGCCACGTCCCCATTATCCCAAACACCACATTCCTGTGTCACATGGTGAAACCATCCTGATGGTAGGTAGAGCATCTCTCCTTCAGATATCGTTACTGCCAGGGGATGGGAATATTGATAATAAGGGTACTTGGATGAAATCTCCGATGGAGATGGAGGATTGAGAGGGTCAATGGGGATCCAGGGGATGCGGTTTTCCGTCTCCCTGTCGGGATCGTTGTTGTCGAGGACGATTCTGAATGTTGCAGGCGATGTGGTGGTGTCATGGACGTGGTGTGCGGTACGGACCATTTTGGCTGAAGGTTGGCAGAGAGGTCAATAATCACTGAACATCTCGCAGGAAGAACGGTCGGTACCCACCATGCAAACAAATCTCCTCAGGCGGCGCCCACAGTCTGAACGTCTTCCGCCCTTTTAGTACCAGGTATAGATTCTCATACGGATCGCGATGCGTGCTCGTCACGCTGGCCCCATTGCCGATCCAGATGTTGATTGCCTCGGGTTTGCCCAGCACGGCGTCGGCGAAAGGAATGGTTTCTGGCACATCGCGCAATAACGGCGATAATGTAGTGCTGGTTAAATTACTGTCTTGCGATTGGAGATAGTAGACCGGCTCACCGTGTTGGGACTTGGTGGAATCGGCAGATTGAGTGTCCGGGGATGATGGGCACAACTTATCTAGTAGTGTGGACAGGGACATGGTCGTTGTTGCCGGCTGCACGAAAACTTGTTCCAGTTCATGATCTTCTCCTTCGCCACTATTGGATTTGTCAGGGTACGTATACAGAGAATCTGCCCGCCCGTCCGGAGTTACGGCGACTTCGACGTCATCCTTTACCCTGTCGCAGAGACTTTGTTTTGTCCATGAGAAAGCTGCGCATAAAAGTAGATACGTCAACTCTGGATTTGGTTCAGAGTGTTTTGACCGTTCAGTAAGGTCGGAGTGGGTTCTTTGTTGGGACTGTGGTCGTTGAAGTTGGTATATGCAAGGTCGCCCTCGGGACACTTGTTTGCTGAAGTCTAGGGCTGTGGGGTAGGGGTATATTGGGACACCCCCAGGGTTGAAAGCGTGGTAGTCTTCGATTAGTTGGAGGAGAGCAGATATTGCTGGGTTGTTGTCCTCCATTGCATATATCGCGACCTGATCTGATATGTTGGCTTGAGTAGAGTGCTGTTTCGTTCATGGTGCAATAGAGATCGCAGCCTGTAAGGGCCAGAGATTGTTAGAAGTGGAGTTTTGTGACAAGGCTGAGATTCATGCCATATTCGGCTAGCGCAAAACAAGATATGTTCCATCACGTGGGTTCTGTAGAAAGCTAACCCCCTTCCCCCAATCTTCCCCCGGGCTCCGGCCTTTCTCCCATTCAATCTCGTCTCGGTCTCGATCCTCCCGTTCAAGCCTTTAAAGGATCTGTCTCAACCCCTCAACCAAACTTTATTCTCGCTGGCCCTGTCCCTCGACTACAACGTGATTTTTCTCGCCAAACAATTTATACATCTCTTCATATGGCTTCAAATTCTTAGCTCCTAAGATGGACTCCAGCAATGGAAGCCCCAAGCAATACACCTGGCCCACAATACCCACACCAAAAAGAAGGCGTCAACTTCAATGTCAATATTGTCCAAATACATATCAGAAGAAAGAACATCTTGTGCGACATGAGAGGACACACACCGGGCATCGCCCTTTCGTCTGCGCGCAGTGTGGCAGAACCTTCGCTCGACATGACAGTTTGCTCCGGCATGAACGCGTCCATGCCCCCAAAATTCGAGATGCATCTTCTCAGCAAATGAAGTTCTCTGCCCTGGAATCCCGGCAAAATGCGCCACAATCGACAGATTTGAATGATGGCCTGAATGCCATGGCACAAGACGTCAATGTGCAACAACCAGTCGAGAGAAATCCCTCTGCTAACAATCCGGACGTGGCGGCCGTCGGTTTCAATGGTGCCCCATACTTCAATGAAACGGAAGATTTCTTTCAATATCTTCTGTCGACACCGCCTGGCTGGCCGACATCGTTGCCAACAGACGTTTCTACAGATTCTCTGCCTGGTAATAGGAACTCGGGCAATTTTCGTGGTGGCAGCCAACCTTTGCAGAGTCTCGATGACGGAAGCCCTCAAGCGGTGCAACAGGTCGGGGCCTTGATCACCGACATGGTACGCCTCGGTCTGGAATCTCCTTAGGATCAGGGGATGCTAACTGGCCATAGTCTTCAAATGTTACAAGAGAAATAAATGCCCGTGGCATCACATCAGACTTTCTGGATGCCTGCTTACATCAGTTTTTCACCCATTTCAATCCTACCTTTCCGATTCTTCATGAGGCGACATTTGATCTCAAGGATTGTGGCCCGTTTCTCCTTCTCAACATGGTATCAATTGGCTCTCTATTCTTTGGTTCGAGCGATGCGGTTGCCAAAGGCGAGTTCTTGTGGCGCCTTGCGCAGACTGCTGCAGCCACATCTTGGGGTGATGTGTTCGAAGGAAAGATTGCAGCATTCAGATCTCAAGCAGCACAAATTGTCACTACCGCACTACTAGGCCAGACTTATGCCATGCTATCTCGATCCGGACGATTACGCACTCTTTGTCAAACACTACACGGTCTCGCCTTCTCTTGGGCTCGTCAGTTCGGCATGTTCGACCTACCCGATTTCGCTTTGCACGAACTACCTGACGATTCAGCCGGTGACGAGGAGAAACATGAAAAGTGGAAAGACTGGGTGGCTAGAGAGATCCAAAGGAGAACTGTCCTTGGCCTCTACATCATTGACTCTCAGCTGGCGAGATACGCTGGAGCGGGCCCCGTGGGCAAACATGTCACCAACCCGCTGAAATTTGCGAGTAAAGATACAGTCTTTCAAGCCCGAACCGTCGAGGATTGGATTGACGAAATGAGACAAGTTCGAGAAACTCCCTATACCTTCAGAGAAGTGTTTCTATCTATTTTCCATCCAAATTCTTTCCCCATCCCGTGCGACTCACCGCTCTCGGTTCTTGTGATCCTCGAGGGCTTTCAGGCCATTCTTTCCGAGCACGGAGACGCGAATGGCTCAGCTTTGGGAATTCCACCGATTTCTCAAATCCGCGATGCGGCTCTACGCCTACGAAGAACATATTTAACGCCGATCACCGTGATGGCGGAAACCAAGGAACTCTTGTTACGATGGCATACGTTCTGCCTTGATTTGGCTACGGATACTGTGATCCTGTGTCAACGACTTTGCATGAATTTTGGCATGAGCCAAAATCTCTTTGCGGCGGGACGTCGCTCACCCGATCCGATCGATTTGAATAACTGGGCAAATACTCCAGAAGCTCGAAGAGCTCTACTCCATGCGGTGGCTATTCAAGATCTCGCTGAGCTAATGACACTTGGTCGTGCATATCCTCCACATCTGCCCGCATCAGTTTTTGCTGCAGCCACTATCTTTTTTGCGTACTCGAAATATGGCCAGACGACAGTCACGACACCCGAACGTCCCGACTGGGACGCAGCTTGGGGTCAAGGTACAAGTCAGCATCATTCAACCAACGACTACGGTCGCAAAAGCCCGGAAAATTCCGACAGCTACCGATTTGTCACGGGGGACTACCTCAATGGTGCAGGAACCAAAACGCGCAATCTTCGATATTCACTTCTCACTCTTCAAATGATTCTACAAATGATTTCTTCGCAATGGGGGATCTCCAGTGATATGCTTGCCATTCTATCCACTTGGATTAGTGGCTTGACATGAGTCAGCCTAGCAGAGACTCGTTAAATATTTGCCCTTGACTCCTGGATCTCAATAGAGTTATCAATTTGACTAACTGACCGGATTTCTAAACCTCGGAGACACAAGCGTCCCATTGCGTGTCTCCCTCCCTCGCCCATTAATCAATCTCCGAGAGCCAAAATCGTTGCGATTCAGCTGCTCTTCACGCCTCCACGTGCCCCGCAATCCTTCCCCGGTGAAGACCATAATCGTGGGGCACGGTTCTTGTGGAGATTTTCTAACCACCTCAAAGGCGACGTGGGACTCCAATCAGGTCTATCATGAAGATACCAGCGGACTTGTCAGTACTTTTTTGATCGTTTGACGTGGGCTGGCAAGTTGACAGAACTTACCACCAGACTGAAAAAGTGGGTGCCAAGCTGCATTTGGAGAGCGGGACGTGATTGTCAAGCTACTTTTGGAAAACCCTTTCAGGCGTTCCCTTGGCCATTATAAGCAGTTTGGGTTACATGATATATTTCTCAAAGGCACTCGGCGGGCTCAAGAGTGAGGGCAAAGGTCTAATCTACGAGACGAAGAATTTGGTCCATGTGTGACCGCGAGTTCTTTGATCTAATGGCGTCCAAAATCCAACCAGTTGCCATTATTGGAGGAGGACCGACCGGTTTGGCCTCTTCCATATTACTGTCATTGTGCAAAATCCCACATGTTCTTTTTGAGCGGTATCCCTCTACTTCGATACATCCAAAGGCATGTGGTTACAACCACCGGACAGTGGAAATCTATCGGCATATGGGAATTGAGAAGGATATCGTTAGGCACAGAGCGCCCAAAGCAATAGACGGTCAAACAGCCTGGTATACTAGCTTTGGCCCGTACGGCAAAGAAATTGTCCGACGCAATGCTTGGGGTGGTGGCATTTACCGGAAAGAGTACGAGGAAGTATCTCCTTGTTCGTACTCGATACTACCACAGATTCGATTGGAGCCAATTCTTCAGAAAAGAGCCCTAGAGCTCAACCCCCGAACTATCTTTTACAGCACGGAAGTAACCAAAGTCGAAGAGGCTGATGATCACGTCGTCCTCACATTCCAACGAAAAGGCCAAATACCGGAGGAAGTCAAAGCGAGATACTGTATAGGAGCCGATGGCGGACGAGCCTTGACTGAAGATCTCGGCATCAAATGGGAAGGCGAACGAGATATCGTCGATATGGTATCTGCGCACGTTCGGGCTCCGATATCTCTCCACCATCCCGACATTCGGAATTTCATTACTTGGTTCATCAATCCAAAACTGGGAGGAAGCATTGGCACCGGATATCTGTACCACTTGGGCCCGTATCCGATTTCGCCAGATAGTGAAGAATGGCTCTTTGCATGTGGACTGAATCCAAACGACCCCAAACGATTCGACGAGTCGGCAATGTTACAACGCATGCACAATACCTTGCAGATTCCCGATTTGAAAGTCGAACTTTTATCAATCAGTCATTGGTACGTGAATGCTCTATACGCTCAGCAGTATCGGAGTAAGAAGTCCACGGGTCGAGTATTCCTCGTCGGAGATGCCGCGCATCGAATCCCCCCATGGGGAGCACTAGGTCTCAATACTGGCATCCAAGACGTTTATAATCTTGTCTGGAAGCTGAATCTCGCCATCAACGGACTTCCCTTGATTTCGCCAGAAAAGGTAAACTTTGACGACCTACTTGATACCTACGACACCGAGCGGCGTCCCATAGGGCAGCGTGTTGGAACTACATCTTTACATAACCTCAAAGCCCACTCGCTCGTCATGGATAGAGCTTTGGGCCTTTCACCGGAAAATACGGAGGACGAAAATGTCGCCGCGATGGATTCTTTCCTTGGTGCCTCAGAGACATCTCTAGATGCCTCGCGGCGTGAAGCTGTTGATCGTGCTCAGAAGATCTTAGACGACGAGTTCCACGCCCTGGGAGCCGAAATTGGCTGGTTCTACCCTGAGTTGGACGTTGATGGTGAGGGCAAGGAAACGAGTCATGATGGCCAGCTCAACGCAAAGGGCGAACTAGATATATTAAGGTATCACCCCTCGACTATTCCTGGTCATCATCTTCCGCATGCCTGGTTGGAGAGGGACTCAGAGAGATTGTCCACGCGAGACCTGGTAAAGTACGACGGATTCATCCTGATTACGTCACGGCCCGAACTATGGACGTCCGCGGTCTCAGGCCTAGAGGGATTCGTCGCCCTAATTGGGATTTCGGATGCGAACGAGAAAACGCAAAATGGCACAAGCTGGCGCGACATGGACGGCAAGTGGGCTTCTGTTCGTGGCGTGGGACCTTCGGGAGCCGTACTGGTGAGGCCAGATGGCATTGTCATCTGGCGTGCAAAAGAATTTGATGGGAAGAGTCACGCTGGCGAAGGTTTGCTCAGAGAAGTGGTGTTCAGGGCCTTGAAACTTGCGAGTTAGGCTGGAACTCTCGCTATAAAATATACTTGATGTGATAATGCATGGTGCTGTCTATCGGTCAAGACACATTTTCGTTTCCGGGGATTCTCTTGCATTGTCAACGACGCTTGAAATTGGTACATTCATTGCATTTCGATGAATGCCTGCTCGAGATCTATTAAGTTGCAGCGCCTCAAATGGGAGCTGACATCCTTCTGCTGACCTATTTATTCTCATCCAACTCACGACTTCCTGGTCCATTAAACTTCCACATTCTTCTCCCCTTCACTCGGGGTATTCACGCTCATAGCCACTGACCCCTTCGTAGCCACACTGGTGCTGGTACCGCCAACCACCTCTCTCTCCATGTGCACAGCAACATGGTTCGTCAAGTATCGACTAGGATCCTTGATCCAACACGCCGCAAACACAGCCACAGCGCCGAAGGGGATCGTGCACCAAAACATCCTCCTAAAACCGTAAGCGTAGGTATCTCTGAAAGCTTCCGCCGACGCTGCTTGCACCGCTGCACTCACAGGCGGGTTCAACCCGACGAATTGCTCGGGAACACCGGACCCCGTTGCAATAACAGCGGGAATGAGCTGGTCGAGGCCGTCACTGGGATACCCCGCCGCGACTGCCGCAGCTGCGATGCTCGGCCCCAGGCGCGACGAGATGTAGCTGTTGAGAATGGTGTTGAAGACCGCGTTGCCCACCGAACCGCCCGCTGATCGAAACGTACCGATCAGTCCAGACGCGATTCCCAGATCGCGCTGTCTAACGTGCAACCCGGCAGTGACGTAGCACAGTACCGTAACGCAGGGAAAACAAGCCTGTGCGAAGAACTGCAACGCCATCCAACCAGCTTTATTCGTCGGGATCACGGTCGAATAGCACGCCGTGAAGGCCGTCTGGATCACCAGCGCCACGAGGATCTGGATCTTAATATGTTTAAACTTGTGCACCAGCGCAGGGATAACGAAGCCACCAAGGACCTGCGACAGACCGCCCGGAATCGAAATGACGCCAATCTCCACGGGGTCTTTGGTAATCATGTACAACGCTCCCAACGGCAACAGCGCAGCCATCGTGAAATACACCATGCCAGCGACGAAGACGAAGGAGAGCAACAGCGTGAACTCACGAACTTGCCGAAAGAGCCGCAGTGGGAAGAACGGGTTCTTAGGGACGAAGAAGTCGTAGACGAAACATGCTGCCAGCGTCACGACGCCAATGACAATCGGCGCAATCACACTGACTGATGCCCACGGATGCGCGGTGGTGCCGGCCCAAGTGAGCCCAATTAGCAATGTAGTGAGCCCGCCCGTGTATAGTGTGATGCCGATATAGTCGAGTTCTCTAACCTCTTGCCAGCGGGATTTCTCGTAGTCTGCCTGTGGCCGGGAAGGGGGGAAGTAGAATGCAGTTACGCCCACGAGGCTGACCCCGCTGTAGATGATGGCTAGGTAGAAAATCCAGCGCCATGAGGCGTTGGCGGTTAGCAGGTTTCCTAATAATACGGCGAGACCGGCGAAGGGGAGCAGAATGCAGAATTCGGTGAAGCCCAGGCCGATGCCCCTGGTGGGATACGATATCAAAGTCAGCGTCAAACACAAGTACAAACGCAGGGCCATGATCAAGGGAGTGGATTTTCGGGATTTTGGACTGGACATACCGCCATTTATTCGGCAACAACTCTGGGATCCCTGCGTAGGCGACAAATATCAACCCACACCCTGCTCCGAGCAGGGTCATTCCCCCAATCACGGCCTCGACGGATTGAGCAGTTGCTCCTGCAATCTGCTCTGCCAAGGAAAAAAAGAAGTTAGCACTGCGTCGTTGTGTTTCCCTGCGATATGATGATATGACATGGATAGAATTAGCTAGTGGTAAGACAATACGTACCGCTCCCACCAGATTGACACCGTTTCCGGCAATGATCAGCCACCTCCGTCCAAAGACATCGCTTAGACTGCCTGCGAGTGAGAAAAACACCGAGCTCGCGACCGACCACGACCCGACGATCCAAGTGATGTTGGTCACGTCGCCTAGCGCTGTGCCGATGGGCACGATCACGCTGGCGGTCATGGTGAAGCCGATACTGACGGGGGCGACGAAGGAGAGGCCGAGGAACTTGACATGATACACAGCATTTCGTTAGGTTTGGGTTTGTTTCTTCTTTGATGGAAGGAAGAGCAGGAGAGGGAGATGAAGTGGTCTTTATTGTTTACTTACCAGTACAGCAAGCAGAGTGGACCAGGATGGAATCTCAGCTTTGTCGGGGTTGTCTTCCAGGGCAGCGCGGTGAGGGTCATCTTCCAGATCCAGCGCTGAGATGTTATTCTGACGATGTTGATGATGAGGGTTATGATCAACGTCGGTATGTTCGATCTCGTGGGCGGCCATGCTTGCTTTACTTGGCTGGTCTACAGTGGTACTCATCCTGACTCTTGTCAGAGAGATTCGTGAATGGCTTCCACTGTTTCTAGGATTCGCCTTTGGACCTGATTTCATATGTTCATGTGTTTGACCGCCCATTCGGTGAGCTCTGATGGGTATCGAATAATCTGGCCGGGAAAAAGGGGGGAATTCCGCACAGATAAAGGTTAGCGTGGGGCATGAGTGTGGAAACTGTGGAGAAGGCTGGGACTAGGAGACATGGAGAAAATCTGGGGTGACCGGCCTGAGAGGGAGGTCGGGGTCAGTAGGCACCGAGTTGAGGAGAAGTATGCCATGGGATTGGGACTGTTTGGATTGCCTCACTATCACGACGAACAGCTGTGCCGCAAGAGAAGTGGAATTTCACAGCGCTCGAGGCTTCCAGTCATCGGTCATTTTCTTCGGACATTATTTTTAACCGAGACACGGGTTTGTGTGTCCCCGAATGTGTCCACTATCTTGGTACGTCCACCATCATGGTATCTCCATTGTTTTGGTAGGTCCATGCTCTTTGTATACCTTTATGTCCATATTCCAGAGTCCGTTTTCGTCCTATTACGTGGGAAGATTGTCGACATTGACCTTCACACGAAAGCACTGCTTGTTTCTCGGTAGCGTCTCCATCGATCCTTTTTCCAAAGCCACAGACACTCTTCTGATCTGGTTCCCCACACTTATCACCGTAGTATGTGTGAGGTTCGAAAGTTCCGGAAATTGGAGTCTGAAATCTGCCCAAAGAATGGACTCGGTTTTCTGTCTTCCTGTAAAGATCACGGCCGCTTGTCGATGATGCGCAGCCCTATTGAATATCTTGCATTTGGGAGCATCTCTCCGATCATAGTCACAAAGAACAACGATATGGATAATTTGGCCTTCTATAGATCCTTGGAACAGCATTGCCAGTACCATCGGATATGCGGAAAATTTGTAGGGAGCAGGTCTAAGAAATACCTGGTCCGAATGATCCCACAAGGATTCGGGTACCGCGTCGATGAGCTGGAAATTATCCGCAGCCGGAACATGAATTGTCTCACGTCGAAAGATGTAAAAGGAGTTTCGGCGTATTATATCCCCGTCAATGAAGATATAGTAGTTGATAACAAATATCTTTCGCAGTCGTTGGATTTCTTCAAGGTTGAAATTCGCCAGTGGAAACTTGGCATCTCGGTAAAAGAGACCAGGGCTCACCTTGCGCAGGAATATGCCTCTACTTGTTGGGGAATTGCAAGAAGCATCGAATCCAAGGAGGAGAACATATCGGAGACTTTGAGTGCCGTCGGGTTTGGTGACAGAAGCGATTCTCATTGGAACGCTGCCAGATACCAATAGGCCTTTGTTGGTGACAGAGAAGTTCTCGAAGTCGTCGGAAAATGGTTGAATGTGAGAGCTATTGGCGAAAGCGCTAGCAGATTTGGCAAACAGGCGAACAGCTTTGCCTTCGTTTGGCTTGCAATCCCAGGCCAACACTGTCAAGTCGCTCCTATGCTTGATAATCTCTTCTTGCAGTCGACGGAAGGCTTTGCGACCCTCGCCGTAGATCAAGGGCATGTTGACGTCGAATATTCCCAGTAGGCAATATGCTCCATCTTCCGAACGAGTGGTTTTCCTGGAGGCAGCCCACGACATCTTCTGAGCTACAGAACAGTCTGTAAGTGGCGTTTCTCCGAGGATCACATCTTTCGGAATTCCAGTCGCTTTGGAGATAATGTCTGCATACTCGAGCTTTGTCCCTCGTTTGTTTCGCTCCGAATCGAAGAAGATAAGGCTTTTCGGAGCTAATAATTCTTGCAAGGTCCATCCTCGAGTCAACCAGCGACAACTGGACAATCCCTGTTCTACAGTAACCTGGGGCGAGAGGTCATCCAAGAAAGCATAGCACACGACGGCGTCCTGATACCATTGGAACATTGAATTGATCGATTCCGTGAGCTCTGCACTGCTCGTTTTGTTAATACAACAGGTGTCGACCCATGCATATTCTATGCCATTTTGACAGGCGAGATCGCAGGTCTGCACGATCTTAGAGTAGCCTTTCTTCTGTGACCGATCAGGCGAAGACATGTTTTGGAATGATACCTCGTCTTCACCCCACGTATGTGAGAGGATCGCATACTCGGGAATATCTGAAAAGAACTCATGGAAATCCAGAGTCGTTGTATGGATGAGCCTCATGGCTTTGAAAAGGAGGATGGGTTGGTGAGGCTGCGGCGGCGGGGGGATGGCACTACTTTACCTTTACGCGAAGGTTCTTCTAGACTAGCCGCTAACTCTGCCTCGCTGGGCTTGCATAAGGCGTCGAGGCTAACCTGGATGGTCACTGGTACGGGGCCGATAAAATTAGAGCCCTTCAGCCTCTTCAGCCTGACCGTCGATTTCACAGGCGTGTATCACTTAAAGTACTCTTGAATTGACATATAAGGAACGTGTCGACCAGACGATTCAGGTTATCCACTTGATCAGTGTGTTCAACGTACGTATACGGGCATGATGGTCAGGGCCAAAACCCTCCTCAATTATGAGCATTCGAGGTACAAATCCATTGTAGCCAACAGGGGAGTTTCAATTCCACAGCTCTTCTTTATTTGGCTGACGACAATGACGATTCATATGTCTTCCAAGAGTGCTCCTGTGCGTGGACATTTTTGAAATCCGCTCCGAGTGTGTCACAATCTTAAACAGCTCGCCGATGGATGCCGGTCCAATTCGCGATAGTGCAAAGGTTCAGGTCGGAGACTGAAGTTTCATAGCTGCAAGGCCTTTTTTGCAAGTCTATACCATCAGCCTTATCCTTTATTCCCCAAGTACTAACGAAGCCTCTCAGTCGTTGAAGGGATATGGTGCATGAGACGTATTCATACCAAAATTTGGGGCGCCTTAGCCAGCGCGGCTATCTTGGCCGTTTCAATGGTTACAGGTCATTGCTGAGCACCACGATGGAGGAAAGATTGAGGTCCGAAACGAAGCCCAGGGGCTGAGAGGCAGACTCCAAGTCCCATGCGTTGACAATCTTCTTAGACCCCCTATACAGGTCATACGTCAATGAGCAGTGCTGTTAACGATATAAAAGCGTCGAAATGCGCGAGATGCCTTGACACGAACCCAGCCCCACTAGTTCCGGGGGGGCTTTGCCTCTTGATTACTTGCAAATCATCATATCAGCTAGTCTGCCGATTACGCCAGACGAGAATCAACAATCACCTTGGACTCCGGACTTGGAGCATACTCCTTCCCGTCCTCCTCCATATCATGCACACCTACGCCGCCGGGACAGTTCTACCCCCTGGACGCAGATGACAAAGAGCTGGAGGGCGAATTTGACCAATACAGCTTACCATATGGTATCCTCGGCGCGACATCGCATATCCTGACCTGCTACAATATTCTGTGTCATTATTGTGGCCGCCACCCTTTACTGCCCTGGATGCGCTGAACAAGGACCTTTTAAACGTGGGCGCAGTGGTCATCTCCACTCTCTCCATCACCATTGTTGTCTTGGTACTCTCCCGGGTTAAAGAATCTCATGTTTTGGTAGTCCTTGCGACAATGCAGGTTATTTTCAGCCCAATGGTGGACGCCCTGAACGTACACCGTCTCTCAAGAAGCAGAAAGGGCTGATACGTGCCACGATGCTGTGGGCCACAATATTGTATAGCGTATTGTTCGCTTCAATCTATACGATTGCCCAGATGTCAAGCATGTCTGCATCATTCTGATTGAGACCAACCTTTTAGGAACATGCCAATAGCTTTTAAATAGAGCAAAAAGACTCATTGGTATCCTGTGGATCAATATGGTCTGTGGCTCAGGAGTAGTCGCCTTCGCTTCCTTCATTATTTGGGCCAAAAGGGAGTTCGCAGGAAGAACTCTGCGACTCTGCACGTTTTGGTTTTCTCGGGTGTCATCAGCAACCGTGCGTACCTTGCCGTCGGTGACCATGGCGTTGCTGTGTTGACGAGCAGCTCGGCCGGTATTCCCAGGGACTCAGTGAGCATGCTATACTATGCGTACTGGGTGGTTCAACGAACCCCCTTCCTCCCTTTCTAGGCATCATTGAGGCCTGTTGATACTTTGAACAATCGTGGCCGTTTTATAGGCGCCGTCTTTGGTGTCTTCGCATGAATCACACTTGATTGATCTTAGCAGAAAGATGCCATAGAGTCTATCCAAGGAATGTGACAGAATAGAAGAGATGGAGTAGAATGGTTTGCTCATCGAAAGAGTGTGTCTCTTTCCTTTCCTTAGTTCCCAATGAGATCATTGATATTGGAAAGGATATCTAGGTAAAGGGGCAATTCATTCGGCTTTTTTTGGTCGGGTGGTAGGCAAGACACAAAGGAACGAACTGTTGATCAAGACCGACATTCTTTTCGACCGGTGTCTTGTGCCGAACCTTCTCGAATGCTTTTTTTTTCCTTTAGGTGGGCCTCCAGTTCTTCACCAAGTGTACCAGATCGACAAATCATAGCACCGGCAGCCTCAGACCTCGACTGCTCATCAGTTCAAATCCATAAAATGCCATCTCCATGCGAAATGTATCCTGTCGTCATTGAAAATCACGAGATCATCGTGTTGTACGATAAACCCCCGATCGAATCTTTTTCCAAGTTTGTCGGTCTGTCAAGCACACCATCGGTTTTTCACGAAGGAATGGAGTCCCTACTCGAACGAGAGTCCTCGTACCGCGGTTCGATGACAAAGCCATTCAGGCCAACTGCCGAAAAGCCATTAGGATCCCACCATCAACAGCTCCACATTGTGGCTTCCGAGTCAATCACAGGCCCCGTGGCGTGGCATCCCATCGAAGACCATTGGGCTTGCGGGGGCTCAAGAAAAGGGGCCCGAAAGAGCTACGAGTCCTCACGCCATCCTTGCTTACAGCATCATCAATAAGAGGACCCTGGGTTCCAGTGATACAGGGCGGAATTTCTTCCAGCCTCGTTCAACATTTTGCGTGCTACCTTCCTGCAATTGCGCCGTGTCTGGGTCTTGGGTCTTGGGTCTCGATGATTTGAAACATTTGGTTAGAACCTGGAAGCGATCGAAATATGCATCTTCCCACCCCATCGCAAGCACTAAGATATTTAACCATCCGATCTCCTCGGGTGGTTTCGATATCTCTTTCGTCGTCCAGACATACATTCAACCAATCAGTCCCCAGTTTTACAACAATACCGCCAGCTCGACAGTTCAGCTCGTCTACGTCCAAAATGTCGTCCGCTGCATTCTTCGATGCCGTCAAGGCTCGCCGCACGTACTACGCTCTGTCGGCTGAGTCTCCCATCCCGGACTCCAAGATCCACGAAATTGTGAAGACAGCCATCCTCAACGTACCAAGCTCTTTCAACTCTCAATCCACGCGCGTGGTTGTTCTCCTCGGTGACCAACATCAAAAACTCTGGGGCGATATCGTCAAGCCGGCCGTCAAGGCCGTCGCGCCTGCCGACGCATGGCCTACGTCAGAGAAGAGGCTCGATGGTTTCAAAGCTGGTTACGGCACCATTTTATTTTACGAAGAACCCAAAGATATCGCCAAGCTACAAGAGACTTACCCATTGTATGCGGACAAGTTTCCTCAATGGAGTGAGCATACCAGTGCCATGCACCAATTTGTTTGTAAGAATCCCCATCTGCGACTTATTCGTTATCCAGTTCCCCTCTCAATTTCTGGTGAAGATGATGACTAATTCTTCTGCAATAATAGTGTGGACCGCTCTCGAACAAGAAGGCTTCGGCGCCAACCTTCAACATTACAACCCCTTGATCGACCAACAAATCTCTTCAACCTGGAAGGTCCCGGAAAACTGGAGCTTGAAGGCTCAACTCGTCTTCGGCAAGCCTGCTGGCACACCCTACGAAAAATCATTCAAACCCATCGAGGAGCGTGTATTCATCCATGGTGCCAAGAACTAGATATGAGAATCCTGGTCGCCTCCTGTACTTGACACGAGGCTGTGACCAATGTATAGAGTGAATGAGGACAGAGATGTAGTCGTAACCAAGAGAGCGTCAAGTTTCAATTGGCCCGCGGAACCGGACACGAATGCATGTATCTTTGATAGCGTTGAACGCCAAAATAATATGCAGCTTGACTGTAGCTGACGTCCCCTTTCCATCTAATGACTAGGGCTGACCTTGCCTGCATTGTCGATCTAGCTGATCAATACTGTCTCCATCAATCACAAGTTAGAAAACAGGCACCGTACGAGCCATACGCACCTCCTTCGTTGAGATGCTGCGGTCGCCACCGTTCTTGGGTAAATGACATTCATGAGAGGACTTAAGCCGCGAAGGCTCCCCATTTATCCCATTGTCAATCTTGTTCACAACATCATGAAAGTCTCTTCGTCTTTGTCATTGAATAGGAGCTCAAGTCAACCTCCAGGATTCCCATAACCTGTCCTTCCAGTCCATATGATATTTTATACCCGTCCCTAACCAGAGCTCCAGCTAATCTGGAGTCACCCCATCCTCAACCCTAGCCATATACGTCCAATGTTTGGGTACCCTCAATTTCTTCATATCCTTTAAACTTCAGCTGCACAAATTTTCTCTGAATGGCGATTAGCAGCCGGCTACTCTGTATCTTCTCTGGCGCTCTGACATCAAACCACCAACGCAACAAAGGGCAGGGTGCAACGATCTAGTTCCTCACGACCCTCACAGCAGACATTCTCCCCGTCTCGCTGGTTCAGATGGAAGCCAACGACGCGGATCTGGAGACAGTGGTTTCAATCCTATTCCTGGGCAGAATTGCCTCGAGTATTTTGGTTGCGGTAGTTCCTGTTGCTATCTTCTAGTTCTTTCAATCGATCATCGTCTGATTTTGATGTGCTCTCCAGCTTCTTTTCATGTCCTCTGGGACAAATCATCTGTCTTTGTCGGTATGCTTTCTGAGCGATACAGTTTCGTTGCTTCCTGCTTGGTTTCGATCTTGTAAATATATGGAAGACACACTCGTTGCTTCGTCACCCGCTCCGATCCGAAGACTCAGTCTTCCTTTTCCGCTTCAGAATTGTACCCATGCTGACCAGATGTTTTGAGTATATTGCACCAAGGCAAGGCACAAGCTCAATAAGAAGTATGTGAGAGGAGGATTGTCATATGCTTCCCTCAGACTGGTGTTTGCCTCAATGGTTTCCACGAGATGAATATAAGCGAAGTCGGTAGTCGGTTCTCGGATCTAGGTTGCTCCAGCCTTTGTAATTCCCACATCTCGGAAGACGTATAACGATTGACGGCGGTAAGGTCCTTCCAATCCTCCTCTAAGGGCTCCATAGTTCTGAATGGTCCATTGGGGGTACCCGGGATGGGCTAGACAAGGCGTGAAAGGGTCAAACACCTTCCGTGTCAGGATATTCTGTCTCAGTACTTCGGTTTGAACCTTCCCCAGGATTCACCCTCCATCCCCGGGTCTGCACGTTCTCTTTGACTTTCTGACTTCGGAGATAAAAAGGCCAGGATAACAGTTGGCGTCCTTGCGTCAGGCTTTGGTCATAAGGTTCGTTTTCCACCATCAGAGGCACTTGATTAACTGGTAAGCAACGAAAAGAACGCAACAAGCAGAGATTCTCTAGCTGCTAAGAGTGATGAACACCTTTTCATAGCATATACCAGACGACAGGCTGAAGTGACTCCAGAAAGGAGAATGGAATCCCAGAGCTGCGCAAGTAGTTGAAAACTGGCAGTGACGGTTTGACACAGCTTTGTCTACAATGCGAGAAATATGTCATGTCATCCTTGCGAGCCCTGAGCTCCTAGACGGTCTCATCTAGTGACCCTGTATTCCCCTTCAACCTATCTTAGCTCATCCCACTAATTCAAGACATTCCGGTCCATATCATCACTACTCCGATCACACCTCCCTTGTCACCGCGCTTCAGGGCGTCGATGTGCTCCTCATCTGCATCTGGGGCCGACGCCGAGACGCTCGTCTCATTCCAAAAGGCTCTCGTTGTTGCCGCGGAGGAAGCGGGCGTCAAACGCTTCGTGCCCTCCGAATGGCCCGTCATCTTCTACGGCACTGTCAAATATTACGGCATGAGGTCCGTGGTGTGGGAGGAGGCACGTCCCAAGCCCCGCCTGGAATGCACTCGGTTCCAGAACGGCGTCTGGACTAATAAGTCGTGACCCAGCGCGGTTAAGGACGCCGATGAAGCGACGTCTGTTTACGACAGGCCGCCGTTCACGGTGGAACATCGGCATGCGCAGCGCCCGGCTTGCTGTTGACGGTGCGGGAAAAGTTGCTTCACCCGCATGCAAGATGCCGCGGCACACGTGGTCAAAGCACTCGACGTGCCAAAGAGGAATAGCGACACGTACATCGTCGGTGACGGTGTTAGCTACAAGGACATCGCGGAGATCGCGGAGGAGGTCACGGACGAGGAGTTCGCAGTCCAGTTATAGCGGTGAAGAGGATATTGAGAAAGAGGCTGAAAAGTGGTGACGTCTTCGTGCCCTTTTTTTGTGCAATTTGAGAAGGCGATTAGTCGTGGGGAATTGGAATTTGGGACGGATGATGGTATCATTTCAGTTGGATATGAAATTTCCGAAGGTCAGGTGCGATGATTGTGCGAGATTTAATAACTAGATGTCTCGGAAAGTGAGGATGGGATATCGTGTCAGAGCGGTGGAAAGGGTAACGAGGCCCTGCATATGGCGGCAAAGGGGATGAGTTCCGGCGAGAAAAGGATCCGAGATGCTCAGCAAGGTGAGCTGAACTGGAGGGAGACGTAACAGCGATTCGCGATCAATGGATAAACGTCGTAGCGGGTATTGAGTTCTCATTTCGGATTTCTATCATAAATATCGTTGCCTCATTATCTCAGGGCCCCTGATCAATTTATCCAGAAAGGGCCCAAACGCGGAGCTGCAGGTGACATGATATCTCAGCTCACTATCCACTCTTTCCACCAGAAGATCATCCGACAAGCACGCGAGAGCGTTAACCACCCTATGAAGCGATGCACGCCGCTGACGCCAGTGTTCTCAACTCTGAGACTTGATCTCAAAGCTCATCCTTGGGCGGACTCACACTCGCATTTCCTCCGCCCACAGTGACGGTGAACAGCTTTGGATCTCCTGCATGGACCTCTCCGCTTTGATCTGGTCCACCACTGGGTTGAACATCGTCATAGGGAAAAGCATATCCTTTGCCGTCCAGGTTGGCCTGATGCACGATCCGAGAATAATGGTTCGTAATGGGGTCTTTGTAATAAAGGCTCTTATCTGCAGGGAAAGAATCCGCCACGACCAAGGTTGATCGGTTGAAAGCTGCGGCGAGCCGGGGGATAATGGTGTTGGTTTCTGCATTTGCTCCAGTAGCGAAGGGGCCGGTGGAACAGGAGAAGATGTCGCGCGTAGAGGGTTTGGTGAATTGCGATCCGCCAAATGAGAGGGTGCCCGAGGCAACTTGGGCCGATACAGTGCCAAAAGACGCCTGTGTGTCAATTGACATTGACTGAGAGGAGTATTTGGCCCAGACTTTGTTCACGTAGTCGTCGTAGTAATTCGCAAAGAGGGTCGGGTTTGTGACCATGCCTTGATTCGGTGAAAGGGCACGCAGATTGCGGCCATTGTGTGATACTATCAGCTGATCCCAGCCTTGGCCGTCTGCAGCATGTTGGGCCAGTAGACCGTTGCAAACTTGATCAAGTCCGTTGGGGGGCATGCCGGAGACATGTTGGGTTGCGCCGCCGAGTGTTGTCAGTGTCAGCGCAACGGGGAGGCCGACAAAGTCGACATAACTTATGTTTGCATATAATTGATCACTATTGAACGTGAATTCAGCAAAGGCCCAGTTGATATTGATATTGGGGTCGGAATAGTTGGTCACCGATGGTTCCACCAATGCAGGTCCTGGGTTGAGGAGAAACGTCAAGGGCGAATCAATCGAGAACCAGATTCGGCCACCAGCAATGTGAGGCACCGTCACGGTGACGCTATTTCCTGGAGCGCCCAAGGGAATGGCACAGTTTTGCGGGATTTGGGAGCCGATGGCACTTGGAGAAGTGGGATAAAATGGGGTCTTCCCGTCCGCCAGCAGGAGAAACAGCGCATTGTTGTTATCGATGGCTCTCCCCGTGATGTAGGCATAAGCGATCCGTGATGTGGTTTGGTTTTGCAATGCGATGTTCAGTGTGGTGCCCATGGCTGTAGGTTGGGGTGCCGCCGTTTGTTGAGACGCGGGAGAATGGGTAGGAGTGGAAGATGAAGTCTTGCCGGTTTTTCCGCGTTGGAAGATCCGGACCAGGCGCTTCATAATGAAATAAATTCGCAGGTATCCAAAAGAGGAGCTATTCAATGATCTAGTGCTGAACTTTTTCATCAACGGACAAGTGGGATTTGAGACACTGACCTGGAATTTTAAGTTCTCCTCTGCCAGGATAAGGATATTTTCGACGTCATCTGCATTTGGTCAGTGAAAGAAACTCATCATGCCTTGCGGTCTTCTGATCCTAATTTGCTGGTTTCCAAACATGTTGGCGAGAATAGCTTCTGTTTCAGAGGTTGGTGTCTGTGCCATCACCTCAAAACCCTGTACAATTAAGGGACGTGGGCACGCACCGGGGTTTGGCGCGGCACGTTTGACAGGGTCTGGTTTCCATTCATTGGTTGCGTACCTGACGAAAGGCTCCAAAGGGCGGCGCGGACGATCAGGATTTCATAAGTCGCCTGATTCCTGGGCTGAAAATCAAGCCCTGCAGTTCTGGATATTCCTATTAGGTAGTTCGGCAGACATCACGTAACTCGTGACGTGGCCACCTGCTCCAGTGGTCACAACACAGAACGTCCTGCAGAAACTTCTGTCAAAGCTGAGAGATTCCAAGTTTGGCTGATCTAGTATGGAACTCCAAACCAGAAAACTTGCGTTGATTTATTAAGTGCTTGTAATAGCCAGTGCACGTGATGCCATCACGTGGTACCACGTGAAGGCCGACCCTGCGTGTAGTTGAAGTGCGACGAGGATTCTCGAGCAAAAAGTGGTAATTTGAAGAGCAACCGCTCGTACTCTACTTGACCAATTCCCTCTCCTCTGTCTCTTATCACTTACATTCATCTAGTAACTCCTCCTTCGACAACTATGCCACAAGATGTCGGTCGATATTGGATGGGAAGCCATCACTTCAGGCCCGGATGGCGTCGCCCTTGCTGAGAAGGTTCGAGCCTTCGTCCACCAGAAATTCCAGCAGATCCCACTCCCTCGCTTCATCAATGCGGTCTATGTCCATTCGTTTGAATTCGGAAGAACAGCTCCGGAGATCGAGATCAAAGATATTTGCGACCCCTTGCCTGACTTCTACGACGACGAGGACGGAGACGGCGCTCGTGAACATTCCACCGTACCTGCCCCGGATTCAGCAAGCGGAGCTATGCAACCGGCCAACTATCATCACTCAAACCCAGCATTCCCTTCTTCTTACCAGCCATCACATGGGGCGCAATTATCCAATATACTCACGGGTCCCGACCGTTCTGATGGACAGATTCCCACATCTACCAAAGAGTTTCTTAGCACAAGCGCTAACCCTCTCGCCGACCCATTCCCTCGAAGTGCCACCCCTGGAATACCAGGAGGCACCTCCAATCTCAGCTACCTTCACTTTCCCGGCGGTGGCCTTTCTGGAACTCAGACTCCGCTCGCGGCAGTTGCAAGCGGCACTCCTTTCAGTCCCCGGCGGTGGTCTCACAATGTGGCGCACTCATTTATGACACCGGACCACGCAGCTCCATCGACACCAATACAAACGCGGCAATTGGTTCGGGAAGCTGCCGGTCATGATGACCCTTCCACCAGGCCTTCCACCGCAAACAGCATTTCATCTCCACACGAATCCGATTCTGGACTATCATCACCTAGGCTGCCGCAGAGCTCCTATCCCGAAAATGGTGGAGACGGTCCTGCTGTTGAGGTGATGACTCCACTATCTCCGTTGAGGCTTCAAAGCAGAAATCCATCAGACCTTCAGGTGGTCGCAAGGGTGAAATATTCTGGGGACGTGCGGATGACCCTCACGGCCGACATTCTCCTCGATTACCCCATGCCAAGTTTTGTTGGTATCCCTCTTAGGTTGGCCATCACCGGCATGACCTTTGACGGCGTTGCGATAGTGGCATGGATCAAAAGGAAGGTGCACTTCTGTTTCTTGGATCCTGAAGATGCCTCTGCTCTAGTAGGAGACACCGACTCAGTTGGCCCAACCGGAGAGAAGGGTAGCATAGATGCTTCGAGATCTACATTGCTGGGCTTGTTGCGAGAAATCCACGTGGAAAGTGAGATTGGACGACAAGAAGATGGTAAACAAGCTCTGAAAAATGTGGGAAAAGTAGAAAAATTCGTCCTCGAACAGGTCAGAAAGATCTTCGAGGAAGAGTTCGTCTTCCCTAGTTACTGGACTTTCCTGGTATGACGTCGCAAACATTCAGAAATTACCACTGGTAGGACAAGCCATGTGGAATCGGCTCGGAGCTCATGTGGGCGCTCAACCAAACCGTACGGCTTTGCAAACCACCGGGGAGATAACTCGCTTGTCAGACGTAATCTGAACAAGGTTACAGGCTAGGGAACTGGAGAGATCGCTCTGCGGACTATAAGGATCAATGGCAGAAATAAGGGAGGTTCAGCTGTCGGACTGAAATAACAAAGAGAGAATTGAATCCTCGATGGAATAGATCCTGAGATTGCATTAGAGCTTCCTCAGATCCTCGACTGCTGAATACTCTTGAACGTAACCCGGCCATCCTTGATCTCCCACACAGTGACCGGCACCCTGACCTTGACACTCTCCTCACCCGGTAAGTTCATGGGCGCAGAGAATCCGGCGACATACGCCACCGCAGCCTTGCATGTAGGACAGGACCATTTGCTTCTAGACTGCGGTTCGGCGGAGGTGATAGCCCCTGTCAAGGATGATGGGTCCATTTCTCGGACACAGGTGTTGCAGAATTGGTAGCGCAGAAATAAGAGCTTGAATTCATACCAAGATCGTTTCCATCAACATAAAGCGCCAATTGCAAGGCGCAAAGGCATTGGCATCATATAAAGAGATATGTCTGAAAGATAAATAATGGATGGTCTGCTGGCGGCCACATGAGACAGGGGACAATATGTGTAGCTCTGTCTAGGATTGGATCGTATTCAGCCTTCCAAATGCGGACTGATGTTAATTGAGAAGTCCATGTCAACCTCCTATGCTTTTAACCACCGTATAGTATTCTCGAAGCCTTCGCTTGATCTTCACGTCTCCTTTTGGTTTGATAACGCTCAGGGGAATTTTTTGTCGTCTCACGGAGGTAGTTTGATCGGCGCCCCATCAGAGCAGAAAGGTGCCGGCCGCTCCAAGCGGGGACAAGATGCTCACAGGCAACCCGGCGGAAGTAGCGACCTTAGTTGGCTCCATATTCTGGCCCTTTTGTACTACGCTGGCGGGCATCAATGACGGCAGCGACGTCGAACAGATAATGATCAGGTGCCGAATTCAGCAGACATTCGAGCTCTCTTTCTTGATGCCGATGAGTTGCACCCTCTGGCATCAGATGCAGGCATGATTGAATAAAGGAAGGAAACTTTTGGACATGCTAAGAGGTAGATCGCAGTGAGATAATAGTGTGTAAAGTGGATTAGATGTTGGAGCATCTGGTTTGCCTTTAAGAGCCTCCAGCGAGCGGAAGCAGGAAGTCCGTTGTAGGGGGGGCACAGTCCATCTGGCCAGGCGATCAACCCCCAGAACTTCTTTAGGTGGCCGAGATGGACCACAGGGCGGCGAGCGAGTTTGTCCAAACCTTGGCATCGAAACTGAAAGGTCACCCACCTCGCGTACATGTACCTATTTCCCAGGTACTTATCACTAACTGGCAAGTATTAGAGGTACATCCTCGCATGTCCCAGTTTCAGCCTCATCTACGCCAAATCCTCATGAGAGAAATGTGGTTTTGAGCCAATACAACGCTCGAAAGGTCTCGTAAGTCGACCCGAAAGCATCATATTCAAGAATATTGTCTCGCGATCAATGTGAAGTTGGTGCACTAAGGGCCACTACCCAGACAGTTCAACGAAGCCCGCCCAAGCCGGCCAAAATCGGGGTTCCAAAATATGCGAGTCCAAGCAAGTAAAGTCTCTTTCAACACTGCTCTGAAGAGGTACTCGTGATTTGGGGCGCTAAGGACGGTCAACCCATGAAGTCAAGGTGGATGCCTGATTCGTGAAGGGTAGCTTACACGACTTCGACGTGACCTCGCCATGGTCTTCACATCTCACAAACCTCACTTCGATTTCCTTCTTATCAGGCATGTGGTTGGGTTGTTCTCGTTTGGAGCAGGTGCTGGTTTCAACTTTTGGGCACCCTCCATTTCGACCGATGCAGTCGGGGTACCAATATGTTATGATCGTACACATGGAGAAGAAAACAACTGCCGCAGCGCACTTGGTGCCGTTCGAACTCTTAAGCCACAGCTCAGGCTGGGAAGGTGTGGTTATTTGTGGGAGGCAATAAATCGTGGGAAAAAGCGAAAATATCCATGCAGAAGTAGTTGAAGGCTGACAGGGATCGGGTTGTGCGAGAGAGGATGCAGACCGGCGTACAGCTCTTTTATGAGCAACGTTGACGTTGGAAGGTCGCTTTCTGAACGGGTAGCTTTCGTCTAGGCAACTGGGAGGGGTTGTCAGGACTCAACCCCATCACGATTGATTCGGTTCATGCGGAGCTTTTGGATTGAATGACCGGTGTTGGGTGAAATGGTCGAAAGCCCCCAGGTAGCTCGCAGCTAACCTTGATATTTGGCGATTGAAGCGCAGCAGACACCTCGTCATCACGCCACTAGAATCATCGTTCTATCCCAATACGGAGGGTGCGCCTGTATCTCGACGAGCTCGCATTGATGAATCATGAGGACAGACACGCAGAAGGGCCGATCCTTACGTCCGATCTCCGGTTTCGTGACAAACTGGCCCTATTTGAATGGATTGGATAGGCCAGTGGCTTTGAAAGATGGTGTGCTGCCCGTTAAGTAAAGCACCAACCAAATAATCACGGGTTTGCCGTTTGATGTGCGGCCTATGCACATTTGGCCGGGCTGTGTAGGAGCGTCCAATCTTGTTGATTCTCTGCTTGGAGGTATGCCAGGATCGTCACGGTCCGGATATGCAAACACGCCCCCTCCCCCAGTCTGCGCATGGCAGCAAGTGGCGCTTCTCAGGAGAAAGTCTCGTAGAAAGCTATGTGGCAACCCTTGCAATCATGGCTGTACGACGAGGACCGTAGGCAGCCGGAAACTCAGATCGACGGATCAGATGCACTTCAGACGACCGGTAGTATTGCTGGAATCAGAGAATGGGAATTAGATCGATGGAATTCAATTTATGTTCAACTTGGCGGCATTGCAGAATCGATAGTGCCATTTTCAAGGAGGATTCACCAAACCAGGCCATGGGGTTCACAGGCTGTCACAGCGGTCGCATTATCTTAGCTTCGTTCGGACAAATATCCGAATATCCGCCTATGGCTTGACCTGCAAAGGTAGACTCAGGGGTATGCAGCGTAACGACCATCAGATAGAAGGATTGAGGACTCAACAAGTGTCGCGTGAGTAAACACGTGGATATCGAAATCGATGAGGGTTGTATGGGGGTTAGCTGCTTCAAATGGAGTGGAAGTCTTCGTCCAGGTCCCTGTAGGTCCCTGTTTGTCCCTGCTCTCCGTCTAGCTATTTTGCTTGAATGCAATGGAGACAGAGTTAGAGAGATTTGAAACCGGAGATTGAGTTGTGTTCAGAGAGAAAATGGGAATCTCAGCCGAAATGTTGAGAGAGGAATGCCAAGCTTTGTGGACGATCGTATTGGGACTAGCGCCGCATCACTGCCAAGCCCACAGATCTTTAGGGGCTCAACCTGAATTTTGCGAAATGAATGCCAGAGACAAGGAGGCCATTTTTTCCTTTTTCTCTTATCATCTTTCATGCAGGCATCCCATCCTCGTGTATAAAGGCAAGTTATCCTTGGTTGTAGACAGAGCCGCAAGTGCTTTGAAAGCATTCTTCTAGTCCCATTCTTCTCAGGTAAGCATGTTCCCCGGTCTCTTCGACTCCGGGTTCCAGAAGCCTCGGTACAAGAACCACAGATCCACACTCGGACCGAAGGACACTCGAGCACACACACGTCCGTGTTGAGGAGGATTCAGGACTGCTATCTAATAGCGAAAGGCATCAGGCACCCGAAACTCGAGACCTCACCAAGCGTGCTGCGAAAGAGTTTTGGTCCAGTCCTCTTCCGCTCCTTTCCGTGCTCTGTGTCTCGCCCAATACACATCTCAAGGTAATTGGCACGCCTTGGTTCTCGTATCCCCAGCTTGATGGTGCAGAATGCCAAAGTGGGAGCCATAAGCCAGGCTGCCTTCTGGCCCATGCCACGTGTTCGACAGTCTACTCGAGAAAGCACATGCTTGTCGCTAAGCTTACAAAGTTCTATTATCAACAGATTCACAAACAGCCAACCGTGACAGCCGGCATACTCCAAGTCCCAGAGCTCAGGGCTGCCATTCTGCCAGGTCTGTGCATCACTATCGACGAAGAAAATTCAATTCCGGTGCCATGATAATCATACCACCCTAGCCGAGGTTAGTCACGGCCTAGGCCGGCTTACCTCTCCCAGTCTTCCTGGTATCCCACCAGTGACGTCTTTTCATCTCCAACATGGCCACTTTCGACCATGCTTGCCTCGCCAAACCATATTCAAGAACCACCATTCATGTTTACCGGTTTTGTCCGTGATTGGCAAGGATTCAATTCGTCCTCTATACATCTCGACTTCTCAAAAATCATGGCAAGCCGGGACGCTTACGGGACCGAATGATGTTGACTCGTGTTCTCCGATCTAGTTCATCGGCATCGCAAAGTGGAATGGATCACGGCAGAATTCTATAAGAACTACCCAAGACCCCAAACGAGACCCCCCGAGTTCTCGTTCCCAGGTCGACCCAAACCTCCAGCCCTCACTTCCCTTTCCCCGCCCGAAAGTTCTGGATTACATCTGCCTTACAATTTCTTCCAATTTCTCTGCCGTCCGTCATAAGGGTCACAAAAGCCGCAGAAAACATCAGTCCAGGGCAGACTTTAGATCCGACCCCGTGACTTCCGCATCGCCGAGCCAACGCCAACATCCCATCTCATCAATAATCAGCTGGCCCTTGCGTCATTTGAAGACGAGGGATCCTTATAAAGCACCATTCGAGGACTTTTTTCTGTGCCTCCGGACCATCAGATCTTTTTTACTACTTCCTCTCCTCCTCCTCAACCGTCTCTCCACGTAGAATTCCGACTTCACTCCCCAGCTTTCCCTCGTTACCACTTCGTACCAATTACCAGCTCCAAGGCAAGCGAAAATGTCCAGCTCAACCAACAACTTCCTCCCTCTCATCCCGGCCGCCCACCGTGTGGCTGTCATCTCTTCCCTCGACAATGCCGCCAATGATGTGTCTGTCATTCCCGCACTCCAGAAGACCCGTCGTTCCAGCTCCACCGCAACCGCCGACTCGAACGATGCCGCTGAAGAACCTGTCCTCCCATCCGAGACTGTCGATCCTATTGTCGAGTCACCCACCGAGGCCGTCAATGTTCGAGTCAACGCCGCACAGCCCGAACACCGATTCTTGAAGTTGGGCTACTAAACCGATCAACGTTGGTTCTTTGGACATGGATCTCTTATCTTGACGGACCATTCGACAAACATTTATTTCTTTCTCCTTTTCCGGCTTTACTTTCTACCCATCCCACTGCTGGGGACTGCCATATTATACGAGGCCGATGATGTGTGTTACCATCAATTACGAAAAATTTTTTTTTTTTTTCTTTCGATTTATACCGCCACCACCGACGTCGGGGTTTCTTTATGTTCGCCAACTACGACTTGCGCAGAGGTAACACAGTTAACCACTCTGGGATGTTCATGCGAGGAATTACTTGATTGTACGAATGGAGTTATAACTAAGTCATGTTCACTTTGTCGTTGGGAAGGGAATGGCTGAGCAGTCCGCGCCCTTGTGTTGTGAGACGCCTCTGTCAAAGCAGACAGCAAGATCCTCGGAATGAGGATTTGTGTTCTTTCAGAATGAAATGGAACGGATTTCGGAGGAATGGGAACGGGAATGGAAATGGAAGTGGAAATGGGACCTGACGCTTGTGCGCAGTGTACGTCTGCGTCCGCAGCACCTCGTCCTTCAAAAAGGCGCTAGAAAATGATGAGATCAGGGATCTAGTGGGGCAAGTACTGAATACCTACTGCGGGACACTTGGTTGTTGACACCTGGCCCTCACACTGTCTACAAATTGTCTCCAATGATCTTCTTGCTAATTGCTTCATGCACACCAATCTTGCCCATTGTTGATAAGATCTGTACTCCTTGCTTTAGCCTCGTTTCTGATCTGACTCCTCGTTTGTGTGGTCGGCTCCGACAGTACGTATCTGACCTTGTGTGCAAATCATTGGTTGTGACAACGCCCATTCTTGGAGGGGCTTTCAGCTTTTATTTCTTCTCCGTGGCCCATGCAGGTGGTCGAGTGGTGATACCTCACCGCCGTTTCACACCTGTCCGTTTGATGAAAAGATCATCTCTAAAAACACGAAACGCCAGGACGATCATACATATGAAAGGACTCCGACCGGATCGGGAACATAAGAGTTGCCCCGGCCGGTCGAGATCATCCCGTCTCTTCCCCGTGGCCCGAGGCGGGTTCCAGCCAAGGCTCTTACTTCCGAATTGGGGCCGGACAAGTTGAGTTGGATGTTGAACGATCTGTTCAATTCTGTTTCCCACATACTATTGCTGCAGCTCAACTCAATTCAACTACATATCTCCTTCCTCACCCATGAACCAAATTTTCAAGATCACGACTTTCGCGGGTACCAGGTTTTCGTGGCCGTGTCTGCACATTTTGACTCCAAAGTTCCTTGCAGTCTAGAACGAACATGCCGCCCCAGATTCCCAAATCCAGTCATGGTCGAAACTCAAACTTCCAACATTTACTCGCCGCCGTGAATATTTCCAGTTGGTCTCGACCCTGATGCCTTTAAGGATTCCTTCCGAAGCGTCCCTATTCGTAGGGTTGAAAGCCGGAAGGCGCCGACGACAAGGATTCTCCACGAAGCGCCCATATAGTTCCGGTCCTTATTCATTCCTCCTCATTCAACACGAGTCCACTGTTGTCAGACCACTTCACTCCTTCGTTGCGTCACGATGAAATGTTCTAACGCAAGGGAAAACAAGAGAAGTCCACGAGTGAGGATCTCTGTCTGATACATTTCGTCTTTGCACGGTAGGGAAACACTTTGACATGGTGAATTCTGCGCTCCGAGTCCACCATTACCACGGCGTGTGAGTTAGAGTCGGAGACCGTGAAAGCATTGCCAGCACCAACTAAACAACGTTGATCTCTACTGGCTTCATTTCTCCGGCCTCCATCTGGGCGAGAATATCTGTAAGAGATTTTGACATGATCGGCTCCATTCGGACCATATCCTCGCTCTTGCCTTGGACCGTTGACATTCGGCCGATGCTATAACCAAGGCTCCCTCGGGGCGAGACATTGTCGCTTACCACGGTAAACACTACCAGGACTTTCCCGATAAGTGGCGGCAGCTATGATGAATAAGAGATTTGTGTCGTGGCGCAGGGTGCGAGGCCGAACGGGCCCGTAAAATCCAATCTTGTCTCCTTCTAATGAAACAAAAGTAGTCATTCATTAATATCTGGATATTTCATCCCAACCTGGTCATTGGAAACATTTTGGTGATCAAAATTTTGAAGATTTTGAGTGAAGATGTTTCTCTTTCTCTTGCAAATATAAAACAGAGCAGATGATTACTTTTGTTGCCATCCACCCACATCTGGAGCTGATCGAGTCCGTGAACCTAGATCGTCATTTTGTTGGTACATTTCAAGGTCATCAAATTGGAAATCCTGTTCGAACCACTGTAGAATGTCGATGTCGCTCATTAGGGAATCACTCATGTCGTGTTGTAAGAATGGGGGAACAGTTGATTGAAGATTAGGTGCCAGCGGGGCATCTAGGTGTTGCTGCTGCCTGGAACTGGAGGCATTGCTGGTAAGATCGATGGAGAAACTATTGAGATCGCTGGGCGGCATATATATTTGCTCCCCGTGGGTGGGGGGAGGATGAGATTGGCCTGTTGCAAGTAACGGAGGTGCCGCAAGACTTTCGGGTTGTCTCGTGTCGACGTCGGGATTCTGTTGGGGATGTCCACAGACGATCGTCGAAGGATCCGTGTCCTGAGCTCTGATCTGTTTCAAGACCATACCAAATGCCCGCGCGACTTGAGAGTGGTTTGCTTCGTGGATCTTGGAGAGCAACGCAATCAGAGAATCCATGTAATCTTCAAACTTCAGGTCTTTGATATCGATGGGGATTTGTCCCTTGACGAGCGTTTGAGTTTCACATATGCTCAGCAGCTTTCGAAGGGCTCGCGCCGCATAGCCGGTGCGAACGAAGAATAGGTTAGGCAAGGTGCACAAGGTGGCGAATTCCATGGAGAGCATGGCATCGAAGACCTTGTGAATTGCAGAGAGACAAGCAAAGAGTGATTCGATTCTGGCCGGCAGAAAGTGTAAATCGTTGAGGGAGGAGGTAATGACTTCCACCCCTCCCGGTTTCACTGCAACGGGACGAATGGGTGCACGGAGTTCGTCTATGTTGTGTTCTGAATGCAACGCTATCTCGTGGATGAAGAGGTCTGCACTAGCCTCGACATGACGAACATAGGCTTATCAAAGAAATCCGGTCAGCCTCCACGGTCAGTCCAATTTCGGGAAAAGCAAAATGAACTCACGTTGTGTCAGGTCTGTTTTAGCATATCGACGCCAATGTTCCAAACGGTGACGGAAACTCCCAATCTGATATTGGGTCTTGACATCTCGAAGGGTCACAATCGAGCCGGGGTCATCCATGGAGAAGACAATTGAAGCATCTTCTGCGATATGTTGGATACGAATCAAATCGCATAGCCATACATCGCTGGGTAGCGCCGGCGGTTCAGATGAAAGAACATCGAGACATTCTTCGACGTATACAGACCAGCGGAGGAAGGCAGGATGACGAAGGGACATGGATACACTGCAAGAAGGCTCATTAGTCGTCACGCGAAGAGGCCCTGCATGGAACGGACCTTGTCGCCATGTAGTAACATCCCAACCAAGCCCTCCTTCCTGCGAGCGATTCGAGCTGATGGGGCTCGGTTCGATGGGTTGATGTGGGCTTGTGAGGCCGTCTCCCTAGGCCGATGTCCAAAGCCATGGTGCTGGCGATATGCACGAGTTGGTTGAAATTCAACTCCCGCATGTGTTTGGCCCTGATATAAAACGAAATGTGAACCAGCAGAGTTTGAACGAGTTCAAGAGATCTTTCGCCGCGGTACATGATCCGCAAGGCTAAATCCTTGGTAAGCATGTCACCGAGGCCTCCATCCATACGTGCATTTATCGAGGTAAGGGCGGCGGCAACGATAGCGAAGAAGAGGGTAGGCTGTTGTTCGCTGACCGTCTTAGCGTCGGAGGTGGGTGGAAATACCACAAAAGGGAAATATTGACACATTTTACGCCGGTAGCGATCAAAAGCTTTACACGCCGTCTTCCAATCCAGAAGGCCGTGGTTGAGAGCGTCCTCAATCAAAGTCTGCGAGGGGCCTGGTGCAAGATCACCCGGAATAGAACCGTCGGTTTGTGCAGACGGCGGTGATGGATCTCCAGATCCGCTGGAGTCGTTTGCGGCGAGGAGGGCAGTAAGGGTATTGATCTTGCGCTCGAGATCTGCCACCCTTTCCGTTGTCTTGCGCTTTCTCCGGCGAGGAATCGCTTGCATAATGCATTGGCGCCGGGCTCTGATGCAGAGTTTGCAGGCGTTTCCCAAAGCCTCATCGACTTCACAACGGGTTTTCATCCGTCGGCAAGCCACACAAGCTCTACTAGACCTGATCTTTTTGGCGTTTGGAGCACTGGTCTGCTGATTCTGGGTGGCCTCTTCGTTCTCATCGCTCACATCGCTATGGTTCTCAGGATCCTCAACATGCTCCATATTAGCATGGGCGATTCAATTCGGCAGTCTTCGTGGATATTTATTTCATTCGGTGGTGTTAATCCATTGACTCTCGGCGCGGTTAGAAGGTGGTATAGACACCGATTGTTGCAACCCTGAGGATCGAGATCTCCTGAGTAGCGAGTGTGTACAAACAAGGGGGACACCCCCGCATGGTCATCAAAGTTGCTGCCTTCGGTTATTTTGTTTTTCCGGATTCCGCATCGCCAAACGGCTGCTGGACGCTGAACAAGAGTCGTTCGATTCACAAATGTTGTTACATGATAAGATGCTCAAATTTTTAGGTGCACATTTGGTTTCATACTTTTTCATATATCCTCTGAGCCCTCTCTGCCATCAGCAAGGTTGCTCCCCCACTTTCGTCGCCACAGACCATTTCTAGTAGGACACCACTACCGACCACGAACATGACGCACGTCAACAAGGTTAATACCCAGCCAGCGCAGATTCGGTTGGTCAACGGTTCGACGACTGGCCGTGCCTCCTGCTCCCAACAAGCATCGAACAAGGCTCAGTGTTGCCATTGCTAAAGCACTTGGACTGTGATGCATGTCCAGGAGAACATCGAAGCCACGCTGTTGATGGAAATTACTGGCCAACAAAGAACAGAGGGATCGATCGTGGGAACAGAAATGTGAACGCCCGGATCAATTGTCCAGCCGAATACCAACACCGAAACACCGTCGAGTCCACTCCACACTCCGGTGTTCAATCGGGCGTTTTTAATCGGTACCTGTTTCCCAACCAAGGAATGACAACGCTCAGAAGCGAATTCGCAACTTCGACTACACGGGGGCAATTTGGAGCCGCAGACATCCACCGATTTGCCCATGGGCCACGTGTCCGGAAGGTGACCACGTCTAATAACTCTCTGGGGCTAAGTCTTGAGGTGCGCGCTTCTGCTAGGAGGTGACTCTTCAAGACTGTCTTGGATTTGTTGAAATGGCCTCAAGGCGATTTCTGGGATTGTCTTGGGACGTGTTGATCTTGACTTGGACGTTGCCTCCGTTGCACTCTGTGATTTCACGAGGCAAGATCGGCGATTCGTATCAATTCCGAGAAGTCGAGTTCCAAGGTTTGCCGCTGACTTGAAATCTCAATGGCTGTCAGAGAGTAAACTTCATCAGTAGGAGTTCTCGTGAAGTTAGCCTGCAGACGGCATCCAGCAGCCACTTTTGTCTGTCTGTCTCTTTGCTTGAAAGCCAGTCTAAGACGATTTCTGGAACCCTCTCAAAGTATCTCATTCAAGTATTGGACAAGAGTTTCGAGAGTAGCCTCACCCAATTCGAGACGACCAAGATTGAAAGTTAGCGTCTGTCCAGGTGTCTGATGCATGTTTTCAGTATCCGCCCGGTGTCCTCGATTCGAGAAAACAAATCAGTGCAGCATCTCCGTCATTGACAAGGCTGAAATTGAAGAACCGAAATGGTGCGTTCGCAAGAAGATTGTCCTATCTCATACCAGCGCCCCGAGAAAGGTAGGGGTGTGTTGGGTAAGGAGCTGACAAGAGAATGTCGCTGAACAACGCAAGCCTCGCCCATCTAATGTACTGCCAAAACATCGGCAAATCTCTCAAACGCTGGGAGGGATGGGCTCAAAGCTGGTGGCTTGGATCGAATATCTCAGGCATCTTCAACAAAATCAGTACGAATTTGGACGTTTGTCTTTGGATCCGATCTGATATCGCTGCCTTTTCCTGTTGTGTTTGGACCAGGTTTTGCAGATGATGTTGCGGCTCTTACCTTGGGTCGACGAGAGCAGGCGGGACGTCTTAGTGGTGGAGGGTTGTGCGGCGCCCCTCTTTCTTTGCGATGAAAAGGGTTGTTTTGCAAACGGCGCAACTCAGTCCGCGCGTGGTTATCCTTTCAATGTTGAAATTGTTCATCCAGGAGGCAATCATCGACTTCGTGGATTGACTTATGTTTGACGAATGCCTCTCCGTTCTCAAAAATACTTGGGCAACCTGTCAAGTTGCATACTGAAATCGAAGCTGCTTAATTGTGTGAGACGTCATATCTTGGTACACCCCTCAGAAACACGCTAGTGGCATGAGGGGTTGTTATATGTCTGATGGTTCGTAAGATTCTCACAATTGTGAGCTCAATTCATGGAATCTGAATATTTTTTCAATCCAGTCTTTGACTGTATTAGCAGAATTCGATTGGGCAGCGAAAATTGGACGGAATTACGAGCAAGTCGACACATGTCAATAATCATCATAATCTTCGAATAGCTCAACATCCCCCCCTCCTCCCCCTGGGACTCCTAACATTGGATCACGGGTGGGCGTATGTATATGTGTCCGGCAGACCTGCTGTGTTGGGCTTATCCTTATCACCCGCTTTCGGCTGATTTTCGTGATTTTTCTGCTCCCCTTCATTGACTCAAATGGTTGAGGTCCTTGCTGCTTGTTCCTTGCATCTTCTCTCTCATCCCTTCAATCACCCTGCTCCTCAGGGTCCTACCGTCGAACCATGGGCATAGGCCTCTTAGTGTCTGTCAACCCAGACGACATTCTCGAGCCCAACCCGACAGGGCTCACGCTCGATCAAATCGCCTACTTTGGCAATTGTCTCATTGAAATCACCCCAGATAACTTCGAGCCCCACTTAGATTTCCTGCGCCAGAGTTTCTCCAAGCTCGCCATCTATGTCGACGTCCGCAAGCTCAAGAGCTGGGATAATGTCATCGACATCCTCAACAATGGTGCCTCTAAGATCTTTGTCACTTTTGAACAGCTAAAAGCCCTCTCGCAAGAGCCGACCATCTCCCCGGACAGACTTGTTCTCACGATCTCTCTGGTCAATCCAAAGACGGACATTGCCAAGCTCAATGCTTTTCTCAAAACCAATCCCAAATGGAAGACTACAGAGTGGGCGTTCGACGGTGATAAAGGCAACGACCACATTGACGAGGTTCTGAAAGAGCTAGATAACTACCCACCCAGTCATGACCAAACCATCTTTGTGGCCGTGTCCAGTGAGACGGAAGGGAGAAATTTGCTTCATGAATATCCTGGAAATGCGCTGATCGTCTCATCGAAGACCTTGACGTTCGACGCGTCGAAAGAGGGCCATGAGAAGCTAATACCTGCCGTGGAGTTGGCGATTGCCGGAGCTACTGCCGACCGGAAAACTGGACTCTACGCAACCACGGTGGTTGACGAGCGTGATGTTGCGCTCGGCTTGGTCTGGAGCAGCAAGGAGAGCATTGCAGAGGCGCTCAAGACGGGTTCTGGTGTATACCAAAGTCGCAAGAGAGGTCTGTGGCGTAAAGGAGCCACGAGCGGAGACACTCAAGAGCTCATCAGTATGGGTTTCGACTGTGATAAGGACTGCCTGGTCTTTAGAGTGCGTCAAAAGGGCAGAGGATTCTGTCATCTCGGAACCATGTCCTGTTGGGGAAAGATGTCCGGTCTGTCGAGATTACAACGGACAATTCAAGAACGCAAGATTGAGGCTCCTCCTGGTTCGTACACTGCTCGCCTCTTCAATGATCCGAAACTGGTGAATGCGAAGATCAAGGAGGAAGCAGATGAACTTTGCGATGCGACATCCAAAGAAGACATCGCCTCCGAAGCAGCAGATCTCCTCTATTTTACTCTTGCTCGATGCATTGCCGCGGATGTTACGCTGGAAGACATTGAGAGAAACCTGGACTTGAAGAGCCTAAAGGTCAAGAGAAGGAAAGGTGATGCCAAACCTCAGTACGTGGAAGAGAAGCCCGACAACAAACCAACTCAACTCGAAGCCAATGGAGTCAGTCGTCACCAAGACGAAGGGGCCAAGGGGGCCGCCTCCATCCCGAAATCGCCTTCAGATCCAGCTGGCTTATCTTCGTCCGGCCGAATACAGATGAAACGATATTCTACGTCACAGGCCTTCTCAGATGACGTCTTGACGGCCGCCTTGCAAAGGCCATCGCAAAGGTCCAATGAGAAAATCATGTCTCTTGTCCATCCTATTATCGCAGATGTTCGAAGCAATGGTGATTCCGCTGTTCTGAAATATACCCATAAATTCGAAAACGCAACCAATCTCAAATCTCCTGTACTAAAAGCGCCTTTTCCCAAGTCACTGATGCAACTTTCGGAAGAGACTGTTAAAGCAATCAATACGTCGTACGATAATATCCTCAAATTCCACTCCGCTCAGAAACCGTCAGCACCATTGGTCGTGGAGACAATGTCCGGGGTTACTTGCTCCCGGTTCGCCCGACCAATTGAAAGGGTTGGCCTTTACATTCCGGGGGGCACAGCAGTGTTGCCTTCGACGGCTCTGATGCTTGGTGTCCCCGCCATGGCTGCGGGTTGCACGAAAATTGTTCTCGCATCACCGCCTCGATCCGATGGCACCATCACCCCAGAAATCGTTTACATTGCCCATAAAGTTGGGGCAGAAGCCATCGTCTTGGCCGGCGGCGCCCAAGCAATCGCAGCAATGGCCTACGGCACTGAGTCCGTCAGCAAAGTAGACAAAATCCTAGGGCCTGGCAACCAATTTGTCACTGCTGCCAAAATGATTGTCAGCAACGACACCTCCGCGTCTGTGTCCATTGATATGCCGGCCGGTCCCTCGGAGGTGCTTGTGATCGCCGATGACACTGCTGATCCGGCGTTTGTGGCCAGTGACCTTCTCAGTCAGGCCGAGCACGGTACAGACAGCCAAGTGGTCCTCGTTGCGATTGATTTGAACGAGAAGCAGCTCCAGGCCATCGAAGATGAAGTGCACAAGCAAGCTCACGAACTTCCCCGCGTGGACATCGTTCGTGGCGCGATTGAACACAGCGTCACCATCTGCGTCACCAGTCTGAAGGAGGCATTGAAATGGTCGAACTATTACGCCCCTGAACACTTGATTCTCCAAATTGCCAATCCACGCTCGGCTCTGCCTGACGTTCAGAACGCGGGCTCCGTGTTTTTGGGTGGCTGGACGCCCGAATCGGTCGGTGACTATTCAGCTGGTGTGAATCACAGCTTGCCCACCTATGGGTACGCCAGGCAATATAGCGGGGTCAATCTAGGAAGCTTCATGAAGAATATTACCTCCAGTGAGGTTACTGAGCAGGGTGTGGGACAAGTGGGATATGCAGTCATGGAGCTTGCCAGGTGCGAAGGGCTCGACGCGCACAGAAGAGCAATGGAGATTCGGATGGAGAAGTTGGGTTTGGTGGGGAAGAAGAATACGATGACAGATGAGGCTTCGGAGGACAACGAAGAGCAAGTCGCCGAGGAGAAGAAGGATGGCACCGAGCCGACAACCGACCTCAAGGCCGTTCCTGTTGGAGAGAAAGACGGCCAGAAGGCTCTTGATGCGGTTGAGAAAACCCCGGAGCCTGATCAAGCTTGAGCTCGACCACTTGTGTTTTCTGATGTTCACTCGATGATTGGTCTTTTTGGTTGTCAGGCTGGAGCGAAAGAAAGGGCAATTAGGACAGAGGAAAAGAATAGAATAAGAGAATCTCAGTATTACACAGTCTGTGATCTTCTGGCGCAAATACTCAACCGTAGCCTGCATCACGACTTGCCAAGAAACTGCGGCCGCATTTTGACGCATGGAGTCATTCTTCTAAGAACCAGAACTTTGTATTGAACCAGCTCTCCTTCATATCCTGGCATATTGCCTACTATTCTTAGTTGGCGGATTTTCTCCGAAAACCGCAATCATGGCTGAGGATCTGACGGCGCAGATGCTTAGCGTCCTCTCCTCCGCGGATGGCCCAGCCCTCACTTCCGATGTTTTTCCCAATGCCACCTTCGTTGCCGTCAAATCCGCAGTCGACAAATTAAGATCTCGGGGTTTCATTCAGGCAGAGCAGATTGATCGATTAGAACTTATTCTCACCCAAGAGGGTCAAGATATTGCAGAGAATGGAAGTAATGGCGCTCGAGTCTTTGAGGCTGTTCGTTCGGCGCTGGGGGGACTGAAAATCAAAGACTTACCCACCGTTGTTGGTGATACCAATGTCGCCAAATTCGGATCGGGAGATGCCTTTAGAATGAAATGGATTAAGAAAGACGGGGACGTCCTCAGAGCCTCTACGGATGAAATCCAAGACGAGGTGCAACAACAATTACAACAGATCCAGTCCACAAAGACGTGTGACAACCAAAGGCTCGTGGCAGACTTCAAGAAGAGGAAGTACGTGGTGGATCAGAAGATCGTCACCTTCAAAATCTCCAAAGGCCCCAAATTTGCGACCGAATTTGTGAAAGAGGAGACAGATCTCACGGTTGAGATGCTCGCTTCGGGTGCGTGGAAGACAGTACAACTGAAACCTTACAACTTCAAGGCCAAAGGCGCCCCTACCTCATCAGGTGCTTTGCATCCTCTCAACAAAGTACGACAAGAATTCCGAGAGATCTTCTTCGAGATGGGATTTGAGGAAATGCCCACCAATCGATATGTGGAAACTGGTTTCTGGAATTTCGACGCTCTCTTCGTCCCTCAACAACATCCTGCCCGTGATCTCCAAGACACCTTTTACATTTCAGATCCCCCCAAGGCCGATCCACCTCGGGAGGATCCTGAACCCACCGTCCCAGGTACCAAACCGGGGCCGCCTCCGGCACACAAACGAACAAAGTCGAAAGAGAAGACGTTGAATTACCAGCAATATTGGGACGACGTACGTGCAGTGCACCAGGAGGGAAAGTTTGGTTCGATAGGTTACAGATACCCATGGTCCGCAGACGAGTCTCTGCGACTAGTACTTCGTACCCATACCACCGCCATTTCGACATACATGCTTCACAAGCTTGCACTACATCCTCGACCAGCTCGCTATTTCTCCATTGATCGCGTCTTCCGGAACGAGACGGTTGATCACACTCATCTGGCCGAATTCCACCAAGTTGAGGGCGTGATTGCCGATTGGGGACTGACCCTTGGTGGATTGATCGGATTCATGGAAATCTTCTTTGGCAAGATGGGTATCAAGAATTTGAGATTCAAACCTGCCTACAACCCTTATACTGAGCCTAGCATGGAGATTTTCAGCTATCATGAGGGATTGAAGAAGTGGGTGGAGATAGGGAATAGCGGAATGTTCAGACCGGAGATGTTGGAACCAATGGGTTTGCCCAAGGACATGCGGATATACGGTTGGGGTTTGAGCTTGGAGCGGCCAACCATGATCAAGTGAGTCTTCTTCTTCAATTCGTTGGTACGTATTAACCCTGAACAGGTACGGCGTGAACAATATCCGTGAACTTCTCGGCCACAAGGTCGATATCAACTTCATAGAATCCAATCCGGCTGTCAGACTCGATAAAGATTAGAGCACAGTGTACGATCGATGAAGACTACGAACAAGTACAAGGGAGCAGAGAAAAAGTGCTAGACATAACAAGCTAGAAATGATACCCATTGGCTTCCTGGCCCTGTCATCCCCATCCCACGTCATTCTTCTTCTACCGGCACATCAAGGCTTTCTCAGACCAGGACTCAATGACTGAGGAAGTAGAGAAAATCCGTCATACATACAAAGCCGAAAATAGAGATGGTCAACCCATCAGTCGCTTCCTGAAGAGCTGTGATTATCCGAGATTGAGAGTCAGAGCACAGATACGAGTGACACATTCATATTCTGCAAGAGCACGACAACCGCGTTCGCGTCGAGGAAAAGGAATTGGCTGTAATTTTCTTCTTGGGATTTCCCTTGGGATGTGCGGTGTTTTTATTTCAGCCCACCCAGCCTATGCGACCAGCCATTTCCCTTGATGCCAAAGGTGTAGCGACACATTGTCGTGGCGCAGCAAACACCGGATTCTTTGCCTCTGCCTACCGCTCCATCATGGGATCGTTGATTTACATCGGATTCGACCTCATCTCTTCGATCGTGTCTGATGCCACGCCAATCTCTCCATCCACTTACTCCCACATTCATCTCGTCGGTTGCGCACTCCAGACGTTCTTCAAGAATCCATCCTTCTGTGCAAGTCGGTTCAAACTGTCATCACTCTCGGCGCGTGATCGGACAAAACCACAGAGAGCATAGACTTGGTTCTCGCCCGTGTAGCGACCGTTCTCGTCGACTTTGCCGATGCTGATTTGAACGCTGGCGTGGTCCTTGGCTTTGATGATGCGGTTGGTTGCGCTACACTTGCGGGGGACATAGCTGTTTGAAGAGAAAGAGAGACAAAGTCAGCCACATTCGTGCTAAAATCCAGAGAAAATCGATATTCGTGTCGCTTTTGGGGTGGGTGGAATTGGAGTTTTGGGACATTCTTACAGATCGACGATTTCTCCCTTCTCGTTCTCCATGGTTGCCGAAGTTTGGAGCTGAACTTAGACTCTGGATTGAGAAGGAAAATAGGTGCTTCAGCGACTGGATCCCTCGTTGCGCTGGTGTGGTTTGGTTGAGTGTCGTCGACAGGCGCAGATTGCAGCAAGATCGAAAATGTGCGGCATCGGCGTGGAAAATTGCCAATGCCGACAAGTCTTGGCATCTAAATCTTGGCATTTGAAGAATTCCGGGCCTATCGCCGGCTGCCGGCGACACACCTTACTTCCAGGCTTCACGGGAGTGACCCGAAGTGAAACTTGTTTCTGTCTGTCCCTCATCTTCATCACGTCGATTCTCGACCAAGAGCGGACTTCGTATATATCTATCTTGTTGCCGTCCAGGGTAGATACTATCGATCCACCACTCTCAACCCGATACCATCGTCTCCACCTTCATTAACGAGCTAACCCTATCTTATTTGGGCGACATTTGTAGCCAGCAACTGCCAACTTCAACCCTGGCATAACGAGGATACTCCCCCTGGCCTTAGCACCATTCACTGGAGAACTTCTCTGGATCGACCTTGACCCTGAGAATATGAAGGCTTTGCCCCATCAGGATAAGGGTTTTCGGTCATGTTCAAGGCGGACATCTCGAGATGCTTAGGACAAGACAGTTGAAATCACAGGCAAGGATTATCGAATTTCGTTGGTGATGATGGATGGTTGGAGTTCAAATTTGGCAAGGCTGGGGCGTTAGAGAATATAAACCCTCACGCCCATTATTTAATGGCCTCCAGCCCAAAGCTTCCCTTTCACTGCCCAGCAACAGGACTGCGTCGAAGAATCAAAAGGCAAAGATTCGATTCATCCCTAAGCTAGGACACGATGGTATAGAATGCGCATTAGAAAAGGATCATTCCGGGATAGCCTGGCTCAGCTCTCTCAAACTCTCACACCACCCGATCCCGATCCCATTCCATTCCAGACCCATGCCCGATGCCCATTGAGTTGATAGTTATTATTCCCATCGTCGTCCAGGATGACAACCCATGATAGAAAGGAATTTCCGAAGACAATCAATTTCCATAATAGTTCCCGATAGGTTATAACGGTCCCGAATTTCATCTCATCCCGTCCCGCCCAATCCTTGTTGTGATAGAAAATCCCATCCAGCCAGCCTATCTTCTTACCACACTTGGTCCAGTCATCCTTCCTCCACCAGCAAGTAGACTCTGTCGAACAATCATCTCGGCCGCCGCCGCCGCAGCAAGACGTTCCTTTTGTCTTGATCTGTCTCTCAGATAGCTCGATGCCTCAGGTCGCATTCGAAGAATACGCAAAATCATATCATCATTGGGCTCGGCTTGTGCGGCTTTCCATTTTTCTTCTTTGGCTTTTCGCATGGTTCCTAGGTTCCGACTAAGCATTATGCTCTTAGCACGTCGGGCACCGGCCATGGTTCCTGGATTGAGAAGCCCCCCTCCACCAACAGCACCAAGATCCGCGGGAGCCGAAAATCGGGACCGTTGCATTTGTTGATTTAGAGCTGTTGCAGAAGCCATTCTTTCAGACTCGCGGATCAAACTTTCTGTGGGCTCAAAATAGAAGAAGTTGAGCATTTGTAATTCGTGATATTTGGGATTCTTCAGCACATTCATCGGCACCCCGTTAGCTTCGCCAGTTTCTTCATCCACGGCATTGAAGAATTCGAACAGACTTTGCAGCCACTTGAAGACCACGTCGAGCTCTTGCTGAGTCAACGCTTTTTGTTGAGATGGCTTGTCCGATAAGGGTGGCGCCAGCAAGCTTTCGATTGTCACGAGAACTTCTTTCCAAATTCGTGTCATCACTGCCACCATCGCTTCCGACGTGAGTGTCTGTTGCATAATGGCAAAATTGTCATCAAAGTAGTCAAAAAGGGGTTTGAGGGCGTTGACGATCTCAGCATCTGATGGCATAGCTGCCGTTGCTGCCGTGGAGGCTCGATTTCGCGCAAAGTATGATGACACGGTTGAAATGGATATCCCGCGATTGAGCAAAGATCGGAGTGCTCGTCGAGAAAGACAATGACTGATGTAGGCCGAAAGTTTGTCGGTAATTTTCCTTGTCATGTCACGTTGAGTCCGCTGCAGATTTCTGAAGGCCTTGCCAAAGTAGAACTGAATATCATCTCGCTCTCCTTCCATACTAACACGGACCAGGAGTCGTCCTTGAGTGTCCAAGTCCAGCCAGTATTCCCGAGGCAAAAAGTCGCTGAAGTGAGAAGGATCCAGTTTGAGGGAAGTTCTTCCCACATAATCATGATCTCCCACTGCATCCCAGTCCCAGATGGTGGCAATGAGATTGAGCGGTCCTTGTGTCGTGATATCCACGGATTCGTCCCATCGCGGATTCAGATTTCGATATACTATCCTCGTCTTGGACAATCTCTTCTGATATTCATCAGTCAGAACGACATATGGATCGCTGAACCCGTTGACATCGCAAGACTTGAGATCTTCCGCTTCGACGACTTTGATGGTGAAAACGTAGTTGGACGTCTTTCGGGGCCGTTGAGCAGCGGGTGGGCTGGATTTCTTTACCACTTCCGCGCAAGCATCAACGTTCACCTCTGCCTCGAGTTTGTCCCACTGTTGGATCGCGAAAGAAATATTGTTGAGCTTGACAAATGACTCTGGATAGAATTGAAAGGGCTCCACTCGCTCTTTGTTGTTCCAAGTATCCTTTGCCAGTTGAACCCACTTTTCCTGTCTGGTCATGTGGGCCGCAGCTTCTTGTTCCGGAGTCAATCTGTCCATCTCCTTGCTGAACATTTGGTCCAGTAACTCGCAATATCGGGCTACACCTTGCCCGATGGCTTTGGAAAGAGCCGTCATGAATTTGGCGTAGCTGAGATCATCATCCCAGTTTAGTTGACTCACTTGGTCGATGACTTGATTGAAAGAACTGTAAATGTCGATGACCGAAGTTGAATGACGTTCATCTTCAGTAGGAACTTGGCCGGGATGTTGGGTTCTGACCACAAACCGATCATGCTTGACCGCATTTTCGACCCATCCAATCACCTGTTCTTCGGTTATTCTGATCCATCGCCAAACGAAGTCGGCCAGTAAATCTTCAAGCTTGTAAGGAAAAGGGGCGTGTGGCAAAGCATCGGCATGTACTCGACGGAACTCGCTGAGCTCTTTGTACAGACCAAACCCGTCTTCAATGGAGACTTCGAAACCATTTGTCTTGGCGGTGTTCAAAATTTGTTCCACCATCGCCTTGGAATCCTCTGCAAAGGCCGGCAAGACGCAATTCAACAGAACCATTAGAGGATTAATGCCGAGAATTTCTGGATTCTTTCTGAACCTCTTTTGCACCTTTTCTGCTAGCTTCAACACAGCCTTCGCCAGTTGCTGAATGTGGTAGAATTCCCACTTTTCATTTTCTTGAGGTAGTTCACTATCCAAAAGGCCGTCATAGATCTTGCGAGCTTCGGCCGCCAGGCCATCGATGGCGGCATTTTTGAAGGTTTCGAACTCCTCGGGATTCTGCGTAAAGCTCGGGTCATTGCGAATGTGCTCATCCAAGATTGCCAGGATGACTCCTAGCTTCGGTAATTGAGCTTTGTCGGCGTATGCAGTCATCATTGTTTCGTACAGATCTCGGAGCAATGCCTCATTCAACGCAACCAGGATTTTACCCATCAACGCGAAGTCGGCCAACGTCCAATTGTATCGGTCGTAGAACGCTGAGCTCATAATAAGAGAGGAGCTCCTCTTGTTCTTTGAATCTTCTTGTACAGGCTCCTTGACATAATTGAAAGCTGCGTCCAACATTTCCAAACCAATGGCTTGTTCAACAAACTTCTCCCGTACGACATCCAAAAACAGCACAGTACGAGTGAATTTGGGTATTCGCCATCTCCATGCAAGTTCATTGAGCAATTCCGTGGTTTCCTTGGAGAACAATGGACCACCATTGGCTCCATCATTCGTCTTGTCGTTAAGGTCATGAGAAAAAGCTTGAAGCATTATAAACCGAAACATGGCTCTGGGATCGGGAGGGATAAAAGTGTAGATTTGCGCTGCGTCCCCGTTATCATGTGACGAATCGGCTGAATCCAATTCGAGAGCGCTCAGATCTGCCGGCAGATCCAAAACGTAGGAAGAGGAGTCCCCGGGCTGCGAAAGCACCCTGGAGACTTCGGCATAATGAGAATCCGTCGGACTAGAGGCCGCAGCCTGAGGGTTGAATTGGGGGAGACTTCCGCCAGGCGTACTCTTTGCCAGTTCAGGATTGGATTGCACAATGGCCAGCATAAGGAGGGACAGATCAGGCCCCTCAGCCTTCTTCCATGCATCATACGCTTCTTGTGTGTCAAAGTCATTGGCATTCAGTGTCATCTTGGTGCCAAGATTGAGGTGTTGTTGGTATGTCTTCAAATCCTGAAGTGCGGCTTTCTCCGTCCAGACCGGTTTGTTTTTGGTAATATCGGACTGCATCATGGTGTTGGTCAAGCCAAAGATTCGGCCTACGACCTGAACCAAGGGCATGTCTTTGACTTCGTGGCTCAATGGCACCACCTCTTCAACGGTCGTCAGCTGCCCATTGGTCTGTGATGTGGCTAGATTTTCATCACCCTTGAGCAGTTTCGATTCCAACGTCTGTAGCCGCGATGCCAGTTCGGGTTTGTCCTTGGCCCAGTCTCGGTCTTTCAAGATCAGGCTGAGGAGTCGGACGAAGAGGGCAACATGTCGATCAACCATGCGCTTGACTTTGTCGTCTCCGGGAGGCTTTCCCCTTTGTAACTCTTTGGTAGCGTTGGAAAAGAATATCAGGACCAAGTCTTCTGCTCTTCGGTCTGCCTCCATTCGTTTCTTGAAAGAGGGGTCCGACAAGGCATTGAGAAAAATAGCGAAGATTCGTTTGACCAACGCATCTTGGTATTCCGGTCGCTTCTCCCGCCCGATCAAGATGCCTTGCAATCTCTTTTCAAGCTCTTTCACAAAATCATGAGGAAACCTTGTGCTCTTGGAGTCTCGGACGACGGTGAAATCATTCATGAGATCATGGAACGAGTGGGAGGTGTTTGAGCGATTTACGGACGGTTTTATCTCAACGAGCTTCTTCCGTGTGGTACGAGGCTGTAACAGGTAGGCGAGGTATGCAACTCGCAGAGAATGGAGGTAGGCATCGTTTGCACTGATGGATTTTCGGCGCACCCTGGAACCATCTCGTGAGAGTCTTCCTCCATTTCGCAAACTATACCCGCTCCGATGGGGCGCCTTCGAGTGATGAGAGGATTGGGACATATGGCGCACATGAACTGGAGTGTCGTAGAGGTCGCAAAGATATTGGGAGGTCAGAAAGGAGAGGAAGGGATGTAGATCGAAGGGAGTTTTTCTGGATTGTGGCTTGAGTGTGTACGTGGTCGGACAAGATCAGCCTGGGGCTGGTCCTGAGCCTGGTAGTCCGACTGCTGTGCCTGCGCCAAATGAGATTGAAGGCGGAGATCGTCGAGGTGAACTTTTGTGCAGTGACAGCGACGGCGATTTCTGCTGAGCAGGTGAATCTATCATGTCAATCAGATTGCATATCGAAAACATCGAGTGAGGACGTAGCGTGCTGAATCAGATGGTCGCTTGTGGAGTGGCCACTCGTCAACCCCTCAAATGATTTCTTTCAGTTTGGTTTCAGGCTCAAGGTGCAGTCGGTGGTGTGTTATCGTTAGTGTCGGTGCTATTCTTACCAAAAGCCCCGGGCGGTGGAAATAACGACGTTCTGCCCAACCAGGTCACGTGCACATTGATTCTCCCGGCAACCGTTGCCGGGATGTCTGTCTTTCTGTTCGGTTCACCCTCGCTTTGGGACCACTATATTCTCAGAAACAGGCCATTCAGGCCGCCAGTGCCCCGGATATTATTGAAACGCGGCCTCAAGTATATCAATTCCAAAGTTCGTCGCGTCTGGTGGATGGCCTGCCCAAGTCCTGGCACTGCACGTGAAATCCTTCCTCACGAGCCGAGGTAGGTCCCCCTATAGTCACCGGCCGCTGGTGTCAATGTCGTCCCTCTTCTCTTCCCTCTTTTTCCATCCTTGGATATTCTAGCACCGAACCATGCAAATCAAAGACCGGACATTCATTGTCTCTGGCGGTTCCAGCGGCCTCGGGCTCGCCACCACCATCCTCCTCTTACAAAACGGTGCCAACGTATCGATTCTCGATCTCAATCCTCTCCCCGATTCCTCTCAACTCGATTCCTCGAAAATACTCTTCACCCCGACCAATGTCGCGTCCACTGAATCATTACGAGCCGGGCTGAAGAATACACTAGAGTGGATCCAGGAAACAACCTCAAAACCGCTCTCCGGGGCCATTTGTTGCGCTGGCATTGGCACGGCGGCATTGTCACTCCCCAAACAAGACCCCTCTGCGACGCATGACACTGTCAAGTACATGGACATGGCTGTTTTTGACCGGACACTGGCAATCAATCTTCGAGGCACGGTGGATTTGATCCGCCTAACGCTCCCGCACATGGCCCTCAATGAACCGTTCGGCCCCGACGGAGAGCGCGGCATCGTGATTGTGGTCTCTTCTGTCGCCGCATACGAAGGTCAGGTTGGCCAATTAGCTTACAGTGCAAGTAAAGGTGCCGTTCGCAGTATCGTCCTGCCATTGGCTCGGGAATTGGGCCAGAGAGCCGGGATTAGGGTCATGGGGATCGCGCCAGGAGTTTTCCAAACCGGAATGACCATGCCGCCCAAGAAAAAACAACCAAATGCGCCTGCTAAGAAAGAGGGCGAGGAGAAGAAACAGAAACGGAGCACCGGAGCACGCGCTGGTATAAACCCGGAAATGATCCAGTATCCCGCACGGATGGGTCGTGGAGACGAATTTGCCCGACTAGTCAAGGAGATCGTTGAGAACCCGATGCTCAATGGGGGAGTTATACGACTTGATGGCGCAGTGAGGATGCCGAGTCGACTATGAATTTGCGGATTCCCAATCTTTTCAGAGAGAGGTTAAAATGCTCCGAAACGGCGGTCTCCTCGAAAACCCAATTGGGGACTCCTCGCATGTATTGGCAATTGCCTTGTCCACTGCCGACGCGGACATTCATAGACTCCGCCTTTGATCGAGACTCACAACACGGATCAGAAATGTCAGGTATGTATTATGTGTATGAATCAAGACTATGCTCAGCCACCGACGTCTCTGCATGGGCCGGGAAGGAGATATATTTTACACGGAAAAGCCGACCACGACGACATTTTGGTCCCCAAGATATACTGCCAATGCAATCCCAATTATGTTCACATTCAGTTCCCACGTTTTATTGCGTCCAACATCTTCTCCCTGTCAACCTCATTCTCCAGGTCTGCTCTAAAATTTCCACCTCATCACCACCTCCATCTACTCCGTAATCAACTGCTGGATCTCGATGACATTCCCATCCGGATCCGTGACCATGAGATGCTGCAAGGTTCCGCTCGGAATCAGCCCCTGGACCAGCGCCTCCTTCTGCTCCTCACAGAAGTTGCCCGTCGACAGCTTCCCCAACCCGAACGCATTCGCTAATGGCCCCGACGTCGCCGGCAGTTCGCCCAAGGGCTTGAGGATTGGCACCTTCAATTTCTTCATCTTCTCCTGCGTCTCTGTGACATTCGGCACAATCAGCCCGATATGGCTGAATGTGTTCGTCACCTTGGTGGATGCCCGCGGTGTATACGTCGCGTTGTCGAGATAAAGAAATTCAATGAGGCCCTTGATGTCGTTCTTCTGCAGCGTGAACTCCTCGCACGTCGCAAAGGGTTTGCCTGTGTTCGCCGTGTCGTTGTTGTGGCCCATATATGCGATTTTGAAAAATGGCGCTCCTTCGGGTGTGAAGATGAAGAGCAAGCTCAGACCAATGGCTTGGGTGTAGAAGTCAATGGTGGCGTTGAGGTCGTTGACGATTAGACCGAAGTGGTTGATGCCGTAGCCGGTGAAGCCGGGGCGTGGATCGCAGGACTTGGGGAATTCGAAGGGGTTGTAGGAACTATTGGATACTGGTACTGGGCCACAGGCTTGAGTTGTTGGGATCAGTTGAGTCGTGGCGAGGATGAGGGAGGAGATGAGTGCTGCTTCTGGCCACATTGTGATGGATTGGATATCGGTGTAGTTGGAATTGATGTTGGTATATTGTTGTTGTCAAGGACAGGGGGAAATATTTGTTTGGTTTCGCGAGGCCGAAGAATGTCCACTTCAGCAGCCATGACGCACTCGTACTTATATACCTTATCAAAGGTGCTGATTAAGATCATGCAGGCACCATTTCCAAGTTCCTCTACATCAATGGCCAATGGCAATACCTATTCCGCTATGGAATGCCAAGTTGCAGGCGGGTATAAGAGATGGGGCCCACAGCCTCGTCCGCAGCCTCGTCCGCTTAAACCCGCCCGCCATCCGCCTGGCCAAAACCTTCAAGAGCCGTTGACGGTTAAACTATTCTGCCGCATGTCCAGCCCGGTTCCTTGAACTAAGACCTTGTTGAGGTAAATAATCGTCAACACTTGGTATGGTAAGGTGCGTCGGTATGGACAATTCAAGCAGGCACCAACAGCCTCTACCAGTTGTGGCCTTACGATCCTCTGATTTGATCTACAATCTCTCCGACAAAGGTGAAGATATTTGTGGTGATATTGTACCATTTCGTATATGCACGTAAGACTTGTACCGGACGATTCCCATTTACATCAATGTAAAACATAAGCTCCACCTCTTCCTGACCAAGGATTCATCTCGAATCGATCACATCTATTTCAATTCGGGCAACGGACGAACAAAATGCGCAGGGCAATGGTAACCCCCCGGATTGTTGATCAGATATCCCTGATGCCTCATTTCTGCATCATACCATTGCGTGGCGCGAAGGATTTCAGTGGTGATGGGTTTGCCTTTGTACCATTGTTCTCCCACTTTCTCTTTGATTTCGTTTGCAATCTGAAGCTGCTCGTCGTTCTCGGCAAAGATTGCAGAGCGATATTGCGGGCCAGTGTCTGCACCCTGTCTGTTCAAAGTGGTGGGGTCGTGCATCCTGAAGAAGAACTCCACGAGTTGGCGGTAGGTGACTCGATCGGGGTCAAAGACGATTAACAAGGACTCGGCATGGCCAGTTCTACTCGTGCATACGGCTTCATATGAGGGTGCTTTAGTATGGCCACCTGTGTATCCGACTCTGCAATCCAGGAGGCCTTTCGTGCCCCAATATTCTCGATATAGCTGTTCGAGTCCCCAGAAGCATCCTCCAGCAAAGATAGCTCTTTGGGCGTTGGGGGGAAATTCCATGGCAGCTAGGGCATCGGGCTGAAGTGCCATAGACGCTGAGCTGGCGAAAGGTCGAACAAGGCGCGTGAGAAATGAAGGCATTTGGAAGGCCATGGTGATCAGGAAGACGAGGATGAGGGCGAGGTAAGTGATGATGTCGATGTTAAGCTGCAGTTTGGCGGTGGTCTGGGAAGGTTTCAGGCGACAAAAGGTATATGCGCAGAGGCTTATAACACAACGACAGCAATGGATGAGAGCAAGATGATGGAAAAATGTCGACGTCGAAGATTCTCGTCGACAAGTGGGTGATGACCTTCGACCTTTGCCCTTCCCCACCCTAGGCCCATCATGCTTCGTCTCGCCCGCAGCAGCGGCGATGAGGCCCACGGATAGATCACGTCATACTCTTTTTAGGCGTCCGAATTGGCCAGTAGGAAGGCTGGGCGGAAACTGGAATACACCAGGCCCCACCCTGAAGATGACAATTTCTTTCGTACTGCTTCGCTTCTAGGTTCAAACTCACCCACCAATTTTCCAGTATGCATGCATGATTCCGTTATCAGGTTAACAGTGTGAAGGAGACTGCTAACCGAAATTAGGGCAAACTCCAAGATCGGCTATCATCCAAATAGCCTCTCCCAAGGAAAACCCGCGAGATCATGAACTCAACGCTCTCTTCGCATGGCGATGCGAAAGAAATCGACCAGCACGTGACATAGCTGAACAGCTTCATTTCCCACAGAACCATATCTCTATCAGATTGCGTCAGTATCTTTCACCGCACGTCTCCGTGTCATCAGCCACAGGTGCCAGATGGTAATGGTCAAGACTGTCAGAGGTATGGCAAGGGCGAAGTACACCCAAATCCTAGGATTCACCACCGCTCCATCTTTTGCGTCCCAGTCAAACACAGGCATCGCCAATATCGACGACACGGTAGTTCCTGGCAAGAACACCAATGTCACCACCGCCAATGTTTTCATCGACGTCCCATCTCTTTTGGTCTCCTCCGCTATCCTTTTCGAGGCCTCTGCAATGTCGATGCTGATCGTCTGATCTTTCCTATTCTCCTCGGCCAACTTGGACTGATTCCGGGCAATTTCAACACTTAATTCTTGTTGCGCCCGCGCCATAATGCTGAGCACAGTCTCGAGTTGCCTGTTGACCTGTTTCACCTGGTCCTCCATCTCCTCCATTAATAGCTAGCGCTACTTGTTTTTGGTAGACGAGAACGTTCTTCAACTCTTTCGCCTTTCTGCGAAGCTCCGGATCGTGTCGAAGATTTGCCGAAGCCAACATGCTCACGCACTTGTCTATCATCCTATGCAGAACCTTTGCCGACACTTGTGCATCCTCGAGCACCCCAGTAGTTGCTCTCGCACCTCCATACATTTGTGCCGCAACTTTCCCATCGGGATACCTCCGCAGCTGAAGATCCGCTGTCCTTAGCTGTTCTAGGGCAAAATCCCGTTGATTCTGCAACCTCGCGAAAGCTACATTGATGGCAAGAAATGGGAGGTATGAGGGCAGCTCGCAGAACTGGCAAAGTCTCCTAAGCTGGTGTAGAAACCGGTCTTGTGCTCTTTGAGCGCCGCTGAAAAAGACCACCACGCCGCGAATGACATTGTCGGTGCTGTTGGTTGTCAAAATCATACCAACACCCTCCATTGTCACTCCAGTGCAGGTGATGCCTTTTTGAGGGATCCTCCTGTCTTTTGGAAAATCCAGGATCCAGTCTTGACTCTGGGAGATTTGTTCCAACGCGATCGGAGGGGCATCCGAGATGTTTGCAGACGCTTTCACGCGAGAATCGGACAGCTTGGGCGTCAGGAAATGGGCCTCAGTAGATCGTGCCCGCAGACTTGGCCTATCAGCAACAATTTGATTCGGAGACTTTTGTTTTTGTGTCCTGGTCTCAGTTCATGTATCGAGTCCCTTTCAAGCCATTGATAAATGGTCGATTCTTCCAAATTCTCTTCTTGAACGTCGAACGTCTTTGGACTCTGCGTTTGGACATGGACTTCAACACCTTGTACTATGATACCTCCGATGAGGTCTCTGTCGGTTGGAGTTCTTTCAGCCGCGACTCCTGAATTCAAAGTCTCCCACAGCGCTTCCGCCGCCTCATTTCTTGTCAAACAAGGCGCAGACATGCACAGAGACTACAGCCTGAGCCAACAATGCCAAAGTTGTCGACGCACTCTCTGAATTCGAGGGTTGATTTCTTCTGGCGGGCTCGAACACAGATGCTAACTTGCAATCCACTAATTTAGGAACGAACGAATATTTGGGATGCGAGACCTCGCTTCAGCAGATGCGGGCCTCCATTTATTCGGCCCGGCCCTGCTCAATGTCCCTGTCTCACGTTTCGGCCCTAAGCAGGTGGCTGTGCCACCTAGACAGCCTAGCCACCTAGGATACTACATACTGGCCATTTCTCAGCATATATTGACTCAAAGATTTGCTTCTAAAAAGACATTTGTTGAACGGCTTAGCGGCGGTCGTCCAACAGCGGCCTACTGCGTAATGGCTTTGAGCTCAAGGCCAGGTTTTAACCCCTTGCATTTCCTCCACACCGCATCGCCACGGCAATACTATCTAGCTACGCTACAGGTCAATATCTCAACATGGACGTAGTACTGCTTGAAGATAGTGTTTCGAGACCCCAGTGACGGATTTGGTCGAAACAAACCAAGTGCAAGCCCCTGCAGAGAGCGCGTGGCTAATCACTCCGACTCACAATTCACAGCTCGCGCCCTATTAAATTTACATCATTCCATCTTTCGGAAGCACCAATTCAGAGTTCATTTGAACATTCTTTGACCGTTACTAGCTACAGGTTCTCTATGCATTGACCGAACGTCAAAGCGGCACGAAAGGTTATCGAATCACGTGATCGTGGGCGAGGCTGAGATCCAAGGAGGCTCAGCGGACATCTCTCCCTTGGTCTGTCTTAACGGTCCCCTGCGAAGCTGCTGGCGAATGAATTTGCCACAAATCTTCTCATCATTCATCGAGGCTCACTTCATGTCAGACCTCTTGGAATCATGAAGCCGAATCGATTACAAACACGTCTACAATGCTCGACTCGGACATTTTCATCATAATAGCCCTGACGCATGTTATGTCAAGTATTTGGCTTGTACACAAGAATTCCGATCTTGGGATTCACTCATGAAAGCCCTAATTCCATCCTATCTGGCCTATCCGGCCTCTCCACGCCATAACAGTATCTCGTGCCCATTCCCCTCACTAAACCGAGACCAATAACACCGGCAAATGCAAACATACAATCCTAAAGTTTTGAACTTAGGGCCTTCTTTGTCATGTCAACGCCAAACCGCTTTTCCACCCGGCATCAAACTCCCCCTCGAAGCTGATTGAGCGTGCGCGTGCGATGGAGTTATCGAGCTCAACCTCATGCCCCCGAGGTCACCAGTGCTGGGTGTCGACCTCACGTCAAATCCACTCATTGTTGTTCGTCGCCCTCCACTCATACCTGCACTCTTACCATGACTGACAATCCCATGCACTCGGGGGCTCAAAACGCCAACTTTCCATTCATTATCTTTTTCATTCTTGCCCATGACCATTCTCCTCACGTGGCCGGCAGCGAACATGGACTCATTTGGCGGAGAGCCTGCAATGGCTGTAGCAGCAGTGGGGGATCGACGGCGTTGTGTTCGGGAGACATGTATTCCAGATCGACGGATTGAGCTGGATCTCTTAACTGCGTCGCGGATTCTCATCGCATCTTCTTTGTCGGGGTTGCTCTGGTTTTCCGTATCGGAGTTTGTCCCCGAAGAATTGCTGGCAGCATCGGGACAATCAGCCACTGATTTCTTCGACGACATTGGAGTTATAGATCGGCGATTCGCAGCTTTGCTTGGATCAAGCTCCCTTAATGGCGATGCTTCAATATCCGACGAAGAAAGTGGACTAATCCTTTGTGGAAGCAGGCTAGAAGAGTATGGTGAGCCGTCATATTTCTTAGATAGGAACCCTGCTTGGAAACGACTGTTCTTAGGTGGTGCCGCGAGTGCAGGCTCCGGAACTGGAGGAATGGGCGAAGATTCAGGAGATTGAGTGCGAAGCTCAGCTAGCGACGCAGTCAGGCCTGACACTTGTGGTGGAAGGCTGATCTCTGTGGAGGACTCTTCTGGCGAGGAAGATGCCAATTTCTGGGGGGTCTTTTCAAATTCGGCCAGGGTCCCGTCTTCAGTATCGTCTCGCCATCTCACAGCTCGCTTCGCGCCCTTGACGGGGGATTTTCTCCTCTTCGGGGTGAAAGAGACTTGAACACCTTTCTTCGCGCTGCCTAATAATCCGCGTCGTCTTGGAGAAGGTTTGGCTGGAGAGTATGTTATGCTAGGAGCCAGGGCAGCTGCGGGTTTGGGTCGAATGGGGCTCGATTCCAAGATCGAGCTGTTCACATTTTGCTTGCGTCTCTTAGGAGTTCCTGATTTGGTGGGTGCGAATGCTTCGACGGGAGCCAGACTTCCATCAGGCTTGACAACATAGGAGGCCGCACTGGAGGCCGAGTTGAGCATCTTCCCCAAAATTTGAGTGGCGGCCTCAACTGCTTCGTCGACGCTCATTCTATTCAAGCTTTCGATGGCAGAGATTGTCCCGAAATGGGCTTGCAGCAAGACTTGAATCGTCGCTGCATCTCCAAACTTGTCTTGATCCGAAACAGCTGCCAGAGTCTCTCTCTCTGCAGTTGCCTTGAGGAGTTCCACTTCGCGGCGGAGAGTCTCGGAGTCAATCATATCACCAGTATCAACTTCCTTGAGCTGGAGCAAACAATGCTCCAGTGCCGTATTCATTGCTCGATCCCAAGTATTCTTCAATACCTTCTGCTGGCAGTGATGTCGACCACTCTCCAACTCCATCATAATGCCTTGGGCGGATTTTCGCACCGCTTGCATGTTCTTCAGAGGCTCCTCCCCCTCCTCGAAATTGTCGCACACGTTGTCGAAAGCGGCCATCCAAGCAGACAGCATTGCAATACGTCGGCCGATTTGCTTAAGCTTAATCATGTTATTGGTTCGCTCTTGTCTCTCCGCAGCAGAGTGGTCATAAGCATTTCGGATTCTCTGCACACCCTCCCGAGCGATGCTGTCTTTCTTCTCATTCTGTTTTCGGAATTTGGCGAACGCCACCGCTTCATAGTCCTTCTGTTGAGCTTTCAATTCATTGATCAACGCCATTTGCTCGTCAATCTTGACCAAAAAGTCTTTGACATGGCGATTGACATTGTAGACATTGCGAGTGACCTTGGTCTGGATGTTCTTTGCTCGATTGGCGTATCTGAGAGTATTTTGTGTCTCATCGAAATGTGCGCTTGACGGACTGACGCAGACAATCATTACCGTTTTGCAGTTGCCGCCGAGAGAAAATTTGAGAAGACGCGTGAGTTTGGAGTTTCGATACGGAACATGGTTTCGCTTGCGTGGATCACACAAGGCATTGATACAGCTTCCGAGAGCCAAGAGGGATTTGTTGATGTTGGCACCCTCGAGCAAACGCTCCCCTCGATTCTTCGTTGCGCTAGCGCGTTCACTACCAGCCAAATCAATGATGCTCAGCGTAGCCATGGTGTGGGGCTCTTCGACACTCGCGTTCCTATCTTTCTGGGCCACATTGATTTGGAGGACGGCATGAGACCGGGACGATGTGGCATTGGCTTCTGTGGGAGACATCGTTCGCATTTCATTGCCTTTCATGATCATGTCCATAACTTCTTGAACATTTTGAGGATGGTGACTCGAGAGTCCTGTGACCGAAACAGTTTGGTTGGCGTCTTCCCTCAGCATCAAGCCGCCTTTCACGCTGCTGGGCATAAGTAGATCACGAATTGTTTCGTTATAAATCTCGAGGTAGGAGAGAGATATCTCTGTCACTTTTTCGGATGCCAGCTCTGAGACTCTCTCAAAAAGCTCCTGCATGGTGAGGAAGATTATGCCAGGTTGTTGCACCGTTCCCGTGATTGTGTGAGTCTTTCCGCAGCCTGTCGCGCCATAGGCGAAGACGGTGGCATTATAACCATCCAAAACACTGTCCAGCAGTGGCTTTGTGGTGGCCTCGTATACTTCACCCTGTGACGCATTTTCATCGAAAATCCGATCGAACCCAAATGTTTGATCCTTCACTCGTTTGCCGGTGGGCACAACGGATCGGGAGAATTTTTGGACAGGATTGTCCTCCGGAGGATCGAATACTCTAGCTCCATGGTTAGTGCTGGATGACTCCACGGGAGGAAGGCTTCGTACAGGCACTTGTCATCAACCACTTTAATTACTGGACGGATGCCTTTCTGAAAGAGCTTGGGTGTAGGGGCCGCTGCAAGGGAGCCATCGCCGAGGAAGATTGTCGTATCATCACATTTGGTCAATTGGGCCGCTTCTCTAATCGTGAACGGTCTGACTCGAACAGTGACTGAAATAGAAGAAGTGCCATCGGAGGCCATGACGGTTGTTTACTTCCTGGTGTCTGGTCAGAGAATGAAGCTCAAGAACTGGCAAAATACATCAGAAGAGAAAGTGAGGCCAGCGAGAGTACGAAAGGAAGAGAGTAACTGAATGCTGAACAAATAACAAGTGCTAGCAAATTCGAGGTCAGTTGGGCGAGGCCCGTCAAGTTGTTCGGAGAGCGCAGTGAGATTGGACATGATTTGCCAATGATCAACGAGGTTCAGTTGCGGGTGTCCGAATTCGGTTAGGCGCCCGGTCGCACAGCAACCAACGGAAAAGTTGAAACTGCGCTTCCCAGCCAGATCCATGCTTCAACTTTTTTGGATCGCGAACCAACCTCAGTTGTTCAAGCATTCAGTTTCAGTTCCAGACTTCCTCTCCACGTGTTGAGGCAGGATAGCTGTTGGTCCCGCGACTGAGTGGTCACACTACCTTCTCGATACCAACTCACTCTCGATTTGCCTTCTCGGCTATACTTCCCAGAGCACATATGGATCGCGTTCGTCGGTCATCAAAACTCGAGCGTCGACGTGAACACATGTGAACAACGCACCCCAACCGGTCTACAGCACCGTCTGCGGAATTGATGGTACTCGCTGTCAGATGTTGACAATCCGGGACCCTTCTCGGCACATGACTCTCGCTTAGATACGGCCCAATTTATCCGTCAAAAACCGTGGCTTTATCGATGGAGATGTGCACTGACGTATCATCGTGTTTGTGGGCATTTGTCCGTCATGACCCTGAGGCAGTACTATCTTCCTCGCTATCGGTCCACCAACATCCCATAACCATGTGTTAAGTTGAGTATCAACCTCTTTTCCTTCCATTCCCTCTGTAAATATTGATCTCTGCCTCCAAGATGGACCTTTCTTTGTGCACGAGACCGGCGTTCCGAATCCAATCATGGCTGGTCCTCCGTCCCAGATCTTCCCTTCTTCTTTTGTCTTCGTGTGTCGACGGATTCTTCATACATCAAGGCGCGACCGTCGAACACAGACGACCTCTTGAGATACATCAATGTCGGAAAACACATACGCGCCGAAATATCTCGTCTGCGACCTACGACGTTGACACTGACCCTTATCCAGCCGAGATGCCTCTGTCCAGACCGTTATCCTGCCTACCTCTATCTACCGTAATTCGTTCATACGCAATCACGTCCATTTCCTCCATTCCGTTTCTTCTGCGGCCCTCACTGTCCATGATGTCGTTCCTCGCCCATACCAAGTTGCCTCTTCTCAACCCAGACCACAATTCGGTTCTGCACTTCCTTCTCAAGAAAACCTTCTATACACAATTTTGTGGCGGCGAGACCCCATCTGAAGTCAGGAGCACCATCACAGATTTGAAAAGGATCGGGTATGAAGGGGTGATACTGGGACACGCAAGAGAAGCGGTTCTCACCGAGGAAGAGGTTGAGGGACTGGCTTCAGCTGAGGATAGTGCAGAGCAAGCCCAGTGGAATTCCGAAGAAATATGTACGTGGAAGCACAACACCATTGAAACGGTGGAGCTGGCTCAAAAAGGCGACTTCGTGGCCCTCAAGTTCACCGGCGCAGGGCGTCGAGCTCTTCAGCGTCTGAAGGCAACAAATTCCTGTCCCCCCGAACTCGAAGCGGCCGTGCATGAGATTTGCCGGCATGCACAAAAAAAGGACGTGAAGCTTCTCTTTGATGCCGAGCAGGCTTCGTTGCAGCAGGGTATCGATAATTGGACCATGGATTTCGCGAAGCGATACAACAAAGACACGGCTTTGGTCTATGGTACCTACCAAGCTTATGCAAAGAGGACCCCCCAAATTCTGGCCAGCCATCTCGACTTGGCCCGAAAACAAAACTTCGTGCTGGGGGTGAAGCTTGTTCGAGGGGCATACTTGGGCAGCGATCCACGAGAACTCTTCTGGCCCACCATTCAAGAAACCCACCACTGTTACAACAGTATTGCGAAGAGCATCATGCAAAGACAGTATGGAGGCATTCTCCGGCCCGTCGACGGCGCTTCTTCGGAATTCCCTCAGGTCAGTCTCGTGCTTGCCACCCACAATGCCGAATCGGTGAAGCTGGCGGGGCGAATCCGAGACGAGCAAGCTCGTCGGGGCGAGCCACGAATCGAAATGGCATATGGGCAGTTGATGGGGATGGCGGATAATGTAAGCTGTGCGGTGGTACAGACGGCGAGGACGCGTTTGGACTCCGACGACGCCAATGTAGACGTTCCCAGAGCATACAAGTACTTGGTCTGGGGTCAGATGGGAGAATGTATGAAATACCTTCTTCGTCGCGCTCATGAAAATCGAGACGCTGTCACCAGGACTGTGGAAGCGAGGCAAGCTTTGGGCCGAGAATTGGGCAGCAGGATAGCATTTTGGCGCTGACCGGACTCGCATATGGCGATTGGAGGGGGAGGTCAGTTCAACCGGTCACATTGGCCATGAGATACGGTGTAGGTGTACGCGTTGAATTGCCGTGTGTTTGACCATCTGCATGTTGCTGTTGTCTCTCTGAGCACCAGTATGGCCACATCCTCATTGGGATTCCTTCCAAAGCGGAGCGGCGTGGTGCGAGCAAGCATAAAATATGATAAATTCCCACTGGGACCGATGACAGCAAACATTCTCCCTCTGCGTCTTCTGGTTCTAGAAATTCCTCATCCATCTGGCATCGCTCATCTGGTGACTTTGGGGAAACGGCCAGCTGCTCACGGGTAACTGCTGCTCTGGCGCGACTTCTTCTCAGACACGTCGTCCGGTTGTTCCAGGCAGTCCTCCTCCACGTCTTTGTTCAACACGAATTCACTATTCCACCGTGACCGCAGAAGCGGACTGCCTCCACGAGACCTGTGTTCACTCATCGTTGTCTGCCGGACCTCTCTGCTGACCTTCAATCTGCACCATGACCTTCGGACGCGACTCCTGCTCCTCCTCACCCACACTTTCTCCTCGCCGCACCCTCAGCAACGCCTCCACCAATCCCACCTACCCACCTTCTCTCATCTACAGCGACTGTAGCAGCGAAGACTCCGAGGTTCGTTGGCCGTCGCACTGTCCCCATCCTATCAGATCGGATCAGACGTTCCGCACGAATTTCGCCAGGGGAAGTTTGGATCACTGATCAGGCATCAATACAGGTCATGATGGCAATCAGGAACGACGTTCGCCATGTCAGCGATGTGATGGCAGAAGCTTTAAGCCACTTGAATCGGGTGGTGGAGCATGTAAGGATTCCTCCCAACGCGCGCAAGATTGCTGGACTAATCACAAGTAGCTTCGAGGGGAGGGTGAAAATGAAGCAGCGAATGGTATCGCACGCGGCGTCCACTCCATGCTTGACACGTTCAACCACACTACAGCGCCTTGGGAGATGGAAAAGTTTCAGATGAAGCCCGTGCCTGCAGAAAGAACTCAACAGATCACACACGCGCGGATCACCACCCCTGCGGATGCCAGACCCCATACTTCCACCTGGGCAGCCGTGGCCGCGACGGACATCCCAAGGAACAATCGCTTGGTCAAATTCGGGCCATCTGATGGGTTGAAACGCCAGATAACCGAGGACGAGGTGCCGGTCCAAGCTCGGGATGAGGACTTTCGCTGTGTCTGGATCTATGGATGGTCCAAAGATAAGCCGTTGAGCATGGTGACCGAACGAATCAGCTCGGGAGCCATCTTTTCCATGGTCTACGTCAGCGAATATGAAGCAGTCTGCGTCATCTTTCAGCATGCCAGCGCAGCCATGGTCCTTGTGGATGACAATTCGCGATCTCTTCGCGACGGCGGGCTGGGTTTATTCGGACAAGGCAATCAGGTCAAGTTTGGCGAAGCATATCCAGAGAATGCCAACCTCCAGCGCATGGCGCCTCCCATAAACGAGCGACGTCGTCTTACCTTCGCTCGTCAACAGCTCTTCACCAATGGCATGAGTGAAGAGCGTTTTAAGAGAGATCTTATCGAACTGGTCGGTCGTCACAACATCGAGTTGGTGTGGTTGTTCAACACGGGAAATGGTAAGTTGGTCCCAGTTGGACTATATTTTATCTCTGATGAAACGCTTCAGCCACCGTAGTCTTTTCTTCAACGGTTATCGCTCGCATAGTCCGCGACGACTTCCTTCGACGGTCCAGGAACGGAGGCCCTTACCAGGATATTCAAATTGGGTTCTCCCACGACCCATGCGAACGTCCGATGAATCTGATCACACAGATCCCTTACACAGGCTCCGGTCCTCGTGATCGCAGTGACAGTGGAAAATCAGCATCAAGCGGCCGATCCTACAATCCCAATGCTCCTAAGTTTGGGAGAAAAGGCACCGACTCTGACGGTTGGCAGACAGTTCTGAGAAAGCGCTGAGATGCCACCACACTATTGAAGACAGCATTTTCCATGTTCTGTACCCAGTCTCAATAGGAGCTCTCAGCGGGGTGACAAGGTAGATGCATGGTGGTGATATGGATAGCAAGCTACCTAAGATTCCGAGGAGCTTACTGTGGACAAAGCGGTCGTTTGTCTGAGAGGCTCGGGAAAACAACGGTCATATAGGACGAAGGCATAGGAGGTGTCACAAAAGGGGGTCTCTTGCAAGCATTGATACCGGGACATTGATGCGGACAGAACTGCTATATGACCGGAACGGATGGAAAGGAGAAGAGAGATTATCGGTGGTCCCATCCCCAGGTGGCTAGTGCCGTTTCGGCTCGGCAAATTCAACGTGGCCTTCTTAAAACATCTTTCTCCCTCACAATCTCCCGACTCTTTTCTCTTCCCACCCACCTTGAATTCGTTGTACACGAATTGGACTTGAATCTTTGTTTGTCGTCTGACTAGAGATTCTTATTAGATCGGTTGGGCACACATGATGACTACAGTTCTTGCTCCCCAGTTAGTTCTCAGCTTTGACATTTTGATGTGGCCCTTCTTGGCTTCAATTTCCCCTTCTTCTGTTACCGTCTCCTGCAATCGAATTACGTATTGGGGTGCTCGATGGTACGCCATTTCTCTCAGACTCACTGCCTCGATGGTGACTGAAGGAGTCGCCTTCGATACTTTTTTACCGGTATGGACGCTTTGCCCTGCAGAGGCCGGAAAGCCAGCACCAAAACCCATTCGACACCCCCAAAGACCAAAGGACCAAGTGGCCCAAAAAGGGAATTCGGAACATGTCTCCAAGTATAAATGGCGGGGCTCGGATTCGAACCAGGGTCTTCCTCTGGGAAATCTTATGGAAGCCCACCTCAGCTCCCAATGCCAATCTGGGCCGCTAGATAGATGGAGAGAGGAGATGCTAAACCACTGCACTAAACCGCCTGAATACTTGATTGCTGAGTATTTTGGGAAGCCTCTTGATATAAGCAGAAGAACTTGCTCGACTCGATTGAAACCTGTGACTGACGCACCTGGGAACAAATAGTCATTCAAAAAGCAAAAGCAATAAAAAAAGACCTTTCGTGGATTAAAAAACAGGGCAATACTTGGATTCGCATCAAGGTCTTCCTCTCGCGGGCCTCAGACAGCTTCGTTCTGCGCAACCTTCGTGGTGCCCGGAGCGCCCTGGTCACCGGGCTAAGAGCCTGTCGAAGGCGATCTGGATACCACTACACGGCACTGTTCGGGTCTTCGAATTGGAGCATAAGTTGGAAGAATCTCGTTATCAAGGTACAGAGAGACGATATGTGAAGGACTACAAAGTATTTCACGAAAATGAATGATTGGTAATTTTGTATAGAAGCCTCGCAATCTTTGGACACGAGTCCGGTTTTGCCATTAACTTCCAGCCTCTGCGAAATCCAAACATCTCACGAATGAAACCGATATTTTCGACTACAAGATGAAAAAAGGTTTAGATGACAGCAGCACCTGGAGTTGAACCAGAGTCTTCCTCTGAGAAATGGAGTACGTACATCTTCCAGTCCCAAATAGGTCGACCAACACCCAGGGGATGAAGGAGGCAGATGAGGAGCTCCACCAGCCGAGGACGTGTTACCAATTACACCATGGCGCCTCCGCTCCATGGAAAAAGACCGTGGACTTGATTGTTAGAGATGGTTCAGGTAAGTGAGGATATGTAAAAAGCACCAGAGACGTGCATGGCGCCAAAGATGCTGAGCTGAACAAATTGGCAAAGAGGTCAAAGCTGTGATTACACCCAGGTGATATGGACAATTGCTCTGTGCAAGGGTAGTCCGACGCAAAGTGGAGCCTGTCATTAATTCACTCTCACCGATCAATATAACTTTTCAACACGAGACAAGACTCGATGCCCTATTTCCTCAAGGTTTTCCTCTGGTTTTTACCTCTGCTTCACCCTCCTTCGCTAATTGAGTTTCTTGTTTGACGTGCTGCCTTGCTTCAAAGTACAGCTTCTGGATAAAATTGACGGTCAGGCTGAAGGCTGAAGACAGGGGCGCAAGGCTGAAATCAGGAGACCCAGAACCGGATCCGCGTAGACATTGCGAAGCACAGAAAGGGAAGACCCCGTCCGGCCGAAAGCCAATGGTCAGCCAGCTTTCATTTTCGGGGGAGTATGGAGACAGGCCAATGAGGAGGGAGACGACTGATGAGAGCATCCCGTATTTTGGGAGGAGAACGGGGACAGTCACGAGAGAGGGCTGGGAGTGACCAGGCCTCCTGAGATGGCGACACCTGCGGGAGCCCATTCGCCGGGCTTGCAGTGACTCTACACCTTGGCCTTCGCGGAAGCCTCGTTAGCTTCCTCGACCCCCACCGCCACAACTGCCAACCAACTCGATTAGGTCTTTGCTTCGAAAGTATACCAACAGCCTAAGCCTCTATTCGACCGCTCTGCCGTCGGGACAGAGAGTTTTGCCAACCCCGCGCAACCCTCTCGCTATGTAGGTTTGGGGCTTGATTTCTGTCTTGATCTCCGGGGTCGACAAGACGATGGCTCAGATGGCCAACTTAGCCGATGGCCCCCCCAGCACTTCTATCCTGACTTTCGATCCTTCTACTTAGGACGTACCACGTCCCCAGGCACGTCGGCGAGGTCTCTCTGCTACCAGACCATGTATTTGGCCATCTTGTGACTGAACATACCCTTCTGGGCGTGCTTCAACCTTACCAATCGTCGAAATCATGGCCACTCATCCTGCATCCCTCGGACAGCGACCAAGCCCCACTGACTCCGCGGAATCTGCTGAAGCCAAAGGTATTTCTTCTCGTCGGTTGAAGAAGCGAGAAATCGACCGACGATGCCAACGTCAAGCCCGCGAACGGACCAAGTCCCGCATTGCCTATCTAGAAGGTCTGGTGGAGGATTTTCGGCAGCAAGATGCTAGTGGGCAAGTCGCTACATTGATGAAACAGCTGCAAGAGACGGAGGCGGAGCGAGATATCATGGCCAAGGCCTTGAAGGACATTCAAAAGGCTCTGGATACGCACAGGCCCTTGAAGCCGACCGAGGAACAACCTCAAGATAAAAATATCAGCGTTTCGCATAGATTCTACGAAGATGCGAACGCCGAGCGGAAGCCCAGTCTCGCGTCCTTACAAGATGGTGCATCTCTGTCCGTCCTGCCAGGGCCTATCGATGCCCAGACAGACAACAGCAATCCGGCCAGCAGCTTCGAGCTGGCCCACTTCCCTCCCGCGCCCATCCCACATATGCAAGCGCCAGGCAAGCTATTTGCCCCGGAGGTTGTGCGTCTCGAGGCCGCCAGCCCCAATTGCAGGAATCAGGCCATCGTCAAATCCAAAAGTGCGAACGACTTACATCAGCAAATCTCCTACAACAATAACTGGGCGATCCCTCGACATACCTGCTCGTGTCATAGTTCGCACAATCGTCCCCGTGGCCGCCGACCGGTATGGCAAGGGAACTACTGGAAATTTGCGAATGAAGTGTTGAGCGAAAAATTCGAATGGAGTGAGGATGTTGCACCCGCAAGTGATGCGGTTTCTGACGACGTCCCGGTCCGTGCGCTTATCGAAGGGTGGGATGCAGTGGCGAAGCGCGGCCCTTTGCATCCTTCATGGCAGATCCTACGTCGAATCGACGAGACACTGTTCTCCATGTGCCCCAACACTGAGCGGCTGGCAATCATGAGGGCGATGCACACGCTGTTGCAATTTCATACGGAATCGTCAGCTGAGCGATACGCCCGCCTCCCTCCCTGGTACATGCGACGGCCTTCGCAGAGAATCGCGCACTCCTACGCGATTGACTATTTTGCATGGCCGGGTATCAGAGAACGTTTCATCTTCCACGAACATGACTATTGCGGGAATGATTTCTGGCATTTATTTTGCAGGAGTATTCGGATTCTCTGGCCGTATGAGTTCCGGGACTGCTACACCCGGGAGATTGACACGGGTCTCTATAAGATCTCCCCCATGTTTGACCACCGATTATCCGATATTAAATGCTGGACAATGGGCCCAGATATCTTTCAGCGTTTCCCCGAGCTATACAGCGACATGCCGGCGTTCAATCACATCCCACAGACGATCTCGCAAGGATATGCACGGCCGCAAGGACGGAGAGTATGCCTTCCTTTGGCATCATCTCCTAACTCTGGGCGGACTGTGAGCATAGAGGATGTAGATGAGGAAGAGGAGATCAAACCTCTAGTTGTCGGAAACAATTATGTCCCAATGGAGACACCCACGGCACATGCTCCGACGCAAGCTCAAATTCACGCTTCACAGCAGCCTCCACCCCCTGCACAGGCTTTTGCACACTCGATTCAGAACCAGCAGCAAGACGCAAATCCGCCTGCGTACAACTTGGCCGATTTCAATACGATCATGGCGCTCGATGCTTTTGCCTGTGGCGCCATCAATGAAGGCGATTTCGCCACTGTCTGTCAGTCCGAAACTCTCAACAATTATCCAAACATAATTTTTTGATTGGACCGCGAGGGTCTCGTGTATAATATTGCACCGGATGCGTTTTGCAGTGTTGTTTAGACGTATGCGTGCCCGGGTGAGAGAGGAAGACTTTGTCTTCCTTGTCCCCTTCCCCATATATCTGGCGTGCATGGTGGTGCAGTTACCGCCGCCCCTGCATATATCTTCTTGTTTTTACAAGAATATTGTTCGGAATTCGAGTATTCCTGGCCGAGGACATGGTAGATCATTGTCGATGAATTTGCAGAGTGGGCTATCCGATCGCTTCAGATTGACAGCCCGTCGTCTCGACCATGCTCCGTCGCTGCACCAACCGCCCAAAATGCCCTACACCGCATGATGAACTTGTCGTTCCAGAAGAACTTCTTCAAAACGGCTTGGCAACCCTCCCAATTTGCCATGCGTTCTGGAAACCTGGCGTCGATATTCGCCATTAGTGCAAGACCTTGCGGCAGTAGACTGTCATTTGCGGCACGCCACGAGTCCACCAGGACGAAATAGATCCAAAGAAGCACGTCGTCTTCTTCGTCTATCTCCATCTGCACTTCACTATCATCCTTCATAATCGGAGGAGAGCCACTCTCGGCAGCGGCGTTCCTCCTCACCCGCCTCGGTGCATCATTGGTCAGCTTCAACCTGCTCCCATTATAGACGGCTGTGACGGCCCTCATGGGCGAGAAAGTGTGGAGGCAATAGAGCAGGACGGCGAGAATAATCAACTTCTCCAGATTCGGCTCCAGCGTACCATCGACACGCACTTCGTCCGGCGCACCCAGGCAAGTACATGCTTCCCAAAAATCGGAAAACCGTCGCGGTTTGTTTCGGAACACGTCTGAGTCCTCCACGATCGTACCGTGGAGGTCGTGTTCGATTTGCGCCTCGGCGGTGCGGGAGAGGACGTCGAGGACGTCGAGAGCGAGACGTTGCCGGTGCGCGAGGCGTTGGAAACCGAGCGGGAGGAGGGAGATCTTTTGTACCAGAGGTGAAGGAATGGGATTAAGAGGGTAAATTGGCGCGTAGGCGGGGCGGGAGTCTGGGAAAATGCTCTGGCCTGTGTTGAGGGCCCAGAAGGATTCCCATCTGTTCGAAAGTAGTTAGCCAATTTTGGTATGTTTATAACGACCTGTGTACAATAGGAAGGGAAGAAAGGCCAGCGGGCAGGATGAAAAAGTGGGAAATGGCGAAAGATGTGTAATGTTTGGCGCAGATAAGCCTCTTTCGAAAAAACTTTGGAATAGAAAAGCCATGGTGAATCAGGAATGGTGTTGAAAGTTTCTCCGTGCCATGGTTTATCAATACAGCATTCAGTTGTGTGTATTTGACCCTGACAGCATCGACAGGATGTAGACTTACTGCATCAAAGTACATCGGGCAAGTCCGTCGTGGCCGACAAGGCGATCCAGGCCGCCGCGTGCAGAGACCAGGGTGGCGATGCTACGCTTGTGGACCTCGTGCGAGGGCATGTCGTTGATTGCTCTCTTTGCTTCGGATCAGTCACTGCCATGCATACAGTGTGGTAGGGGATGTTGGAGAGACGGAAAGCGGCTGGAAGAGAATAGACATACCGTGACCACAGCGAGGAAGAGGACGGTGATGATGGTTAAATCGTCGACTTGCAGCGTTTCATTCGCGGACGTCTTCACGTTCAGCCTGGCAGTCTCACCACCTTCTTCATTTCCCGCGCCGGTCGACGACGCTGCTGCAGAATTTCTGTTGTCTGACTGGATCTGGATCTCCCTCTGCTCTCGCTGTAACCTTTCAAGCCTCAGGCGCAAATTCTTCATCGCCGAACCAATATGTCGTAACACTGTTTGAGAGGGACCTTGACCAGGTCGTCGAAGGTGGTCGATGACGGCCTGTACGCTGGCAACCCCTGTGTAGAGGAAATCCGGGTGTGAGAGAAGTTCGAAATAGTATGATGTGTAAACGTTGGTGACATCGAAGATCTTGTAGATCGGTGCGTGGTTGGGGGCCATTATTTGGGCGTCTGTTATTGTGTCCAAGGTCAGAATTGATTGGGACTTTAATCCGTAACATAATGGTTGGATGTCGAGTTGCGTCACAGAGAGAGAGAGAGAGAGATTTGAGGGTGTCAAGTGGAAAGGCAGATGGGGAATCTCTGATCAAAAGCAAGAAGTGGGAAGATGGTTGAAGGATTGGCACATACGATAGTCAACAACTGCAGAGACGCAATCAGAGCCACGAGATGGGATGCAGTTGAAAGGATCGGCTCGTGTTCCAAGTAGGTCGTGTGGGATATTGATATTGAGATATGATCCTCCCGGGGGAGAATGTCGTTTTGGATTGTTTAATCGAAAGACCTGGTGAGTTTTCTTTTTATGCCGGACAATGCTTCGCGAAACGCTCGAGGGAGAGGAAAAATCTTCGTTGATGTCGTCGACATCCTCGAGGTCTTCATCGATGACTCCTGTCCGGACACTTGATTCCGGCGGTGTCAATATCTCGTCTGAAAACGCGTGAACGATGGCGTCAATCGACCACATCTGCGGCGCCACCGTGGCATCCGAGTCTCGTCTCTCCGGGGACTCGGGGGGGGTGTGGAGTCCATATTGAGATGTAAATGCACTAGATCCTACGGCAGGGTCTGAAGTGAAATTCCCAGCCTCGTGGTGAGGAGGGATCCTACCGGCTTCTCTGACGGCTCGGCTACCGTGTTTCTGGTATGACACCGACGCAGCATGTGCGCGGGCTTTTGCGCGTTCTAGTTCCCTGTCGCGTTTCGATGAGCCAACTGGTAAAGACTGGACGAAGTGGAGCTTGGGCATGGCGAGAAGTCAGCCGGCTAATGTAGTTCGGTCATCGAGATGTCTGAAGTTGGTTGCCAGTTGCAAATGAATAAAAGTCGTTGATTGTGGGATGTACTCTATTGACGGGTTGGTTAGCGTGAGTAGACGGTGCCCCGGACTGATTGAAGGGAAATCCAAAAGGGATCCCGGAGCTGAACCAAAAAGGCCATGGCCGCCATTCACGATATGGGGAGTCGCAAATTTGATGCTAAAACAGGGAAGGTTGGAAATGGACGTCCCGCTCGCTTCTTCCCGTCTGCTTTCCTTTTTGTTCCGGTCCATCGTTAGCGGTGATGGTGACCTCACTCTCCTCTCTCCTTCGTAACGACGTGTCTAAAGTAATTCCCCGCCCCCTTTAGGACTGCAAGCGGCCTCGGCACACAATCGGTTCGCTCGTCAGCGAGTCAATGACTTCTCGCGCACTGAAGGACCAGACGCGAAGGTTGGGAACGACTGATTCATAGTGCAGTTTGCCAAAATTTCCGACGGGTCGATAAGGTGCAGATAGATAGCATAGACATTCCATTTCAGTTCATTCGCTCATCCTAGAGAAGCTATCATTTACCCACCGGGGTATCTCCTCCTGAAAATTGGAGAGAGCGCATGGTGATTGGTCTTACTTGCTGACAAGGTATTAGACATTCTGCACCATACCATTCGGGCAATGGCTGAGGTCGGTGACAAGGCTGGTGCTCAGCCTCAATAAAAACGCCTAATTAGTCTTCTTTTCATCACGTCGCATTTCTCCCTCTGGAAATGACCCTTCAACATTGTGAAGCAGCCTCTCAAGGTGATTTCGAAAGGTGCAGCACAATGGTATGGGTGCGACGACATCCCGGGCAAACCAATCTTCTCTCAGGACGCCAGTGTGGGTGAGACCTCTAACACAGGAATGAACGTGACTCTCGTTCGGCCGGTCTGTTGATGGGTTTGACTCTGCCAACGTGCTCTAGATGGAGACTAGACCGCGGAGATATTGAGCATGCATATTCCCTGCCAAATCCGATCGTCAGCATATTCTAAAATGGAACATCCCGATGACCCAGGATTGTCAACCATCCAGACCCCAGATCTTTGCTGAGCAATGGAGTTTTCGATGGCGACAATTGGTCACTTCCCGTCTCAGACGAATGCTATGACTTCAGTTCCAAATTCCGGCGAGTTGAAAAAGGCCATCCCTGCTTTTTATGTGGGGGAGTGGTACATAAAAGGTGAGTTGATACACCAGATGTTGTTGTTCTGCCGTCATCTCCTCTCCAGACCAAGGAAAAAGGGTTGAAATCATCAAAAGCGCCTACCACGCATCAAGTGGGCCAACCTGGTCGGGGTAACGATGAATCGGGAGGCATCCCAATTATTTCGATTTCGTCTTGCAGACATTGACGTTCGATATGCATTTCATGGGTATTCCAAGGATGTGAGACCCAAATTTATGGCCAAGGGCGGCTTGAACCCATCTGGAAATGTTTCCGTCATCGAATTGAACAGCAAAATTCGGGCATAATCCCATGCTACGACGGTGACACCGGGGATGACATATCTCAAGTTGATCGTTTGTGTGATCTCACAATCGACTGATGCGCCTCGTTTGTCCATGCCTATCTGTCCGACATTCAGCAGGAGTATTATCCTAAACACTACAAAAGAGCCAGAGTCAACTGACCCTATACCCTGGAATGACACCTTTTGGAGGATGAGTTCGATCAACGAGGGCCATATGTTATGGGACAAAATTTTACTGGCGCTGATGTGGATTTCCTTACCTTCTCGGATGAGTATTCAAAAATGGCCAACGTCGACGAATTCCAAGTCCTTCATGATGAGGAGCTGGGTGAAGGAGATCAACGTGGATTGAAAGTGTTGTACAATGCTGTCCAGAATCAGCCGAACATCAACAATTTCTTGAACTCTCCAGAGGACAAGAGATAGGTCAGGCGGATAACGGTCAGCTAAATCGAAATCATCGGCCACTGAGCCATGCATCCATACTGACTGCATTTCATGTGACGAATCTCCCGAAGATGAGTATTGGCCCGGAAGTCCTTGGCAATTGTTTGTTGGATCCAACCACGATATGGGAGAATCATGGCCCAATAGGCAGAAAATCTTTCAATCCGTGATCCAGATTCAGATCAGGAGTGCAAACAAAGTCTTTATTCCGATGTGCTGCAAAGGTTTGGTGGTGCACAAAGTAACAGGAAGGAGTGCGTTTGACGTTATACGATATGAATCGTTCGAATGTTGGGTTTTACAACCACTGCGAACAAATCAGTCACCTGAGAGACTTATTCAGTTTGCCTCCCTCCAAAAGCAGGCCAAAATATGAATTGCAGGTTGGATTCCTCGTTTCCCATCAGATTTCTTACCATCGACTGTTCACATCGAGGCAGCAGACATTTCACTCGAAGCCAGCCCTTTGCTAAATCGATCAGTCGAAATTATCAAAGTGGATGATAACGGCCCTCTCCAAGTCTGGGTACCAGTCACCGTCGCTGCGTCTGTCCTCATACTTATCTTGGTATGCTGTTGTTTATACCATCATCGGAATGAACTTATCACTTTACCGACAGACGAAATTGCGGCGATATCACGAGCCAAACGAAAGGGTATCCCAACTTGCGTACACGACCATCAAGACATTTGCCAACGGCACTGCCACGGAAAGAAATCGTCATGATTCGTGAACGTCCAGTCAGACCTGATCCTGTGTATCTTGCAGGAGATTTGAGAGCGAGTGATTATCCCGGAGCATAGTGTGGTCCTCCTTTCGATAGAGCCCGGGCAGACATGAATTCGGGCCCAGAAAGGTGTACTCTGAGGGTCCAACGAGACGATTCGGGGGCGTCAACATTATCGAAAGAGAGCTATTGTTGTTGGTTTGATCTGACGGTAGCGTGATTTGGGACGTCTCTCTTCACCAGACTCTCCGCCATTCGATCCTATATCGAACAACGGATAATGAATTGGTAAAGAAGTTGAAGTTCAGCTTAGTGAGCTTTCTACATTTGAGACATGTCCCCAGATTTTCCTCGACAGCGGTAATGATAACCTTCTCCTCGCTGCTCCCAGAATCGCCGTCAAATTGGTCAGGAGCGCAACAAAGTCACCTTCTGAGGATGAAGGGGGATGGGATGACATGATGGACAGCACGGAACATGCTCTCAAAGATGACGAAGGTCTCGGATAGTTCCTGACAACAAGAACAAATCAGACGTCGTACAGAAGCATGTCAGGGATTATTTTTGACACTAGACCTCCCGGATAAATCATCGGCGGACGGGCACCACTGACAGAGAAACCAGTATTCGCAGGCTATTTCACTGACGAAGATAAGTTGTCGCCCGATTAGTATAACCATCCTGAACTCCATAACGATGAGTTCATGAAGATCGGGAAAGATACGAATCAACTCGAAGACGAAGGAAATCTTCCGTGGTACATTTGCAACCGTTGGCAGAGGAGAGAGACAAGATTCGACCCTGAAGATCTTGGTTCCTGGCGATGCGTTCGAAACACATCCGGACTGAATTATGGAGACCATAGCATGACCAGACATATCCTCTGTACTACTTTGCTTTGGTTTCTTCATTTGCCTTCTCCTCTTCTGTCATCTCCTCTCGTGACCGTCTTCTCTCGTAACTGGAATTAAATCTCCAAATATCACAAGCATCACAACGTAGCCTCAGCCTTTGAATCCCTCGGGAATCATCAACGCTCCAACCTCCGCGGTCCCCCTCTCCGTCGCCAGCAAATTATATGCGGCCGCAGCGTTCGCGGTGTCCATGACGTCAACTTTGACACCGAGATCCTCAGACAAATATCGTCGCGTGTCGCGGCTGAGCATGCACAATGCTCGACCGGTACCGACGATCAAGAGGTCCGGTTTTGGGTATACCATGGCCAGAATACCCAGGGATGACGGCGGGATGGTTAAGCTGCTGCGGGCGTCGAGGAGGCTTTTGAAGCCAGGCAGTCCTTCTGTCCCGCCGATGTTTGTATTTGCGTCTCCTGCCTTTGTTTTGGTGGTTGAGGATGAGGACGTCCAGGGTGTCCAGAGAAACGTTTCGCCGTCGAGAAGGAGCACGCCTACGCCGCGGGATGTGTGAATGCCGTTGTTCAGCTGAAAGCCGTCTGGGTAGCAGGCATCTATGGCCGTGGCAGGCGTTACGGCGCCGGCGTTGGAGAGAATGTCCATTTTGCTAAAATCCGTTTGTGTTTCTTCCTGGGAGGCTGGGCCACGGTCGTAGGTGGTAGGGGCACGGGGATTCGAAGGTCTCGACCGTGTCGGAGAGGCGGAAGGAGAGGAAACATTTGGTTTCGAGGATGTGGTAAGGCTGCGAGAAGAGAATGTGAGAGTTCGCGAAGCTGCGAGCCGTCGGGCTGCAGTGCAGAGAGGGACAGGGCGTTCTGTAGGTCGGTCAACTGTGAGACGCAGTACGCGGAGAAGATCTGTCGACGGCGCACGCATCGTGAGGGCAAACGGAAGGTAGACAAAGGCAACTAAGACGTGGATATAATCGAGGACATAGACTGAAGATTGGACAATGCTAGGGTTCACGGTTCAAGAATTGTCGACGGCGGACCCTCTGCAAGGATACGGTGGGTGAGGAAGCTTTCCTCTCCCAGTGACGGCGAAGAGCTCGGACAAATCGAGCAAGAGAATCGATTCGTCCGTCGATTGAGACCTGACAGCTGATGTAGAGAGAAGAACCGAGCGTCGTTGAGGCTAAGAATGATTTCATAAATTTCAGAGCGGCACTAGTACCCCAAGCGCAATCCTACATGGCTGTACCATGCTCTTTGAGATGGAGATTGGATATTATTTCCATTTTCATTCTCCCCTATCACCTCATCACAGAGTTTTTTCACCAATTCGCTTTTCAAACATTCCGAAAATTAGGGAGCAACCACAACCTTGTCACATTCCTGTTCCGTGCCATCCGAATCCATCGCAATGCAAAAAAAAAAAAAAAAAAAGAGGAACATAAATGCAACCTCACAATCACACCAGAGCTTCATCAGCGTTACCGCGTCAATGTAAATTAGAATTCATGGATCACAACACGCAAAGCCCAACGAGAGCAACAACGACGGCAAACAAGCTTCCTCGAAGAACTGATTCACTTTTACCACCAACTGGACCAGCGCCACTGGAATCACCTCCATCACCCTGTACAAAGCCGGTGGACGCACTCCCCGTGCTGCTGGCGGTGCTGCTTCCGGATCCTGAGTCGCTACCGCTGCTATCGGTTTCATTATCACTACGTTGGCCGTCTGTACCAGGTCCAGCCCCTGTCAGACCGGGGACAGTCGCAACGTCACTTGACTGGGCCGAACCACTTGCACTGGCCGAACTGCTAGGATAGTCGGCAGACATGTTGGTACCGGTGCCTAAGAGAGATTTGAGGACGGTATTTTCGTCGGTGATTTCGACCGTGTTGTTGGTCATGTCGGTGCTGGTGTAGATGTAGGATTTGCTGCCATTGATATTGGCGCCCGTGGGAGGGTCGTAGCATTCAATGGATACCTCATCAAAGGCGGCATAATAATATCCGTTGGTCATGTAGGGGGAGTCCCATTGCACAAGACCACCGGCCCATTCAATGGTACCTTCGCCATTGGATGGGAGACCACCAGGCCAGAGAGACAGCTGCACTCGGGAGGGTGTTTGAGGGTAAGAGTATCGATTAGCAGTAGCGTTCCAGGTAGATTCGCGGTCGAGCGTACGGACTTGCTTGCCATCGATTGACCACGTAATGGTGTCTGGGGTCCAGTCGATTTCATACTCGTGCATGTTCTCGTGGACGTCGGAGAGACCAGTCGTGTTGCCGCCATTGTCATCTAGATAAAATAAAAGTTGAGCACTGGTTCGATTGCAAGGGAAGAGGATAACTCACAGTTTGTCACACCCTGAGAGTAGAAGTTGGTTTGAGCACTTTCCAACTCAACACCGACAAATTCGAAATCAATTTCGTCCTTGGAGTCACCGAGCAGAATGAACGCAGTCACCACACCAGCACCAGCGGCAGTGCTGAATTTGGCACTTGTCTTTCCATACCAAACGTAGTGTGTGCTTGCCAACAATGTACCAACTGTATCCTCTGCCATGGTCAGGAGGACTTGACCATTGTAAGACAAGGGTTGACCAGAGGAAACCCAGTCAGCGGTGCTGGCATCTCCGAGGTATTTGGTGTTGGAGACGACACGGTCGAGGTTGTTGAAAGTGTAGGTCTTTGATTGGCAGACGGGCGCAGGAACGCAGGAATCGAGACCGTAAGAATGAGCAGGGTCACAGCCTCCAAGACAGTAGGCGCCGACACCGCATTGGCCGTATTCTATATGCAATCAGCCTCGTTCAGATTCTGGTCAACCTCACGGCATTCTCAACATACGAGAACAACAGGGAGTGTCCGACGGGCACAGCTTGCCGCCACCGCAGGTGACCTCGGCGAGAATCGCAGGGACCAAAGCGGCCAGAAGGATAATGGAATGCATGAGTCGGCCTGCCATGTGTTTTTATTTTTATTTTTTTGTTTTTCCCGGGGCTGGGTCGTATGCAGTCGGAAACGCAAGACGTCGAGAGGACACTATATGCGACGAGGCGGATAAAAGGACCTTGGATGCAGAAGGTAGGACACACTGCAATTGGGTGTACAGGCCAAGTTTTCGACTACTTGGATCAGGACTTTTTGCTGGGAAATGTGGTTGAGCGAGCGGGAGGAATTCGACAAGGGAAATTGGCGGGTAGGACGAAGAGCGAAGAGCGACCGCCAGAGAGCAAAGAAAGGCCTCGAAGATTTTAGCGAGAGTGATGCGGAAGAAAGAAAGCAGTAAACGAGGAAGAGGGGGAAATAAAGGAAGGATTCACGATTACAAAAAGAATTCAATGGAGGATGGAAGTTTGGATGATGGGGTGATGAGTGGAAAAGTAGTTGGAAAGGTGCAGCGCAGGCACAGGCCGCAGGCAACCTACCATACACTCACTACACCTGTTACGTGGTTGTTACTATGCTTGGAACCGCCGGCTGCTGTGGGTGGCCAGAACCCGTCACCGTGGCCCACCATCTGTCACCCTCCTGCCCCCAATGCCCACTCCTCATTGCCACTGTCTCTCTCCACCAACAGCAAAACCCTCCCCTGTTGTCTCTCCACCCCATCAGTGACGCGGCGCGTGAAACATCCAGGCACGCCGTCGACCTCGACCTCTGCCAGAGACGCTTTCATTCGCTCAATTCCCCCCTGCCGAAGCTTCTCCCAGATCTACTGTGGCGAAACCCCTTTGCCCTTGGCGGCCTGCTAACCACAGGTCAGGAGTCGTTTGCCCGTCCCTGCGAATCGGAGAATATAAGAGAAGCCATGACTCGTCAACAAGAAAGCCGGATGAGATCTTGACCGTGTCAAGTCTACAGCAATGGTTCTTGGTGAAAATGAGTATTTCGCCCTCTTGACCGAGTTAAATAGAAACACACAAAGAGGGTCACTATACTAGATGCTTTTTGATGATCAGATCTAGCTTATTCCGAGTACGAGTAATGCAATTGCCGAATATACTCTTCATCAGCGTACCTACTGTAGGAACCTGAAAAGGAAACTTACCAGTGAGACGGTGATATTTCCGCAGGAAACACAAACCCTATCATGTTCAGATCTTCCAAGGAAAACATCTTGGACAAACCCGGCAACATACGGAGAGTTATATAAGATTGAAGAACCTGTGAAGCGCAGATATGGGGTCACGACTCCGAGGAAGCCTTTTCTCGAGATCATCGTTGGAACCGGATCGGCCGCTTTTCTACTATGCCAACACAACATCACCTCACTTGTCTTAGAATCACGGGACAGATTGGACGAGAGACTGCGAGCGACGCAATACGGCGTCCCGGCGCGGGCATTCTTGACGACATTCGAAGGCAGAGCATCGCCAGCTTTCCCTCTATATGCTGGAGTCGAGTAAATGATGGCGAAATACTCACCGGCATCGACCTTTCCGTGGTCAAAGATCACCCTGACTGCATGATAATTCTCCATTCGGATCATGTACAATCAATGCATAGAGGAAGGCAAAGGTCCGGTCGAGGTCACGTTCAATCATAAAGAAGTCGATGCTCACCAGGACGAGAACTGCGCTTAGGTCGATGTTGAAGTTGGCGGAGAAGGGGAAGTCAAAGGGAAAAAGAGGTTCACCGCCGACTGTGTCGGGAGAGACTGGCCTGGTCCAACTTTTGACTATTATTTGCTGGCCCAAAACGTCCATCACTTCCCCCATCCTGGAGGGCGAATTTACATCAACAGACAATAAATAACAGGTTTGGTACGACGGGTTCGAAAGATATGGTTATGACAATGGCAATTATATGGTCGATCCAGACTTTTGAGGCCTCATCGCCAAATGGGGCAAAGGAGGATTGGGCGTGTCACGTAGGAGTTCAGAGGCGGACTCACTAACGAAGAGTATATCCAACGACGAGAAACCGTTTTTAAAAAAGATGTTGCCTGGGCATCCTGATCCTGGAGACTACGAAGTCATCCAAACCAATCAATTCCGCATCCATAATCGTTGCATCGATACAATGAGGGTCGCCGAATCCTCCTGGGTGCCGATGCTGCTCATGTGTATAACCCATTCGGTGGCCACGGTTGTATGACTGCAGTCCTGGTCGTTGGCGGCCTGGCAGACTACCTGATCGGCCTGTATGAAGGAAAAGCGGACGAGAGTATTCTGGACCTATATGCCAACATTCGTCGGGAAAAATTCCAAAAATACGTCGAGGCGAGGTCGATCAAGAACATGAATAGGATCATGAACTCCGATCCTGAAACGGTGCTGAAAACGGACAAGTCCCTGGGGATTCTCCAAGACCTGGAAGACGGTAGTGAATCCACCAAGGCTTTTCTTCTGGTAAATGGTACTGCATCTGCATCTGCATCTGTTATGTTTTGAAACATGCTCTCTGTAGAACGTTAACTGACGTGCTTTGGTGACCAGAAAACATCAAGTACTGAACATGGTTTCACCCAGTACTTATCAAGAATCCTAGAATTTCTCAGAGAGCCGAGAGGGAGTCTGGATTCAATAAGCCTTTGCCTCTTTCCAAGATCCTTTCTGCAACTTGATGTCAATCGAGCTTGATTTTCTGACAAAGTGCTGGACCCAACGCCAGATTGGGGCGCAATCATAACTTGTAGACTGAAGGACGAAGCGGCCGCACAAAGAAAAGTCGAGCGATGTCTCATATATCGCATAGTGTCAGATGTCGTCGGTATTTGCAGCGTTGACTGGGATTCATGCCAGTTTCGTCAAAGAGATCAGCGGTTCGATAGACGATTCGTCTTGACGTAGAAGTGCATCTGTTGTCTGCCCGGCTCTAACTGGTATACTGACATGACGCTCTCACTGAAGTCTAGGAAATCCGGTGGGCTCATTCGAGCGGGTAGAAAATAGTGCCACAAGAGGACAATTCTGGGTCGGACAATCAATTTATACTTGCTACTGTCTTCTTTCATTCCCTGGGCAAGTAGATCACCTCGCTTGGTCCTTTTGCACATGCTATCTCAGCAGGAAATTTCCGACTACCGGAACCGATTGCCACCCGACACGCTCGGTTCCTTCAGGCATGAAAGATGCGCTACGGACGAAGAGAGTCCGAGCACCCTCACAGCCTTGAGGTCACCGGACGTCTTGTCGCTGGCCATGCTGTCGACCGGTCCAGATTAGGCTTTTGATAGAAATGACGTACGGAGGTGCTCTGCATATTTGACGTAGAATGTCGCGTGGGAAGTCTTGGTGAAATCCTCCTTTCTGCAAATGTCCATTGGACATGAACTCCATCTGGTTGATAGATAGTAACACGCTGATGAGAGGACCTGATAAGATGATACCGTGTCACGACGTTTCCCTGTTTCCGCCGACGATGGCTGACTGAATACTATCCTCAATATTAGTGTTCCCGGAGCAGACATTCCTAAGACGTGCAGCACGGTTTGTTCTCCGTAGAGTGGTCCGTAATATGCATTATCGATATGCATCAGATATCCTAACACATGTATGTAGTTCGAATACGATTTTCGCTAGCAAGGTCCTCCTATTTCAAGTCACGGCTATGCCGGCGAGCCGAAGGACAAGATAGTATTCGTGGTCCGTCTTCCGGAATTGTGCAGATGAGATAATCGGGTAGATGTTTTCTGTAGGTTGGGTGAGTCGAATAGCAGTCCCCTACGGAGCGCTCGGTATCCGGAATAGAGGGCTGGAGAAGGAGGATTCCCGACCCTACTCGGATCAGCCAAGTAAAGTTTGTGACGCCCCAACACCTGTGACGCGGACCATTACTGCCTCGAACAGGCTGTTTCTCTGCTGACCATCCCAGTCTGAGGCGGTGGACACGGCGAGCAACAATTGTCACCAATGCGGGTGAGATGGTAAATTTGGGGGATGGATTGGGTTACTCTGCCAAGGAGAATGAGCCCCGGTCCCAGTGCTGGCGATCGTATCTTTCGCCCCAGAACGCCTCATGTAACTTCCAACTGCCTCTCTCAATGGTAAGACTCTACCCTTACCAAAGTAAATCTTTGGGCTGGTAGGGAACAAGTGAGGCTTTCCCTTGGGGTTGCTTTAGATGTTCGTTAGAACGCTCTAGGCTGATTGTACTCCCGTGTCAGCTCTCCTTTACTTCTGCTTCTATCTACTGTGGTTAACTTCTTCAGAGTCCCTCATCAACCTTCACCGATGTACTCCTCAACCTCGACGGCCGTCTTTCTCTCTCTCCTCGCAATCTCCCATGCCTTCATCCCAGTCGACATTCAACCAATACCTGCCGACTTCGACACCAATGTCTGGTCCCCTCTGACAACTCTCGCGCCCATCACCCCGTCGCCGACGCCTTCTCCGACTGCAGACGTCAACATTCTCCCCGTTCTTGATGCCAACATCATTCCTGATCTGAAACGTCAAGTGACCGGCCAGGGTGCTGCCGCGGCAGCTACAGAAATCTCCCAAATCTCTCCTATCACCACGTATATGGTAAATGAATACCAGGACGGAACTCCAGTGCAAGTACCTGTCGTCTACACGCAAACGTTCGCTCCAGTCCCGGATCAATGGCCGAGCGCCACTGCAGGGGAGATCGGGCTCGGGACGATCCAGGGAACGATTGGTGTGGTCAAGACCAAAAGGAGTCTGCCCACACAGGCGCCTTTGGGAGATGGTGTCGCAAATTCAGGTTATATGGTGAATGAGGAGACCGAGAAGGCCAAGCCAACCGTACCGCTGATGGACAAACTCCGAAAAGTTGCCCAAGATATCGAATCAGAAATCACAACCTTGCTGGATAAAGTGAAGAGGCCCGCCGCCGAAGATGAGGAAGAGTCCTCTGTCCCTCTGGCAAAGGAAGTCAAATTGCCCGCCACCTCCGAAGAGGAGGATAACCAAATGCTCCCCCTGGAGAGAGAAGAGAAGAAACCCAGCACACACTCTCATGAGCAATCCAAAATTGTCGCCAACAGTGCCTGCATCGTGAAAGCTGGGACGCTCCCCGTACTCGCCATCACGATTGGGTGTATGTGCTTTAGTTACCTATGAGTGGGATTGTATGTACGGGTTAGGAGATAGTTGCGAATTCTATCTGCGGAACATTGGGCTGGGGTTTATGTGGTGTTTCATTTCTGCACCGAGTTCGTTCTGGCGTTTGGATGTGGCCGATGGCGGTTCGGAATAATATGCGCTCTAGAAAATCAGCTGCCATTCAGGCATCGCAAGGTTCGGCCAAATGCGCAGATGCGAAAGATAACAAGTCAGCGTTATATCCTATGTTTCAATAAACATGTAGCAGTCTGGTCTTCGTATGACAACTTGCTCACTTTGAAGATCCTCGTTTAGATCTGCCCTGTAAACTAGTGACAACACTGATGACTTCCAGCATGACAATGGCAAGACTGCTAGGGCTTGAGATGATGCACACTAACTCGGGTCTCGATTGCTCGCGCAGCGTCTACAGGACAATGCCGCCTCTTTAAATAAAGGCATCCCTCATCGTATGTTACAGTTGCAGAAGCAAAGTAGAGCACGATATGAGATCCATCATGATTCATCATTGGAAGTCAAAGTCGGGCTGCTTTGACCCCGTCCTGACTGGGTATTTCAGCTATTGGGGGTTATCAATTCAAGTCAACCAACCCAATCTCTCTTCCGGTATTGTACTGCATGAAACTTTTTCCCACCCTCGTGACACACTGAGATTCCATCTCAGATAGTAAGCCAAATCGATCAATCTATCAATCGTACAGTTTGGTCCAGTCCGGTACCAAGACCAATTTCTTCCGCACCTGGCCCAAAGCATAGCTCGTGCCGACGACTTTCTCCCTTCCTCTTCCTAGACTCTCATCGTCGTCGTCGTCGTCGTCGTCTTTTCCTTCTTCGTAGTCAGGTCTTCCAGAACCGGCATCTCCATTCTCCACTTCTCGCTTCAAGCCAGATTTTACCATGACCACATCCTGCAAGAAGTCGACTTCGGATCCATATCGGACTTCCATATCCGTGCCGCCCCAATCGAGCGAGGCTTTGCCCGATTTATGCACGCGCAGTTTGCCGACGAAGCCGGGTGGGAGGCGTGTGGGTTCAGAGGCTGTAAGAAGTCCGTCGAGCTGGAGAGCAGGTTTCGAAGGGGCCGGCACATCAGGGTCTTTCTTGGCTTGACCGTCTGGGGGCGGTGCTGGTCCTGTATGAGCTGCGGAGGGAGGGAGATCTGTATCGGCTTCGGCTGTGCCTTCTTGTTTGACTTCACGCTCTTCCACCATAGCGGTTGGGTCAATGAGGAAAGGTGTCAGGGGTGGCAGCTGTAAGAGGAACATCTTACCGTCTTCGAGATTCGGTTTGCCACTATCCTGGTCATCGTCGACAGTAGCGCCTCGTCTCGAATGTGGTCGTGTGAACAGGTCTCGTAACTTGAGCATGTCATCCGTAACTCGGAGACGTTCCGCTCGCTCTTCAATTGTCTCTGTCGGGAATTTGACTTCTCTGAACTTGTCTGTCTGTTTCTTGAGACTCCGCCGACGTATCTCAGAGGTTGATGGTTGCTCCTTGAGGAAAACCGGCTCGTCGAGGTCCATGTCGTCTTCATCAAGGTCTTGAATTTCCGAATCGGTTTTCTTAAACGCTCGGGCTTTCTTGCGAGATGTGTCCAGTTCTGCATCTTCCTCTTTCACAATGCGAGGGGCACGAACCGGCCTAAGACCCATCCCAGGTTTGGGCATACGTTGTGTAGCTCTTTCTCTTCCTTTTCTCGACATAATAGCGTCGTCATCTTCGTCGCTTGAGACCCATATCCTCTCAATGTCTCGCTTGGGTTCATTCGGTTCATCGTCCGAAGTAATGTCGACTATTTCCTGTTTCTTTGTTGTGCCAGCTCTACCACTCGAGGAAGACCCTCCTAGTCCCTCTTCGGCCGCTGCTGCCGCGTTCTCTGCGGCCAAGGCTCTCAGAGAGGAATCGTCCAGCTGGCCTCCTTGCTGGCCTTCCAGCATCTCACTATATCCTTCGGGTAAAGCATTTTTCGATTTCGTGCCAGGTTTGAGGCCGCTTCCAGCACCAAAAACACCACCCGCTCCTATCGGTGTCTCTCGGGCTCTTTCATCTCTTTGACCTCCTGCTGCAGCATCCCTTCCTCCTCGTCCCGCCCTCGTTCTTGCGCCCCTTGTACAAGCATTTCCGGCTTCTTCTGCCGCTCGCTCTCTTTGGCGTTCAGCTTCCTCTTTGGCGAATTGCTCGCGTTCCGCTTTCGTCTTGCGCAGAATTCCTGCTCGCGGTCTGGGTTTGGTACCATTTGTGGGAGATCTAGTGGTGGATGGTTTCGGGGTTGGAGGTGTTTGTCCAGGCATTTTGGGAATGTTGTCTCGACAAACCTCAGAGGTTAAAGAAATGGGCCAAGGTCACGAAACAAGTATCATCTCGGACGTTCGTTGGTAAAGCCTGTTGGCGCGAGATGGTGAACGAAGACTGGTTGGCAGTGAATATGTCTTGCGAACAAGGACTTTAAACAGGAAGAGAAAGAAATTTAAATTGAGAAAAGCGACAGAGTGGGCAGAAACTCTCTCGCGGAGGGTAAATGCAGATCCACGTACTCACGTGACATCGGTTCGTTTCTCAGCCTTAACCCTTCGATGTCTGTGGCCATGCAAGAGGCATTCCCGTTGAGAATAAATAATGAAAGGCTTCTCATTTCGTACACTCATCAATGCTACCAAACCCAAGAATAATTCTCCTGCATTGCTTGTTAATCACAAAATTCGCCCATTTTCGTTCCAAATTGAAGACAACACATAAGAAACCCACACTGCACTGCCACCATCGATCATTGACCATCGCGCTCAGCTTTCTCACATCAGTGTAGCTAACCTTGTAAGACAGTCACGAATTCAAAGCAACCTGAAATTTCCCTTCATCATTGTCAGCCAGTCTCGTCGTGCTTGGGGCCTTGCGACCCCATCGATCCAATCTTCACCCCCCGATATCCCATTCTATTGCATTGGCCATGACTCCCCGTTGGTAGTATGAACCCATGTTCTAACACAACTGCACGGTGACATTGGCAGATTGGCGCCCCTCACCTCTTCCTCTTTTTGCCTTTATCGGGACTCCCGTGGACTGCAGTGCCGTCAGCGGACATGTTTGTGGTAGTCATTGGTGAATCTTCGTGTGGCATTGGTTCATCGGTAACTTTCTTGACCGGAACACCCATGTGTCTGCCATATCGGCCTTTGCGGCCATTTCCTTCGTCCTCACTGATACACCCTTCGATACCAATACCGGCATCTTTGCACCGTTGGCAGGGTCGTTGACGATCGCATCCTTTCTTACTCTTTCGGCATCGTTGGCATCGAGGTTTAGACGAGAGATCTTCCTCATCAGCAGCAATTTGATGTTGAAAGTGGAGGCTGGAGCCCGATGACTTCCTGACTTGTCCTGTTGATGCCGGTGCAGAAGGTGCTTTCATCAGGCCCGGCTGTGCTAAATGCCTAGCAGTCTTTGGGAGTGTGTTCGATCGCATTTTGGAGGCTTTATCATTCTTCAATGATGCAGTTGTTTTTGGTCGATACCCATTGGTTGGGCCATCGTGCGTTTTGGTCTTGATCTTCTTGGTTTTGGGAGGCCCATCATGACTATCGTGGTCACGCTCCAGACTTCCTTGGTCATAATCCTCATCCTCATCGTCAAGGTATTTTCTGTATTTCGGAAGACCTCCTTCTGCATCACTGTATTCATCACTATCGCTGGTCGCACCGGTAGAAGAAGCTGCATCTGCAGCACCGCTGAAAGTCTCATCCAATGTAGAATTGGAGGTACGTCCATGAGAGTAGTTTGAGGCATCACCCAATGCGATCAGAGTGCGAGCAACATCTTCATCTGAGATACAACTGGCAACTGTTGGATCGGGAGTGGGGAGCACTCCATTTCCGTTGTATCCCTGTCTACCACTGTGGCCCTGTTGCATCGTAGATCTGCCCCGCAGCCGATGACCATGCTGAGGCACTGGTGTTGTCATCTCACCACCTGCACCTTGGTCGCCAGGCCCATATGTATGGTGGTTCTCTCCGTAGTTTTGAGGGGATAGGACTGGGTGCTGTTGGTTTCCATACAGCTTTTGAGCCGGAGGGTGGAATGGCGACGGCGCCTCCTGTAGTAGGGACCGTCGCTGAGGAGATATGGAAGACTGAGACGCAGTCACAGGAACTTGAGGGGGAACGAAAAGAGGGAGAGTCTAGGCAAAGTCAGCATGGTGCTTGGAAGGGGAGGCCAAAGGGAACGCACAGAGCTGTCGAAGATGGGCTGTCCACGTCTGCCATCTTGTAAAACATTCGCAGTGCTGATTTCAGAACTCGCAAATTGCTCGCTTTTGGCTCTCTTGGACCCTGAAACCGAACTGCGCCCAGCTTCGCTATCGCTATAGCCGTTGTCGTCGTGATAGCTTCCATTGGCACTGGAACCACGGCTGACAGTTGTGAATGAGGCCCCCTTCTGTTGCGATACACTTCTGCGCCCCCGTCCTTGAGTTGGTGAAATGCTTCTCTTCCGAGCCAACCTTGAGGCTGGTCGAGACGGCGATTGTGACTGTTCCTGCATGTGAGGAGGCAGCATTTGGAAGGGGTCGCCTAAACTAGGTCGCCGTCGTGTTTCATAGCCATTTTCATTCGCATATGCACCGTGTGGATATGCTGTTGAAGGCTGTTGGGGAACCGGCACAATGCGCACATAGACAGTCGAGTCAGGAGCAAGATTGTCGTACGACGCAATGAGCGTATTTCCCCATGAATCTTCAAAGCTCACTCCATTGCCATCGTATATGCCATAGAAATTCTTCACGGTGGTGATGATAGACTCAGTACTGTCGTGGGTGTTCAACACGACCCTGAGGGGGATTCGTGCTCTTGTCTTGGAGCCCTCATCCAGGAGAAGCTCGAAAGAGATGGATTTGGCCGGAGGCATTTTCGAAGTCTTGCGTTCTTCGTTCGAGAGCAAGCTAGAAACCTGCATACCGTCCAGTGCACCAAGTATTGATGTCCTCCTCCTTTTACCTTTCTAGAATGCCTTGGAAGGTCATCAAGGGATTCGCCTCAACTAAAGGGGTGGTTTTCAAGGAGACCGAGTCTAATTCTGGAAATTCTCGACTCTGTACACTATGATCAGCGATTGTGCCATCTTGTGGTGACTTGGTGGTTGTGATGAGAGCGATCGTTCATGATGCTGGCCTCAATAGGCGGGAGGCGGTTGGGAGGACAACGCAGGCAGTCTGTCTGCCAAATTTTGAGCACTTACATTGAAAAAAATGTTGTCGACAGTGACAGCGAATACTTGCGATAGCCTTAGGATGAGACTCAAATACAGCAGGGACGGCGCACAGAAAGTCTGAAGGGCATCCGGCTCTACCGTCCAGGCATCGTCGAGGATAAGAGCATTGGAGGTTGCGACGATGCCTTTGGGCGAGAAGGGGGGGGGTTCTGTCGGAGCAGGTGGCTCGTCTGGAGTGAGGATAGATACCAGAGCAGTGCAGAAAGAGGTTTGAAAGAGCTGATGAACAAGTTGACGAGTGACAGGAGGAGAGAAGAGGTCAAGTGAAGAAAGCAAGGTGCGAAAGCGATCCTGGCTTGGGCGCTGAAACGAGGCCCACTTGACCAGAATGCCTTGTCCAACTCCAGTCCGTACTCGTACCACAAGAACGTGGCTTCGAACTGTGTAGAAAAAATAAATCCGAACAAGTCAGAATCGGGTATCAGGAATTTCTGTTCTGTTCTTTGGCTGTGAAGAGAAAATCCTACAAATCAAGAAAACTCGCCAAAGGAGCCTCGCAACTGGCAAGAGTTATGGACTTCTAGGTCTTATGTGTTCGCCCAACGGTGAGGGATAACCACCCTAGCAGTCACTTCACATTTTTGACTTGGTAGCGCTATCTGGTGACGGGGTGTTCACTCAGCTACGGGGCCAATCGCACCAGGTGACAATCCCGAAGCGGGTGGGCAGCATGGCCAGCTCGTTGGCTAGTATCCCCATGGCCGGTGCCTTGAGGCGGGCAAAAAGCTAGCAGGGCAATCAATTCCGAGTGCAAAATTATGAAGCAGTCAGCGGCGGCGGTGCTGAGTGCTGAGTTCTGCGCAGTGCGCACCGGTCAGAATCATCGGGAAAGTGAGGACACCAGTTGCGAGCCAGGCCAGGCGATGCGCTGTGCTAAAAAGGAATCAGTAGCAAACCCCTCACTGATGTTCAAGAAATGTGGCCGAGTTGCAGCAACTTTGCGACGTCTGTATGGCGAAGATGAGCAAGCGTCCGCGTATGAACCGTAAAGGGTGGAGTAGCAAGTTTTGGCTGCCGTTTGGGTGCCCGTTCAGAGGCCGTGGTCAAGACACGCAAGCATGCCATCCAACCATTCCACCAATCCTCGACGACTCGGCCGTGGGCTGGAGCACTGGCTGCCACAAAACTGCACAAATCGCAGGGAATTCGAATCGCCGTTCACGCCAATCCATGCACTTCAGCCCGCCCTCCAAAATTCTCCCACAATAATCTCTCTCAAGCATGGGAGAATATGGAGTATTCCCAACGGCTACGACGGGCAACGGCGGCGTCAAAGTCTTCCAAGTAGAGGTAGGCTCGCTTCCACTTGACGGTTCTACTGTAAACCGGCGCTGGGCCTTGGCGACAAGTCTGAAATGGCGGCAAGCTCGAACCCGGCGCAATTTCGCTGCTTCATAAAACATCGGTGCACGTGCAGTACCATATTTTGTTTTATATGGATTCGCAGCTCCCGAACGGGATGTCATTGCTACTCGCAGAAAGACTCACGTTGTCGCCGCAAATCGAGCCGAGATTAATGAACGTCAGGTTGCTGTCATTGACCCTCCAACAGGGCAACCCCACATTCCAATTCTATGGGCAACCATCTCAACCATTCAGGCCCATCTAGTAAGCTCCGTTTGGGTCGGGGTTCTGATCCTTTTCGCTGGGACATTTCGCGATGTGAGTCGGCCGGTAAGCGCAATTTGGCTCACCGGGTGAATGGGGGCCATCAGATGTGGTGCAAATGATGTGAAAGCCATCGAATTAGAGTTTGCGCTGGGAGTTCCGGCCCTCGGGATATCGCCTTCAAAGGTCATAGACTTGCCTTCATCACTTATTTTGCCTTTGCTTCGCGAACATCGATAGCTTTTGATACATCCGGATACGCAAACAAGGAAAGACCTGATCGTGCGATCGTCCTCGGTATTGTTCTGCACCAACGATCCAACAGCTGCATTGAGGCAGATACTGCTGTACGGTGTCGCGTCCCCGTCTTTACCATCGCTCCGACCCATCAGACATGAGATCAGGAGATGCGTGATCGCAAGCCAGAATCGTATTATACAAGTCCGAGGCGTTCTCCATGTCGAGGTGGATTCGGGATCGTTGGACGTCCTATGACATTGCTGAGGTTGAGTAAGCGCCCAGCGACACCCGAGCGGGTCGCAGGCCGTACCCTCCATGTTGATTCCCCTGAAGAAAGCTTTTGAAGGCAAAGCAAGACAAACGATCGGGCTTATGGCACCAACTGTCTCCTTTTGATTCTTGTGACGGCGCGCTCATCTAGATCATCCGCCATCCTGACAGTAATGATATGATGGATAATTGCCAGGATGCTGGGGACCTATAAAGTCACGTGGCCACGTGTTATTCCCCGACGCGTTGACGTCATAGCAGGCTTTTGGGCCGTAGCGCCCTACAATTAGCATAGGGACCTACAAGAAGACACCTGTACAATTGAAATAAATTTTCCCATCAGGCAAATACTTTTTCTCAGCTAAACTCCACTTCTGCGAGGATAGGAACTATAAAATACATTGTAGTGCCTTTCAAAATGACCGCGTTGTTGACGTCGTAATAAAGGAGGATAGCTGGGCTTGGCAGCAAGCCAAGCGCGGCAAGAGCCGCAGCCAGTAGCAGACGCCGGGAACTTCACTAGCAGTGCCAGTGCTGTACCGCATGTCTGTTTATATCGGGACCTCGTCCTATTCAATGTTGTGTTTTGTTGCTATGGCCCACAATATGCCGTGCACTCGACCACAGGCATAGCTTCTGCATTGGTACACAGCCTGGTGTTTGGCCTTCCCCTTCCTTGCCTTCGTCTTTTCATATCTCCTCATCTGATGCTTCCACCCCTATCACGTATTGTCTCTCCTGCATCTTCGTCGCGGCGCTCCGCCTCGACCTGCAGCAGCCTCTGTGGTGTTAACCAACATTTTCAAACTCGATCAGGAGACATCGTTCTATCTTCTTGGTGTGGCTGTTCAACATGGATGCCAGAGTAAGTGTCCTCGTCCCCGCCGTTCAACATAGGTAGTCGACGCGCAAAGCTCCTGGCGATCCTAAAATTTTCTCCCCTATACGTTCTCCCTTCGGTAGACTGGCACTAACAATGAAATTCTTCCTCCAGCCGCAACGCATGATCCGGCCTGGACGCGTCGGCAAGAATGATGAGAACCTCCCTCCCGACAGTCATGTCACTAAAACCATCCACCAACGAAATAAATCTAGTCCTGCCCTGACATCTTTGTCCGCGGCAGGACAGGGCCTGAAAGGCGCGGCGAAGCGCACTCCTTTTGGCGATCTAAGCAACATTGTCCCGGGCACCAGACCTAGCAAAGATGACTCGACACTACAAACCAAGCCTAGCTTGCAACCCACCGTCAAGGCTGCCCACCCTCTAAACGGAAAGTCTGCTATTACGCTGCTGAAGCCCGCACAGAGGCCATCGGGCATCAAAGCCAACCACAGTAACACAACATCTGAAAGCTCCCTCCTCCATCCCCCAGCCGACAACAATGTGATCCCTCCGCAGGCTGCCAATTCGAGAAAGACCCTGACTAAGCGGCAAACGACGATCTTCAAAGATGATAGCCGGCTGGGTGTAGTCCAAGAGACAGAAATTACATTACAAGAATCAAACAATGCCAATGCCACTGATGTGAAAGAAAAGGTCATAGGGTATTCCAAGCTCGAGAATGAACCTCAGCCTTGTCTCCCTCCACCAGCGTCACGCCGTGTGATTGACCCTGTCAAAGAAGTTCAAGATCTCCAATCCGACACCAGTTTGCCAGGCATTGATGAAGTCAATCTAGGATCTACGCTATCCAGTGAGCCAAATGTTAACGTTGATATAAAGGAAGTCGAAGCTTTTGCCGCAAAAGCGTCCGATGTCCTTTCTTCACGGCCACCTGCGACCGACAATGTGTCTTCTCAGCTTGCTCCGGTATTATCGAACTCAAATGCTACTGCTGTGAAGGAGACAGAAGCACAACAGATCCCAGTTGCAAAGCTAATCAACCCTGTGGACGGTGTACCACCTTTGAGTCCCCATCGTACATACGTTCAGCGACCCGTGGAGCAAGAAGAGTATTGGGACGAAGAAGACGAAGAGAACTATGAAGAAGGGTATGTCACAGCTAGATCATTTCGATCTAGGGGGGAAAACACCACCAGCGGTACAACAGCTGTCCTGTTCCCACAGATGAATGCACGAGCTCGTAAAGAAATCAATGCTGCGAAGCAGTTAGTTGAGGCCACTCGTTCTCCAGAGGATGTGGAAGACGAAAGCTATGACACAAGCATGGTCGCCGAGTATGGAGACGAGATCTTCGAGTACATGAGACAACTGGAGTTGAAGATGCTTCCCAACGCTCATTACATGGATAATCAACACGAAATTCAGTGGTCCATGCGCTCGGTTCTGATGGACTGGCTTGTCCAAGTGCATCTTCGATTCAACCTGCTCCCGGAGACTCTGTTCCTCTGCGTCAACTACATCGACCGATTTCTGTCCTGCAAAGTTGTTTCTCTCGGCAAACTCCAGCTTGTTGGCGCCACCGCCATTTTTATTGCCGCCAAATACGAAGAGATCAATTGCCCATCTGTGCAGGAAATTGTGTACATGGTCGATGGTGGGTATAGCATTGATGAAATTCTCAAAGCAGAGCGGTTCATGCTTACCATGCTTCAATTCGAACTCGGTTGGCCTGGCCCTATGAGCTTCCTGCGCCGAATTAGCAAGGCTGATGACTATGATCTCGAGACTCGAACTCTGGCCAAGTATTTCCTTGAGGTGACGTTGATGGATGAGCGTTTCGTCGGGAGCCCTCCTAGCTTTACGGCTGCTGCCTCTCATTGCCTGGCACGTATCATGCTCCGAAAAGGTACTTGGGTAAGTTTGTAATATTGGCATACCAAATTCAGCTACTAACGAAATCAGTCTACACATCATGTCTATTACTCTGGCTATACATACTCCCAACTCAAACCGCTGATCAATTTGTTGCTTGAATGCTGCGATGACCCTAGAAAGCACCATGGCGCAGTTTTCAACAAGTACCTCGACAAGCGCTACAAGAGAGCTTCAGTATTTGTCGAGGCAGAGATGCAGAGAGGCTTCCAATTGCCAGATCCGGCTGCCGCAGCATTTTTACCTCAGTCATCGACGGCATACTTCCATGATAACGTTTGTTATTTCCGCATGTGAACAGCCGTCTCTCAAGTTAGCAACATGAGTGCAATCGGCCACAAACAAATCGCTTCCGAACAACATCGCGCTCGACTGAAATGAAGCCCGAATGGAGGATGAACTTGATTGACGGCAATGTCGGAAAGAGAAATGTCATCGTTGCTGGTTTATCATTCATTTTTTTTTTTTCTTTTTGTTTTTAAATGTTAGAATTCCTCATTGCTTATCGAGGAACGATCACGAGGATACACGAAGTCATGAACCCCTAATTAGCATCATCATTTGCATAGAGTCCGAGAATCACAGAACTGAGCGTTATCTTCTCTCGGTTGCCTGACAGAGTATCGGCCAGCTTTATTTATGGTGGACCACGGAACTTGCTCGTGGAAAGCTTTGGAGATTGTGACGGCGAACAGAGACGGTGGCAAAGGCTGCCTGCGACAGAATTGGTTTCATCGAGAAACCATATTATGCTATGAGTGATAATGCCCCTGGAGAGACGCAAACGCAATGCGCATCTCAAAATTGAAATATTCCTCAAATTCCATTATCCATGAACTTTTGTCGAGATAGAAGAATTTGAGTCAAACCGGGGGGCTGTACCTGCAGTACACAGCTTTGATTGATGATTCTTACGCCCGTGCAGGCCACCCGGCCCATTGGGAACTAGCTCTACCACGTGAACGTCTATCCTATAGCCTCCATACCCAGTTCCCTAGTTCTCCAATCCCTTCCTTGGCTTGGCCTTCGAATTCCCGGCTTCTCGACACGCAGTACACAGCCCTTACAAATAAGGGGGGCAACAAGGCTGAGGCTTATGTTCCTTACGGAATGTTTGCCGAGGTTAAGTTTTTCACTGCACGAGCCGTCCACCATTCCTGTTCATTCCCTGCCCATACACTAATTTGCATCTCTGGGCCCCGGAATTGTCTCAGTATTGATAGGGATAATGGTGGAGTCTCCCTTCTGTCCAAGTGAGCCCTTCTAAAGCGACGCCTCTTACTCTTGATCGGGTAGGTTTGAAAATCTTAGACCTCACCAATCTTTGTCCTCTTGACAGTCATTTGGTCAATACCCAATATTACGAATTCAGCGAATGGCGCCCAAAAAAGGCTCTGCATCAGGCAAGAATGTTGAGTCCAAGAAATCGGCTCCCTCAGTTCCAGACAGCGATCATATCGTGTTCAGCAATCAGCAAAATGACAAGAATAAGAGAGATCCAAAAAAAGCCGAAGGTCCGCCCCGCCCAGATGCCAGAAAAGTCATAGGAGGCGCGTCGTGGACGGGCAAACTGCCAGTGAATATGTTATCAGAGCATTGCCAACGGCAGAAATGGAACAAGCCGGAGTATTTTGGACGTCAAATATCCACAGGCAACAACGGGGAAAATTTGCACAGGTTTTGGGTGGTACTGTCGAAAACCGATCCAAAAACAAGAGAGATAACGAAACTTCCTCCTTTTCAACTGCCCGCGACCGAAGCCCATCTAGCAGATCGACCGTCTGCCCTTGAGGCACGGCACTTTGCAGCGGCATATGCACTTTTTCGGACATGCAGTATGAAGAATTTAGCAATGGCATTGCCTCCAACGTATCGAGATCTCTGGAAAGGTGAATTCCAACGACTGAAAGAAGAAGATCTCAGGGAGGACCGAGCGTGGAAATATGATGCGGATCCTTTCGCTGCAGAAGCCAAGAGAAAAGAAATCAAAGCTGTCATGGAAAAGAAAAAACAAGATCAGGCGTTGAAGACAACTAAAATTGAGCCTCGAAGCTTTGTGAATCCAGGAGCGAGCACTGCCAATAGCAAGTCGTGGGATCGAGCACCCAAGCTTGAACTTGGACAGAATGTCCGCATGCGTATCGAATCAATGATAAGAACGCGAGGCGTGTGGAACCAGAACGCTCAGAAAATTTCGGAGGGAGAGAGAAGCTCAATCTTGTCCGATTTATCAAAGTCTGGATTTCAGTGTAGTCATGTGGAGGAAGCACTGGACCATTGTGGATCTCGAGAGGAAGTATTAGAGTGGTTACTCATCCACGTACCCGAGGATTCGCTGCCCGCATGGAGTTTTCCACCAGGCTACAATGCTGGCATACTCCTCGTTACAAGCGACCTAGCCACTGATGCTAAAATAAAGAGATTGGCGGAAGCGGGATACCCCAGTCAACTGTGCATTCAAGCTCTGCGCGACAACGATGGAGACGCAGCGTTGGCATCTGAAGCGCTTCAGCTGAAACTTGTGTCTCCCCAACTTGACGACCCGAAAAACTCCACAACAGAGACAGACATTTGGGCAGAAGAAATGACGGCTTTGAAAGCTATTCTCGATGAAAGATTCACTGCTGATGGTCCTGATTGTTGCGTCATCAAAACAGACCCGACTTCGGCCATTTCTGCCACCTTTCGCTTTCAACGTCCTTCTTCTGGTTATCCAAGTTCATTGCCACCTATCATTTCAATCCGAGCACCCGAATTACCAAGCTACGTTCGTCTTAGTATTGTAAAAGGCGCTGTCAATTATGCTCAGGAAAATCTACTCGGCGACTCCATGATCTTCAGATTACTGGAGTGGCTCGACAACTCTGTGCCAGCTATTATTGAAAGTCCTGGCAAGCTTAGTGATTTACAGATTGCGTCCCCTTCATTCAAAGTGCGACAACCTTCGACCGTGGAGTTTGAAGGGCAAAGTCCTTCCGATTCATCCAAATTAAGAGAAAGAAGCTATCCAAAAGATACCAGATCTGACAAAACAATTTTCGAGGCTTGGAAAGCCCGACAATGTTCAGAAGCACAGGAGAAAATGAACTCAATGAGGCAGAACTTACCGGCATGGTCCAAAAAGGATACCATTGTAGAAGTGGTAAAGAAAGCTCAAGTCACGCTGATCACTGGTGAGACGGGCTCTGGAAAGAGTACGCAGGCAATTCAATTCATCCTGGACGAAGCTATCCAGAACATGCAAGGCTCCTCGACGAATATGCTATGCACACAGCCAAGGAGAGTAGCAGCGTTGTCACTCTCAGAACGCGTCAGTGCAGAGAGATGCGTAAAAGAGGGTGATGAAGGTAAGTTCTCTTAAGCCTTGTACTGGGTTGTCTGACACATTCATTTTCCTCCCGCCCTCCTTGGTCGTCAATTACGCTATTTCTTGTGAAATTGTGCATATGTATAGTTTTCAGAAGCATGAGGTTCAAGGGGCCTCATACATCATGAAAGACTATATGGGCCCATTCTCCAGACATATCTTATATCAAACCTAAATCCTTTCCACTTTGATCTCATTGAATCATAATATGACCAGATTGCTGACGCAGGTTTTGAGAGAACATCAGTCGGATACAGTGTCAGGGGCTATTCGAAAGTGTCTTCAAAGACCAAAATTACGTTCATGACAACTGGGGTTCTCCTTCGGCGCTTGCAAGGCTCAAAAACCGTCAAATCGGCGTTAGCGAATGTTAGTCATGTTTTCGTCGATGAAGTCCATGAACGTTCTCTCGACACGGATTTCCTCCTGGCTCTCTTACGCGATGCGGTGTCATCGCTCCCTAAGCTCAAGGTTGTCCTGATGAGTGCAACCCTGAATGCAGATATTTTTGCCAATTACTTTGGCGGCGAGATTGTCGGTAGAGTACATATCGAAGGGCGTACTTTTCCGGTTCAAGACTACTATCTCGATGATGTTGTCCGCCTGGTGGAAAAGGAAAAGGAGACGGCCCCTGAACTTGCCAAAGATCTCCCTTCATCTGAAATTGGAAAGGCAATCCAGAACTTGGGAATTGGTATCAATTACCAATTGATTGCCTCACTTATACAGATCATTGATGGGGAGTTGGGAGATACAACTGGGGGCATATTGATCTTCATGCCTGGCACTTTGGAAATAGATCGCTGTTTGAGGACATTGAATGAATCGCCAAGGATCCACGGTCTGCCTTTACACGCCTCGCTAACGCCTACTGAACAGCGACAAGTATTTAGACGGGCCCCATCCGGTAAACGAAAAGTCGTGGTGGCAACGAACGTTGCGGAGACCTCTATCACGATTGAGGATATTGTGGCTGTTATCGACTCTGGAAAAGTCAAAGAGACCGACTACGACCCAGCCTTTAATACTGTCCGACTCGAGGAAGTTTGGGTATCGCAAGCTGCTTGCAAGCAGCGACGCGGTCGTGCTGGTCGAGTTCAAGCAGGCAAGTACTACAAGCTGTTCACGAGAAGTATCGAAGTCCAGATGGCAGCGACCGCTGCACCAGAGATGCATCGGACACCATTGGAGCAGCTATGCCTTTCTGTGAAAGCGACAGGTTCGGATCGCAATGTCGAAGAATTCTTGGCCAGCACTATCTCTCCTCCAAACAATCGAGCTGTGGCCAATGCAATGAGGGTTCTACACCGGATGGGAGCGTTGGAAAACGACCGCTTGACAGGCCTTGGAATGTATTTGGCTATGATCCCAGCGGACCTTCGATGCGCCAAGCTCCTGGTCTACGGAGTGTTGTTTGACTGTGTAGAGCCATGTCTGACGATCGCGGCCATTCTAACTACCAAAAGCCCCTTTGTGTCACCACGAGAAAAAAGAGACGAAGCAAAAGAGGCGTGGTCATCTTTTTACACCGCCGGTGGAGATCTGATCTTGGCCAGTACCGCATTCGAGCAATGGCGAATTCAATCTTCCACGATGCATTACAACGATATCCAGGATTGGTGCTCGGCCAGATTTCTATCGCACCAGACTCTTCGTGACATCGACTCAACTCGACGCCAACTGCTCGACTCTTTGATAGAAACCGGTCTCTTAGCAACCACTTATGCAACCGACTCTTCTAGATATAACCGCCGGAAAGGCAACACCATGCTCATGCGCGCCCTTATCGCCGGTGCATTGAACCCACAGATCGCGCGGATCCAGATGCCGGACAAGAAATATATCGCGTCGATGACGGGCGCGAAGGAACTCGAACCGGAAGCCAGAACTGTAAAGTATTTCATCGAAGAAAATGGGAGGGTCTTCGTCCACCCAAGCAGCATACTCTTCGATGCTCAAGGTTTCTCCGGCGCAGCAGCCTTTCTGAGCTATTTTACAAAAATGGAGACGAGCAAAACTTTTATTCGGGATCTCACGCCCTTGAACGCTTATTCGCTGCTCCTGTTCGGCGGGCCAATTGAGATCGACACTTCCGGCGCTGGAATCCTCGTAGATGGATGGTTGAGGCTGAGAGGTTGGGCGAGGATTGGGATCCTCGCATCAAGATTGAGGACGCTGTTGGACGATGAACTGCGGAAGCGCATCGACTCCTCTAATGATGTGAAGGACGATGGCGAGCTCTTTGATATTGTCCAGCACCTTGTCGAGTTGAACGGCCAGGATAAATAATCCTAAGGTGGCACAAACAAGACTACAAACATGCTGATTCGGGATTGAAGAACTCCTCTCAAATTGCTCATTTCCAGACTGCCTTTTTATTTCCCCGCTAGGCACCTGAATCAGCCGGTTCTCTGGCCATCGGCGACGTTCTGTTTCATTAGACGGACTTGCCAATAAGCAAGTCTGCTGTTGAAAAGCGCCTGGAGCTGCTCGTAGCAGTAGCAGAACAGCAGGCGCGACAGAAGGCTGCAAAAGTTGCGAAAGCTGCAAAAGCAAAAGGACGGTGCAACAGCTGTTAAGTCAGCTAGAGCTACGGTGGAGTTATCCACCAAGCCGCTTGAGAAGATCGCCGCCGATTTCGATGCCAGTAGTGATGAAGAGAAAGGAAGCGAGGCAAAAGGGGGCTGGGTGCTGGTTGCGCAGTTGGCGATGGGGGATGTTGAAGAAATGGCAGAGTAAGCCGGAACAATGCGGGTAGTATGAAAACTGGTGGAGTCGAAGGAGGTCCTATGGCAATAGCAGCCTATGTAGCTGATAATTGCAATGATGCTCTCTCTCACAATAGCGCCCAGCTCTGGGCCCGTCGTTTGCATGGGAGATTGTACGAGGTGGACCGCCAAAACTGTACGGTTAGGGTTAATCCACTATTGCTGTCGGCAGCTGCCCTGGTATCTATCGTCGCTATCGTTTCTAGAGGCGCTGCTCCTTCACTTGAATATAAAAAAATAAGCTGCTATTGCACAGCTGCATCGTGGAGCAAGCAGTAACGTGAACAGCAATAGTAGCAAGCAGCAGAAGAAGAGGAAGAGGAGCAGCGACGTGGCAGAGAGAGCTCCTGGCTTCCATCTCGTTGAAAAAAAAAAAAAAAAAAAATTTATTGCAGATACCTTTTACTCCGTAAGAGAGACTAGACTACCAAAGGCCAATCACCACGACGCTTCCCGAATTCTCTGGTTGCCTAGCTTTACGAGGCCTTTGACTTCTTGAGATGAGCTTTGAAATAATGGCGGTCGCGTCCAGGAGAGTTCTCAACGAGTTCCGCAGAAGTCGCTGAGGACCGTGAGGTGGTGCTTCTCACTCGGTCAGGGCTATCTACGAATTGTTCTGAACCCATATCGGTCGACTCGGTGTCCTCTGTGCTAGAATATACCTCCTTCAAGGCTGCCTCACTTGGATAATCTCTGGTGTCTCTGACCGCCTCTCGTCTTCCAAGACTGCCTTGTTGTGGAACTTGACCGTCTTGACGGCGATCAACGTTAGTCAAGATGGGATTGTTGACGATATCAAACGTGGGAACTTGAGACACCGCTCAACGTACCTTGGACCTGGGGGATCTTCATCCTTTGCAGTGTCTTCAACGATTGTTCCAAAATTGAGAGCTTCCTTTCAGCATCTTCTCTTTCAATTATGGACTCAGGGGATTCAGCCGCAACTTTCCTGATCATTTTCTCTTCCAAACCGTGCACCTCTCTAGGGTCGAAGACGTGCGGAAGCTTATCAAGAAGACACACTTCCATCGCGTACATGCCGAATGCATCAATCACGGCTTTTAAAGCGACCTAGTCTTTCATCAGTAACGGTGCCGCATTCATGGCTTGCTGTACAAACCTCGTAGTAGGCTTCCATTGCATTGGTCGCCTCGACACAAGCGAATCGATCAGCGTCAACTTCAATCTCCAACACAAGGGCGTCAAGGAGTGCTCGAACATTGAATTTGCCCTCAAATATCCTGCTAGAATCTAGCTCTACCTCGGGGTCTTTGCCAAAAAAGGAGCTAATCTTCTTAGCCATGAGCTTTCGGGTCTCCATTCTCCTCTTTTTCTGTATGTTCTCTATGAAATACTCGTTGAAAGTCAGCGGATGACCCTTGACGTAGGGTCTCAACACTTCCTCCGCTTTGAGGTGGAGGGACTTGCTGATTTCCTCCATGTGCGGTCCAATAAGATGGCGCTGGAGGGCTGCGGCCGTAGCTGGATCCGCGAGGTGCTCGAGGAGGAGATCAATCGTCCTTTCAGCGGCCTTCATCAACTGTTCTCGGGTATAGTGAATAATCTCCTCCCACGGTTTTGCCTGATCAAAGAAGAGTTCGCCGATGATATCAGGATTGAATGTACCCGGGAGTTCGCGGCCTCGGTTGTTATTCATCCGTCCCTCGACATATTTGAGAAAGTTTTCTCTTGCGACGAAGGTCGGGCCTCCATGGCCTGTACTATTGGAGTCAGGTGTGTAATCCACGAGCTGAATCGCATGTCCTCGTAGACGCATCGCCCGAGCGAAATCTTTCATGATGTTTTGTACCACCGCTCGAAGCCTTTTTTGGTAGCCATTGCCTATATCATCGGAGCTACCAAAGAAGGGATCGAGGTAGCTTCCGTCAACAGAATATTGCATCAGCTTCATGAAAGTCTGGCTGGCATGTACAAGATACGTGCGTTGCTCTTCCACCGTACGCCTTGGTCGTCCGAGTCTATTCAGTTTACGCTGACAATTTTCAACACCACTTCGGACATCCTGCAACAGTTTGGGAAGTTCCTTCGATATGTGAGACAGAAGAATCCTGCTCAAGCGCGGCCGAAGGGCTTTGATTCCAACTCGACTTTTGGGTAGGGAGTTCCAGTCAGGTCGGCGAAAAAATTGCTCTTCCGCTTCGTCCCTCTCCGCAGTAGTAGAATCCCTTGTGTCGAAGTCTCTATTTCGGAGAAAGTGCCAGCCGAGCTTCAAACTGATTCTGCCGTTTTCCGCGAGAGACTGATACCATTTTTGGGACTCTGATCCAGTGTGAAGAGTATCCGGTTTTGTGATAATACCCAACGTGCGATGACCCTGAGGGTCGAACTCACGCGCGTATTCGGTGACAATTTGATTGCTGTAGTCGTTTTTAGCGGAGACCACTGCTAGGATGATACTTCTTTCACTCTTCATGTAGGATCGTACCAAGGCGTGGATGGATGCTGCTTCAGCCCTGGACTGATATTCATTACCAGCGTGGAAAAGACCTGGTAAATCGATTAATGTCAAGTGGGGTTGATGTGGGCCCCATAGTTCAACCCTGAGAATATCTTTGCTGAATGCTTTTCGGGTGCCATCCACACCCATTGCCGCTGCTGCTGCCTCGATAATAGCAGGGAACTGGTCGAGATTGGTGGTCGGCGGTTCGAAGCTGGCAAGGATATCCTGGTCTTTTGGGGGGCGGTCCTCATGAGGTTCAATGGTAACATTGACTTTTGTTGTCGGGTCTCGGCGGAGGATGAGCTCTATGGCAAAGCGGGTACATAAAGCATCCTTGGTAGGGAAACGAAATCCCCCAGATATGGCTTCCAAAACACTTGACTTTCCAGAGGACTGGTCGCCGCAAACGATCAGCTGGGGCAAATCGATATAACGAGTGATTCCTTGAGATCTTAACGTGTCGATAATGTCAAGCACTTCATCGTGCTCCGGGATTTGTAAGTGAACTTGTGGTTGACTAGACTCGATGTTCTCTGGATTCCCAGAGTCATCCACTGCCAAGGTGGCAAAAGAAGATGTAAGCAACGCCATGGTAAATTGTGAGTTATGTGAATGTGTGTGTGAGTGAGAGAGAGAGAGATAGGCAGTCTCTGACGACGGTGTTTGTTCACATTTTATATCCCAACATCTCGGCAGTGCGGCACTGACATCCCTTGACGCTGACCAGGATCACCTCCAGTCAGGAACAACGTGCAAGGTGGCCTAGAAAGGCAAATACCCCCCCCCTCCTCCTCCTTGATGCCAGCGTTGGGTGATTTGGTCATATCAATGGGTGGGGAATTTATGCATGATAGAATAGAAATGGTCATCCCCTGTAACGCACATTGTGTCGAGTTGACAACGCATATCAAGGTGCAGAAAAGAGGACGACCAAATGCCGGAAGACGTAAGAGACCCCCTTAGCATGGCGTCAAGCAGCTCAGCGGCTGGTGTATTAATGTTGAGACTTGTGGCGTTGGGCCAAATCTGGCCATGGAAGGCTGTCCATATTGAGCTCGGCGAGGAAATGTGAAAAACAGCCGAAATGGCTATGAAGCCTGAGAGAGGTTGCTTGTGCTTGTATCTGACAAACCGCTATGTTTGAGCTGGATGGTCCAATCTTTGTAGCCGCGTGTACCCTTGGCATTTGCGAATGTTTCTTGGTCATGGGCTTAAATCCGTGAACAGCCAGAAGCTATAGATTTGTTTCTGGAAGACGCATTTGAAATCCTCTTGGAGCTGTGCCATTGTCTCGACAGGGAAGAAAAGGGGGCGAGGCCAGGTTATTGACCGGGTTAGACATTCCGTCTACTGGGTTGACTTAACAAAACGGTCCAATCAGTGGCATCCCATAGCCGCCCGAATCAGATTGCGTATTTGTCGCAGGTCATGCAGGGTGAAGAGGACCTTGTACTAATTACGTTTCGAGAGGGGGCCAAAATGGTCCGCGAAAGACAGGAGCGCAGAGAGCTTTGCCGTGCACGGATCGTCTCGGTGTTGCAGGCGGAAGTTTGCTGAAGTCGTCATTGGGTCTCAGAAACGTTGTAGAATCCTCGTAGGCAGGTGACCCACGATTGTCCATCTTCTGTCACCAAGCTCTACCCTACCATTTGGCGTAGTTGAATTCCGCAGATGTCAAGAGTCTTCCTCTAATTTGGGTATCTGGTGGTAGCCACCGCTGTCTTGACATATTCCCAGATATGTCTGAAAAATGAAGGCCACTATCTTTCTTAGCCTCGTGGTATTCGTTCCCAATGCCCTCTCGTCTCTCACTCCCGACACCAGGATCCCCTGGCATGTTGTCAACACTACATCAGGCCACATTCACTACAGACGCCAAACATACTTTCGTATCCCAGTTTCTAGACATCCCCTTCGTTCAGACACTCCGTTTTGAACCTCTCTCTGCTGTTTCAGCAGAGAGAGATATCAATGATTCAAAATTCGGATCTATATGTCTCCAATACTACCATGCAGGTGCGCAGGCCACATTATACACCGTTCACAGCCAAGATTACCTCTCCAGGGAGGCCACAGTCAATGCCTCAAGCGAAGACTGCCTCTCGCTAGCCATCTAAATTCCATACCCACCTACACGCCCACGTCCAAGAAGATCTCTAACCTGCCGGTGTTAGTCTGATTCTTTGGCGGCGCCTTTACCAAAGACGTTGCCAATACGACTTATTACAACTCTGCCCCGTGGGTCCAACGGACAAAATCTCTCATCGTCATCGCGGCCAACTATCGCACAAGCTACGAAGATACACCAGATTCGGCCAGTCTAGCAGCACAAGGTGAGAACTTGAATTTCGGTCTCGTTGATCAACGACTTGCAGTGAAATGGGTGCACTCCAACGTCGCCGAATTTGGCGGCAAATTCATCCTAGATCACTCTCTGAGGCTAACCTGCCGGATTAATCTCGACGATTCCACATATCCCCATGACAGCCTCATCATGGGTTTCGTTATGTTGAGCGGCACAGAGCTGCGTCACGCTCGAACGCGGACTTGACGTACTCGGATTTTCGTACGCGGGTGTCTCACCTGGGTTACCCAACTAATGATCCCGTTGCCGAGTTGGAATGTATGAGGAAGGTTCTCACGGAGGTATTCACCCAGGACGTCAGGGACCGGCTCGTCAGAATGCTCCGGAGAGTGCACAAAAGAGAACCTATCTATCAATATAGGCAAGAGGCGACATCGACTTCATTGTTGAGGAAGTCGATATATACATGATCCTCTTTGGCAACGCTGTCACAACGAGGCTGAATGCCCTCAGCCCCCACACTCACGTGACAGAAACTAACACGCGACCAACCCCCACGTTCACTTTCACGCCAAAGGGCGAAGAACGAAAGACATTTTTGTTTACCTCGAGATTTGATCACACCCCCAATTCTGGTCAAATTCGGTTTTGCAGGACGGAGCATTTGTGTCTTGTCACCTAGCCAAGGCCAAGATCGACACAAAATGGGTCGAACGGCATCTCACCGACGGCATCCTGCTCCGGTTTGTCTGCCCTCATAGTGTAGTATCATGCATAAGCATCAGACTGCTTGCACGGGTTCAAGTTGATTCAAAGCGTTCTCCGACAGCAAAAGCTCTGACTTCTCCCCGCAGTTCCTCTCATTTGCCTTTAAACGTTGTTGGGAAAGATGGCGAACTTGACTATACTGAAGCAGGGCGGCCCGGAATATCATCGACGCAAGGAAAAGGGAAAAAAAAAAAAAAAAAAAAGGCCTAACTCCCTCTGTGAATTTCTCGGTAACTCCGAATCAGGCAACCCGAATTCAAAGGCCTAGGAACTCGACCTCCCACTAGAGAGGGATAGAAATTCAGCGTGCAGAGCCTCTGCCCGAGAAGAGGATGTGGTATGACCTGATGAGAAGCGAGAAAGACCCCATCCAAAATCAGAGAATCATGTCCGGGTGACAGCTGACTGGAAGATATTGCTCTCTATCGCGGGGGTAATATTTTGGGGGGACATTGGAAGAGACCAACTTTCTCGGTTGGTCGGTGTTTCATACCGACGTGCGTGTAGGAGAGGCGTTCAAGTTCGCAGTCTCACTCATCAACGCTTGAAGGTAAGTGGATGACAGCTTGAATGTGGGAACTCGGAGCCGGACAGAGTTCATATTTCATGTGCAGGTGGGGCGCAGCCATCCTGGCCATTTCCCCGCACTGGATTCGAATTGTTGTTGCAGGAGGGCACGCGGTAGATATTGTTTCTCTCCCCGGACTTGCCTGCTCAACTTCCTACCGTCCTCAACTTCCTCTTTTCCGTTGTTCAAATTCGGCCGTCAAAATGCAGACCAAACACTTTATCAACGATCCCACACACTTGGTCCAGACTGCTCTCCATTCTCTCACCTTGACGAATCCCTCTGTCGCCTTCGACCCCGAGAACAAGATTATCTATCGACGACCGTCAAAAGAGCTCACAGAAAATCCTAAAGTCTCTATCATTTCGGGCGGAGGCTCTGGCCATGAGCCTGCGTATGTTCTCCCTCAGACCTGAACCCTTTTGGTTTTGATCTCCTCAAATCATAATATAACCAGATTGTTGATACGAGTTTTGACGGAACATTAGTTTTGCTGGTTTCGTGGGACAAGGTTTCCTTACCGCCGCCTGTGCTGGTACTATTTTTGCCAGTCCATCCACGCAGCAGGTAGCGCGTGCTGCCCTCACGAGAGTTCCTACGGAGAAAGGAGTGGCGATCATCACCTTCAACTATACCGGAGATGTGTTGAATTTCGGATTGGCTGCCGAGAAGGCGAAGGCTCAGGGTGTAAAAACGGAGTTCTTTGCAATTGGCGACGACGTGGGAGTGGGGCGAGCGAAGGGAGGAAAAGTAGGAAGACGAGGGATTGGCGGGTCTATTTTGGTGCTCAAGATTGTCTGCGCTCTTGCAGAGGCTGGTGGAAGTTTGTCAGAAGTCTACAATCTCGCGAAGCAAGTTGCGGGCAATACTGTTTCGGTCGGAGCGTCGATGGAACACGTCCATGTACCCGGACGTGCGATTCCTGATTCTAATTCTGACGAAATCCCGACCGAGGAGATCGAGATTGGCATGGGTATTCATAACGAACCGGGTAGTCACCGCGTGTCTGCCACTCTGCCCGAACTCATCAAGATTATGTTGACCCAGATGATCGATCCTAACGACGAGGACAGACATTTCTGTGATATTACAAAGAAGGACCAAGTTGTACTGTTGATTAATAACCTCGGCGGCGTCAGCAACCTAGAGATTGGAGGTATTGTGGCTGAAGTCCACAAACAACTCAAAGAAGACTGGGGAATTGTTCCCGTTCGGGTCATCGCAGGTGCCTTCATTACCTCGCTGAATGGTCTAGGCTTCTCTGCGTCTCTCCTCAAGCTTGAGGACACTGGCCTCGGCCCTGGAAAGTCAATGCTTGAGCTTCTCGACGCGCCAGCTGAAGCCTTTGGATGGGGGGCCGCCATAAAAACGTCAACTTGGGACGCTGACAATACTGCCATCATGGATCGACAAGCAGAGATTACACTCGAGACGAAGCCTTCTCATTTGACCCTGGACCCCAAGCAAGCTCATACTATACTCCAGGCTGGTCTGGACAAGATGATTGCAGCAGAAGCGGAGGTCACCAGGTACGACACGATTGTTGGTGACGGCGACTGCGGCATTGGTCTCAAACGTGGAGCTGAAACCGTTCTTAAAATCCTCTCTTCTGGTTCCCTTCCCACGGATGCAGTGGCTTTCGTAGACAAGATCATACCTGCAGTCGAGGACAGTATGGACGGAACATCTGGCGCAATCTATTCTATCTTCCTCAACGCTCTTTCTTCCGGCTTACGAGAACAAGACACCGGATCATTCAAGGCTGTTGATGCCAAGGTCTGGGCGGCTGCATTGAAATCGAGTCTACAAGCTTTGGGCAAATACACCCCAGCAGCTCCCGGGGACCGAACCCTGATGGATGCCTTGGTTCCATTCGTCGACACGCTGACCAATACTGGTGATGTCAAGAAAGCAGCCGAGGCTGCCAGAGAGGGAACCGAAAAGACGAAGAGCATGAAGGCCAGCTTGGGTCGAGCCGTCTATGTGGGCTCGGAGAATGAATGGATCGGCAAGATTCCTGATCCGGGTGCCTGGGGATTGCAGGAATTCTTGGTCGGGTTGGCTGGGGCCTGCTAGAAGATCTATAGGTGGAAGAACGCCGTCGGTGTGCTCAAAACGAGGAAGCAGCCGTTGCAGCCAGCAGGTCGGATAGGCCTCGTGAATACATATCTTTTTTTTTGGCTGAGCCTTGGGTATCTATTTCCCCGCCACCCAGTCCTTGTCGCACCGTTTTATGCCTGCGCTTGGGCGCGGTGCACAGTTCTTTCTTGAATGCAGGGTCTAAATCGATACAAATTCTTTTGATCGGGTTTCCTGCAATATCATACTCTCGCCTTTGTATTCGAGGACACAGAGTTCCGTCATTGCGACCATTCCATTTCGTGCGGCAAGATTTCGTGTTCCGTCGTTAGCAAGTCCACCGCACAACGCCGATTCTCTATTCCCCCATGTTTCATCAAAAAGGTTAACTCAACAGGACCAGGATAACACTATCACCCCTCAGAAACATCTTGCTGATGAATCTGTCCTTGTTGACGGGCTTTGAATTTCCCTTTCCCTTCTCCGTCCACATCTCCTTCACGTTCTCGAGAACCATGTTACAGTGGCGGTCAAAGGCTTTGACTCGGGCGAGGAGCTTTCGGTTGTTTCGACAGGAGATCAGGACTTGGGTGTGAGTGCGGGTCGCCGTCATCAGGATGGAGAGAGGCCCCGTGGATAATTCGTGTGCTTCGAGGAGAGAGACTTCATATTCTCTGTAATAGACATTAGTGTGGTGACGGATACAATTTTGGCTTGCGGGCCAATATGCTGCATTAGATCTACGACTTCATCATCAAAATAAAGGATGTAGACGAATGCGCTCCATATTGAGATGATGCATTGATTATGTTGGCGCGTCGTTGATTGTGCTGAGTGACAAGGATGGAATGCATGGGGCATGGCGGAGCGGAATCCACCTGAAGAGGGGGTTGGCGGACTGCATGTTGTGCTGGCGGACGCAGGGGAGAGGGGAAAGCGAGCACAGCTCTCGAAAGTGCAACGGGCGGGGACACCACATACGTCAACTCACTCCTCGGTTTATTGAGAAGATCCCTATTGTAGAACAAGGAAAAGTCAGCAGATTGATTCAGTATCTAGCGTGACCTCTCAACACTTGGTGCGGAGATAAGCCCTGACCGGGGTGTGAGTCATGGCATCGGAGAAGAGAAGGACATACTGAATCTTGGGGGCATCTGCCATATTGCAAAAGAATACTTAAAGAGTCTCGGTTCCCAGCGAGCAGAAGTAGAGAATGTAGAGTCCTGTTCGTTTTGCTTTTCGGCCAGAAACTTGGGCGCCAAGAATCATCATACTCGGCAAAGTTGCCTTTGATATCGGCCTGGTATCGCTCTAGCCGGAACAAAGTTCTTGAGGCTTTGGGCTTTGAACCTAAGTTTTTGGGGCATAAGCTTGGTTACATCATCCGATTCCGCCGCCTGGAAGCTGCGAGGCCCTGGAAACTTGCAGGGCCCCCACCGAGGTCGCGCTTTTAGTTGAACACGCTCCGCATTGGCCCACGCGTTTCAACTGCTCGATTGCAGCTCTGCTACCTTTCACTTGCTCACCTTGTCCTCACTTCGGGTCCTCTTTTTGTATCAAAGTAGCATCTGACGCCAAAAAGGGCTCATCGTTTTGTTTGTGTGTCGTCATTAGAAGCATTGCGTCGGAGCCTTTAGGCAAGCATTCACCTTTTACAAGCCACGCCGTCGCACACCACTCCTAAATCACGACACCTACGCAACCGAGACATACCTCCTGCTCATCACGGCATCCCCCTGCGCTATGAGATTCTCTATATAGCTGTGTAACGACTCGCGTTGCCAGACTGTCCCTGTCTGCGCACCTCGCGTCTCAACCACCCACCGTCACCATGGCGACCTCCCCCGGAAATGGCGTTTCAATACGGACAATCCGACTCAAAGTGCTCTACACGTTTGATGCCGAACAGAAAGATAATCACCTGGCAAGATGGCCTCAGCCGCTGGAGGTGCAGACTGCTTTTGTCGACGACGTAAATCAGATCGGTCTCATCGATCTTCGAACCTGTTTGGAAGCGGTCACAACCGCGAGCCCGGAGCTCACAACGGGTCTCGAAAATGACTACACGGTTTACGCATATGATTATTCGGAACCTGACACACCGCTAGTTGGACAGGGAATGTTGTCCAAGGCGCTGGCAAATCAAAGTCAGTGCACCGGCAATGAAAATGAAGCCATGGTCACAGGAAGAGTTAGCAAAAATGTTATGGGGTTGTTCTCAAAGAGTACACAAGAGACGCTGGAAGTCAAACTTCGATTCACACCTGTGAATACTTTCCCACCAAGATATCGTTCTGGAAGCGTGAGTTCTCAAGATGGCATTCGTCCCCAGTGGAATACAAGCTCTGTTTCACAGTCATTGCCTCGATCAGCATCTCCTGTTGATACTGCAGCTCTTGAATCCATGCAGAGAATGCTGAATGGCGAGAATATGCAGATCTCTGGACCTGGCGGCAGACCCGGCACACCCAATGACTCTCAAAGCTTTAATGGTCCTGCAAGACAGTCTGGGAACCGGTCTAGGCCGAGTTCGAGAGCAGGAACGCGTCAAATGTCCCATGGACGACGTGATTCATTCAACTCAGGATATTACAGTGGAGATGAGAATGTGGAGGATGGGCCCGCAAGAAAGAGGGCGAAGACGACCAAGGTTGACTGGCCAACGAAGGCAAATTTCAATATCGAACGGCAGCCTGAATCATTGCGGGTGGCGGCCAGCACTGCCTCCAGCGTTCGACTTCATCGGCCTATTGCAATAAATCCTGCTGCCGCTTTGCAGCCGGGCATCTCGATCGAGGAGCCCGTCAGACCACCCACACCAATTCCTGCTTCGAACTCGGGCAAACCAAAGGGCCGACCAGGACGAAAGAGAAAGAATCCTCCCAGCAATTTGGTTCGTGGATCTCAAGTCCGAGAGTCTTCACCAATCACAGATTCTGCACCACAGCCGGAGCATCTCAATGTGTCAGTAACCTCCCCAGAAGATACTCGAGTTCGAAGTGTTTCCAGTACGCCAGCAAATATTCCATCCTCTCCGCCCGTCATGCCAGAACATCAGCATTCAGCAGTTACTAGTCCGGCTCTTCCGCCTTTGATGGATACCGGCCACGATTCAGGGTTTATGAGTGGGGATCTTGATGACCTTTTCGGAAATGATCAGCTGCTGCATTTTGACGACTTCATTGTCGACAAACCTGAAGACCTTCAAGGTGGAGAGACAGGGCGAGATCAGCAACTTGCGGACACATCTAACTTGTATCCTCCGGTCTTCGACGAAGGGAATGATGTGGAAGAACCAGTCGCACAGTCAAAGTCCCAAATGGTGCCTCCACCGCTGCCTGCGTCTTCACGGGCCCTACCACGAGCACAGTCATACACACCCGCTCCACGTGTCAGCATGTCATCTCCGAGACTAGCACCAGCGCCCATTCCAAGGGCTCGTCAGATCATGGAAGAACAACGTGATCAGCAACGAAATAAAGCCATAGCTCCAGCACCCGTTCCCAAGAGTGATCCTGCTCCCAGAATTTTGCAGCGAGCGCAAACTTGGGGCCCTGATAGCGATGCAATCTTGTCTGATGTACCGGCGATGGAAGAATCCAGAGTTAAAGCAGTATCCAAAAAGAAAGTGGGCAAGGAGATGACCAAGGCAAGATTGGAGAATGCCATTGCCAACGGAGAAATGCCTCCGTTCTGCGACAATTGTGGCTCCATTGAAACTCCTGCATGGCGACGTGCTTATGCCAAGGTCTTTGAATGTGACTGGGATGATGTTGAAACATCTCTTGAGCAAGGCGAATGTTGCTATAAGGAACCTCTGGAACATAATCCTGATGGGACAGTGAAGACTTTCAGGGGTTACAAGGCCGAAAAGAGATCGGGAGATGAGGCAGAAGATTGGATATCGATAACCTTGTGCAATCGTGAGTGATTTTCTGAAGACGAAAGAAAACGAACTGACGCCTTCCCAGCCTGTGGCCTGTGGTTTCATAAGCAAAAATGTCCTCGACCCCGAGAAAAATGGCAGAAAAAGGACCCCAAAGAGAAGGGTAAGCGCAAGAGGAATTCTCATCTTTCAAAGGCTTCCAAGAAAGCCAATGGGAGTTCTAATTTCAAAGATGATGCCCAAACTCCAGCTAGTGACGATTCTTCACCCGATACGGCAACGGAGGCGCTAGATCCTGATGAAAACGAAAACGAAGCACTCAATAACGATGATTTTGTGGCGGACAACATGGAAGCTCAATTACCCCCAATGCCGCAAGCTTACCGGGCAAGCAGTGCAGAACCTGGGCCGAGGGGGCTACAGGCACGCACTCGCCATCGAGCAACTCGGAGGCAAGTTCAATCTAGCCCTGGTCGTGCCAATGGATCTGAAGCTTCCGCGCGTGAGATTGATTTAACGCCAAAGCCTGTTAGAAGGCAGCTTTTCCCTTCCCCAGACAGAGCACAAGTCCGATCTGATCCAGGCCCACTCACGACATCTACCTCGACCAAGCTTTCCTTGCCGGCATTTGTTCGCCGGAGCCCTAGGCTCAACAAGACTAGAGACGTCTTTGCAACTGCCGCTGGAGCGGTCGAAATCACCGTGGATGGAAAGGAAAATGTGGTCCCAGCGGCCGTTGTTGATGATGGCCTCGCCGATTCATTTGATGGACTTGCTAATGTTGAATTACCTCCGATGACTCCAACCCCGAAGAGACGATCGGAACGATTGCTACTTAAGACGCCTTCGAAAACTCCTCAACGTCAGTTCGGTGCTGAAATGTCACCAAATGCTGATATAACCCCCAACTTTCGCACACCAAAGGCCAAGCAAGCGCCACATCCTGCTCTTGCAGCGTTGCTAGGTACGGTGCGCAAAGACGCAATGGCATTAACACCCTTTTCTCGGTCGATCCACGACGCTTTGACAAGTGATATGGTACCCCCGATGAACTTGACCGAGGAAAACAAGGCGGCTTCACGTGGCGAGACGCAGAAAAATACACCGAGCAAGGCCATCTCGTTTGATTTCCCCGATCTCCCATCACTCAAAACTTCTTCTCCCATGTCAGGCGAACAGTTGATCAACTTCAATTTCTCTGCCATGACAACAGATCAAATGGATAGCGACCTCATTGATCCTTTCACCACAAATGCCACAATGCCGAGTTCCCCACCTGCGGGCATCTTCGGTTTCCTCGATACGAACGACAAGGCCATGGGGACTATGTGGGATGGCATCATTGATGCAAATGCAGCACAACATCACGGACAGTCTTCATATCCTAATCCTGAAGCGTTGGGTGTGGTGGCGCCGTCGGCTCAACCATTACGAAGAAGTCCTAGGAAACGAAAAGTGAAGTAATGAATCTGCAGCTCAAGTCAGCGCTTTGGCAGCTATTGTGTGGAGCATGGCATTCAGCATTTAGTCTTTCATTTTACTGGTCAGATGTATACAGCATCAGCGGTTTCTGACATGGTTGACTGATAGGGCAAAGGTCTTTAGTATCGCACTTGGAGTCCAGCGTATTCAATAATTAAGGCGTCTCGGCCATAAAGGGATGAGATCTCGGGATTGAGCAGAGAACGACAGTCGCCCTCACATTTGCTTTGTTGATTCATGATTTTCATTGCTATCGTACATCAAGTTCAGGGCTGCAGTCTTCAGTGATGCATGCCTCACCTGCATCTAATATGTTTCATAGTCAGGGTGTCCTCCATAGTCAAGCGACGTCGTAGGATCACGTGCTTTCTCAAGTGTTGCATTATCGGTAATTCAGATCATCTTCACTGCCATTGCGGACGGAATCCAAATTCGTCCCTCATACGGTCACGGTCTGGGGTTTGTCTCAATATCCTCCATCCATACCGCCTTCATTGTCTCCATAGAAGATGGATTTGTACCGATGTGTTGCATCAACAACAGCTTCAAACAATTTGATGTCTGGCTGTTGTCCGTTCTCGTTCCTGGGCCATTCTTTGCTGCTGAAGACTCGTAAACCCAGGCCATGTCCACCTTCGATATTGACGACCCTGCCCACAATCTCGTACAGTGAACCGACGGATAGGTGAGAATCTCTGTTTCGCATTCAGAATTTGCAATGATATGAAGAGTGGCAGTCTCACCTATTCAGAAGGATTGTGACCGCGTCAGATCCGCAGGTGAGTGTCGCTTGCTCCCCACTCACTGTCGTAATGATTCCCAGCATGCGGACGGTGTTGTAAGATGTACTGCCAGGGGCGAATGCATGGAGATGTGCAGGTAGGATTCGAGGTGTTGACATAGTTGCCATTTGTGAAATTGGTTCTCTCTACAGATCTAAAGTCCCTGATTGCAAGGGCACTTGGTGCAACGTGTGCAAAGAAGAGAAGATATTCGAGGTCAGTTATCCACCAGCCACCACAACGCGCCCTTACGCGTTAAAATGAAAGCCGGACAGGTGGCAGGTCTGCCGAGACTAGTGAGCCCCTCGGTGGCCAAATACTCCGCAAGTGGGTGTACCGTATGGGTACGGGTGTTAGTTTTACCGGTAAACACGTACCCAACGAGTATCTCCGCCAATCACCGAAGCTAGGCAAAGGTCGCCCGCCCGTCATATATCTTGCCCGCAAGCGACCGGCCAAATGTCAGTATTCGGATCTTTCCACCAACCTCATCATTCTATTGACACAAAATTAGATGACTACATCACGGAAAGGCAAAGAAACGGATCGAGGAACCCCGTCCAAGTCTTCTGCGAAGAGAAGAGTCGCCGACGAGGACACCACTACTTCCACGGCCTCGAAGAAATCTCGAATCTCCATTGCTGATCTCCTATCCACTCCCTCGGCCCGCGATTCGGATGACATCTTTCAGAATAGGAAGCTTGAGGGAGTCAGCAACCAAGGAACAGGCAAGATGGCAACGGCTACTTCTACGCCGTCGAATACTTCGTTTGCAAACATGTACAAGTTCACCTCCTCCAAGCCCTCGGCAAACAATGTCATGGATTTGACGGGCTCGCCATCTTCTCCTGAGTCTCCAAAACGAAAAACATCATTCGCGGCCCAAAGAACACCTTTCAATCCCCATCAAGGACCGAAGAAATTGGTGGTCAAAAATCTGCGGACGGTTCCCCGAGTCGATCCTCAGGCATATTTTGAGCAAGTATGGACACAGGAAGATAAGGCTCTTGACGCAATATTCAGAAATGAGAAAGAACCATACTCCTTGGAAGAACTGTACAAGGGCGCCGAAAATGTCTGCCGACAAGGAAAAGCAGCCGAGCTTTACAAGAGACTGGGTCAGAAATGTGAGCATCATCTCACCAATACGGTGAAAGATGGCATTCGTCGGGACGAGGCAAAATCCTCAGACGTTGAAGTTCTCCGGACAGTCGTCCATGCTTGGGCACAATGGCAGAAGCAATTGCTGACAATTCGACAAATCTTCTATTACTTGGATCAAACATATCTGTTACGAACGGCAGAGAATCCAAACATTACGGAGATGGGATTGATTCAATTCAGATCATCGGTGTTCTATGACCAATTCATCAGACCAAAGGTCCTAACCGGAGTTGTGACTCTCATCGACTCAGACAGGAAGGGCCCTCTTAACGAGAAAGATACCAGCCTTTTACGCCAGTCGGTGGACGCATTGCACGAATTGGGCATATATACCAGCGAATTTGAGCCGGTTTTCCATTCAGCCACCGAGAAATACCAGAAAACATGGCGAGAGACCGACGCCAACAAAGACGATCTCGCAGACTATGTCAATAATTGCACTGATCTTCTGGCACGCGAAATGACTCGCTGCGATTTCCTCACACTGGACAGAAGCACCAGAACTGATATTTCAGATCTTTTTGATACTGTTCTGGTTGAAGAAGCAATGGATGTGCTCACGAATGAGGACAGCATTTTGGATCTCCTCGAGGACGACAGATATGACGAAATGGAACGGCTATTTACTCTTCTCCAAAGAAAGACCCGTGGCGATGCGATCGTTCCAAGTTTCAGCAAGTATGTGGAGACAGAAGGCTCTCTGATTGTGTTTGACGAGAAGCGTGAACCGGAAATGGTGATCAGACTGCTTGAATTCAAACGACGTTTGGATCGTCTTTGCAAGTACTCGTTCCACGGTCACGAGACTTTAGGAAATGCTTTACACAAGGCGTTTGAGTTGTTCATCAATAAGACCAAGAAGTCGCAGTCGAACTGGGATACCGACAATGCCAAGCCCGGAGAAATGATTGCGAAACATGTCGATCTTTTGCTCAAGGGCGGAGTAAAGGCTATTCCTCGTCTTCAAACACAGAAACCGGATCCGTCAAAGCCAGAGGAAGATCACGATTTCGACGAGGCTCTTGCAGACGAAGACGCGGAAATCAATCAACATCTATCGAATGCCCTGGATTTGTTCCGATTTGTCCATGGCAAAGCTGTCTTCGAAGCATTCTACAAGAAAGATCTAGCTCGTCGTTTACTAATGGGGCGAAGTGCGTCTTTCGACGCCGAACGAAACATGCTTACCCGGTTGAAGAATGAGTGCGGTGCGGCGTTCACGCACAATCTGGAGTCAATGTTCAAGGACATGGACCTCGCTCGTGAAGAAATGATGTCGTACAACCAACTTCTCGATGATCGAGGCACTAAAACCGGTCCCGATCTCAACGTACATGTTCTCTCCGCGGCCGCTTGGCCTACTTATCCAGATGTGGCCGTCAACATCCCGCCCGCGATATTCAAGGTCATGAACGACTTTGAGAATCATTACAAGTCCAAACACAGCGGACGAAAGCTCACCTGGAAACATTCGCTTGCCCATTGCCAACTTCGAGCAAAGTTCCCACGTGGCAACAAAGAACTCGTGGTCTCCGGTTTCCAAGCTATTGTACTACTTCTTTTCAACGATATCCCTGCTGACAAGCACCTGTCGTACACCGAGATCAAAGCGTCTACAGGTCTTGTTGACGCCGAGCTCCGCCGTACACTTCAGTCTCTTGCTTGTGCCAAGTATCAAGTGCTCAGAAAACACCCGAAAGGCCGCGACGTCCATGACACAGACACATTCACCTTCAGTAGCACCTTCTCAGACCCCAAAATGCGCATCAAAATCAACCAGATCCAGTTGAAGGAGACAAAAGAGGAAAACAGGGAAACCCACCAACGAGTGGCTGCCGATCGCCACTACGAGACCCAAGCTGCCATTGTGCGCATCATGAAGAGTCGCAAGAAAATTGGCCACAATGATCTCATTGTCGAGGTCATCAAGGCGACCATGTCCCGAGGTGTTTTGGATCAGACCGATATCAAGCGCAATATTGAAAAGTACGTTTGGCATTTCCTTGGTATTCTTTCCCCGTCCTCTGCTCTCTTAGGGTGTCGTTATTGTTTGATTCAATCGTCTTCTCTATCCGTGGATGTGAGATATGGACTAATGCTCGATGACGTAGGCTAATTGAAAAGGAATACATGGAACGCGAGGAAGGGAACTCTTATTCTTACGTGGCTTAAATCTATTCTCCTCTTCATTCTGAACCGTGCTACTTGGCCGACCAATCCCAAGCCGACCAGGCACCATTTTCAACCATTATCAGCTCACAATTTCGAACAGACATAAAGGGGCGGGACACGGCGGTGTTGTGTACGGTGTATTGTTTGGAGGCTTGGTAGCTCAGGGAAGAGAAAACTAGAGAAAAGAGTTCTTCGAGTCATTAATGCAGACAGAGTAGCATCAAACTACTTAATATCGACAGGGAGCTGATCTTGCTGGGCGCAATTCAGAGATAAGAAAGACAGAGACCTGGATGAGGAATGTATGTAGAGTGACGGGATCATACTCAAATGAAGGGAATGAAATGAGACACGAACAGGCATGGCTCCAACACGAAGTCATCATTTCCGATCCGTCAAGTAATATGGCATTTTTTCGACCGAAGAGCTACCAGGGACAGAAGAGATGCGCACGTTGTCGAACCAAGTGAGGTAAGACAAACTGGAACGAGACACGGCGCATCTCGACCGGGGGTGACATTACTAAAATCCAACCAGACCAAGAGAGGACCGACAAGGCTAGGAGATTTCATGACAGAATTGCAAAGCAATGTAGTGCAGTGCTCCCAGTTTCCACTAAAGCGAACGAAGCGACCGACATGATCTCGCACGGTGCCTGCTTTGTCTATGCATTCCCAGGTCCCTTTCCACCAGATCACATTCCATAGCTAACAAGAGGCGGACAATCACCCAACTATTGTCATTGAAAGTCATACCAAAAGAGACATTCCTGTTTTGACTTCGATATAGCTAGGTACCTTAAAATCTCTCGTCAGGACGGCCGGACGAGCTTTTTCCATCACCGTAGTGCTATCGAAGCGATCAGCCTCAAGAATTGGGGACATCTCGGGAGGATGGCGGAAGACTCACCTTCTTCCTCAATGCAGCAAGCCTCTTCTTCTTAGTGTGAGTGTTGATATAGGTACCGATGCAGAATGCGATGAAATTGAAGAACGGAACCCACGTTTGTTCGGGGAGGAATTTCTGGGCAAAGGCCAAAGCCAGAGGAGATGTAATCCAGCTGACTCTCATCACTGGCATGAAACCGGCACGGATAGTGGCACGGACTTGGTGCCAGGTACGTGCGCCGGCAATGACAGCCATCGAGGCTAGATAGACGGTATTTTGGATCGGCGCAATCTGGAAAGATGATGAATTTCAGGCTTCGACATGAATGATGACCTACGTACCACCAGATTGCTGGTCAGGATCTGGAGAATCTTGGCCTTCAAAGAGGTGCGACCGGCGAAGATCCATTGAAGAAATCCAATAAGGACATGGCCCATGGGGGCGCTGATGAATGCGCCATAGGCCGCCATCTTGGGGATTCTTGAACTGAAGTAATGGCCATGTTTGCTTCGATCATGAGCAAGCCATGACGCTAACAGCTCTTGCAGCGCAGACAATGTGGCCGAGGTCAACATCTTTGTGCGCAAAGGATTGGATTGAAGTTGTTTGAGGTAGGCCTGGATTGCAGAATTGAGGATGGCATTCAACGGAGTGGTCAGGAGGGTGTTCATACGGCAAGATATCCAGTCTGTTGCTTTCCACCGGTCAGAGCTTCACCAATCTTGTGCGCAGTACTCTCATCGCGTCCATTTGGCGCCATTGGTGCCTGCGTTCGCACCTGTTCCTTTTGAAACTGGACCGACATGGTGGAAGATGCGCGTTGAGGAAAAGAGGTGGGGATTCGGGTCGGAGAGGTTAGGTAGCAGCAACTGTAGCAAAGTTGTCAGTATAGGCAGCGACAAGATCCCGAAGCAGAGATTATGATGGATGAGGACATGTCAGCAATGACGAGCGTATTGTTGACAAAAGACAAATGCCGAGGTCTGTTTGGTTGTGGGGGAGACAGGATGATCCGAAGGAGAGGGAGCGCGACACGTACCGATTCGAGCGGGTGATGACACAAGGGAAGAATGATCACGAGGTGATGCGATATAGAAGGAGAAAAGATTATGATTAAGGCGACAACGACGATGGGGTGGTGAAGGAAGATGGTGGACGGCGATGGTTGGAACGCGTTGTCGAGAAATGGGGACCTGGCCAAAGTCAAAGTGACAGGGCAGGGACTCGAAGAGCAACGAAACGGGTTATCGGGGTGGAGATGCAGCGTGAACCCTGGAGGGAGTTGGCTTCGGGGGAACGCAGGGGATGACTTGTGATTGGTGTTTTCCTCCCCGAGTCCAGGATGCAAGGGTGGGAGCTGGAGGTGGAACATAGGCCACTCATACCTCTCCTTAGCGCCAGGACATAAACAACAACCATTGTACGATAACCAACCCAGTATGTTGATACATCTTTCACCATCAATAGAGGCCCCCATGATACCATTGAGGACGGACGATAGAGTGAGTTTGAGAGGGATGGACAAGATTGCACTGCTAATGCACCTTTGGCCTCAAGCGAGTGTCTGTTTCTCTGTCATACTGGGTCGCGTGTGGACGGAAAGAAGGCTGGCGAAGAGATGTACTACCGGCAAGTATCAGACCGTGAGATGGGAAATTGTAGAAACTGAGACGAAAGAACTGAAGAGACTTGTCCGATCATGTTCAAGAGGTGCAAACATGAGAGAGCGTCGCAGTGCGGACCTTCACCACCTCACCTGTTCAGTTATTCTCTTCGAAACCGCCTGCATCTTTCTGCTGTCTGTCTCCTTTATCACCACCTCACTCACTCTTCGCGCGGTTTGTATCACCTCATTGCTTTCCTGTCTTGCCTAAGCTATCACTCTCGTCCTCATCTGCCTTGCCGATCATGTCTCCGCGCAAAGCCCTTCCTCCCGACAAGCGCAATCCATGTACTCATCTGACAATGGCTCGTCTCTTTGATCCTTATGGCTCCTTCAAATGTTCCATGTGCAACAGGCATCCCGGTATTGGCTGGCTTTATCGTTGTACTCAAGATTCCAGTGGCTTCTTGCCTGAATCTGATTTCACCGGTCGGCCAACACTCATCAAGAGGTGGATTGCCCAAGACTTGAGCTCACATTCTCTTAGCCACTCCGTCATCAAGGGAATTGCACAAGGTCAATACACTGACGAACAAATCAAAACATTGATCGAGCAAAAGGGAAAAGTCAGGGATGCCATTCTGGGACAAGACAGTCGACCTGCCACCTCGCCCGCCTCCATTTCCGCCACACCTTCATCCTCATCTGAGGCCCTCTTTTCAACTTTGTCTCAAAATCCAGCTTTCTCTATCACCTCGTCTACAACCCTGGAGGAAGAGATCAGAGCCGCTTATGACTGGAAAGAATTGCAGACAGTATTGATGTCGGAACCTTCAATTCCTCCTCCCGACTGCCGACCCAAGTCACTCTCTCATACTGAAACTCAGGACACTGCCCTCCTTGCCGTGCATGATTGTAACTTCATGATCTGTCCCACCTGCCGACCAATCTACCGTGAGCGTGCCACTCAGTCCTTGGACAACATTCTGAACAGTCCAACCCAATTCCCGCCAATCTGGGAACTACAAAATCGCCGGATATCCGAAGCCCACATTGTGGCAGATATTGGACTTCCCAAGGCGGATCCCCGATTCCACGCTCTCGAACCCCCCGAATTGTTACGGTCGATCCAGGGCGTACCCGAGCACACCGTGAACGACGCGGATGACGTCGAGGGCCTTCCCGAACCCAAGAAGACCCATTCCATTCACAAGCGCAGTAGCTTCAAGCACAGAGTCAAAAAGGTTCTTGCCAGGGCCTGTCTTAAAGATACTTCAGCCACAATCCATATCAATGACAGTACCTTCAGGGATGGCTTCTACACCACCAGATCACAATCTTCTTGTTCTTCCATCTTCAGACGCAGAAGGTCTCGTTCCACCATGTCATTTGTGGAAACACATGGCCGGGTTGTTGATACCAGTACTCTTCACGATTCGGTCATGCTCATGTTGGCCACGAATACTCCATTGCCACACACTCCAACCCGGAGAAACACTCAATTGTATTGGAATAGGCAATCGGAATGATGGGCCATTCAATGAGGAAATCAACCTTTTTTTTTTTTTTTCACTGGAGATGCCATTACCGAGGAATCCTTAAATTGATAATTTGGGGATGCAAGAGACATGGGGGACATTGATCTGGAAGAGATTGATGTTGAAATAGTCGAGGAGAAGGAGAAAGCACATGTCCATGCTGACTTTCTGGGAGATAAAACAGAAAAGGAAGGAATGGCAACAGATGAGCACAGGCAAAGGTCCAAATGGTGTAAATCAGCTCAGTCGCAAACAGGACTTGTCATTCTCCCCGTATTAGACTTACATTGACTGACCACAATGTTCCCAAGTGCCTCCCACACCCTGCTGGATAACTCGTGATACGAATAAAGAAGAAAGGCCTGCAGTCCAGCTGCTCATGCCTTTACTCTCGTTTCCATTCATCCTTTTCATATCACTCTGTCACATCATAAAATTCAACCAAACTTAACCCTTTCGGAAATCATCATCAAAATTTGAAAATCGTCATTCATTTCTTCGTTGAGCAAATCCATGCGCGGTCGCCCGCTCATTCTTTGCCATCGTCTATTCTACTCACGATATGCAGGCGGCGGATCACGCATATCCACATCGCTATCGTCATCCACACGCGCATACAGTGACGGATTATGATGCGCATTCGAAAAGGAATTCGCCTTAGGTCTACCGAACGCGGCCTTCTCGTTCCTGTACGGTCGATACCGGCCGGGGGTCTCTGCGTCGAGTTCCGCGTACCCTTGCAACGGTGGTGGGGCGGGGCTGGAGAAGGATGGGCGTCCTCCACCTCCTTGGTCTGGATGCTGAGTTGGAACCGTGACGTTAATCTGCGGTTGTGGCCAGGTCGGCTGCTGCTCTTCGTATATCGGGAACTGGGATTGTGAGCCGTTGCGACTGGGCATCGAATTCTCGCGGACCCGCTCGGACTCTCGTTTCTCGGACCCTTGGCCCCGAGGCATCTCTGGTGGGAGCATATCATACTGAATCTTGCCCGTCTTTAAATCAACGTGCACACCTGGGGGCGGATACATCATATTCATCGTCGCTGGTCGTTGGAGAGGTGGTGGTATGAAGTTCGAGTTCCCGTTCGGCTGCGGCGACGGTCCCGGGGGTTGTTGAGGGCGACCTTGCTGCTGCCATTGTTGTGAAGATGGTTGTTGCAGGGGTTGCACGGGCACGGGCATCGGCATTGGCGGTTTTTGCAGCGGCCGGGTCCCGTGGCTCTGCGGCAGGCCTGGCTGAAGTGGTGGCATCTGAGGACCAGACTGAGGCCGACCCTGCCATGCCGGCACGCCCACAGGCATCACAGTGGGACGGCTCTGAGGTGGAGGAGCACTGTACGGTCTGGGAAGACCGCCGGGCAGTTGTGGAGGTTGGAGTACTTGCAGTTGTTGCATTTGTTGCTGAGACAGCCGACTTGAGTGCCACGGAGGAGAATCATACTTATCATCGTCGCGGTGTGGTCTATGATCATTGCGACTGTGCGAATGGTGTCTTCGTTTCCCCTCCCTCCTCCTCCTCTTCTCACGCTCACGCTCTCGCTCCCGTTCTTCTTCATCGTCCTTTCCGATCTCTTTCAGTAAGTACCCCGCCGCAACGATTTCGAGGCCGCCGAGGAGAACCATTTTCGTCGTCGGGTTTGGAAGACTTTGAAGGTGATCTCTTTCGACGTCCTAAGACTATTGGGAATTGAAGGGGTGTATGAATGGCCAGAAGAGAGGGAGAAGGAAACGCAAGGGCCTAGAGGGCGAGAGGGACGATATGAAAAGGATGTATGGCAATATCCTTAACTCCAGTGGCAATGAGCCATATGCATACTACTACTGCAAGGTTGATGTACACACAATAATTCTCGCAAGGACGAAAAGCTGGGCTACCGAGATCGCTTTGTTCGCCTATTCCCTTTGCCCATTCTTGCCGCCCTGCTTTGACTCAGCTGCGGCTGACGACTCGTGAAGTTATGTCATACTCCATAATTAACCCCAATCACGTGGCAGTTGAGAAAATAGCGAGTATTCTCTGCACATGGCCTCCCTCTGATTGGTTGGAACATTCTAGATGACAACACCTTAATTACCACCTCGATGACTTCACGACGGGGAATGCCTCGAGCATTGGCAAGGATCTCTATAGACTGGTCCAGCCTGGGATTGAACGTGCTCAAGGTAAGCAATGTGTCAGCTCCTGAAAGCCTAGAAAACTGATGGCAAAGGGAGTGCCTTTCACGCCCGTAATTGCGAATGAAAAGAATTCAACCGGTCAATCCTATCCTGAAGTTCCTTTGCACGAATGAAAAGCGATTGATCCCTTTCCGCCGTCGCTGCCTCTATGAAAAATTGCCTGGTGATGCCGAAGTCGTCTTGAAACAATTTGTGGAGTTGGCGCAGGAGATGGCGCTCAATGACTTGCACGACCACATTATCAATGAATATCTCTCGGGCAATCTATACGGGATCCAATTTTGTTAGCTACCGTGGCCTACAAGTGAATGGTAGGAAAAATGGCGGATGAATCTTGCCTTGTAATAGATGACCATCCTTTCTCCCATTTCTGCCGCCGCAGCGGCACGGGGATCTTGTGCCAATGTTCGATCAACATGTGCAGGTGTAAATCGAGCAGAAGTAGCAGCCGAACCGTCCTTTATTGTCTCAGCAGAACGTTCCTCTGCATCGGCAAGTCTATTGGCATGGGCAAAGACTTGGGCGGATTTATATCGTCGAGACAATATTTCAAACCTTTCACTCTGCGTTTTGGCGGGTTGCTTTCTGTCTTGTTCGAGTTCGTTTAGCTCGTCTTCAGCCTTTTCCTTCTGTTTTTCCAGAGACTTCTTGAGGTGGTCTTTCATGGCCTCTGATACCTTGACCGGGAGAGAAGGGATCGAATCTCCCAGATCATTGTCGATGATGTAGTTGACAAAGTTGATACAACGCTGATAAGTCCGTCCAATATGGACTTTGGCGATGTGATACCAGCGCGACGAATGCTCTCGGAAGAGGATATTCAACCTTTGAGGATTGTAATTCCCACGCAACTCGTGACCTCTGGTTGACTCAAGCATCTGTTGAACGTATACGCGGAATTGTTCTGCATCGTCCGTGAGGCTTTGGCTGGATCGCTCCTGACGAAGGTGGTGGCCATTTGCTACCATGATATGAGCAAATTCATCGTGATCTTCTTCGATTCTCGATCGAAGATAATACTCGGATCTAGACCAGTCGGCCGCCCCTTCATCAAGATACGTTCCATCGGCACGATCTTTCGCGCGGACGGCAAGCCCTGTGCGTTGATCACAGTATTGGGCCCACATCTTTTCAGGTTCAACAAGTCTGGCTTTGATGTCATCTAAATCCTTGGTTGACCGTTGCAGTCTGGCCTCAATGTCATCGCGGATTCGCGGAAGCTGGCTTTTGGTATGCTCATAGTAAATGCTGCGTAATCGTCCTTGGAGTGGATCAATACCCCAGAATGCTTCGTTGATCTTACTCCATCGGCGTTGGCGATTGAGAAAGAATTGCCGCTCCACTTCGTCACGTTCCGCTGCCGATGTTTCAATGCCGGTCTCGCGGACACCGCGGTTTCGAAGAACATGCCATCCTTTCTCAAATTTGAATTCGTGGTCGCTTCCGGGAAAATTTCGAGCCTTCTCAATCCAGTAGGCTTCCAATTGAGATCCTGGCTCTACCACGTCTGGTTTGGTAATGATACCAAATGTTCGCTCGCCCTTTGAATCGACTTCTTTGGCCGTGGTGAGAACAGATTGCTTTTGAGCATCAAGACTCGCCTCCACCACGGCGAGGATTAGGGATAATGGCTGCTTAATCCAACCACCAACGATTTGATTGACAAGCTCGATATGTTCCCGCCCTTCATTGTGAGATGCAATCAAGCCTGGTGTATCGATAATGGTCAGTGGTTGTTGATTGGGCCTTATGATTGTTAACCGTAGCACATCTCGGACGAAACCTGAACGCCCATTCAATCCAAAGATTTTCTCTGCATCTTTCACCATGCTGGCCAGCTCTGTTAGTCTTCTGGATCGAAACCTGACGTTCCTGAGACGGGCCTGCTCGTCAGGGCTTCGTCCGGTGTCCGGAACTATCTCAACATCGATTGACTCTACATTGCCCGAACGAAATCGTAGTCTTTCGGTATTTTCGAGCATAGTCAGCAACAACCATTCCATTGGGATATTAGGTTAGAGGACCTTACTCGGTTACGAATTTCGTGCATGTCAGTTCTCCTCGTGGAAATTGAAGGCCGCTAATAGCCTCAAGGACTGAGCTTTTCCCCGATGATTGACTACCGCAAACGACGAGCTGTGGAAGGTTGAGCTCATGCTCGACATCCAGGTCTTTGAGCTTGTCAACTAGCTCAAAGAGTCGTTTCTCCTCGGGACTTTGCAAACCACCCAAACGGTCTGTGGGGGGTTTGGGGACATTGACATAGCCATTCATTGAAGGTGTTTGCGAGACCTCGGGTGTTGATGCTTCAAAATCCGAATGATAAGCCATTTGGATGTGATCGAGGCCAGCGCTGTCGTATCGAGCTCAAAGTCGGAGATCCAAACGTGGGAATTTTTAGGCTGATCAAAGATGTGAGGAAGCCGAGGAGAACAGGAGAGTCAATCTGGGACTACTTTGCAGAGTAGATATCAAGAAGGGGCATATCGAACCAAGGTGACGCCAGGCGCCTGAAGATAACCCGCGGTAGTGTCAAAAGAAGGGGGGGGGGGCTGACGCAAAAATGGCTTGTTCCCAGCCTGATCGAGCAATCCACCACCACGTTGGGCCTCCTATCGCGCTCAAACTCAACAAGCTCTTTTGCATCATGCCGCCGTGTCCATCAACATGAACGGAAACTTACGCCCGTTTAGGTCATTGTATTGTGTTCTTGAGAACACAAAGCCTCTTTCCTTCGTATACTTACATCGTGTGACAGTGGTTATAGCCTTGTGGGGTGGGAGGTCCTGGAAGAGCAGAAAGGTTAGGAACGAATCGAGGCAGTGCAAATACTGCAGCCTAGTTCGATGTGTAACAGTGGCCACTAAACGATGGCAGGCTCCAGACAAACCTTTGAAGAGAAAGACGTCAACCTCATTTCAATCAGGAGTTTTGTAGCGATTTCAGCCTGGGGATGCTCCACTTCTATCTAACCGACCTCGTATTGACGCCTTGGCGACCGAATCGAGCACATTTTTGCGGTTGTTAAAACAACGAAAGCCATCCAGGTTGACAGAGGATGAGAGACTTCCAAATCCGTATTTCCGAGGACTTTGTGATAGTGGTTCTGTTGCATGAGAGTGACATGACAAATCGTAACCTGCTCTGTGAAGCTGGGCGTTGATTGACTCTTTCAGCTCGGCCCAAATGGAAGAACAATTCTTGCTCGTCTGCCTGTTTGCCTGCTCGTTAATGCATGCTGTTAATGAGGAAGCGAACCAGGATAAGTGGACGAAGTAGCGAACGATGTCCACACACCTTGCGAAGCAGAGCCACAATTATATTCGTCCACGTCCGCTCCGAGGCAAGTGTGAGGTTCGTAATTGAGGTATGCTACTTACCTTGTCCACTGCTCCTCTTTGGACACCGTGGCCTCTGTCCTTCTTCCAATCTTGGTCTAAATGCAGTCACTGTTACCGGTCTCCACCACATCCGTCCAAGCTCAGAGACAGACATGAACAACAGGATGGACGACCTCTCCAACGATAATGAAATCACTTACTGTCGAGGAGCTCTTCTCCTTCAAAGTTCCAAAGCAGACGCAGACAGCATTTTGATCCCGAGGCCGAATGGCGGCTTCACATGTAGACACTGCTACCTGACCATCAACAACTCTGAGACCAGTGAAACCACAATCTCAAGCAAAGACTGGTCACTCATCGTGAGCTGTCACGTGCAAGCTTGTGCATCGTTTCGAGATCGAAGGGCAGCGTTCTGCTGCTATGGTTGCTTTAAGCATGGAAACATCTCCACCGAGATTTCAGCAGTGAAAATGAAGGATCATCTGCGAACTTGCGAATTGATCAAAGCACTGAACGACACACATATGAGAGGTCAAAGAAGGGAAACCAGGCAGTCTTCGGATCTAAAGTTTTCAAAAACATCAAAGGCGGAACCATGGAAATCGCCAGCCCGCGATCTGAAGCCAATGGGGGCTCCAACTCCAGGGATGAACGCTTCACAGAGCTCGAATATCTCACCTTCTGAATCACGGAATCCGTTCAGGCCAACTCAACCTGTTCTTCCGATCGATCCCAGAGCACCTGCCACCCCTGCTCAGCAAATGCAACCAAGCACAACTTCAACATGGACCCCATCCTCACCTCTGACGTCAAGACTCAAGGCAGAAGCTCCGAGCCAAGGGGAGAAAATTTCTTCCGCTTCGAACGTCCAACGGACCAAGGACAGTACTTTAACAAACAAGGCCGGGCCGAACACCCCAGATGTGTTTATCATACCGGGCGGTTTCGATGCTTACGACTCTCCGACGTCAAGACAAGAGTTCAAGCGACCGCCGTTCCCGGAAATCTCTCCGACAATCCCACGAGCTTCATTTCCTGATGAAACCCATGCCGAGGCGATTCGAAGGAAAGCTGTAAACATGGAGCTACCAGTACAGGCTCCATCAGTACCGCCATCATCATTTCCGGGTGCACCGCCTCCTGACTCCAGCCCGGGCCAGCCGATGCCACGCCCGGTCCAAAATCCGATTATTGACCCAAGACGTGCTGCTGAAGCAGCTGATATTAGGAAACTCGAATTGCTGGGAATCCCGGCACACAAGGCCAAACATCTCCTCCAACAAGCCAACGGCGACGTGAATAAGGCCGCTGATCTTTCATTCTCCGGCCACGACACACTCAGTAGTGGGACACAGATGGGCTCGCAGTCTATGAACCCAGTAGCGTCCCCGATGCCTGCTGGTTCTGGACCCGGACAGTCGACAGAGAGACGGAGTCGACGCTCGAAATAGGGAGAGGGGGACGATGATAGCATAGTTGTGAGGGAAAGGAGAAGGGTGTTGAAGGAAGACATAGCATTGCGTACTTACCGCCTTTGACCAGGAATTCTCCAAACCAAATGACCTTCTATCACACAGCTCAAGAATTGATTGTCGATAATGATAGAGACATTCACGTGCTGGACCAGAGACTCGAACTTGTTAGACAGCTTTGTCGATCGTATCCCTGACCCACCGACTTCTATGCAGCTCGAGTCCGACAGGATTTTGTTGCCACGGATTTGAAGATCGGGTGTTCACCATTTTCCTCACCAATGAATATTTTTCCTGCTGAGGACACAATAAATCAACCAACGCCACGTCGCAGATTGTCTTCTAGCAAATCACCATGCTATTGTACGTGGTATCGTAAGCTCATGGTATTGTTTTCACAATGGTTTTCTCAAGGGAAATGTTCCTTGCTCTTTACAGCTCAGCCGCCTTACCCTGAGAATTGTCGACGGAAGACGGAGCATGGGGGACGTAGGGGGAGAATCATGGTGGTGTGGCAGACCTGCACGGAGTGTCTAGAGGGGCCAACGGGCGATTGTTGCGATGGAATGCTCGAGGAATATTCGTCCGAATCGAATCCGCGATGGAGACATTGAGACAATAGTTCACTGAACTGGACATCCAGTGGCCTACGGTACACGCCGCGCAGAGCTCAGAGCTCAGAGCACGGGGAATTGAAAATAGTTTGCAGCCGCATCTAGGCGCACAAGCCACAGACCATTGCCGAACAGGCTCTCCACTCGCCAAGTACGATTGGGGGCACGGCCCAATCCCATAAGCCTTCAAGCTGGACGAGGTCGATGCCACCTATGCGCTGTACTGTACCTTTAGTTGCTTGGTCAGTGCCCGGATTATTGGAATAAGTCATGAATCTGAATTCAAGACACTCCCCAAACTTGGAAACTAACGAGTAGACGTGGATTTAACTCAATAGTATTGTGTTACAAGGTACTCCAGTTTGGAATACTAAGGATTTGAACGAAAGCCAGCTTTCAGCTCATTCACCTCCGTAACTCCTGTAGGTGTTCAATGCTTGGTGTGTCATTCCCGATGACTTCCTATCATACCATTCCCGCATCATGGCGTCAATGTCCGATTCTGTATTGTGAGTCCAACGTTCCACCACTCGGTCGTTGAAATCCTTCCCAATCTGTCCTCACGGCGTCCGAAGTGAGCACAATGGTACTTGCTGCAAAAAAACAGCTTATTCACATGCTGACCTTCGAGGCAAGAGGAACCGTCGATCGGACCTCGAGCGGAGGTGGGAAAAAAAGCATATATTACAGTCATGCCGGGTTCGTCGTCGTGCCCCTGTCCCGAATAGGTCGAGCTAGGACCGAAATTGGAAGCCGCCCAAACCTAGAATCATGTGATTCGTGTCTAGGGGGAATAAAGCGACTTCCTTGGACGTTGCATCCAGCTTGGAGAACGTCCCTTTGTGTGTCCTCGGGAGCCTAGGTTTACCTCCAGCTGAAATGCAGGTCGCCAATAGCACCGCCACATGCTGCGGGGAAAGTCACTCATGAAAAATATTTGACTTGACCCCCGCCTCATCTGGCTAAGTTTTTTGGCGGGTTCGTCCTGCAGGCAGCAAGAAGCTGAGAAAAGTTTCGCTGAGGGGTATCTTCAAACTCAAAGCCTCCTCCCGGCTTAGACACATGCATTTGCCTAGTGTCCGGCAATTTTGGAAGCAAAGTCGAGCAAGCGTTAACAGAATATGTGGTGTAAGAGTATCATTCCTTCGCGTGTTTCTCAATCAGTTTGCATGGGTGTTTGGACTTCGAAATCAGTGGACTGATTGAATTCCGGCAAAGGCGGATTGAGAAATTGATTTGTAGTCGGCTCAGTAAAGAAGTTGTCCGGGATGACGGGAAACTCTGAGAAATTTAGAGCAGGATATTCGCCGAAGTGATGTCCGGAAAGTGCGAGCTGCTGGTTGAGGAAGTCGTTTCCAAGATCGTTGAGATGAGCTTGGATTTCTTCGGGAGAATTGCATCCTTCGCAGTTGGCATGAGCAAGTAGAATGGCGTTCATCTGTTGAATCTCGTCTTTCATCCGCATGACCTGGTCTTTGAGATAGGCATTTTGAACAGCTTTGTCGTGTGAATCCCGCCGTAGTTGTTCCGTCTTCTCCTTCTTGTTGATGCGACACTTTGCCGCTGCCAGCCGGTTTTTCTCCAGGGACTGTTTTCTCTTTTGTTCTTCTGGAGAATCACCTTTTTCCGAAGCAGTGGAGGCCTTCCGCGTTGATTTTCGTTTACGCCCGCCCGTAGTGATAGAAGAAGCAGTGGCCGGCTCTGCCTCTTTGGATGGAGCTTTTGTTCGCTTCCGACGCTCAGGTGCTGTAGATTTCGGAGCAAGCTTCCCCTCCGATTTCGAATATGTACTAGATGCAGAGTCGGATCTTGGTGGAGTCATTTGACCGAATCGTGACACCGCTGTGTTGACATTGGGAAGAGTAGAGGTGATGAACTTGTCCATCTCATAAGCATCCAAGTTCAATGGCGGATCGGCGAACGATTTGGAATCTTCCTCACGCTCAAACTCGGGCCATCCAGACATTGGAAAGTCATTTGGTGGACTATTGGTCTGATAGTTGTTGAGGCCTTTCAGTAGAGGCGGGTCGAAGCCAAAGTCGTCATCTTGAATAGACGGATAGGCGGCATTAGGAGGAAAGTTGCAATCTCGAATGGTGTAGCCGTCCAAATCACTGATACTTGGGACGGCCGACGATGTGCCCGATCGGCTGCCGGCGACCGACATGGTTGGATGGACGGGTAGGAATATGGGAAGTTAATTGTTTACAAAAAGATCAATATGACCGTGGAATAGATGGAGTAGATGATGGATCGTACGGTGATAGAGACTAGAAGAGAAGCGAGGTTTCAACCGGGAGAAATAATACTATTGTGGCAAAGGAACGGAAATGTTTGGAACTTGGAGCCGGCAGGATCATGCGGCTTTGTTTGCTGAGTAGCTCGCTGAGGACGGCTTGGAACCGCCCAGGGGGAGGCGGAGACAACGAGTGAAAATCTTTAATCAGTTGAACCCTGAAAAACACACAGATCTGAGGAAGACTCACGATACGTCGCACGGGCTGCGGTCATGGAAGGATGGGGGACCGATCGGTCGATGAGCGCAGAATGGCGGATGCTTGATCCGGGAGTGTGGCAATTGGAAGTGGGGATTGGCAAGCAATGGCAGTTGTCTTTTCGGTGCATACAGGCACCACGATGGCAGGGGCATCAGTGGCGTGCGGGAACAAGAAGATGCAGATGCGATCCAGAATTTGCCAGTGGCCATTGGGCGATGGGCATGTTACTGGAAATGGGAGAAAAGCCAAAAGAGATGCGTGAGCAAATGACATGTAAAGGTACTTGATCACTCATACTAATTGCGCTGTAAATGATATGTAGCTGTTCAAAGGACTTGGGAACCCCGCATCGTTGTTCATCGCCTCTCATCGTTGCTGATCAGCTATGTCATCGGCGATCGCTCTGGGGAATTTCCCTGTCCTTGGTCATGGAAATTCGAAAAGTGCCATGTCCCAGTTAATCTTTTCTCTTCTGTGGCGCCAACATCCGATACTCAAAGCCGTCGAATCACCACTCTAACCTGCTTTTTGCTCCAGCATCTCACAACCTCGGCCAGCCATCGTCTTACATCATATGTTCTCGTCTCTCCGACGCGTCTCACTTGAGATCTCTGATCTTCCTGACCCCTGAGGCTCTTGGTGCACGTATACTGCACGACATCGACAAATGCCCTGACGGTAGACAAGGATGGGCAAATGTGGAGAAAAAAAAAAAAAAGGTCCATTTAGTGGGTGGAAGACTCGCTCGAGACAGATCAACGCATATGTTGGAACGATTCCCCAACTTGACAGCCGGAGGAACGGGGTATATCTCGCTGAATCATTCGCAAGTGGATGATGTTGCAAAAGATGTCACACCATGCCATCATACACATGCGATCTCGGATTCCTCGGAGACGACATCCGATCAATGTGTCCTGCTCACATATCGCTCTTTTTTCTTGCTTTCTCGCTTCCCATTTGTGTCGTGCATCCACACACGGTAACTTTATTCCGGGAGATGCTGTTGAGATGTCTTACAACAATGCGATGGTCAACCCAATGAGTCCGGCACCAGCAGCAGTCGATGCCAATACCCGGAAACCACTCTTAGCAGCCCCATTGCCGCTCTCTGTCGGCGGGGTAGCACTTCCGCTGCTGCTAGACGAGCTGCTAGTTCCAGATGCTGAGTCGGCCGATTGTGTCTCACTTGATCCTGTTGCCGCTGTCGTAGATGCGCTTCCAGTTGCTCCTGTCCCTGCACTGGCGTTCGAGACGGCACCGGCACTAATGGTGACTGGAATGAACGCAATTTCGGTCTGTGAAAGGGTCGTGGTAGTCGCCGTCGTGGTGACTTGGGTATTGATCGTGGCATCCGTTGCCGTCAATGAGTCTATGTCGGTCTCAATCAAGCCCGCCGGTCCAACATACGTCTCTTCACAAGTTGCGGCCGTGGTTCCGGTCACCGCACAATCCAGGGTGACCGATATTGTCTCGAAAGACTCCTCCGCGTGAAACGTTGACGAGCCAACAGTGACAGTAATGGGTTCGATGAGGCCACAATCGAAGGTGTCCGCATCGCTTGGACAGGCAACAGCCATGGTAGTTTTTGAGGAATCCTGTACCAAAACAAGGTCAGCTCCTGGACCATAGCTAATGTGCCCTTAATAGAATCCCTACCGACGCAATGATAGATCCCACAAGTGTTTGCTGATCAGCACCGGGGAAAAATATATTAACCACCGAAGACTGAGCGCTGACTATTCCAGCGAGTGTGAGCGTGAGCGCGATCACGGGGTTCTTCGTGATTCCCATGTTTACACCACCAATATCCTTCTGCAGATTTTTGGTATTCGGATTCGACGCGACCTCACAGGCACTGGTTATCAGGGCACGGGATCAAAGAAACGACACGCAAAAGGGAAAAGAAAAGCATGTGAATGAGAGAAAAGGTGGGATCTTCATAACGAACTGGGGGAAATTATACTTTCCCACCCAAAGGGGGCAAGGCCCCCTAGGCCAAGGGGTCGTATCCAAGTTTGAGGTCTCCCTTTTTTGAAAGTCGTTTCAAGTCAACCCGGTCTTGGCGTCGGAGGTGCGCTCCTGCTCCAGGAATAATCAGAAAACATGTCAATTCAGACTGGAATGTGAGCTAACTATAGGGCAAAAGAGGTGGAGGATATAATGAACACTGTGCTCATCTGGACAATGATAGAGCAGACCATGGGTCACCTTTGTGTGGAGTAGCACAGAGTCAGGCACAAGGCTTCAAACAATGCCAAGACGAGGCTGACGCAGATATTGTATTGTATCGTATCAAATGTGTTACGCGAGATTGTGTTCTCGCCCGGTGTATTTGCTCGCTTGCTCCTCCGCAGTCAGGTTCTGAATGGAGCAAAAGACAGACGAAATCAATTCATGCTGCACTTGTGCACTCTGATCATAGTGTGATTAAATCTATTGGCACAAATTTAAATGCTACATCCGGCCGCGTATCGCCTTCATCCAGACTCTCAACTTTCCCTATGATATTCCTTCCTTCCAGCATCGATCTTGCCGCCACTCCCGTTTGCCACCATTGGAGCCTTACATCTTGTCAATATCATCTCGGCCCATTCCTTCACCTGCGTGCATCCCCATCTGCGTCGTGGATTCCGTTCAATCATGCCTATTATACATTGACTGACTAGGCTTCCCACTCCAGGCTCGTGCCCTTCATTGTCGATCTTCTCTGCCAATCCGGCAGGCAGTCTCCCCAGCTGCAAGTCTCTCAGGACATGCAAGCGCTCAGTGCTTGTTGTGCAGTACCAGAGCATTTCCACCAGAACGACTCCGAGTGCAAATACATCGATCTTTTCGTCGACGGATGATCGCGACTTTCTCCTCGCTTTCGAGTCGTTCCACGGAGGAGGGCGATAAAATTCTGTCCCCACAGCCTTGGTATTCGCGCTTTCCGTATTGCTCGTCTCAAATTGGTTGATTTCGGCCAGTTCCGCAACGAGTCCGAAATCACCAATACGAGGGTTGACAAAGTAAGGACGAGGATCAGGGCAACCGACACAGGCGCCCACATCATGATATGCCTCCGGGATTGGCCCTTCGCCCAGGATTCCCAAGCTGGAGATGAAGATATTGCTAGGCTTGATGTCACGGTGTACAAGTCCTTTGGCATGAATGTATTGCAAGCCGCTGAGAATGCTCATCAGAATCCGCACGGAGGGTACTAGATGGAAACAGTGTCTCCGAGCGGGACTGCTCGGTGCACTTCGTGAAGCTCCAGATGGCGGTGCCAAATATTGTGCCAGTGTCATAGGATAGATCGACATCTGCACATGAAGCACGTAAACGGAGTCATCTGTCGTCACTCCCTCTACATTTGGTCGGGCATAACCATCTGTAAAGATTTCCGATGTCCTGGCAGATGGGGTCTCCCAGTCACTGCATTTTGCTGATACGCTTTGCTCAGCGTCATTCTCAACTTCCTCAGAGGTGGCATGAGAAACGCTGTCTGAACCAAAAACAATTCCATCGCTATATTCGGGGGGAACTTGCCGTTGTCCTAGAAGTCTTCTCGTTGTGGGTCCGGGGCCCATGGGTCCTTCAGCAAGGAGTTTCCTTCCTTGAACGGTGAGGCTGTGTTTCCTGGGTTGGAATTGAATATCTGGCGGCGTGTCTCTCGGTTCTTCCATCCAAGTGGCATGATACCGTACGACATTGTTGTGTTCGAGCTGTGCAAGTGCTTGCACCTCTCGAAGAACACTTTCGAGCTCTTGATGACCTGATTCTCTGTATCGTCGAGACAGGCGAGGACTCAGCGGGATCTTCTTGACCGCGTACTCCTTCTTGTCGAAGAGATTATATGTGTGGTATACCTTACCAAACCCTCCTTTTCCTAGCAGCTTGATTTGTTGGAAGCTTGACTCGTAATGACTGCGACGAACTGGAGGAGACAAGACGAGGTCTGAATACGGAGATGAAAAACGAGTTCGGGTCTGGTGCTGGGGGAACCGTACCAATGGATTTTGTGGCTGGTTGACTCGGGCGACCGCCAGATGTTCATCACGGGCGGGGAGCTGTGATCGTGCATGACCGAGAAGCTCGTTGTTCGGCATAGTACCTAGTGCAAGGCTTTCAATCCCTGCTAAGTACGTGGCTCGTGTGTGTTGGCTACTCTGGCTGTCGTTGGTACTGGAAGGCGGCAGGATTCCATTAAGAGCCAGTGACCGACCGACTTGTTGATAGAGTTTCCTGGCCAGTGGTTGGACTTCGGCGGATGACTTGCTGAAGTGGTATCCTGGTTTCGCATTGCTCATCATTTCGGAGGCCCTATTTCTGGCGAAGTCTTCAAGCAAAGCGCACAGCAAGTTGGTGCGATGATGGTCTACACTGGCAAACGTGGCGGGAGTTGCATCCTGTCCATCTCGTAGAGATATACTGCCACGGCTCGATAATGATTCAGTCCCAAATGTTTCACCTTCTCCCTCAATGATGTCGTCTTCTTGTTGATGTGAGGGTTCAGCTTCCCCTGATTCATCGCTTTTCGAGCTGGAGCTCCCTTCAGGACGACGGAAGAAAGCAGAACTCATCCCTTAGAACAACACAGAGTCTCGTTGTCTGGGTCAATGAGGATTGGCGAGAGATGGGTCATGCAGCATAGAGAGAATAGTGAGAAATTCGAAGGATTCATTTGAACAAGTCGTGTAATGCAAGACCGCCAGGCTGACCAGAGGCGGAAGTGAACTGTTCAGGTGCCTATCACCCTGATCCAGATATCACCCAATGCTCAATGCTGAACCTCAAAACACCTTTCAGTTGCATGTACCCATGCATACCTTGATCTTGGCGTCGTGTACCATGAGATTCGATATCCTTCCGCTAGGCTGATGAAAGATGTGGAAAGGCGTGCGCATGTGGGGAATGAATCACAACCCTAGTTTCAGCTGGATGACAGCCTCAACATAAATTGGCAAAAGATATTGATTGTGAAAGGGCGTCAGGCTGCCGGTAGGACGAGCACAACTTTCCGATAATACGAAGTCACGTGGTCGAAGCCGGGGATTGGCGATTTGGGATACGAGACTGATATGATGTCATACACGAAGATAAAAGACGGTATGGAGACAGTCATTTTTCAAGACCGTCATGCACATTCAGCTGTGATAAAGAAACTGTTCCATGCTACTTATGCCCAAGACGCCATTACCCTATGCGTACCTAGGGTATCATCATGCCCACCCATCACGCATCATCATTGACATTCAAATCTTCAAAATCATCCAGCAATTCGTCTACGTTGATTTGAGGCACTTCGTCGTCACTGCTGTCGCCTGTGGCCATACTCATGGCATCAACATTCCTCTTCTTTTGGTGCTTGGCCTTGTATAATGCTAATGTCTGCCTGAGTTCGGCGTCTTCCTCCACGTCTCGCAAGAACATTTCATAATCTGCGTCCATTCTTTCCTGGTCGGCTTTCTTGGGTAGCAGTTCACCTTCATCCTTAGCCATCCTCCTGAGTTTCCAGTTCCTGGATTTAGGCTTCCTCTTCCGTGCGTAGAATTTCTTGACCAACATGACATCCGGAATGGTTGACGAATATGCATTACTTTGCTCCAATTCATCGAATTGAGGGTTGTTGAAATTGGTGGCCGTCAGGTGGTAGCCAAGTACCGAGTCTCCGGCGTGTAAAACACCTCCTAGATGGGTTCTGCAGTAGTACGTCTTGTCGTTGACACCCAGATCTGAAGCCCGTGCAACTGTCGCTTCGGCTCCCAATAATCGACCATTCTGACTGCCTAATAGTTCAATATCGAGCACCACAAATTCCACCAGTTCTTGAACGTCTGCCAAGCTTTTGAATGGCGTCCTCCAGTAGGTGGACGTGGGTAAGTCGGTTGTGTGTAACGTGGTCGGGTCTAGGAGGTTGACTGAGGTGCCGACTCGGTAGCAAAGTGCTAACGGTGCGATATTACCAATAGATTTGGCGAGCTTGATGGGAAGTGCCACCAGGTCGTCTTTGCAAATTGGTAATAGTTCGCAAGAAAATGTGAATTTATAGGATTTGGACGAGGTGTGAACATCCATGGATATTATTTCTTGCGACTTTTTGACTCTCACCGGTGTCACTGAGGTGAGGAAGTCAACAAATTTTTCGGCGTGATTTCGCTGGGCAAAGTAGAAGTCTAGTCCGTCCTTGACTTCCTTAATATTAATGGTGTCTTTGTGTGCTTGGTGTTTGAGGACAAGTTGCTCGAGATATAAGAAGGTTCTTTTATGGGGCACTTTCTGTCTGACTTGGACAGACGCCCGCCAGGTATTGGGGGTGTATGATTTGGCGCATTCTGGACACTGTTGAAATGCCACCACATATTCAACCTCGAAGGTTTGTTGCAATATCGTGCCTTCGTATGCTTCTTGCTGGACTGTGATCTTGACTTTGACTCGCCGTGAATGCGGTTCAGTCCAGAGAAAACTAGCATCAATGATTCGGACTTTGTTGAGACCTCGAAGTTTTCGCAGACACAGCGCCAGTAGCTCTCTGCTTTCGGGTGCTGCAGACACCCACTGTGAAGGCGGACTTAACCATCTTTCGCAATCTCGGCAGGTATGCAGTACTCCTTCCCGCTGAATTCCTTCCGATACATCAACGGAGAATTTGATGCACTCATAGCATAGAGCACCTGCTGACGCCGTTCCGTCTATCGGCGCTCCACAATTGCAGCAGAGAATGGTCGCTGCCTGTGGCTTGTGAACAGAAGGAAGTGAAACAGGGGCGTCGACGTCCATCGACATCGTTGAAAAATTAGGCAGAAGCCTGAATTGTTGTATCCTAGAGAGAACGAAAACAGGAACTCTGCCCAAAATAACAATCGAATTTTTGAGGAGGCGAAGTGCCTGGAGGATCTGAATTATTCAGAATTTGCCGCCCAGAACCAAAGGCCACAAACTTGCCAAGCATCACAACAGCCTTACACGTGATATCACATGCTACGCTTCGACTTTTCGCCCTGAAAAGTTGTTGCTGGGAAATGCTAAGGCGGCCCTACACTTTCGGGTACGGCCGCTTTTGACGTCTATAAGAGCCCTCTGCCCAATCCTAGTCTTCTCCTTCCAACTTCTCACCTCCGTCGCGCTGATGCACCCATCGCCCTTCGATCGATTCTCCACTGGCTCCTTCAAAATCTGCCTCTCCTCTCCCAATGCATCCCGATCACCCTCCCAATCCCGGATCCTTACTGATTCTGCACCCTCGACGCAGCCCCCTTCATGTCTCCACCAGCCGCACAACGTGCAGACTCAGCTGATCTGGTGCCCCCCCAAACAAAAACAACCAACATCATCTACGCCTCGACCAGGGTCCTCGGGGTATCGGCGTCGGTGCTTCTCCTGGTACCGCCTTGCGAAGATGAATCCGCGTGATGGGCTCCTCTGGCGATTGTTCCAGACTCACGAAAGACCGGGGAGATAGTCGTCAAAATCGAACATCTTTAGTCGCCGTGGTTGCCACTCAGCTCTCCGTTCTGCACCATCGGTGCCGGGATTCTGCATCTTGAACCTGGTAGAGAAAGACATTCAAGACGGCCAAGTGCAGATGCATCGACGTCTGTTGGCCAAATTCACGATGTCTGAACTCGTGGTCTTCAAGCAGACAAGACGAGGATCGCCGGCTTTGGATTTCCGATCATCCTGGACCACGGTTTTTCCTCATCTTCAGCTCAGGAGATCCATTGCTCTTATTGTTCTCTGCATCCTCCATTTCTCCCATCTGCTGCGGTGAAACTTGGCCAACAGCGTCCAGCATCCGCTAGCGCGCCTTAGATCGACTTGCCCTAGGCCGTGTCATGCGTCCACTTCTTTGGTCTTCTCCGGCCGGCTTATCTGCTTCTTCTCCTTTGGCATTCTCCTCTTCGTTAGTTTTCTTTCTCTTCAATTTTCATTGTCTTCTTCCTTATCCATCTTTTTCCTCTTCACCTCCCTGTGCTCCTTGGTACTTGGTCCAGATGTCCATGCTGACATCCTCGAAAGGAATATAATGCTCCTTATATTCAGGCCATGGTAAATCGGCCTGGTGTGGTATAATATCCCGCTTACCCGGGGTGATCCAGAGGAATTCAAGTCCTATATCAAAATCGGAACGTTTATCCTCGGCCCACTTGCGGTATTCATGTAAGAATCTTAGATGAGACTTCGAATGCTTTTTGGCCACTGTGATCTGGATGGGGAAGATGAGCAATTTCGCCTTATCTTCATGGGATCTTTTTGTCCTGATTAAGACAATCATTCCATCGATGGTCCTGTAATTAGTATCACGTGGGCGATAAAGCACCGGTGTATCGTCGATATCGAAGCGAATGTCGGATGGCTTCTTGAAGAGCCTTAGCTGCATGCCTTTGTCAATGCCCTCACAAACCTTTAACCATTTTGACCGGATAGATGCGAGGACGGCGTATGCCATCATAAACCCCACGAGAGATCGATTATAGGCAAAGTCGCGCAATGAAGCTAGAAAGTCGGTGTTGATGAAACTAATATCCAACTCGAGAAGCTGATTGGTGACAGCGTCACGAACTAATCCGCAAGTATATCCTCCAGTGCCGTTGTTGTTGCGATAAAAGTATCGATGGCCGACTAGTTTGATATGTTCGTTCCATCCACGTGGTACAGGCTCATTACGGGTACAAGCCGTCACGTAGTCGAAAAAACCTGAACAAGTTAGAAATGTCCTGAGCGTCAAATCAGTCAAAGAGAGCATACCAATCCCAGTCAATACCCTTAACAGTAGACCTGATTCGCTGTACAAAACCCGCAGCGTCGTCGGAGATTTGGTGGAATCTCGGTACTGTTAAATCAATCGTCTTACCCACCACGCATTCATTTAAGAGCAAAGGGATGCAGCCCGTGGCGTCTTCGACCATATCCCGGTTGTACTCCCCCATCTCAATATCTTCATGCTGCTTCCACCACTGCTTCATTGCGGTCTGAGCAAGTTAGAAATCTCATTGCGACACCAATTTGACACCACTTACCTCATTGAAACCGCCATAGACGCGTACCACACTGTTCGAGGTCTGACGTTTAAACTCTTCGAGGTCGTCCGTAGAATTTGCAGAGGAACTGAAGATTGTTTTATGGGGAGAAGTGAAACTGATCACCCACTCACGTAGCCTTGCGGTCTTCTCCGTGTTTGCAATACCATTAGTCTTGAAAGCATTCATCTCATCAACGACAAATATGACGTTTTTCTCGAACCTGAAGAAGTCATCGATCTGGTCTTGAGTGCGTAGATCCATGATCTCCTCTTGGGTGCTGAGATCGTCCGCCCAGGCGAACAGCATTGCTTTGGTGACGTAGGAAATAGGGTTATCGAGCAACCCCTGGCAGTCCGGTAGGTAGACGACCCGTTCATCTTGAGCGGCAAAGTAGCAGACGAGGGCAGCCAGAAAGTGAGACTTCCCAAAGCCCTGGGTACCATAGAGCTAGCATCTCGGGTAAACGTGACTCTTTCGCACTTTCTTCACCTCGCGGAGGAGGTTTTTGAACATCGTCCTCCCCATATATAGCCACCTGTCGTCATCTATACCGGGCTCGTTAAATCGTTCTGGCATACAGCCGACAAATGGGAAGTCGAGCGTGTGATTTAGTGTAGGGTCGGAAAGTTTATCGACAGCTCCAGGAAGAGGATCGACGGAATTAGAACGCTGGTCAGGAAAGTCGTTCATCTGTGTAATCATATCCTTGATTGCCTTTCTTCGCCTATTCGCTTCGGTGGCCAATTGTGTCAGGGTTTCTTTTTGTTTTTGACGTCTTTTTGGTGAAGTGGGCGGCTCTTCAGGTGGGTCTGTTTCATCTCCTGCAACAATGTTAGCCGGCTGTCGTGTGGTACGTTGAAGGCATTATTACCTTTCCTCTTTCGGCCGGCTGTTTGGTTTGGTTGATTGTCTTGACACTGTTAGCTTGTGTTTGAGTTGTATCCAGTCTAATTCCTACTCAGTTCGACGACTTCTTTCCCAAGATACGCAAGACCCCAATAGACCCCATAGGGCAGATGAATTCTTCTGAAGAAGTCTAGATTCCCAGCACATTCCAAGAAGGTAGTGCCGCTGATTTCTGCCGCTTTGAATGTCACAACGTCCTCGTCATCGCGGAAAATGTTTGGTTGTGTCTGCTGGATCCATTCGAGCAGTTGCTCATGGTCCCAACTTTTCATCTCTTGGATTGTAGGATTTCCTTCTGGCCTTGCCCAGCTTCCTTCTGATTAGAAGCGTTCATTATGATCGACGTAAGGAGGGTCAAACGGGACGGTGGGGCCTGACGACTCGGACACGGACGCAAGTTGTGGAAAGTTCAGACTCGCCCAAGACGAACGCAGGTGCACTGCCATGGGACAAGCGGTCGCGGAGTTGAGGCAAGAAGAGTAGAGGGAAGTGCAAGTTGCCTGAAGGAACACGCCAAGCCTTCTGGAAGCAACGATTGTCACTGTCCGACCGTAGCATTATCACGTGACACAAAGCTGTCCGGGAGCTGATGCAGAAGAAACCCTCCCGAAGCGGCGGCACTGGCGGCCAAATTCGGCGGGAAATTTCCCTGTTGAACTGTGGTCAATGCACTTTTTGATGCCGAACCTCGGGTTCGGTTGTCCACGGCAGATAAATACCCGTGTTACACTCAATTGCAGCTTCGGACAAGAACTGATTTGATAGATTGACTAGTTGTCGTATCTTACCAGTGCCTCTGTCAATATCAGCGTCGGTGACTACGGGGATCAGAGTTAATGTCGTTTTCTTCGTCATGAAGACTTGTTGTGCAAAGTACGTAGCCACTCTTCTGGCTCCAAGTACAGCTACTCGGACTACAACTTTCATCGCAAGACCACGACCTCGATTCCTTCCTCGGGGAGTCGGCCAACGGACAGTGAGTCTCCGATAGGGAAGGAAAGGTCAGATTATGCTGATGCGTCCCAGATGTCTTCAATTCCTATCAAATATGGCGCAATGCCGAAGGAACTGCCCACGGACGACCCTGACGACGTTCTCTTCAATTCTCTCTACGGTGTACGGACCGTTGAACTGAATCGACCCAAAAAACTCAATTCTCTTAATGGATCAATGGCAAGAAAGATACTTCCCCGTCTCAGAGAATGGGAAAAGTCACAAATGGCAAATGTAATCCTCATCAGCGGAGCTGGACCAAAGGCATTCTGTGCTGGTGGTGATGTAGCAGAACTTGCCCTGCAGAATAAAGAGGGGCCAGAAGGCCAGCAAAAATCAGCAGATTACTTTGAGCTCGAATACAAGCTGGATCATCTGATTGCAACCTACAGCAAGCCATACATTGCCATTATGGATGGAATCACCATGGGGGGTGGTGTTGGTCTGTCAGTCCATGCTCCTTTCCGAATCGCTACTGAAAAGACGGTCTTTGCCATGCCTGAAACTACTATCGGCTTCTTCCCTGATGTTGGTGGAAGCTTCTTCTTGCCTCGCTTGGATGGGGAAATTGGCACATATCTCGCATTGACGTCCGAACGGCTGCATGGTGTTCAAGCGCTTTACGCTGGTATTGCAACCCACTACCTTGACAGTTCTCTGTTGGCACAAGTGACGACGCGATTGTCTGAACTTGTTTTCAAGGATGATGCAATGCTCTCAACACGACTCCAACTCATTGACGCCACCATCGCTGAATTTACCAGCCATCTGCCATCACCAGACTCGTATGAGGATGCAAAATATGGTAATCTTACTGGCTCACTACGCGAAGCAATCGACCGTACATTCAGATACAATACAGTTGAGGAAATCCTGAGTGCTCTCCAGAAAGAAGCCAATTCAGCAGATGAGAAGATCGCTGAATGGGCCAAAATAACCCAAAAAACAATTGCATTGAGATCTCCCACAAGTCTTCGTGTTACTTTGCGACAACTGAGAGAAGGGAAAAACTGGAATATCAGTGAGACCTTTGTCCGAGAGCACAAAATTGCCGCCAGATTCATGGCACATCCTGATTTCGTGGAAGGTGTTTCAGCCCGACTCATTAACCGACCGCCCACAAAGCCCCAATGGCAACCTGGAAGCCTTGAAGAAGTATCGAAGGTCGACGTGGACGAATTCTTCACGGAGCCCACAAATCAGGATGCCATGACGTTATTGGAACCATTCAAAGGTGCACTCCCACAAGACTATATAGATTACCCTCACGCCGTATTCGCCCTGCCACGAGAATCAGACATCGAAGGCTTCGTCAAGAGCTATGGCAGACAAGGCGCAAAGAAGGTCATTGATGAAATCGTCAAGAGGTGGAACAACAAGGCAGGTGCCAGAGAGAAAGTTCAAGAAGTTATTACACGAATGACTACTTCGAACGAGGGCGAGAAGGGTATTTCGTGGAAGAGTCGACGTGCCAATTTATAGATTGATATTTGGGGCTTGCCTTAAAAGGTCCATACTGAAACATTTGGCCCGTGGAATTTGTAGCGATAGAATAAATACTCGTGAAGCGAGTATCTTGACAGAGGCCAATTGCTGATAACGGTCCTGTCGCAAGCTTCTCCAACTTTGGACTAATTTTCTCCGCACTTGATTTCTTCGACCGTCAGTCACTAGCACTGCCGATTGGAAAATATATATTACTCCGACCTTTCGACCTCAAGGGTAAACTATGTCACTGGAGAAAAGAAACGTCTACCTCGATCATGATTCCTCGGACGAGTCAGATCACGATGCTGGCTACGATTCCGAAGCGGCAGAGGTTTCCAAGGCAGGCAGAGCGAGTAAGAGGCGGAAAATAGAGCTTGAATACACAGACGATGAAGGCGATGAAATTGAAGCAGATACAGTGTTGGCAAAGGACCCGGCTGCGGCAGTTTTAGCCAATGCTGCTGAGAACGACGAAGCCGTAGACGCCGATGCACGCTCAGAAAATGACGACGACCCAGTCGCAGGCCTCCCTCAACCTTCCGAAGCAACTGATTCCCAAACGAAGAGGCAAAAGAAGGAAAAAGACAAAACTCAATCAAAACCCAAAGGAGAAACCCCCGGTGTGGTCTACCTATCCTCACTCCCGCCATACCTCAAACCCTCTGCGCTCCGCAACCTCTTGGAACAACGCGGCTTCGGCCCCATTAAACGCCTCTTCCTCTCGCCCGCCTCAAAACACAAATCAAGTTCAAAGAAGAACTCGCGCCAACTTTACACAGAAGGCTGGATTGAATTTGCGTCGAAGAGCACGGCGCGACGATGTGCTGAGACGCTGAATGCGCAACTTGTCGGTGGGCGGAAGGGTGGATTCTATCACGACGATGTCTGGAACATGAAGTACCTGAGGGGAATGCGGTGGGAGGAACTGATGGCGGGAGTGAGGGAGGAGAAGAGAGAGGAGGAAGGGCGGAGAGACGAAGAGCGCAGAATTATTGCTCGGGAGACGAAGAGGTTTATTGAAGGTGTGGAGGAGGGGAGGAGACGCGAGGGGATTAAGAGGACTCGAGAGCGGAGAGGAAACACACGAGGAGATGTGGATGGCGAGGCGAAGAGGACGTGGAGACAAGCTGAAGTCAAGGGCCAAAATCCGGGAAGAAAGGGAGATGAAAGGGAAAAGATCGGTGATGAAGTCAAGCAGGTTTTGGGGAAGATTTTCTAACTACCAGGCCGAACATGAACCGGAAACTACTTGCCATTTCACATTCGTTCATGGTGTCATTACTCATTATACAAACCTGTTTGACCTCTGCATTATTTCGTCTGCAATCGAAACGGATGCGCCTCTGTATTCAGCACAAACTCATCGAGGGACACCACACCCGGTTCCTCGAACAACAGCCAGAAATACTTCAATGTCTCAGCCATCCAGAAACTCTCCATCTTGTCCACTTTCCACGTATTCACATTAGTCACGTCGTCGATGGACGAGAAACCCCATTCTGTCCGGGTGCGGGACGTGATGGCTTCGAACATTTGCCATGCGGATTCGCGCAGCGTTTCGTCCCCGGTGATCCGGTAGAAGACGAAGATGGATTCAATGGCTTCGGGACGCAGTTCGTAGCCTCGGCTGGCGATTGCCGAGATGCCTTTGGGTAGGCGAAGACGCTGGGCTTTCTGGCGCAACCGCTCGGATTCGAGGAGGTATTTGTCCTGAGAAGATTCGTCGTTGGAGTTGCGCCGCAGCATGTCTTTGGACCAGGCCTTTTCGTCCCAGTTACATTCAGGGTCGTCGTTTTCGTCAGGGCAGGGGACGACGTGGAACAATTCGGGCATGATGCCTGTCGGGGTCTGGTTGTAGGCCCAGATACAGCCGTGCACTAGTCTCCGAGCGACGTCGAGGTCATCAGGACAGTTGAAAAGTTGGGATCCCAGCGCGAACATGCCCCCAGCGAAACAGGCGAGATGTTGCATTTGTGGGTTCAATTCGACGTGTCCCGGTCTGAACGCCTTGAGTGTACCTGCCATCAAAATATCTTCATTATCCGGCGTCATGGGTCTGAAGAGGATGAATTTCTTCACAGCGTCGGTGGCATTTTGATGGAGGGATCGGTACTGCTCCATGGCTCCGCCTAGCAATTGATATTCCTTGGGGAAATATTCGTACACCGAGTCTGCAAAGCCGCCGATGGAGAATGTGACGCCGTCGCCAAAATAACATTCTCTCGCATTGACGGTGTGAGGGAACAGACCCGGTGCTTTGGTCCGACTTTGCTGGCTCTCAAGACAGTCCGAGATTCGCTGGATGGCGTCGTAGAATTTCGGATCGCCCGTAAGTTGCGTGAGTCGTGTGAATTCCAAGCTGAGTGAACCGAGCTCTGCGATTAGAGCATTGCCCTCGGCGACTTCGACGCCGATCTTCGACCAGCGAGTCACTGGCATGTGGTTGGGGGTGTCGAATGCAGCATAGAGCATGTCGCCGACTTCCCGGGCCTTTTGGAGCAGGATGGGATATTTCCCATTGCTCACATCGTATGCGCCCAGCAGGCCGCCCAGATAGCGAATCGTCGTTTCAAAGACGTTGATGGGAAGATGGGCAGGAGTGTCGAAGTCGATGCCAGATACCACTTGAAGTGCATCTTCGAACTCGTCCTTCAGGCCCATGAGCCAGAGAGTGTCGAGTGCGTCGACCAAGGTGGCCGACCAGCCGCCCAAAGTCGTTCTATAACCTCCTGTGACCGGGGCCAATTCGTCCTTCAGCCAGGCTCTGTTGTGATAGCCATTCCATGAGTGGAACATGGCTTCTTTGATTTTCTCCAGTCGGGCATGGCGGATTTCTGTGGCAGCCTTGCTCTCGGGTTTGAATCCATACTGAACGCGAGGAAGTTTAGATGTTGGGGGTTTGGGGACCGGGATAAAGTCAGTAATGGGGCTGAGAAGTGGATGTACTTGAGATAACTTCTGCGTGTCCTGAGGCGTGGATTTGCTGGACGATTGGGATTTGAATGGCTCTGGCTCTCTCTCTGCTCCGTGAGACTGTGAAGACTCTCCCGGAATAGACTCCTCTTGAGTGATCAGAATCTCATGTCGAATGGTCCCAGGCTGACTGGAACCAGAATCCGGTAGACGCCAGAGCAAGAAGAGAATGCATGCTACCACAAGCAGGATAAATCTTCTTCTCCGGATTGCCATGGCATTGTGAACATCAGTTACAGTTCAAGTCACGTTGCAGGGAAATTTCCCGCCGAATTTGGCGATCAGTGCCGCCGCTTTGGGAGGGTTTCTTCCCCCGATGCCAAGATTTGCCCTGCACCACGCGGTTGGTCCACCAACCACTCTTCATCTAGTGCCGCGTCCCTTCCTCGCCGCCATTTCTCTCTCACTGATCTGCCTTTGCTATAGCGATGATCGGCAGCCGGCCTGTCGACCTGTTCAAGCGCTGTACCAGGCTAACAAATCCCTCGCTTCATTTTCCTCAAGCTTACCCTTCTCTACCCCGCCCCTACAGTCGAATTCCTCTCGTGGTAGCCCGCCCGAGTTCCACTTCGCCATCGAGCTCGAAGCCCGTGCTATCCGGCGAGCTAAGAGAGTTCCCCGTGGGGGAACCAGACTTTAGAGAGATTCGCCAGCTCCCCGGAACGGCATACTTTGACAAGACGGAATATATTTCTGAGCTTGAGGAGGGGTCAAAGAGTCAAGCTCCTTTGCCGCCCTAGCGGATTCAAATCAATATGATCACTTTCTACCCTTCCTTAATTTCCTCAATACCCTGCCTCTCGCCTTTTGTTCCTTCCCTCCCATTGTCTCACCCATTTATTGTCGAGCAGATCTTACTAAAACCGCGGAAATTTATCAGTCGTGAGGTGTCGATTCCTGCACATCCCCTCCTTTTGTCAGGAAGAGGTCCACAGTCCCTTGGAGATCTTCCATGTCTTCCTCCCGGCATCGACGGTTCGTCATGGAGAGCTGAGTGTCAATCACGACGCGCCAGAGGATATTCGATTTTGCTATTATCGGCGACAACGATCTCCGTGGGATTTTGCAAGTCTGGAACAAACGCCAGAGCCCATCACGCGGATTCACCTTCGTAAGGCAGTACAAGGAGACTTGCGGACGCCGACACCCATACCCTTAGGACACTGGTCGAGGCGTAAATAATGGAGGGGGTCAGCTGAGCCTACACGTTGTGCGGCTGGTGAAGTCAAATGCACCATGGAGGGATTAGGGGACATGAGGGGGCCGAAACGAGTCCTCCTCGAGAGTGTAGAGGAGGCGGCGACGATCGGGGATTCGGGAGGGTTGATCGAGGCGCACTCGGAGAGGCGAGGCGGATTTTGAAGGAGCCAGGCGGAGAATCGAGGGGGCCCAATGTGGCAGGGGAATACCAGGCAGTGTCGGGTGAAACACGATGGGTGCATCAGGGTGACGGAAGTGAGGGAAAAAAAAAAAAAAACAGATTGGACGGGAGGAAGAGAGGGATGGGATGGAAGATGAGGGTTCTTATAGCGACGTCAAAAGCGGCGGTACGCCCAGCCTGCGACCATACCCGAACCGAAGGCGGATTTCCCAGCAACACCTTTACGTTCTGTCGAACTTTGTGGTACAACTTGAGTTGAAGGAGTGCTCTGTTCTCTATCAAGTTGAGGTCCTGCCTCGCATGTTTATATAGACAAAGATTGTCGCCATTGTTGGCAGTCCACATTGGGACTAGCCTAGTCACGTGCACCCCAGCCTTCGTGGCCTTTTCTAGCTCAACCCTCTCTCGGCCCAACAACGCATTCTGTAGCACTTGTTACAAACGACTTCGTAGATCGTTGCCAATTCTGTTGAAGCAAGGAAACTCCGATTGGTAAAGGGGCCTGTGTCATCGAGAGCCGATTTCGTTTCATCAGGTTTGAAGATTTTGCGTCTTGCCAAGAAGCTTTTGTCAAGGTCTGCCGTCCACTTTTGATCCGTCTGTCGCCCGTTGTCGTCCCAAACGAATTTTCCGTCGTTGTTGGAGTCCAAGAAGTCGATCATCTTCATACGGGGCTCATCGAAGTTGGGATTATTGAGGTCAAGGCTCCCATTGCCAGGACCACCATTGGCAATCGACATAGGGGGTTCTTAGTCAGAATTCGAAAGATAATGGGTTGCTGGAACATCGAGAGTAATTAAACAAATTGTGGACATTGAACGGAAGCCATGCAATCAAGATCACACTGTTGCGGCGCAAAGGTTGAAGCAAGAGAAAGGTTGGCGCTGAGCTTCCAATCTCATATTGCCCTTGCCTAAATTTGCGGAGCACCTTCTAGAACCAGCCTAGTCACGTCTTTTCCACTCCCATGAAGTTGCTCATGAGATTGGAAAGATTCCAAGTTGATACGTGGCTCCCAAAGCGAACTGTATCTCTGACAAAATGACCGAAGTCGTCAATCTAGAAACGCAAAACGATCCTCATCCGCCCAAATCCGCTCTTCGACGACCAGACTCTTCACCTCCGAAGCCTCACGTTCAGGTCGGTTTCGTCGAACCAAGGACTGACTCCACGGTCGAACCGGAAGCGTCTACACAATCAGAGACATCTGATCTGTTGACGACATCGCCGCTATGGTCGAGGAAATTGATTTTGACGCTGGATGGTGGTGGTATAAGGGTGTATTCTTCGCTTGTTATTCTGCGGGCGCTGATGAAAGAGATCGAAAACATAGAGAAGAACCTCAAGCCTGAAGCGCTCTCTAGCGCCGCGACCGACCGAATATCGCGAAAGGACATTCCAGATCATGTTTTTGGTGAGGGAAAGTACCTGCCATGCCACTATTTCGACTACATCGGAGGTACGAGCACGGGGGGGCTCATTGCCATCATGCTTGGGATGCTTGGGATGAGCGTAGATGAATGCATCGATAAATTCGAGAAGAATCAGAGCGTGCCGCAGACCAAGGAGGACTCGCTGCTCTGGGATTTTTTCAAGATACACAAGTTCAGCTTCAATTCGCCCTCTGCTAGCCTACTAGTGCCGCCCAATTCCGGAAAGTTCAAGAAGGACGCTTTCCAGTGTCAAACGTAAGTTTCTCTTGCCTCCTCCTTCCCCCTGAGGCAGAGTTGACACTAACAAACTCCCTGATCCAGACTAGCACTGTGTACGGTTATGGACAATCAGGAGGATAAGCCAAAGCCAAAGCCCTACGCCTTCTGCTCGTACGAGGACTACTCGACTCTACATGCTCCGCCGTCGATAGAAGAAGTTGCCGAGGCCATCACTGCTCGTCGGTCCTCTAAGCCCCGTCTTGGGCAATATTTCGACGGAAGCAAACAGCCTGAACTGCGGGATCCGACAGTCGAAGTCATGAAGGAAGTCCACGAACTGTTCAGCCTCCATGACCCATCTATTGAACTGATCCTTAGCTTTGGGTGGGACGACGACCACTCACCGCAACACTTCGTTGAAAGGCTCAGGCGCTCTCGAAATAGAACGTTGGAGCCCAGCAATGAGATGAAACATACCTACAAAATGTATCACAGATTTGATATCCATCTCGGGATCTTCAAGAAGCACATTTTCCGCAAAATGGAGACTGCCACGACGAAGTGGCTGGAGGAACCTAAACATATGGAGGAGATTCGCACTTACGCAAATATCCTTGTCGAGAGACGGCGAGGCCGGGCCCGCACTCCTCGCTGGGAATCCTTTGCATTAGGTGTACGCTATTTCTGTCCCCACGAGGAATGCAGTTTGAAGGGCCATGCCCTCGAAAGTCGAGACGACTACTTTGATCATCTCAACACGGAGCACGCGCTCATGAAGAATATTATGAAGTCGAAGCTGGAAAAGTCGCGCCCAGTAAGAAAGGTGCGCTCCTTGAAGTCTATGGGCAGGGGTGGCAACAGTGCTGAAATGAAATCGAGAGAACCCCCTACGAGTGCAGGTCCAGTGGATCTCGAGGTGGAGTTGGATAGAGGAAGGAAGTTTCAGTAGGATTTATTGGAGTTTTCAGGATCAGCGTCTGGGTTATCTTCAAATCCGCCTGGAGTCAGACTCTATAGGCAGTGGCATGAAGAGTTGTATGAGTTGCCCGGTTGTGATTCGGTTTCGTACGACACTGATTTTACTGAAGCATATCTCGACCTTTGCTATTTGAGCCAGGTTCTTCAACTGGGCTTTCGTATGGAGATTGAAGCATTTTCGTTCTTACCAGCTCGGAAGTGCTTTATCCTAACCATAGAATTGACCTGACCCTCTCGCGATTCCATGATGAGGCGAGAAGAACCAATCAGCAACTCCCAGCCTTATGGTGATCCTCGTCTTAGCGGTGGGGTCTTCTAGAGGTGGTACTGACCTCCCAGCGGTACATTGTGCGAGAGAGAGATCATTTACCCTGACCTCTCCATTGAAAGTTGGATCCTTACCACGTGATACCTGTAGGCAGCACTGCTGCTGCCTACGAGTACCGGCTATAAGTGGCCGTGCCTACCCTCATAGGTAGTTCCTCAATCATCACACTTGCATTCTCAGTTCAGAGCAAGGTCTGTGATGGTCTGTGACTGAACAAATCTTTTGTGGATGTTAGTGCTAAGGTGGCTATTTCCAACCGCCGTAGATTGTACCATCGTCCGAGCTCTTCCTATCGGTGTTCTGTTTCTTCAACTGCCAGCAGTGAACAAAATGGTGGGTGGAGAAGTCGTGTCGTCGACTTATTCGGTCGAGCAGAAAAAGCGAGGGAAGTCGGGACTAATGAAAACCCGACGGTGGGAGTTTATTCGTAGTCATCGTAGGGTTCCAAGGGCTTCTTCGACCGATAGCGGGATCGAGATCGTCAATGCCCGAGCGAAATCGTGTCTGGCGAATCCCACTTCTCCCCCTCTATGGCGCCGTTCGCAAGCCCCTCTTCAGGGAACGCTGTACTTGCTTTCAGCTCAAACGAAGAGACGGCGGCTGAGAATCCACTTGTAGTATGCTGTCGCACCCTTGTCTCTGGATGACAACTCGTTTCCCCCGAGCCGGTGAGGGCCAAAATGGAGGACCCAGCCCCCACCGCGATGTTGCAAATTCGAGGCGGAGAGCAGGCAGCAATAGAGGCACACTGCCGATCAAGCCGTGCGGCATTTTTGTGACTGGACACAGGAGTACGGCGCTCAGCTTGCTTTGCAGGCCAGTACCGAAAGATCAGCTGCGCCTCGTCGTCTTCCATGTTGTTGTGCACCTGGTCAAGATGCAGAATCCTAGCCCCGGCGGTGCAGCACGGAGAGCTGAAGGCCAACCACAGGGACCGAAGATCCTCAGTTTTGGCGATCTTCTCGGGCATTCGCAAGTCTGGTTTTTGCGAGTCTGAAATAAACGCCGGCGGAGCTCATCACACGGATTCACCTTCGCTAGGTGGTACGGTACAATGAGACTCGCCGACAGTGACGCCCATACCCCCAGGGACCCCGGTCGAGGCGTGGATGATGGACGGGGTCAGCTGAGCCTGCACGGCGCGCGGTCGGTGGGGTCGATTGTGCCATGGAGGGATTGGGGACTTTGAGGGGTGGAAAGCCGAAACGGGTTTCTCCTCGAGAGTGTACGGGAAGCCGAGACGGGCTCCTCCTCGAGAGTGTACAGAAGGCCGAAACGGGCCCTCCTCGAGATTGTAAGAGGCTGGGACGATCGGGGATTGGGAGGGTGGACGAGGCGAGGCAGATTTTGAAAGAGCTGGTAGAGAATCGACGCAGAATCGAGGACGGGGGGCTGATGCGGCCCGGGGGAGGATTCAGGCGGGATCGAGTGGCACGACGGTGCGTCAGGGAAACAGAGGCGGGAGAGAGGCACAAGAGAGGTCGAGAGGGAGGGAGTGAGGGGGATGGGGACGGGGTTCTTATAGCGACGGCGGCGCGCCCAGCCCGCGACCATACCCGAAGCGGCAGGACCGCCTAAACCGGAGGCGGATTTCCCGGCAACGACATTATGGTTGAAAGATGTCGGTGTCCATGCTGAGAATGAAGATTGCCGAGAGCACCAGCCTTTGCCTTGTCTCGGATCTCCTGAATCCTGGGTTAATCACGGTATTCCAAGTTCAGTAAAATCTTTCTCGAAATCCCCAAAAGTCACAGCATATTATCTTGTCAAGGTCTTGTTTGTGTTTCAGGTGTTGAGGTTAGTTAACGCTTGCGAAAAGGAAAACAGGAGCGACTTGGGCTTGTCCTACCCAAGGGAATCACAGCTGTTTATTTTTTGGGCACCTGTTATTTTTATCTTGGGCATTGTTTTGGGTATTTGGCAATGCCACCAGTCGATCCGGTCGAAGATGGGGATGTTTGAATTTTCCATCCACTCTTCAACGCATTGCCATGAGCATCTACTGGTCATTCGTCAATGCCCAGGCCCTCTCAATCTTACAATCACGCTAACGCAGGCACAGCCAACAACAATAACAGGCTCATTAAACGCAGGTCCCGCCCGTAGCGGTGTTAGGGGGGCCCTCGAGTGCTCTCCAAGAGCCGGGTGTTAGTCTGTGGCGCGCCCCTTTTCCCTGCACATTTCCGGCGATTCTTCTCCACAGGCCGGGCTGATCCCCAGCATCCCTTCGTTCGCTATCCAGGGAGGTGAATTCTAGGCAAGGTCCATCGACAAGGTGACGCCATGACCGCTTTTTCATTCTTTAAGTGAGTGCTGCTCCTTACTTTCTCTCGTTCAAGTCACTCTCTTTTTGAAAATATCCCAAGTCCCTCGTTTAGCAGAATCATACACTTCAGTCATTCGTTTCATCAAACTATTCGATCTTTACCATATTTGGGTTTTCTTTTTCCTGATTCAAGATGAAAGCGGGTCCACTTCTGGCTCTTGCGGCTACCGCCGTCTCCGGCGTCAGCGCCTTCTATAAAGGCTTCAACCTTGGAGCCAATCTTGCCTCCGGAGCTTGTCGAAGTGAATCTGACTGGGAATTTGCCTTCAACACTCTCGCCGGGCTCCCAGGAGAATTCAAAAATGTTCGTCTCTACGCGTCAAGCGACTGCAACACTCTGGCAAACGCGGTTCCTGCTGCTATTCGGACCGGTACAACCCTCCTTGTCGGCGTGTGGACCGAAGACGATGCACATTTTGAGGCCGAAAAGCAAGCATTGCTAGAAGCCATTCAACAATATGGATCTGACTGGATTCTGGCCGTTTCCGTTGGCTCGGAGGATCTCTACCGAGGGGACACCGATGCAAACACTCTCGCTGCCAAAATCAATGATGTCCGCGGCATGTTGTGGGGTCTAGGGGCAAGCAGCAAATCCGTCGGTCACGTCGACACCTGGACTGCCTGGGTTGATGGCGCAAATACACCGGTGATTGAAGCAGTGGACTGGCTCGGCAATGACGCATATCCTTACTTCGAGGGCGTTGGCATCGACGATGGAGCTGCCAACAATGCCTACTGGGCAGCAGTCGAGAGAGTTCGAGCAGTGTCCCAAGGCAAAGAAGTCTGGACGACCGAGACCGGATTCCCAATCACTGGAGATACCATCGGAGCCGCAGTTCCCTCCGTCGACAATTTGCAAATCTACTGGTGGCAAGTCTCCTGTGCCAGCTTCAGCAGCTTGAACTACTTCTTCTACATTTTGGACGACTTTGCAGACACGCCCAGTTTCGCTGTTGTCGATACCAACTACACCCCTTTGATTGATATGACCTGTGGCTCGTAAGCAGCTGGGATACATATCAATTGGTTCTTCCGGAGATTTTGACTCGTCAAGAGTTTGTCCATTGCTTACTGTCTAGCATAGCGCGGTTGGGAAAAGGTACCGTCAATGTACCATGGGCGGGACAATACTACACTTAAATTCTTGTAGATAATTCATGCCTGGACAGTTGATATCATCCGGTTTCCCTTCTTCCCTTCTTCCCCCCCATAAAGCGATGAAATTCAACTCTTGATATCCACATGAAAACACGTAAAAACAACGAAGTAAAATTAGAACGTGGGCCAGAGCTCAGATCGGCAAAATGGAACTTTTTCACGAAAGAATCAACCGAGGTCGGCTCGACCGTTGAGGAGTTCGTCATCATTGCTGCTGGACTATTCAATACAGCCCAGAGAGCAAGGCGATGAAGATGTGTAACTTTATAGACGTCGATCAAATCATCAAGGTTCTGAATAAGATCGATATGGAACGGACGCTTCCAACCTTTGGGGAACCTGGAGATGAACAAAGAGATGCTTGTGGTATCTGGTACGAGAGCGATGGTGAACATAGAATAGGAAACTGGGTTTGTCTTCGACTTTGTATTTTGTCCAACTCCGGAGAAGTCATCCATCGGGCGGAGGAATTGAGTTTCCAGGCCATCCTTGGGTTTCCTTGTTGAGTAGCATGGCGTTGAACAGAAGATGAGTCATCGATGAAAGCCATCGATGCCACGCAGATGAGACACCCCTGAGGGTGCCATTTGTAGACGCCTAAATGGGTCCCGCCTGACGGAGAAGATTCCACCTCCTCTCAATCGACAAATTTCTCGTCAGACCGTCTCATTTTTGTCCAGTTACTGCATCAGGCATGGCTTCGTCCGTCTCGGACGGCCGGCATCTCATTACCTCTTCTTCAACCCTCATCTCCTCTTCTTCTTCCACTTTCTTCTTTTCCCTTTTTCCATAAGCCTTGCACCAGGCGACAAGGCAAGGCGCCTGCAATCCTCGAAGATCTTGGTTCAGCTATCGCTTTGGATAGTTGTTCACCATGGCTGCCACCACATTTGTCAAGCCTATCCGTCAATTCCTCCGCCTCTTCCCGCCATAAGGCTCACCAAGGGCCCGTGTGGGATTGTCCGGTTTCATACACTTCGCATCCTCGGTCTTATCCTCTGGTCAATTTTGACCAGCGAAATTTTCAATCACGCCATCACAATAACCATTATCCTGCCTCCTCTCCGACGAGTGACCCAGATCCTTGGGCCTGCTTTGATGACGTTCAATGCGATGAAGCGCCCTGTCAAGTTTTCGAGGACGAGATACATGCAACAGATTCCTCTTCTTCCTCTTCGGACCCCAATCGTTCACTGAAAGATCCCGTCGCCCATGCCGGAATAGCTCCCACCTTTCCAAACATCTTCTTCACCAATCCCTTTGCAGTTTCCTTCCCAGGGGACATTCCTTGTCCCAATCCGACATTGACAGTGGGATTTGGGTCTCAGATCCCCCCTGAGCCAGCATCACATGCAGGACATAATCAACCCGACATGGGTCGAAACGAGCCAAAGTCAGAGCCTAGGACTTGCCCAGTAATACCCTGCCTGGAGGCGATACCTCCATCACCGAAACCTGAGATGGACATTCAATCCACTCAACATCGAGGGGCTTCCACACAGGTGCAGACTTCCGCCTCAAGGAAGAATCCTCTGTTGGAGATTCAGTTCGTCGATATGGCAGACAAGAAAGGGGCCCAGCGAACAAGGAATGCAATGATCTCACGAAAGCATCGCCAGAACAAACTTGAGCGAATCAGACAGTTGGAGAAGAAGCTCCGTGCTTCTGAGGCTGAGAAGGAGAGGTGGCAGGGGAGAGCAAAGGATTTGGGTTGGAAGGGATGATTTTCGTTACGTGTAAAAACGAGCGAGTCGCCGTTTTATAGGAGTCTTGTGTTTGCATTGATGCCTATCGGATTGGCCGATCTAGAAAGAGTTACGGATGATTTTTCTGCCCATTTCGGACTCCCTTTTGCCCTTCTCTGATTGTCAGATGCTATTTGAAGCCGTAGAGAAGGCTGAAAGACCTCGTCAGCTGGGCTCTAGAACATTCAATAGTAGGAAATCCCGTGAGATTGAGGGCAAGCTTTGATAACAAAATTTCCGGCTGATATATAAAAAGGGCGATCGCCGATTGGTCCGTGACAAACTTCCTTGGTGTGAATCTTTTTCTTCTCCATCTTCCTTAACGGGCCTGTTGACCTTTTCTACTCACCTCCAGCGGTGCAGTCTGACATAATCTGAACGCTTAGTGCTGGATTCCTCAACAGCGACAACGTACAGAGGAGCGCCACAACACACGTATACATTACCACAATTGATTGGAATACTTTGCTTCATCGTGAGCCTCAACGCAATAGCCGCTATAATTCACCATGGACGAAGATGAGAACATCTTGACCATTCTTTCGACCCCTTCTGCCGATGAGCCGTCACAGACAACCCGACTCCGGGGCCAGGCTCGCGACCTTATCTCCAACCCCAGAGGGAGCAGCGTTGAAACCCTCCCGAATACCCTCCTCGACCTTCTAGTACAAGTCATCAAAACATTGTTCACAAACACAAAACACCCATCTTTGACCTCAACAGGGCGCAAGGCCCTCGTCCCCCAACCGGCACCGCTGGGCACACACTTCCATAGCCCGCTCGAGGACGAAGCGCTAAAGCCATGGAAGACCACTTTCACTGTCCCACTGCTCAGGTATATTCTGACATCTTACACCTTCTTGCCGCCGGGTGAGAGGAAGATTGCGATCGAAGCACACTTCCACCTCCTCGTGCCGCCTATTCTCAACATGATTGACGACGCGGATTGTACTTACAAGGCTTCGGGCTGCAATTTGCTTCGAAGACTCTGTGAGGTATTGATTTCGGTGCAGAGCGAGATACTTAAGCGCACGGGGCTGGCAGAGGTGTTTGTCGATGCCCTCAAAGCGAACTTCATGCTTCTTCCGACTTTGACGCCTGAAGAGGACAGTCTGAGTGTGCTAAGCCAGCTGTATCCGGCTTATTTGGCTCTCGTGGATGCCCGGTTCGTGGCCCTCGGCGGCCTCTCTTCCAATGTGGCAACAAATCATCAGACTCGGCTGCAGGCAAAGAACGAGATTGGCGGAAACACTACAGAACAGGCGGCCCCTCCGAGCAAAACCAACACCGGATCTCTGAAGCCTTCGCACTCCTCTGATGAACTCCTGGCCCGCCAATCCCAACTAACAGCTTTGTTCCGGCACGGCGTCCTCGCATCGCTCTTCCACCTCTCGTCATCCACACAGTCCTTCTCCTCCACCATCTCTGTGCCCCTAACAACACTGCTCCTCGCGCAACTCCCTCCGATACTTAGCCGCATGGGTATCACCAGTGCCAAACATCTACAGACATTCCTCCCACTCCTACGCGTGGGTTTGATGGATCCATTCACGCTAGCAGCACCACCGCTCGTGCTGGCCGTGCTGGCCGTGCTGGAGACTGTGATTCATGTCTGTGCTCGGCGTGTAAGGGAAAAGTGGTTTGCAGAGATCCTCCGCGGTGTCGTAGCGTGCTGGTGTAATTGCGTCGATGAGCTGGAGAGTCTGAGTTCGAGCGAGGACAAGGATGTAAACAGGAGGGAGGAGACCAGGCTTGTCATGCGGAATGTGAAGGCTGTGGTGAGTGTTATGCAGAGGTTAAAGTCCATAGTGGGGTCTTTAGGCGACGTGATGGGAAAAGAAGAGTGGGAGGACGTCAAGAGTCGTTTGGTTAATGAGGAGGAGGAATTGAAGGGCCTGTTTGAAGATGACGACCCTTGATGTGAGAGATATTATTTCTATGGCTAACTGGACGGCGTGTCGCGGCTCAGAACATCGGCGTGGATGCTCGCACAAGCCTCACTAACATGATGAACGTTTGAAAACTGACATTTTGGAAAGACAATTTCAGCTGTGCATGTTGGATTCGATCCGATTCGACCCAGTTCAGTTCATCTTTCGCGCATTCTCGTTCCTTTGACCCGACCAATGCACGATGTATAGCGAAAGGCCAAATTCTATCAGGGTATCACAAATGGGTGTAAATGGGCGTACATGTGCGTGTCAATTCAAAACAATAATTCATCCTTTTTGACTAGGTCCGATCCCGTCGACTCGTCACTCGCAAAACCAGTCGGTCTCGAGGACAATCCGATTCAACGGCCCCTCCCTCAACCAGTACCATCCACATCCTCCCCGACGACCGGCCGCTGCTTAAATAGACTTTTCCCCTTCAACCACTTCCTATACGCCTTATATCGCTTCTTGCCCCCATCTTCCTCGAGCACAGTCAACGGATCTTCCACAGCCCCACTGGCCAGGTACTCCGTGTACTCGTCGAGATTTGCCTCTGCGCGCTCCTCGAGCGTCAGACTCACGGCGCCGCGCTCGTCATCGTAGTGTTGCAGCACCTTGTGATCAGCCGGGTCGCTGGTCGTCTTGGACAGGTATTCGAGGAACTCGAGCGGTGCAGTGGCGGGGTCGATCTCGGACGATACAACCAGTGGGATCGTCGACGGGTGGGCGACGTAGCGTTGGTACTCGTCGGCCTGGCGCACTTGCGGGTCGAGAGATTTGGAGATCAGTGACGTGAAGGCTTGCAGGGCTAGTTCTGCTTTTGTCGGCGGACCGAGTAGGAGGGAGCTGTTGGTCAGGTCGCTTGTGGTTGTGGTGGGGAGTTTAGGGATTTTCGGTATGGCTGGCGACTGGGCTTCAAAGGATGCCTCTTTGATGATCCCTGTGTACTGTCGGCGCTGGAGTGTGTTGTGGAGTTGTTGCTGTGCGTCGAGCCAGGGACCCAACGTGCTAGGTTTGGGCGTGAGTTCGACGCCGGAGTTGGGTGTCGAGGTGTTGAGTGCGCCCGATGCGTCGATGGAGGACGCGGTATCAGCGCCAACGCCACGATCTGACGCCGTGTCGTCGGACGGAGCGACGATTTTCACGCCTTTCCGATGGGACTTGCTGTCCTGACCTTCGCCATCGCTCTCGTTAGCCGTTCGTACTTTGAACGGGGACAGATCATATTTCCCCGCCGACGTGGAGCTGATCGGGATATAGCGCAGGTTTGAATGCATTTTGAAGGAGAAGAGCTTTTTAAATGATGAAATGGCCAAAGGCCGATAATATTCGACCCAGAAGTCGTCGAAGTAGCTGAGCGGTCGCTCGCGGAGTTCACGCGGCCAAATCGACGGCGGCATCTCTGGCAACTCAAGATATTCCGGTGTGTACCATTGCCGATAGCTAGGACGACGTTTGCCAAACATGGACCGGGGGTCCGAGTGGTGCAGGTAATAATCCGTCGTCAAGTCCCAGAGCATCGGCTGGCCTTGGGCAAAGACGTAGTTGCCGAGAAACAAATTGTACGCCTCCTGTCGTTGTGCGTCCATAAAGGAATTGTTGTAGTAGCGCTTGAAGCTCTCGACCATGTCACGCGAGTGGCTGGTCCATTGGTTGATTTTGCGGTATGTTGCCATCGTGTTGACGAGGTGCGAACCGCCGTATTGCACTGCGATCGTGTCACCGTGGTCATGCCACATGTGCGTGAACAGGTTCACCGCGTCCGAATCATATTCGACGGACGGCTCTTCGATCACTCCGAGGGCCTGCAGTTGGTAGCCCAATGCTTTCTTTGCGATGACGAATTGCGCTGCGTTGGTCCGGTCCAGGCAGTCGATACAGTTTGTCCGTGCCACGCCGCTTTGAAGTTTGAGGCCCGATTCTTCGTCGTTGCCGTTTTGAAAAAACCCTGTCTTTGGCAAGATGTCTTCTGCAATGGCTTCGAGACTCCCGATGACGTCTTGATCGCGGCTTTTGGATGCTCGGCTCATGTCCCAAGCATGATAGAGGATTTGTTTGTCCTTGGGCAGGAATTGATTCAGATAGTTGACGGCGAGGGTGTATTCTTTGAGCAGCTTGGATTCTCGTGGAGTCCGTTCCCGTGATTTGATCAGGTTGAGCACGTAGATGGGAGTTCCGTACCGTTTGAAGAGATTGTCGAAATGAAGGGCTGCAGCGCTGAAAAATGGGTCCACCACGTTAAGATGGATATCGGGCTTGGGTGAGACTCCAGTGCTGTCTTGTGTCCAGTGTAGTGGAATGCTGCCTCGGTGTTGGACGTATGAAGTGTACTTGTTGTTGGCGAACAGGGTCGGGCCAGGGGCATGAAATGAAGTCGTCAGCATTTCGGAGACGATTTGTTCGGTTTCGACGTCGTTAGCTACGTATCCGAGATCATTCGCGCCGCGCTTCAAGAATCTGGCGCCGGCAAAGAAACGTGACCGTCGTGCAATGATTGTCACGTAGACCACTCTTCCCCAGTAAACTGATAGAGCGCTTTGGTCGACATAGCCATGTACGATTGACAGACACCAGTCAAAAGGATTTCTGAGTACTTGCTTCGCAGGCTCGAGGAGATGATGGTTCCAGACAAACATGTCATTGTGGTCGCATTTGCGAGGCTCAGCGAGACCTTCTTGTAATGCTCCACGTTCGCGCATGATATTGTGTTGTAAGGTCCGGGTGACATCGTACGAGTAGCTGAAGTAGAACGACCTGGTCAGGTCGAGATTGTTTAGGATACCGATGAATCGAGCTTCTTCCAGCTGTCTATCGGTCTTTGCCCGTGTGGAGGCTGGCGTCACCAGCGGCATCAATTCTGTCTTGTCAATTTGGTAGATGTAATGACCGCCTATCATGGCCACTTGACTTCGCTTGGTCACATAGATCATGTAGTACTGAGCTGTAAAGCGGATGAAACCGAGTAGACCCCAGAAGCTGGTCTTGGTCTTGAGTCCGCCTGTGGCTCGATTCCCTTCGTCGATCGCATGGAGAATTTGCTGCGTTTCTTTCTTTGTGTAGACAATGTCATCTTCGGTGATGTTCAGTTCCCCCGGTTCGGACGTCCGGTCGATTTTCAAGATGCGAAACGCGGAGTCCAGCAGGTCTGAGCCGACAATGTAGTAGTAGTTTGCGGTCTCATGGAGAGTGAACTTGTGCATTTTGATGACGCCTTCTTCCCCGACTTTACTCACCAAGGTTCCCCTGTTGCGCTGTAACCTTGCTGGAGAGGGGCTTGCGGCCCGATTAAAGGACTTGGAGAGATTGAGCTCCTCTTCATCGTCTTCTGATTCTCGGTTTCCCGGTGCCAATGGAGGAGACTCGGGCGGATTATTCGACAACAAAGGATACATCTGTGGCACAACTTTCTCTTTATTGTCGGATTCTTCTGAATCAACTTTCAGCGGCTTGGAGTGATCGTTGACGGTGACATCTTGCTGGGAAATTGATCCATTCTCCGACTCCCCTTGCTTGATATCTTCACCTGACCGGTCTGCATTTTGTTCTCGTGGTGTCTCGTCAGGATTGACTGGTATCTGGTTGGCAGTGAACTCCTTGAAAGACTCCATCTTAGCTTGACAGCCAGGGTTGTGCTGGCAGGAAACGATTGGGAGTGTATTTGCTTATTCCATTGGCAGCTCTCGTAAAGGATCGCATAAGCGCGATGCTTATACTACCGCAAGTTGGGGAAATTGGGTCCTGCAACTGCCCATGTGGTTCGACGTCGTGACTGTTGGTGATTGGCGTAGGCATACTGGCCAGAATTTGGGTGCTAAATCGTCTGCCACAGATGCCATGGAATCATCAATTCAGGTTAGACCAGAAACCGAAATTCACGTGACTTCACGTGAGCAAGGAAATCAGACCGAGGCTCGAACTCAGAGGGGAGATGCATTCGGTTTCAATGGGAGCCCCCGCGCTCACTCGTTCCCGGAAACGTCTGAATATACGCCAGTGTTGAGGATGTAGTTGTCTTCTTCTGGGAGCTCCGGGATTCCTTGTTCTTTCTGCCACTGGTGTTGCTGTATACCAACTGCAAAAATGTCTCCTAAAGCGCCCGCTCCTTTCTCTGAGCCACTTCTCCCCCAGCTCGATATCCCGACCAACCCATACTATACTGAGAAGCACCATCGTCTCAGGGCATTCGTTCGCCAGTATGTAGATACTGAACTCGCCCCTTACGCCCAAGATTGGGAGATTGCCGGCCAAGTACCAGAAAGTGTTCGTCTGCGCCATTGTCAATTGGGATTCTCAATCGTGCATCCCGTGGTAGACCCAGCAGATGCTGGTGGCGTTCAACAACCTGCCGGAATCCCTTACGAAGAATGGGATACATGGTGCAGCGTCATAGTCGGTGACGAGCTCAGCCGTCTTGGTTGGTGCGGTCCCATTTGGGGTTTAGGAGGAGGAAATGGTATTGGCTGCCCTCCTATCAGCACGTTCGGCACCAAAGAACAGAGACAGAAATGGTTGCCCAAGGTCGCGAGGGGAGAGCTGAGGTTCTGTCTGGGTATCACCGAACCGGATGGAGGGAGCGACGTCGCGAATATCAAGACCACTGCAGAGCGAAGAGGAGGAAAATACGTGGTCAATGGCAGTAAGAAGTGGATCACTAATGGGATCTGGTGTGACTACTGTACGGCTGCTGTGAGGACAGGAGGACCGGGTCATGGGGGTATCAGCTTGTTAGTGGTGCCTTTGAAGGTAAAAGGCGTCACAACAAGGAGAATAGAAAATCAGGGAGTTCATGCAAGCGGTATGAAAATCCTCTGTTCATTTTTTTTTGTTCTTCAGCTAATATCCATAGGATCGACTTTCATCACCTTTGAAGACGTCGAGGTGCCAGTAGAGAATCTCATTGGACGGGAAAACCACGGATTCCAGCTTATAATGTCGAATTTCAATCCAGAACGATTGTCTCTGGCTACTGCTGCTCTCCGATTGGCGAGAGTCTGTGCTCAAGACGCATACACGTATGCCTGCGAACGGGAAACATTTGGAAAACCACTGATTGAGCATTCCGCCATCAAGACCAAGATCGCCTCCTTTGGCCTTTTGATTGAACCTGCTCACGCTTTCCTGGAACAACTGTGCTATATCATTGAAACCTCCCGGGTTACGGGTAAGGAAGTCAATGTCGGAGGAATGACGGCTTTGCTTAAGGTTATGAGCACAAGATGTCTTGAACGTGTCTGTCGCGAAGCTCAACAAATCATGGGCGGAGCAGGATATTCAAAGACCGGACGAGGAGCCCGAATCGAGCAGATTAGTCGAGATGTGCGTGTTCATGTTGTAGGTGGCGGTAGTGAGGAGATCATGCTTGATCTTGCTGTTCGTCAAGAGGCCAGAGATGTCAAGTTGAGAGCTAGCAAGCATGCGTCCTCAAAGCTGTAGAGAATCTCAACCAAGACCTAGCTCCGCCTTGTTGCTGGCAATCATTTCCATTGCTTGCTCCCTGGTTGGTTCCTCCTGGTTGTATTGCCATTCAGCAAGTTTCTCCACGGCTTTCTTCAGCCATGGACCACCCTTAGGCGCGCCCAGCACGTCTTTGATATCGTTGCCCTTCAGAATTGGAACCATGGCGTACGCCTCTTCCAGTTTTTGCTCATAGATGAACCCGACAAACTTCTGGTATCGACTGACGACTTTAGAAAATTCCTGCTCTGCAAGATCACAGAGAAGGGAATAGAGAACATGCGACCTCCAAGCTTCCTTGCATTGTCGGATCGCCATACCCACATCTCCTCGCGTCGCCGTGTCGTCCTCCACTAATGCTATGGCTTTGAGAATGTTGGGTCGTAAATCAATAGCATCTTTCAAAGTCTTACTCATCATGTTCGTCGCCTTGATGCCCTCTCTAGAAGCATTGTAGGCTTTCATTGAAGACTCTGCCCACGGCGTGTAGGCGGCTAGATACCAACTCAAAGCTTGATCTTGTTTTGGCTTTAAGCCGAGACAGATCGAAGATTTTTCTTCTAAGATCCGTTGTAGTCCCTCGTAGGCTATGACGGCTTTCTGCGGGTCCGCACCACCCTCTAAATCAGCCGGGTCAGCGAAGACAGTATTGTAGAGATCGAAGTCGTTGATGTATTTCAATCCAGTGTATGGATCAGGGCCGGCCATAATCTTGCCAACCTCGGTTCCCACACGCTCTCTACTAATCTTCACTCGCAGAGCTTCGTGGATGCTCTTGTCTTTCATCGCCTCCTTCGACGCTGGTTCAATCTCATATCCAAGTCGACAGGCAAATCGAATCAGTCGTAGGACTCGGAGGGGATCGTCCCTAAAAGTTTGATGTGGTGCCAGAGGTGTTCGAATGATTTTCTTTTCCATGTCCTCTAAACCTTGTTTGGTGAAGTCTTCGACAGTCTGAGTGTCGAGGTTGTAGAAGAGTGCGTTGACTGTAGCATCCCGACGCAGAGCGTCTTCTTCTGCGGTGCCAAACTCCATTTGTGGGTGGCGACTTTCCTCATTGTAGACTTCCTTTCTCAGATTCACGAAGTCGACTTCGATTCCAAACATTTTGGTTGTGATGGTTTCAAGGTGCTTTGACTTTTCGGGATTGGCGGCGATTTTGTGGATATCTTTGACTTGGGAGTTGATGCCTTGAGTTTCCGCTTCTTGTTCATATTTGGCGCCATGCTCCTTCATGAATATCTGCATAGCTTGACCAAATTGCCATCCTGTCATGGTACTTAACGCCACATCAATATCATGACTTTGGACGCCCAGCAACTTGTCCCGAACCCAGCCTCCTGTCCAGCGAAGCACCAGGTCATTCATCCCGGGAACAGACTGCATTTGGCTCCGGCAGTCTAAGAGACATTGTCGAAAAAGCTTTTCGGCTGGTGTCAAAGGAAGCGGGACTCGAGTCATCTTGGAAACTGGTCTTGATTGAGAAATTTTGCGAGTTCGTCCAATAGCTTTCAGAGGAGATCGGAGGGCTCGCAGGCTCATAATTTGCACTGCACCAAAAGCTTGCTTTAAGGAGTTTGGAGGAGGCGGATCCTCATTCTGACGAACTTACTCTACTTGTATTAATTTGGCTGGGGGTTGAACGCTTCTCTACTTCTAAATGGGTTAGAGAATGTAAATGGCAGAAGGCAAGTTCGTCAGGTAGAGTATTAGTCACAAACGACGCTAGGATTGCAGCAAGGCAGTGTCATCACAAGAAAGTATGCAGTGGAGATTTGATAGGTAGTCTTTCTGACATGGTTGTTTAATATCCAGATGAAAGAAACCGAAATCAGCCTCGTTCGTCTGCCTTCCCTTGTCTCGGCGCCCAGACCTCTCTCTCGGAAAAAGAGTTGACCCGTTCCGGGTACTCGAGAGAGAGAGGTCTGGGTCAATACGGGAAATTTTGTTAGCGTATTGCATTTCGCGTGGCGGGCGCGTCCACCCATTTCTTGCATTCGTGTCAAAATCCACGAGGCAACGAGTTGCATTCGACTTCACGACTCAGCCACATAGCGCAGCGCTGAACACGACGAATAGTGTGCTTTAATTGGCTGTAACAATCGCAACCCCTAGGGCTGCGATTGCTATCGGGCTTGCAAATAGATTATGGCTCGCGCGATCCTTCATCGAGATAGAACTTAAAGCGGAAATACCAAAAAATGGGCCCCCTCCCATAGTCCATCTTTGACGAACTCATAGATGGGGCGCCGCAGCCAGTGAAAGCTTCAGCCACACAAGTTCAACTGCAGAAGAGTTTGAGTCAGTGAACCCCCAACGGTATGAACGAGACGACATCAACAATCACTGGCTGGAGCATTACGTTTACCCATATAGGGCACCTAGAAGCTAGGCCGGACAACCCTCTTACCTCACCTATGATCGAACACTAGTGAGGCCCCTCAATTCTATCGGTTCGACTGCAAGCCGAGTGTTTTACCACTCGGTTACGTCCTTGATAGGTCAACCACGATTTGGTGTCAATTTTGAAGCAGTTTTTGGCAGTATATAATATAAACTTGATTTTTTTTTTTTAAAAAAAAAAAAATTTTTGAATCCGCCTGGTTTAGGGTTTGATGTTGTGTGGTGACGCCAAGAGCAACGTGCTGGCCCAATAACGTCAGCCTATGTCTTGGCAGTGTCACGTGGGAAACTAGGCACGTTGGCACTCCCCTTGCCGCGTCGTCATCGGATCCAATCCGTGGACCATGTGGCCCCGAGGGGCCCCTACTCGATAGATGTCCATGGATTGGATCCGATGAAATCCCGTGGGCAACCTACCCTCAACGGATTAAACGTTTTCCGGGCCACAACCCATCGGATTAAATATTTTCCGGACCACCACTATCGGATCCAGTCTGTGGACCAAGTGGCCGGGGGGTGGGCACCCTATTCGATATCGACAATGGTCCACGGATTGGATCCGATGAGTCGTGGTAATTCATCGGATCCAATCTGTGGACAACCTAGACGAGCTCTTAGTGATCGCGCTCGAGATGGTTCGTAACCGAGCGTGAACGGACGACGAGCCTTGACGTCGAGATGACTCGTATGGAATGTTAATGGATAGTAATTCGTCATTTCACTTAATTACCGAAATTTTATATAGGTCATTTGATTAATTGTATTGCGGTACCGAGACAACATCAATCAATCAATTAATCAATCAACCAGACCTCTCTCAGCTACAGATTAAAGCCGGGGAGATGTCGAGGCGAAGTACGCGCTTCTGTTTCTGCTCATACTGCTACACATCCTGCTGCTTATGCTGATATTCGTGCTTATAGTCGAACGCTGCATAGCTGCATAAGGCGGCTGGGACAGTCTATGAATAGAAAAAAAAAAAAAAAAAAATAGATCATGTCGATATCGAAGCTCGTCCGTTAAGTTAACGTTCCATCCGAGTTATCTCGAATGTGATCAGTAGAGATTATCTGGGTGGTCCACAGACTGGATCCGATGAAATACCACAGCCCATCGGATCCAATCCGTGGATTATCTCGACGTCAAGGTATGTCCGTTCACGCTCACGCTCGGTTACGAACCATCTCGAGTGTGATTAGTAGAGCTTCTAGTGTAAAGGTGATGAACGGTTTAGCACTTGAGTGCCTGTCATGCAGGGAGGATGTCGTCGTCAAAGCTGTTGAGCAACCACACACCAAGCTCTAATTACAAGAAAAGTTCAACGCTCTCGCCATCTTTATACCCACCCATGTTTGCTTGCCCCTTACATAATCCATGCACGTAGCGCCCCGCTACACTAGGTGGTCCACAGACTGGATCCGATGCGTGGATCATCTCGATATCAGGACGTCGACCTCTATCGAGTAGGATGCCCCCCGGCCACACGGTCCACGGATTGGATCCGATGGCGGGGGTCTTTCATCGGATCCAATCCATGGATCATCTCGATATCGAGGCTCGTCTGTTAACGACCCGTTACGAGCCTGTCGAACGTTGCGAGATGCGGATAGAAGGGGTGAAACTTCGTGCAACTATGGATTGGGGGGAAGCCCTCTATATAGGCCAGAATAGGGGCTCTTGGCACTAGGCACCAGCTGTCTGACAGAGCCATTTCGAGTGTGACTAGTAGAGCTTGTCTGAGGTGGTCCACAGACTGGATCCGATGGGCGACGAGGGGATCATGTCGAGTTGGAAGGGCCCCCCGGGAGGTTAGCACGTGATCCTGGAAAATAGTTACGTGATTGGCCAGCTCGTTGCTCTTGGCGTTGCCGCACAACACCAAGAGGCGATTCCCAAATTTTTTTAAAAAAAAAAATTTTCAAGTTTATATTATATACTGCCAAAAACTGCTTCAAAATTGACACCAAATCATGGTTGACCTATCAAGGACGTAACCGAGTGGTAAAACACTCGGCTTGCAGTCGAACCGATAGAATTGAGGGGCCTTACTAGTGTTCGATCATAGGTGAGGTAAGAGGGTTGTCCGGCCTAGCTCCATTGAGTTTCTAGGTGCCCTAGATGGGTAACGTAATGCTCCAGCCAGTGATTGTTGATGATGTCGTCTTGTTCATACCGTTGGGAGGTCACTGATTCAAACTCTTCTGCAGTTGAACTTGTGTGGCTGAAGCTTTCACTGGCTGCGGCGCCCCATCTATAAGTTCGTCAGAGATGGACTATAGGAGGGGGCTTTTTTTGGGGTATTTCCGCCCTAAGTCCTGTATCGACGAAGGATCGCGCGAGCCATAATCTATTTGCAAGCTCGATGACAATCGCAGCCCCGGGGATTGCGATTGTTACAGCCAATTAGAGCACTCTAGTCGTGTTCAGCACTGCGCTACGTACCACAGACTATTCAGTCTTACCGACCAAGGAGACAAGCCCCAGATCGAAACCGTCATGCTTCTTCAAGCTGGGTTGAATTAATACTGGGTCGTGTGTGCCGATGGTCTCTGGCGAGTTAAGCTCGTCGGAACCAGGTGCTTCTAAGGAAGGGTCCTGATGGTGTAGGGGAGGAGAAATCGATGTTTTGGAAGATAACTCTTGTGGGGTAATCGACGGGGAAATTCCATCGGTTGTATATAAGAGAGAAGAGTATTTGCTATCGGAACACGAAGCCCTTTTTCATTTCAGCTTGTCGTCAATCGAGCACTCTTCGCTATTCTCTGTTACTAAGAGCCAAATACGCATGGTGGGTCAATTCTGACACTCTGAGAAGAATCTCCATCTGTTTCTTGGTCGGGTCATGCTGTAGCAATAGTAGATATATGATGTGGCTGAGCTGTGAAATGGAATGGAACTTGTCACCTCGTGGAGTACCCGGAACGGATCAACTCTCTTCCGAGAGAGGTCTGGGCACCGAGACAAGAATGTATGGTGGATCTTTGAAAAGCACTGTATTATTACTCCCGAAACCGGTAGCCGAGCTCCAACTCAACGCGAACCGCAGTCTCTCGGTAAATACATTCCTCCTTTTTATATATATATACATGAACGGTAAGATAGGTGAAGTTGTCGACTTGTCAATGCGAATAGATTTTAGAACCCTGTCATCATGCACGTAATTGGTCTCACGGGCTCAATTGCGACGGGCAAGTCTACTTGTTCAACTACGCTCTCCTCCCCTCCCTACTCATTACCCTTGATCGACGCAGACCTCCTCGCACGCAAGGCCGTCGAACCAGGCACGTGGGGATACAGTCGCATAGTATCGACCTTTGGTCCCACGACCCCAGACCTTCTCCTTCCACCGTCGGATCCTCAATGCGCCGGCAAGGAAAACGGACCGAACGGCAATGGCAGACCATTGAACAGACCCGCGTTGGGAAGAAGGGTCTTTGGAAACAGTGAAGAGAGAATAAGAGATAGGAAGAAACTTAATGCCATTGTCCATCCTGCCGTGCGATTCTACATGGCTCGAGCAATGCTGTACTACTATCTTCACGGACATTGGGCAGTTGTCTTGGACATCCCCCTTCTCTTTGAATCTGGGTTGGACATCTTCTGCAGCACCGTCATCGTGGTCGCCGTTTCAGATCCAAAGATTCAGCTGGAACGTCTTCGGGCTCGCGATCCACATTTGTCTCCCGAAGATGTAGAGAATCGGGTCAAGAGTCAAGTCGATGTTCGTGAAAAGGCCGTGAGATGTGAGTATAGGAATAATGGCAAGAAAGATGCAGGTAGAGGTTATGTCCTCTACAATGATGGGAGCAAGGAAGACTTGAAGCTTCAAATCGCAGACGTCATGCAGAAGATCAAATCAAGGAGCTCGAGATGGTGGGATTTGTTACTGCTGGTCTTTCCTCCTCTCATGGCGACCGTTGCTTCCTGGGAGGTTTTCTGGAACTGGTACTTGCGACGGAAGATCATTAAAGAAAGAGGAGAAGAATTGGCCAAGACGAAAATCTGAGGAAGGTGCGTGGTTTGGGCAGACAGATCTCAGGATGAGGCTGAGCAGAGGTCCACGCCAATGAATGGCATTATTTCATGATTGGTGGCTTTGAACGTGGATGAACTTAGGACATTTGACAACGAAATGATCGAAGCTGAATGACCAAACCAGCCTATTCCATGCGAATGATACACCATGAACGCAATAGACATGAACCAAGCCTACAGTCGATACCTCACTGTTCAACCGAAGTATTGTATTCAGTGAAGATACTGCTCACACGTTCCTACACCGCACGGACAACTAACCGAGCACGGCAAATGTCCAAAAAATTTTGCCACCAAGGAAATTCAAAATGCGGGATTTAGGTTGGTTCAAATGTGGTTGATGGGAAGCGAAAACCCTCTCAAGTGGGTATTTTCTTCCTTTCAACATGACAGTGCGCGATCTATCTCTACAGCGACGCATCGAACTCCGGATTGACCCAAGAAGGTGTCCCGGTCTTGGATCTCAACATAGGGCCAAATTTATGTAGAAAGGCGAAGATAGGGAGTGCGCCAAAAAAGACGATGATTCCTTGGGCAGCGAAGCACCAGGTCCAGCCCGAATCGGTCTGCCAGGGGGCAATGAAGAACTAGAGACATCACCAATTAATCAGCGTCTGAAATGAACTCAATGGGCGGCAAATCATTTTTAAGGAGGGACATACCGGATTGATAAAGGCGGACAAGTTCAGCAGTACAGCGTAGAATGTGATCATGCTCATGCTCTGCAGCGGATAGCAGTCGACAATATAGGCACAGACAACTGTGTTTCCCATCTGGATTCCTGCAGCGAACAGGAAAAAGGCGACCTGCCCAACCATCCAGTGATAGGCCCTATCGACACTGATTCCCCACACGATTAAGCCGATGGCACTCAGCAGGCCAGCTGGGAAGATCAACCAGAGGCGCATCTCGGGAATCCGGACGCCTCCATTTCGCTTCGCCAGTCGCGAGCACACAATGTCGCTGAGGTGGCCGCCCAAGAAGACTTCGGCAAACAACGTACCGAGGAGGAGTCCAATGAAGAGGAGCCCTTGAATTTGCGGTTTATAGTCCAGATACGCGGCCGGGAGCATCGTGATCACGCTCAGCACCCACCAGTACCAGAGGAAGCAATACGTCACGACGGCAATGGTGACAGCGAGGAATTTCAAGGTTAGGACGAAGCGGAGGATCGAGTCGTAGACGGCTGGATGGCGCATGCCAGGGACAGGCTTGATGTTGATGAAGGGGAGTTTCTTGGTTCGTGGCAAGTCGACAGATCCTGCATCGCTCCGTCTTCGGCCGACTTTCTCGATATCAACACCCGTTTCGTCCGAGGCGGTCGCCATGGGTAGTTTGGCTAGCATGTGATTTCGCGGATACAGCGTTTCAGGCAAAAAGAAGATTTCGAGAACAAGGAGTACGCCAAAGAAGATGGCTGTCAACCATTGGATCCAGGCAGTCGAGACAATATTCATGAACCCGCCGATGATCGGACCAACTAGTAAACCGCTGTCGATTGCCAGGACCCAGAGTCCGATTTTCTGCCCTCGTTGGTGCTCGTAGAACATATCATTGATGGCGGCCAAACCGACGGTTGACGCTGGAGATACGCCTAAGCCTTGAAAGAAGCGTGCAGCCATATATCCGCCGTAGTTGGAAGCTTTGGCAGCGCCGACGGTCGATGCCAGAGCCATGATCGTGCCAATGATGAATACAAGACGACGGCCGAAAATGTCGGCAAGCGAGCTGAAGATCAATGGACCGACAGCGAGCCCCAGCGCGGGGATTGCGACAGTCCAGTTGACTTGCGAGTAGGTGATATCGTATTGCTCCTGTAAATCAGGAAAACTGGCGACTGTAGTGGTGGTTATGTATGTAAACATGAAGTATCTGAAATGGTTAAAAACAGTTCGGAGACTTGCGCCAAGATCTAGAAACGTACTTGAACATGACGATGGCAAGAATCGAGTGCTTTTGAAAGCTAGACCAGTTGAGAGGATCCAAGGGATCACTGGTCGGTTGTGGATGGACGCGAAATCCATCTCGTGTGATCATATTTTCCACTGTTGGTGGAGGAGGTGCAGCTGTACTCTCTTCAAGCTTTTCATTCAACGGCTGTAACATAGCCTCACCTCCTCCAACAGGAACCGCTTGCTTCTCGTTTGTGGTTTCTGCCATCGTGATTCACTTTCGTAAAAGAGTTGAGAGGAGGAGTCCGACGAAACTAAACAAAGGAGAAAAAGAGGCCAAAAAAGAAAAAGAAAGGTAAAAGGGAGCTGAAGCAATTCAAAGCTCTGACTGTTGACGACATGGAACGAAACGCTTTGACTCTCCTTCTCAAGGACTGGAACCGGCGTGAGCAAACCAAGTGGGTATCTCAGCCCAGAATGAAGAAGGCACAAGTTCCCCAGGATCTTGATTCCCGACGCATGGTTTGTGCGCCACAAGGACAGGGCCTTTGTACAAGGGGACAGCTTCATCGTAGCGTCTGGGCGTAAGAGAAATTGGACGACTTGTAGAGCGTCACGAAAGGCTTGTACTGTACATGATGGGCCGGAGCCACAGAGAGATCGAGGCTTTGAAGCGGCAGCAGTATCATATTCGGTAGAGGTAAGTGATGGGGCAGATTAGGTAGAGACGGGTGATAGGGCAGATTAGGTAGAGGAGATGATAGGGCCCTATCCCCAGGATGCGATCAGAGATAGAGATAGGAGGCAACAAAGAGCTGGCGGGCAATGATAGGCGTCGAGTTGATAAAGCGAAAATTGATGCCACTCAGTAGGCGGTACATACATACTAGATAGTTAAAATACGAAAATTACACCCGCTGGCGTGTCTGATTGGACAATCAACCACCACACATTGTCCATCGGACCGTATCACCACGGACAGGGCTTATAGATAAGGGAGAAAGGAAATGCACGGACCATCTCATCCATTGGGTAATTCGATTACTTGCACATCCTGTTCAAACAAAAAAGCAGTGGATGGGTTAGGCAAGGGTCTGGCTTTCGAGGCTTGAGTTTTGGTCTTTCAATAGCTGAACTTTGACTGCAGGCAATTTTTCCCATTACGTACCGCGATTTGAACACGGATCGGACGAATCGAATCCCACCTTTGTTGTACAAACACCTTTCATGGGTCAAACATTAGTCGGTACTTCCAGCATTGATATGACGGTGGGGCAAAGATTCGGTCTTGATGGGCTCTCGCTGTTTGAATCCTCTCTTACTTGGATGACACCCCTTTGTGCTTACCACCGTGAAAGTCTCGAGGTTGGTACCTTTTCTACTGATCAGTCATGCGGAGATACAGTTCATCCGGTAAGTCTACTTGGATTGATAAATGGGTAGTCGTCCTGCTCACGACAGGGTGGTTTAGAAGAGGAGCACGATAGACGGCGTTCGGCTGCCATCGCTTATGACGAAATTCGAGAAGCCCCCAACGAGGAAACCAGTCTTTTGCCTAAGAAACAAAATGACGGGGATCAATCAAGCAGCCAGGAAGAAGGGGAAGTCCTTGATATCTTGCCAGAGGATGAGACTCCTACTCGACAGCTCGTGCTTCATGAATTTTGGGTACTCTTCCGCGGATCTATCCCAGTGATTTTGGCCTACACATTGCAGAACTCTCTCCAAACGATCTCCATTTTGATCGTTGGCCGGGCTTCACCCCAGGACCTCTCCACGGCGGCATTTTCATACATGTTCGCCATGTGTTCAGGCTGGCTGATTGGAATGGGCGGATCGACCGCCTTGGATACTCTCGCCTCGTCGACATTTACGGGAAGCAAGAACAAACATGACTTGGGCATTTTGCTTCAGCGGGCTTTCGTTGTCTTGACCATGTTCTATGTCCCGGTTGCGATTCTCTGGTTGTGCTCGGAACCCGTGTTCAAAGCACTCGGTCAGAGCCCTCAACTATCACGAGACAGTGCCAAGTTCTTGAGTTGTCTAATCCCCGGCGGACTTGGATATATCTACTTCGAGACGATGAAGAAATACCTTCAGGCGCAGGAGATCATGCGACCGGGAACCTATGTCCTGTTGATCACTTCACCAATCAGCGCACTGTTGAACTATCTGTTCGTCTATGTCGCCGGTTGGGGCATATTTGCCGCTCCTTTCGCCACTGGCATTGGTTATTGGTTGTCCTTCCTGGGCCTCGTCCTCTATGCGAGATTCGTGGCAGGCGGCGAATGCTGGGGTGGCTGGACCAAGAGATGTCTCCAGAATATGGGAATCTTTGCCAAGCTTGCGATTCTAGGAGTCATCCACGTCGGCACGGAATGGTGGGCATTTGAAATTGTCGCCTTGGCCGCTGGCAGACTCGGAGAGATTCCCCTGGCATCTCAAAGTGTGATCATGACGGCCGACCAAGTCATGAATACCATCCCCTTTGGCATTGGAGTGGCTGCCAGTGCGCGTGTTGGTAATATGCTGGGATCACGAAAGGCAAGAGGAGCAGCACGATCGGCAAATGTCGCCGCCTGGCTGAGCATGATCATGGGTGCCGTTGTGTTGGCAATCCTGATGGGCACCAGGAATGATTTTGCAAAGATCTTCAACGACGATTCCCGGGTTGTTAAGCTTACGGCCAAAGTCCTGCCGTACGTGGCTTTGTTTCAGATTGCGGACGGTTTGAATGGCAGTTGTGGAGGATCATTGCGAGGGATGGGCAGACAGCATATTGGAGCGGCAGTCAACATAATCAGCTACTACTGTGGTGCTCTGCCGTTGGGTATCTGGCTGGCTTTCCATGGCTGGGGTCTTCCAGGTCTCTGGGTGGGTCAATGCATCGCATTGTACCTGGTCGGGGCTGCTGAATGGGTCATTGTCGCCTTCAGCAACTGGGAGTATCAGGTCCAGAAGGCCTTTGAGCGCATGGACAAAGACGAGCTGGTGGAGAACGGGCATGCTGAAGCCTCATCATCTGGACCGGCTCCTGCGGGCAATGAACCTCAGTAGGGAATATGGATCTGTTGGACACACTTAAGTTATAGGAAATAGATATGACCTTGATTTCCTCACTTTGGTCCCTATCGAACACCCCGACGTGTATTACCATTACAGGCTGCCCTATTGGGCTAGCGCTAAACGCTTTCTCTTGACGGGTTACAAAAACCGTTCATTCTACTATTTCTCATTATCGAGAGCCCACAGAACTCTGGTTAGATACGAGAGTTCGGCTCATCCACCAGCACCAAGGCGTTAGACCGCAACTGATAAGCATAAACAATGACCACATAGGTGACACATAGCATTGACTCACCTTCGCACTCCCGGTCAAAACCCATCCGTGCTCCCTTGAGTGGACATGAGCGCTGGCCCCAGCTTTTTCTTTTCTGAACTGTGCTTTGTCCAACCCCTGTCCTCCACCATGTGGCCGTCGACTTTCATGGTGTCTTCGAGCTCCAAAAGCTCCCAAAACTCGGCAAGAGAGCTTGCTTGTGTCATTATTCCCGAGCTCTCATGCCATCACCATTTGAGAAATGTACTCGTAACGCATGGCGGGGCAGACCCTCCGATAGGAAACTTCTATCATCCATATGGGAGAAGCCCGTGGCCAGAGTCCTTAGGTAACAAGAACCAAAAAGCTATGCGTCTTGGTGTGGTGAGATCACGTTTGTCCTACCAGACTTCTACCTATCTGCAGGGACTCACTGGACAAGCTACTTAGCTCATTGAGAAAAAGAAGCTGGCCCTGGCAGCTTGGCTGATCATTTTCCAATACAAGTACTTCTCCTACGCGGAGGTGGCTGATTTGGGAGACTCTTCTGAACGTTTTCTTTCCTTTCCTCCATGTGTTTTGAAGTTTGTATTTCCAAGGTCGATTCTCCTCTTCTAAAGCAAAAAGATGCTGCTCAAATCGACTGCCTTGCTGGCGTGTGTCAGCTGTGCTCTAGCTCATAGTGACCGTGATCACGAGCAGGCTCCTATTGCTGGACCACACAAGTCTCTGTGGTACAATACCTTGCCAGGTGATGGCGGTACACAGGTCAGCAAGCAACCCACAGAATTGCTCCCAACTGGAGGCAACGTTAACGGGTGAGCAGGCCGATTCAGTCTTCTCCGGCATCTCGACCTTTGGCCGCCTTCCCTACTTCCCCTGCCTTTCTAGCGACGATGAAAAGTATGATATTGCATTTTTAGGTGCGTCCCAATGAAGAACCGGACTCAAGAGTCTCTATAAAGGGAAAGCCAATATTGATGCCCTCATTCTTTCCTCCAGGTGCACCATTCGACACAGGCACATCATACCGGCCAGGAGCTCGGTTTGGACCTAGCGGGATCAGACAAGGTTCTCGACGCCTCAATCTCTAGTACGTTCGATTATGTTCCTGCTCGAATGCTTACTTGTTGGGACAAAAGGCTCACGAAAAGTTCGCTTCAGTGGTGGGTATAATGTGTACGTGTCCCCCTTCCCCCTCCACTCCACGAACGAGAGGAGAGGATTAACTGGAAGATCCTAAACAGGCCCATGAAGTCAAATCCATTCAATTTCTGGGGGAATGTGCTCGATTGTGGCGATATTCCAGTGACCTCGTAAGTCAAAATATTGGAAGGACCAGCAGGCAGAACAGAAGACCTTAACGAAATTGCTTCTCTTCAGGTACGACAACGCCTACGCACTCCAACAAATCGAAGACGGACACAACACGCTCCTAATGCGCACGCCTTACACGGCCGCCAACGAACCAGGCATCAGCAAGTCCGGCAAAACGCTCCCTCGTATCATCACCCTTGGAGGCGACCATACCATCACTCTCCCACTGCTGCGCAGCATCAACAAGGCCTACGGCCCCATCAGCGTGATCCACTTCGATTCGCATCTAGACACATGGAAGCCGAAAGTCTTCGGCGGCGCCCCTTCGAAGCAAGCAGCCATCAATCATGGCACATATTTTTACTGGGCAAGCGAAGAAGGCCTGTTAGCCAACGACAGCAGCATTCACGCCGGGATCCGCACGACACTGTCTGGCCCCTCTGACTACGACAACGACGGCTACTGCGGCTTCACGCGTGTTGAGGCGCGCGAAATCGACACCATCGGCATCTGGGGCATCGTCAACCGCATCAAAGACCGTGTCGGCACCAAGAACCCCGTCTACCTCTCCATCGACATCGATACTTTGGACCCGGCCTTTGCGCCGGCGACAGGCACCCCCGAGACAGGAGGCTGGAGCACACGCGAGCTGCGAACCATCCTGCGCGGTCTCGAGGGGATTAACTTCGTCGCAGCGGATATCGTCGAAGTCGCGCCTGCGTATGATACGAACGCTGAGCTGACGACAATGGCTGCAGCGGATGTGCTGTATGAGGTCATGACGCTCATGGTCAAGAAGGGCCCGTTGACCGTGAATGCTACACAGGCCGAGTATGTGCCTACGATGGTCGAGGGGGAGGAATAAATAGTATGATGGCAGATAGGAGGAGGTAAGATGATAAAGACCAGATAAGAGAAGGAATGGGATGAATTGCCTTAAGGGACCGAGGATCATTGAAAAGTATTGTGTCGGGGACCCGTGTGGAGGCTGTCGAAATAGGGGGGAAATGTCACCACGTCGAGATACTAGTACCAAGGTAGAAAAAAGTAACTTGAAAACGGGGGACTGACATTGGAACAATGAAACAATAACCCAACTAAGCTCCTAACATCCATTGATTAACGGTAAGTCTTTCATTCTCTCTTACAATACCTTTAACAGCAAGCATTGTGGACATGAGAGATGTCAGGAGATAGATTGATGTTTCTTTTCCTTCGTGTGCAGAAATGTCGGGGGTTAATAGTGGTGGTAGTCTATGAGTATCAGCATCTTTTTGTTGTCTGGCACCATCGCTTCATCCCGTCGCTGTCGTCAAGCTTTTACATCTTCCGTTCCTTGAATGCTTGAAAATTCCCAAATCTTTTCGAGCTTCTCTTTCTTTCATTCATCCGCCCTCAGACGCAACGAACACCAACAAAGAACATAAACGTATTTGGATCCATGGTAGCACCCTGTGCCTTGCTTTCTCTCGTCTGAGGCTTGGGACTCTCTTGGGCTCAATGCCACCGAAATAGCAAATGAGCCATGTCTTCTGGTATTCTTCTGGGGCCTTTGCGATGTACAGGGCTGAGGAATATCTTGCTCAAAGAAAGTAGTCTGGGGTTCTTCGGCTGACCATGGGTTCTCCAGCTCGTGGGCAAGGATCGAATTGCAAGCTATGATCATATTAGTGTTGCAGTCATAAACGCGGGAAATGGGAACCATACAAGGTATACTTCAGATGCTCGTCAATCTCCATAATGGCAGCTTGATTTCCACATCTGTAGCAGTAATTGGGAGCACTGAAAATTGTCACCACATTCCTGTCTTGACTCCAATTGTACCCTTCCATGACTAATTGATGAGCTCTGGCTACCAGGGTCAAGCCATTGTTGTGATTGAATGCTTCGGAAATATCTTGACCAAACGTGTATCCCGCACCTCTTGGGCTGATACCCCAACCACATCGGTCGTCTGGGTCGCTCCAGAGCAGATCGCACATGGGTCCTTCATGCGGAACTTCCTGGATTCGGTCGAGGGATCTGATATTATCAAGGGTGTCAATGCTGGGAGACAGACCACCATGTAGACAGAAGATTTGGTTATCGATAAGGGCGGTGAGAGGAAGGTAGTCGAAGAGGTCGGTGAAGTATTTCCAGACATTGGCATTGCCATATTTTCGTAAACATTCGTCGTAGAATCCGTAAACTTGGGTGATCTGTCTCGATTCGTGATTTCCACGGAGGATAGTGATTCGGGACGGATATCTGATCTTGAGAGCGACAAGAAGGGTAACTGTCTCGACGGAGTAATAGCCACGATCTACGTAGTCTCCTATTCTCGAAGTCAACAGAGGTGTTATTGCGACTGCGTCAGATCTCCTGGCGTACCCATAAAGAGGTAGTTCGTGTCTGGATTTGGTCCGCCGATTCGAAACAGCTCCATCAAATCATGGAACTGGCCATGAATATCGCCGCAGACTGTAACGGGACATTTCTATTGCATATTAGCAATTGATCCAGCCATGGCCACAAACCAACCTACCACAGGTTGTACGTTTGACTCCTCCTGAAGGACTTCTCTGGCCTGCACCATCCATCAGCCTCTGGTGTTGCGGAATTCGTGTAGATCATGGCTCACTCTATCACAAAGTCTTGAAACATCATTCTCCGCCAATTGTTTGCAGTCCATCAGGCTATCAATCCAACCGTCCAGCGTTGGTATTGATTGCGGATCTGTCGCGGGTGACAATCCGTGAGGCTGCGCGGGCTTCCCCACATCAACATCCATCTTTGAATCCATGGTCGAGCATAAAATTCAATAAGGTCGTCGGGACGGGATAAAGGAGATCCAAGGCCGGGGTGGTGGGGGCAGCTCTCCAGATGTCGTGTGCTAAGGCGGGAGACTTTGTTATGGTTTGGTTTGGTGGGGACGTGAGTGAAGCGGGAGACGGTACGCGTGGGAGAGAAGTAGATGTGAGAAGGTGATTAAAGAGAGCAAAAGCAGATTACGATTTCTGTCGTCGATGAGGGTCGAGCTGAGTAGGAACTTGTCATGAACTTGCGACCATGACATCCACTACTGAATATTACAATGTACTCGGGCTAAACTAGGTATGGTCTCGCCAAGCTCATAAGCCACTTGCGGTGGCCAGGCACTGGGCAAAATTTATTAATCGTGTACAACACCATAGCGTGCTCTTGTATACCTTTGGAGGCGGCATGCACCAAGTGCTGTCCTACGGTCGATATTGAAAATAGACTGAACCCCCTGTTTTGGAGTCCTCCGGACATCATTCGCCATGTTTCGATCGAAATAAAACAGCCTTCCGGGTATCGTCCATCTCCCAGACTTCCCCGCTATACAACGCGATTTTCCCATGGTCATGAACTCGCAAGCACCCTAAACGAAGTCGCTGCTCCCAAAGCCACCAAATCTTCCCCCCCCTCGACCTGGAAACCGACCTCCGTGAAGATTTGGGGGTCCATCTCCTGGTCCAACCGGATCGTATCTAGCTCCTGGAGGCGCGGTCGGGTCGTACGGTTGCCGCCCCCCTTGTCCACCGAATATTGGGTCATCAAAGGTGGGATGCATACCACCTCTTCCATGAAAGCCGCCGCCTGGTCCTATGCGAAGGGGATCGTGGGGACCAAGGCCAGGAGGATAAAGGTCTCTTTCGCCAATGTTGCCAAATGGTTGACCACCAACTGGCATCCCTCGTGGTGGTCGATTAATCTCATACTCGTCTTCAAAGTCTGGTGGGGGGAAGTCACCAGGGGGATGAGGCCTTCTTGGAGGCGCTGCTAGCGGGTCATCAAAAGGGTGTGGCCGTGCCGGAGGAGGAAAAGTATCACGCAGGGGATCATGTTCAGGTGGCCGCGTTTCTTCCCGTCGCCTGGGCTGCTCTATTGTCGACGCAGGATCTTCGTAACCGGCCTTTTGAATGCCTGGTGCCAGTCTCTGGATGATGTTGATCTTGAAGAGAGATGCCAAATCTTCGAGACGTCCGTTGGATATGAAGACGTTTCGCAACGCCGAAATTTTGTCTGAATTGGTGGTTGCTTCTTTTAACGAGCCCTCAGACACATAATCTTGCACCCTGACTTCAAAAGAGACGGTTTTGTCATCCCCGAGAGCCATACCAAATACAAGGGCTTTGCTTCCGAGCCGGATCACTTTGACGAGAAAATTCATCGAGGATTGAGAGTGTGCGTAACGAAAAGCATACGAAGAGGAGGCATTCCATTCGGCAGGTAGGGGTTGTGCATCTGGAGGGTCTGATTCGGCTTTTGTGACGCGTATCAGTTTTAAATCCAAAATATATTGGGGCCGTTGAGACATACCTAATTTGTGATCTTCTCCCAATCCAATAAGACGAAAACCTACTGCAAGCATACAGGCATGGGAGAAGAGGGCTATAGCAGTGTATGGGTCTTTGAGGAGGAGTATTTGTTCAGAGTCGGGAGGTGGGGTCGGAAGGCTCTTGACCATGTAATCAAGTATGGAGCCCGCGCTCAGCGGGGAATTCGAATCGGGAGCCATGGCAAACAAAGTGTGAAAGGGTCAACACTGAACGGAGTAGGTGAGTGGTTCGATTGGGGAAGATCGAAGAAGTAAGTATGTTGAGATCAAAGAAGTTCAGTCGAGAGAGGTGGAATGTACCGGTAGAGCGCAGGCTGCGCCGCGCACTCGTCTGCGTTACGCGCCGAATCAACGAACGTCATTCCTGGTATCCCGCGGCAGACCTTCCCTCTCAGGTGACCAGTCAGCCCGTACAAGCAAAAAAGGGGCCTCAGAGGCCTCTTTGAATTGCTCCTCGATTCACAGAAACAAACTAGATGCTATATGTCGAATAAATGAGGCAAATTCTGAATAATGGTCGAGAAAGCGATGTTACGCCAACAAGCATTTGAGCTCTTTGTCACTTTCAATTGTCGGAACAAAATCGTACCCTGCTCCGTGTGAGGACGGTCTGTGGTTATGAGCATAACCCAGCAAAGTCCCTGATCAGGTAGGGTCCTTTGGGCTGTCCACTATCCTCCAACAAAACTCAAGCGAATGGCCGATGTCTGTGCTAGGGAATTCTCCGCAGAGGATCATGACCTACACATGGTTGACTAGCCAAACAGCGTTTCTCTGATGGCCAGGCACCTGTCGAAAACGGCATGTTCGCTCCATCAAAGGTTGGTCGCAGCGAATGGTGGACTTTGGCGTGTGGCATCACGGGGGGAAGAGTTTCGCGTTGTCGCTCTTTCGTCGGTTGAGTCGGAGGGCGAAACCTCCCAGACCTCCGATCGCGACCTGCCTCATGATTGGCCACTTCAACCTTCGTTCGATCCGTTTCGCACGAGGTAATCGCATGATGATGCCCTCGTTTGCTGCTGGCATCTAAATGACGCATGATCGAAAAGTGTCCCCCCGATCAACATTTGACAAGCGGAATGAACAAGCTCCTTCCGTCGGTTGGCTCCTATTGCGGCGTACCGTTCCGGACGATGATAAAAGATCACCCTGGCCCTTCGCAAAGTCACCCGATCGACTTACAACCCCATCAAATACCTCCATAGTACTTTTGAACGTTCAAAGGCACTACTGAGCGCTAGACAAAGCATTCGCCCATCTCCAAAATGTCAGCCCCTCAGAATGAGCAGGTGTGTCTTTCTATTAGACAAGAACGAAAGCAGCTGACATTTCCCAGCACATGGGTCCCCCATACCCTCCCAAAACTGCCTCTATTGGTGGTGTGCCCACCGTCGGAGTCGATGTTCCAATCTGCGTTGTCTTCATGTTTCTCTTCATCCTGGGCGCCGCAGGGCATATGGTATGTTTGTCCATCCTTCAAAGCTACTCCCCAAATGGCCTGGGATTGACCCTTTGGCAGACCATACTCCAAATTAACCTCAAGCGAGGCCACAAATTCATTATGAGTGGTCTCATGTTCGGCTTTTGCATGGCGCGTATAGTGACCATGATCATGCGCATCGTGTGGGCGGTATATCCCACTGATGTGCAAGTCGCCATTGCTGCCATGATCTTTGTTTCGGCCGGTGTTCTCCTCCTCTTCCTCATCAATCTCCTCTTCGCTCAGAGAATCGTACGGGCGGCGCACCCTCACTTCGGCTGGCACAGGGCTCTGAAGGCCGTCTTCACGATCCTGTACTTCTTGATCCTGGCAATGCTGGTTGTGGTCATCACTGCTACGGTTCAGTCATTCTATACTCTCAACCAGAACATTCGCGACATTGATCGAGACATGCAAATGGCTGCAGCGACATACTTCATGTTTATCTCATTCCTTCCCATTCCCATGGTCATCCTGGGTCTGGTTATTCCCCGGAAGACAAGACTTGAGAAGTTTGGGAGTGGTCGATGGAGGAGCAAGATCGCCATCCTCCTGACGTCGGCTGGCATCCTCTGTCTCGGGGCATCCTTCCGGGCGGGCACCGCTTACAAGAACCCCCGACCCAGAGATGACCCAGCATGGTATCACGCCAAATGGTGCTTCTACTTCTTCAATTTCACCATTGAAATCGTTGTCATCTATTCATACTTGGTCCTTCGAGTCGACCGCCGCTTTCACATTCCTGACCAAAGCAAAGGCCCTGGTGACTACCTGGCAGAACAGAACCCTAAGGAGGGAGAAGGAGAGCAGGAGGCCGTTTTTCGTAGTATGAGTAGTGTCACTCGGATCCTTTCGGAGGAAGAAGTATTTGATGACGAGTCGCCAATCGAAAGAAAATCAAGCAAACGTGTCGAGTCTCAGGCGTGAATATGGTAGGACCGAGATGGTCTGAGACATGGATTGTGAAAAGGGAGGATCGATGTCTGCATTGGGAGCTTTGGCTCAGCTCTGTACCATTACTTCATAGACATAAACATAGACTGACTGAATGGAAAGATGAATGGAAATTGCACCAGGAACACTCTTGAGGAAGAGTAACTCGAACATGGTCACGTGATCTAGCTAGAACGCGAACCTGGTGTGTTTCTGTTTCGCTGTTTGCGGACGTCTTCGACAAAGAAACAACACCGCACACGTATGCATCGAGTCACTCTTCCATGCATGAATCGATATTACTACCTGCGCCTTGCGTGTGACTGCGCCATCCATTGACTGCTCAAGGTGGTCCCTACGGAAGAGAATCTGGTCGCGCCAACTCTCCGAAACTCGACAACAATTGATTCAGAGTGGCCCTATCGATCTTGTTACACTACTATTTTCTTCCGAGAAAATCCCCCCGAGCCTTTCATCTTGGTCCCAAATTTCCTATCTTCCTCTCACTCTGGATGATGGTCTGAATTTAATGTTATCCCGAGGAATCTCAGCCTCCATGGGCTAGATGGATAGTTGACTACTTCTCACAGTTAGTCTCCCCCTCACATTCAAAAATCTCGTCGACCTCGACCTTATCGCGAAAGTTTTATTGTCCAGTCTCTGATCCGTACTGACATTGGTAGATTTCTTCCACACCAACAACACAATATGCCGCCTCGTCGATCTGCGGCCAGAGCGTCAAGTGCGACACCAATACGTGCCACTTCCCCGACAAAGCGTTCAGCTCGTGGAGGCAGTGCCTTCGCCCCAGATGATGCCATCACAAAGCGGGTCACGAGAGGAAGTTCTCAGCAGCCAAGTCTGGCAGAAGGCAATGTGAACAATCCCAGACTTCCGGAGGTGCAGATTCAGCAATCTTATGCCTATGGATCCAGCAAAACACCCGTGCTTCCGGCGCAGTTGGTTGCCCGGAATAAAATGAATTTACAGGAAATGGCCGAAACCATTGATGCCGGCGTCGAGCAAGCCCAACAGCATCTTCAGCATCACATCGAGGAGACTCACGCAAATCTGCAGAAAGATGCGCACTCCGAGAGAACTCGTCGAAGAGCTTCTCACGACGGTTCTCGAGAGGGGTCCGTTGCCAGTGACGACCTTGAGAAAAATAAATCTCAACGGGTCGCGGCGTGGGCAAGCTCTCTTGAGAGTAGTCAGCTTGACGAGATACCGGAAGAAGATGACATTGCAGCGAGGAGCACTCCTGACGACGCCACGCACAAGGACACCGATCCGTCTAGCTTTCCTAGTGGGATATTCGATCACAGCTACAATTATGAGCGAGGTCTGCGACGACCAAATATCACAGTCCGAAAACGGCCAGATTCCTTCTACCGCGGCGCATGGAATTCGACAAAAGACGTTGCCCACCGATCCCGTCAGACTTCGTCACGAATGATGAGTTCAATACGTGAATGGTTTCTACGACTGCTGCAAGCTCAAGCAAGAGTAGTCAGCGAACTTCCAAATTCACCCTTTATATCCATTATGACGCATCTTCTTTTTGCTCTCATGATTGCCGGTGGAGCAAGCCTTGTGTTCTGCTACACATATAACCACTATGTTTGTGATCCTTATTCCAATTCTGTTGTGGGCATGGCTCTACAGAAGTACTGTGGAAGTTGCGTTCGAAGTTTGGGCCTGCCTTTCAATTTCACGACTGGCAATTTGGACGATCTCTCCAGACTCTCCACAGCTCTTGCCAACATAAACCACCAGATGCGAGCGATCGAGTTGCGACTGAGTGATAGAATTGATTCACAATATTCAGCGGTGAACAAGGACATCGATGCACTGAGAAGACAACACTCCGAACTCTCAAATCATCTTGCAGGATTAAAGTCCGGTGGTTCGAGCTCTACCGGGGAGGTGGCATCGCCGGTGATTGCAAAAATCAATTACTTTGCACCCAACAATGGAGCAGTGGTGGAACCACGCTTGACGTCGCCGACCAGGCAGAAACCACTACCACTTGTTGCACGCGTGCTCCTCCGGATGCTAGGCTCGACACTGTATCAAACTAAACCCCCGAGCACAGCCCTGGCTCCATGGCAAGATGTGGGGGATTGCTGGTGCTCGTCAGCCAGCCTCAGCGAACAAGAATCGATGCGACTGGGGGTGAAAGTGACGGAGATGATCTATCCAACCGAACTGGTGGTGGAGAACTACCCGAACGCGGGATCATTGTTCCCTGGGTCGACTCCAAGGAAGATGGAAGTTTGGGCCGACTTTGAGCACCTGGATGATCGGCAATGGGAAAGTCTGTCCATTAGGCAGATGCAGGGAGATGCTCCAATTGGGCCGACATACGCATTGATTGGGCAAGTGGAGTATGATGCCTCGCCCGAGGCAACACATGTACAGGCGTTTCAAATCGGGGTGAATCAATATCAGCATTCGTATGCTGCACAATCTTTTGTGATTCGAGTGCTGTCGAACCACGGATCCGATTACACTTGTTTGTACAGGGTCCGGATGCATGGTGTTCCGGCGGTTGGACACGGCGCAGGACACTCAGAAGAGGAGCTAGGTGATTAAAGACCTTCGGTAAAATGCTGCTGGGTTGGTTGGAGAGAGCAGCCTGATGCCTCATAGATTCATGTAACGACGGCTTCGACCAAATCGTGGACCGGCCGTAACCGGTGGGCAAATTGACTGGCTTTGGTCGCGTCGGCAGATTGATGCGATGCACCTTTGCTTTTTTTTTAGGTGGGGACGCGCTCAGGGAGAGTCTCTCCCCCCAACACCTGCCGTGTGTGCATGTTCCTTATTCCGACGTCCTTCTCGCTGCCATTGCTTCGTTCTCTCTAGCCGCTCAGCCACCCAGCCCGAGTCTCCATACTCTCAGGAGGCTGTGTCGATACTAAGATACTTTCCCTCGTATTCAAACTACACCTGTTGTCAAAGCAAAGGGCACTCGGACCTCGCCAGCCTTCTCCTCTGAATGTTCGCTTCACTTCAAACCAAGCGGCCAAAGGCATCTGGAGCTCGTGACAATGTAGCTTCCGTGCAAGGACGCCCATACCAACAAATAAGACATGATTCAACCGCCATGTGTGTGGCGGGCCATGCCACACCTGGCTCTTCACGACCGGATCCTGAGATGCCCCCCAAGGCGCATAGGCAGCCAAAAGCTTCATGATAACACGCCTGAGGTCCACAAGAGCCCGTGACCTGGGCCTTGACATCACATGGGACCACATGTTGGAACCTGCACAGCCTTGTTTCTGAAAATGCATAAAAATCCTCTTTAACTTGCGATCATGGTATCAATCTTTCCTGCGATCTTTCCTCTTCTCGCTCGGCCCCTGTGCCCGCCCTCATCCTTCCTTTTTCTCGGTCGTCGGAACATGAGAACAGAAACTGCCTCGGTTGCCGCAGTATTCTCAGTTCGGCGAACAGACCACGGAGCTTGCTCTGATCTCTGCGACCCGAAAGTTGTCGTACGGTACTCTTGAACAATAGACCACGAACTTAGGACCTCGCCATGTCTATCGATAGCTTCCTTACCATGTCTCAGCCAACTATGGCCTTTTCAGGTCCGCGGCCAAACCGACCTCCATTGCCAGCCGATTGGGCTCAGTTTCGGGATGTGATTGTTGACCTTTATATGCGTGAAGACAAGACCTTGCCACAAGTTCGACGTTACATGGCATTAACTTACAGTTTCATCGCTACGTATGTTCCCCTCCCTGCATCAGGCATCTTTACTTATGCACTCGAAGTGAAAAGATGTTTAAGGACAGGCTGACCAAATGGGAGGTCTACAAAAACTACAGCGAGGAAGACGTCAGGCGACTGTTTCAACGAATCGCCGACGGTGAAGCTACACTGGAGAATGCCACCATTCATGGTCTTCCGGTCAAGTGGCCACGAGTTCGACGTCGTATTTATGAGGGAATGCCTGGGTTACAATTCAATCTTAACGATGGGTCATGGCTTACCATCATAGAGCACGCCCAAAATCTCTCCAGGAGACAGTCACAGCAACGTTCCAATGTTGTCAGGAGGCCTCGACAAACTGGAGCGGCACAGAGCATGCCTCGCATTCTCTATACCAGCTCGCAGCTGGAAGCGGGCCGCCGGTTATTGGTGGAGATGAAGACATATCTCGATGGACGTCTCTTCGAACCCATCCGAGTGGAGTATCGTGGGTACATCAATTCATGGCTCCCGGTGGGCTATCTGGTGGATGACGACTTGGATGCTCCTGTCGACGTTATGCACCCTGCTGAACTCAATCAGAATTTGTCCCGGGGTATCCGACTTCTTTTAGATGCACGAGTTGAACCTGGCCGTGCCTTGATACTTCGAGCATCCGACGTACTCGATGAGTTGTTTCAACATCAACACGGTGCTCTAACCTGCTGTTTGTTGGACGCATTTACGGGAAGTACCACCCGATCATATCCGTTGACCAAGGGTCGTGTGGGAGAAACCACTATTGAAGTGGCCACTCGCATTCTGGGACACTGTCACCCTGTGACGCTCTTATGCAAATATCTCCATCAGAGCACCAACTCGGAAGCCAATAGGAGGCTGGTTTTTTATTTCTGGGGACACTATTGCAAGCTATACTCTAACAGCATGGGTCTGGAACATCCGATGGCGATTTACATTAACCAGATATATCTCGAGAAGTTGCTTGATGGCGAGCGCTTCGAAGATGCTTCTCAACACATGCGGACCGCATTGGATCCAATTTTCACCGGGCTGTTCTTACGACAGCCACGCATCGATATCAATGTACCGGCTTCCCTATGCTATCTCCGACGTCGAGCTCGATTGCACCGTTGCTCTGGTCACTCAGACCGAGCATTGCAAACCTTGAAGATCTCCAAACGGGTTATGATTGACGCCATGCAAAAAATGCAGGCCGGCGTGGCTGGCAATCCGATTCTCGAGGAAGTCTTTCGTACCTTTGACGAAATTGCGATATACTATGACTCCCTCAGGACTGTCAATAGTCGGGCTCGTGCTCTAGAGGTCCACGCGTTTGCTCTGCAGGTGTGCATTTTCGTCCGAGGTGAGACTGATGGCAAGACGTACAGTATGGTCTCATCCTTGGAACGACGGTATTCGGACATTGGTGATCCTGTACGTGCCAATGCTTTGAGATTGAGATTCCCAGAAGTGTTCTGGGAAGGAGAAGGAGCAGTCGACATTGTGCGCAGTACAAGACATTTGTTGCCATGTTCGTTTTGCGGAAATGGATCAGATACACAGATATTTTGTGATCGGCACAATACCTCGAATGTGGTCACAGAGATCGAGGGGAAGCAGATGGTGGTCATTTTGGATCAGATTCGAGCCTTATTCATGGAGAATGACCAAGGACGTTTGTAAGGTCGATTGCAGTTCGGATGTGAGGACTATGGTTATGAACATTGAAGGTTTGGAGGGCGATGGGAAGGCCTATGTCTGGGTAGACGGCGTATGGCTATTATTGAAGGTGCATTTGGGAACGCCTGTGTACAATATTGGTGTCAGCGTAGCCAATTCTGATAATATCAGTGGCTTTATTGAGGGATGAATCTGCCTCAGTAAAACCACAACTTTGGACAACTTGGTCGGTAGAAAAAGGGTCTAGGTTGGAATTCGTTGTAGGAGCTCTGTCACTCCTTTCCTGCCTTCATTCAGCTTCACGGCGACGTAGAACCTCTGCAATCATTGGCGAATGAGCCATGGATGGCCTCATGCGTCAAGGGAATACAATCATTCGCAATTGGCGACACCGCAGTGGATTGGCCGGGCTGATAGAGGGAACCACAAGGGAGAGGCAGCGACAGACGCGTCGACGAAAGGACCCTTTCTCGCCAAATGATCACGCTCTCGCAACCACAGACTGCTTTGACAACTCGATTGGCAGAAGACCTGCCTCTAGAAGGCGAGGAGAAAATGTTGCTCTTTTCATTGGCTGGCGAGGTTCAAACTCGAAGCTGTCTCACGAGGCAGATGCTGCAATGTCGCAAATTTTGCGCTCCGCACAGTGCCCAGTCATGAATGACTCCCACCACTGTGATCCATTCGCCTCTATTGACATTTTCCGCCACCCTCATCACTGCTTGAATCGTGTCCAAGGGACCGACAAAAGATACAACCTCCGTCGCAGATCCACAGAATCCCCCTCGCCGGTTACTGAAACCGTCCTCAGACCCGGCGTCACCCCGCAGCACGATATTGTCCAGGTTCAAAATCAAGAGCAGGAAGAGAGTGCAACAACAACGGTCAGGACAGAAGTAAAGTTTCCAATCTCCGAGAATCTACCAGGAAGAGTATCAGTTGTGGATGATACAAGCCGGCAGTCTGCATCAGCCAGAGCACCTCTTCTAGCGAACCTCGGAATAGAGATATCCTCCAGATCTACTCTTTGCTCGCCTCAAGACCCGAGCAACGAGGAAGATCAACCAATGACCTCCGAAACATCATCTGCACCCGCCCAACACAAGTCTCTTGTTGTGGGACGCACCAAACCTCGACCCGAAATACCCCCCTCCTCGACGACAACAATGGAATCCCCCACCGACCAAACCCCCTCGACAGAGGCAAAAGAGACCCTTGACCATGGGATTCCGGAGAACTTGAAGTCCAACAGTTCGACCGACCGCCCGGCCGATGCCCCAGTGTCTGGGAAAAAGAAGGAAAAGGCACCAAAACAACCGAAGCCACCCAAAGCAGCACCTCCTACAGCACCTCTCAGTCCTGCCCTCATTGACCTTCGTGTCGGTCACATTCTACGTGCGATCCATCACCCGAACGCAGACAGCCTGTACGTATCGACGATTGCCATGGGCGACCCAGAGGGGACAGAACATACGGAAATTGACGAGGCAACCGGCAAGGTAGTGCGAACAGTGTGCTCAGGGCTCAATGGGCTGGTGGCGCTGGAGGAAATGCAGGATCGAAAGGTCGTGGTTGTCGCGAATCTCAAACCTGTCAACATGCGGAGCATCAAGTCGGCGGCCATGGTTCTCGCGGCGTCCCCTCCGGCCGAAGAGGGTGCCGATCCCCATGCCACGGACCGTGTCGTCGAACTCGTCACCCCGCCCTCAGGCGCGGAGGCCGGTGATCCGGTCTTCTTCGAGGGCTGGCCGTACGGTGAAGGTCGTGGTCCTGAGAAACAACTCAATCCCAAGAAGAAGCAGTGGGAAGCCATTCAGCCTGGTTTCTACACTTCGGATGACTGTGTTGTTGGCTTTGATGCTGGCAAGTCTGAGGTCGAGGGTGATCAGAAAGGGACTCTTGTTGTTGAGGGTAAGGGCAAATGTACGGTCAAGTCTCTCAAAGGGGCGGTCGTTCGGTGATTTGATTTTGGTGGAGTGGATTGGTCTTCTCTGTTCTCGGGCGGATGGATCGGGAGAAACCACCACGATCAGGTCGGGGTTCATTGATGAAATGCGAGACTGCGCTGAATGATGCGGCAAAAGACAAGACGAACTCCAGGAGGGAGGACAGGCAAAGAATGAAACCCGCCATTAACCACGCGGCCGGTGGGGACGATGCGTCAGCGTCCACTCGGCAGCAGATGCTGATGGAAATTAGCCAGCCATACAGCTGATCTTGACACTTCCCTAGACTTGGGAAGAAGGACTTATTCAGAGAAAGGATGACACAAGACGCTGAAAACGAGATCGGGTTAGATAGCCATCCAAGAATGGCTCAATACAAGTACCAAGGAAAGACACAAGGGCCAGCTAAACCTCCAATATCAATATCTTAGCAGAGTACAGGATACAGAGTACCGATCGTAAAGACCTAGTTCGGCGGAAAGGACTGTAGTTCAGTCATTAGTATCTCTCCGCGTTCGATATGGGGAGGAAGAGTTGTATCTAGGTCGGAGGGCGTCCGATAGCCCACATCTCCTCAGCCCGATCCAACCAGGCCATCGGGCATGAGACGTCTGAGGTCTCAGGTCTGATTGTCAAAACTGTACAAAAACTGGCTGGTATATGATACCGCGATCGCGATCCATGGGAGTCGGTCGTCTATGCAGGCCCTTTCATCACAGCATAACCTCTTCCACTTTCCCAGTGCTCAAATCCAATGATCCAACACCCTCAAAGCTCAAAGCTCAACGTATTACTGTCATTTACTTCAACAACACAATCAGCAAAACCAATATAACAATCAAGACAATAATCGTCGTCATGCCCCAATTCTGCTTGGCACGCTCCCCGACACCCTTCAGCCGCCTCTTCGCCCCATCCAGCCGGCCTTGATGTCTGTCCGCGCCACGATCCACCTCGTCTAATAGCGCAATCTGTCCTTCAAGCTCGTCTCCCACTTGCATGGCAAGATGGCGCTGACGCCCAATTGACTCGCCTAGGTGATCGAGCTGCTCGTCCTGTTCGGCGATTACTTGTTGATGGTACGCATGGATTTGCGTGTTGGTCATATTCTCCGTCGGATCGGGCGTCTGAGCACGATTGGGGTCTTCTTCATCTGTGTATCGGGCTGGGAAGAGGGCGGCGCGATTGGCTTCGTCCTGCGCATCCAATGATTCCTGCGAAGAGTTGTCCCGGAATCGAACATTTTTGGTAGCAGTTTGCGAATCTTGCTTGCGTAAATTCGAGACACGCTGTTTTGTATCTGCTGCATCACCCGATTTACGGCTTTGCGCCCGCTTGAAATCTTCTGTCAGCGCCGGGTCGTTGGGTGAGGAGAGTGTGGTGGCGGTCGTAGAGGAGTTTTCACCATGGAATTGTTTTGAGAGGTCGTTGTATTGGGAACGAAGTTGGTCGAGGGATTCGGTGTCGGACGTGCGAGAGGAGAGGGAATCGATGCCCTCTCGGAATGATTCGAGGGAGCGGGCAATGTTGGAGTCTTGGGCGGGATTGGGGTCGAGGTTTAATGAGACGGCGCGCTGGCGTTCGAGGAGGGAGAGTTTGATGTGGTCGGCGAGGAGGAGGAGTTGAGATGGATTGGACATAGTGAGGGAGGATGAGAAGGGTCCGAGACGAGAAATGAGTGCGCGTTTGATGGAAGAGAATGCCCTCGTTTGGAGGGTGCCTGGAGGCTGGGGGAGCGGGATCTGAGGTTGTGGTCAGGATTGGCGGGTTATAAGGTCAAACAGGAGACCGGAGAGATCCAATCGAATGGTAGAGGGAGACGGTGAACTTGATGAAAGGTTCAGATGTCCCAGAGAACTTGGAAGTGGAAGTCTGGCTGTGAGGGTGGTGGAGAGAGAAGGAACTGCCAAGACAGGGCACTGGGGTACCCGTCTTCTTCCCCACGTGGATCGAGGGCCACGTTCTAAGAGTAAATATCTGCAATACTAGTATTTGCCACGTGACTTATTGCCCACCGGCCTTTTGCAGAGACAGCTAGCAACGCTACTGGCGGGTGTGCTTCAAAGATAGCACCGCTTCCACAGAAGTGACAAGCACGTTGCATGTCAATGGGTTAGTCAAACAGATCCCGAATGTTGAATCCGATCACACTGTTTTGTCCAAACACCCCATCGAGAGAAATGCTTTGAGGTGCCCTCTCTTCTCCATCCTCACCGGTTTGACCGTATTCATCAACCAAAGGACAACCAGGGCCCGCTGGGAGTTCAAGACAAAGACCATTGAATTCCGTCATATTCCAGGCCGCTCTGACTGGCAGCAGCGTTCAACTTTGTCAGACGAAAAGTTATTTGCGGCGATCCTACTGGTAGTCTAGGAACGTGGCAGAGATTCAATAGAAGCACGGAAAGCTGCGCAGGGTATTCATCGTTAAACCTGCTCATATCCCAAACCGTCAGTACCTGGTTCGATAGTCGTTTCGTTGAATCTTCGCTCCAGTCATCTCGGATCCACGCTTGATTTGGCACCCAATATCACGACCACGCATTGTTGGAGGCCGTAATGCTTGGACTCCCAATCGCAGTGCCAATACAGTCACGTGACTCTGCGGCAGAGCAGAGATTAGGACCAAAATGCTGACTAATACAAATAATGTAGCTTAGCGCCTGCAAGGAACCATTGCGGCCAGTGGCTTCTCCACACGTGGATCGAGTCTTCGGTACCGGGTATTTACCAAAAGTGTTTGCCAACTTCAACTTCACCTTTCATTTTGACCATGAAACCTTCGGCTGAGGCTCAAGCACTCCTCTCTCCATCTTCCCTTCTTCTCGATAGCTAGATAATATAGCCGACTCCTAAATCCCCACTATGGATGACAACGACTTCTTGTCCGCCACTATCCCCTCTCGACGCTCATCCTCCAGCCACGATTCCCTCCCCAGTCCCATTCAATCTCAACTTAACACCCTCTTTGCCGGATTCAATCGCACTTTATCTCCCTCTAGTCTATCTTACCACGAAGCCCGAGACGAGAACAACAACCAACAACCTTCCCACATCGACCTCCGAGCCCTCGACTATGTCACGGACTACGATTCACATCTGATGTGCCCCATTTGCCATGTGCCTTTCCTCGACCCCGTTGTCCTTGAATGCGACCATACCTTCTGCCGGTCATGTTTGAGAGAATACCGAGAAGGAGCCGCCAGTGGATCCCGTTCCTCATGCCCCTCTTGTCGATCCTTCGTCGTGTCAGCGCCCCGCAAAGCATCCCGACTCATAATCAACATGTGCGATGAGATCAGGGTTCGCTGCCCGAATGAGGATTGTGAAGATGTGATGCCACGAGGCTGCGTCGAACGTCATGCCACAAAGGAATGTCCACATGAACGACTACAATGTCCAGATCCAGAGTGCGGCAAATTGGTCAAGAGAAAGAATTATGTTCCAGAGCAGTGTATACACACGTCTCATATAGAATGTGACTGTGGAGCGGTTATTGAACTCGGGAAAGGAGAATGGTTGAAACATAAGGATGAAGATTGCCCCCAAACGGGGGTGGAATGTAAGAAGTGTGGGCAAAGGATATCGGCACGAGACTACTTTGCTGGAACCAACAGCCACATTTGCAGCTCCCACACAGATTGGATCTGTCCGGGGAGGCCATATGGATGTTCCGATGAATTCGACCCAGAAGATCTGGAAGCACATACCAAATCATGTCCTCTGGCGCGTCTAGCTCCTCATCTCCAGAAACAATTCCAACTTTTACAGTCGCTGCAAGAACAATTGACCATGGTCAAAGTTCGCAATGAAGTCTTGGAGACGGGGTTTGAAAAGATCAATGACATTGTCAATGATCGTGTTCTCCCATATATTACCCACTCCGATCATTCTCCCGCGGGCGAAACTTCCGACATCGAAGAGATCGAACGTGACCACATTCCCTCAGCCATCTCGCATCGTGACCTTTTAGTGCCGGCACATTTCCGCGCCCTGACACCTTCACCCGATCCAGATGCTGCATCCATCTCCCAAACTCAACAACACTTACTCGCTCTTCACGAATCTCTGCGGGGAAATGTATCGAATCTTGAGAATGACATTTCGGCCTTGTCCAATACGATTTCGGACCTTGATGCTCGAACATCCATGCAAATCATGAATGAAACTCTTCGGATCAAAGAGGATCTGGCTCATACCAATGCAGCCCTGTTCAGTACAAGAGCTCAAGTGCAATGGTTACTGAATCGGGAGAGAGTAGGTCAGCAACAACAAGCCATGGGAATGCGTGGTCGAGCACCTTCAGCTCAACCTCAAGCATCGAATCAGGCGCAATCGACTAGAAGCTCGGTCTCAGAAGGTGTTGAGGGTTCCACACAAGCGGCAAGTTTGGAAAATCCACCTTCGGCCTCCAATATGGCTTCCAGCCCGAGTTTCCGACCTCAGATGAGACGGCTGAGCGGTGGTAGTCAAGAAAGGGTCAAATTGTGATACAGACTCTCAATGAAATTAGTTTGGACCATGGGCCCTGCTGGAACGAAGATGACACTGGATACTTCTATCGCTATCGAACCCTGGCGACATTATACTAGATACAGCAGAGTTCAGTATTCACAGGTCCCCGCAATCATGGCACTTGCTTGCAATAACCTGTTTACATCACAGTTTTCTTTAAGCAGTCTGCCTGTTTGATCTGCGGAGTGTGATCATCACATCGCATCGCACGGTGCCGCACTGCAAATTGTGGTCTAGATCGTCTACCACAGACAGTCCAATCCAAGTGATACCAACCCGATTACTCCAGATAGTCGTTACCTAGGCAAATCTCCAACACCAACCCAACTCCTCCATCTCTCCTTCCTTTATCTCACGCAGCAGTCCTCCTTATCGTGTCGAGCCTCGCCCCTGTGGGTCTCGCTTGTTTTCGCATCGACCTGCCTATTTCAACTCATCCGGGTCCCGCTCATCCCCGTCCTCATCGAAAGGTAACCTACCGCGAGCAGAAACCATAGAAGGGACCTCGTAGGTTGGCTGATATGGGGGCTGATTATGGCTCGAATTCAACTCGATATTGGATTCATGATGATTTGGATTGTGTTGGCTTTGATTGGAAGTTGGGCTCGACGTTTCGGATAGGCACAGATACTTAATGGTGATCCGGCACCGTCTATATTTCATACGAACGAGCTTGTGGGGAAGGGTTTATATAAACCAGACAAACGACCTGAGCAAGACCAAGGCCCTAACATCTACTCACCAAGATACCCGTCCACCTCCATCTTCCTCCCTGCTAGAGTATTGTGTCTCACACATACTTCTACCCCTACATTCATTCACCCGTTCAGGGATACCTAAGCCTATACATATCCCTTGAATTTCAAACTCGACCAGACGCACCTAAATACCTGAAGAAAGGGATCAACGCAGCAACGCGTCAAAAATGGGTCACGGCAGGACACTCGAGTACCCCAAGACAGCTGTGAATAAGGTGAATCGGTATAACGTGCGAGGTATGGCTTCTCACAATAACTCGGGAGATGATATGGCGCTCTTTTCTCTCCCCTCTCCCTCCTGGAATCGGTCACATTCCTCTCCACCCCGACCAAGGGCAAGATCCAAGATTCTCTTTTATCTCCTTCCCCAAAATTTCCATTCCAGCTGTCATAAAAAATCTCAAGCTGGTCTGAGTATTGATTTCTGCAAACAGCAACATATGACCTCGAACAAATCCACGGCATCATCAACGACAGCACTGTCGTGCATGTTTCATTCAACACGCCCGACCCGTCAAACCCGTTCCCTGTGACCCTACCCATGGTCGGTGTAGTGGCAAGTTTCGAACACCCATCCTCCTCCCTCGGCGAACCGCTCGACATCTACCTCCACGGTTACGTGAGCAGTCGACTAATGAATCTTTCCCGCAATGCTGGTACCACCACTTCAGGCACAGACGACTCCGCGCCCACAGGACTCCCCGTGACCGTGTCCGCGACCAAAGTCGACGGCCTCATCCTGACATTGACCCCCAACACGCACGACGTAAATTACCGCTCCGCCACGCTCTTCGGGTACGCGAGCCTTGTGACGGACCTCGCCGAGAAGCTCTGGGCCATGGAACAAATCACCAACAGCGTGGTGCGGGATCGGTGGCGATTCACGCGCATCCCGCCCGACGGGGCCGAGATGCAAAGTACCTCGATCCTCCGTGTGCGCGTTGCGGGGGGAAGTGGGAAGATCCGCCTGGGCGGGCCGAGAGATGAGCAGAAGGATCTGGTTCGTGAGGAGTTGAGAGACAGTATTTGGACCGGTGTTATTCCGGTGTATGAGCATTTTGGAGAGCCAGTGCCGGGGAAGGGAAATAGAGTCAAAGATGTCCCGAGCCATGTTGCGGAGTTCGCAAAAGAGAGGAGAGAGGGGAACGAGAGGTATGCGACGGAGGCGATTGTGGATACGTCGCAGGATTAAGACTCGAGAACTCAACGCCTGGAGGAGAGAGACGAAGTCAATGAATAAATATTGGACTCAGCTGGCTTCATTGACGGCGAGCGATCGAAGGTCAAAGGTTAATGTCGAAACTTCTTGCTTGAAATTGATATGCGTTGTATTTTCATCTTCGTTGTGTCATTGCTCCATAGATATTAATATGTCAAAGAGAGTTGCCATACACATCAGATCAAATCCCAAAGATCCTAGATCCAAGCAACAGTTTTTTAGCCAAAGGACGAAGGAGCTGGATCGATCAAAGTCTGCCCAAATGTTAATGAATATATGCCAGAGGTATTGAATGCAGACGACATCGTCCAGATCAAAGTCGAAAGAGCCTGTTTCAATGGAAGGGTTCCGGTGAAAGGACGACACAAATTCGTATGGGATAATCTATTGATTGATTAGTATCTTGATGGAATCTTCTTTTTTCGCCGCAAGGGATGTCGATGTCCATAGCTCCCATTGAAGTTCCCTCCTCGTTGTTCCGTTGCTTTCCAATTTTCTCCAATACATGAATCGGATCAATTTGGGGAATGAAGATTCGTATAATAGCAAGGCAAGGTGGTGTTCCGAAGCTGGGACCAGAGCTTACGGATCCATTCTCGCGTACAGTCTTCTCGAAGGATTCGAAACCACACACTCACGCAAAGTTATGTAACATTGGAAAGGTGTGGGAGAGCCCAGGAGTGTCGGGATGGGCAGATTCCAACTGAGCCCAAACGGCCCTCGTTGAATCAAAGAGTACGAGACGTAGAGCGGGGTGAACTTGTACACAAGTTGGACAAAAAGTCCGATGTCAATTCTCTCTTTCCTTCCGTTTCAAAGGATCAGCCCGAAGGATGAGGAACACGGACACAAAGCAGGAGGCGCATTTTTGGTGAGAGGTGCTGAAATCGTCTCATCGTGTCAATGGAGCCCTCTAGTCCCCAGTTTCGGATGGTTGTGGTTGAGCTGGTGGTCGGCTGTGTGGGCAATTCTTCAGAACATGCTGCCTCCCTTGGCGAATAACTCCTTCTCACCCTAGAGATAGAGGCATCTCGACCCACTTGAGACAATAATCTTTTGCGGAGAAGGAAGAGGTCAGATGTGTTAGACATACACGTTGCCCTCTGCCTCATGATCTCATGGCATGATGTGCGCTGTTGAAGGACAATGAACCCTCATTCCTTTGCTCGTTTGACGTTGAAAGGCTGTCTCCGCATACTCTTGTCAGCTTTTCATTGCCTTTTTTTCTGTCTCTTCTCCATAGGTAACGGGCAATTACACCGGCCACGATGGCTTAATGCGCGCCATTCGTGACCTTTCACCCTTTCTTTCTGCCCCTGTTGTTTCCTTCATTCAGTCATTCATCTCCTTGCCTCCGTCTCGGTTTCTTCCTGTCTTCGGGAGTATATATCTCCCTTGAACGAGTCAAGCTTTGAACATACGACGTGTGATTTTTCAGCTTTCTCTTCGAGATAAGATCGATTCTCCGGCTTAACTTTCTAACTGTCGATGTTGTCGGTATTTTCCTTCCGTGAACTCAGGCTCGTCACCATGAAGAAGCTTCGCTCTGGCCACAACTGGATTGAGAGCAAGGTGCGTCGAGAATTGCCAAAGAAGCGTCGAGGTAGGCGCGAAGAGAGAAAGCCCGAGATCGTATTTTGCTATCATGATTAAAGGCAGAGGGGAAAACACTGACAATTTGTTCCGTTAGAGCGACCCAGCCAACTTCTGTCGCGAGAACAACACTCTGGGAACCGATTGTGAGGAGTTCGTTGTCCCAGACTCTCTCATTTCAGATCTTGGCCGACATGTCATCCCACAGAAATATAGTGCTTGGATAAGTTGCCAGCATGAAGTGGATAGAAGGAACATGCAAAAGGCAGCCGAGAGATCAAATGATGAACATTGGCACATCTTCGAGCCTTGACTTCTTCTCGTCTTGCTCCTTTTCAATTTTACGTTTCAAGAACCCATTTCCGTTTGGTCGTGCTGTTGGTCGAGATTTGGTCGTAAAGGATTCATTCTCGCGCACGTGGTCCGGCACATCTGCTGAGTCCTCGGGCTTGGATAAATGGGCTGAAGAATTGTTCACAGGTCGATCGACTCGTCTGCTAACAGGCGAACGACGTCTCAGTGCAGAAGATTCGCTGCTCGGAGGCCGAGCCCTTGAACGGATGTTGTCTGTCGGACTTGCATTTCGACGGGAAGATGCCTTTCGGGTACCCACAGACACTTCGCTATCAGGCTCGTTTTCATCATCACTGACCAAGTTGTCATCGCGACGAGCCCTGATATAACCCAAGCCAGCCCTGGTACTGCTTGACATTCTCTCGAGACCAATCAGAGAAGTTCTCTCCTGAGTGTTGCTCGTCATTAGCGGAGCAAGACTTGTACCAGACCAAAGATCGATCACGTTGTCTTCTTCGTCCTCTTCCACGGATGTTTTACCCAAGACTTGGTGCAGAGTATCTTTCTGCTTCTTCTGTAGCGTGGCCATTTGTAATCGTTTCTTTGCCTCATTAGACATGGGTGACGTTGGTTCAGGTAGAGCTTTTGGCGCTGCCTCCCGAGCTTGCTTGACCAGTCTCTTGTACTCGGCATGATGAAGATGTGCCGTGTAGGACTGCGCGATGGTATAGAATTCATCCTCAACCATGACGTAAATATCGTCACCATCGTATCCTTCTCTCATAAGCCTGGCTAATCCATCAGCCAAAATTGCCATTCACGCCGCACGCAAGACCTTACTCCGGAGTGGGTGGCGCCCGTGGAGGTGATGTAGAAGGTGTCCTACCTGCTCAAGCTCAGTCTGATTCATTTTGCCATAAAACGTTAGAACAGCTGACCTCCCGAATTCTTCTTTGGCGTAGTATGTGTCTGGCGACCCCTGCTGTCCATGCCTCTCTCTTCTACCGACTCCTCATTTGTACCGGCCGAAGACTCCCTCTCTGGCTTAGGACGACGCATTGGAGCAGCTCGCTGGCGCTTCGATGGTGGCTCATGGTCTATGGACCATGGCAATGTGCGAGCCATTTTGTGTATGAACGATAGAAAAGTTGCAAGATGAGTTCAAGGTGGATTTGCGCGTTGTGGGTGGTTTTTGCATATTAATTTATGCATTGCTGCCTTGATAGAAATGAAAGTCGCAGGCAGCACACAGCTGGCGCTTGGGAGATATCGCTAAGAATAAACAAGTTGCCGTTTCTAGCACTATGCGAGTCCAACTTGTTGGCTTCTGTTTGCTCGAGACACTCAAGGTCATGGTCACCGATATTGCCCCACCAGAAGGACTTTTACGATGCAGCATAATTCGCAGAGTCAATTCGCAGTTTAATAACAGCAGAAAAGTCTTCAATCAAAATACATATTCTGCGCAGTTGAGCTTAAAATTATGTTTTTCATGATTTACAACTGATCATCGCTGCCCCCGAGTCAGATGTATCAGTATGGGCCCATCACGTCCGCATAATTCATGTGCAAACCTGCAAAACGCCGATGCCATATCTGCTTTTCGCAATGTATCATATCCCTTTTTTAAAGATCCAGAATGACCAATGAGCCCCTTGGATCATACCAATGCGCCTGTTCGTGATAAAACGCGGTACATCTAACAACGCCAGCCAGAGAACACGATCTACTTGTAGATCTCAGAAAGATACCATCATGCCTCGCCTGGTTTCTTGGAATTGCAACTGACAATTTTGACTTTGTCTGCTCGAAATTCTTGACCGCCTTCACTCTTGAATCTCACATCCTTGACCAGAAACGTCCAGACATCATCGCAAAATCGGTAGGTTTCCAAATGTCCCTGCGCCACCAAAGTCAGTTTGGCTCTGAAATAACGGCGCGGTTATGATTGACAGTGAACATACCTTGAACGTAAGTCTGGATTTAACCTTGTCTGCCAAAGTCTCTGCGATTGCGCGATCAAAGTTGCTCAAAATCTTCATGGCCAACTGTGGCTCGATTCGGCCATCGTTAATTAAGTCGTCGATTGTGTCAATAAGTGCCTCGCCGATGCTGCAAATAGGTTTCAATTAACATTTTGATTCAAGACCAGTAAATCCACTCATCAAGTCATGTCCGGGAAAAGACAACATCAGGCATTCAACAGTCACGAAGCCGGGCAGAGGAATCATACCTGCTCCCCCGATACAGTTCGTAGTACTGCTGAGTCGCCATCTCCTCTGCCTTGGCTCGGTGTCGATGACCAAGAAGCCTAGGAGGGTCACAAAGTTTCTCCCAGGAGAGGCCAAACGAGATCAAAATGCTCGACTGGAGGAGTTAAAGATGAATTTCAAATGGATGTGGAGGAAAGAGATGACTGGTATCAGAGACGCAGCCTGCGGAGTTCGGAACAATTTAAATCCAAGGCCGACCAATCCAAACCCCACATTGACGCTTTTCCCAGAAAGGTAGTATCATGCCGCTTTATAGCCCCCTTTTCATACTTCAGCCTCACCAAGTGCCCTTCAGCCTTGACCGCCTACAATGGACGTTGATGCTTTGAATTTAGGGTCTGCTTGCAGATGAGACCCAGTAGCTTAATCCATACACATAAACGGCATACAGTTCCTTTGTTGACGAGAGGGGATGGTAAGGGTGCTGAGGATATCCCGCCACCTGCACCTGTTATCTCCTCCTGGTGTCTTTTATCGGAGAGGCAGGATGATCCTGCCGCTTTTCGAGTCACCCGAAGATGAAAGATCCCCGTATGAGTTGTTGTTGATATTTCATTGCGCAAGAACTCATGTGCGCTGACTCTATTTTCCTTTGTACCTTGACCGCGCTGCCGCTATTTGCTCCCCCAAAAGACAACAGAGCTTATTCTCCCACCGCCCTTGACGTGGTTTCGGGGAAGGCATTCTTCTGCAGGGTGCCAGCTTATTGAAGCCCCTACCTTGTCGGTTCATTTCTAATACAGTCATAAAAAGGAAACACTGCCGATAGCCACTGTCGATGCACGGAGAGTTCGGGCCTCTCATGACATTGTCTACCTTGATCCTACGAGCATCTGATCTACAATCCTCCGACTCTCAACATCAACCACAGTCGGGACCTCTTCAATCTCGCTTGAAAACGCTCTCGGCTCAAAAATGGACCGTTTCGGGTAATGAAGGCGTACCATTTGAGAGCACCCAAGAGCCAAAGTTGCTTTCAAAGTCAAGGAGTTCGAACCCAGGCGCAGGGATAAACCCGCCGTCAGTGGCCTGGTACGGATAAGGACCCAACCAGACGTGAGGGGTGAGCGTCTGATAGCTCAAAACGCCCATGGTCTGAGACCCCCCTGTTTGCACAGGGGACGATTGAGTGTCCATTTCTGGTTGCTGTCGTTGTTGAAGGCCCATCAAGTACCGTGTCCTCATTGCTTCCCACCTCAAAAGCAAACCACCATACCAATTAGAGCGTCCTTCAACTGGGGTGATTCGGGAAGACAGTTCTCTTAAGCGGATAGAGACCACGTCTATGTACATTTCGAGCTTGATGATGGATCTGGCTGTTTCGATGTTCCAAACCGGAGTTTGCGCCACAAGCGAAATATTTGTGACGAGCAACATGGAATAGTGCAATAAGGTCCACTGGGTGGATGTGAAACCGGCCAAGCGGTCGACAGGGATCGTCAAGAATGTATCAAGATAGCTCTTTGCGTGCGTGAGGCTATCGAGGAGTATCGCAATGCGGCTGACTGACAATTCGAGATTTCTGGATATGCCATGCAGTCCGATTTCGCGAACAAAGGCTCCAAAAATTTTGGGCCATAATTGTGCACCGGCTTTCCAGCCGTTAGCAGAAAGGAGGGACAGGATTGAGTCATGTTTTCCTTACGATCTTCGACCATTGAAGAAGGTAGTCGTGCTCGCCATTCATTAATCTCTGCGGAGAAGGTATTGAGATATACTTGCATATGCTCTTCGCTCATATTCTGAAGTTGATTGGTTTCAGAATAATTGAACATGCTATACACTCTTTCAGCCTCACGAGTGAATTCCATTTTATAAATCAGCTCGGCGTCGGAGGGAACTTCCTTTGCAGATGCAAGCGATCGCGCACACGCAAGCATGTAGTCATTGTACGGAAGAAAGCTAGTCTTGCGCGTGAGGACAGAATACCTGTACACACTCATGAGCAATCGGTTCTCATCCATCAAAACGTGAACGAAGATACCAAGTTGACATGTGGTAGCAGCCGAGGTAGGCACGCTGAGCCTCTCGGTTCCAAAACTCGGAATTTAGAGCAGTCAAACCTGTAGGCACGACCACGGTATTCTCCACAGTCATCTGTTGATGTTGACCCTTTCCAGGCCGACGAGTTATACCAATATCGACGGCAATGGCAGCGGCAATAGATACCAGCCTGTATACCTGCTGCGTCTTGGGGACGTAGTGTAAATGGATCCTTGAACAACACATACATCAACCGAGCCATCCGATCAAGACACGAGAATGTCCATTGTCTTACCAGGTGAGGTAGACCATCAACCCTTGGAGAAGGTCTAAGTCTTTCCGACCTTCAATGATCAATTTGGAGCTCATTAATCTCAGGTATGCATCGTTCAAAACTTCTTGTTGCCCCTGGTTTTTCCATGATGCCGTAACAAGAATGGCCAGGAGAAGCATGGGACTGGCTTGACGGAGGCTGGATAGTGATGTCGACTCTGGTAGGATGATATATGGAAAGTTCTCGGCTAATTCATTTCGATATTCGTTGAGAAGGACCTCTGCTTCCCCGAACGTGATGAGGTTCTCACTTATGACGTCCGCCGGAGGATAAGAAGCAGGTAAATTCAAGGATGGCTGAGGTGGTTGAGTTGTCTGTGAGGCCGTCGAAACAGACAGGTTGACGTCGGGAGTGGGCTTTTTGAGAATTGACATGACTCTCTCGACATGTCGCTCGAGCTGTTCGATCCTTCGCTCGTAGACTTGCCTTCCGCGTTAGTCAGAGGTTCCGCCGGAAGGGAATGCAAAGCCCAAACAACCAATCCCTTACCTTTCTTCCTGCGTGTTCGCGGTCGCATCTCGGGGATTACGCATGGCTGCCTCTTCTGCGTACACCTGGAGAGGCAGTGAATGAGCCAGGAATCGGAGTGGTTCACAAGTACCAATGACAACGACATGTTGGGTCCTCGGTGGTGATGGCTCACCTTTGGCAGACCCACGGAGGGCCATCACTCATCAAACATCGGAGCTTCTTCTCTTTGCAGGCGAGACATGCGCGGATGGCGTGGGAGGGTATTTCTGTTGCCATACGGATATCGGTTTGTACAGTGAAATCGCAGGTTCTGGGAGGCCACGAGCCGAAGCAGAATGGGAAATGCTTTGTCAAACTTCAAAGACGGCCAAAATATACGGAATAAAGTCTTCTTTCCCTCACGGATCGAAAAATCACGGTTCGATCACGAGGCAGAGCAGAGGGAGGAAGGGGTTCCCTGCATTGTCAGCCAATCAGAGTACTCGGAGGCTTCGGATTCACCGAGCGCCGAAGCGCCGAATTCGATAGCCTTTGCTCCTCTTATTGTTTCGGTAGGGTCGTTGCGTTCCTTACTACCGGGCCAGTCCTCAGACCCGAAGAATATCGTGTGGTCTGCCGGTTGTGTCTGGAAATGTAGCGGTCAGGATAATACGTGAATAGAGTTCACCCGATCTAGGAACTAAGCATGGTCATTGTTCCCAACCCGAGATATCTTCTATTCATCGCCTTCTCAACATATTTTATAGCAAGTATGGGCAACATGCAAATCTAGGCCTTTTGAAATGTATCTTCGCTCTCAAAAGTATTGTACCGTTTCTCCGACATGAACTCGTGTGCAGCCACATGTGAGTCCGTCGAAGGATCCCATTCCTGGCGAGGAGAAAGACTTGCCTGCAGATCAATCTTCGCCAGAATAGGCGAACTTCGAGTGCTTGCGAATCGCAGGACCCTGGTAATATAAGAGGATAGGGATCAAGCAACAAGCTAGCGCGATGAAAGCAAGTAGACTTGAAGCCCATTGGTAGCCCAGATTATCATACCTATGTCTCCAAATCAGATTGGGGGCTATTCAAAAGAGATATATTAGTAGCTCACATCTGAATCGTAAAAAGAACAGTGCAGGCGCCCCATATCGATCGGATGAGTGTTTTTGCGGCGACCGCAGAAGCAGCAGTATGTTGATATGAGTCCACAATGTAATTGTTGAGCGCGTTGTAGAGAAAGACGAATCCAAGGCCAATGGGAAACCCAGCTAGACAGGGCCCAACCCAGGATAGGCGAGGATAGGAGGTCCATGCAAAGATAAACATGCCTATTGGTATAGACCAGGCACTGAATATCATCGGAATCAATCGCAGTTCGGGAGGAGGCATGCCTTGATGTTTCGCTCGCAGAGACAAATAATGCCGGTTGACGAGAGGAGCACAGCAAACTCCGATCATGATGCCGCCAGTAATGGGGAGGAACATTAGTCCTGTAATACCCGCTGAAAATCCTTTGCCTTCGCCGAACACGAGGGGATACCTGGATCAGTCAGCCACTTAGCCAACTCCAACTTGCAAGGCCATTTGAGCACAGGGATGCAAACCTACGCAACAAAGAACATGTAGATGAGGCCGTACAGCACGGCGGCGTAGAGAGAAAAGAGAGTGACAATCGGTTCCGTGAACAACAGCCTCAGGGGTCGAGCTAGGTACACCTGAGCTATATGCTTGAACGAATGCTGGATGAGCTCGTGCTCAGCCGCATAGCTGTCGTCCCCAGTAGTTTTTCGTAATTTCTTCGCTCGTCGTGAAAGAATGGTTGGTGCATATGTTTCTGGGACGAAAAGGAGCATACATGCGTACAGGAAGCCCGTCAGGATAAGTTGCAGGTAGTACAACCAACGCCAACCGAGGTTCTCATACGTGAAGCCTCCGATCAGAGGGCCTTTTTGACGAGTTAGGTACCAACATATAAGTATTCCTGTGACAGTGCAAAGACGGACCGAAAATTGGGCCCAGGAAAGGCGCTGCGCTGAAAACTGCCATAGGAACGCCACGCTCTTCTTGTCGCCATAAATCCGCTAGAGTACCACCGATCTAAGCTCTCTCATCAGCGACAATAAAATCTTTAGGATTTGCAGGCCGAGCAGCAGGTGAGAGCCCGCCAACGGCGTGAAGGGAATGTTCATGGAATGCTGGTGAGATACTAAGCGAGAAAGACTCACATTGGCCACAGGGACACTGATAGCAATCCCATCGATTGCTCGACACACCAACAGCGTCTGAATGTTTTGCGCGACGGCACAGGGGATCATGAAGATGACAGCGACCCCAAAAGTGCTCACATAGATGATCCATCGACCGTAGAGCTCCGAAAGTGGGCTAAAAACCAGAGCTGGAGTGATGTCAGCAAGGATTTGAAAGATAGAAGAAGCTTTCCCATACGTCCAACACCAAATCCAATGACAAACAAAGTAATAGTAAGCAAAGCCACCTCTTCCGAGGTGCCAAAGCGTTCTGCTACACCTCCAATACCAGGCGTGATCACGGAAGAAGAGAAAGCCACAGCAAAGCACGTCCAGGCCAAAGTCATAGTAATGAGCCACTTGCGTGCCGGGGAGAAGTTTTTCGGATTTTCCAAGTCCGACGGGGAGAAAGTGACCAGTTTGTATTTCTTGATGCTTCCTTCACTCGTCGCGATTTCCTTTACCTCGTAGCTATGCGACTGGGCCTCTGTTGGGCCCGGGGTCTCTTTCTCATCTCCATCGAGACTGAGTGGGAAAGATACCTGGTTCTGGGGGAGTTCTTCGACACCAGTTGACTTCACCCGGTGCCTAGACGTACCATTTATGTAAGCACCCTATCGTCTAAATCCGAAATTGCATGGATGAGACGCATACAATTCTCTTGGACGCTCTCTCTGGTCCTTTTCCAAGTCAGAGTGCGTACTGCCCTCTGGTAGATTGTCTAAGTCTGCCATAGCTACTCCCGTGTAAAGATGAGTTGGAACACGATGGGAGACGGGGATTTCACCGAGGATTTTATAGGTTGGCACCGTCGCCCTTGCGACAGGCGCCTTTCTTGCCATGCTTCAGAGTCCTGTACTGTCAACTTCGCATACCGGCGGTTGTCACGATTCGGAGGACGAGAGGTGCCGGGGATCCGAAAGGTGGAAAATCTGGAGAATAATAGAACGGTGGAAGGCCAAATACCGCATCACCGGAAGTAGAGATCGCATATGGATCATGTTGGTACCTCGCAAGCGTCGGGAGTAATCATTGTGGACTAGGATATCATTCGGATCCCAGATGAACTATGACGAGCCCAAAGTGGCCGGCTCTGCGCTTTACTTCGGCGCGCGTTTTCGGTTCTTCCGACACAATTATTTCCTGGTCCAGCGACCTAATTCTCAAAGACGCTTTTTCAGTTCGGGTCTAGTTTTCATACACGGGGCGGGTATGAGGTAAAATGTTCACATGTCGGTCCCTGGATCAGAAATGCTCAATTCGATGCACGAAACTGGAAGGTGCCGAGTTTTGAAGAATGGGAGACGCCCCTTCATATTACCGTTGGACAGAAGTTTGGTGCGAAATCTCCCCCGGCTCAATCGACAAGGTCTTGATTCCTAAGTGAGCGGTTTCTCTCCAAAAGCCTTCAACAATTCCTGCTCGCAAAGTTGTATCAGCAAATTGGGTCAAAAGCCACACCACGCCAAGGGATCATGTCGATTTACCTTCAAGTGCGAGTTTGGAGCCAGCATAGGCGCTACAGTCAGGATGACCAATCCGGCCGGAAGGAGAGCCGACAAAGATCGTTATTCCTACACGGCGTTGGCGAAAGTGCGGAAGAAGCGCCCGGGTTACCTTGATCGTGCTGAATATGTTTGTATCAAATTGAGCAAAGAAATCTTCGTATCTATCATGATGTGAGCGAGGTCAAATTACCCAGGAAGAATTATGGATGGTACTCACCTAAAGTCTCCCAGGGGCCAACTGCCATGTAAGAAGCATTGTTCACCAGCACGTGTACTTTCCCATAGATGCTAATAGCCGTTGCAGTTGTTTCTTGTATGCTTTGTTGGCTATTCGTAATATCGAGTTGCAGGATAGCAGTCAGCTTTTCCAATTTTCGCGCAGTTGCAATTACCTTGTCTCCTCGTGCAGGACTACTGTGGACAAATTGTTCTCCAAATCCGGACGAGGGTCCGGTGACGAGCCACACGAGCTGAGACATCTTGATTCCAACTTTGTGAATAACTCAAGGTGGGATGCCTTTGGGGTATGTTTGGTCTTCAGCTTCGGTGGATCAAGGTCTAGTACACCAGCCTAGCTTCAACACCACCGGATCTTGACAAAATGGCATGTCGCCGTGTGATTTGACGTCCCTCAACATGGCTAGCAATAATTCTGCTCTTTTCAATGCTCCAGGAATGAGGACGAGAGGTACATTCCGATTCCGATTCCGAAAGGAAGATGCACTCGAATTGGAAATTCGGATTCCTTGGCATCAAGCGATGGAGAAAATAGTAGCCATGGCGATCCACGGAGTATTTGCATCTATCCACTATCGCCGTATATTCTGTGACGATTTTATCCAGCTGTGACGCAAAAGGTGGGGATAGAGATGAATAATTGTAGTCTGAACAGTGAGAAAACATTGAACGGACTCACGCTTGGCGGCTGTTGGATCCCCCTGATGGGGTTTGAGGACTGGGGGGTGGCATTTTATTGGTGCTATCACCGTCATGACATCTTCCTACCGAAGCGCTTCCCAGCCACAAATTCATCAGGAATCAGGAACCTCGTCAATCGTGCGAGTGATGAGTGCCGAAGAACATGGCTCTGGCATGTCCAAAAGTCCTCGGCCAATCTGCAAAGCCGTGCTTGAAGCTCCCGTTTATTCGACAACGGCGTGCCGCCTTCTTTCATACTGCTCCAAGCGGATCTGAGGATCAATCCAAGAATCTTCCAGAGTCGGCAGACAAAAAAGAGAAATCAGAGAATCTCAGGAGAACCCAGAAGAGCATGGCAGAGGTTGATGAAGAGATGCGCAAGGCTATGGAGAATTTGGCTGGCGATGGCGGAGAAGCCGGTGTCGAGCTAGAAGATGGGAAGCCCGTCGCGATGAAAAGAGGGGTCCGAGAAAACATGTTCAGGTACATTTGAAACGGGGTAAATCATGGTGCAAAATTGCAGGCGCTGGCCGATTTCGAGCGTCTGATAAGATTATATTAAGAGTAGGAATCTCGCATAATGAGAATGAAGGTCGTCCCACGGGTATCATACTGGTCCAACGACGCTCGAAACTTGATGAAATCGAAAGATGCTTTTGACGTACAACACTCACGAGCCCTCGCTGTATAAGTCATTAATATCACCGACAAGGTCGTCCACAGAGCTGCCTCCAGGGCAGTCATACCATATTCCCCCATCTCGAATACATCGTACTTCCCCTGCGAGTCTGACGGTGCAGCTCTTGGTCACATTGTTCTCCTGACTTCTTTCAATACTTGATCGAAGCAAGTCGATGCCTTCTCCCTCGTCACTGATACAAGAATTGAGTTTCTGGAGGTCAAGGCCGTGTTCCATGGCGCAGTCTTCGACCAGGTCTCGTTCGGGGATATCTTGGTAATCAGAAATCATGCAGTTGGCGAATCCGAGCCAGAGTTTGACATCGGGATATGCTTTGGCTGCGCAGAGGATGATGATATTGCCCAGGCATTCACCAGGGCCATGCTTGCAGGAAACCGCGTCCGAATGGGGATCGATACTGAATGGATGTAAGCACACGCAGTTTGCAAGACCATGGAACATATATTACCTTCCAATGTATGACATGGTGAAGTCGACTTTCTTATTGACTTGTATCATGGTTGGTAGGATCAATTCTTGCAAGCAGTCTCGGGCATCGGGACACTTGGACATGACATGTATCTCCAAAGAGACTTTATTTCCCGCTCCTTCATCCAGAGTGCCTATGCGCGAAGCAGGCAAGTAGGGGTGGGAGTGCTGGTGGTGGACTAAAACTGTGCGAAACAGAGAAATGATAGCTAGTAGTGTGAGGATGGTAGGGACGACACGTCTGAGGAGGTATCTTTGGCGAGCATACATCTCTTCCTCCGCTCTCTCGGTATGAGGCCCCGACTCGTTGTAAGGTGGTGTCTTTTCCTCGGGAGGCGGGTGATGTTGAAGGGCCATGGCACGAGACTGGAAACGCCGGACGTGAGGATGAGGAGAAAAGGTTCACGCCTCGAAGCAGTGAGAGAGTGAAATCTTCCACAGGTCAGTCAATAAAGGTGAGGATGGATGCTACTGGAAATGAAGAACACCCGCAGCAAAAGTTGCGGGATGATTGGCTGCGATGGCTTGGTAAGTGTTTGGTACCTAAGCGTGCAACACCTCTCCTTACCTCGATAGATCTTTCCCTGCGTCCACGGTTTAAGCTCTTACTGCCTACATGTTATTATGAAGGAATGTTACGTGCATAATGCGGACAGGGTGTGGTAGGTCGAAGGAATCAATCCGCCTTGCCGTTATCGCAGCCATCTCAAGGCTTAACGGGAGCATTGCTGCACTGGATCCATCGTGATACAATAGCAAAGTACCTTACTGGAAGCTAGCTGTGATGGCTGCGTCGGCCGCCTTTTTCACTCGCCTAATCTTGTCCCAAGAGGCACCAGCGGCCACAGAAAAGGCGCCTTTAATGTTACTAGATTCCAACTAGTCGCCTTCGACTCCTGGTCGCCATGTGGCCTGCAAGAGGAACCCTCAGGACTGTATTAGTTAAGAAATTGGAGGACAGATCCCCTTGATTCCCAGTGACGCGGGTGTGGCCCCGAGAACACCTCTGAAGTCGCTGCTGCCTGTGCGATGCCGGAAGAAATACGTTGTCGATGATTCGTAGCTCTGATGGTAGTTTAATACCTTGAAGGCTAGACCTTTGCCCTCTTCTTTGCCATTTCCCTTCCCAGCGTCACATCCGACTTTCCAAGGTCACATTCTGGACCTTGAACCACGAACATCACTGGGTCTTTTCTCCTCCCTATTGCAATCCGAGTCTGGTCCACCAGTCCTTTTCTGCTGTCGGTGCCTGTTTCATCCATTAACATCGACTTCGCAGCCCACTACCATCTAATCTATGTCCTGTCGTGCTTCATCTTCTCTCCCATCCCTCAGTATCCAAAGTCTGGCCCTTTCCAAAGAATCCCTCGACCTCAGATCAGCTTCTTCCCCGGTGACCCCTGCCCACTTTGTCTCTTCGACCTCCTCCGATGCTGACTTGATTGCCTTGCACGTGAGGAGCCATTTCCCCAAGATTCTGTGCCGTGCAACGCTCAGCCTTCGACTTTCACAACCCTTACACCATGTCTGAGCTGGCATCGATCCAGTCGGCCAGCAATGGCAGTCCGCCCCCGGACGACCTCGAACATGAACTGGATACCTATGTTCAGCCGCTCCTCATCGACGATATCGTGGTGCATAACTTGGCCTATCAATTCTCCAAGGTCTACCAGGAACTAGCCTTACACTCAGAAGAGCAATTCCTCCCTACGCCCGTCACCAAGCTGCCCTCTGGACGCGAAACCGGCCAGTTCCTTGCCATTGATGTCGGCGGCACCAACTTGCGGGTGGCTTTCATCGAGTTACTAGGCGACGCTGATGAACAGTTGCCCACCGCCAATGGTCCAGAGCGGTCACGTGAGACGATCCGAAATGCCCAACGGCCCCGGGTACGTCGAACTTTGGAAAAGGCGTGGCCGATTGGAGAACACTTGAAAATGGACAAGACAGAAGACCTCTTTGCATGGATCGGTGACTGTATCGCTGAGGTCGTGGGCGATCGACTGACTTCTGACATGGGCAGAGTCCCTGTACCGGAGGAGCTGCCCATGGGTATCACCTTCAGCTTTCCAATGATGTAGGTATTCTGACGCAGGCCACCCCAAGCTGCTAATATTTACCGTAGGCAAAATGAGCTATCATCTGCAACCTTGATGCCGATGGGCAAAGGCTTCACCATTACTTCCGATCTTGACCTAGGCTCCACCCTGCTTCAAGGCTACGCACGCCACACTAGGCGACAATCTCCTAGTAGCTCATCGTCTCCTCGAGCGAAAAGGCGAAGGCTCGGTCCTCTGCCACGGTTGAAGATTGCCGCTATTACCAACGATACCATTGCTACTCTGGCTTCACTGGCTTACAGCGTTAAATCATTGCCGAACTCCCGAGTTGCTGCCGGTATTATTGTCGGGACTGGATGTAATGCCACCATTCCCATGAAATTTTCCAGCTTGGGGGAGGCCAAAGTGGAACCCATCAGAAAGAATAAACCTGACGCTACCGAGACCGTCGTCAATACCGAAATCACCATCGCCGGGGCGTGCGGGCCTTTGCAGGCCATCACCACCGACTGGGATCGACGACTAGATGCTGCTTGTGCCCGACCAGGCTTCCAACCTCTGGAATATATGACGGGAGGCCGATATATTGGAGAACTGGTGCGCATCATCTTCTATGACTACATGACCAAAGCGCACAAGCCACCGATTCCGGCTGCCTCGCTTCCTGCCACGATTGTGCACAGTTACAGCTTCACCACCACCTTTGTCAGTGCTGTGGTTGCACGAGCCCGGTCAAATTCTGAACTGGCCGGTGAGTTGAAGCGTCGCATCCCCCCTCCGGAATCTTCCAATTGGGGCTGGTCGCCCCATTCGGCCGGGGCTCTCCGCAAGATTGCACATCTTGTTCAAGTGCGATCTGCTGGTCTCATTGCCGCATCTACCGTCGGTCTCCTCGCGACCGTCGGCGAGATCGCCTTAACAGAACCCGGCAGTCCTGCGTCCCTCCCAGACGGAGTGGTGATGAGCGATAGCAAGCCTCCATCACCCAAGTCCAATATCCCTGCCCTCCCTCCACGTGACATGAGAGATGGACTGTCCCCAGCGCCTGGTGCCACAGCGTGGAAGTCAGGACCTGAAGAATTGGTCATTGCTTACACTGGAGGCATCATTCAACACTACCCTAATTTTAAAGAGCAATGTCAGCGATTCATCGATCGACTGGTCATGAGAGCAGGACCGCAAGACGGCGGCAAGAGTGTCTTTTTGCGGGAAGCTCGTGATGGGGGTATCATTGGGGCGGGTGTTTTGGCAGGCATGGAAACTGGCGATCGACAATGGTCCTGATGGGGGCAGAGAAACGCCTGTGTTGCCAATGGCCCCCTTTAGCATATATCACGACGGACGAACAACGGAATGGTTCTGGAGGATTACTCGTGACGCCAGATGGGTTGCTCGAAAGTCCCGGATTCCATGGCAAACCCCCGGACCACATATGTGGGCGATACAGGAGAAACCCCTGCATTTGAGACGATGTCTGTGGCTGTTCGGGCAACGGCTAATCATGCCTTGAAACAGTTATTGTAGAGAGGACCGTGGACCCAAGTTGGATTGGGGCACGGAGGGTACCATCCCGCCGACGAGCAAGAGGAAAAAGAGTGGGAGAAGTCAGGCTCCAAAAAGTCAAACAAGCCCTAGATCGGCGAGACCGTAGTAGTGCCGGAAAATGGAAGATAGGCGAGGATTGTGGACGGGGCCCCCGCACTCTGGATTGCATGGATCCTTCAAGTGCGACACAGGATGCCCTTTTGAGGGCCTGAGGGCCAGGTAAATTGTTGTATATAGAAGAAAGGACGAGATATTTCGGACAATGGGAGCGTCTGGTTGGGAAAAGGGCGCTTTGATAGAAGGCTGGGGAAGGGCGGGTGGTGGCCGTTGCAGTGGCAATTGAATTTAGTAATGATAACCGTAGTTGGGATGGAGCCAAGCGCGGTCTGAATCGCGTGATGGTGACTTGTCATGACCTTGTCCATGTGCTAAGTGGACTCCGACGCACAGGCTGGAATGAAAACTCTGATCTTTTAGTAACCGCGCATAATACAACGCGGAATCTCGCAATCAGGCCCAGACAAGTCGAGGACGCGGCATCCTCTGGAACACCGTGGTTGATCAGACCTGACTTGAAATAGGAGAGAAAGTCGGATCTCCGATGCCGATCAGAACGACAGGGAGCCAGGGTTTAAACGAGCGAGTGAGCCTGTGGCACCTGGGATTCGAAAACTGACACGCGAGCAGCCAAAAGACAAGAGTGTGAGCCGTTTGACCGAACAAAACGGACAGGGGATAAGAACTCGCTACCAAGTACCGCCCCAGGCTGGCACAGTCGACACAGAGACTGGCTTGCCGCAGACTCCTGTGAAATTGCGCAAGACCTCAGGCCTTGTCCCCCAGTCCCCCCGGACAATGGATAATAGAGTTTCCTCCTCCGCCCCTCGAATTCATTGCGCAAACACGGAAATTCCACCAGGATCAAAATTTTAGCTGGCGGAGGATGCGCGCCCCCAGGCGCAGATAATTTTTATTTCCTGCTACCTACTATACTAACCAGGTCGTCCTCGATACTCCATGTTTGCTCCGGGGGCTTGCTCCACTTTGTCACTCGCAATGAATTACAACTAAGCGCAGCCCTTCTCCTCCACTCCCCTCCTACCTCGACATTATCACTACTATTAATCACTGTCATCACCTCACTGCTCTCTTACTTAGTTCACCATTTTCTTCCCTTTGCGGAGTCTGCATTGCATCGCCTGCCTTGAACCACATCGATTCCTATCTACCGACTTCCCACATTGTCTTCTGCCTTTTGCTCGATCCTCGCATCTACTCCTCTACCGGCTACTGGCACACCACAGGTTCACTCTGCCATGCGCAGTGTGCCGCGTCTTCGCTCTTGATGGGCGCATCTTGAAACACAGCCTTCATTGTCTTTGCGCATCGGTTGCACGCTCCTCTGATTCCGCCAACGATGAGCCCGATCCCCAAGATCCACAATGGTTTGCGCACCTGGATCAGGCGGGATGAGGTCACCAAACCTACCGACCCCAACGGACTCGTCCTCGAAGCTTGGGCTGAAGGATACATGATTGGTTCTCTCATCATCATGTCCTGTATCACGCTGGCAAACATGCGGCGAGGTGTCTTGCTACACAAGTTGATTCTCCTCGAGGTATGTCTTTTGCACAACCACCCAGTCCCAACCACGTTTCGCCATGACTGACACGACACGTTTGGGCAGCTGGTTCTGGGCTACTGGCAGGGTTTTTTCATCCTCTTCAACCCTCCCGTGTACGCGTGGTGGTTGTCCGTTGCGGCCATATTCCTCAACACTTCCTGGTCATTGCACAATGTCATTGCCTGGATGAAATTGAGGCCTTTCTTGAGCAGGTGGGCTAGTCGCCTCTTCATCGGGACCGTCATTTTGGTCCAGCCATACTGGGTCGTGGAAATATATGCCAACTTCACGTATTTCCATAACGTGAACAAGGTCTTCCTGAAGACGAGGCCTTGGGAAGCATTATGCCGAGATCCGTGGTGGATCCTCGCCGGTTGCCTCTTGGTCTATAACATCAAGACCAGGTACGACCTGACACTGACCCAAATTATCCGGATATCTCCTCGCTTTGCCGTGATGCTTGGTGCCATGTTCCTCAGCATCTGCTTCATCGTGCTTGACGTCTTGTCCGTCACCTCGGCACTGAAGTCCGCCCTGCCGGTTGGAATCAATCCATTTTGGAAGCTTTCCTTTGTCTTTAAATGCTTGACCGATTCGGTTGTTTTGGACGACTTTAAGACTGCCCTGGACCGACTGAGGGCTTTCAAAATCAGCAGACTCGGCAGCTTCGCCGTCGATGGTGCCGACAGTCGGTCTAAGCAGCATAAGGAAGACGTGTCCAGGATCAACAATTGGGCGTCCCCCACGGCGAATGGAGTTCGGCCCCAGCCTGTTGGTCCTCTGCCCGCCATGCCCAGTCCCGATGGCGATTATATCAAACCTCGGTGGGAAGGGCTCAAACAGGGACCACCACCGGATGACGTGGAAGATGGGCAATACAAGAGAAACGCGTCTCGGGATCGTGACGCCGAAGAGAAGACGTCTAATTCGATCGATTATGCTGATCCTCAACGGGAGGCGAGCGACACATATATGCTGAAACCTTCGACCAGTTGGCTGGACAGGCGATCGTCTGACGATACATCCGATGCCGATATCGAATACGCCATGGCTGTGAGGCAGATGACGAATGATTCAATGGAGCAACAACGCAAAAAGAAAATAGCACCGAGTATTGCCAGGTGATCCAAGATGGTGAGCTCATCCAAGGAACTTTCCGATATGCTGGCGACGGCATCAGAGGACAATTATGTCTGTCCGAAAACATCGCCTGGTTCACTTGGGATCAAGGATGAAAGTCCCTCTAATCCCCGTTCATAAATCATGTCGAGAACGGGCGAAGTCTTTCGGAGATGGCCACGCAATTCAGAATGCGTCTGGGCCATGGTCTAGCCGGCTATGAGAAGCCTTGCTCCCAGTATGCTTCAGATGTCTCGACGGGCAGGTGATCGAGTCGACAGCGTCTCGTATCGACAGGCTATTCTATTGAAGCAAAATAAGGATGCCCAACACTGTCCGACCCCTGGTGGGTGTCTTGGACAGGGATTGATGAATCGAACAGGGGCGAATTGAGTTTTGTGGAGTTTCCCAAACTACCTGCAAAAGTAGGGGATGAAAGGGAATTCGGCCATGGATTTGTATTGATGGTTGATAATGATACCCGATATGCAGCTGTGAATGTGAATGTAGAAAAGCGGGCACAAAGTATGTGACCTGCTCCGCCACGTTTCTCTGGTTGACATTTACTTTTTCTCCAGGTGTTCGATCGATCGCCTTGACAGCCATCCAAAGTTCCCTCTAGGCAGGAAAATTGATCTGATCAGGCCTAGAGCAAGGCCGTTAACCAAGCCTAGTGTGTCAGGCCACGAGCGCAGATTCGTGGGCTTCATGTCGTCAACTTCGCGGACCGGTTTAGTGGCTTGGCGGCCCTTTTTAGTCTTTTTCTCGATAGAACTAGGAGAACCATTCAAACTTGGGAACGCGTCTTGCGCGATCCAAGTTTACCACTTCCATCTGCAATTCCAACTTCCTTTGTCCTCCAAATTCCCATTCATCCCCCCGCCATTGCCACTCTCCGTGATCAGCATTTGTACCGGCGTTGGAGGACATTGAGAGGCTGGCAAATGTCGCATCCGTGGGATTCCTTTTGTCTAATCTCCAGAGTCAGTCCTCATGGATGTCATGTCGCCTAGCGCTCCCAACGGGGCTCCCAGTCCTCCGTTGCTGGAGCCGGTCGACCCTTTACTTGTCCTTGAACACATCGCCAATCTGATAGAGACCACGCTCGGTGCTGCTAGGCGAGAACTTGAGGCCGTGGGCAGCCTGCTATCGAAAGCCAACAGGGCCGAATCCCTCGACAAATGTGCCCGGTTCGCGGCTGAACCCCAGATTACGCTCTACGCGCAGAAGGATATAAGAGAAGAGCTGGTTAATGGCCATGACGACACACCAAGTCAGTTGCATCGTAATATTGCCTGTGGGCCATCTAACGCTGCCGCAGAAATCAAGCATGTGTATACCCTATCCTCCGAATTATCACCGGCCCGCACAACTGTCGGTTCCATCGCATTTCTGAAACTATCTGGGCCCCTCGATGGACGAAAATCAATTGCTAGCCAGATTCAGGTGTTCAATCTTCCAGGGTCCTACAATGTCGATGGCGAGACGAACTCGAATGCCGAATTCGCTTCCCCTTACGAAGTTGTCTATTCCGTTTTGCACAACGTCCTCAGTCCCTATTTTGATGCCTGCACAAGAACGCATGGCTCAACGAGTCGTAATTGGTACGACCCGCAGGCCAAGGGTGGCATCCCGGGAGCGAAGAGAAGAATTGCCGAATTGGAAATGAGTCTCCTCCACCTGCAGCAAAATACCGACATTCCCATGGTACATCTACCCATGCACGAAGTCGTGGCGGAGGCTATACAAGATGCGGCTGCAAAGGGACTCTCGCCCTCGGTACAACATATCCCGCCCCATGTCCTGGAAAACACAACGGTTCTGAACAGTGTTCAAAACCACGTCAATGGGTGGATCAAGTCGATACAAAACATCACGAAGCTATCGAAGGACGCGCCCCAGGGTACTGCTGCAGCGCAGGAAATCAACTTCTGGCTCTCTTTGGAGGCTGCGCTGAACAAACTGGGAGACGAGCTTGGTTCTGATGGCGTCAAACTAACCCTCGAGATCCTCAAGAAGGCAAAACGACAGCAGGCTCTTGTCAGTTTCGAGACCGATACCGGGTTAAAGGATGCTATCGAGACCGTGAGGAATTACAACAATCTCATGCGCGACTTTCCTCTCGAAGAACTCTCCTCGGCAACTACGCTCCCAAAAATGGCGGAGGCTTTGGTCCTCATCTTTACCCACCTGAATAAAAAATGGAGGGTCTGCAATTATCCCATCCGGCGGGCACTAAAATTGGTGGAGGGTATATCTGAGGATATGGACACTCAAATTCATCGGCTCCTCCAAGGCAGGGCGATAATGTCCCTTAGCTGGCACGACTTCACTGAATTGATGAACCATGTGAATCTGGTGTGGGAAACCTGGGATGACCAAATCAAGAGCTTCACCGCTGTAGCTCGAGATATCACTAGACGGAAAAATAACGACTTCGTCCCGGTCAAGATCGTGCCTAAGCATGCTCAAACCCAAGAGCGTTTGCGATACGTCTACCGCTTCCGAAACGAGCATGAGCAGCTACGGGGTACAATTCTCAATGTTCTAGGACCAGGTGCTCGTGCAAATGATCCTGGTCGGGCCGCGGACGAGGGAGGTGCCGCTATCATCGAAGAACTCGGAGACGTGGATGCTGTCGAGGAAGTGACTGCGGCTTACGACATTGTCCGGCATGTGGATGTATTGGACGTTTCACCGAAAGGAACAGATTTCTGGGTTCAAGCCGAAATGCAATATACCGAACGAACGTCTCGTGTGGAAGATTCGATAATCGCGCGTCTGCGAGATCGCTTGGGCAAAGCCAAAACAGCAAACGAAATGTTTCGGGTTTTCGAGAAGTTTAATGCTCTGTTGATTCGACCAAAAGTGCGAGGCGCCATCACAGCATATCAAACACAGCTCTTGGACAATGTCAAGAACGCGATTGCATCGCTTCACGAGCGATTTAAACAACAGTATGGGGGTTCCGAAGCCCAAATGATGGCCCAACTTCGTGATATTCCACCGGTTGCTGGTGCTATTCTGTGGGTCCGCCAGATCGAGTCGCAGTTGGATAACTACATGTCAAAAGTCCAAGCCGTTTTAGGAGAGGAATGGATGCTGTACACCGATGGAGAGAAACTGCAAGCTGAAAGCAACATGTTCCGAAAGAAGCTCACGACGCGTGATATTTACGAGGCTTGGCTCCATGACGTTCAATCCAGAGACATAGCCGTGACCGGAAGGCTTTTCACCATCGTACGAAGTCGAAGTGCAAACAATGCTCTGGAGCTCAGCGTGAATTTTGACAATCATGCTATTTCTCTGTTCAAGGAAGTCAGGAACCTGACTTGGCTGAACTATCAGATCCCCCATCGAATCGCCACCACGGCTAAACAAGCTCAGCGAGTGTATCCGTACGCATTAAGTCTGATGGAAAGCGTGGCCGGGTACTTTTCTGCGGTCCGAGCCATCCAAAACATGCCAAACATGGCCCCTTTGATGGCCGGCTATGAGAAAGAGGTCCAGAACCTGTTAGGGACAGGGGTGCGATTGCGGTGGGATTCTTTCATCCACTCGTACGAACTGCACATCAAAGGGAAGTCGACCTCGAATGATTCGGCACATGTCCAATATGTGCGGGATTTGGCCACGGCAGTGACAACTCTACAGAGCAAGACTGCAACCGTGCAAGCGCTCGACCAGAACATCCAGCTCGCGCTGTCCGAGATGAAAACATGCCCTTATTCGGGCAAAAACTTCCAAGCCCAAATGGATCTCATTCAGAACGCCGTGGACAAGATGAACCTTGAGAATTACGCAAATCTTTCAACTTGGGTGTCGCACCTGAATACTCAACTACGCCATATTTTTGAGGATCGACTTCAGCACGCACTGAAACATTGGACCAATTCTTTCGCTTCGACGGATGGACAACCCCCTCAAGCACCAGAGGAATCAATCTACAATGTCCAATTTCCCCAAACCCAGATTGAGATTATGATGAACAATCAGACAGTCTTCGTTGACCCGCCTTTGAATTTTGTCAAAGCGTCTTGGGTGCAGCAGCTCGAGGATTGGTTGGACATATTGTGTCGTTTGCCACAAATCATACCCTCCCGTTATCAAGTCACTGCAGATGCTAGCTTAGTACAGGCAATACCTGCCTTTACAGACCTTCCTTTGCAAAATGTGGAGTCGCTGCAGGCGGCATACAGCGCTATTGACAGCAGGATCACGCATATGGCAACCTACCTCGAAGAATGGTACACATATCAAAATCTGTGGGATCTCCGCAGTGATCAATTGCACGAGAGTCTTGGAGATGACCTCGCCCAGTGGCATCAATTACTTCAAGAAGTCCGCCACGCACGTTCGACCTTCGACACCTCCGAAGGAAGAAAGACTTTCGGCAGTGTTACTTTTGATTACGAGCAGGTCCAGTCCAAAATCACTCAAAAGTACGATCAGTGGCAGTATGAAATTACGAGCAAGTTTGGAAGCATTCTTGGCAACCGTATGGCGGAAGTGTTTACTGACATGCGCCGGTCCCGTCTCGAGCTTGAGAATCAGTCGCTGGAAGCCTTGTCCACTGCGCAAGCTGTCGCATTCATCACCATTGTTCAGCAATGTCGACGGAATGCGGCTTTGTGGGGTCCAGAAGTGGAGATCTTCCGACAGGGCCAGACGACACTTTCGAGGCAGCGATACAATTTTGCCAGCGACTGGCTCTCAGCAAACCAGGTGAGCGACGAATGGGATGCCTTCGAAGAGATTCTCAACCGCAAAAGCAAGATTGTTGAGGATCAAACCGACGCTCTGCGCGCCAACATCATTGCTGAAGACCGCGTCATCAACGGCCGCGTCGCCGACGTTGTCGCTCAATGGTCTGATGAGAAACCCGTTTCCGGAACTATTCCCCCAAGCGAGGCTGCCGAACTCTTACGGACATACCAAGCACGTATGGAAAAGCTTCAAAGTGAAGCAGATACTGTCTCAAAAGCGAAAGAGGCTCTTGCGTTGCCATTGACTAAGGATAATGCTTTATCAGCTGCGTTGGAAGAAGTGAGCGATTTCAAGTCAGTCTGGTCAGCTCTATCCACGATCTGGCAGAGCATCAACGAACTACGCGACATCTTATGGACCAGTTTGCAACCTCGGAAGCTTCGTCAATCCCTGGATGGCTTGGTCAAGATGACCAAAGATATGCCAAGTCGAATGCGACAGTATGCTGCTTTTGAACATGTTCAGAACGTCCTCCGGCAATTGATCAAAGCAAATCCACTTTTGAATGACCTCAAATCTGATGCGATTCGAGAGCGGCACTGGTTGAAGATCTACAAAGCTCTGAAGCCAAGCAAGCGATATTCGGAGGTCTCCATGACTTTAGGAGACGTCTGGGATCTTCAACTCATCACCAGCGAAGCCACCATTCGAGATATCATCGTCCAGGCGAGAGGAGAGTTGGCGCTTGAGGAATTTGTTAGACAAGTTCGTGACACCTGGCAAAGCTATCCGCTGGATCTCGTCAATTATCAGAACAAGTGCCGACTCATTCGAGGATGGGACGATCTCTTCACCAAATGCAGCGAAAACCTGAATTCGCTTCAAGCCATGCGCCATTCGCCCTATTACAAGGAATTCGAAGAAGAGGCTTCGTCGTGGGAGGATAAGCTTAATCGGGTACATGTTTTATTTGACGTCTGGATTGACGTTCAGAGACAGTGGGTCTATCTCGAGGGCGTCTTCAGCGGCAATAACGACATCAAACATTTGCTGCCCACCGAATCCAGCAGGTTCTCCAACATCAATACCGAATTTTCAGCAGTGATGAAGAAGGTTTACAAATCTCCATTCGTGATGGACGTTCTGGCTATTCCTGGCGTGCAGAAGTCTCTGGAAAGACTGGCGGAGCTTTTGAGCAAGATTCAGAAGGCCTTGGGCGAATATCTCGAACGTGAGCGTGTGTCGTTTCCTCGTTTCTATTTTGTTGGTGATGAGGACTTGCTGGAGATTATCGGAAATAGTAACGACAGTACCCGCGTCGCAAAGCATTTTAAGAAGATGTTTGCAGGCATATCTGGCGCCGAAGTCAACGATGATAGCGCCATTACCGCGATAACCTCGAAGGAAGGCGAAACGGTCACGCTCAAGAAGGAGGTCTCACTTATCAAACTGCCCAAGATCAACGACTGGCTCACAGCACTGGACACCAGTGTCAAGCAGACGTTGGCCGAGCTACTTGCAGCAGCCGCCACTGCGTTTAGGCCATTATTCACCGCTCCTGAACTCGATTCGGTCATGTTTCAGGAGTATATGACAACATTTCCAGCCCAGATAATGATCCTCGGTGCACAAGTCGTCTGGACCGATCTAGTCCAAGAAGCACTTGAAAATGCCGGGCATGGGTTGTCGAAATTGCACGAGTACGAAGTGAGATTACTTAACCTGCTGGCTGAAAGCGTGTTGCAAGATCTCCCAGCGTTGACCCGAAAGAAATGCGAACACTTTATCACAGAAGCTGTCCATCAACGAGATGTGATCGCCAAGCTGATAAACGCTGAAGCCAATACACCTGGCCACTATCTCTGGCTTCTCCAAATGCGTTACGTTTACAACCCCAGCGCAGACCTCATGAGTCGCTTGCACATCGAAATGGCCAACGCGGTCCTCGACTATGGTTACGAATACCTCGGTGTCCCAGACCGTCTGGTGCGGACACCACTTACTGACCGCTGTTTCCTGACATTGACGCAAGCGCTTTGTCAGAGACTTGGAGGTTCCCCATATGGACCGGCCGGCACGGGCAAGACCGAATCGGTCAAGGCACTGGGACTTCAATTGGGACGTTTTACCCTCGTCTTCTGCTGTGACGACACTTTTGACTTCCAGGCCATGGGCCGCATTTTCCTTGGGTTGTGTCAGGTCGGAGCTTGGGGATGTTTTGACGAGTTCAACCGACTCGAGGAAAGAATTCTCTCTGCAGTGTCACAACAAATTCAAAACATCCAGATCGGTCTCAGGAACAGTACCAATGAGCAGAAAGCACAAATTGACCTCGCCGGGCGCCGTTTCAAAGTCAACCCTAACTCTGGTCTATTTATCACCATGAACCCTGGATACGCCGGACGTTCCAACTTACCGGACAATCTGAAGAAGTTATTCAGAAGCGTCGCCATGTCGAAGCCAGACAAGGAGTTGATTGCCGAGGTCATGCTCTTCTCTCAAGGCTTCAAACAAGCCGAAGAAATCTCTTCTCAAGTCGTCCCCTTTTTCGATCACTGTGCTCAACGTCTTTCAAAACAACCGCATTATGATTTCGGACTGCGAGCACTCAAGAGCGTTCTAGTCAGCTCTGGTGGATTGAAAAGAATTCGGATGCAGGCAGGAGAAGAGGCTGTTGATGATGAGCGTGTGCTCGAGCCTCAAATCATTGTCCAAAGTATTCGAGAAACCGTGTCTCCGAAGCTCATTAAGCAAGACGTAGATATGTTGGTCGAGGTCCAGGCTCAAGACTTCCCCGGCGTCGAATACGTCCCGGCCAATATGTCGAAGCTTACGGAAGCGATCCGGGAAGTCATGAATGAGGAACACCTGACCGAGAGTGAGTCGTGGATGACCAAGATTCTCCAATTGTACCAGATCCAAAATATTCATCATGGTGTGATGATGGTGGGGCAATCTGCTTCTGGCAAGTCCGCCATATGGAAAGTTCTTCTGCAGGCCCTTCAGAAGGTCGAGGGCGTGGAAGGCGTTCATCATGTGATTGATCCCAAAGTCATGTCAAAGGAGGCCCTCTACGGCAGCCTTGACAGTACCACCCGAGAATGGACTGATGGTCTTTTTACTGCCATCTTGAGAAAGGTGGTGGACAACTTACGCGGTGAAGACAGCAAACGACATTGGATCGTCTTTGACGGCGATGTCGATCCGGAGTGGGTGGAAAACTTGAACAGTGTGCTTGACGACAACAAACTACTCACTCTTCCGAATGGTGAAAGACTGAACCTCCCACCCAACGTGCGTATCATGTTTGAGGTGGAGAGCTTGAAGTACGCAACCCTGGCAACAGTCAGTCGATGCGGGATGGTTTGGTTTTCAGATGATACAGTCACCCCGTCATTGATGATCGACCACTACTTACAAACCCTCGCTAACCGGACTTTTGAAGATCTTGACGACGAGATCAAAGCTTCCGGGTTGGCCACCAAAGCTCAGGAGACACAACGCCATCTAGTCGAGACATTACGAGGATTGATCAGTCGTGATGACTTTTTGCTTAAGGCACTATTGTCCGCAACGAGCTACAGGCACATTATGGAATTTACATCTGCCAGGGCGCTTGACAGTCTATTCAGCATCCTAGCCAAGAGTTGTCGAACGGTGCTCGAGTACAACATTTACCATCCCGAATTCCCCCTTGACCCCGAACAGACCGAGGCATTCATCTCGAAGAAACTTTTGCTGGCAACTGTTTGGAGCTTTGTCGGTGATGGTGCATTAGGCATTCGAAAAGAATTCGGCGATTTCCTCAGCACCATGACCAATATTGACCTTCCGAACCTTGACAGCTCGAGTTCTCTCATCGATTACGACGTAAGCCTGCCTCATGCCCAATGGGTCCCGTGGCAATCCCAGGTTCCAACAATCGATCTGAACACGCATTCTATCACCCAGACCGATGTCATCATCCCCACGATCGACACAGTACGCCATGAGGATGTCTTATACTCTTGGTTGTCTGAACACAAGCCGTTAATGTTGTGTGGTCCGCCAGGATCTGGAAAAACCATGACACTCTTCAGCGCTCTCCGGAAACTCCCTGATATGGAAGTTGTTGGTCTCAATTTCTCCAGTGCGACTCAGCCAGATCTTATCGTCAAGACGTTTGAGCAATATTGCGAATACAAGAAAACTCTGAATGGAATGGTGTTGTCCCCGACGCAACTTGGACGGTGGTTGGTGATCTTTTGTGACGAAATCAATCTTCCTGCCCCGGACAAGTACGGAACTCAACGTGCGATTAGTTTCTTGCGACAGCTCGTAGAACAGAATGGCTTTTGGCGGACCTCGGACAGAGTCTGGGTGTCACTAGAACGCATACAATTTGTTGGTGCTTGCAATCCACCCGAAGACGCAGGACGTCATCCGATGGGCGATCGATTCCTACGACACGCGCCAGTCGTCATGGTTGACTACCCCGGTGAGGTTTCATTGACGCAAATCTACGGTTCCTTCAACAATGCTGTGCTCAAGGTTGTGCCCACATTGCGTGGCTTTGCCGATTCCCTTACGCGGGCGATGGTTCAGTTCTATCTCAAATCTCAAGCACGATTTACTCCTGATATTCAGCCTCATTATGTCTATTCGCCTAGAGAACTGACGCGATGGGTGCGAGGTATTTACGAAGCAATCGCGCCTCTGGAACACCTCTCGTTAGAAGGATTGATCCGCATCTGGGCCCATGAAGCTCTGCGGCTCTTCCAAGACCGACTTGTTGAACAAGATGAGCGAGCTTGGACCTCTAATATGGTCAGAGAAACCGCACTTGAGTACTTTCCAACTGCAGATATCGATCAAGCACTCCAAGGCCCAATTTTGTTTTCCAATTGGCTGTCCAAGAACTACGTCTCTGTTGAGCAAGGTCAACTGCGGGAATTCGTCAAAGCGCGTCTCAAGACATTCTGCGAAGAAGAGGTCGACGTTCCTCTCGTGCTGTTCAATGATGTTCTGGAGCATGCTCTGCGAATCGACAGAGTTTTCCGGCAACCGCAGGGCCACCTTATCTTGATCGGTACCAGTGGTAGCGGTAAGACGACCTTGTCGAGGTTTGTTGCTTGGATGAATGGTTTGAGTATCTTCCAGATCAAAGTCCACGGCCGCTACTCGGCTGAGGACTTTGATGATGATCTTCGAGGTGTTCTGCGGGCGTGCGGCTGCCGTGGCCAAAAGATTTGCTTCATTATGGACGAATCTAACGTCCTAGACTCGGGATTCCTCGAGCGGATGAACACTCTCCTAGCCAATGGAGAAGTTCCTGGTCTTTTTGAAGGCGACGAGTACTCGGCCTTGATGACCGCGTGTAAGGAAGGAGCACAACGACAAGGACTTCTTCTCGATTCCCAAGAAGAACTTTACAAGTGGTTCACCCAACAAATTGTGCGAAATCTGCATGTCGTTTTCACCATGAACCCTCCCCAAGATGGCTTGTCGTCGAAAGCAGCTACTAGTCCGGCGTTATTCAATCGATGCGTCCTCAACTGGATGGGTGACTGGTCGGATCAAGCTCTCTTCCAAGTGGGCTACGAACTTACTCAGTCGATCGACTTGGACAAGCCGAATTTCACTGCCCCCGATAGCATCCCTGTGGCATATCGTGATCTGTCACTTCCAGCATCACATCGTGACACTATCATCAATGCTATGGTATACATACACCACTCCATCCAGGAGACCAACGACCGTCTTGAACGACAACAAGGCATCGTCACTTATTTGACCCCTCGCCATTACCTAGATTTCGTGACCCAATTCCGAAAACTTTTCCGGGAAAAGCGGGAAGGACTGGAGGAACAGCAACGCCATCTCAACGTTGGTCTCGAGAAGCTTCGGGACACGGTTGATAAAGTTCGCGATCTGAGAGCAAGCCTGGCCCAGAAGAAGCAGCAGTTGGAACTCAAGGACGCAGAGGCCAACGAAAAGTTGCAGCGAATGGTGGCTGATCAGAGAGAAGCAGAGTCAAGAAAGACGGCCTCCATGGAGATACAAACAGCACTGGAGAAGCAAGAAAGGGAGATCGCAAGTCGGAAAGAAATAGTCCTCAGCGATTTGGCCAAGGCCGAGCCAGCTGTCATTGAGGCTCAACGAAGCGTCAGCAACATCAGGAGACAGCACCTCACCGAAGTTCGGTCGATGGCAAATCCTCCATCTGGAGTCAAACTTGCGTTGGAATCGGTCTGTACCTTGCTCGGCCACAGGGTCGATAGTTGGAAGAGCATTCAGGCAGTTGTCCGCAGAGATGACTTCATCGCAAACATCGTCAACTACGATAACGAGGAACATATGACACCCAACCTTCGACAGAAGATGCGCCATGACTATCTCTCAAATGATGATTTCACCTTCGAGAAGGTCAACCGTGCAAGCAGGGCGTGCGGTCCCCTCGTACAATGGGTTGAAGCCCAAGTTAATTACTCTGAAATTCTCGACAGAGTTGGACCGTTGCGTGCTGAAGTGGAGCAACTAGAAGATGAAGCTCTGCAGACTAAAGCCGAAGCCAAAGCAATCGAGAACACCATTACCAAACTTGAAGAGAGTATTGCGACTTACAAGACCGAATACGCCGCTCTCATCAGTGAGACTCAGGCCATCAAGAGCGAAATGACTCGAGTCCAAACTAAGGTGGACCGCAGTCTTCGCCTTCTGGACAGCCTTTCATCCGAACGTGTGAGATGGGAAGCTGCCAGCAAGTCTTTCGAGACCCAGATCCAGACCCTTGTTGGAGACGTGGTGATTGCATCGGCATTCCTGGCATATGCAGGTCTCTACGATCAACAATTCAGAAAGACCATGGTCGATGATTGGATGCATCACATGTCTCAGTCCGGCATCTCTTGTAAAAATGACGGCTCGGTTCTCGGATATCTCTCATCGGCGGATGAACGTCTTCAATGGCAACGCCATTCCCTTCCAGCAGATGACTTGTGCATGGAGAACGCGATCATGCTCAAACGCTTCAATCGATACCCTCTGATCATTGATCCACCCGGTCGAGTGACCGAATTCCTGAAACAGGAACACCAGGGACGCAAATTGACCGTCACCAGCTTCTTGGACGATGCGTTCACCAAACAACTCGAGAGTGCTTTACGCTTTGGCAATCCGATCATGATCCAAGATGCAGAGTATCTGGATCCAATCTTGACACATGTCTTGAACAAAGAATACCAGAAGACAGGTGGAAGAGTTCTCATTCAACTGGGGAAGCAAGAGATCGACTTCTCAGAACACTTCCAGCTGTACCTGTCCACCCGGGACCCGTCCGCGGCATTTGCCCCCGATGTGTGCAGCAGGACAACTTTCATTAATTTCACCGTGACTCGAAGCAGTTTGCAGACTCAATCACTCAATGACGTTCTCAAGGCCGAACGTCCAGATGTTGACAAGCGGCGAACCAATCTAGTGAAGATGCAAGGCGAATTCAATACCAATCTGAGACAGCTGGAGAAGAGACTTCTCCAAGCTCTGAACGAGTCGCGTGGTAACATTCTCGATGATGACAACGTCATTCAAACCCTGGAGACTCTCAAGAAAGAAGCTGCCGTTATTACAAAGAAGGTTGCCGAAACAGAAGGCGTCATGGCAGAAGTCGAGCGCATCACTCAAGGATACAGCCGCATCGCCAATGCGTGCAGCGCCATCTTTGCGCTCCTTGAGCAATTGCACCACCTCAACCGTGGTTATCGGTTTTCGCTCCAATACTTCATCGATATTTTCAATTCCGTTCTCCATCACAACCCGCACCTTACGAACAAGACCAACCATGAGGAGCGTGGAGAAATCATATTGAAGGACATCTTTGTCGAGACGTACCGACGAACCTCTTTGTCTCTATTGCAAAAGGACCGCATTACGCTGGCAATGCTTCTCGTACGAGCGACCCCTTATGAGTTTGATCGCTCTGCCATGGAACTCATCCTGGAAGAACGGCCACATTCACATGGCATTCTTCCCAGCGATGCCCGTGAGGAAGATGTCCTGGCTGCAATTAACCGAGTCCCGATGTTCAACAAGGACCAAGTCCATCCCAGGAGCGAGAGTTGGAGACAGTTCCTCTCTGCAGAGCGAGCCGAACATTGTGTTCCCACGATCTGGAATGATACCGACAAGATCATTGACCAGAATCTTTACAAGTTGCTACTTATCAAACTGGTCAGACCAGACCGATTCCTACCCGCAGCTGAAAACCTGGTTGCAAATGTATTTGGCCCAGAAATCTTCCAGGGATCTGATGATTTGGGAACCATTGTCAACCAAGTCACCGCCTCGGTCCCAATCGCTCTATGCTCCAATCCTGGCTTCGACGCGAGCTACAAAGTCGACGCACTTGTGGGGAAGCAAAATGCAACGTGTGCTAACGTTGCCATGGGGTCTGATGAAAGTGTTGCCAGCGCTGACAAGGCAATCACAAGTGCTGCTTCCAATGGAACTTGGGTTCTGATCAAGAACGTTCACCTTGCGCCTCATTGGTTGCAGAGCTTGGAAAAACGTCTTTCTGCTCTCAAGCCTCACAACGACTTCCGACTGTTCCTGTCGATGGAATCAAGTCCCAAGATACCCGTCAATCTGATCAGGGCTTCGAGAACACTTGTATACGAGCAGCCTGCGGGCATGAGGGCCAACATGAAAGATACATTGACCGTCCTCTCAGATCGAGGCACTCGAACTCCAGTAGAGAAAGGCAGACTATATCTCCTGCTTTGCTTCCTACATGCAGTCCTGCAAGAACGACTCAGATATGCTCCAACTCTTGGTTGGAAAGGACTTTGGGAATTTAACGATAGCGACTACGAATGTTGCTCCTTCATTATCGACTTCTGGATCGAGGCAATTGCACAGGGCAGGTCAAATATTGCCCCGGTGAAATTGCCATGGGATTTGATTCGCACACTGATCACTGAGACGTATGGAGGCAAGATTGACCACGAAGGGGATTTCTCGCTCCTCAGTCAAATTGTAGCCAAGGTTTTTGATCCCGCTGCGTACGAGGACGATCACGAACTGGTGTCGGATTCTGAAGGAAAAGCTCTCAGAGTACCTTCAGGAACTACGATACGAGACTTTCTGGACTGGGTGGACAGACTTCCGGAGCGGGAGCCACCTGCATACTTGGGACTTCCTGCCAATGCAGAGAAGTTGTTATTGATGGGCCAAGGACGAGAAACTATTGGCAATTTGGCACGGATTACGGACCTGCTTGAGGAAGGCGAGCAATCGATGTCGGCTGAGCAAGCTACAGGTTGAGTTGGTGAATGAATTGGTGGTTTTTCCAGGCACGAAATAGATGTCTATGTCCACGTGGACCTTTCCCCCACCTCTTCTCTTTTCTTGAATGAATGTTGGTCGTCGCTACAGGATATCTAGCGCTTGGAGTTTGGCGGGATATATTATGGTTATACCCATACGATTCGTTCGTTGCCCTTACGGCCTTTTGTTTTAGATATTGTCCAAGTAAATATTTATCGCCATGCATTCTTCGTGTAGATGTTCCGCTCCATTGTTGCATCCATAGAATATCGCCTGGTTTATATAACAGGCCATACAAGCCACATCTGCGCACGTGATTTCTCCGGAATACCTTCCCAATCCGAGATACCCGAAATTCCCTAAACGCGACAAAGAGGTGAGCATTGCACTTCATCAGGTGTCCGTATCTTGTTTGGAGGTATTTCCTTGATCCCAGACAGAGCCGAATAGGACTCATTTGAATATTAGGGGGATTCCTTCAGCATCATGCAAGCGGGAAACCCAAAGGACAGAATTCGAATCCTGCCAGAACGAACACCTTGCCAATCTAACCACAGCCGAAACCAGTCTCCGGCTCCGAATCCCCAGCCTGCCGACCATGACCAGTTCTAGCAGTCTTGACAATGCAGAACAGAGCCCCGAGCATCCACGCCCCAAAGCGTCAGTCTCTCGGTCCCACTCTTCTCAAATGCAGGCATTTGCCTCTTCTCAGGTCGAGATGGCTCTCGAGACTACACCCTCCATCGCCATCGACCCTATCGCTCTCATCACCACAGAATGTATAACGATCACCTCGGCCATGCGAAAGAATGCCCGTTGGGCTCAATCTTCTGTATCAGCCATCCTGGGAGGAGGTGCCTCAAGACTGCAAGAGCAGGAGTTACACCGGTCTTTTTCGCAAAGCCGCCATGGCAGTAGAGGACCAATGATATCCGACCCGGGCAAGACGAGACTCAATGCTCCCAATGCTTCAGACGACGAGAACTCCAGTTTGGCCAGTCGATGGGGCTTACGTGGGAAGAAGGGCAAAAGCATGCAGGACAATCCTCTACTCTCAGCCTTTGCTCGTTTGAGGAGAGACCTCGCAGGCTGCAAAGACGTGACCACCGTCGACGGCCCTGAGCTGCTGCGTCCTTTCCTCCAGGTCATACGGAGCTCTTCGACCAGTGCCACGATTACAAGTCTAGCTGTTATTTCGATCACCAAATTTTTCGCCTACAATATCCTAGCCATCAAAACTCCCAGAATTTCGCAGGCAATGCATCTTCTAAGCGCGGCCATCACCCACTGTCGCTTTGAAGCCAGCGATACGGCGGCAGACGAGGTTGTTTTGTTACGAATATTGAGACTAATGGAAAATATCATCTCTCGGCCTGAGGGTCAACTACTGGGAGATGAAAGTATTTGCGAGATGATGAGTACAGGGTTGAGCATGTGCTGTCAGGCCCGCCTCTCGGAGGTTCTCAGAAGATCGGCCGAGATGGCAATGGTGACCATGTGTCAAGTTGTGTTCAGCAGACTAAAGACTTTGAAGGTGGAAGAAATTCCAAAGACGAGGAGTCGTTCCAATACTCGGACTACTCTCCTGAGCGCCAGCGAAGATCTAAAAATTGAGCCCCCGATGACCGGAAGCGTCATGGGCAATGGTGAGCTAGATCGGCCCAGTGCTGATGTTGAAGGACAGCCCGCACCTGAAGATGGTACCGACGCGAAGCCTACCTCCACCGCAACGCAAAATTCTACCGCCCGAGCAGAAGAGGATGAGTTCGAGAACGTTGAGCCCTATGCTTTACCTTCCATCAAGGAGCTTTTCCGAGTTTTGATTGACCTTCTCGATCCGCATGACAAGACACATACAGATCCGATGCGAATCATGGCATTGAGAATCATTGACGTCGCACTGGAGGTCGCCGGACCGTCGATAGCGAAACAGCCCACTCTAGCGGGTCTCGTTCAAGATGACATGTGTCGCCACTTGTTCCAGCTTGTTCGATCTGATAATATGGTTCTATTGAACTGCTCTCTCCGGGTCGCAGGGACACTGCTAGCTACCTGTCGACAACTCCTCAAACTGCAGCAGGAATTATTTCTGTCATATTTGGTGGCATGTCTACACCCACGGGTCGACATCCCTCAAGAGCCTGGGATCGATCCTTCACTCTATGAGGGGGTGCCGCAAGCCCCGAAATTGGTTAAACCAGCTCCCTCGCAACCCAGCAGCGGCCGATCGACCCCTGTTCCAATCAAAGATCGGCAGAAATTAGGACTTGAAGGCGGTACCAGACGACCAGAGGCAAGGGAAGCAATGGTGGAAAGTATCGGCACCTTGGTTCGAATGCCGAGTTTCATGGCGGAACTCTTCGTCAATTACGATTGTGAAGTCGATAGGCAGGACCTTTGTGAAGACATGGTCGGACTTCTGTCGCGGAATGCTTTCCCGGATTCGGCAACTTGGAGTACGACAAGCGTCCCGCCTTTATGCCTCGATTCCTTGCTCAGTTTTGTCCAATTTATGGCAGAGAGGCTTGATCAAGAGGTACCACCTGGGACGAAAGAGCGGATAGAGAAGATGCGCCTACAAAGAGTGAGAAAGAAGATCATCAAGAGTGGTGCTTCAAAATTCAATGACGACCCTAAAGCAGGGGTCGCCTACCTCGTGAGGAACGGCATCATAGAGGATCCCGACGATCCCTTGCAGGTGGCTCAATTCCTCAAGGGAACTTCACACGTGTCGAAGAAAATGCTAGGTGAATTTCTGACGAAGAAAACTAATGAGCGTCTACTCACCGCCTTCATTGGTTTGTTCAAGTTTGATGACAAGCGCATCGATGAGGCTCTCCGAGAAGTGCTTTCAGCCTTCCGTCTTCCTGGAGAGTCCGCTCTGATTGAACGGGTGGTCAATACCTTTACTGAAAAGTATTGCTCCACTGCCGCACCAGAGGAAATCGCGGACAAGGACGCCGCTTTCGTCCTCACTTATGCCATTATCATGCTTAATACCGAACTCTACAATCCAAATGTCAAGGCGCAGAAACGAATGTCTTTTGACGATTTTGCCAGGAACCTGCGCGGAGTCAACGCTGGCAGAGACTTTGCACCGGAATTGCTTCAAGATATCTACGACGCCATCAAGCAGAACGAAATTATTCTGCCGGATGAGCACGACAACAAGCATGCTTTCGACTTTGCATGGAAAGAATTGTTGATGAAGACCGCTGACGCCGGATCATTAGAACTATGCAATACCAATGCATTTGATGCAGAGATGTTCAAACTGACTTGGAGGCCAATAATTGCCACCCTCTGCTACGTTTTCATGTCGGCTTCTGATGATGCTGTATTTTCCCGAGTGGTTGTCGGATTTGATCAATGTGCCCAAATCGCAGCCAAGTATGGCATCACCGAGGCATTCGATCGTATCGTCTACAGCGCGAGTCAAATTAGTGGATTGGCCGCGGAAGCACCACCAAGCACGTCATTGAATACAGAGGTTCAAGTTGGGAAGAAGAGAATCATGGTTAGTGAAATGGCTGTGAGACTTGGAAGGGATTTCAGAGCCCAATTGTCCACAGTACTGCTGTTCAGGATCTTGGCTGGCCACGAAAATGCCGTGGGTGAGACATGGATATGTGTTGTTCGGATTTTGAGGAACCTCTTCGTCAATTCTCTTATCACACTACCCACCTTTGACAGGAGTAGACTCGCGGACCCGGGTGCGATTCCGCTCCAACCTCCGTCACAAGTCATCGATCGAGAGGGCAGACTCGGCGAAAGTGGCATTTTCTCGACCTTTACCTCGTATCTTTCAAGTTACGCTGCAGATGATCCACCAGAGCCTTCGGAAGAAGAGTTGGAAAATACTCTCAGTTCGGTGGATTGTGTGAAAGCCTGTCAACCGGATTTGGTTCTCAGACATATGGCCGCTCTGCCTCCTAATCAGATCAAGACATTGGTCGCGGCACTATTGTCACAAGTGGAAGAGTCATCTCCGGTCGTGACAGTCAAGCCTGAACGACCGATGCCAGTCACGGTCAGGGTCAATGGACATCGCGTACCCAAAGCTGGACCTGAATATGATCCAGGCTCGGTGTTTTTGCTCGAGCTGGCGACTCAGCTGACACTCAGAGATGATGAAACGATCGCAGCTGCTGGAGAAAATTTGACCGGGTCATTGCAAAATGCGGTTCGGGATGTGTCGAACTTACACCCTCTCGCCGCTTCCAGGGTTGTGCACTATCTCTTGGAATTGCTTCGATACAGCTTTGTAAGCCGACTTCCCCCTAGGTATGAGAAAATACTAACCGAAGCTCATAGACCCACGACTTCATGCGCGCTCCCGTCGTCCTTCATGCCATCTCCAGCTTTGACGACGCCGTTCTCGACCGCACCGCACCGACAGTCACACAAGGCCTGACCAATACCGTCGCCAACCCAGGACCCTTACGAAACGAAATCACAAAATCCCCCGACTTCTGGTCCACATTGCAACGTCTTCACCAGCACAAAACAGAAGCCGAATCCGTCTTCGACATCCTTGCTACGCTGGCAACGTCAAATCCTACGGCCGTGACATCCGATAATTTTGAAGCCGCAATCGCGTTAGCGAACGATTTCGCCTCGGCCGGCTCAATCGGTTCGATCCAGGAAAAGCGGCGCGACTTTGCAGCGAAGCGTGGCCACCAAGCAAAACCGGCGCGCGACGAAGATATTGTGGTCGTTCAGCGAGCTAATAAAGCCATCAGCCTGGTCTATCAACTGAGCGACCGCGTCCCCGCCCTCATCGAGCAATCGCACCTCGAGCGCCAGGAGGCCTGGGCCGCGTACTGGTCCCCCGTCTTCCGCACCCTGTGCGCCCAGTGCGTCAACCCCTGCCGCGAAGTCCGGCACCGGGCCCTCTCAGCCTTGCAGCGCACTTTACTCTCCGAGTCCGTGGCAGACAACGAAACACATACCGAATGGACCGCTATCTTCGACGAGGTCCTCTTCCCACTCACACTTCGCCTGCTCAAGCCCGAAGTCTACCAGCTCGATCCGCCCGGGATGAACGATACCCGTGCCCAGGCCGCGAGTCTCCTGTGCAAGATCTTCCTGCGCCACCTCGATCGGCTCTTCGCCGTCAACCGCATTGGCGACGTCTGGGTCAAGGTCCTCGAATTGCTTGATCGCCTGATGAACGCGGGCACGGATGCCGACGCCCTTGTCGAGGCAGTGAGAGAAGGTGTCAAGAATGTCCTCCTCGTCATGGATGGGACCGGGTATTTGGGTAGAAATCCTCCCGCTACCACCACACCTACTGCGACAAAGACGCAAGGAAATACGGATCGAGATCAAGACGACGTCCAGGTTTGGCCCGAGACCGTGTCGCGTCTGGACCGCTTCCTTCCCGGCTTGATTCAGGAGTTGTTCCCTGACTCCCAGATAGTGACTCCGGGCCCTGGTCAAACTTCTGTCGCCGCTGCTGCGCAAGGACAAGGTCAAGCCACCAACGCATCGTCAAGACCCGGTATACGCGATGGGGAGCGAAATAAGATGTGAAAAAAGAAAACTCTCAGCCGACAAGCTCAGCGGTCTTCTCAAAAAGGATGTGATGACGCATGAAGATCAGGATCAGAGAGGATAGGATTAGACCTTTAGAAACCGTCCCGATTACAAATACCGGCGCATAGTGATCCTTTCAAGTTTCATCCATGTTGTTGACGTCGACGTCAAGTCCACGTCATATCCTTCGATCTCAGGCATTTGGTCAGATGGAATGCTCAAGAAGCTCTCGAAGGGTTTTTTATTGCCTTTCTACATTCGCAGTTCGCTTCTTTTTTTTGGCTCCTTTCCCCCCTTGGACTGAAAGACCATGGCCATCACCCAAGTCATTAATCGTGCATGTCATCCACCTCGTTCCGTCCTTGATTTCCTGGTTCTGATCATTTAAAGATTTCTCCTGTCACTCTCCATTCTGCTCCTCCATCTCCATCTTTCTTCCGCTTTTGCACACAATCACATCCCCATTTCTCTCTAAACTCATCGACTCCCAGGTTTCCTAGAATCTTTAAAGCCGACCTACTTGCTCGGGCTTTGGCATACTTCACTCCCTGTCCTTGATTTACCGAAACCATTCGTCCATGCACGAACCAAGCAATGTGGACCCTTACGCCGGCGACAGCATCGTCGCCCGCTCCATCATCGTCGTCGTCATTGTCTTCGTCGCCGTTTGGCGGAGTTGTAATAATCTGTGAGGAGCTTTCAAGAACTTCCGGCGAACTTTTTTGACATCCGAGCTCTTCCTTTAGCAGACGATACAAGTGTGTGGTCGGGTGCCGATTCGCAAACGTGTCATATGCTTCAATGTCTTCGAAGAACCACTTGACGTGTCTTTCGAAGAAACCTTCGATCTCGGTGAAATTAAACCCCGAGTCGACGAGGACAGCACCAAGATAACTCTCGACCAGATCCGCCAGCGCCTTTGGAGGCGGCGAGCCCGAGGAAACGCGTGTCCAGAAATCGGGTTTGACGTCCTCCTGTTTGTACGCTTCCAGAACCTTGACCGCGAAGTTGCCTATTTCTTCGTAGAGAGCCGGCCCGGAGGCGTAGATGAGTTTGTTAAAACCAAGGATTACTGCAAGCGACGCGAGGAATCTATTGGACACCATTGCCATTTTGTGCTCAGTCAGCCATTGGGGGTCCCGGGTCGGATTGGTAGAGAATAACCACCAGATACAAACCCAGTCCAGGCAGGCATCGCCGAGGAATTCCAGACGTTGGAGATCACGGACTGGAGAGTTTTGATCCGAAGAATGTGTGAATGCTGATCGTAACAAGCGTGGATGATTGAATCGATATCCAGTGATCCCTTCGATCCTTCTCGCCAGATCATTTGCAACCGGATCGTTGGATACCAAACTCCATTGCGGCGGTTTGTACATTGGGGCGATCTCTTTCCACGAAGTGATAGCATGGTCTTCATCTTCCACGAGCTTGGTGACTGCTTTGATACCTAAATCGAATTTTTCCTCGGTGGGCAAATGCTGACTGGTCATGATACATGCTCCAATAATCGCCTCGCAAATATCGGCGATCGTTTTCTTTCCTAACGCATGCTTCCGTTGAGCATCGGTCAGTTTGATGACTCTGCCTCTCTTGAGTTCCATGAATTCAGGATACCACGTATCACGCCACTTGTCGCAAGTTCCGGCTCGAATGTAACGGAAAAGTTCGTAGCGGGGTGAAGAGGCAACATCACACAATCGGCTGTTTGAGAGCAAAGACATTCGCTTACAGTGCATGCCTTCTTCATTGCACGTGGTGCGATTGAAGACCGTTATTGTGGTCGTCATTTTGAGAAGGGAATCACCGATGAATTCCAAACGCTCGTAGTTCATGGCTCCTCTACTGTGGTCGCGTCCATCTGGCTCACTCTGTGTCGAAGGCACGAATTCAGAATCTCCGTCATTTGCGGTGGGGTCGTGGGTAAAGGCCTCCAAAGCAAAATGGGTTGGCACTCCCGTCAGATCAAGTTTGTCAAACGCCTCCTGAACAATCAGATAGGCTTCCAGTCGATGTAGGATCACTGGCCACAATTGCAGGAATGCCGCCACGGAGGACGAGACACGAGCGATCTCCAACGGTTGAGGTGCAATTTGACAGATAACGGAGCGCTTTTGCTCATCCGAACATTTCTCCAGGAAATTCCGACCTGCCATGACTAACTTGGCCTGCAGAACGGGTTGATTGGGATCATATTTGTTGGCAAATGATCCGAAGTCTTTGTGTCTCCCACGCCAAGTACTGTCCGTAAATTCGATAATGGTGTCTTTATATCTCTTCGACACTTTTCTGACACTCTCTGGTGGTGGATCCCAGATACACTTTCCCGGCAGGACGCTTTCGGTGAAATAGTGAAACCTCCCATTTCCCGGATCAACAAGAAAGGCATTGCACCATTTCTTCACATTTTCACGCATGTCGTCTGGATCCGTAGCTGGAATCCATCTCTGTCGACCGGGTGCGCCGCCCCTGAGAAGCTCGTCAACATTGACAATATCCTCGAAAGAACCCTGCAAATCTCCCGTTGCCTGAGGTGCTAGCCAGTAGCTCATAAATGTGGCGTCCGGATTGTATACCTTGTTGAACACATCGTTGAAGACTCCATTAAGAGTGAATCTTGTCAATACCTCGATATTTTCCGATGTCACTGGGACAGGTCGATCGGCCCGGTTGAAAACGACATATTTTTCGACATTGTTGTCGACAAATACCGGAAAGGAGGATAGTTCAGGAAGCGGCGACCGCGTCAGTAACAATAAGCCATCTCCGGAACAAGCCAGGGACCGTGGTCCAATAAGAACCTGGGTTATGAATAATTTTGTTGGGAGGTCAGGGGATCCAACACCACTCTCGATCCAGAAGTCTGGTTTCAACTTCTTTTCATAGTCATCCTTCTTCTCCGATACGGCGATTCGCGCGTTTAAATTCGACGGCTTGACCTTGACGAAAATACTGTCCAGATTTTCATCCAAGAGACCTGCATAACGCAATTTTCCACAGCATCGCCAGGCGGCAGATCGTTTTGCCAGGACCTTGTTGGGCTGGGGGTCCCCTTTAGCACCCTTCACTGCTTTGGTTCGTTCGTCATCAGTTTCTGGAAGTATGACTTTGTATCTGAACTTGTTTTCTTGAACGTCTATCATCTCCTCATAGATCTCGGCCGAAGTAGCTCCAATCCTCTTCAATGATTCTGCATAGCGATTCAATAGCAAGAGAGAATTGCCGTAGTTCGCGACCACTCCAGTGGAAGTTTTGAAATTTCGATGCCTGGATTCTTTAGCTATAAGTCTCTTCAAGTTTGATTCATAGTGGCCCAGACGCCGGGTCGGGGACAATTGCCGACAGTACCGTCTGATATAATCATCTTGTTCCCTGGCATAGTTAACCTCCGCTTCTTCTTTGAAGTTCCCCTCTTCTATCATGTGCGCAAAAATAGAATTCTTCATTCGAGCGCGGCCACGGCTTTGCATATACTGGATCGGGGTTTTGTACAGATCGAATCGGACCACGAGGTTGCACTGGGGAATGTCGATACCCTCTTCTGCCACACTGGTAGCGAAAATCAGGTTCTTTAATCCCGCCCGGAATTCTTCCATGACCGCTTCTTGATCTTTGCAAGAACCTGGTTCCCAATCGATTTGACCAACACCAACGAGAACTCCGGGTCGTATGTTGGTCGGGCTCAAAGATTCAAAGAAATCACAGAGAATGAAAGCTGTTAATTTCTGGTCGACAAAAACAAGTCCACGAGTCGCAGGAGACGCCGAGAATCGAGCTGTGAGCTCGCTGTACAAGCATCTCACCTTGGACGCCAATTCATCCTCGACATTGAGACGAGGAGGGGCGAAACTATGCTGCTGCACAATTGAGATGGCCTCGTGAATCGACTCCAACGCTGCGTCTCGCTTGTCATTGTCCACCCATTTTTGGTACGCGGAGCTCCGTTCCAATTTTTTGACGATGTTGGCTGCCCGATGCTCGGATGTAGGAATCGCATATTTCCAAATCCTGTCCGCCGCCCAACTTCCCAATTGCTTAGAGGCCGTTCGGGAGAAAGTGAAGTGTTTCGACAAGTCATCGATGAAGCCACACAGTCGACGAAGCCGGGAAGTTAATTCCGTGTCAAATTCTCCCTGCAAGGCAGGATACTTCCAGATGACATCTTCCGCCCTAGGTGCAAAGTCGAAGACAGAAAGGTCGTCAGTGGTGACGACTTTGCTCTGTAACAACGTTTCTAAATCTTCGAGGACCTGTTCGATATCCCGTTTCGAATCGACAGGAGAAGCGGTCATGCCAAAGATGCGAGGTCGAGAACCCTCTTCCCATTTGAGATAGTAATCCCGAATTATCCTTGAGTATGGATGATTTTTCTTGCAATGGTGCGCCTCATCAAAGACAAGGAGTGAGATTTGCCCCATTGTTAGATAGGAGTGCATTAGGCATTGATCAAGGACAGCAGCGGTGCAGACAACGACACTGTTGTTGGCAAAGATTCTGTCCCATTCAGCCCGGCGCCACAAATCATCGCCGGAATCTCCAAAAAGGGGAATCACATTCTCAGGAAGGTTGTTGTTGAGAAAGCGAGCCTGTTGAGTGGCGAGATGGACGCTGTTGACCAGGAAGAAGACAATTTTGGGAGGGTGGCCTTGGCTTCGACTGATGAGTTCTTGTTCCAGGAAATGTCTGATCAACAAAGCCGCGATGAGAGTCTTGCCACTACCAGTGTCAAGGACGGCAATCACATTCTCTTCTTTGGCACGTTCAAATAGCTCCTGCTGGTATTCACGGGCTTGATCGATGATTCGTTTGGATCTCTCATTTTCGAGCTCTTTGACAGGGGGAGCCTTCTGGTTCTGGTGGATGTGCTTGTTGGCTTGGGAGAGGACGTAATGTTCAAGGGCGGCTTTGTTTGCTTCTCGATCTAGATTGAGACTGGGATCAGAGGTTTGAGATTCAGCCAGGCTTTCATCCTCTGAATCTGTGGGATAGTCTCCCTCATCACGGTCAAAATCGATCGTGGCGAGCGCGGACGCGGACGCCGCTGTAGAGAGCAGATTGAAGGGGCTCATACTGAACGCAGCGAGATTGACATTTCTGACAACACGAAGAACCTGGTGGAGGTGAAGGGAAGGGCAGGTCAAACATCTCGCGGGGCCGGGAGCAAACAATCACCAATTTTACTCACTACATGTCAAAGTGAATCCCACTTATTCACAGCTCCTTACCTTAAAGTGCGGTGTACGCTCCGTATCCTTTTATCAAAGACGCTTGAAGTTGATACAAGCCTGGGGGGCTGCCTCTGCTAGGCTTTATCTGACTAGTCCCTACTGATCGCCAGGGGGTGGGCATCCCCAATGGCCAGTGTGGTACAGGTGGGCGGCTCCCGGCAACATCATGTTGTGCTGAGGAATGAACAGCTTATATTAACAACGCTGAAGGCTGTACCTGCATCCCCTATCTCAGCGAACATTCAATGCGATACAGACAGACCGTACAGCCCAAATGAAACCCAGAGACGTACTCGTGGCGTCCGCCACTCTCCTCTCCATCGGCAGTGCACATGGCTCTCCTCCACAAGAAGAAATAGCCAATCCCGCCGACGATTGGGCATTGTACCACATGCAAGAAGAGCACCGTGTGTAAACTAAACACCTTCTCCTCGTATCCTTTCCTCTGACAATTTACCTTCGATGGTGCAGACATCTCCAACTTCGACCCAACCTCATTCTTCTCCCTCCACGACTTCAACAACGACGGCATCTGGACCCCCGACGAAGTTCGCAGAACCTACGGCCTGGACGATGAATCTCTACAGTCAACCCCCCCGGAAGTCAAAGATAAAGCCGTTCGCGACGTCTTTAGCATCTTCGATCCAGCCTCCTCCGGTGCCATCACTAAGGATCAATGGCTGGACGGAATCCGGGTCGGCCATACACTGCCCGATTTCGGGCTTGGACCAGGCCATCACGGCGACGACGAATATGAATACGAAATCCACCATTTTGAAAAATACCATGACGAGAACACGAAAGAGGAGGACCTTATTCATCCTGAGGATATAGAGCATTTTCGAAAACATGACCTGATGGAGGACGAGGCCGAGCGCGTACTCAGGGAACAGCAACTGAGTATTGTGGAGAAAAACATTCCCGTGAAGTTTCGGAGACAGTCATGACAGCATTGCAAGGGAGGGAGATATATTGACGCACACGCGAAATGCGAAACGTACGCGCAAAAAGGACCTTAGAGAAAAGGATACAGACTCATCCATTGGCTTTGATCTCGATATCAAAAACGCAATGCATGACACCGGGCGCATACGTCTTGACCTCCTCGACATGCACGCATGAAACGACCCAGTGTGTCCTTTGATTACCCTCGCGTCCTGCTTCGCGAGAAGCCAGTCTCTCGATACCTTGGACGATATTTCCCTTCATCTCGTCAATCCTTCCAATATCGACATTCTCATGCACATGCAACCATCCTCCTTTCCCTTGATTATACGACCCCGTCACCATCCTGATGGCATTCTCCCAACTCCCCCCCGAAGTCGGAAGCAATCCCAAATTCACATGTCTGACATTCAGTCCCCTTTCTTGTCCGTCAAACTCGCATCGAACCTCCCTCATAACCTTGTCCGCCCATTTGTTATCCCCCAGGAATGCCACACATTTGATGACATCCGCCCGTTCTTCATTCCCTCTACCGCTCTCATTGCCTGCTCCAATTCTTGCTCCCCCAACATTTTCTGTTCCTTTTGCCATTCGGCCTCCGTTTCTCACGTTTGTGTCGCCCTGCACTCCTACCACCCTCTCCACCAGCTCTTTCACACCCATCCCGACCAATTTCCCATCTTCATCGACCCTGACCACCACACACCCCCATCCATTCCTCTCACAGCCCCGCCTCAATCCCTCGATGCTCCACGGGTTAATGTCCCAGCCCCAGACTCTCCTCACCCGGCACGCCAGGTAGCAGAAGGCAAAATACCCGATGCCGACGTAGAAATCGATGACGTCGACAGCCTCAATTGGTTCATCGAGCGCCGGCGGTGACAAACCGGGGAATCGGCCTCCGATCTCGGCCTTCTCTCCTGCAGAAGGCGATGTAGATGCTGGGGCCAGCCCAAGGATCCGGGCTTTCTCAGAAACATTCCCTCGGCTGAACATGGTGTATAGGGGGGCCCAGCACTGCATGATACCGCGATGTTGGGTCGTGGATGTCCAGAAGGCTTCGCTGAAGTCTCGAGTCGTCGGGTCCGTGAGGAGAAGCCTGCCTTTCGGAGAAGGTATCTGTCGAGGTTGGGGCCCCCAGTCGCCATATACGGGGACCAAGCCTGATGGGCTACGGAGGATGTGTTGCCTCCGCTTCTGGCTCGGTACCTGTACCTCTGTGTCTGAGTCGGTCGGATTTGTCATCGTAGTTAGATCCTTATCGTGCACATCAGGATCGGGCCTGATAGACGGATATTTACCAGCCCATGCTTCAGGTCTTTCGGGCTCATTAACCTCTTCCCCGTTCTCTTCCGCGGCAATAGGCGCATTAACTGCGATTCGACTCACGCCGAGGCCCGCGAATCCCTCCTCGGCGATACATTTGAACAATTCGCTTCTCTCCGGCTGCGAGAGAGCATTATAGAAGTCTCTCCAGCGCGGATTCCGTGTCGGGAAATTGTGCGCGAGCAGGAGCAGCGGAGCATACAGCGTGTAGCGTTTCGGGAGGTCTGAGAAAGAGAGCGAAACTTGGAGAGAAGATCGAGACGTCTCACACTGGAAGTCTGAGGTTCCTCGGGACATTTGAGCCGGGATGGAGGCTTCAGCTGCTAGCGAGGACGAGGCGCCCTCTTCATTAGTGGCGATGACGATGCCTCGCTTCGCGCAGAATGCTACTATTCCCTTAACCAGGGGGTTAGCAAGTCTTTTCTCCGATCTTGATTTGCGCTCAAATTTCGGTCGTGTCCTTGTGGCATCAGACTCCATGGCGCCGCCGTCCCAGTTAGATCTAAGGGAACGCAAGTACTTCAAAGCGCCAACATGAGTTAACACATGTTTCGGTTGCGAGATTCAGCCATCAAAGTCGTAAAATCGATGCCGAAAATTGAGACATATGCGCTTACATAATACATTGTCTGCTTTAACCTCAGCCTTGCGAGTTAAATCTGTAGGGATTGCAGGCATGCTCCCGTCTACATCACCTTTGAAAGCGGACGCCATTGAACAACAAGCTGTCGCTGCTGGTGAGACAGAAGCGGTAGTGACCGACCGGCTGCAACGGCCGACAGATGCGGATGTGGTTAGGAAACTGGAATTGATGGCACAGGCAATGCGAGCAAATGGGGGGATAGAGATGTATTGCCACGGGGTAGTATTTATACTTCGGGGACTTGATGGAGAGTGAGAAGATGGCACGAATCCAACAAGGCCAACGCGGAAAAGGGAATCATCGAACGCACTGAATACTCCAATCTCCAGTCTCCCATCGAGGCTCAGGGTTCAACTTATATATTGTGTGCATGCTGCAAGCGTAGATCGACCCTCAGATTGCCACGATCTCACCTCACCTCCAGGCCATACAAGGTATGAATACACCTTTTAAGAGAAAGAAAGTCCATGACGCCGTCAGTCAGGTAGACGTGCTGTAGTTGTCGAGATGATAGATGCAAAATAAAATGCTTAACCAACCCCGTTCCCATCGCTGGCTTTCCCCCCCTCTTTTTGGGTCGGTTCAAAATCAACCTGCAATCCCAACCTCTCTGGCCTGCTGAATCATCATATCTAAGATCTCTCTTTCTTCCGGTGTGAAATCCCTCTTCAACGGCGGATCCGTCGTCAAACAACACATATTACTCTCCTCCAACTGCCAGGCGCCGGGTTCCCTGATATCCCTCGGCTCAATGAGATACGTTTCAAACTTGCCGAATTTCTTCTGTTTCCTATCCGCAAACTTATTATCGAGCAACCACCCGTTGAACCAGAGCGGTTTGCCCTCCAAATCAAGATGCAACAATTGCGGAGAACAAATGGTATAACTTGACGGTCCCGTATTCCCGGGGTCTTCTTCTTCGGCTTCGACTTCCTCCCATCCTTCCTCGCCTTCGGGGTTCTCGATGATTTCGCCGTTGTCGTCGAGGATGATTTTCTTCTGCTTCTTCCTCCGGTTGGGGTTTCCCTCCTTTCGTCCCTCCTCTCGATTCTTATCCTCCTGGACGGTGCCCATAGTGCCGGCGTCACCTTGGTGAAATGCATAGTCCAAGTCGCCGACGAGCTCCCAACCGATCCAGAAGGTCTCTTTGTCACCTAGAAGAAAAAAGGAACAATGTCAGCATTGACGTGGAGGGGTCATTATTGGGATCGTGACGTACCATAGACCATGTCATAGATGCCGACTCGTCCCTCGTCTCGATTGCCGTCTCTGTCCGGGCCGTTCATTCGAGTAACCAAAAGCAGGGCGATAAAGTGACGCCACTTGTCAACCACGATGACGCCCGACTCCTGCATGTGGCCACTGTCACCGGTCCAAAAGCGACTTTGCTTGACTTGTCTGGAGATGGGCTTTGGTAGAATTTGCTGGAGCCACCGTTTCTTCGACTCCGGCATGATTAATCGATCCCTGAAGAAGAGGGCTCCGGTCTTTTGGTAGGCGGGATCGTCGAAGAGAATTTCGGGGTTTTTGAAGAATAGGCTGTCGGCATCAATGAACAAGACTTCTCGGAAGCTTGAATGGAGGATAGCAAAAGGCTTCGCAGCCCAGCCCGCAAGCTTCCAGCCCTCGTCGTTTACCATTTGTGCAATATCTCGAGTGATCACGCCATCGATAGCCTCGAGATCGGCCCGGTAATCTTCGCTGAGATCGGAATCGCCGAGGTACATCACCTCAATGGGAAGCGTGCAGCCTAGCTTTCGGAACGTCGGGATGGTCGTTAATAGAAACGGCGCCTGGTCGTCGCCAGCCGTGAGCACGATACCTCGACCGCCCTTCTTGAAATGAGAGTGAAGAGTCATGTGGTCGGGGAAATAGGGTGCCGTCCAGGGGAAGAGCAGTTGACCGAATTTGACTAAGAAATACCGGTACGCTTCGTAGGAATGAATGGTTTGAGCCAGTCCCGTTTTATCCAGGTCGACTGAGGAGGACTTGTGGACATGGTGTCGCAGATATTGAATCACATCGTCACGAATGTAACTGCCACCTTCCTCGTCAAAGGTGAGATGCAAATCTTCCCACGCCTCGAAAAACTTCTTGTATTCTCGGACTCGGAGACCCATTTCGCGTAGCTTTTCCTTGCCGGTTCCTTCAACCTGTCGGAGTAAATCTCGGCCTTCCATCTCCCCAGGAAGCAAGCTGATCACGCGAGCGAGAGCTCTTTCGAATTTGGGACGCTCGTTGAATGAGATGGAATCCTGCGACGACACTCCTGAACCAGGTCCTTTGGGAGAAGACTTGGGTGCTGTAGTACTCCGATCATTTCCCCTCGAGGTTGCTGGTTCCTCATCTTCCAGGTCTGCCACAGGAGCCTTGGGGTTTTGCAGTGGTGGCTCGGCCTTCTGGACTGAATCTTTGACAGGTGCGGCGTCAGGCGACTCCGGCGCGGGCGGATCGGCCCCAGCTTGGTTCGGCGGGAACTGTTGTCGTCCGGGAGATTCATTGGGGTTTGGTCGAAGCACCACCTCGGGGTCTGTGACAAATTCCCTGGACCTGTCGGATGGTAGACTGGTTTGAATCGTCGAACTGGCGGCTCCGGATGATGTTAGGAAGTAGATCAAGGGAATGCATATGAGGACGAGAAGTATTAAAGCGCCATGTCGTGATCTGAGATTCCGTCTCGGAGGTCCAGCATATGGTAGGCCGGGAAACGAGCGGCCCTCTTTCAGCGGCGCATGCCGTGGAGTAAACATGCCTGAAGGTACTCGCATGGGCTATCGATTAAAATATAAGATGGAATTGCCCTTCAAGAGAAACCCAAAGAAAACATCTGACGTAGTGATTGGATCGCGTTCCGGACGCGACAGGGGGTGAAAAAAGAGCTCCCAAATAGCCGGGAGAATCCAACCAAGCCGGTCGCCCAGTCTATACTGTAACACGGATTGATAGCAAAGCGATGGACATGATCAAGGACAAACACTCAGATGGCAGTAGAGGTGTGTGGAGAGGTGGTTTGACGGGGGAGGGTTGACACTGCTCATCATCAACTTGAGCGGGTTTTTTTGACACTAGCGTCTTGCAAAATCCTTTGGGAACTCGGCTTTGTTGCCCCCTACCCCACTGCTATAAATTAAAATCTCTCGTCAAATCAACGTTTCATCTGATCGGCCCTAGTTGAGATTGTCACGTGTCCACGGATACGTCGTTCATCTGCACATCTTATGCCATCCTTTGCTTGGGCAACCTTGGCACCAGCAGCCACACAATTAAGCAGCACACGAGGGCAGCGAGAATAATGGGTTGTAGCACCGTAACTCCCTTGGCGTTCGCAATGGCCCCAACCGCGAACGGTAGCACGCATGCCCCGCTGGCTCCAAAGGCGGCGGCGAACCCCACGGCGGCGACGTGCAGCTTCTTCGGGAGGAGCTTGGTCAATGCCACAACGGCCGCGGGGAATAAGGGCCCCAGAAAGAAGCCCAGGAAACCAACCATGACCGCGCTCACGAAGAAGTTCGGAATGAGCCAGAACATTAATTGCAATGCCACGCTGCAAACCAGGTAGACGGCCACCGCATGCTTTTCAGTCTCAAACAGTCGAGCCGTGACGAACCCGAGGATCAATCGACCCACGGTAATCCCCAGCCAAAATCCCATCGATGTCAGTCCCGACCCGAATGGGGAACCCTTTCTCACTCGCAGCATGAAGGTGACAATCCATCCTCCAATGCCGACTTCGATCCCCACGTAGATCAACAGGAAAATTGAGGCCAGAATGGTGACCTTGTTCTTGACCGCTTCAGCGGTCTTACTCTTGCCTTTGGCCCTTTTACCAAACGGACTCAGCTTGGACAAGATGCCTCTTTGACCCTCGGCTGGGCGAGTGTGGTCGATATGATCATTGGTGGTGGGAGTGCTGGAGCCGGAAGTGCCCAGGTTGGCCATTTGTGGGTGTTCAGCACTATACGCCCGGGCATCCGCTTTCCAAAAGGTGCCGACGAGAAACGCCACCTCAAGTGCTGCTGCCCCGACCATGAGGTAATAGAATTCATACCATCGCCAACCGGCCTGCGTCACCAAGGTGGTAGCAATGAGAGGGGAAATGGCGGCACCCAGACCGTAGAAGCCGTGGAGAAAGCCAAGGACCTCATTGGCATTGGCCATGTCGCCGATCCAGGCATTCCTGCGACCAGATGTTAGCATGCTCGCAGAAGGAGAGATCTGAAGCGTCTAAACACACCACCCACTATCCCCTAATCCATTTCCGAATCCTGCCAGGATAAATACCACCACCAAAACGGGGTACGGAGGATGAAGACAAATAGCAGCTACACCAATGTGTCAGCCACATGGCGTCGACCTGGTCTCGCCTACCTCACTGTATGCGCCCAAATGTGACATGCTCATTATCCAGGCCACTCCCCTTTGTCCATAAACGGTATGAATGTGATTGTTCAGTAATGCCGACATTGTGTAACCAACGATTGGGCTCAAAAACACCAAAGAAATCACCGTGTAATTGACATTATACCAAGTCTCGAGGTAAGGTATGAGAGCTCCGTATGCAGCATCATTTGCCCCCAGGATGACAAACGAATAGAAGGTGGCCAAGCACCGCCACATGTTGGTCCGAGGAGAGTTCCATTTTTGTAGTTGAGGTATGGAGGTGGATTGAGGCGGTAAGGCACCAGCGGATGTGTCTGAGGAGGTGGGAATATCTTTGTCCGAATGTACTCTTTGATGGGTGGTGGAAGGCATTTCAATTACCACGGTCGAGCCGCCTCCGGAGGGAGAGCTGTTGACTTGCATTACGGCGGGAATTATTGGCGTTTGAACAGAAAGATGTGAGAAAAAGTAAGAGACTAAAAACTCGCAACTAATGGGACGGAACAGCAGGCTCGCTATATTGAGGAAGGAGAAGAGGATGAATGGTCACATTGGCCTTTTCAATAAAGTACAATGGCTAAGGCTGCGGCCCTGCTCCCAATGCAACGGAACCAGTCCTGGTACCCTAGCCGTTTCAATGACTCACGGGAAGTATTCAGTCCATTTCAATTCGATAGATGTAGTAAGAGAAGAGGACGATGTCAGAAAATCCCTTCCTGGACCGAAGATCAACCGGAGTAGTGTGTCCGAAACCCAGAACGGAAACCAGACCGCCGACGGCTTGAAGAAGAAGTTGAACCTGCTCACCTGTCGCTCATGCATCTCGCGGAATTCCTCGCTGGAATCGCATTGTGGAGCACCAGGCCTACAATCCGGGGTCAGGGTATACTGTGTTTTTTCGCGACCCCCCCCCGGGCAACCGCCTCATACACCTTACCACTTTAGAGTTATGATTGCGCTAAGCCTAATATGGGAATTCATTTGCTACGTTACGTGACCAGTTAATACCACATTTAAGCCCCTACAGAATATTTTTCACCACCTAGCATAACCCCCCTCGGCGTCTATAACGTCCTGGCAGCGTTCATCGGGGAGGTGTTACGCGCGGTTGCACCCTCGGGACTGCTTCGAAAGGCGCTCGGGGAGGTGGTAATGTAGGCCTTTCCAGGTCCATTGACAGTAGTAAGGTTACGGAGGATTACCACTGATCGCGTATTTATAGACTTAGGGAACTAAACGCAATGGAGTAATGTGTCATCAAAATTTCCCAATTAGGCTTAGCGCGTTCTCTAGAGCCTTCTAGCAGTTGCAAGGGGGGTTCACGAAAACATGCAGTACAGTAGATCTTTTGACCAGATGACGCAGATATCTATACGGTGGAGTATTAATGGTGTATCGTCAAAAAGGTGACATGGTTTCAACATTGGTAATTATTGAGCTGCTGTACCATTCCGTCATTCACCTGGATTCCAGCAATGCTGGATCAACTGACATGAAAACAATATGATCGCACCGGTAGCTACCGGCTACCTGCAGATATCAAAATGGCAACCATAACGCCCACGCTAAAACACCTCATGCGGTGCAGAGAGGCCGCCGTCCTCTTAATAATCCATCCCGAAGGCACTCATCTTGTCGTTGATATCAAGGACCCTGCGTCCGTGTTAGTCACGGCAATGACGCCCGGACTCCCTCCCAAGACTTACGAGTATTGCTTCGTCAAGGATCCCTCCCCCCCTTTGGCCAAATCAATACTGAAAACGTAGAAATTGCCTTCGTTGGTGACAACCATCACTTGTGGCGAATTCTTACTCATGGCTACCACGCTTCGCAACTGGCTGGGTGCTGTCCCAGAACTTGACCGGGGGAGTCGGATCCAAGCAAAATCTCGTGCTGGTTCCCACATCTCGGCTACCCCTTTTGGGAGATACCCGCCGACCGTTGAGGCGAGGTTGATTCCCACATGCTGAGAAGTTCGTCGAAGCAAGCCCATGAACGTCCCATTGGGTTTGCGATTGGCGAGAGTAGTGGGTGATTCTGCTCCGTCTTCCTCGTCCACGGCGGCTTTGTCGTGCAGAGTGTCACTTCCTTGACTCAGTTCATCACCGTCTTCCGGGATTCGGCTGGTTTGCGGTCCAAGTTTGAAGATGTGGACGGTCTCCGTGGCCGAGGATACACAGAGCAGGGTAGATGTGATGTTGAAGGCCATGGAGTAGATCCGGGACGGCATAGACCCTCTCCTGAACTGGTATAGCTTGTGAGCATCTGGCACCGAGAAGACTCGAATAATGGTGCCTTTGTCGGAGGCAGTGGCAAGAATTGTCCCTTCACTATTGAATGTGACACAAGACAGCGGAGATCGATGTGCTTCCACCACATTCACAGCCTCTAATTTGATGGCGTCAAACAACAACACTTCCCCGGAAGTTGGAGGGACATGAGTGCTGTTTGGAGGCGCGTGTGAAGGCGGAGCAAAAGATGAAGCGGTCGCTTTTTGCGGCAGAGGATAAGCCAGATAACAATTTTCAGACGAGGGCGAGAGGGCGCAGATGGCTGGACATGCTGTCAGTAAACCGATTGTCAAGCTCGGCGTGCTCAACAGGGATCGTCTTGCCTGTAGGATTGGGAGATGTCTCGATGGTGTAAAGCAAATTCATATTTTGGATGTCATAAAGGTATATCTGGTCTTCCAGCACAATCACCAGTCTCTTTCTGTTCAACCGCACTGACAGGACCGTGGTCGGGAATGTGAGTTCGCAAATGATAGAATCTCGCTGTGGGATGTCAACATGGGTCGCGCAAGAAAAATTCGGCGGGCGCACTTTGGTATTTTTGATTTGAAGTCTTCTCGGAGACAATATTAGAGCGACAAGGGAGGAAGAGAAGAGCATTTCGAGTATGGCAATGTTGCCGGCGTCTCGGGATTCGAAGCACTTTTCAAATGGATCGGTGGTGAAGATGCGAAATCCTCTCGAGGTTCCTCCACTCGGTCAGTGACAGGAAACCTTCATCTTCTAGAATTCCAACATACCTACAGCCAGGTGGCTATAGTCCTGGTTGAAGGTGACAAAATTCATAGCCATATTGGAGTGATTTGGACAGCTCGCTGTCAGAGGCTACCGTGGGTAGCCCATGGAGGAGAATCTGTTCCTTAACCAACGGGGATCGAGGCCGGTCCGATACAAGAAGAGATGATGTTCACTCTGGTTTTGGAGTCGAGGTACCAGAGGACGACAGACTGAGCATGAAGGACTGAGGCTCAGTGGCTTGACGTACCATGTGACGTTGCCCAAGGCTTAGGCTAAGGCTCGCCACAAACTGCCCGAGCACAACTGAACTGAGTCCATCACGTCCACTCTTCGTCAACGCTGTTTCTTCGTGATGGCAGATGCGATGGATTTGGACTCAGATTCCCCTCGCGGCGTCAAAAGGACTGCAGAAGAAGCAGGCCTGCCTCCAGAGGCTCCGCGTCGTATCAAGGCACGTCAATGCCCTTCGGCAGGTCAAGTATGTGGCTAATATGGCGTCAAGGCTCTTGATCAGGAAGTGGTCAACAAGATCGCCGCGGGAGAAATCATCGTGGCTCCTATGCATGCCCTCAAAGAGCTTCTAGAGAATTCGGTAGATGCTGGCTCAACGGCTATCGAAGTTCTCGTCAAAGACGGTGGCCTAAAACTGCTACAAATTACGGATAACGGGCATGGCATCGAGGTATGTTCCCATACCAACCTTGTTTCCCTACTTTAACTCGTATTAGAAGGACGACTTGCCCATCTTATGCCAACGCTTCACCACATCTAAGCTTAAAAACTTTGAAGACCTCATGTCCATCGCCACTTATGGGTTTCGGGGAGAAGCTCTTGCTAGCATTAGCCATATCGCCCACCTCAAAGTCACGACTCGGACTGCCAACTCTAGTTGTGCCTGGCAAGCTCATTATGGGGGTGGCAATCTCATTCCGGCGAAGCCAGGCCAAAGTTCAGATCCCAAGCCATGTGCGGGCCGTCCTGGTACTCAGATCACTGTCGAGGATCTGTTTTACAACATACCCAATCGACGACGAGCATTTCGATCTCCCTCAGAGGAATACACCAAAGTTCTCGACGTCATCACACGATACGCCATTCATCGAGAAGGCATCGCGTTTTCCGTCAAGAAACATGGTGAAACGGGTGCCGGATTTTCCGTCGTGGCAGCTGCGACCAAGATTGACAGAATCAGACAAGCATATGGAGCAGGAGTAGCGAAAGAAATCATGGAATTTGAAGTTGAAGATTCTCGTTGGGGGTTCAAAGCTTCAGGGTACGCGACTAATGCAAATTATAGTGTCAAAAGAACCGCTTTGCTTTTATTCATCAATCATCGGTCGGTGGAATCGTCAGCTGTCAAGAAGGCCATTGAACAGACTTACCAACTATTTCTACCAAAGGGTGGACATCCATTTGTCTATCTCAGCCTCGAAATCGATCCTGCCAGAGTCGATGTCAACGTTCATCCCACAAAGAGGGAAGTTCACTTCTTGAACGAAGACGAAATCATTGAACTGGTGTGTTCGAATATTCGCGAGAGTTTAGCCAAAGTCGACACCAGCAGAACATTCAAAACGCAGACTTTACTTCCCGGAGTTACTCCTATGACACCGGTCAATCCCCAGGTCCGAGCCGGTGACAATACGTCTCCGACCGATGACAGTGCCCAAAGAAAACCATCCACCACCAAGAAGCCATACGAAAACAACCTCGTACGAACAGACTCGAAGATGCGCAAGATCACCTCGATGCTACCCCCAGCTCTGACGACGGGAACTTCTCAAGATGCCTCCTCAGCAGCAAACGGAATAAAATACACCACCACCGATCGAGAACAAACACAAATCCGCCTGACATCCGTGAAGAATCTACGGGCCGAGGTTCGCGAAGCTATGCACAATGGCCTAACTGAAGTCTTCGCCTCATTGACCTACGTCGGGATCGTGGATCGTAACCGGAGACTGGCCGCCATTCAGTCTGGAGTCAAACTATACCTGGTGGACTACGGCATGACTTCGAACGAATACTTCTACCAGGTTGGCTTGACGGATTTCGGGAATTTTGGCCTCATTCAACTGCAGCCGGCACCCCACCTCCGCGAACTGCTAAGCATCGCTGCACAACATCAGATTGAAACGGATCCAAAGTGCGCCGACCTGGACAAAGAGCAAGTCGTCCAAAAAATCTACGATCAACTGATGAACCGAAGACAGATGCTTTCCGAATACTTCTCACTCGAGATATCCGACGAAGGCCTTCTCGAAGCTATCCCACTCCTGCTCAAGGGCTATCTTCCGAGCATGGCCAAATTGCCGACGTTTCTCCTACGACTGGGTCCATTTGTGAATTGGACTCAAGAAGAAGAATGTTTCCGGACATTCTTACGAGAACTTGCTTCATTTTATGTTCCCGAGCAACTCCCTCGGCGCGGAGGGAAAAGTACAATCAAGCAGGAGGACGCAGAACCCGAATCGGATGACGAAAGACGCAGCGTGGAACTAGAACAAGAATCCGAAAGCCTTGATGAGATGGTTGAGAAAAGGCGGAAGGAAATAGAACATACACTAGAACACGTCCTTTTCCCGGCGTTTCGGTCACGCATCGTGGCCACCAGAGGTATGTTGAAGGGAGTGATCGAAGTGGCGAATCTGAAAGGTCTGTATCGTGTTTTTGAGCGCTGCTGATGGGCCCAAGCCTATCATAACAGGATGGTCCGCTTGAGTCCTTCAAGTCGGGCAAGTCGAGAAGGAAAATGTATCATGGTCAAAGATTGGCAGACGGGTCGTCTTCATGGCGATGGGATTGCCGACGTCCTGACATCGTTAAAGATCACAAAAGGAATAAGCGCAATTTCATTCTACGTTCGAAGGACGGAAGTCCACCGCCGCATTCGAGAAGGTGATCATAAATGAAAAAACTTCACACCCACTTCCAAAACATATATGAGCCCTAACCACTCTAACCCCTTCATCGACCAAGGGGCAAGAACATCATCGCCTTCTATTCGCGTGAAGGCCCTGCAAACGGTCTCTCCTGCTGCGTACATCCGTACATTAAACTAGGCCTCTCAATCCACATCCATCGCCCACTCCCCAGTTACCGACCCATGCAATTGTTGACTCTAGTATACAAACCCACTTTCGTCTTGTTATGGAGAACAGCTTCAGATGTTGTACACAAACATGGTAGCTTGCTGCTGAAATTTATTAGGACGCCAATCATGCAACCATAACTTTCTTGTAGGATGCTCCATGGGTATCTTTAATGTTGCAAAATGGAAGAAGAAGAAAAAAAAAAAAAAGGACGAAAGCACGTATCGTGTACTGATATCAAAGTCCTGGGCTTGTGGTAGGACTGACTCCGGTCATGTTTCCGGCATTGAGGTATTCCAAGGGAACTTTGGGCACTTTAGGGCTTTGGGTTGCCCCAGTCACTTGATTGTATCCTCCAGGTTGTCCACGTAAGCGGGCAATATCCCTTGCTTTCTCTTTTTCCTTTTGACTCTCACTCTTTCCGCCTGTGAGTCGACGCATACCCCGCCGCATTCCTTGTAAGGTAAACGCGCCTCCAGTCTCTGTTGCAGAAGTTGGAGTTGTTTGATACTCTGAAGGCCCTGGGCCCGATAAGGGTTTGTTGGCACCGGACGTGTTCATACTCAGTGAAGGAAAGGGGCTGTTCTCGCCGTCTGAAAGTATGGCTTCATCGTATTGGTCTGCATAATCATCTTGAGATCTGAGAGACCCACCGGCAGGCATCGGGGCGAAGGCATTCGACGTGGGTTGCGAAACCGGGAATTGATTTGCAGGTGATGTGATGGACCTGGCATGTAATCCCGGTCTAGGGTGATTGATTGGACTGATAGCAGTTTGAAGAACAGGCTTCTTTGCGGTGCTCACCATTGATGGTCCTGGTGCTCCGATCTCGTCGATCGATGAGAAATTTGCTTGTGCCGTGCCGGTGTAATTAGAAGAAGACAGACTTGGCTGAGGACGATGGGTCATACCAGGAAGTGGACCAGTCTCCGTAAAACCATCCTGTACGTCAGTCATAGATGAAGATCGTGCAAGACTCTGGCGTAAGATTGGGGCTGTTTGTTCATCATAGAGCGCTGTACTTTGCTCCGTGAGAGTGGGAATGGTCATAATAGATCCCAGATGGCTCGTACTTATCGGAGTGAGAACATTGTCCCCATCCATATCATCGAAGAAATCGTCCAGACTGTCAAGAGTGTTGACAAGGTCGCTGACATTGGTGTCTGCTGCAGCCTCCATTGATCTAACGGTTTCAGCCCTGCTCTGCGGCGGGAAATACGAGTCGGTGTAACCGTCATCTCCCTGGAACTCGACTTCAGGGGTGGTGGTTTCTTGCTCCTTGCGTGAATCAGAATCTCCACACGTGTAGAAGACAGCATGAACGTTGTGTCTGGTCATGCTGGAATAGATTGCAGGCATCGGAATCGACCAGCCTGACGATTGTGGGATTCCATAAAGACTCTGAGTCCGTTCGTACTCTTTTCGAATCGCTTTTGCAGAACCTGAGGCCATGCTCATGCGCATATGATGCTTTTCCATCGGGGTTGCTGCAAGTTCCATAATATAATCCATGACCTCCAGAGCTTTGGCACAGTGCTCGGTCTGCAAAAGCCGCAGAAGCGGTGAAATGAGATCCGGTCCGTGAGTTGTAATGGCCGGGCTTTTCATATTAACCAGTGGAATCAATTCGCAGAGTATGTCCATAAGCTTGACTCTGAACCAAGGCGTCTTATTCGTCAGCAGACCGATCACGAAGATCAGGCTTTGAGCGTCATTGGCTGGGAAATAAGAAGCCCTCAGGGCCTGAATGACCGTGGTTAGCATCTCTCGACTTGTTGCCCATTCCTTGTTCGCGAATCGCAACAGGCAAGCGGATAAAAGCTCATGCCCTTCCGCATTCGCCACCTGTGCAAGTCTCTCAGCGCATGTGATTGATGCAGCGTCCACAGAATCAAGCTCAAAGCTTTGAAGAAATCGAGGTAGGTTGGCCAGGACACAGTAAAGAAGGCGATCATCATTTCCAACCAATTCGCAGTTTGGGATGTTGGAAAGCTTGTGTAGAACCAGGAGAGTCTTGTCCAAACTGTCAGCGGACTTGAGCCCTTTGTACAGTAATGGCTGGAGTCCTTCAAAGCCGCCTTCCCATTTGCCCGGTTGACCCTTCAACATGGCTTCTGTGACTTCCGGAGCAGACAGATCAAGTTTCTCGACGAACTTCTCGAGCATCCCCAGTGTCTCATAAAACTCTCTCTCGTGGATGGTATTGAGACAGGCGCAGGTGGTCCAGAACAGCTGAGGATATCGCATTAGATTTTTGGGTTCCAAAGCACCAATAATGACTTTGAGCGTGGTCAAAATTTCCATCGAAAAGGTCTGATAGTCTGTTTGTTCATCAGCGATTGTGTTGGATAGGCGGGCAAGCATGTCGGCAAGCATTCTGGCATCCAGACTAACCGAGATGCAGCGGAATACTTGGAAGGACCGGCATGCTAAATGCCGGACTGGACAAATAGATGCCCAGTGGAGAGCCTCTTTTGCCCAGGTGTCGCTGAAGTTCTCGAAGGCGAGATTGAAAATGCTAACAATCTCTGAAGTCAGGACAGACATTGCTGGTGGAACGCGGCTCCCACCATCATCTTCATCTTTTCTCGTGTTTTCATCATAAGACCAGCTTACGCGGGAGTTGTTCGTGCGCACGGCTTCGACCAGGCTTTCTATTTGTGATTTGGCGGACGTGAGGATTTGAGGTTCAATCTTAGTGGTCACCAATTCGTGAATTAGATGGACCAACATTTCCCGTGCTTGTTCTTGGACCGAAGTGGTATAGTGATCCCACAGTATGAGTACTGCATGCATGAGCTTGATGGCTTCATCTTTGGCGAGGGTCACTGGCGGAACCATCAAATCGACCAAGAAAATCAAGGATACCTGACCCAATGAAAGTCCAGCCTCAGGTGCTATTAGCTTGGGATATTCACGAAGAGACAGGGACCGAAGAAGCTTACCTGTTTGTTGCCCATAGGTAACAAAGAACCCAAGTCTGCAACGTATGGGAGATTTCTTGTATCAGGGATCATAACATCAGCATGCTTTTTATCGTTGACCATGTTCTTCGGCGTGAGTTGTAGCATGAAGAATTCCAGCACCCGAGAACCGGCAGGAGTGGATGATAGGTATACAACAATTTGCTTTGCGTACTCCACGAAATTCTGATCCCTTCGGTCAAGCGAGAGGTAAATAATAAAGTCGAGAATGAGCTGGACATTGCCTGCATGCGGTCCCGTGGCCAGAGCTTGCCAAAGGGCTTGTACCTCATTATGCATTGCACTGCTTGAGCAGATGGTGATTTCGAACATGTTTGCCAGAAGCATATACGAAATCGCCGTTGGCCCTCCCGTGCCAGGATCAACTTGGAGTTCGAGCGTTTGCAACCATGGCAAGATGGCCGCGACCATGTTGCGCTGGTGATCGTTCCGGGCAGATTTGTAGTGTAGAGAAAACTCCGAGAAGATCATAAAAGCAACTTCTGAATTCGCCTTGGACAGTCGCTTGGAGTACTCGAATTGTGCCAATTTGTACACAGCACGTGTCTTGTCGGAAATACTGATGTCGAATTCCTGGAGGTTCGAACTCTTATGCTGTCGCTCATCCAAAGTGCGTATGAGATTGGCCGATTTCATTCTGATTTCACGATTTTCGTTGCCCAATGTGAAAACAATAATGCTGAGAATTTTCCAAAATGGAAGTGGATAGTCGGGCTGCTCGATGAGAACGTCGCATACCACGCCAAAATAACTTTCCAAACTTGTCGCAGACTCGGTCCTATAGCATTGCTCTATTACATGCTCGATCAGGAGAAGGTGATCCGGGTTATTGATCAGTAACTGTTTGAGGGCTCGGCGGCCAATGTTGTGCATTTTGTGGTTATTGGTGGCGAAAATCGTATCAATCCATGAGAGCATCCGTTGCACATTGAACGACAAGATGGAATTGCTGTCAGTCTTGATGCTGATCGGTCCGGCGCAGAGAGTTGCCATGGCACTCAAGGCCGCGACCCGCAAATTGTTCTTCTCCTTTTCCATGGTAGCGTTGGCATTTATGCGTGTTTGTACATCTCTGCCACGGCCCTGGTTCGGGTCGAACAGGTTCTGCTCAGCTGAGTAGCCGCACCAATCTTCCATTAAAGCAAAGGCGGATTTCCTTGACTCGAAAGGCATCCAACGACCTGGAGCCTTGGAGCGGTTGACGCCTTCGAAGACTTCCTCCACCAACCCGCAAAAGTGACATCTCAGTTTTTGAAATCGCCAGTCATTCTGCACATCAGTGTCACTGAGGAATATCCTCAAGTCTCTGGTGTAAGTGACCAGATTATGTAAGATCCACTCGTCGTTGTAGATATCCTCATATCTGAGGAAATGTGCCGTGAGCTTGTAAACATGGGTGACTTCTGTGCGAAGTCGTTCCGTCTGCTGAGATCGCTGTGGACTGCTCGGAGTCCGTTGATGATTGATCCTGGCCTTTGCCTCATCATTACATTTAATGACCGCGTACTGGAGAGATTCAAGTAATATGCGGTACAGTTTGCGGTTGATAGAACCGAGAGCCGCAACCACGGCATCACGAATGGCATGAGGTGCAGCTCCGAGCATCGGAATGATCGCCGAGAATAGTGCACGGGCAGAGCCTAGCTTGTCTTGTGCGGGAGTGGCACCCTTGGAAGTCTTTCGTGCATGGGCGGCATCAGCCAACTGACTCTGAGACTGTCCGCCCGGGGAACTGAGTGTGACACAGGCCATAATGAGGTATAGTTTCCACTGATCGAATAGGACTTCTGCAGAAGTCGCAGAACTGCGTCCTTGGATACGGTACTCGTACGTGGACGGGTTGCCCATGACAGTTTCTGAGAAGCCCTCTATGTCGCTTTGCATCATCATTAATCTGTCGGTGACTGTTCCTCGACAGAGAGCAATCGCGTTTGGGCATGCATCGAACACGACACGAATCAGATTGGGGAATGCTTTGAACCAAAGCGTCGAGTCGTATGATACCTCAGAGCTGCAGATTTCGATCAATGTGCTTTGGCCAGAGCTGACGCGCTTATCCTTTTGCAAGCGGCTCCGCTCGGCAACGTTGAGAGCATCATCCTGCAAATCCAAGATCTTGGATGACTGACCCTCCAGCAGCTTGATGATTCTCGATGGTTCATCCTGACCTAACACCTTGTCGAACTGAAGGACAAGACGAAGGACCCTGATGGCAAATGCCCGGACCCGTCGGGACTGTGAACACAAGAAAAACAATCCATAAGCTTCAATCTCATCCACGTGGGGGATGACATTGGTAAGCTCCATTTGCAGCGCTCTAGCAGAATTCGGGCCTGCACGATCCCTGATTTCGGGCGAATTGGCCGTGGCCTTTTGCTTGAGTTGTTCCGTCCATATTTGAAGCAGTTCAAGATACAGAGTCAAGGTGGATTCAATGTGAGCAGGTCCAAGACGGCCTTCGTCTGACATCGTAGAGTATTGTGTGTCATAATGAAAGATAAACCGTGGGAAGGCAATTGCCACTGATTGTGCGTGGCCTTGTCTGGCGATGGCTTTCAATGACCGAGTCGCGGAGACCGCAATATTGGTTTGTACATGGGCAGACCCAGTGCATAAAAGGTTGATCAAGGGATTCAACGGAATGTGGTCAGTGAAGCAACGAGGAAGAGCTTGGATGGCGACGTGGAGGAGTTCATAATACAGCTGTCTCTGGTCGGTGGCGGTGCCGTCCTGATTGCGAGCCAGGGTGAAGGCATCAACCAGTGGAGTTTTCGGCGTCAAGTTCGAAGAGCCAAACTTTTCATTCAGAGTGGCTTGGCCACCGAATGTATTGTCGCAAAGGAGAGTGATCTTCCCTAGGATCTGGCAAAATTGCAGGTAGTACTGCCTCGCATTCTCCTCTAGTTGAGCGGCGTTGACGGGCAGTGACGAGGGGTTTTCCTCTTCAAAAGTCGATCGGATTGGGGAGTCAATACCCAGACTGGTTCTCATACTCATAGGTGAAGATGGGAGACCCTCAAAGCTCGGAGGTTGAACGCTGAAAGTAGGGAAAGGGGGACTTTTCATACTTCCATCCTCTAGGTCTGACATAATGGCAAGGAAGGCTCGAATACCGATGACCATCCGTTCTGGTTCCATGTTTTCAATCTTGAGACTTCGATTGGATTGGAAAAGGTCATAGTGTACCAAAGGAAAGATGATTGACCGAAAACACATATCCTGGGCGGCGAACCCAATGATTCTGACCAACTGTACCAGGGGATTTGATACAGATGGCTCCGAGACCACATGGGTCTTTCGTCCTTGTGGGATGGCGATTTTGGCGATTTCGTCCAATTTTCGAAGCTTGACTTGAGCCGATTCACTGACTCGACTAAGATATGTCCAAACCAATTGACATATAGCTTGCAAGACTAAGCCACGTGCCGACCGGTCTTTCAGTTTCGGTGCCAGATTCGAGACCATTGGAAGCCACTGCGCGGAGAAAACATCCAGGGGAGAAACGCAGAGCAACAAAATTGTCACAGGAAAGACGGTGTTCCAATGACGGACTTTGACCAACATGTTTCCTAGCCGCGAGTTTATGGTGTCGATAAAATCCCTCCATTTTGGAACACCCTGAAAGCACTCTGGGTTGCTTGCAACTGCCGTCAACAGGCGCTCAAAGAGCTGACAGTACGCCTGCTTCACCCGAGGCCCGTGTGCGTCGGCAAATAGATTCGCAAGGGTTTTTAGAAATTCGGCAACTGGGTAAACAGTCTCTCTTGTAGCGGTAAGGTGCAGGTGCCTCATGCCCAGGAGAAGCAACTCGAGTCGAGATTCGATATCTCTAGCAGCGGCCGTGCCTGAGCTGTTTGCAAACTCTTGCTGCCACAGGTCGAGCTGTTGTGTAAAACGAAACGTCACGTTGACAAAATCAAGGCGACTCATGTGGCCCAGTACCTCGCCATATATTCTCCAGTTCGCAAGCCGAATTCTCGACGTCAAAATTTGGCCGGGCTCAACGTCTCTCATCTGGGTAAACACGATGTCTTCAAGCTTATTGGCCAAATCCTGAGTTATGGCAGCCAAATTGCTCTGCTCAAAAATAGCAATCAAGACCCGACATAGGATGTAGACAGATATGGTTGCTCGTCGGTCCGCGAGAGCGTACTCCCGCGTGAGAGTGTCTTCTATGGACGGGTTGTCCGAGTTGATTTGAGGCACACCCGGTTCGTCTGGGCCTTGCAGAGGCTCGGTATGCCGACGAGGCAGTGAAATCGGGAGAGACGACGTTGTCCCACCCATTTGAAGTCTCTGCTGATAGACCTGTTTCTTTAAGTTGGCAGCAGCATCGCCCTTGCTTTTCCGCCAGAGCATCAAACTATCCACAAGCGGCTTGGGCTCTTGACGAGATATGTGACCGAGCGAAGATATCAGCTGATCAAATCCTGCATCGACCCCTGGAGCACAAGCCTGCTCGACCGGCGCGACAGAATTGTCCAGAAGCGTGAGGCAGTGATTGATCCTCTGATCAGCTCGCAACACAAAGGCATGGAAAAGATGGTGCAGCGCATATTCGCCGGGAGTACGTGGTTCATTTTGTTGGTGGATACTGGACGAGTGATAGGCATGGCCTCTTCTCGTTCTCGAGGGCTCTCTCCGCCTCCTGGGCTGTGAAGAACCTTGATCTTGCAGTGAACCAGGACCGTCTATGAGAGAATTGATGGAATGGTCTGGTGCGTGACCCTGGAATGGCGAGACGGGACTGGTGAAAGCAGAAGCAGTATCTGCGGTAGAATATTGGCCACGCCGGGTTGCATGAGGATGTCTTGCATATGCAGGAGCACCGAGCATAGGATCTGGGGTCAGAGGGCTCCCCGTGGAGGGAGAATTGAAGCTGGGGCTCCTTGAATGCTGTAGTCCATGTATGACAGATGTCTGGCGGTGATGGCCATAACCGTTTGAGGTCCGTCTTTGAAGGCCGGTGTCAACGGTGGGACCACCTCTTGAGCTCAAACCCGATTCTGTTCCGTGCGGCTGTACGGAACCTGCGTGAGATGAGGGCACAAAGTTGGAGCCATATGTCTGTGTATTGAGCTGTTGAGGTCTTCCTCTTGTCACCGAAGTCTCCCGGGAATGAATTGGGGCAGCAAGTTGCGGTCGCACATTGGTCACAGGTGGGGAGATCTGTTCGGGTCCGGGGCCATCGAGAGGCGAGTTCGAAGGCTCGCTAGAGACGGGTTGAGCATCTAGAAGCATTGAATTTCTCAGTCAGTGATTGTCCGCAGCATTGTTGGCTCTCGCGGAAGGGTTCCGAACTCACGGTTATGGAGCATTGTGTGCCGTCGATGGCCACTGTGATAGGAGATGCAGGGACTGCGTCATTGCTCCGTAACAGTGCGCAAAGGTAGAGGCCAACGTTGGTGATGGGAGAAGAAGAGATGTTGTCCCTAGATTGTCAAAGGGAGGCGGTCTCTAGTCGCCGTCGCGTCGAGAAGCAAAAAGGAACTAGAGAATCGAGATGGTCAAAGGACAATGGAACCGGATTTCAGCATGCCACCAATCACACAATGAGAAACACAAACCTGGAGGTGGTTTACTCAAGCAAAGATCTACATCGGACAGACTACTTGGTGCGAAACGACAGAAACATAGCGAAGAGATTGATGGCGACTGATTGTGAATGTCGCCGTGTGTATGTGGGCGAGTGGCCTACAAGTTTGTCTGGTTGTGTGCTACACTGTGCGATTCGTTGTTGCGCGAGCGGCTTTGTCGAATCAGATGATGGGTAAGAGACTGCCAGCATCCCCGTTCACGGGTGATATACGGAGTAATGAATGATCTGTCACAGGCTCTTGCTGACTCTGGCGACAACTTGGCGCCAACAGGAGGAAACAAAGATCGGGGCAAGCCTCGTTGACAACTGTCAATCGTCTTTATGTGCACCGATCTCGGATGTGCCGTGTTATTTTGGTCAGGAGACCACCCCACCATCAGGCCGATAGGAGCCCGCATTGACGGTGTTTGTTCTCGTACAGTAAGTTAAATGCCCTCTGAACGAAAGGTTTCGCGATCAGCCGCAGGGGCTGTGTGAGGAGCGAGACGCTGACTGTGTTATGACATTATCAAAGCAGTTGTAAGTTTGCCCAAGCGTCAAGAGGGACCTTGAGCCAGCGAATGGCGAGAACAGATAGATAACAAGATACGCTAGAGTTTTTAAGACGAAGATAGTCAAAACAGATATTCGAACGGCTTGCATGGGCTCGAAGGGTTCTTTGTTCAATCTGCTAAGTAGTCACGATTGCCGGGTACCTCCCACACTCTGGAAACTTCTGTTCCGAGGGCCCCAGTGCCAGTCTTTCGCCCCTCACACTGCAAACGTGGGTGAATTGCCGACCGACAATCAACCCTCCATCTTTGGGCGCTGGAACTCTGACCTTTTAAGACCTGCGCCTCACTCATTGACACAGAAGTATCTTTTGTATTCTTCTCCTCAGTAGGCGCATCCACCCCCCAACGGTCCCGAGCGATTGGCTTCAACCACAACGAAGCACAATTTCAGCTTTCAATTTTTTTTAGTTTCCTTTGAATCGGCTCGAACCCACCGTAAGCTTGGCCACATCAGGCCACATAAGTGCGCGGTCCCGAATATCCCACCTCCACGCTGTTCAGTTGCTCACTACAAAGACATTGTCCCTGAAATTTTTCAAGGGGGCTTGTCTCCTATCCTTCAACGAAGCCGGAGGGCACTTTGAATCTGCTATTTAGTCTTCGATCCTCCTTATTTCTCTCCTTTGAGTCGGTGCAGTCCTCCACCATGGCTCAAGTCGATACTTTGGACGTTATTGTCCTCGTCCTGCTCCTGCTGGGCAGCATTGCCTACTTTACCAAAGGCACTTATTGGGGTGTTCCCAAAGATCCCTATGCCACCTCTGCCCTCAATGGCAGTGCCACCAAGAAAGGCTCACGAAATATCATAGAGAAGATGGAGGAAACAGGCAAGAACTGTGTCATTTTTTACGGCTCTCAAACCGGCACTGCCGAAGATTACGCCTCCCGTCTTGCCAAAGAAGGGCATGCTCGATTCGGACTGAAAACCATGACTGCAGACCTGGAAGATTACGACTATGAAAACCTCGACACTTTTCCTGAAGATAAAGTTGCTTTCTTCGTCATGGCCACCTACGGCGAGGGTGAACCCACCGATAACGCAGTCGAGTTCTGGGAATTCATCAACGGCGATCCTCCTTCCTTCTCCGAATCGTCTGATGAGAAGCCGTTGGGCAATCTGAAATACGTTGCGTTTGGGTTGGGTAACAATACGTACGAACACTACAATTCGATGGTGCGCAATCTGGACAAGACCTTGACCAAACTTGGTGCCCAGAGGATTGGTGAGGCCGGTGAAGGAGACGACGGAGCTGGCACTATGGAAGAAGACTTTTTGGCCTGGAAAGAACCCATGTGGGCTGCCCTGGCCAAAAAGATGGGTCTCGAAGAACGCGAGGCCGTCTACGAACCCGTTTTCAGCGTGGACGAACGAGAAGATCTATCGCCGGAAAGTGACGTTGTCTATTTGGGCGAACCCAACAAGAGTCACTTGGAGAACGCCCAAAAGGGACCCTACAATGCGCACAATCCCTTCATTGCTGCCATTGCCGAGTCCAGAGAGTTGTTCACTGTTAAGGACCGAAACTGCCTGCACATTGACGTGGACATCTCTGGTTCTGGCATCTCTTACACCACCGGTGATCACATCGCCGTGTGGCCTACCAATGCCGGTATGGAAGTGGATCGATTCATGAAGACTTTTGGATTGGAAGACAAGCGACACACGGTCATCAGCATGAAAGGACTCGATCCTACCGCCAAAGTGCCATTCCCCACCCCCACCACCTACGATGCCGCCGTCCGTTATCACATGGAGATCTGCGCCCCCGTCTCTCGTCAATTCATGGCCACCTTGGCCGCGTTCGCTCCGAATGAGGAAGCAAAGAAAGAGATGACCAAATTGGGTTCCGATGCGGACTATTTCAAAGAGAAGGTGTCTTCACAAATGATGAACATTGCCCAAGCTGTCGGTGCGGTGAGCTCCGAACCGTGGTCCGCAGTTCCCTTTTCTTGCCTCGTCGAAGGCCTCAACAAGCTCCAGCCTCGTTACTACTCGATTTCGTCTTCGTCTCTCGTCCAACCGCAAAAGATCTCCATTACGGCCGTGGTGGAATCGATTCGCATTCCCGGCGCAGGCCATGTGGTCAAAGGTGTCACTACCAACTACTTGCTGGCCTTGAAGCAAAAGCAAAATGGGGACCCAGACCCATCGCCTCATGGTCTTAGTTACGCCATCAGCGGCCCTCGCAACAAGTACGATGGAATTCATGTTCCCGTGCATGTCCGTCATTCCAACTTTAAGCTGCCATCAAACCCGAGCAAACCAATCATTATGGTCGGTCCTGGAACTGGGGTTGCTCCATTCCGAGGTTTTGTCCAAGAACGTGCTGAACTGGTGAAAAAGGGTGAAGATGTTGGCCATACAGTTCTCTTCTACGGCTGCCGTAAGTCCACCGAGGACTGGCTTTACAAAGAAGAATGGGAGGTAAGCACTCTATATCTTTTCGGCATTGGAGTTGATGATTAACGAAACAATTGGCAGGAATATAAGATGGTCCTGGGTGACAAGCTGACCATTTTCAATGCCTTTTCCCGAGAAACATCAAAGAAGGTGTATGTGCAACATCTGATTAAAGAAAATGCCAAACTTGTCAATGATCTCCTGCAACAAAAGGCCAACTTCTACGTGTGCGGTGATGCTGCCCATATGGCCCGCGAAGTCAACGACGTTCTGGGACAGATCATTGCCGCAGAACGAGGTGTGGACGAGAAGAAGGCAGAACAAGTGGTCAAGAGCATGCGCAGCAGCGGTGTCTATCAAGAAGATGTTTGGTCGTAAAGGTGAATGATTGATTCATCACATGCGCATGTTGAGGCATGCATCGGATGTGTCGGGATTCCAGCAAAAGAGCGAGGCGAGGGTGAGGGTGAGGGCGCATTCTGCCACCCGGTTGCTATCCGAAGCGAATCACGTTTGAGCTTGAGCCAAATCAAGACCGCGCACTCCGCTCGAAGAGGATGCAGGCGGATGAAAACCCAAAAACCTTGTTGACTCTGGCGCGGGAACTCTGGGGAATTTGTCGGGGCATTTCTGGAGCTGGACGCTGAGGAAGTCCGAACAACGGGGAAGTCTGCTGGAAAAGAAAAGGGAAGCGTGACCCGTAGGGGGAGGAATCGGGAGAACATTCCCATTCTCGCTCACGCACACACCAAAAAAACCTCTTCCGACTGGGGGTGGCGGGCATGACATGTGGGGTCGACGACAATTCCCTCACCTGAACATTCGGGTATTTACGGTCGACATGCCACAGCGAAACTTGGTTGATGTTGTTCTCCGGTAATTTTCAATTTCCCTTCTTGGTCGGAAGCGGACACTTTTTCTCCCTCCCCCTTTTTTTCCCATAATGGATTGGATATATCATCTGGGCTGGTTTGGATTTGGGTCTGGGATGTCTTTGAGCCTATTTTCCAAGCCAGGAAATAGAATGTCGAAAACGTTTTACACCTAATCGCACAAGGGGCAGGAAGGGTAGAAATGAACATAAGTATTTGATATCTTAAGCTCTTCGGGCTCGATTCATTGCTTTCTTTCTGTGCGCTTATTGTTTCGACTGACCCTGACTAGGACGGATTTTTTTATAATGTTGTTCTGGTATCTCATCAATGGCGTTCGAAAGTCTCCATATCCGCGCCGGCTTCTGAGGGCATGAGTATTCTCACTATGGGTGCCACAAAAGGCAAAAGGGTAAACGGATTCATTCCAATTCTGACAAGCACAAGCTTCACGTCATTTCATTAGGTGCATAACGACGATATCGATACCGGTATTCAAAACTTTTTAGCTTCGACTGCCAGTGTCATCTCATGACGACCAGTGAGTGACTCACTTCGAGTCCATTCTGGAATCGGCAAGAAAAGCAACAACAGACAAGCAAAGTCTTCACTGCTGGGAATAACCCTGGGAGATGCGTCCTATCCAAGGCGTCTGCATCTCTGTCTCTCGCGCTAACCAGGGATGTACCAACTACCAGATGCTTTCTCTGTCTACCTGGTCACATATATCTTTAGTTGTTCCCCAGATTGAATCTTATGAAGTTGTGTCTTTTCTCCGCTCCAACGCCGCCGTGGCCCGCATACATGCGTCTTCCAGCGCAAAGATATCGGCGCGACTCTCAGCCAAGACTGCGTCGCCGTCGTCCCCAACGTCTCGATCCTTGGGCGAAGATGACGTGGTGTGCTGAAGTATTGAGAGAAGAAATTTTGATGATGAAGTCAGGGAGTTGATGTGTGAGGATATGCGAGTGGTGAGACCTATGGACGAGGAAGAAGAGCCATGAGGTAGGTGGGGAAGAACAACGCAGAGCAGGTTCAGGGTGGAGATGAAATAAGGGATATCGAGGAGGAAGGAGGACATGGTGTCGGGCTCGTCGAGACCCGGATCAGAATGCGAGGCTGGAATCGATGCTGATGGTGTCGTGGCTGTCCCCGGCAGCAACGTGGGCAGATCTTTTGGAAAGAGCAGATCCAGTAGCGAAGACGTATCGATACCGTTATCCTCGCGCTGAACTTCTGAGTGGACCGTCGGCGTGAGAATGGATGGATTGAGGCCTTGGGATTCGCCCGGCGCCCTCGCTTCTTTATCTGGGGCATTTGCACGAATCCAGGCCGCACACTCATCCTTCAACCAATCCACGCCCACCGCTTTCAACGCCCCCAGTTGCTGCGGCGGCGCAAGCGGGATTGGATGGGGCTGCAGTGCAGATGTACTTCGTGCGAGGCCCGTTTCTTCGTCAATTCCCGGCTCCGGGTCCGGTTCATCTTCAATCTCAGCCCAGTTGGTGCTCAGTGTGCTGCCATCGAGCGTCTGTGAGATCACACGCAGTCGAACCTCGGTATCCGGATATGCATGTAACAATTTGGTGGAAATATGGTGCGCGGAGTCGCGGAGGTGAGTCCAAGGAGTGATGGTGAATAGCTGAGTAAGAGTGCTTAAAAGGAGAAGGAATTTCGCCGGCGAGGGTTGACTTTCTGTTGGTTGATTCGAGAGTGTATGGCGGTACAGAAGGCTGAGCAATGAGTCTTGTAGAGCTGGGGAGGGGATAGAAGGTGTTGCCGAGAGGGGAAATGAATGCGCGATCAGTTTGGTGAGTTCGGTAGTGGAGAGCCGTGGCGAGTAGTCGGTCCTTTGAAGATAGGCTTCGTAGGCATGAAGGAAGATGACTCCTGCTCGAGGGAACGGAATTTGAGAAGGCGATGTTGGGTACTCTGACGCTTCTTCCTCTTCTTCTTCTGGCTCTTCGGGCTCATCTTCGTCGTGGAGAAGTTTCTTGATCTCCATTCCCGCATCGAGATGCAGCGCCTCGCTCAACTTATGAAATCTCGCCAGGAGAGCGGTCCGTTCCTTCAATTCTCCTGTTTCTTCCCACAATTGAGTTTCAGCTGGCCTCCCAGGCCATATTCTCTGAGGCTGGAGCTGCTCTCGTAGACGAGATGTCCAAGACATGCACGGGTGTTCTCGCGATGAGAGAGATGACAAGTATTCGTCCAACACTTCCAGGATGACTGCGGCAAGAAGTCGAAAGATGATCGCTTTTTCTTCTTCCGAGGGTTCCTTGACACCTGTTTCCTGCTCTTCCGCTTTCGCCTCGGGGTCCGGTAAGAGAGCGGTCGAAGTAGCTCCATTTTGAGCTGGACCAGATGAGGATGTCACAGTCTGGCCACTGCTTATTCGGGGAGGAAGAGGAGGACGTTGCTTTCCTGCTAGCCTTTCCAACATGGTCAGAAAGGAAGACGTAGTTGCCGCCGAGATGGAAACTTGTCGGTATGCACCTAATGCCGCGGGTAAAGAAGTCGCGAGAAATCGGCTGGGAAATTGTGTCTTGATCCTTGGATGAAGAAGGCCAAGCATATCCAACAATGCCCGTAGTTTCAACGACCTGAGTGGAGGTGACCGTTTGCTTGAACCCAGATCATCATCTTTCTGAACAGGAGAGCTCCCAGAGGGTTGGGTGACTTCCGGCATACCTTCGAGAGTCATATTTCCTAGGTGAACACGCGGCGCTTCGCCGGCAAAGGTTGGGAGTGCATCCTCCCCATCTCCTTGGCTGAAGTCGTCATCGTCATCTTCGACTTCGTCACCTAACTTCTCCAGCTCTTCGGCTACACGGACGACCACCTCTCGCGGATTTCCTCTTCGTGCAACAATTTCCAAACATTGATTGGCCTCATCGGGGCAATCGCTCATCATCGGGAGAAGGAGCTTCAGGAGATCCCATCCAATTTCTTCGGCCAGTTTACCCTCGTCTTCACTAAGTAGTCTGTTCAGAGTAGGGAGATTTTGAGGGGTCAGTTGGTACTCCAGCAAGGTCAAGTATGTCATGTAGTCTGTAGCTGGCGGCAATGCTGAGACGAGAGGATCGTCCGGTGAAATGGTGGTCGAACTCATGGTGTTTACAGATCTTGGCTGTCTGGCTATTCCGAAGTGCCAGAAATGAAGAATTGAACGGGGATGGATGAGCAAGATTGATATGGTGTACAAATACCCGGTCGCATACGACACGGGATGATCTCTGGAGATGCGACTAGATGGTTGTCGCTGGACTGAAGAAGTAGCAGTAGTGGGCTTTACAATGCAAACAGTAGTCATAGACGCACGAAAGATTGTTGTTGAGGCAGAAATCTGTCCCGCGGCTGGATCTTGACCTCGTTGAAAGATGGTGCTGCTATTGGGAGGAGGCCGACTGTTGAAGAGCGGCAGGCTTGGCTCCTTCTCAAAATTCACCTTTGACTGCTTCTTCCTGTCCTTTCAAATGGAGAAAATGTATCTAAATGCAGTAGAAATCTGGTCATGTCTCCCTTGTGAATGTGACCCTCTGTTCAGCTTCGGTCTTATTACAAGGCCATTTCCCTGCTGGCCAATCTATTAGGGCGCGAGAACTCCGGCAAGAGGAAGACTTTGATCCTGGGTAGGAAAAGAAGCTGTTTCCGCAGAAGCAAGCAAGAAGCTGGAGTTTCAAGATCATCAAGTCCCAATGTTCGCACATAATCAATCAATGCATAGGCAGGCCGAACCTCTACCACTTGACTGAATGGTGTCGGGCGAATTCAAGCCTGTAGATCAGCTGTGCTTGTTGACAGTAGTTTGGCCGAATAAAGAGGAGGATCATCACGATATTAATCATTGACCACGTTGTCCTGCTTGGGGGGAAGGGATTTCAAATCTCCTGTAGAAATTGGTCATCTTACAACCTGCAAAGTCTAGTGACCCTAATCTTCCCTTGCTCCGTTTTCCCCAGCCCTGTGGTCACACCTGCGTCATGTTTTCTTTTTCCCCGTCTTTGGTGATGGACTGACGAGGTGGCGTCTTTAGTCTCCAGAATCCACTGAACGCCTTGCCATCGACAACGTCAAAATCCTTCGACGTATCCGATCCGGCGAGGTTAAACGGCCGCAGGTCAACATGGCAAATCCGCTAGAAGGCCACCTCAAAGAATACAGAAACAGATGAACGAGGGTGGACCTCCAATATCCTAAAACCGGGTTATACAAAATCTCATTGCGCCTCGAGAGTGATTACGGTGACACTGTCTCAAAGAAGGACCGGCCTTACCCTAATCAGCTCAACATGGGTTCCACGCGGTTTTTCACCAAGGGGGAGTTTGGAGGCTTGAGAGGCGTAAAACTAGAATAAAATAGTGTCGCCACACCCTGAACCGCCAGCTCCCGTTGTCGACAAGGTTAGCGCCACTGCCACATTTCCCCCTAGATTCGGGGAACTCGAAAGTTGGGACTGGGCTTCTGTGGCTCAGGCGCAGCGCACTCACTGCGAAGATCCCCGAACGATGCCGGCCAGGGACCGGGGCACCACACAAAGTTTTCCAACGTTGGAATTTGCTTCTAAAATTCAATGGTGCCTTCATGACTTGCATGAGCTCCGAAATTGATGGGGGTTGAAATCTCGGAATGGGCCATGTCTGGTTCAATCGCTGAATCAAGAACACTCCTGTGCGAAAGGGAAACGAGAAATCAAAACAAAATAATTTTCCTCCCGCCTTTGGCCGGCTATCTCCCACGCTACCTAGCGTACGAGCCCATGAGCATTTTCCTTTTTGTCTTCGCGGAGAATAAAATCAAGATGGATGCAGCTCGGATCGATCCTTTTTTGATTTCTCGCCTGTTTGTGTCAAACCACAGCCTGGGCGCTGCCTATACCAGCCCACCAACCGGCCGTCTTGGGAAGCTCCCGATGATCTGTCCCCCCAGGAGTCAATAGTGCCCGACGGCGCCCTTTCTCCGCGCCGTCCACTATCGAACACAAATGAGATCACAGTCAACCGAAAGAGACATGGATCATATCCCAAATGCCAAATTGGGGCTTGCCCACGTCGCATGGCTTACGTCTTTCAAGATTACTTGTCAGATGGCTCTTCCGCCTTCAGCGAGACCATTCCCGCACGATGAATCACAAAGGAGCCAAGTATCATTCTCCGACCTCGTCCCATAAAGTTCAATCCAGGTGGTGGCATGAACTCTTGGGCTCATTCCGGCAAAACGCTGACGGCCATTCGCCTGACAGATGTCGAGTAAAATTTATTTATGGAACAAACAATGAAAAGAAAGCAGCCCATTCACAGACCACCCTCCAGGTATCCTGGGAAAAAAAGAGCTCCCCGGCAGCCTCCCCAGCCGGAGGATTGCTAAACCAGCATCAAGCGAGAAACCAGTGTAGAAATATTGACCAACAGGAGCACACACCGGTCTTCGGATAACTCGATAAGGTCCGAGGCCCTGGTCTAGCTGAGGAACATCTAGGGACACGGCATGCTACCAGTAATTTCTGGCACCCGGTCGCAAGGCTAGCTAAACCAAACGTAACGAATGGCGAGGCCAGTACAGTATATGTTTACAAGACATCACCAGCGGTGCTGATCCAGGGGACCCCCCAGGGTTTGTGCCACAAGGGTTTCGCTCACCAGGGCGTCTTCTCAGCAGCTATTCTCCTTTCGGACTGAGAGAAGGGGAAGGGAAATTCTCCTTATCGATTGCGCCTCTCCAAATTCCATGCTTTAATCCGGCTCGCGCTGGTCACGGGAAGTCAACGACATCGACCTTGCCAGACGCCATGTCTCCGTTCAATACATCCTGCCCCGACTGCCCGACGCCTGACACCACGACCAATGTCATTGCCACTGGTTCAGAAGCTGTAGGATTTTGTGGGACTAGGAGCCCACCGCGGAGGTTCCCAGTTCGCCATCAGTCAGACAAGGAATTGACTATTTCTGGTGAATGCAGCCCGCCGGTTAACTCACGAGATTGAAAGAACGACCTTCACATCTCCGAACTCATGCGAGTAGTCACTTCTTGGATCGTGTAAATAGCAAGAAAGTACGGATAGAAACATTCAAGCCTTCCGGTCGGTGGCCCTGTCGACCACGGGCGTTATACACATCTTGGACTCTTCTCAAGGGAGGCCTGAATCAGAGGAGAAGAGCCGTCTCATTTGGGCAGTACCCTGTCATGTTTTTGTCTCTCCATGTGGCAGCAATGAAATGTCCGTTCTCAACGGTCGGCCTCGTCAACAACCTTCCCCAATAGAGAACGAGTCCGGCCAATGGTGAGAACCTTGAAGCCTTGGGCACACCGGAGCCTGAAGGTCTTCATTGGCATCCTTTTAGGAATACCGGGGTCGAATGCAAGAATCGACCCGCGCTGGAGACTGGTGATCCATCGGGTCCGTCCTGGCAAAAGCTTACTGAAGTTATTATGCCTGATTGCTCGGTCGTGTCTGAGTCCTGATTCTCGTCAGGATGGCCTGCGGCCAGTGGTCGTTGGCGCAAGAGCCGAAACTCCGAAATCAGACAAGATCATCTCTGCTCGAAGTGGTCCCAGTGCCCATCCAACAAAGTCCTGGGACGGATTGTGGCTGGTGCCATCGCGTCGTTGGCTTGCCGAGACACCACCATCTCGTACTACCGAGCTGCGAATGCACACCCATGCTCGCGAGCGGCGAAACCTCATCCACGCCAGGCTGCCAGTCGCTTGTGTGGATTGTAGTATGTCGCAATTGACCGCGGGAAAATAGGGCCAAGTGTCCGTCAGACGCGCGAAGTCTAATAATGCGTCCTGTATTCTTCAGCTCCTTCATGGATCCCTGGGCTCTGCATACATACCGATGTGGAGCTGGAAAACGGGACTATTGGACCAATATTCTGCCCTTCAACAGAGGCAGATCGCCGCCCATGATCACGAACATGAGGAAATTTTTGCGCATTTCAGATTCCTGCCCGACCATCTGCATGACCCCAAAAAGCGGCCCTTGCATGCGGAAGAACGGAAACTCCTACGAGTCCCTTGGCCTTTCGCTCTCGAGTCTTGTTCTTTGGAGTCCAATGACTGTTCTGTTATGACTTTGAAAAGGCTGGTTTCTGCTTCAGCTTGCTCCGAACATACCAGGACCAAATCCAGTCGCTCTTTCTCGAAGCATTTCCCCTCCAGATATTGATCGCACCTTCGTTTTGCAAGCCCGACGACATCAATCTTCCAACGTCCATCATTCTATGTTTGAACTTGCCGCCCGGGTTGATTTTAATTCGATTTATTTTTCTCTGTTTGGGTCAATATTGGTCGTATATGAAATTTGGGGCCGGAAGATATCGTGGTCAGGTATGGCGCACAACCCTTTCTCACATGTTGTACCCAACTTCTGGTTAGATTCATTGGGCTCCGGTGCACATCTCTGACAAGTTCCCAGGCACTTGCACGGACACCTAAATAAGCGTCGGAAGTACTGTCGGGACATGGTCGATGCTCACTGACTTTGACTTTGGCCTCGCGAGTGTTTGCACATACCAGACTTCTGAGCACAGACGTCTCTGAAGATAGCTTCACTTTTCCAGCTTTAGGCTGCCTTCGAATTGGGGGATTTGTCCTGGAGGAGACCGTCTCTGTGATCTTGATTTTGCCGTCATTCGGATAACCCTGATGCCGCATTCACGTCCGCCTCAGTTCCCTCCCTTTTGCTCGTCTTTCAAGAAACATCGGTCTAGTATCGACAGCTCAAGATTCACCGTCGACCTCACTTTGCCGAAGCCAATCGCTGCGCCCGTCTGGGCATCTATTCCTACACCTCCCATGTCCGGTTCTCCCCCACCGGAGCCACCCACGGAACCACCACAGATTGCTGGTCGCAGAAGGAAACGATCTCATACCCCTCCAACGAGCACTACCGCGGTCGCCACTTCACCCATAACCCCCTTGGAACATACTGCACCAAGACTGGGTGCGCAAGGAAGAGGTGGTGAGACCCTCGCTGAATTGGTCGTTCAGCCTGGTCTATATGGTCCGAACTATCCACCCCCAGCGTCGTATCCATCCGCTTCAAGCCAACCGGGAACCTCCGTCAGCCGTCCAGAGCCTCGATATGCGCTGAGCCCTATTTCTCCGCGCGCGACACGAAAACCGAAGCCGCATGTTGCCTCAGCCTGTATCAACTGCAAAAAGAAGCATCTGAGGTGTGATAATGAACGTCCATGCCGGAGATGTGTCCAGAGCGGCAAAGAAGTAGGTATCATGTGGGGATTTTGAACGCAGTCAAAAGGACTAATCATGCGTAGGACACTTGCGTTGATGTGGAACACAAGAAGAGAGGCCGTCCTCCTCTCAAACCAGAGGATCCTTCTGCCAGACGACCGTTTGAATCTGCTTTGAGTCCCATGTCGGCTTCACTCGGAGATCCGCTGAGAAGGATCCCAGGATCAGATCCGTCGAGTTATATACAATCTTCGGGATATCAGCGTAATTTCAGACCTCTGCAGGCATATGATCCGACTCGATCTCAAGTGAGAGGTCCGCCATTTCAGTCGATGTACGCTCAACCGTCTATTTCTCCAAGCAGCGAGACCGCGGCAGGGACCTTTGTACCGTCCTCCCGCCAATATCAAACTGGCCCTACGCCCCTTTCAGCACAATCGCCTTCATCTTACAGTCCAGCTCAGTCGGAGGCTTCAATAAGGTCGATTACTTCGTACACAGGTGGTTATACCTATCCACCTCAAGGGCAGATGGGACCTCCATCTCAATTGCCTTACTCCAATCCCATCTTTCCACGTCGGCCTACGCCATCATCACTTCCAACCGAATCGCTACCACCTTTACAAAGTCCATCGGCTCTTCAGCTACCACCTATTCGACGATCTCCTCCTGGGCCAATTGACCCGGCTATCGCACAGCAGCCGCCACAGCACACTCAGGAATCTCCTCGCACAGATCAAGAGAGCAGAGATGATGGAACAAAAGAGCCTGACCCTAAGCGTCCCAAGATGGATATTCAAGGCATTCTCGGACCTCGGGAGTGAGTTAAATGCGGGCTTCTCCTGATGGAGACTCGATGAGAGCCATTTCCAAGCCTGAAACCTTTCTTGGTGACGCTTATTAACGAAAAGCGTTCCTCTGTTGATGAAGCAATGAACGCCGGGAAACGACCTTTGTGATTTTTTTTTTTTTTTTCCCTTGATACGGCATACCTCATTCCAATATTCTGTACAACAAATTTTTTCTTTTCCTGTCAACAAGTTTCTCCCGTGCTGGACACAAGGATGACTTTTTGGTCAGAACAGCTACCTTTATTTTCTAACGGCGCATGGACGCGAGCTATGGTCAGGAGGCATTCTCACTTCTGGCATCGATGGGACCGAAGAGGCAATTGGCTTTTTGGAGAAACCCAGCTGAACGGCTTCTTTCTGGCTATACTTGTCAAGTCAGGCGACGCTTCTTCTCAATGCACATATTTCATTTCGATGAGGTTTATGGTATATTGGTGTTGGAGAGAGCATACGGCCGATATTTTGATCGAGATGGTAAACAGGACAATCTCGATTTTTCTCACAAAATTCCGACAAGGAAAGACACGTCAAATGATTCTGATGATTAAATCCCTCTTTCCTCCCGACCCGAACATCCCGTGTCACAGCTACTATTATTTTTACACTGCTTGGAAATCGGACGGTTTTCCTTTGTTCCCATTATGGCTGATTTGTGCCCTGGAGAGCGACCTCGGAGTATCGGCGCGAGAGGCAAGGGGAATAGGAGAAGAGAGATTGTGGCTTTGGCTTTGGAAAGAAAAGAACGGAGACGGCAGTGCATGCGCAAATGAATCGTTGATGGATATGCTATGCAATTTCTGAAGAAGCAAGAGCCTGTTGGCATTTAGGCCGACAGGTGATGGAAACGGGATGTGATTTTGCCAAAGAGAATCAGATTTGTACGGCCGGCTTTCACTTTCACCTTCACCTCGATACGGAAATGGGAATGAAAGTTCAGTGGGGATCTTGGGTTACGAGCAGGGTGCGTAGCATATCAACTCCTATTGCTCTGGCTAGGAATATATCAAATACCCTGTGAATCAATCGAACCAACTAATTTCATATGTGTTAATCAATGATAATTAATGAATCGGCCAAGCGCATGGAATCCGTATTGGTACATAATTTGTCTACCGCTTTTGCTGCTGCAGAGGTACTGGTACACACTACGCACGAACTTATGTCATGGAACCTATGTATTGCGGCAACCGTCCTAGTATCTATCTTGTGTCTCTTGTAGGACATTGACACTGGCCTGGATATAGAAATAGAGATAGGCATTCAGCTCAACCCGTCGCGAGTAAGCCAGATGCTAAGGCCTCAAGATCCTCGAGTGTCCGCGGCTGCGATTGTTCGTCCACATGGTGTTTCTTCTTCTGTTTCTTACTTAGGCGTCCTTGTCGGTCGTCGTTGTTGTCGGATGAATCGTATTGGAACCATTTCTTCGGCCGCGAATTGCCTTGGCGGTCTGGTTCTTCTCTCTCCCTGTCTCGCGCGTCGTCCTCGTCCATGGAGTATGGCACGAGCTGCACACCGACGTCATCGTCCCCATCCTCGTCATCTTCCCACCGCTGCCTCTCCCGTTCACGTTCTTTCCTCCTTTCTTTCTTCTCCTTCCTCTTCTGCTTCGCGAGGATTTTGTCTTCTTCATCCATGACCTTCGCCCGCTCTGTTTCTCTTCGCAGAAATGCGCGCCTCTCCTCTTCAGCACCTTCCTTCCCACTGGCCGTGAATGTGTTTTCGTCCCGATATGCTTGACGGTCGCGGGGCGTGTCGCTGTCCGAATCGAAGGTGAGGTGGGCCCCGCGACCTTTGTATTTGAGAAGTTTCTTTTTTGATTTGAGGAGTTTTTCGCGTCGGTGCGAGTCGACGGTCAAGGGAACAGTGGTAGGGTTGTTGGAGAGCCGGAGCGTTTTTATTTCGCGGTGCGCAAGGTCTGGTCCGGGATCTCTGGAGGAACGAGAAGGGCAGGGAGAAGAAGAGCGGGAGAGGGCCGAGTCGCCGGCCTCAAAGCGTCGTTTTACCGAAAGAAAGTTGGTTTCTTCGTCGTCTGCGTCCGGTGCTGCTTTGCTCTCTCCTTCGGTCTCGTCGTCATCGTCGTCATCTTCGATTAGTTTTGTGTAATGGTCTGCCAGGACGTCTTGATTGCGCCTCTCAAACATGCGATCATATCTTGTTCGGACTCCGCCATTTCTCTGTTTCTGTTTTTCTTTTGGCTTCTCTCCATCGGCGTCACTGCCATCACTCTCCAGCGTAGCGAGGAGTTGTCTCGGCGCATTCTTCCTTGCCTTTGCGTCCTCGCCCTTAACGAACTTGACTCGTGGTGCTCCTGGAAGTCCCAGACTTGCTGCAAAGGCTTCAAGGTCTAATTTCTTCAAATTGAAAATCTCTTTGTCCTTCTGAATGTGTACGCTGCGGACGTAGCTGACGAACGCCTTTTGTCCTAGATATTTCAATTCTGGATCTTTGAAGCACAAGTTCTGAAGCTGGTTGCGGATGGTTAGTTGCATCTTCTTTTGACGGACGTTGATTTTCTCCAGGTTAACCTTTTTCTTCTCTAGGGATTTGAGCAGGCCTTCTTCTTCGCTCGGATCCAGGAACAGTACGGCTCGACCGTCGTGCTCGAATCGTGCTGTGCGGCCGACTCGATGGATGTACGTGTCAGGATCTTCGGGACAGTCGACTTGGACAACCCAGTCGACAGAAGGAAAATCCAGGCCTCTTGCTGCGACGTCCGTGGAGAATAGGCAAGCATATTTGCTATTGGAAAACTTTGTTGTAATATCTAGGCGTGCGGTTTGTTTTTGCCGGCCGTGCAGGTGCAGTAATGGAATACCAGGTTGGAGATGACGGAATGCTTCGTAGACGAAGCGGACTTGCTTGCCACTGCTCAAGAATACCAAAATCTTCTTCTTTACGTTGGCCCGGATGAAGGACCATAATGTATCTAGTTTTTCGGGCAAGGGAGTAACGACATAATTTTGCTGCAGTGTCGATGGTGTTGCGCTGTCTGCTGCTTCATGAACGGACACGAATTCTGGTTCTTTCAGACTAAGCCTAGCTAGGTCAGACACCTTTTTGGTTTGAGTGGCGCTGAACATCAGCGTTTGCCTCTCCGGGGGAAGGTGTTCAATGAGCGCATCGATGGTCTGTCGGAACCCCATGTCCATGATTCGGTCAGCCTCGTCTAACACCAGCATTTGCAGATTTCCAATGTCTAGGTTGGCCGTTTGATCCATATGCTGTAGCATTCTCCCTGGCGTAGCGACTAAAATGTTCATCCGTCCAAGTCGCTCACGTTCCTCCCGCAAGCTCTTCCCTCCAATGACCAATCCAGCGGAGAAAGTGTGATTTCGACCGACTTTGCGAAGGACTTCGAAGGTCTGAATTGCCAGTTCTCGAGTGGGGGAGAGGATGAGAGCGCCCAGGCCATCGAATTCGGTCCATCTCTTGCGGCGTAGATTCTCCAAGACTGGCACAAGGAATGCGAGTGTTTTTCCTGAGCCGGTCTTCGCTGCTCCGAGGATGTCAAATTCCTTCAATGCCAAAGGTATAGTCCTGCTTTGTATGGTTGTCAAAGTCTTGAAATGGCAAGCAGAGAGTCCATCCTGCGTAGCTGTGGAAAGTGGTAGATCTGTGAAATTCTCTAGCACGGTTGAAGATTTAGGATCGAGGTCGGTGACTCTTCGTGAGAGAAGGTCTAGGTCTTCTGCTTCTCTCTTGCGTTTGAGAGTCCGCAGCCTTCGAAAGTCCTTCATTGGCCCTCGCCCCCCCTTCCGGCGCCCCGGGGGCTCCATGGTGTTGGAGTTGTAGACCGTTCTCACAATCCAGAAACCTTCGAGTTTCGTTCGTTGTGGCCGAGAAAAAAGTTGCGAGCGCGAGCTGATCATGTGACCGAATTCTTTATCGATATCGGCAGAGCCTCGTCAGACGGAAATCGGCAAACCTTCCGTCATCGTCCTACGAGGCTCCCTTCTGCTATCGACCTTCTGGGGCTCAACGCTCCGCTTTGCGTTCCCTCCTGTCGGGTTGCCCAAGTCTGTGACTGTTGTCGATGATTCTATCGCAAGACAATTTGTCTTTTTTTATCTAATCACCGGTTTCATTATTGACTTGTAATTTGCTTACCGGAAGTGAAGCCGTTCACAGTCATTTGGTAAGAGACAAACTATCAGCCCGCCATGGCTAATGACGAGTCCGATGCTCTTGATGCGCTTGAAAAGGAAGCAAAGGAATATGACAAGGTGCGCACCTTTATGTCTTAGATGAATGACTGCTCTAATCTATCAGCCAGGATGCCGAGATTGATCGAATCCTCAACGCCTTCAGACTTGATGCGTAAGTCCCTTCACCCCATTCCTCGCGATTCAACATCCTGACATCTTGACAGCTACGCAGTACTAGACCTCCAACCTGGAGTTCCTGAATCAGACATCAAGATCGTTTACCGCAAGAAGTCTCTACTAATCCATCCGGACAAGACCAAGAATCCTCAAGCTCCCGAAGCATTTGACCGGCTCAAGAAAGCGCAAACGGCCCTACTTGATGAGAAGCAACGTCAACATCTCGATGAATGTATCGCAGACGCCAGACAATTGCTCATGCGACAACACAAGTACAACGTCGACTCAGAAGAATTGCAAACAGAAGAATTCAAGAAGGAATGGAGGAAAAAGACGGTGGAAGTGTTGGTGGAAGCAGAAGCAAGAAGGAGACGGCAGTTGAAGGCTAAAATGCAAGAGGAGGGTCGAGAAAAGGCCAAGGAAGATGCGGAAATTGAAGAGAGGAAACGAAAACGAGAGCACGAGAAGCAATGGGAGGAGACGAGGGACCAACGCATCGGAAGTTGGCGTGAGTTCCAGAAAGGCGTGAAGAAAGGAGAAGAACAAAAAAAGAAAAAGAAGATGAAAGTCCTTGGTTGATCTTTTGCGACTAGGGAGAGGGGGTTTTGTGTACATAGACTGGGACAAGAAGGGATCCCTACCGAGCCTTGTACTCGGTATTCATTCGCCCAATCCGGTTTTGTTCAGATTGGGATTGGGGGGAAGGAAGATAGAGCCATACAGGAATGATTATGACTTCCCATTCATTGTATTTGCCGTGATTCGCGAACAGCAACCAGCGCCCTGACAGAATTTATTTGTACACGTCTCGGTTAAGACAGACATTCCATTTGCTTCGGTCAACGACGGGGGAGAATGGATGATGTCGTATCTCGGCTTGTCAGGGATTCCCCACACAACTTACATTTGGCTTTCTCCGACTTTTGCTGAGATCTTTTCTGTCGCATTCTCTCTTCCACTCTCTCTCTCCCTCACCCTTCTTCTCAGAGACATGAGTCCTACATCGCTGCCGCCCAATGCCCCCATGACCAATGGCACTCTCAGCGCCGGTCATGGAGAAGCAGATGTATCTTCTTACCCCTCCCTCGCGACCTTCTCCTTACAAGATGTCTGCGCCGTTCTCCATTCTCAAGTATCTTCATTCCTGTCAGCCGCCGCCCCGGACAAGGTGACGAAACGAACACAAGAGCAGACTAGAATAGCTCTGGATGTCATAGAAAAGGCTCTTCAAGACTATGAGTGAGTGAGACAACCTCGCAACATGTCGCAAAGCGATTATGATCTGACACTGCTATTCTGCTCGCAGGTTTGACTCAGTCTCACTCTCCTACAATGGAGGAAAAGACTGTCTCGTTCTTTTGATTCTATATCTCACTGTTCTTCACACACACTTCGCACAGCCCAAGAACCGACGAAAAGACGAACCCGAACCTCCTCCCTTTCCCAAATCCATTCCCTCCATATATGCCAAACCTCCAGACCCGTTTCCCGCGGTCTCCAGCTTCGTCGAGTATTCTTCTAGACTCTACCATCTCGACCTGACGCATATATCCACAAACCCTGGACCGAGAAAGAAGGAAAAATCTCACTCCAATCCTCCATTGACAGCACCGATCCAACAGCTCAGCAAAGCCATCGATGGCACTGGCGCCACTACAACAACAAAACCTATAGTCTCATTCCGGGACGCATTCGCGATCTATCTGTCCTCACATCCTTCCATAAAGGCGATATGTGTCGGTACAAGACGTACAGATCCCCACGGCGAACATCTAACACATTTCGATCCCACCGACCACAATTGGCCGGCGTTTATGCGTATTCACCCCATCATTGATTGGCATTTATCGGAAATTTGGTGTTTCTTGCGCTCGCCACACCTCAAAGACCCAATTACCGGCGGGCCTCTCAAGTACTGCACGATATATGATGAAGGGTACACGAGTTTGGGAGGAGTTAACGATACTTTGAAAAATCCAAAGTTGAAGTATTTCGATGAGAATGGGAAAGAGTGTTTTCGACCGGCTTTTGAAATGACTCAAGATGAAGGTGAAAGACTTGGGAGAGAGTAAAGAGCGATGCCAGCGATTGACTGCCTCGGCTGCATTAACGACTGGGGTCGCAGCCTTTTTTTGACATTGGAACTTAGACATCTAGCATGCATAGCATCACATTCAGTTGCGGAAACCCGTACGAGGAGGAAGGGGATTTAGTCCCGCCTTCTCTTGCCCTCCGTTGGCTTTATTGTCGGCTAGATGGGTGGATGGATGGATATCCCACCGCAAAACCGGCATTCTGGCAGAGGAAGATCAAGACACAGAGTGCTTCCAAAGTTACATGTTTTGGGCGTTTTGAGAAAGACAAACCCATCTTATTCCTCTATCTTCACGATCATCAATATGACCCAATAAAAACACACTTTGTTCCCATCATGCCGACAGAGGGAGGCGTGGACGGCGGCTTGCGAAAGATGGGCAATCGTGATACCAGCGGAGCTTGTATCCGTGAAGATCAATTTGGATAGAGAGATCTCATATACTATCCTACTTCAGCGGACCAGACCCATACCAGACCTGAATTCAATATCTAATCTGCATAGGATAATTGACTGGGTACATCTCCTGGCACAGGAAAAAACACCGCAGCTTCACAGCTATAAAACAAAATACAAGTCGAAAATTTATTGAAAATCCCCTGACTGCAACTCAAGTATACCGGAACTTTACTCTTGCTTTCTCGGCTCAGTGCCCTCCGTCTTCATTCTCTCCGGCGTATTCGAGCCGCTCTCACTTCCGGGCCCGGACCCCGAGAACGGCACGCCCTGGTGCATTCCAACGGGGACGAGACCGCCCATGGACCCTCTTTCGAGCTGATCCCAATGCACATCGTTAAGGTACTTGAAGTCCAGTCCACGGTGCTCCTCCTCCTCCTTCACGCGCAGGTGGCAGCCAGGAATCTTATTGATGATGAACAACAAGATGCAAGACACCACAAAGGACCAGGCCGCGCAAGTCGTGGCCGCAGCGAGCTGGTAGCCGAGTTGGATCCAGTTGTGTTCCCACCAACCGCCGTCGTAGGAGTCGCCGGACACCCCGTCAAGAGCGGGTACCCAGGACGCGGCGAAGAAGCCGGTCAGCAGGTCGCCGACGAAACCGCCGACGCCATGCAGGGCGAAAATGTCGAGCCCTTCATCAATCGAGATCAGATGCTTGTATTTGTTGGTGTAGAAGCAGCAAATAGAAGTCAAAAGGCCGACGAGGGCGGCGACGTAGACGGGAACTATAAATTGTAGACAAATGTTAGAAATACATGAAGAAGTCGGGAATATTTTGCGTGTGAAAGAGAAGGAGGGGGAACCAAAACTATAACATACCGTATCCAGCAGCAGGAGTGATCCCTACAAGACCAGAAATGATACCGGAGCAGAAACCGATGATGCTGAATTTCTTCGTGTGCATGTATTCGAGCAGGGTCCAGCCGATACCACCTCCGCAAGCGGCCAGGTTGGTGTTGACCACGACGTAGATGGAGCGGATTGAAAGGTTGGCAGTACTGGCGCCTGGTTTTGGAGTTAGCACATCCGTTAGGAAAAGCAAACGGGCGGTAGAAGACTCACCGTTAAACGCAAACCAGCCGAACCAGATAAAACAGGTTCCAATGCCGACCAGGAATGGATTGTGAGGCTTGAAATGGATGATCTTCTGCCTCTCGCCCGGGGTATGTTCGCTGAGACGGGGTCCTAACATCAAACTCCATGCCAAAGCACTGAAGCCACTAGCGATGTGCACGGGGCCGGATCCCGCGAAATCATACACCCCAAGCTGATATAGCCAGCCGCTGGGGTTCCATTCGAAGTACGCGAGGATGTAGTAGACAAAAGTGGTCCAGCAGAGGAGGAAAAGCATGGAAGGCCAAAGTCGACCACGTTCAAGCATTGCGCCGGCCAAGATCATGGCCGTAGCTGTCACGAAAGTAAAGCCGAAGCACGCGTATAAAATGTCTGGGATATCGCTGTTGGCGAGTGAAGGTTGGGCGAGCACGTTGTGGAGAGCCGCCAGACTCATGTTGCCTAGCATTGGGTTCGTCGTATGGGATTGATACAGAGAGTAGCCGTAGATCCAGAATTGAATGCCACATGCGCATGCGCAGAAGAGAGATTGGAAGATCATGGTGAGCGCTGCTTTTCGTCGATGCATACCGGCGTAGAGGTAGCCGATGGCAGGTGTGATTTGCCAGCAGAGGACGGTACACACCAGGATCCAGCAGAGGTCGCCCTTTTGGGATTCATGTCAGCCCCATGAAAAAATATGAAAAAAATTTTGGGGAAATGAATATCTGGGGTAGGTGCCATGGGCATACCTTGTCATACGGAGCGTTGAGGTCCTGGGTAATTGGGTCGCCGCCCTGAGGGTTGACATTGTATTCGGGCCATTCTGTGATGGGAGTGATTTCTGACATGGCTGGAAGGCTTCACAGAAAGAGTAGCTCCTCTATGCCAGTACAGAAGGGGCCGATTTCAGGAAGAAACAGTAACAACGATTGAACAATAAAGAGATCGACGCCCACCTTTTGAAGGTCTCAGGAGACGATTGGCAATTATATACAAGAGGCAAGTACTCGTCTCCCAGTACCCAAAAACCTTGAGCCATCTCTCTGGCCAAGAGATAGAGCTTGATAGGCCTAAGTCCCAGAAAGGTAATTGAAACCAGAGGAACTGCGGTGGAACGTGGCAAGCAGTTCTCGATTTAGGAGAGCAAAGGTCTTGTACGAGGGCCATGGCCTGCTAGTCTGTTCAGTGGCAGAAGGGCTGGAGCCCATGCGTCGACCTATCAGCTCAGGTCTGGTCATACAAAGCCGGCAGGAGAGATAGGAAGTGCTTTGAACGTTTGCCTTCGGGCTACCTCGTGGCAGATGGGATTTCTTCGCTTGACAAGACTGTTCCGGGTGGTTGCAAGATTGTATGTAGGAAGGTGGGTTCCTGGTGGGAACAAGAAGGAATTCCGCTGAGCAATTGAAAGGACGAAAATGAATGTCAGGCCTTCGTTCTGGCTGTTTTCCTTATCAGTGGATCTGCACCAAGCCTTGGCCTGACCTCCGCCGGCGAGGCTGAGGCGGATTTCCACTGTATCAAACAATGATCCAGGGCCGCCCGGGGGTCGTCCAAGGCCTTGGTATATCCTTGGTATACCCTTGGCGTCATCTGGGCGGGATCCTCTTCGATTGCCGGTCAGGTTCCAATCAGGACTCATCCAAATGACTCAGCGCCGCTGTCCTCCGTCAATTTTCAAGTTGTCGACGGATGTTCGGTCCCGACAATTCCTCGTATCCCCTGTCTCGATCCAAAGGGGAAAGTTATAATGCAGCCGAAGAAATTTCTGTGATGTCACAGAGTGACAGCCTCGGAGCCACCGGATGACTGGGTGAGAACCTTGTATTTCGTCGGTCACCATAAGTAGTCCCAAATATCAGATACCGAGGATAGAGGTGTTCCATCACTCCCTTGCTGCTTACAGCTGACCAACTGCAAAAACCATATTCCAGGCACCTGATAACATGAGAGACCACATCCAACATCGGAAGCCTTGGATTTTATTAGAGACAAGTAATCCGTAGTCAGATAACTCATATCCGATCATCGATGATCGGTGTCGTGCATTGTGCTGGGATCCTCGGAATACGAGCTGAACCGTTGAATCCTGTTCTGGCCGACGGAGATTGCAATTCCCTCCATAGTTCTATAGCAATATTCTCTCGGTCATATAGTTCGAATGTCATCATGTAGGAAAAACTCGTACGCCACGAATTGGCATCAAGTCAAGCTCAAGCTTGTATGTCAGTCTCTCCACAACGGCATGGGAATAGTATTCGTGCTCCGCTTCCATCGATGACAGTGTGCGAAAAATAATTGCCAACACAAAACGAAAAGACACATCCAGAATTAGTTGAATTCGGAAGCATGTGGCCGGTGAGCTCAGAATTACCGATTCCCTAGTCCTTAAACAGAGAAGAACTGTATGTGTAGATAAATAATGTATTTTGGTGAAGGACAAACGAAATTTTCCGCTGTGCAACTGTTTTCCAGCCAGCTTGAATATGAATATGTACATTAGCGTGTCGTCTTCCTTTCGTGATCAGAATCAACGATGCAATTTTTAAACAACCGAATAGAATTCCTAGACACGTCGAAACTCCGAGGAGAACAGAGATCTTATCATGATTAGTATAGCCAGCTTGTTTAGTGGGAGATTCTGAATACTTTATCAGAATCGCCATCAGCAGCCGAGGATTTGCTTTGTTGCCCGCCCCCCCGGTGAGGCTGTCTTCTTGGGGACCTAAGTCTCTTTTCCTGCTTCCAGAGTCACCGGAAGAACCCTGGCGGCCTCCTATGCATTTGCAATTGTAGGATCGAATATTTCGAGGCAGACTGGACTGAAAGCAGGCTTGGTGGATAAAACCCTGCTTTCTAATAAGGCTCGAACAGAGGGTCACTAGGTGATGTAGTTTCGTGTGTTCTTTGACCCTTAGAAGTCAAACCTCGGCGCCGATGTATCGGATTTGGGCCATAGTTTGACATTGTTGTACAGTAGACTCTCTCAACCACGTCTATCTGCCATATGAGAGTCCAGTCTCTCAACGTCGAGTCTGGCCGAACAGATACACGGCTTGTGATGGCCGATCAGATACCCATCAACCATTTTGCGCGTTCATAAACATAGAAGCTTGTGGCTCCCATCGGAATAACCTTGATATAACCAATGGTGAGACCGACAAAGAAACCTCTCCAACCTCTTTCGAGCCATATCCGCCGCGCTGTTTCTGATATGCCCAATCTATGACCATCACCTATTACCCCACCAACCTGCATTCGACGTCGGATCACTTCCAGGGGGTATGAAGCTGTCTGAGACACCAAGGCTGCTAGAGCCCCCGAGATGAGCTCTGCTGGGGCATTCAACTGGCTTCGGGGGTATGCTTTGGTAGTTCTGCCAGAACCATCGACGGGTGGGGTTGGGGCTGTTGCTGTTGATCGCAGGACAGTATATGGTGCAAGGCTTGGATGTCTGAACAGATCTCCTATTGTATCGTGAGTCAAAAATGACATTCCTGCGTACGGGAGCATTCCAAGAAGCGTTGGAGAAAAGCCACGGTAGAAATTGACCAGACCGGATTTAGGGGCGGCTTTACGTGCAACACTCGAGGCGACTGCAATGGAATTGTGTCCTGCCAGGGCTTCTGGTTGGGGAGGTTGTTCGTGGTAGATTTGTTGGCATATCCTCGTTAATGAAGATCGAGAGTCTCGTTTCGTCTCGAAAGCTAGTCGGACACGAATGACCTCGAGGGGATAGGTGAAGAAGACAGATGTAATTCCTGCCAACGATCCAGAGAGGAAACGACGAAGGGGTGTTTCGTGGGCCTTGCCGGGTATAACAAATGCTCTTATTTGCTCGTAGGCAAGAAACTTGATTCCAGCATAGGGAAAGATTCTGAGGAGGGTGGCTGAATGTCCGCGAAATAATCCTCGCAGCCCATCTTGCTTATTGATATCGTGCATCGCTGTCACCACGCCAAACCAACTTCCTGTGTATTTTGCAAATTGAGGGTTAGAGGCCTGAAAGAGGATCTTGACTCGATCGAGAGGACCGACGACAGTTTTGGCCTGTCTCACATGTTAGTATGTTACGAGTGGAGGGGGGTGGTCAACTGCACGAACCGCACATCCTGCCAATCCGCCTGCGAAACCAGAGCGCAGGATATAATCAAGGCTTCTTTTGTCCAGATGTTTGCTTTCGCGGGGAACAGGATCCTGCAATGTCCTGGGGGGATCAGTTTTTGAGAATATTCTTCGTTGCGATGATTGAGACAGTGGTTCCTCGAGGAGTCTCGAGGAGCCTCGGCTTTCCATCTCAGATGGTTGTGAGGGTGGTAGTGTTGCTGCTGCATGACCTGAAGCTGGAATATGCATTCAAGTGCCTTTAGAACATGTCGAGATCCGAATTCCTGGAAAGCAATACATTATAAGAGGCAAGACGAGGAGGGTTTGTCTGTGATGCAAAAGGACAGTAGAAAGAGGGGGGACGATTTCCGAGGCCATGCGCAGGAAACTCGGCCATTTTCGCCTCTATACAGGAGCCCGCCAACCGCTTCGGCCCCCGGTCCCGCGCACCAATTCCTCGCTTTTGCGTAGCCGAATCCTTGGCTCTCCAAGTTTTGGGGGCAAATGTGCACAAGACCAATCACTACGCAGCCAAAGTTTTCATCGCCTCGGGGCTTTCCAGCGGAAAAATTGTACCGAAAGAATACACCGGGTGTGAAGACATGATCACTTCGTGGCTCATAATAGATTTAACTAATCGTACACCGCCGTTTTGGGCAGACTCTCCCGAACAGACCCGGCGCACACTTGCTAAACCACGTCGAGGTCTTCTGGTGCTGGAATTAGTTGAAACTCGAGTCAATTCTGTTCCGCCGTTCGGGCTGACGGTTTCAGGAGGTATTGCTTCAAGGGTGGGAACGAATGTGGGCGCCTGTTCTGGACTCTTGGTCCTCGAATAGCGGATTTTCGCAGGCTTTTCAGGACTCATCGATCGGCGCACATATCACCATAGGTGAAAGAGTATTTGAGACTATACTCGTTCCCATCCAAACGCTATCATTCCGTTGACGACCTTCAGCTCCCCAGCAATATGGGTTGCGATTGGCTATAGGTTCCGGAATGCTGGCTCCATACTCGATAAAGCTGAATTCTCGCCACCATGGCGGTTCAATATCGCATTACTTCGACGTCTGAGGAACGGGATAGAGACCTTCGGCGAACTGCCGATTCTTCTCCAGGTTTTCTCCGTCCATTGGGAAGGGATGCTGTCCCTCCCCCCTCTTTCCTTGGAGTGGCAGCACCACCGATTGTACCACTGATTGCACCACTATCAGCCAATAGACGGGACGAGCGACACAATAACCGTTACAGCTCACAGCTGGTGATGTAAATGAAAGAATAGACGGACAAGCACCGCAGTTGTTTGTCGATGGCCATCCGAAGTTTTCTGAGGTGATCATTCTGGCCATTTGAGAGTGCCCCTAAGGCATTTCGACTTGGGGATGTAGAACTGCTGGCGTTCGTAGATGCGTTCCTTAGAGAGGGGTTTGGATATCGCCAGGCCATCCGCCACCTTCAGCTTGCAGTAATGAAATTCATTTGGTCCCATGGTTGAGGCGACTAGCCCTCGGGCGCTTTGCCATGGGACGAGTTCTAACCTTGGCCATTCCAGGGTGGTGGCTTTATTGCTTGACTCACTTGGCCGGATGTCTTCTGCTCGATATCGTTGGATCTTGTCGACACAGCCAATTTTCGCTTCAACTCTGAGTTGGAAACCTGTGATGAATCAGTTTCGTCTAGATTGTCAAAACCACGGAATTTGATATGCACATAGACATAGATCCAGATATACATAATCAAGATCAGTGCAATAATCACATATCGCTGAACCCAAGAGAGGACCAATCGATACCAGAACGGTCATTTGGGAAGGCGACAAAGCGTGCCAGCATTGACACAACATTCCTATCATTGACAAAGGCCAAAGATGCTACCAGAAGTGGCGGACCAAGCTGCAGCAAGCAAATTCCATTTTTGAGAATGGTGGAGTCCTCCTTCTCCCATTGCACAATTCGGGTTGAGGATACAAGTGATTGGGTGTAAGGCGATAATTAGGATGGCCATATTCGGAAGCCTCGTTGGAAAAGGCGAGAAAAACCCCACTTGCTTGACAGAATCTTGAAGGACTCTGGACTGGTCCGTTAACAAATCCCACAATAGGAAAGACGAAATATCAGATGATTTTGAAGGTGTCGCTCATAATCAGACACATGATCAGGCGAGGCCGAAAACTCCTTCGTATGATGAGGAGCCATCACAAAGCCACCAGGGCGGCCTGGAAACCAAAACAGGCACAAGCGAGTGCTGCAATGAAAATGGCTCGATATTGCGAACTGAGGGATCCACCGGCGCCAGCAGTTGCGCTGAGGAATTCTCTCCAGACTATTATGTGCGAAGAGTTGGTTGCGGGGCCTCAGTGACATGCCTTAGATTTACCCAAGTCGCAGAATTTGAGGTGATATTGTCGCATATTATGATTGGGGTCACACTATTGTCTGCACACCTAATAAACACTCCCTGAAGTCGCAAGTAAAATCCTGTTTTCACAAAAAGGAGAGAGAGACAATTGAGGTCTTGACGTGACAAGGGAAATAGCAGACAGAAAGGATAAACTTCGGAGGCAATGAATTGGACGGTACTTACTGTAGGAAAAGGTTGAACATTGGGGAGGGAGAAAAATCAAAACAAGATGGGACGGATCAACATGGCTGGTAACTCTATGTTGCATACCATGGGAGCGAAGCACTCTATCCACCCGGAGGTATGTTGTGATATTTTGACGTCCCTCTCCAAGGACGAGGATTGGACTCGTGACTTCTGGCGGCAGGCTAGCGGGGTACGGGGTAGGCCAAAAAGCCTGGACTCATGCATTGAAGATATGAACGTACGGAAGATGCTGGGGCCGGTTAAAGGTCTGTGTTTGAGGTCTGAGTGGGATTTGTGGTCTATATGATGGAGTGAGAGCTGTCAAACGGCGTCCAAAAAAGGTTGAGATATCCTCCAGTTTGCGTACCGCGCTAAGCCGCGTTCGGAAAACAAGGATGGGCTCCATTTCCTCTTCCTCCGGCTAACCCCCCATTTCACTAACTACATCGGCCGACCTCGTGGTCCCCCTTCTGTGCCCTCCGCGTCTTGGAAACCTCTTGTCTATCTCAAATTCTTGTCAATGGCCCGGTCTTGATTCCGACGTCTGCGAACAAACCCTGGACATGGATACCGTTGATTCCTACCACTTGTCAGATCCTACTCCCGCGAGTCGGCATGTTACCAGTGGTCCTTTATCGTAACCACACGCAAACGGCGATCTTGCTCGACTTACCGGCGTCCATCCAACATGGTCAACAAGTTCCATATGTACTCAAATCGTGCCCTGCGTTATTGGTACCATACCCAAGCACCGAACCCAAAGGATACAAGAGAGAGACCGCTCTCAATGCGATCCCAATTCACGATCGGGCTTACCATATGTCGGTACAAGAGGACATCTCTTCGGCTTTGATCGAGGCCCGAGACTATTTACATGGCCGGAGCGGCTCTTGGTATTTCCCGCGGCATGATTTTGCCTCACAAAACGCCTCTTTTGGTCATTCACACTGGACCGAGGGGACTGACCATTCACCGACCCTGGTACCTGTCATTCTTTCAACAACAGAAGTGCACAACAAGTTCTCCTCCCTGAGTGACTTGTACGGAATAGTCATTTGCAATCCTCGGCAAGCAGATATTGCCATTATAGATGCCGATGGCACCGGGGACTTTATCGTTCCACCAGGTTCTGTCTTCATTTTATCTACTCTGGAATCTGGACTTCCGGCCTTTGTATCGGCCTCCCATGCATTGCTAGCCTCTAAACCGTTCGACCTGATCCTCATGGATCCGCCATGGTCCAACAGATCGGTACGGCATTCTGGTACGTACAGGACTTCAGACGATCAGATGAATGATCCATTTCAGCAAGCCGTACGCATAATGAACGATTCTCTTGCCCCGGAAGGACTGGTAGCCATCTGGATCACGAACAAGTCCTCCATTCGTTCCAATGTCTTGGAGATGCTCCAAGCTCTGGATCTTCATCTTTGTGAAGAGTGGGTATGGATTAAAATCACTGCCGGAGGCCAACCCGTCACCAAGCTCGATGGGGTCTGGCGGAGACCATATGAGATTCTTCTATTGTTTCGAAAATGTCAGCAATGCGAAGACCCACGGCATAGGATCATTATGGCTGTACCTGATTTGCATTCTCGCAAGCCATGTCTGAAGATATTGCTAGAGGAACTCTTACCTGCTGACTACAATGCATTAGAACTCTTTGCTCGAAGCTTGACTGCGGGCTGGTGGTCATGGGGGGATGAAGTATTGAAGTTCCAGCACGAAAGTCAGTGGACCGGTTATGAGAACACAAAACGAAGGTCCTTTTTTTCATAGGACCAGTTCAATCAATTGATTGTATGGCTGTGTTATGAATCCGCGAGGCTGATGGTATACGCGTGGCTACGTAGCGTCGCTGCCCCCCATAAGCCTAGCGAATGAGGGACGGCGGGGTGCCTGAAATTGCGAATCCCGGACCCTAGTCACTGACGCAATTGCCTCGTATTTTTCCATCAATCAACTTATCTTACATACTTCTACGGCACAGTCGTTTCATATAACCAACATGGCAGATGTCGATGTCCCAGACACGAAAAAGGCCTTCGTGCCACTCGGTGAGTAGCACCGCACCACAACCAAAAACGACAATCACATTTTCCTTGACAACCTACCTATATGCTCATCACTGACCACTCTTTATTCTTTATGTTGATCAGAAAACAACCCCGAAGTAATGACCAACCTTGTCCACGAGCTCGGCCTCTCTCCTACCCTGCAATTCCACGACGTCTACTCCCTCACCGAGCCCAACTTACTCGATTTCCTTCCTCGCCCCGCGCTGGCCCTCCTCCTCGTCTTCCCCGTGACTCAAACATATGAGACTTTCCGCCGCAATGAAGACGCTCCTCTTTCCGAGTACACGGGCTTCGGACCCCAAGAACCTGTGGTGTGGTTCAAGCAAACGATCCGCAACGCATGCGGGCTCATTGGACTTTTGCACAGCGTAACGAACGGGGGAGCGCGCGATCACATCGTGCCCGGCAGCGACTTGGACGAGCTTTTGCAACAGGCCATTCCGTTGGGACCAGAGCAACGTGCGGATCTGCTGTATAATAGTCAGGCATTGGAGGCGGCGCACGCGACGGCCGCAGCGAAAGGGGACAGCACGGCGCCCGACGCGGAGACGAGTGTGGATTTACATTTCGTCGCGTTTGTCAAAGATCGGAATGGAGATCTGTGGGAGTTGGACGGGAGGAGAAAGGGTCCGTTGAAGAGAGGAAGGCTGGGACCAGAGGATGATGTGTTGAGCGAGAAGGGTCAGGAAATGGGTGTGCAGGCGTTTTTGAAGAGAGAAGAAGAGGCGGGTGGAGGGGAGTTGAGGTTCAGTGTGGTTATGCTGGGTCCTAGTTTTGAATGAACGCAGAAATACAAATGTCGCGGATTGAAGGGTTATTGGACCGGTCGGAAATTGCGTTGCATGGCATTGCATTGGATTCAGGACATTTAGCATACAGGCACAAGTCAGACGGAGGTGGATGGGATTTACGACCAGAAACGAAATGAGACCCTGGCATGTATGATTCAGCATTGCCTTGGGATAACAGGGCCATTGAATTCAAATATCGAGAGACCACTGGTGTCTTTCGATTAGTTGGAACCCAACGGGCGAGCTTCATCGAATCGGTTGGGCGCCTCCGACCTATTTTCAATGCTGGCTTCAGCCTCGTCTTCGGCATCAACCACGTCCTGCTGTTCGCGAAGCTTCTTCCTCTCCACCGCTTCCGTTGCTTCGACATTGGCCTTTTTGTCCCGTTTTGCTCGCCTGGTGTTTCGCACATCCCAAAGTCCTTCCAGGTCCATCTCAAGTCGCTTGTCTTCTGTGAACATCTGTACCACAATCCGGGGTGAATTCGTCCGGCTACCGAACCCAACATAATCGTCGTCCGGGTTCTCGTATTCCTCTTCGTCCTCTGCCCTATCTTCGTCGGAAATAGCCTGTCTTTCTTCTTCGCGAGAAATCTTCGCCTCTCTCTGTGCCTCTGGCAAAGCTGCTTCGTTGACGGGTCCCATATTCACACAGATCCACCCCGTAGTTATTCCATCGTCTACATTCCGTGTGGCGACCGTATTTCCTACGCTCTGCGCAAGGGCCAGCTTCCTGGCTTTGCGTCTCAGTTTTAACTTCAACTCGTTGCGTCCCAGTAGTCCATCCGCGTATGGTCGGAGCTTGTATGCCTTCCGCACCCAGCGACAGAATCGATCTGCGGAGACATTTAAATGTTTGACACTGCGCGCCGTGCCGATGATCATGAGTAAATTCGCGCCCAATGCAGGTGGAGGGTCGAGGTGGCGCAGGTCCAAGAGGACCAGGTTGTCGAGTCCGATCTGCGTTGAGAGATGTTCGAGGACCGAGGATAGGATGGCAGGTGAGTTAGGAGGGAGAGGGGGGATTTCTTGTAGAGCGAGGATGGGAGAGATTGGAGCCGGAGGCGTAGGCTCCTCGATTTGCAAATACCAAGGGATTGAAGATTGCGGGGGTGGTTCATCTGTGGATCGGAGAGAGGATTGTCTCAGCAGCGAGAAGGCGCTGAATCTTTGGCATGGTTGGATTCGAGGCTGAGGGAGTCGAGGTCGAGGTCGGGATGCTTGGGCTGGGATTGAAATGCCAACGAGAGAAGTAAATGCATCTAGGAAGGAAAAACGACATGCTCTGCATCTCGCTGCTGATCGATGCATTTTGATCTGCGCAGTCTCTCTGCTTGTGAGGAACGAAAACAATCAGAAGAGAGACAGTCCCGTGGGTAATAAATAAGGACCCACGAGAGTAAATACGGGAGCCCGGTGTCCAAGAATACAGAAAAAATTGTTTGATGGCTTCGAGAAGAGCGTCACACATGGACTGTTTCGGATTAATATTTTTTCCGGAGAACCCCAGGCCCTTGTCAACCTCCAGCTTTGCGTATGGACTTCTTCAATCAATCCTTCTACGCGATAACAATATCCTTGACCTCCTCTCGGCTCCGATGACGACGAGTGATGACCGCTGCGGAAGTGCCGGACACCATGTCATGTACTCATGACTTTGGCTGACATGGAGGTTAAGGCGTTGTTCGTGCACACTCTATCAAGCCCCCTTCAGCACAGCGGCTATGGCTATGTTGTTGCCGAGCCTTGTATGAGTTTCTCTGCACTCTTCTCCAAGATTCCTGCTTTTTTGTTTTGTTTACTCTTCACGTCGGTAAGCTCGTTTTCTGCTATGTCCACAGGATTCTGAGATCTAAAATGCCCTTGAATGGTCTCCTCTCACCATTTTTCATCTCCCCCAATGACCAAAACGATCTCAAACAACGCTCAAACAGAGCGTCTAAAGAGCCAATTCACAAAGCTGGCAGAAAAGCGTACCCATCCGGCCGTCAAAGCTCAGAGCGAAATTGCTGAGCGTACAAACCACTGCCAACCAAGACCACATGAACGTGGAGACAGCCAAGGAAGAGCCGGCCATTATTCGTGAAGGAATAGGCCCAGAATGAGGAAATTCATACCTCCGAGGCGGAGAAAAATCGAGGATTTGCTGGCAAATCAAACACTTGGAAGAGGAAGGGCGGTTTTGGGCGGAACGACTGGTACAACAAAAGACGGCGTGCCATGAAAAGCAAATGGAGGTCATAGAATGGGTAGCCGTGTACACTAACAGCAGTAATGAGCTCGTAAAGGCGGCCGAAACTGCCAAAAGAGAGGAGATCAAGGCCCAGGTCTTCCAAGAAACTCGCCAGGCTGATTGCCAGCATGTCCGAAGAGGACGACAGCGATGGAATATTCCTCCATGATGATGAGAATGGGACTGACGCCATACTCTTAGGATCCACCTTTATCTTTTCTCCATGGTGATCTCACTTACTGACCATATTTTCTCCTCTCAACATACCCGCAACACTAACTATCTAATCACCTCCTCACGCTTAGCATTTCCTCATTGATCTCTGCCATCTCGGCCGAGATCAACATGGCAGATAGCAAGTTGCCATCCACTCCTGACGACCCTATAGCCACTCCGGATCGAACGACCCCGAGCTCAACCTCATTCAAATCATCATCCATGGAAACTCGTCTTGAAAAGACAAACCAATGAGAGAAAATCCCCCAAAGTAAAAATGATCGAAGCGGAGGAAGAAGCCAAAAATGTCGACAGAAAGTCCAAGATCTCAAACTTCAAGAAAAGGCTGAGGAAGCTTGTTCGAGAAAGCCAAAACACCTACGAGAGGTAAGCGAGATTATTAAGAAGGCTCAAGAAAGATATGATCGCCAGCGAAGTGAGGCCAATGACATGCAAAAGGTCATAGTCTGCAGACCCAACGAAGTTGGATGCGCCAAAACATCGGCTATTCGACACGATGCTCAAGCAAAGCACCTCGAAGAGGAACTAGGCAAAACTCATCAACACCGCCCATGCCACCACTGCTCGACAAGCCGGCATTCTCGCCTTGAAGCTCGCGGAACTACAGATTCTACGAGACCTGTGGCGCGGCAAAGAGCTACCATGCTGACCACGTCGACGTCGACGAAGAAGCCCAACCCTCAATCCGACCACAACGATCCTATCGGCTGCGAAAACGTGGATATATAGATTATGAGCTACCGAAAGACATCTCAGACTCAGAAACGGATTTATACCAGACAGGCTGCTCGACCCAACCGCGAAGAGAATCAAAGTCGGCTCGCGCGAACTATTGACGACTCCAGTCCTGCCTGCTCCATGGACGGGAAAGGTAAAAATGCTGATCCAGCTATCAGCAGCTGGAATACTTTGGCTGAAGGAGATGTGTTTGCAATTTGGGAGCCGGAGTTGAGTTGACTCGGCTTAGCTTCATTTGATCATTTCATGGAGGTGAGACAAGCGGATTATACCCTCGTCGGTAGGAAGGAAATCATCGTGATGAACGTGGACGCGGCATAGATGAAGTTGTGCCGACTTTCTTGAGATCGTTTTGAAAGGCTTCGAGGCGAAATGGGAATTGAAACGGGGCATCAAAATGTCTCTCCTGCCTGCTCTTGCCTCGATCTTAAGAGGATAAGGCTGACTTACAAGCCATGAATCTCTAGCAGGGATTTCAGAGAGAAAAAGGTACAATAACACCCTTTAGCCCCTCAAGTTCCGCCTTTGGACCTATCGACACGCCAGGAATGTAGCCATTCATTGCTCTGTAGTCATAAACACATCACCACCGCTGCCATTGCCACTGCCACCAGAAGACATTGGGCCTGAAATCGAAGAAGACCCAGCAGCCACACCTCCTGCACCAAAACCTGCACCGGTATTTTGACCTTGGCCCTGCCCCTGCCTATATGTCTGTGTCCGGCTCTGCGTCGTCTCCGTTATTGCCGGATCATCAATTGTATCACCATCAGATTCTCTCGCTCTTTCTCTCTCCCCATTCCCATTCCCTACTGGTGCGGCTGCGTTGATACTGTCACCTTCGTCTTCATCATCCTCATCATCTTCGTCTTCCGTGTCCTCCAACTCCGCCTGTCTCTGCTTGACCTTCTCGACCATCCACTCCGTGACCTCACGCTCATGGATCTTCATCATCTGATTCAATACCACACCCCGGGACTTTATCAGTTTGCCGTATCGTTTCGACGCCTTGCCCTCTTTCTTCCACATGCTATGTGCCTGAGACACATACACGAGCGAATTTTCTCGGTACCATTGGCTCACCCAGTGCAGAGAGGGGTTTGAGATGGGTCGGATTGGGTTCGTGGTGATGAAGCCGATAACACCTAGGAGGTTGGGGTAGACGTTCTCTGTTGGTTCCGATTGTGTCACATCAGTCATCCACTGACACAGCAAGAGGAAACCGGGTCCAGGTAAATGTTGCACATACCATTCTCGCTAACCAACTTGGCCAGAGCATGAAACGCATGGCCTGCACCCATGAGAAAAATGCCGCCGACGAACTCATAAGGTTCGACGTAATTTTCCCACAGGTACGCCGCAAGCTTTTCCCCTTCTTTGCGCGCGATATCTGTCGTTGCGGATGCATACTCGACTTCAGAGCCCGGAGGATATTCCGCCGACAAAGAACCGGATCCTAAAACTGAGCCATCGCTGGCAGTGATGGTGATGAGTTCAGGGATGTTGACATCGATGACACCGAAGCCGTGCGCGACTCCCCAGCGAACGTACGACTGTGCGCCGTCAACCTTTTTGCATTGTGAGCAACCAAGGTCGTTGATATGAAATGAGGAACAAAAATCGCGGGTAAATATGTATTATATAGAGAGGGGAAGAGGAAGGGCGGACAAGAACAACACCTACCAGCCATGTATCATGTGTCTTTTGCTCTGTGGTTAATCCCGCACCTGAACTTAATAAATCAGGTCTGTACAAATACCGGTCGTTAGCATGGGGGCTTCAACAATCTCAAATGGAGCTACTCGAAGGGAAAAAAAAGGCAAAAAACATACGAGTCATGGAAGATAATCAAAAGATGCTTCTTGCTCTCGTAATTTGGTCTGGATGTGAATCATCAACAATCAAACCAAAATCAAAGATCAACCCATCATCTAGGTCATAGAGGTGAGCGGAGCACTCACGTAGCAAGGACCTGGTGATCGAATGATTTCGATACTATTTCTCGGAAAACATGTAGTTGCGTCAATTTGTATTTGTCGTATAAGTGCATTGCTTGCCATTGGCGGATGACGTCTGTATTCGGTACGATGGCCGGTTAGTTCATAATCGCCGTGACAAGCGAGAAAGAAGGGATAAGACAATTGATCATGCAAGGTAGGGCTACGGTAAGGACCAACCATGCAATCTTTCTCCTCCGAAGATGCCGCCTACTGGATCTGCGTGGTATAATTGTCAGCTGTTGTTCGAATGAATCATGATTCAAAAAGTTGTGTTCCCTCACCTTTGGGGTACACACTTCGCCAATACTTTGACTGGACATTGCGGACTTTGGCCACTGTATCGACGGCTGAGGGTGTGGCGGCTGTAGCGTGGAGTCTATCGGGTGGTTCTCCCATTAATGTGCGAGTGACGGCCAGGGCGGATTTGGATATCGCGCTGAAATTGTAGCCTCCCTATACAAATCATTATAGGTATGATCTCTGATCATGAAATGATGATCGGAACAGACCTCGAGACAAACGGCAATCTTCCCTCCAGCAAGTGACATGAGCATATGCGTCATATGTGCATAGCAGGGTGGCGTGACGAAACATCCACCGAGTTCATCTCCAGCTGCGGCATCGAAACCTGAGGCAACTGAAGTAAAATGTTAGGACGAGTCAGGCTCAAATTGGTATGAGACATCGAGACATACCAATGACAAAGTCCGGATCGAATTCAACGGCGATCGGCATGACTACATGTTGGAACGCATACATGTAATCGCCATCGCCCATCCCTTTGGTTGGCCAGGGAATATTAACGTTCCTTGAGAGAGTTACGACCGCCACATCTTGACGATTCAGGGAGGAGATGAACACTTACATGCCCAGTCCTGGGCCAGTGCCGCAATGGTACATGTCACCTTCATTTCCAGATGGATAGAACATGCCATTCATATGGACATGAATTGAAATGTAGAGGATATTGGGATCGTCGTAGAAGGCCTTTTGACAACCATTTCCTATACACTTCAGTACTCCAGTCCCGACTTTGTCGAATCAGAAAAATTCACCATGGTGAACGTCCCTATGTGTATCCAGATCGTCAATCACACGCACATCATGTCCACACAAGGAACAAGCACTCACCAGTCAACGATCAAAATCTTTCGACAATTGTCTTGGAAATCAGTTTGACAGACCCTCGAAGCAATGCAGACATTATTGAACAAGCAGAACCCCATCGGACGATGGGTCTCGGCGTGATGACCAGGGGGTCGAATAACAGCGACTGCATTCTTGACCTTGCGCGAAAGCACGGCTCTGCAAGTCTCAATCGCTGCGCCCGCGGACAGCTTGGAAGAAAAATATGATAAAGAATTGAAATAGATCGAGTCCATCTCGATGTTTTCGGACAAGTCAATGAGTTCTTCATCAGTCATTTCTAAAGCAGCAAGCACAAGCAAGGACATGTCAGTTTCGGTTTGTAGTGAGCCTGAGAAGTGTAGGAAGGGATCTCACCGGCGGTGTCTTTGACAAATTCATAATGTTCCGGAGTATGGATCAAAAGGCACTCGTCTCTCGTCGCTTCACGAGCATCGATTCGATACAACGGCGTTTCGACCATGGGTGGGTATTTCTTATCATTGACCAGCCCGGCCTCGCAAAGTTCTTTGTAGATGTAGTAGATGCGACGAGGATCTTCGGGGTGGACATTTTCACCACTCGTCGCAGCGACCTCGGCATGATATCGCATACGCTCATCGTAGCAGAGGCCGGTGGGAAGTTTTGAGACCGGGAGGCCACGCTGGGATTTGGGAACGGTTTCATCGGCTTCGGATGAGGTGTCGGACAATAAGCTGTCTTCGTCTTCTTCCTCGGAAGTCTCGATCTTTAAGCGATTGTCGATCTCGTTTGTTACATCGGGAGTGTCTCTCATGGACGTGTCGCCGGAGAATTGAGGAGGTTCCTGCAGCTTCGGAATCGGGTTGGGTAATCTGGGTCCATCTGAAGGCTGAGGTGGCGGAACACCTTGGCCCAACAGCGGGATTTGAGCCATGAGGATGTCCTCTGCCGCCAGTAAGGCCCCACTCTCAAGTGTGGCTGTAAGGAGAAAGACCACTAGAACACATGCATAGTGGGCGACTATTTGCAGGAAGGCAATCGAATGGCTGACGGGTGTTAACGTAGAGAGGATAAGATCCTTCCCCCCAGCCCGCACCTGTGGTTCACATGTCAGTCAAAATTCACATTGGGTCGCCAGAAGCGTAAAGGGCAGACAGTGGGACTTCAAGGTAGATGTATGTCGAACAGATCTAGCTGAATCGGAGAAATAGCCTACTGTGTCACACACACACCCCTCCCTTCAGCTTGAGTCTTGCTAGTATCTTTGTCCGGAATGTAGCCTTGTTCGTTTCAGCTGGCCGTTGAAAACACAAGATTGCATCAACTTGAACTGCCACGAAACCGAAATGAACTATAGATGCTGTTTGCCGAGCTCTTCTTAGTATCGCGGGGTGTGAATGAATACATGGTCTCAAGGCGCTCGCTGGGGCGGGCAGCGGAAGAACAGGGGACAATGCCAAGAAATCCCAGCTCATGTGACTCCCAAAGAAGGCTGAGGTCACGTGCATAAACTCGAAGCACGTGCCTCCAATTCAAAATGGACTTGGCTCCGGACGGTGGATGGAGTTGGAACAACGAGAAATACTCTTCGGGCCAATCTCGAGGTTCGTATTTTTCAATTTGAAAAAGGGAATCTTAAGGATACGGACGCCGGTTGGGGCTAAACAATATGAACAGGCTCAATCTATGTTTTGTTTCCACTTGTTTTCATCTTTTCATCTTCCCAGAAAAGTCCCATTCTTTCACGACCTCGTTCCGAACCAGAGTGAGAAATCTCTTAGAAACCCTCAGCGAGTCATGATATTGAAATAGGCATATCACTTAGGCATTTCCATCCACCTTGGCCATGTAGGCTGGACAACAGCGTCAGTAAAGGGAAAAAAAAAAAAAAGGCCCCGAAATCTTCCGATCGGATAAAGGACTCACCCAAGAGATCGATAACACGTCGGGAATATCCCCACTCATTGTCGTACCAGGCAATCAACTTGACGAAATGGTCATTGAGAGCGATACCGGCCTTGACGTCGAAGATGGAAGAGTGGTTGTCACCGTTCAAATCGGTGGAGACGAGATCATCTTCGGAATAAGCGAGAATGCCTGGAAATTTGGGTTAGTTGGCCCGGGTAGAAATGGCTCAGGATTTTCTTCCGCTTACCCTTGAGTTCACCCTCGGATGCATCCTTCATGGCCTTCTTGATTTCGTCGTAGGTAGCAGGCTTCTCGAGGACGCAGGTAAGATCAACAACGGAGACATTGGAGGTGGGGACACGCATAGACATGCCAGTGAGTTTGCCATTGAGAGAAGGAATGACCTTTCCGACAGCCTTAGCAGCACCAGTGCTGCTGGGGATGATGTTTTGAGCAGCCGTTCGGCCACCTCGCCAGTCTTTGTTGGATGGACCATCGACGGTCTTTTGGGTTGCGGTGTAAGAGTGAATAGTGGTCATCAAACCCTCCTTCATGCCAAACTTGTCGTTGACGACCTTGGCTAGAGGTGCCAGACAGTTGGTTGTGCAAGAAGCGTTGGAGATGACCGGGATATCGGATTTGTAGGAGGTGTTATTGACACCCATGACGAACATGGGGGCATCAGCAGAGGGGGCGGAGATGACTACCTTCTTTGCGCCACCCTTCAAGTGGGCAGAGGCCTTTTCTGTGGTGGTGAACACACCAGTGGATTCGACGATGTAGGTTGCTCCCGTTTCGGACCAAGGGATCTCAGCAGGGTCTTTCTTCATGTAGAACTTGACCGGCTTGCCATTGACAACCAGACCGTCGCCTTGGACTTCAATGGTACCCTTGAATTGGCCGTGTGTGGAATCATACTTGAGCATGTATGCCTGCGGATATTAACAACGATCCGGGTCTCAGGAAGGCAGCGGCGTTACGTACAGCATACTTGGGTTCAATGAAGGGATCATTGACTGCAACAACGTTGACATCGTCGTGCTCAACACTGTGAAAGGGTGTTAGAAGGAGGATTTTCGGTGGCCGATAGAGGGCGGGGGGCTGTACTCACGCATTTCTGAACACCTGGAAGAGTGTTAGCTATCGAGACGAGCAATAGAGGGTTGTTCAACTTACAATTCTTCCAATGCGGCCAAAGCCGTTGATTCCGACGAGGGTAGGCATGTTGAGCTCAAGAGAATGCAAAGTGCTGGGGAGGCAAAATGAAGTCAGTCCGGATGTTTTGAGGAAGCCCGTCGAGCTTTTATCGCTGGATGCAGCCGGAATCAAGGCACCAAAACAAACTCACGTAACTCGAGGTCAGCGTCGACTTCGCCCAATTGAAGACGACTGTAGTAGTTCAATAACGAGAATAACAGAGCAACGTCGGTGGTGTGATGGGTAACGGGATGAATGGTGAGCAGAGCTTTGTGTTTCCTGGGGGGCAAATGGTGGGGCAGTGTTGACGTTTGAGGGGCAGAGGCAGCGAAGACAGTTTTAATAAGGAGTCGTCTGGCAGATGCAGCTTCGGGTTTCGTTGATCTTCGGACAGCGCAGCTTTGGGTTATCGTGTATTTTCGCCGATGGCAATTGATTTAGTTTCCGATCTTTTCTACCTACCAGCAGGGCAAGCATCTCTTTTCTAATCTCATGACTCAACAGAGAGTCGCTTATCACAGCAATTCTCCCTGAACAAAGCAGCGAGTCAGCGTCTTCCCTCCAATCGCCTGTCTTCTCTCCTCTCTGGCAATACGGCACGCGGCGCGGAATTACCTGTTTTTCCGCCAATCCCTCCGTCGCACTGGAAAGCGCGACAAACGCAATCGTTGACCCCCCCAAAAAAAAGCATCACGCACACGGTGAAATGGGTATATGATAGCCGACGCCAGGATAGGACGAAACATAGCCACAGTTGCCATCTATTTCCTTTCCAAAAAGACTGCGAACAATATCTATATCCAGCATGGATCGTCTGTGCACCTGTTTTTTCCCAACCCCCCCCCCCCCCCCCCCTCCTGTTAATATGATGATGTCGTCATTATTCTACTCCTCCTTGGCTCCGCCACGACCAGCTCGTTCGGCTGCTTCGATACTAGCCTTGTCACTCTTTGTCTCGCCTTGACCCATGCTCATTATACCTCCGGACGCCTTCCATGGGCGTTTGAGATCTCCAGACGCCGGTCTGCCAAAGATGTGTACCTTGACCAAGTTGCTTTCGAAAGCACTCTTGACCGGGATGATGGATTGAATGAGCAGTGGGTTGGTGTACTTGAGATACAAGTGCATGAATGCCATCATTCCAATGCCCATCAATTGACCCTTGTACGCCAACGAGAGTTGATTCTGATCATACTCTTGAACTGTGGTGGTGACGAGTTTGGGTTCCTCGCCAGAACCCATGGGTGCAGGTTCAACATACTTGAGAGTGGTCAGATCTGGACATGATCAGTTGGAGATTGTGGTGTAAAATCCGTCATTCTTCTTCGCACCTCTTTTCGCTTTGATCTTCATGCCAATGTAATAGTAGATGCCAAAGATGATCAAATTGGACACCACGTAGAGAATTCGAACCCCCATAAGAACTTGAGGGTCGTCAAAGGGTATTCGCTTGGATACCTGCATCATCCCGAGGATGATCACCAAGTTGGTGCTGCGCACTGTCAGTCACGAGCGCTTAATGTCACATTGAATGGAGGTTACATTTGTGGGTTGAGGGCATTCATCTTGAAAACCGGCGATGAGATGGATGGAAGCTCAGGTAAAGGGAATGACGATGTGCCTCCAAGACAGTCTGTTCAAGCAATGGTCTGGGAGGAGAGATGGACGATGGATCGCATGTAAACTGGACAGATCGCAGACTTTTCCTTGCTTCCAGCCTCCGAACCAAAGTCACGTGGTTAACCAAGCCATCTCGTCTTCCCCTGGTCTTCTCCACCTGTTCTTCCGTTGACGATCGAACGTCTTTGTCCTCCATCCTCTATCGTCTCAACCTCATTTAATCCGTGCTACTGATGAGTTTGACAGCATTCTCACCGACTTGGGTACGTGGGAACATCACCACAAGCAAGAGTTTCAAGAATCACACTAGAAGAACAATCAACCGACTTCTCGTCATTCGCAGCAGATTCGAAGGAAGAGAGACCGCCTCAAATACCGAAGGGAAGAAAAAAAAAAAAAAAAAGGGCTCTCGGATACCTTTTCCTATCGAGTCGTGCTGGAAAACCCCTCCCCTATTCCTGGTTCCATCTCTGCAAAACCCAACCTCCCGAAGACATTTGGTCCCATAATTTACAGTTTTCGTCTCTTTCCACCGTTGTTTCTGGCCGCCCAGCTAACACTGACCACCTAACTAGTTACGCTGGAGTCTTGAACTCTGAATTCAATTCCATGGTCCCAAAGAAGCTATGCGTTGACTGTTTCTACTATATGTCCGCTTCCGGCCTAGAGCCGGGTACCAAATGCTAGACTACACCTTGATACCAGATGGCAAATCTTCCTCTACGGTAGATAGCAGTAGCATGTTGGACACGTAGATGAAAGCTCAGATGAACACCCTCCCGTTGACTGACGGTGATAGTTGACGGCACAGCCGCCGAGGTTTGGGAGGGCTTTGGGTCTAATCTCCATATTTTCAACTTTTCCCCGTCTCAAACATGTGTACAGTTACATAGGTAGATGTTGACGGATCCGATCCGATCTAAGGCCTGGGCCTGCATCTGCGTCTATCAAATGTCTTTGGAGCGGATTGGCCGTTTTAAAACTTTTCCTTGACAGCGGCCCGCGTTAATGAATCTCTTTTTGGTTGTCGTTTCCCTTTTTCTTCTTATGCCCAATGAAGAGCCGGACTTGCCGGTTTCAAACTTTTTTGCTTTTTAGAAAACATATGCATGTGCAATTGTGTATGGTTGTGAGGGTGCATTTTTCAAGCAGTCTTCACCAAGGATATCGAGGGTCTTTTTTGTCCCCGTTTTGCACCAATTCAATCACATCCGAATCACCACTGCGAGGCATGACAGTGACGCTGTGACCCACAGTCTTTCTGATCTCTCCGCTGGAGAGCGTTGGTTTCGAGATGCGATATGTACGCTCATCAGACTTCGGGTCAGATGAGCTACCAAAGCAGGTTGGGAAAATGCGTCGAAGTAATGCTCGAATTGCAGGTAGACATGTGCATATAATGCTGACAAAGGCCTCAAGCACACTCCAGTAAGCCGTGGGGACATTGTCATCTGTCGTTAAAAATTAGATATACACTAGCTGAGAGGGACGAGACCCAAAAAAAGTCTTACATGTGGGATTCGTTGTCGTTGCAAATCGGACCAGAGAGCTGAGACGAACAATACTAACGACGGTGATGCTGCGCGATAATGTCAGCCAAATTCCAATAACATGCAAACGAGCATCCACAACTTACAATAAACCGACGCTGAACATGAGGAAAAGATGTATCTTCCTGCGGCGTCCCATGTGAAGACGAAATAGCATCGGCACGGGGAGAAGTATAACCCAAAGGTCGAAAACAATGTTGATGATGGCATGGGCCCAAGCAAAGTGATTGAAGTTGAAACAGCGGCCACGGGTCTCACCGGTCCAGCTGGTCCAAGTGTAGGATATGGGGGAGCAATGAAAGGTAGTTGCCAAAGCAAAGGCCAGCATGTAAGCAACACATACCACCAGTGTGACAAGGACCACGTTGCGGAAAGGTTGCGTTGGGAACACTCTCCAGTAGAGAAGGAGGATTGCCATCTTGGTGAGCCCGACAACCACCATGTAGAGAATCTCCGTTATCCAGGTAAACTGACACATGATTAATCAATTTGCCTGCAGATTTTGGTGTTTTCCTGTTTACCTTGACAATTCGAGTAACCTTGCTGAAAGGTATTGTCCATATATCCTTGCCGAACCCATCACTCGACACTATAGGCTGATCAGCTTGTCGGTCTCAAACGACGATGTTGAGTCATGCTCACTGAAAAATTCCAGGATTCCCATGGGAATTGCAAAAACCTAATAAGATTAGTGACCGAATCGACGCACGATGAAGTGTCTTTTCTTACCAGTGAGCCAACCACGCAAAGGTCAGCCCATTGATATCGTTCCCAATGGGGAAATCGATCTGACAGTCGAAGTATAACACAGACAATGGCAAGAGCCCCCGAGGTTCCAGTCACTATGGGCGTAACTGCAGTGTTGTCTCGAATCGAGTCCCCGCAGAGGGTGGAAGTTTCGTTTTTGGCAGCTTGAGAGGGTCAAGTCAGCATCAGCGAAGAACGTCAGAATCGAAAACCTTACTTAAACCCTCTTTGACGGTGCAGTTGGCTAGAGTACAGGTTTCAACATTGCCCATCAGAGGAACGTTCGAGCATATGCAAGCAAAGTCTGTTGGATCGCAGGAGGACTGTGGAAGAAATTGTCCCAGGCAGTCAGACTAAAGATTTCACAATTCGGTCAGCAAAAATTTCTCTCCAAGGAGATTCAGGGAGCCTTACAGCGCATTCTGGCAAAGATTGTGTATGGACCAGAGCAGCAAGGCTCGCCAGGAGCGGGATCAGCCTGCCAGGCCTCATGATGTTGTTGTTTGGTTATTTGCCACGATGTCTGCAGTCACTCGAGGCTTGACTTGGGTTGAGGAATAAGGTTACGATTGAGGCTGGAGAGGAGAAGAGCGATTCGTATCATATATGTCGCGTCAGCGTATGCCCGAGTCCAAACTTTTCTGTATCCACCTGAAGAGAACGAAAAGCATCCGACAGTTTTTGGTTCGGAAAGCAATGATCTGCAAGTTCTCGAGAGAAATCAGGAAGTTCTCCGTGGCAGATCACGCAAACAGTTTTCGTAGCGAAACCTGGGGCCTTAAGCGCGCAGAGGTCTGCACCGGCAAACATTTCCCCGGCGGATCAGCTAGGAAAATCCCTGAACAATGGAATGAATATGTAGAAAAGAGCAGGGGACCGAAAAGCGACAGATGCTTTGGCGAGCCAAGGTGATTTCCAGCGGGCTTGGAGCTCATTCTGCTTTTGCAACATCAACCGATGGGGCCTTGGGTGACCTGCATTAGAGACTAGAGTCCTGGGAAGGAACTGGAACCTCTCTAACTTCTGGTTTGCCTCCAAAGAGAAGGTATTCCAAAGAAAAAGAGTCTCACCATCACTGACCGATAAACCCACAAGCTGGGGTAGAAAGGCCCTTGAACCTCGTCACCGATCTCGATATTGCCATGTTCCTCTCATTGTCGAGGGAGGCCATTCCAGGAAGAGCAGAGATTGGCTTCTGTGAATCAACGGCCAAACTGTTGCCAGTCTAGTGGTTGAGTTCCACCATAATGGGTACTGGATAAAGCAAGTCAGGAAATGGAGCCGTATACAGGGTCGCTACTTAGTTAGTATCCACTGCAGCGGCGAGGCTTAGGTCCCCGCGGCCAGTAACTGGACGAAGGTTGGAAGTGAATCCACTAATGTCGTTTGGTGGATTTTATTTATGGGCCCAAGGCTTTTAGAAAGGAGTCTGGTCCGTGACAAAGAATATCCCCCATGCAGATCACATCCGTATTCCTACAATTAAGGATACTTTTGGCCCTAGCAAGGATTTTTGGCCGTTCAGGGTGGCGCTGCGGAACGGTCGATCCACATCCAATCATGAAACAGCAACCCTAGCGAATTCAAAGACGTTTTAGCTGTACAGCCGACGGCGCACGACTTAGCATTTCAATCGAATGATAAGTTTGCTAATTGCAAAACAGCTGGTGGATACTGCATTTTCTTGCAGGAGCTAGTCGAACCGGCAGTCTTGTGAAGCAATTGAGAATTTCAGATGCGGTGATCGTTTCTTTGCGAGCATATGTTCTCTCGCTTCCGGTCATATATCATGCCTCGGTCTGCCGAGTGACTGGGATACTTGTTTCCTCTTCACTGAACCTGGTCCGATGACCCCTTAGCAGCCGAAACGACTTTGAATATGGCGTCTCTTCTCGTTCCTGTCGGAAGCATCTTCTCAAAGTCTTCCCTTGGCTTGTTGTTGGGCACCATTGCCATTTACTGGATTCTTTGGATTGTATATGCTCGAAATTTTCACCCCCTCAGTAAAATTCCGGGGCCATGGCTTGCATCAGTGAGTCGTCTGTGGTACATGATCCAGATTGCTCGAGGCGATATGGAACACACCCAGAGACGTCTCCATGCACAATTCGGGCCACTCGTCAGGATTGCTCCCAATGAGATCGCTTGCGCTTCCCCCGATGCCATCAAGAGCATCTATCGAACCCAAGGAGCTTTGGATAAAACCGATTTCTACACTGTCTGGAACAGTGAGAATTTCAGCAAACATCGAGACGCCTTCACAGTCACAAGTGACAAAGCACATGGAGAAAGGAGGCGCATTGTCAATCATTGTTACACTTTGTCGAACGTGTTGAAGTCGGAGGAATACATCGACCTGTGCTCTCAATTATTCCTCCAACGGCTGGGTGACTGCGCGAAGAGTGCCACGCCGATGGACTTGGGCAAATGGGTACAAATGTATGAATTCATCTGACACAATGTGGCAGGCTGCTGACACTTCCCAGGTACGCTTTCGATGTGATTGGTGAACTTTACTTTGGTCGAATGTTCGGATTCATGGAACATTGCCACGACCATGAATCTTGGATCCATTCGCTGGACTTGCTGATGCCATTCTTATGCATGACAGCCGTGGCTCCAACATACATCCGGCCGTTGATCCTTGGTTCAGCCCTCGTGGTTCCAGGGTCTCTGAAGGCTTTGAAGGCCGTTGAAAATATCGGCAAGGCGTCCAGAAATTGCGTGGCTAAACGATTTGAGGAGACATCCAAGAATGAAGGGCCGCGCCGGACCGATATCCTGGATCAACTGTTCGCAATTCAACAGGAGAAAGGAGACAAGGTTGACTTCAAGCTCGGTGATATCGAGCAGGAAGCCTATGTTGGTTTGTCAGTATGATAACCTCCGTAATGCCTTGGCATGCTGACTCTCTCAGATTTGCGGGTTCTGACACCACTGCCATTGGTTTCCGCTCAATCTTCTATCACCTCATGAAAAACCCGACCGTGTATGCACAACTCATGCAGGAAATTGACACGGCCGCGGAAAATGGACAGTTGAGCTCTCCTGTCAAGTATTCGGAAGCAATCAAGCTTCCGTTTCTGTGTGCCTGCATCAAGGAAGCGCTGCGCGTGCATCCGGGCGTGGCCTTGACCATGGGTCGCATTGTCCCTACCGAAGGTCTCGAGCTTTGCGGAGAATACATACCAGGAGGATATTGGGTTGGAATGAATGGGGCCGTTATCCACTATGACAAGACCATCTTCGGAGCTGATGCCGATCAGTATCGGCCGTCCCGATGGTTCGAGGGGGATGCGGCTAACATGGACAAGTACATGCTGCATTTCGGGGCTGGAACGCGGACCTGCATTGGAAAAAATATCTCGATTACGGAGCTCCACAAGCTAGTGCCGTATGTCCTGAGATACTTCAAGCTCGAGATGTGGGAAGCAGACAAGACATGGACGACTAGGAACTTGTGGTTCAACAAGCAGGAGGGTCTCATTGTGAGAGTGACAGCTCGCCCGGTGGCGGGCTAGGCTAGGGGGGGACGATGCAGTTAAGACCCGGTTCTCGAATAGCAGAGTCCGCAGAGTCCTCCGAATGCACTTGTCCTAGCAGGTCCAACTTTGACAGGCACAACGTGAGAGCAGGGCACGTTGTTGGCAGTACAGGGGTATTTATAGCCACGAGGCGAGGCCAGGAGAATTGGAGAGGAGGTGCGATCGGATAGGAAGGATGTTCGTAGTCGTGGCAAGATCGAATACGAGAAACCAAGCGGAGCAAAAACCTGCCCAGAAACAACGAGTCACGTGATATCGCTTAAAACCACCAACTGGGACTTCAACAGACATCCATCCGCAAAGTCTCAGTTTGACTCTGGGATGTAAGGATCCTCTGAAACTTTTCTTGCGACTGCCTCGATGCGCTATGGCCATGCTGAATGACTCCCTGTCTCCCTTTGCTCTTGTGGATGGTCGAACCACTCATCTCCCATCTAGGCAGCAATAGCGTCCTCCCCTACAACACTAATTGAACCGAACCGATGGGCCATATAGGCTTCCACGGGTACCGAAAAGCAAAATGCTAATGAGTTCTCTCTGTCGGAAGCTGCTCTAATGTCCCTGCTGAGAAAACGAATGAAGAAAGAAGGTGAAGGCTCTGATCGACCTGCGACCGTCAGCAGCCGCAGCACCACCACCTGGTATCCACCTACCAACCATGTCGCAAAAGAGAGAAGAAGGAAAAATATAGAAAGAACAAAAACTTTCTCACAAACTCCTAGATTTGGGAGGTTGCGAGGAGAGAAACCCCGGTAGACCAGGATTTTTCCGTTTGCGGCCCACGGCCCCTAATCCCTCCTCTTTCCCACAATCCTCCTCGAGAAATTAATGTTGAACAGTGTGAGATTTGAACCATGGAAATTTTCGCCTAGGAACACGCCTTCCACTGAGCTGTCGACCTTCCCTAACGTGCCAGTTGCGTAGGATTGTACTTCCTGCATAAGTGGCGCGCTTCGAACTCCCAGGGGTCTTGGTGTGTTGTGGACAGATTCTGGTGATTTAATCTATAAGCTATGATTTTTCAAAAGCGTGGAAAGCAATGAATGGAGCGATCATGTGATTGATTGAGCAATGATTCAGGCCCCATATTATTTGCTTTCTGTAGCAGAAATCGTAAAGCTCCTTTCAAATCTGGGTTGAAACCTCTCCGACGATCACGGTATGCAAATCCATCTCCATTGCGACGCTGCTTGTACACCCCTGCCCAACATCTCTCGGTCGATATGATCCATTCGAACAGCGGCTGGCCTGTGTTCCACGAGATAGAGTCGTAGATGACATCAAGAAGGAAGCAAGAGAACAGATCCGTGACATTCAATTCGGAAGACGGATGTCTCTAGGCGACCGAAGCACTCGGCGTTATGTCTTCAATGATCGGCTTCATGTCTGGGATCTTCTCAGCAGATGCCACTGTAGCGACATCCAATCACCGCGGTGTGCATCTGGTGGTCCTTGGAGGATACGCAGGTCGCGTTCGATTTCTTGAGTTGAAAGTCTTTCGCCCAGATCCTAGACAGACAATCCCTAACCTCCATGCCCGTTTTCGATTTTCACGTCGCCATCCTCCTCTTTCCTCTCCTTGGCTTTCTGAGCTTCACCATCCAGCAATACCTTCACAATTCCCCCGGGCCCAGGTAACGGCCCACCGCCAGGCATCACACTGCTAACATCCCCATCTTCGTCGACAAACTCAAACCTGTATCTCGATAGATAATGCGGAATGGCGCTCAACTGCGGCCCATAGCGTGCCGTATTGTCGTATAGCTCGAACAGTGGAACAGCCAAGAGCTTCATGTTCTTAGGGACGCTGAGCACTTTATTGGGCGGAAGATGGATCAGATACAACTTCTTAAGTTCCTTTGGCCGTGAGACGTGAGCTGGAAGAAACGGGTACAGGAAAGTCTCATGATTTGGTCGCCACCTGCCATCAATGTCAATGTCGTTGGGCAAATTATGGCCTAGAAGGAAGACAACCATTGAGCCAGACAGTCTCCGACATCCCAATCCATGTCTCCTTCTTTTGGATTGGTGGGTGCCAGTCTCTCGTTCAACCGCATTTTGAATCCCTCAATCTCATCGGCATCATGCGGGAGGTAGTCTCCTGGTCTGCTCTTGTTGGACTACGTCAGCATCATCTCCTGACAGTTGGCAAAGTTAGGCGTAACCCCACAATTTGAAAAATGCATTGGCAATCTGTAGCATGAGAACATGAGGATGATTGTGCTCATGGCAAACAAGAATGCCCTCACAAGTCCGCCTCATGCCGTATTTCTCATAATGTTCCTCCAATCTCCTCAGCCTTGCTACGACCGACGGGTCTTCTTCTGGCTGCGTCTCTTTGGTGCCAAAAGTGTAATTCGAGAGAGGGTAGAGTCGTATTGTTGGAGGTTGGTTGGCAGTGAACGGAGGTGGAAGAAGTGGACTTGGACTCGTGTTAGAGATGAAAAACCGAAGGTCAAAATAGAGCTGGATCGTACGGGTAGGAGGATCTCATGGTTGTCGTAGTGAGGGTAGACATTTTGAAGGCGTATTCCCGCCTTGAGTTTGAGGTAGGCTGATAAGTCAAAGGGTGAAATTGAACCCATGAAACTGCCTGAAGGGCTGCGGCACGCAGATACAAGTTTTGGATGTTGTGATTTCCCCCCAAAGTGGTGGGGCTAACCACGACGCGTCGGGAATGGCGGATTGAAAAACCCCATTAGGCTACTTGAACGGCAAATCGTTTGACACGGTGCTTTTTCACGAAGTAGACCAAGAGACAGTCAATTTATGACTTCTTACATCGCATTTTATCTCTGTTGCGAATCTATTTCTAATCTACGTAAGGGGACGACTTTTGTGCCAACGGCGCCTTCGCTGTGCTATCCAGAAACGTCTGATGTTTTCCGTGCCTGTTCGCTTCGGTCTCAGAACGCCGAGCGATGCAGGCTCACAATTTAGATTCAAGATCTTCGAAATCACGCAGGTCTTCAACAGCAACAGGTGCTTTGCTGACCTGCAAACCGGCTCTCCACTGATATGCGTCCTTGATGACAACGGGGGGCCGAATCTGGGCTGCCATCTCCACCGTATTCGCCGGAGGCGTCACCGCCTTGATCTTCAAGGCCATCTGGATCTGGGTTATCGCTTCCTTTATTTGTCCCAGGATTTGGTCTGTCTTCGCCGAGGGAATTGATGTGCCAATGTAGTCTTTGATTGCTCCAACAATGCTCTGCTGGTCGGTGATCTCCACGTTTTCAAATTGACTCTTCAATCGAGCGTCTTCGACGTCAACATCCAAAGATCCGAGAACTTGCCCAAGGAGCCCAACAAGTTGGTCCTTTTGCTCCGCCGGGGAAACTTCGGGCACAGCGGCCGTAGCTTGCGCTTCGAGATGGACTGAAAGCTTGGCTCGCGTTGGTGACTCCGGATCAATATACTGCGCATAGAATTGCTTCATATCGTCCTTCGTCAGCGGTCGAATCATTGCGACATCTCGATCAACTTGATAGAAATTGAGATATTCGCCGCTGATATACGACCAAAGACGATTGGTCTCCAAGTCGAGGTTCTTCAGCTTCTCCAATCTCTTATTGACAAGACTTCGCTTGTGTCCTTCAAAATCGTTTTCAGACATTGAGTCCAGAGCCTTCTTGAATTTGAACAAGAATGCATTGATTCGGGTCTCGAGGTAACCGGGATCTCGCTCGCTTTGTATGAGTATTCTATACCCCATAGTGACAGCTGCAGGCCGGACACCACTCCAAACCACATAACCTAGCTGTTCTTTGGTTCGGAGTTGGTCAAAGGCTGGTTCGTCGGTCATTTGAGCAAATAATTGCAATCTCGCTCGAAGAGGAACATCCATCACGTGTCCAACATCCAAATAATACTCGATAGCGTGATTAATGTTGGCCGGGTCGCTCAATGTGTGCTTGTACACAAAGTTACTTCCTTGCGGGATAATGACATTCCTCCTCAGTTGCCATTGCGACACGGGCAGGGCACGTGGTTTCAATGTTGATTCGATCAAATTGGCGACCTTCTTCGCATCTTCTCTGTACAAGTTGCCGTGGGCCAGAACTTCAATATGCGCTTGTTGCAGGAACTGGGGGCCGAATGTTATGACATCGTTGACTGTGACGTGGGGAAGCTCCGCAGCATAGACGTCGTTCATCCACGATCCCTCGTTCAAGAGCCATCTGGTGTAGTCTCCGATCTGATAATAGGGTTGCTGGTAAGCCCAATTCTTGTATTTCCTGGCCATGCGCTCTTTGATGACGTCGAACCGATCAGTTCTAATGTCGATCTTGCGGATCGTGACCAAGATCTTTTCCAACAAGACCGCCATCTTGTCATTGTACCCGTGTACGCTAATGTCTAGCCCTGACATATTTGCCCCGATGGCATAGGAAAGGCCTGAAATTTCCGCGTCATAGGAATAGCTCGACAAAGCGTCCTTGACCAAACTGACAAACAGGCAAGTTTTGACATAGTTGGCAGGATTGGCGTAGGTGATCGGGTTTCGGAGCTTGATGTTGAGATTGGCTTTGGGAACCCAAAAGGTATCATCCTTCTTCCACCACAAACGGATTACGTCGTCATTTCGGAGTAGTTTGGGCGTCTTTGCAGGCTCCTTGACGTCTGCCTTCTCCACGTCCAATTTCGTGGGAATGAACTCGTTTTTGTGAGGCAGATGGAGTTCCTTGATCGTATCATGGGTAGAAGCAGACAAGGCCTGTCGAACCTCGGACAGAACACCTGTAGGGATTTTCTCAACCCGATATTCCGTTCCATACCACTTCTCCTTTTGGTCCCATTCGCCGGGAAATTCTTGAGAGACAAGCATTAGCCGGAAATTGTCCTCTCGGAGATATTGCATAGCTTGTACAATGGCTTTCGCGTCGAATTTCCTGAACTTGCTTGTGCTGCTGAGTAGCCAGTGGCGAGGCAAATTCTTCTGCATCACGCTGCTCGTGGCGCTGGTAAATCGACTTGCAGGGGTCTTTTGACGGAATCTGAAGTCGACCTCGGCCATGTTCCTCATTTCTTGATGCATCCACTCCACAGGCGGATTTGCCTTCATCATTCCAATGTATTGGAAAACGATCTTCAAAATCTCGTAGTAGTTCTTGAGACCGAGAGGGGTCAATCCAATCTCAATCTCAAAAAAGGCGGAGCCGGGGCAGACAGGGTGATACCCCGCGGATAAAGTCTGACCCAGGCCTCTTTCCTTGAGATATGCCAGAATACTGCCCGGTCCCTCGTGGCCAATCAAGTGACTGATGTATCTGGCCGGCTGGGTCTCATACATTTCCTCTTCGTCTTGCCATGGAAAGCTGATTTCCAGAGACCTCGACTCCATGACAGGTTTCGCATGAATCTCCGTCGACAATTGATCCTTTGTCAGCATTTCGATGCCATCCCAGCGGTTTTGTGGGAGCTCTTGATTCTTGACTTCAGAGAAGAGTTCAACCACCCATTTTTCCAACTCGTCCAACGACTCACGACCCAGAACAACCAATTTCATTCGATTGGCCGAATAATGTCGCTCATAGAAATGAATGAATTCGTCACGGATTTTGATGCCTCTTTTCTCGGGGTCATCCCGCAATGTCTGCAGATTTCCAGTGGAGAAATGGTGATACGGATGGCGCGGGTTCGACAGCGATTTGGCGAGTTGAGATAACCGCCATGCGTCGCTCTGAAGGTTCTTCTTGTTCTCCGAGTCCACGGCTCTTAGCTCCCTGTCCAATGTATTCTCCAGAAAGAGAGGTTTGACAAAAAATTGTGCAAATCGATCCAAAGCCCCATACAGAGGACCTCGCGACGCACCATCTACGGAGCCTTCAGTGGTCCCATTCGCCACACCATTAGGCATGTTGTCATTCAACTCGTGCGATGCGGCGCACTCGAAAAAGTAGTTTGTTTGAGTCGCGGCAGTGTAAGCGTTCGAGTGGCCGGAGTTTGAGGACAGGTAGGAGCTGTATTCGTTTTCTATCGGATACTGTTTATCCATCAGCATCTTTCTCCAAAAGCGGAACAGTAAGGTGTCCAAAGGGCAGGCTCACTTTTTCCGTTCCCATGAAAAGCAGATGCTCGACGGCATGAGCCATCCCTGGCATATCCTCTTCATCGGAGAAATTTCCCACATTGACGTTGAGACTTGCGCTGGCTTTGTCCGTCTGCTCATCATGAACAAGCAAGGCTTCGAGCTTATTAGGAAGCTCGATGACTCGGTACGACCGGTTGTCAAGGTCTGGTTTCTCCAAATCATCCGTTATGCGCCTGACCGTGCTCATGACCGTCGTGGCCAAAGACCGGCCCGGAGCAGGCTGCTGGTAAGAAACGTCCGACATCAAGGAAGTCTTTGACATGGGTCGAGATCGAGATGCTAGCGGAAATAGAAATCGGACAGAAAGGAGTGACGAGGAGGCCAGGCGCGCGGACAGCCTCATGTAGATGAATGAGATGGCTGATGTAAGGGGGGACGATAACTGGAAAACGCAACGGGCCAGGACAGGATCAAATAACCATGGCGAATTCAAAGTTCTCCGTTTGTTTAGGGTCTAGATTGCGACAATTGAGCAACGAAGGCCCGCTTCTCCCATAAGCCAACCAAAATGTGCGCCATCCGGTGCCGCGAAGCGCAGTCTGACTCGCGCAGCTGGCGGTCCAGCCCTCATTGGCCAGCCTTTTCGAGGACCTTAACCCGGCTATCAAATTCAGATAATTATGCGGTTCAAACGGAAATCAAGCCAATCACATGCAAAGCAGCAGCGTGTTCATTTCTTCGGCTCTTTAACAGTCCATTCCTCGAGTGTATTCCAGGAACCGGTAAAAAACTCTCTATCGCGGCTAAGTTTTATTGACCATTGACAACAAGGGGATGACAGAATTCAGGCGGTGCTGTCGGTATATCTGCCTCGTCCTCCTCTTTCTGGGTCAAATAGTGTATCTGAATCCATGAAGGCCTTCAATGACCATCTCTCCTCTATTGGCTTTTCTGTTGCAGATTCGGAAGTAAATAGACCAAATAGCCACAATGACAATGATGAGCACATTGCATGCAATGGCGGCGTAGATACCAGGTCGGTATTCAGGTGCATCCTGCGATCTGAAAACCAACGAACCACTTATTCCACCGATTCCTCCGAAACCCACGAGCAGTGCGGAACAGAAGGCACGTTTCCATTGGCCACGGATATTGTTTGCCTGGTAAGACGCAGTTAGAAAAACAAAAAAATAATAAAAAAGACATTCCTTCGTTGCCGTGAAATTCTTACTTGATAAGCCATCGAAGCGGGAATGTTGGCATTGGCGCCAGCGGTAGTCAGAAAGACTCCAAAGTATCGGACACCCGGGCTAGTTGCAAATCCCTAATTTCAAGCGTCAGAAGAGAACGAAGGGAAGACGAAAGCAGGGTTATACCATGACCGGCAAACCAATGAGGCAAATCACGGCATTGAAGACCAACACTGGCCCTCTCATGCGCCACTTGTCTCCGGCCCATGAGGTGCAATACATCAAGATGCCGGCAAAAGCGTAAGGAGGCGCTACCAAACACTGGGAGGCGCCGACGGAGTATCCCATGTTCTCCCGCAAGATGATAGGGAGAAAGTAGGCGATCGCATAAGTGACTGTTGTGAGACAGAAGAAAATCATGGCGAAGCCCCAGACCTTGAAATCTAGGCCCGACGCAGCCCATTTCTTCAGACTGAAAGGCTCAACCTGTGCGTCGTCGCGATCCTTGGCAATGCGGCGAATGATAAAATTGCATTCTCGCTCATTCAAGAAATGCCAGGCCGTTTGAGCAGCACGATCGGGAAAATCGACCAGGAAGAAATATCCCACAAAGCCAATCACACAGGTCAGGATGCCCTCCATAATGAAGATCCACCTCCAGCCCGTATACCCGGCGACGCCGTCCTGAAAATGTGAGGTCAGTGAATCTTGGAGAAAACCGTGTTTGAAAAAGGGGTTGATTTCCTACCATTTGCATAAGCCCAAAGGCCAGAATGCCTGAGCAAGCAGAGGCCAAGCAGCCGATTAAATAAAATACCGAATATCGCTTCTGCAAATCGTATCTGGAATACCACGTCGAAATCAGATAAACACAGCCTTTGGGTGAAACATCAGCCAAATGCGAACTAGGGGCGGAAACATGGTCAATTCCTACCTGGAAAGAAACCGGCCTCGAAAACTCCCAAAATCAGCCTCAGTCCGATCATTGGTGTCCAAGACTTGGGGAATCCAAATCCAATCTGTTCGGGCAGATTAGTTTGAGCTTGACCATCTCAGGACATCTACTCGAAGAGTAGCCTTACCATGACCACTCCCCAAGCGAATGTAATCGAAGCCAGGAATGGACGTGGTCCAAGTTTTCGGCACAGGACCGTTGCTGGAGGTTGGCACAATACATAGGTGGCGAAGAAGACTAGTGCTATAGTTGACTGACGAGGTATAAACAACTAATTTCCAACCATTTCCGTTCCATGTGAAGACTTACATAGCGAAAATCAATTAGATTCAACTCTGTGATCATGCCAGCGATGGCGGCCGCGCTTAAATTCGTGCGATCCATTAAAGATATGCAGTACATCAGGCCACAGGTGACGATTAGACGTCGGTCAATTCGACCAACGATCCTGCGCTGCTCCTCCGGGGAGAATTCTTCGTCGACATCATTGTTGATGGACTCCTTCGACGATCCGCCCTCCTCGAGTTGAGCAGGGGTGTCTTTCTCAAGGGAAGCCTTGCCTATTTGCTCTGCAGGTACTGAAGCCATGTTGAGAAGGAGATAATATGGCGGTTCGATGGAATAAAATAAGTGAAGCTTGAAGAGGCAGTAGAAGAAAACACTAGGAGTTGCGCGAGGAGGAAAGAGGAGGATCTTATCATTCTGGGACAATATCCCAAGACGGTTACTCCATGTCCCATGTTAAGGTTCACGATAGTGCATGGTCCGGGCAAAAATATCATGGCTCGCCTTCTACGAGCCCCGTGGCGACCCGCAAATCCTTCAAATGCGTTGTTGAGAGCTCCGCCATTAGGCTAGGCGTTGACGTTGGCAAAACCGTGAGAAGGTTCGAATCCGACAAAACGTGGAGAGCAAGACGACGGAATGGAACCAGTGGAGACAAGTCGACAATCTTCATGTGGCAATGGTCCGGCAGGAGCATAAAATGGGGACGAATGAAGTCCAGGGAGTGGGAAATGGAGGAGTGGAAAAAGAGAGTAAAATACTTCGGTAACCTTGGATGGGCTTGGCCCGGCCTCGGCGGTCTCCACTTAGCATCAACCCCAGCCTCCCACTGGGTGTTTTCTCCTGTTCCTCTCTCCGCTATGTGCAACCTATGCACCCAGTAAAGACGACCTGGAGGACCACATCTTCTCCGTAACGGCTCGCTCAACGCCGCTCCAAATTCCCCAGCTTGCGTTTCAACCCCTCCGCATTCTATTACCCCGGGCGGAATCTTACCGAGAGACTACACTGCCGGTAGTGGGTCGAGTGGGAAAAAGCTTCCTATCAAACTCGAAGTCTTGTCCACTTACAATACCCTGGACCGAGGTATCCTTCCCAAAGGACACGGGTATTAGTTGTCCTCCTCCTCCTCCCCCTCTTCATTTCATTCATTTTCGAGTCTCTGGCATCTCGCACGTCTTTGCCTCAAAGTCAAAATACCGAGGCTGGCATGCAAAAGTCGACGACCGGCCGAGGATGGGTCTTTTCCGCCATGCTCAATGAACGAAAACTCACGCCTTTGAATTTTCATCCATGTACACACCTTCGCGCCCACATGCGCAAGCCGTCGGAGTCAATGTTCCCTATTACGCTCGTCCCGATTTTCGTGGTCGGGTTTGCGGAAATCTGATGCTATCGTTCGAATTTCGAAGCATCGTGGCGGAGAAAGAGATTTCCTGCAAGTTGCGCCAGATGCTTTGTCTGCCATCGCTTTTATTTATTGCATCGTCTTGGTTGTCTCGTGGTCCCGCGATAACCTCTCCAACGGCCGCAATTTTGCTGGGTGCTGATAACGCCGCTTGGGCGGGAGGTTCGCGGTATGATCATTCTTTATGGGTGTCCTTGGTAAATTCTATTACAGATTGACAACCTTTGACAGGCAAAAAGCCGTTATCTGCGACCACCTCCTGGCCAGAGGACCGGGAAGTCCAGCTGCCAGTTCCCGTCGACTCGTGTTTTGAAATTTGGGCTTCCTGGCCTCCTTCTTGCCTTTGAGGCTCTTCTTGTGCTGACCAGCTCTGAATTTGCCGAACTCAGAGTGATCGGAGTCGTGATCGGATGAGGAGTCATGGAGGGGGTTTGAGAGTGCGTTCAAATGAGCCATTATCTTCGTTCTTCACCCTAATCCTGCCGGTAGGGGTGAACTTAGCTCTGTCAGGATGACTGGTGCTGGTTGAGTCGCACCGAGGGGTTTCTTTGCCAGCGATTCTTCTCATTTCCATACTGGACCCCCTCTCTGGCCTGTGGTTGACAACGTGCGGGCCGCCCAGGCTCTAGCCTCGTCATCTTTATCCTCATCCTTTTGTCCAAACGACATATTTGGTTCACTTCTTTCATCTTTCACTACCCTGTGACAGGCTAGCTTGAGAAATTACCTTCATCCTTGACGCCAGCTACCTTGGTGGAATGTGTCCTGAACAAAAAGAGCAGAGCTCGAGTTGGCGCTGCCAAACAACAACGGCTACTGTGCACATTCGATGATTTCAAATATCATCAGTTACATCAGGGGGAGGGGTGTCCTCTCTCCCTCTCATTTTTTTTTTTTTTTTTGGTCTTTCTTTCTTCGGCTTCATCACCATGTCGTGGAATCGAATTTCATTTCTCGCATCCTCGCACGAGGTCGGCTATCTGACTTGTCATCGTGCTGGGGGCTTGATTTGAACTGAAGCAACCACCTGTCAACGTACTCACTAGCTCTCTCTTTCGCCCTCCCCCAGGGCAAGATATGTTTCCCTTCCCGCAGTCCCTTTGTGACCCAAGTCTCGGAGGTGTGGTTGAAAAAGTGCTTCAAAGACTCATCTTTGATTCACGATTGCAAGCTTGCTGACAGACAGACATGGCCACGGCTGCCTTTGTTTTACCTAGAACTCTCTTCACAGCACATCAAAGAACCAGCTTTTAAGGATCAAAGCACTCATCCCTACCTTGTTCCTGCCAGTCATGCAAAGACAAGCCTTACCACCCGAAACCTCCTTTTGTGCTTCAGCCTGCCACGTGACCTTTCGGATATGTGTTCACATACTACTATCCGTTTGTGCAGTGACCTTGATTCGAGTTTTCCTTTCACGAGTCACAAACTTCCATCAAGGAGGGAACTCTTTTGTCTAAGCTCATGTCTTGGCTTCGAGAGATCAATATTGTAAGTTATCACTCCTCGAGTCTTGTGGTTAGTACCCTCATTGCGAAGTCGTTTCCATGTGTTCATCCTACCGTATCACTGAGGACTGACGAAAGTTGACGGGGATGCGGGCTTTTCTTCGTGCGCTATCCACGCCATTTGATGATCGTGACGGGAAATGCAAGAACCAGATACCGGGAGAGTAAAAAATATGATGACAAATTAGGCCGTGACACACGGAGTGAAGCAAGAGAAGAGAGAAGAAATCTTCAACATATCTGCTCTAAATCAAACAAACGAGGAAAACAATCGTTGTTTGGATGCACCTTCGTCCTCCAAACTGAGCTTGCTTGTCATGGAGCGACCCCTTGACATCGAAACAAACATGTCAAGTCAGCCAGCCGGCACCTTTTCGAATCGCCTGCTAGGAGCATGTTGCTTTAACTCCTCCTCAAAACACGATCAGTCGATGTTTTATTAACCACCTCGCTGTTACTTTGGCCCCTGCCTAGCTCCAACACCTTTATACCATTACGATTCCACCATGAGGTACTCTAACGCTATTGATGTCTCTCCGTGGATTGCCTTTGCAACAGTGGGCTGGGCCCTTCTGCCAGCCAAGTGTCCAAGCAGTGGTTTCATCTTAAGGAGCCTCAATTTGGGCTAGAGGGATGCAAACTCCGCTCTTTGACACATCGGATTCGCGAGACTGAGGTGCACCCTCTTCGGATCAGTACAATTTCCGTCGCAAGCTCGGTGCTTGCATGAGATGCTGAATGTTAAGGAAAGGCTGTTTGTAAGGAACGCCCTGCCAGACCTGACCTGCGAGGAGCGGAAGTCGATCAGAGGTTCCCCAAAGTTTCTGGAAATGTAACGATCTGTGGATTATCTATTGAGCAGAACCGCTTGCTTAGAAATTCTGGGTTCAGTAGATTACACCCATTTCTTTCAAAACCGGCACCCGTATAATGGGCAGCCTTGCGAGGCTGATCTTGATCCTGCAACACGTGACTTGTTTGATAGCGACCTTCAATTCTTTACAAGGATGAGATGGAGATGATTGGCACAATCGGACAAGCTTAAATGCCTGACCAAGGTCTTGAACTTGACTAACTCAAACCATATATTAAGTTAGGGCCAACACCTTTTGCCGTTTTCTTGTACTACGTCGTCGTCTCCGATCACATATATATAAAAGCGGCACGATTGACGCCTGATCGGCTCTTTTCGACCTTATCTCTTTCCACCAGTAGTGGACCTTGAACAGGTTTGGTCATCCTAGTACGTTCTGGCCAGTCGCCACATGGGAAAAGTTCCTGCCAGGGACAGCTTGAAACGCCACTTCATCGCCCCGGAGCCATAAATTTCGCTCCAGGACGAAAATGGCCCCCGGATTTTTCAACAGACTTCGGGCCGTGCTCGATCCGATCAACAAAACACGGACTGTTGACTGTTGAGTTTTCAAGCCTGCTAGGCCTGGGTTTTGTGTAGCGACAACGGCTGGCGGCTGCAATGCTGCACTGCGGCTCCCGGCGTTGCCAATTGAGTATGCTTGGTTGTGCGGCTATCCGGGACCCTTGAACTCTGAATGACTCTTCCCTGGCCCACAGATCGATTTCGCCCCGAAAGTTATACAGGAGCACGGTAAGGTCCCCAGTCTTGTCAAAGTCTCCACAGTAATGTTGTGCGCTGCGTGCCATTAAAGATGGTACGCGGTTTCCAGCTCGGTCTTTCCCTCTTGTCCCTTTCGTGCTTGTGTTACTCGTTTGCCCAGACTTTTAATTCGATCGCCTTCCACTATCCCTCAGCAATGAAGATCCTTTTCGAAAGCTCTCTTCTCTTGACCTTCCTTTTGCTCGGTCGAGGGATGGCAACATGTTATTTCCCCAATGGAGACGTGTCTTCCGCAGATGTTGCTTGCGATGCCGAAGCCTCTGACTCGTTCTGCTGTTACAGCAAACAGGCATGTCTATCCAACAAACTCTGCTTGACCGGCGTAGCAGATGGCATCAATCAATACGCTCGAGGAACATGTACAGACCAAACGTGGCAGTCAGGTGCCTGTCCAAATTTTTGTCTTGATCGTAAAGTTATAAATCTAGCGCGTCCTACACAGGTGATTACGGATTTACTAATATCAAAACAGAACAAGGACTGGGCAACCCCGTTTTCAGCTGCAACACGACCGGCTTCGACTCATATTGTTGTAATGATGGATGTTCTTGCGACTCTAGCGTTGGCGACGAGATCTTGAGCTTTGCAGGCACACCATACACCATCTCGGTAATTGGAGTTACGTCGACGTATCCGAACCCTAGCGCTACGACCTCTTCTGCCTCAGTGATCACATCAACATCCTTCTCCGCCTCTGCAATCAGTAGTGGGCCAAGTGGTTCCTCATCGGCCGACACAGCCGCACCTGCAGCAACCTCATCAGCCTCCACTGAGCCGTCTTCAAGCGGCGGCGGCTCAAACGGAACAGCGATTGGCGCCGGCGTTGGTGTGGGAGTTGGAGTGGCTATCCTTCTGTTAGGAGGAGGTGCAATTTTATATTATCGACAACGATCAAAATCAAGAAAAAAAGCCGCTCATCAAGGATTCGATCTGAACAAACGAAGCTTAGGAGGAGTGCAGCCGAGAAGATATACCGACAACTCACCAAATCATCTAAGTCCCATGGCAAACCAATATGTGGCACCTCATTCGACGACCAGTGAACTCAGCGGGGCTGGTCATGAATATGGCGAGCTTGGGGTTGGAGGAAACCTTGCTCATACAAATCGTGGATCAAACATTCCAGAACTTCCGGGACGCTAACTGGCCGATTGGAATGCTCAAATATTTGTGACGGCTTTATATGACCTAGCCATTAATATTCTATTTGCGCATATCGGCGTTCCGGACAGAATGGTTTCACATCTCGACCCGGATTCCAATTAGGACGACCACGAACATAAATCTTTGGCGCTTGCAACGAGCTTATAAAACGTTACAAGCTATTGTCAACGTTCGTGGGTGTGTCACGCCTGCTCTGGCATGCCCCGATTCATAAAATTCCAAAATGAGGTATCACCAAACTCTCCTTCCGTTTGTTGAGGTTCAGCTGAGGAAGAAGTGGACGCAAAAATGTTTCCGAGACTTGATGCGCCACCTTGGCTCATGCCGTTGAACATTTGCGCGGAAGCTAGGTCGTTGTAGGTCAAGCCGGCTGTTGGTCGAAGAGTAGATGCCTCATAGAATGAAGATTGTTGGCCTCTGCTACTGCCGCCGATGCCAGTGCCGATGCCTGTGCCAATGCCAGTTCCAGGCCCAGTTTCAATGGAGATCGCGGATGCGGCTGGTTGTTGCTGCGGCATAAGAACGGACGGGGTTATCCAGTTGGATATATGGTCAAAAGAAGAGCCAGAACCAGAACCAGAACCATGATCATATAATGGTCGTTGGAATCGGGCTGAATACGGAGTGATTCCCTGCGGCATCTCCCTACCTGTTTGTGGAGTTCCAAAATCATGGGATGGTCTGCTGCTCCCTGTCATTGATGTCTCGGTGGCACCAAAGGAGGTATGCGGATGGCTCTTCTCTGCTCGAACGAGAAGGCTCTGAATGACATCCGCACCTTGACCTGCTACCCGGTTGGGGGCTCGGATATGATTGAGCCTCCAGAGAGTCTCCCTAATACATCTAAATGCTTCTAAGACGAAACTGCCATTTTCAGTCGGATATGCGATAAGAGCAGCCAGCATAGAAACAGATGCATCTACACTGAAGTAAGCAAGGGTAAACATCTTGTACTGATGCGGCCGAAGAGTGTTGAAGTATTTCTGCTGAGCACAGAGTAACTCGATCCCGGCTCTCATTATCTCCGTGCGACTTCGAGATATGGGAAAAATATATGGTCTGTGAAGGAGCAAAACGAAAAGCCACGCTGATGAACAAAGATGCTCTCGCTGGAATGCAGGCCAGGGACACTCTTGGTCAAAGGATTTGTCGGGATTGTCGAAGCGGTAGATAGCGGAGATCGTCTCGATGTATTCCATTACTCGCTGATGAAGCCGTTCTACTTTGCTGTAATCACGCGGATACGGTCCTTCGCCCTCGAGAGCCTTCACTTGTGGGAGGTATTTCGTTAAAGGATATTCTATCAGCCGTACTGTGAACTCGTTGGGCCTTTCTCTGTCGGTTCTCGCATATGGAACGGTCGACGTCCTGTTTGGTGGAACGTCGCAATCTGTCGGCGGGATTATGTTGCAATCACTGAAGTTGAGATTCAATGATTTGCCCAAGACCATTCCCGTTTGACTGGAATTGGTATCAGTTCATTTGAATTTCGCTTAACAGAAGGAAGTACTCACCGGCCGGCGCCCTGTCAATCTCTTAGGCGCCGAAGCATGTGCTTATGATGTTGCTGAGGCCCTGGTATCCGGTGGCGTACTTCCCGAAGCCATCTACAATCATGCTGTGAAACTTTTTGGTCGAGAGGGAGCGGCTGAACTTATCTACCTAACTGGCGTGTACTGCCTCGTCGCGGTTACGTTGAATGGGTACGATGTGAAAGCACCCACAGCGCATTCTGTTACGCCTGCAGAGACCACCCGTCCAAGTGAGTACCAGACACTCAATCCAGTGACGGAAAAGGTTGAGAAAGTATTCCCCGAGACAACAGATGCAGAGGTCCAGGCCGCATTGGACACGGCGCAAAAGGTCCACCAAAATGACTGGCGGCTGCGTCCTGTGACTGAAAGAGCAGGTCTCGTTGCCCAAGCTGCTTTCATTCTACGTCAACAATCAGAAAAATTTGCTCAGCTCATGACCCGTGAAATGGGCAAGCTTATCGATCAGTCTCGGTACGAAGTTGTCCTCACAGCCGACATTTTGGAGTACTATGCCTCTCATGGAGAGAAGTTTCTGGAGCCCAAACTGGAGCCTGAGGCGCCGGGCGTCGTTCTTGCAACCGAGCCAATTGGTGTCATCCTCGCTATCGAGCCCTGGAATTTCCCTCTGTACCAACTGGTTCGTGTTGCAGCTCCGCAAGTGGTTGCCGGCAATGTTGTCATATTCAAACACGCCCCCAGCGTCCCACAATGCGCACTAGCGTTTGCCCACCTCTTTGAGGAAGTGGGCTTTCCCACCGGAGTTTACACCAACTTGCTTTGCACTGTCGATCAAGTTCATATGTTAATCGATGACTTCCGCGTTCGTGCAGTAACGCTGACTGGAAGTGAGAGAGCCGGTGCATCGGTGGCAGAGCGAGCAGGACGAAATTTGAAGAAGGTTGTTCTTGAACTCGGCGGGAGTGATCCACTCGTTGTGCTTCCAGATGCAGACTTGGAGGATGCCCTCAATCAGGGTGTCATGGGCCGTATGATCTGCATGGGCCAGGCATGTGTCGCCTCCAAGAGGTTCATCGTCATCGGTCAAGAACGGGGCAAGCTGTTCCTTGACGGTATGACTCGGCGTATGGGAGCTCTACAGGCAGGAGATCCAGCAGATAGTAAAACGTCGTTAGGCCCGTTGGTCTCAGAAAGAGCACTGAACGATCTCCTAGATCAAATTGAGATGGCGAAAGCGAATGGAGATCATGTCGTCCTGGGTGGAAAACGAATGAATCGGCCAGGCTGGTACCTCGAACCGACCATCACCACCGACATCAGTCCCGAAAATCCTTTCTTCCAACAGGAAGCATCCGGTCCAGTAGCTTCTTTCTATGTGGTTGATACCGAAGAAGAGGCCATTCAATTGGCCAACGCGACTAAGTTTGGACTCGGCGGGGCAGTCTTTGGTGCAGATGTTATACATGCCTAGGAGGTCGCGTCCAAGATTGACTCAGGCATGGTGTTTGTCAACTCTTGTGCATACACAGGCCTGAAGTACCATTTGGAGGTGTTAAGAACTCCGGTTTTGGTCGCGAGTTGTCGGACCTCGGCATGGGCGAGTTTGTCAATCGGAAATTGATCCGTACTGCCGTCTGAACGGGTGCCTAAAGCGAAGTCGTTGTTGCAGGTTGAGAGCATAAGGTGGGATACAAGAAATACCGTTGGACTAGGCTGCCGGTGGCCATCGCCGTGAGCCTGATAAAATAAATTAACATTGTGGATATTCCAAATCCTTCCATCAAATGTTCCACTTCACGATGACGAATGATCTTCTACTTCAAAAATAGTTGAAAACGGGCTTCGTGCTGCCTTCTGAGTGATCGGAGTAAACCTTAATTAAATGTACACGTTTCGGACAGGGGACAAGGCTGTGGACCCTGGACGCCTAAACCAAACTTGCCCCCAAGGTCGAGCATAAGGTTCTCCACCAGAATATAACGAGAATGGCATTGCAATGCGCAGCACAACACCAATGATGCGAGAGAAGTCAATCCAGTGGGATATGAATGTTCCTTTCTCCTTTTTCTTTTCAACCCATTCTTAATGCATCTCTGATGTCAATATTACCAGCATATCCGCCTCTCTTGGTCCGGTCATGGTCAACTCCTTCTTTTCCCTCCTGTCAGCCATCGGCCTGGTCAAATCATCATCCATATCTCTAAACGGTACCGCCAATAATGCAGTGTCGAACACCAACAACAATGGTAATTGGCCTGAACCCGAACCATGCACGGGTAATTGTACCTTCATCCACGATCCCTCCATCATCAAGCGGGAGGATGGCACGTTCTTCCGTTTCTCGACAAACGGAAACATCGCCATTGCTTCAGCGCCCAGCATGACTGGGCCATGGGAGTACTTAGGTGCCATGTTACCCGAGGGTAGTGTCATTCAAGTGACTGAGAATCAAGAGATTTGGGTATGACACCCGCTCGGCTTTTCTTCCTTACCGTCCCATCGCATGCTAATGCTCCCCCTTTTCCCGACTAATATACTTGAAAAGTGCCCCGACGTCTTCCTCATAAACGATACATATTATGCGTACTATGCCGTCTCTCGCAGCGGTTTACAATCATCAGACATCGGCGTCGCAACCTCTAAAACCCTCGAACTAGGCACCTGGACAGATCACGGTTCTCTAGGCCTGCCCAAGAGCCAATCCTACAACCTCATCGACCCAAACATCTTTCGCGAATCGCCTTCCGCTCCGTCAATCTACTTCGCTTTTGGCTCTGCCTGGCATGGAATCTATCAAACGCAACTCTCATGGCAGAATCCACTGTCTCAATCCGACGAAATCGGTTCTGGCGCCAAAAACGTCGCGTACAACGATACCAACCCGGCAAGCAGTGACACACTCGCGATCGTCGAGGGAGGGTTCCAATTCTGGTGGCCCGTCAATGACATAAAGTACTACTACCTCTTCTTCTCGAGCGGGGCGTGCTGTAATGATGCCGACGACCTCGCAGCGCCCGGAGATGAGTACAAGATTATGGTCTGTCGAGCGATAGACCCTATAGGTCCGTTCGTCGATCGAGACGGTAAAGACTGTGCAACTGAGAATGGGGGCACTTTGCTCCTCGGAAGTCATGGTGATAAAGTATATGCTCCAGGTGGGCAGGGAGTCATCCTTGACGACTCGGAAGATGGCATGGGGAGAGTTGTGCTTTATTATCATTACGGTGAGATACAATTACCTTCTGAATGGCAGCCGTCATGAAGTCATTACTGACCAAGCTTTGTTTTTCCTCAGTCAATCCGATTATAGGTTACAAGTTCGAGGATTTCCAATTCGGGTTCAATTACTTGGACTTCAGCAGCGGGTGGCCTGCTGTTGTCTCGTGAAGGGAAGAACGTGGATCAACCCAGTGAGCGCCGTGGACAGAACTGAGTGCTGGCAGCGGTTCATAATGAATCGAGCTAGGAAGCTCCACGGCGGTCATCCGGATAAGCAATCTTGGGAATTTTTTGCAACTCCTTCGTCGAAATCGGTTCGACGGATTCATTAGCCTCAAGTCGAGGACTCCCTCATTCTATGTTCGGAGGCTGTGGCATCTGGAATCAGGTCAGTAAAAGCGACCAGCGTTCCGTGACTACAAAACAACTTTCCCCAACACTCCGTGCCAGACTTTATCCCTCACAGCAGTTTATCGGTTCCGAAGCACAACATTGGCAGATGCAGGGACGGAGTACATTATTTGGGCCAGAACTAGGCGGGCGCTGACTAATGGGGCAAAACGAACAGGTAACAAGATATGCCCCCCCTGAATGAAGAAATTAGGAATGGGAGAGTGTACATTCCCGCGGCCGAAGCCGGATCACAAAATGATACGTATCCTGCGTCAGAAAGGCAACCGAAAACAAGTTAATAAGCTGAAGAACCAGAAGATGAAAATTCTAGCAACATGAATGATATCAACATGTTTCTATTTTGATCTCTTGCAAGATGATACTATGTCTATCAAAATGCCCGTGGAAAGCCGAATTATTTCCTTCTTTTTCTTTTGGTCTCTTCTTCTCATGTGCTTCCATTCTGACCTTTCTCGTTGTCTGTAGTCCTGATCCTGATCCGTCATCTTTCATTTCGTCTCATCTTACTTCGTCCAGTTCCTCATCCCCCATTGCCGTTCCGTCCGCTCGATCCAAATATTAGGTTAGGGTCAATAAGTCCATACAAGTCCAAACTCGTACCAAGACATCACAAAGATCATGTTGAACATCGTCCCGAAAGAAGTTAAAAGTGTCGAAGATGCATATTACAAGTGCTGTAAAATGTCGAAGAATGTTCGGCGCGATACCGTCTTGAAGTCCCGTTTACCTTTTGCTTTCCCATTGTGTTTCCCACTTTGCTTTGTCTTGCCGTAAGAAACTTCGTCGCTTGACCCCCTTGCTAAAACCAGTGGAACCAGCCCATTTTTGCGTCTTGTTGCTCACCTAAGCACATGTGTGAAGGTGCTTAGAACAAAGCCGCAGCGGCCACGAGTGCACCGAGCACGATACCTGCTCCAGAGCCAGAAGTAAGCTTGCTAGCGGCGCCGGCGAGGCTAGTCACGGCCGGAGCAGCGGGAGTGGTGCTGGTCGCTGATTCGTGGGTACTGGTTCCGAAACTCCATGTCAAGGTTGATGTTGACATTGTCGTGCTAGATTTCGAGGTGGAGACTGTAGTGGTGGAAGGAATGGTGGTTGAGGACACCGGGGCGACAGGTGTGTTTGAAGAGGAGGAGCTGGTGGTCCAGTCGGCCCAAGATGAGGGGGGTGTTGATGAAGTTGTGGTAGTAGAAGTGGTCACGGGGGAGACCGGTGTGGCGGAGGTGGCTGTAGTTGTCCAATTTCCCCAGATTTCTGAAGTGGTCGAGGTGGTTGTAGGAGCGACCGGGGCAGTAGTGGTCGTGGTAGTTATCCAATCAGCCCAAGTCGATGCGGTTGTAGTGGTGGTGGGAGTGACTGGAGAGACGGGAGTAACGGGAGTAGTCCAATCGCCCCAAACCTCTGAAGTTGTTGTCGTAGTGGAGGTCGTCACAGGAGAGACTGGAGTCAAGCTAGTGGTGGTGGTCCAGTCGCCCCAGACTTCGCTAGAAGATGTGGTAATTGCTGTTGTCGTCGTGGGTAAAACTGGAGTTGAAGTAGTAGTCGTCCAATCACCCCAGACTACGCTAGAAGAAGTCGTAGAGGTTGTGACAGGAGAGACTGGAGTTGAGCTGGGGGTGGTTGTAGGTGTAGTAGTCCAATCACCCCATACTTCGCTGGAAGATGTAGTTGTCTCTGGAGAGATCGGGGTCGAGCTGGTGGTCGTCTCGCAAGGAGCTGTTGTTGTTGTTGTGGTGGTGGTGGTGGTGGTCCAATCGTTCCAGATCTCTTCGGTTGTAGTAGAGGTGGTCACAGGAGAAACTGGAGTGGAGGTGGTGGTTGTCCAGTCACCCCAGATTTCAGTACTACTGGAGGTGGTAGTAACAGGCGAAGGCGTAGTGCTAGGGGTGCTTGTAGTGGTATTGCAAGGTGCAGTGAAGTTGCCATAAATGACCGCGGCGGAGTTTCCAGTCCTGGGAAGGGCAGAAGACAGAGGCAAAGAAGAGAGAGTGGCAGCCGCAATTACAGCGGATCTAGTACGGGAATGCATGTTGAACAATTAAAACAATTGAATGAATGGACGAGGTCAATAGGTCAATGCAGATGTCAAACAGGAGGGAAAGTGGTGCTATGTACACTTTCAGAGACGTACCGAGTAGCAATGTTCTCCTCTGAAGTATCTTGGGTGGACGAAAGAAAAATTGCACAGACCTGTCAGCGATCTACGAGATATATAGCTGTTCAACAAAAAGGTCGAGGCTGAATCCACGGCATTATTCCAGCCACTTTATGTGTGACAGTTCAAACATGGATCAGAAGACGTGCTCACGGCATTTCGCGTATCGGATTGGCCACGAGCAGAGAAGAACATGGGACAAATGATGGGGCAGTGATGGAAAATAAGGATGGAAAAAAAAAAGATGGCGGGAATCAAGTGGCGTGGAAGTCGTCCAGGTAAACGCGGAGCGAAGTCTGGCCAAGCCTTTTCCAAGCCTCTTTCCAGTATCGTGATTGGCCATAAATTCTCCAGCCTTCTGACGCTAACCTTATTCTAGAAGTATAAACAGAACCTGCGGCGCTGCGGTGGCGAACGGCCTGTTACCGTATGGACTCGTCCTCCTGTTCCACATCATAAGACATTTTCTGTAGATGGCTGGAATTGTGATGGTTTCTGATCTGATTTGATCTCGCTAATTCTATTGGACTCGTCATCTCGCTGAATGTCAATGGACTCGCTTGAAGAGTAAGCGTTTCCCGCCTTCGACAAATGCCCTGCCACCTGTGCCTACTTCCCCCATGGCGGGACTTTATACAGTCTCATGAAAAATCTCCGAAGTGTGCTATTCAGTCAGGTTTGAGTAACAACACTATTGGGTTTCTTGGATGGCATTGAGATCCCACTCACGTCAGCTTGTGTGTATTGTAGTATGCGGCACTCTCAGACTTGTACGCGCAGCATCATTTAGGTTTCAGCATCGAACGGGGGTGTGGTTGTAACACCGCCCTACCGGGCACCGGAGAGAGAGGCGCTAAGGCGGCCATCATATCAATTTCCAATGGCATAGTGCTTCGGCCTTAATGCCATCGAACAAATTGAACACAACACAAATTACCTCATACTAATCACGTCATATTTCGTACATATAGTCGCCGCGAGGCATCTTCTCTAAGTCTAGTGGTCGATTTAGTCTGAGTCTACTGATTTCTATCTGCACTGCCATTCTGATCTCTCACCCCGTCTACCTTTCCGAATACTAGTCCGTATGAACGCCCAGCGCTGTCTATGGTGTTTTTTTTTTTTTTTTTCCGTTCTATTTTTTGGTATATCAATCTAAGCAAGGAAAAGTTCCCCCAAAGTGAATTTATGATGCAAGCACCAGGGCCAAGAGTGCCATTCTCGTGTACAGGCCATACCGCATCTGTCTGAAGTATGCTGCTCGTTGATCGAAATCCACCTCTTCACTAATCTCTCGGTTGCGAGGTAGAGGGTGCATGACAATCGTGCTTGATTTGGCATATTTGAGGACACTATTGTCCACAATAAGGTGGTCTTTTAGTCGTTCATACTCTTCCAGGCTAGGGAATCGCTCTCTCTGGACTCGAGTGCAGTAAAGCACGTCGCTCTTAGCGACAATCTCAGGAGTCAGAGTCTCAGACTCGATCGCGAGCTGACCAGAAGCCACAATTTGTTCCCTGACTCCCTTGGGCAGAGCAAGATCCTTGGGTGCGACCAAGTTGATTCGGACTTCATAGTACTGGAGCAGTTTGGCCAGAGAATGTACGGTTCTTCCGTACTTGAGATCACCTGTGAAGGTAACCGTGAGGCCGGTCACCGTTCCCAATTCTTCTCGAATGGTGAAAAGATCCAAGAATGCTTGAGTGGGATGTTCTCGGCTTCCATTGCCCGCGTTGATAATAGGAACCGGTGAAAATTTGGCTGCGGTGGCGGCGGACTCATTGTCGGGATGTCGAAGTACAACGGCATCACCATAGCATCCCAGTGTTCTAATACTATCTTGCAGCGATTCACCCTTTTGGGTGCTTGATTGATCGGTGTTGACGACAATAGTGCGACCACCTAATCGCTGCATGGCTGCGTCAAAAGAAGCTGATGTCCGAGTGCTTGGCTCGTAGAACATGGTGCAGAGTACTCGGGACTGAAGGAGAGGCAAGATTCCTTGTCTCTGAACTCCAAGTCGCATTTCTTGGGCAACAGTAAACAAGATATGCAAATCCTGGCGGTTGTACTGATTGACGGAGAGTACATGACGGTTCTTAAAAGGCGAGGAGGCTAGCAAGGACAGAAGCGAAGGAGAAATTGTAGACGGCGGTGGCGGCTGCTGGAAGGCTGATGTCGGAAGCACCGGACTGCTCGAGTCGAGCATTTCATCCATGTTTCGAGCGCGAGTGATGGGTCGACTACGAGTAGTCACGGAGAGACGTCGTTGTGCCGCAGTATCCAGAAGCGAGGTTCGTCTGTCAAGTGGACCTTCTGCCTGAGCGCGTAATACCGGAGATGTCGCGGCAACTGTAGGCGAGATGGGATTCAGCAAGTGCGAGGACATGTCTGTACCTCGAGGGCCGTCTAAAAGGACTTCTCCGTCGAGACAAGTTGTCTTGCCCTGGAACACAACCCTTGATACCGCACCTCGCAATGTTCTTCCAACAAAAGGCGACCACACAGGGCCAGCTTGAAGTACGTATGGACGGTCGATGTCAATTTCGACGGAAGTCGTAGTCTGTTCGTGCAGCTCAAAAATGGCTTTCGGATGGTCGTGGAGACGCCTAGTGACGTCCTCCATGCTCATTTTCCCCTCCGAAACCGCTGTCAGGAGTAAAGGAAGAGCGTCGCTGATTCCTACAGTGGGGACAGCATTCTCTCCGGCGATCTGGTATGGAAGACTGCCGATCGAGAAGACATCAATGGTTGGCAGATAATCCCACAAAGCTTGTTGATCGGTCACGGAGGGCAATGCAGAGCAGTCCGGAAAGTCGGCTTGCGACAGGAACAAACTGTAGACGGAAACATCACACGTCACTTTCAACCCCTTCTCTTTGGAGAGTGCGATCAAGCTAATGTCGTCTTTGGACGTCACGTTCATCACGTGGACTTTTCTGTCGTGAAGGCTGGCCAGCAGCAAGATGGACGCCAAGTCTGTGGTCTTCGCGTCCGTCACGATTGGTTTGTATGTTGGCCACGTTCCAAAATGTGCGGTGACGGTCGCGACCTTATTAATATTTCCAGATGAGAGATGGTTGAATGGAATGAAAAGAGAACCGACCTCCCCCTTGACGTGAATAATTTGTTCTGAATTGGAATCGGTAGCTGCAACAGAGTAGTTGAAGTCGCAATATGCGCCATTCTGAGCGTTATCCTGGGCTACTTTCAGCGATCTCGCATCGGTCACGGCGCTGTCGATTCCGACAGGCATAATTCGGATCATGCTGAAGCCTGCTGCCACGGAAGCCTTGCTGACGAGGGAGAAATCGTGCGATCCTCTTTGGGCCACCCCGGGGACGAAAGCCGCAACGTTAATTAGCCCCGGAAGGACGACGGTTCGATGGCTTGTTTGGAAGTCGATGTTGCGGACATTCAAATCATAATGTCGGGCAAGGGCTTCAATCAGGATCTTCGCAATTTTGACATTGGTGATCAAGGGAGTCTGATAATCAACCGCCATTCGTCTCGTACGGTATCCCTTGCTCATGTAATTCGCAGGCCTCCTAAATCTGTTGTTGGACGGCAGGTTGATGTACAGATCGATTTTGTTGTTGGCCAGATGTTGTGTCAGCGAGTACTCTGATTTCTGGTCTTTCTCGTCGTTCCCCAGGACCTCCAGGTATTTGACTTTGATGTCATGTTCCTCGAGGAAGTCAGCCGTACCAGACGTGGCAAATAGGTTGTAGTCCATTTGGTGCAACTTGCGAACAGAGGGAAGCATTTCCATTTTCTCTTTAAATGACCCGATTGACAGTAGTATGTTCTTCTCTGGCAGCTTGAAGCCGGTTGAGATTGTGGCTTTGATGTAAGCTTCATACCGATCGCGTCCAAAGCAAGCCACTTCACCAGTCGACGCCATCTCCACCCCCAAGACGGGATCTGCACCAGACAAGCGCGAGAATGAGAATTGGGGTGCCTTGACACCAACGTAATCGGGAGGAACATTGACAGGTGGATATGGAGTTACAGGTTTATCCACAATGACTTTCGTAGCCATCTCGACTAAGTCAACGCCCATGACTTTCGACACGAATGGGAAGGATCTGGAAGCCCGAACGTTGCACTCGATGACCTTAATCTCATTGTCTTTGGCAATGAATTGGATGTTGAACGGGCCCGTAACGTTGAGGGCGTTTCCAATCTTGCGTGTAGCTTCTTCGATTCTAGCAATTGTTTCCGGCTCAAGATCCTGGGGCGGACAGATGAGAGTGGCATCTCCTGAATGCACTCCTGCATTTTCAACGTGCTCAGAAATGAAATGTCCAGTCATGACACCATCCTTTGCAACGGCATCCATCTCGATTTCTTTGGCGTTCTCGATGTATTTGGTAATAACAACCGGATGTTCTCTCGACACCTCCACAGCTTGATTGAGGTAGTTGGCGAGGTCATCCTGCGAATATACCGTGTTCATTGCCGCCCCTGATAGAACGTAAGATGGCCGTACTAGAACAGGGTATTTGACCTTTTCGCAGAATTCGAGTGCTTCATCTATGCTCGTGAGCTCTTTCCATGATGGTTGGTCGACATCGATACGATCCAGCATTCGAGAGAATTTGTATCTATTCTCCGCCGAGTCAATCATCTCCGGAGATGTTCCCAAAATCTTGACGTTCAATCGGTGCAGAGGCAGGGCGATATTATTCGGAGTTTGTCCACCCATGGAAATAATCACGCCACTCGCCGATTCGAGTTGATAGATATCTAGAACAGTTTCGAGGTTGATATTTTCGAAGTAGAGCCGGTCAGCTTCGTCATAGTCTGTCGAGACAGTCTCTGGGTTGTAATTGACCATAACAGTCTTATATCCCTGCTGTCGCAGTGTGCGAATAGCCCTCACAGAGCACCAGTCGAATTCTACAGACGAGCCAATCCGATAGACTCCGGATCCGAGAACCATGATACCGTGGTCACTGAATGCAATGTCATGTTCCGATCCATTGTACGTCAGATAGAGATAATTCGTGTAGGCTGGGAACTCAGCTGCGACCGTGTCGATTCGCTTCACGACTGGCTGTATGCCCGCCTCAGCTCTGAGACGCCTGACAGCAAGTTCGTTCGAATTCCAACACCGAGCTAGCTGTTGATCTGAAAAGCCGAGCTGCTTAGCTTGTCGAATCAAAGATGGAGGCACTGTCGTTGCACTGAACTGAGACATGGATTTGGCAAAATCACTCAAACCCTTGAGCCTGGACAAAAACCATTTGTCAATTTTAGTCATTTCCCAGATCTTATCCACGGTGTATCCAGCATGCATGGCGTTGGCGATGGCGAACATTCTCTGATCTGACGGCGTCTGCAGTTCATCATCAACGGACATCAGGGGATTGGAAATGTCTGAGAAGCCAAGATTGTGGAGATCCACGGAACGAATGGCTTTCTGAATGGCCTCTTCGAAGGTCCTGCCTATAGACATGACTTCACCAACGCTCTTCATCGAAGAACCAAGCTGTGTGGATACCCGGGTGAATTTCTTGAGATCCCACCTTGGAATTTTGACGACGACATAATCGAGAGAGGGTTCGAAGCAGGCACATGTCTTCTTCGTGACCGAGTTGGATATTTCATTCAAGGGAATCCCCAGACCAAGCTTGGCAGCGATGAACGCTAAGGGATATCCGGTAGCCTTTGAGGCCAGGGCCGATGATCGAGACAATCTAGCATTGACTTCGATGATGCAATATTCGTTGGAGAAGGGGTTGAGTGCATATTGGATATTGCACTCTCCCACAACTCCGAGATGGCGGATAACATTGACAGCGGTGGTCCGCAACAAGTTGTAGTCTTCATCCGACAAAGTCTGTGAAGGTGCCACGACGATGGAATCACCGGTATGGATCCCAAGCGGGTCGAAGTTCTCCATGTTGCAAACAGTGATGCAGTTGTCACGTACGTCTCGAACGACTTCATACTCGATCTCTTTCCAGCCCTTCATGCTCTTCTCGATGAGCACTTGTGGGCTTGCAGCAAAGGCCTTCGTGCATAGCTCACGAAGTTGGGTGGGATCTTCGGCAAATCCACTTCCCAGCCCGCCTAAGGCATAAGCCGCTCTGATAATCACGGGGAAGCCAATGTCCTCAACAACACGCATTGCTTCCTCGAGGCTCGATGCTGATGCTGATTTGGCGCATTTCTCTCCAATAGACTCCATGCTTCTAGCAAAAAGCTCGCGGTCCTCTGTAGTAATGATTGTTTCAATCGGAGTTCCCAAAACTTGGACTCCGAGAGATTCAAATTCATCTTTGAGCTGAATCCCGACCTGTAAGGCAGTCTGTCCGCCGAATGTGCAGTAAATACCGTCAGGCCTCTCATGCTTAATGACTTTGCGGACGAAATCGGCGTTGACCGGAAGAAAATAGACTTTGTCAGCGAGACCTTTGGAGGTCTGAATGGTTGCAATATTAGGGTTGATCAAAACAGTATAGATGCCTTCTTGTTTCAACGCTTTGATCGCTTGGCTCCCCGAATAGTCAAACTCTCCAGCCTGACCGATGCTGAGACCGCCACTCCCTAAAACGAGGACTTTCTTGACCTTGGCACGAGGATGCTCTTTGTCGTTCTCCTCGATTGTACCCCCCGGAAATGAAACAGGCTGAAGCAAAGCATCGACAGAAGCAATGCTTTTCATGATTGCATCGATAAAGACGTCGAACAAGAATTCGGTATCTCGAGGTCCTGGAGTGGACTCGGGATGAAATTGAACGCTGAAGTAGGGCCTTGAGACGTGGCGAATGCCTTCATTGCTGCCATCATTGGCGTTCACGAATAGCTCTTCCCATCCTTCAGGCAAGGTCATCGAGTCAACGGCAAACCCGTGGTTTTGTGAAGTGATGTAACATCGGCCAGACAACAGATTTGTGCAGGGAATATTGTGGCCTCGGTTGCCAAATTTCATCTTCAAAGTATTGGCTCCAGCCGCACGAGCGAGTAGTTGATGGCCAAGACAGATGCCAAAGATGGGTGTTCTTCCTTTTGCCATCGCCACTGAAATGTGCATGACGGTGGTTGAGAGCATGGCAGGGTCACCAGGACCATTAGAAATGAATAGTCCATCATAATCCTTGCCAGCTAGGTCTGGAAAGCTATAGTCCCATGGCACCACAAGAACTTCAACGCCGCGGGATAAAAGACATCGGAGTTGGTTGTACTTGAGACCGACGTCTACAACAGCCACTCGGACGGGTCTCCCCGAGGGATGAAGTAGAGCTTTGTTCTCGGGGGGAGAGATCACCCTTGGCTTTTTCACTGAAACTTCTGCCACGAGATTCCGTTGGTTCTGGTCATGCCACTCAATGTCATCAACCTGTTCTCGCCAGCTGACGGGACCCATGACCACATCTCCATTGGGAATTGGATTCTCCTTCACGCCGTTCGTTAGTTTCCTTGCTGATGATCTCGCATGAAACATTCTTCCCAGCATACTGCCCTCTTCCCGAATAATCTTGGTTAGTGCTCTGGTATCGACCCCATACATGGCTGGAACATCTTGCTCTTTCAACCAAGTCCCCAGGGAGGAGGTAGCAAGGTGGTGGGAGTAAGTCTCTCCGGCATAAGCAGCAACGACAAGTCCAGCGACGTGAATTTGATTTGATTCGAAATGCTTAGGAAGATCACCAAGTAGCTCATCGAGAGTTTCTCTGGAGGGTACGCCGTAGTTGCCAATAAGTGGAAAGGTGATGACGAGAATTTGGCCGCGGTAGGAAGGATCGGTGATGGACTCTGGATATCCGACCATTCCCGTTTGGAAGACTAGCTCTCCAGATGCGCTTTTTGAAGCACCAAAGCTAATCCCCTCGAAGACCTGGCCATCCTGGAGCTCAAGGTAAACGCTAGTGCGTCCATCTTTAGGGGCGTCCGCCGAGGGACGGTTTAGAGAGCCCATTCGATCTCTATCAGTCAGATTCCCGGGTGAGAGAGATTTTTCAACATTGCTGATTCCGACTGAGGCGGCGACTGTCGGGCTTTGGGGTAGCGGACTGGTACTCGAGGCGTCACGACCGTTCGTGGTCAGCGAGACTGTCCGATTCATGGCCGAAGGAAGAATTGAGGACTGCTGTCCAGGCAGCAGAGAAGAAGTCAGAAGTACATCTGCTGAAGGAAAGAAGTGTAGTCCCCTGACTCTGGCTAGTTTCGGATCTACTACAGAAAGTGACAGGCCAGAAATTGAGATCTTACTCGGTCTCTAGACGGGGAGAAACTTTTTGATGCCGCCAAGCCCCCGTGCCCCTAGACGCAGCCAATCATCGCGCGATTTGGGCTCACCGCAAGGCTGCTAACCCGTTTCAGCCGTAGTCCCTGCCGCTTGAAGGTCGACCATAGAAAATCTATATAGATACCCGACTGTTTGGGCGGCTGAGAGCACTCAGGTGATGGGTGAGGAAAAGCAAAGCACGGAAAGACATTGACGCTGTCTTCACGGTTCGAGCTTCCACCGCTAGTGGATTTTGATTGTGCAAACATGACTAAACCGGACTGCACATCCGCTGGTCGAGTCCGGGAGTCGAGTCTGCATGAACAGTGGGCTTGTGCATAAGCGTCCCAGGCTGGTTGGGAGACGCCTCCAATCACAACTACTGTCAACAGCCCTCCATCTTTTCAAAAGGTCTTATCTGGATCGCTCTCACAGCAGCCTTTGATGTCACCATCTCGCCAAACCCCGTCCCAAATTCCCCAGCACGATAATGCATTGTGCGACCAAATTCTCCGCATGTTGCACATGCAAATGCAGATGTGGATGGTGGTAGGGGGCCAGAGTCTTGAATGCTTGTTAGCCCCAGGCGAGCAACAAAAATGCCTCGAGTCACGTCTATCTCGTCTATCAAACACTCACCGACATAATCCTACCAAGTGCACCTGGGCTTGTATTCCCTCAAGAAATATTGACAGCCTTTCTCGGCCTTCAGAGCCTCGACGCTGTGTTGATATGCCTTTGATTTCATTCTTACCGCGTTGCGAACATCCTTTGACGCGTTCCAGCCTCATGCGCTAGCTGCTCTGCTCAGTCCTGCATTACGTTCTGCTTACCACAGCTCCCAGAGCTTCTTCTCCACGGGACATGCTGTCCTCCTTCCTACGTCCTGCCCGTGGCAGGCGGCGTCATGATCGCTCCCCATTCTCTTCTTCACACGTCCCTACGACAGGATCCCCCGATGCCTCCCGCAACAACAACACACAACGCAATCGATGGCGGGTAATTCCTTATGAAATCGAAGGTGATAATATCATTCGAGAAGATGGCCAGGAGCCCGGTGACGACGAAGAAGAGGAGGAAGAGGAAGAGGAAGTTTCAGGTCTCGAAGATCTCGATGATGAAGATGAAGATGACAACCACGACGAATATGAAGAAGACGAGCCTGACGATACCGCTCCGCTTCTTCCCATTTTCTCAACCGCTCATCTTGATGCAATACCCGTATTTACCCTTACCCACGCCATTCGGATCTTGGTGAGCTCTCGTTGTGACACGGTTTTGTCCTGGGAGCAGCTCCGCTCTCCCCAGGTCTCTCAATTTCTTCTCAAACCCGTCGAGCAAGAGATCCGGAGTCACCACTTGAATGCTGCCACCGAGTATGCCCTCATGGCCAACTGCCTCCAGTACGGCAAAGAAGCCGCAATGTCGTCTGGGAATAGCGGTACCAACAGAACCCGTGCAATGATGTGCGAGCTACTTGCCATCAAACTCCTCAAAGACTACTCCACCAGGGAATTGATTGATGCACTATCTTACGACTTTGATCCTCTCCAAGGTCAGGTCGATGCTCCTCCTTCTGGGGACGACGGGCGACGAGGCACAGAAGGATCGAGAAAGCCCGTTCAACGACCAGCAAGGATATCCTGCTTTGAAATCGCCATTCGAGCGCAGTCCAAACGATTTCTTTCTCATCCCGTGGTCGTCAAGCAATTAGAGGCCATTTGGGCTGGCACAATTGTGTTTCACTCTGCCGCCGATAATTTGCATCGCAAATTTCCTCCCCCGAGACAACTGAAAAATTATAACACAAATGAGGGTGCTTCGACAGCTAAAGCTGGATCCACTGACCACGATCCTCAGCTTCCCCGTCGGGCTGTGACGCTGTACAACCCTCGTGACGCCTCCCTTTTCAAACTATCCCGTCTGAGAGTCCCTCGGTATCGGAACATTCTGTCCACGATATCGTTCGCCATTCTTCTCAGCCTCTTTGTTGCGGTCCTGGTTCAACGCTCCTTGGAGATTACGACCCTCGAAGTGGTCTTCTGGTTCTGGGCGGCCGGTTTCATGCTTGACGAAATCGTAGGATTCAATGAACAGGGATTCAGTCTGTATCTCGCAAGTTTCTGGAACACCTTCGACCTCGGGATCCTCTTCATTTTATTCGTCCACTTAGCTTTACGAATTTATGGCATCATCATGCCTGATATAAGGAAGCATAGAGTGGCGAATATGGCCTACGATGTTCTTGCTGCCGACGCTATTCTCCTGTTCCCTCGATTGTTTTCCGTCCTCGATCACTATCGTTATTTCTCACCTCTCCTCATCGCATTCCGATATATGGCCGCAGACCTCGTTGCAGTGTCCTTACTGATTCTCATCAGCTGCAGCGGCTTTTTTGTTGCACTCACACTCTCATTTGGCGACGAAGGGGTCGATACACCAGGTTCGGTGGCATACGCTTTACTACAAATGGTTATGGGCTTCACGCCGGCCGCCTGGGATAGGTGGGACAGTTATAACATACTTGGGAAAACCATCTTGACCTTGTTCTTGTTCATCTGTCACTTCCTTGTGGTCACGATCTTGATCACTGTTTTGACAAACTCCTTCATGGCTGTCGTCCAAAACGCAAATGACGAGCATCAATTCCTGTTTGCGGTCAACACCATCTCCCACGTCAAGTCCGATGCCCTTTTTTCGTACGTGGCGCCAACCAATGTTCTCCAGTGGGCATTGGTACCTCTGAGATATGTCGTCCCATTCCGACAGTATGTCAAAATTAACCGGACCATGATCAAGATCACCCACTTTCCGGTACTATTTTCGATCTTCCTGTACGAGAAGACGATTCTGCAGTCTACCATGTTTGAGAGCATTGACCTTGTCGAGCGTCGAGGCCGATTGAAAAGAACGACCGCTGCGAAGCTTACTCGTCTCCGCCAGGCACCTTCAATTGCTACCTTTAGGCAGGACAAGGCCTTGGAAGAAGTATTTAGACATCCGTACGGCAGCACAATGCGTAGTGCTCAGCAACGTCGCGATCGTCGAAAGGCAAGCAATGTCGTAAACACTTGGATCAAGGGTATGGGTGACGATATCGCAAGCCCTCCACCAGAGCAAGACCGACAAGTGGTGGACGGGCTAGAAGCGCGCGGAACAGCTTCTAGACTATTGCGCCCTTACAGTCGAGTTCGGACATTTTCACGACGGACCATGTCTATTGCATCAGATCCGGAGGAATTTGCAACGAATGCAGATTTCTTATCTCCTAACGAGCTACGCCCAGTCCCCGACGACCTGACCCCATCAGCAATGGAGGAACCATTGCACAACACGGATGCGGACGGCGATGATGAGTTGCGAACAAACGAAGAAAGGGATGAAGAGGAGGCAACGACGTTCGGGCATCACTCACCAAGTAATGTTGACGAAGAAGAAGTCCGAGCACCTCGTGTTCTGGTGCCTCGTGAACATTTCTCGAATCGTCAGCCACCCAGAAGCCATGCTCCAGAATCAGCAGACCATCTTATGTTGATTGGTCAGACACGACGCGAAGTTCCCAGTCCAGGTGCAAAATCGTCCTCCCGCTTATCGCCCAAGAATCGACCCCGTCAACATTCACGCAACGTTTCATCTGCGACTATGGTTTTCAAGCCAATGACGGATTCCAGCACGGACCAGTCTTCCTCGCACGAAGGGGCGTTAACTCCCCCCGGCAAGATACAGGGTTCCGCACCCGACTCAGGGGCTCGCACACCCGTGTCGAAGCCTGTATCAAGTGCTGCCGGGCATCGAACGCCAAAACGGACGGCAGCGGCAGCGGCACCAACGCGAATGCGGCCGATCCTTCCTGGCAAAGACGACCCAGCATTCCAGTCTGCTCCCAATTTAGCAGGTCTGGTAGAAGTGAAAAGCCGACCAACTCAGCCACGACGTCGGCCGTCTCTTGAAATGGACTTGGTGTCAGACATTGGCGACAACAGAGCGATCGGTGGCGGCTACGTCGGCGCCCTACCGGCATCCTTCGCCGCTAAAATTACAAGGGGGTTAGGTGGGTCACGGCAGGCTAAAGAACAAAAGGAGGAGCAGGAAATGTTTGCCAAGATCTTGATGGCTCGCATGAATACTCTCGAAGAAGGCTTCCGAGAGGTGATCCACGAAATGAGGGAGAGCATGAGACATGACGAAGGTAGGAGCAAGAGCCGAGGAAGGGTAGGGAGACCTGGAGTCAGAGAAAAGCGGGCGAAGGAGAAAGAGACTGGTCGACCACCCACAGCTGAAGGAAACCAGGACACTATTGATCCTCAAGAGGGCCAGGGTGCTGAAAGAAGCAATGAAGGCCCACGAGAGAAAAGTGCTGATCATGTCAAGCCCGTGGTACAGAATACGGCTGATTATCGGTCGAAAGATCAGCCTCGGGCAGATTAATGTGAGCCTGCCATATTGCCATTGCAGTCATCGTTTTGGTTGTTACAAAGGGTTGGTGTCTCTTCGGTGGCCATTTTGTGTTGAGCAATAACCCCAGTTAGCTCGAGCAACGAAGAGCTGTAGATACTATCTAATTCAAGCAATAATCAAGACTCGGGAATTTTGCTTCCGTAGTTCGGAGCTGCAAGCAGCAAGTGTGCGTTGTTGTCACGAACACAGCCTTGCCAGATGATGCCGTATGATCTGACGTAACAATATCACCTTGAGGCCTTAATGACGGACCGTAATCCTCCTCTTTACTCCGTAACCCGGTGACGCATGGAACCGCGACGTTCATCGTCGGGTGATTGTAACAACAAGTGCGACGTCTGCCAACGTCGTATACTCCCAATATTCTACTACTCTCCATCTTATTCCTCGATCGCCACCTAAATCCTTCGCTGCTTAGACTTATTGTCAGTGCATACATCATCTCGAAGTGAGTTCGAGGTTGCAAGGCTCAGCCAGGGATCAAGCATTCGCAACAGCCCAGTATGGCTTCAGGTTCAGGACAGTCGAACCAGCTGCTCTAGTGAGTGCGCAAGTGATTGATTATGATCACATTTGACTTATTATGCGACATAGTGCTTGCATTGCGCATGGAACCGTCATCCTGACCGAACACTCCTCACCCGGTGCTTCGTCGTCCTCTGCCTCCTCTCTCGCTTCAGTGATTCTTCCCAAGATCTCCCATTCTACTCCTGCAAAACTCACCTATACGCATGATCGCCTCTTTGTCCACTACATAGCTGATTCTCCTTCCTCCACATCCGACGGCGCGGACGAGCAGCTCTCAAGTCATGCCGCGCTCACTTACCTCGTGGTTGCGCAGACCGAGATGGGCAGACGTATACCATTCGCATTCCTTATCGAACTCAAGAAGAAGTTTCTGGCGCAGTATAAGCCAGAGTCTACAGATTTCCAATCCCTGCCGGCCTATGGCACCGCTGCTTTCAACACCACGCTGAAAGGGATGCTTCAACAATACAACACCGCACCCCCCAGCGATGCGTTGACCAATGCACGTAAAGAGATTGACAGCGTCAAGGACATCATGACCGAGAATATTGAAAGAGTGCTTGAGAGAGGGGAGAGAATTGATTTACTGGTGGACAAGACCGATCGCTTAGGAGGTAGTGCACGAGATTTCCGGGTACGGAGCCGAGGACTCAGGCGGCAGATGTGGTGGAAGAATATACGTGTAATGGCGCTTCTGGTGGTCGTGGTGATCTTCTTGATATATCTCTTTGTCGGGTTTGGTTGTGGTCTGCCAGCATGGGGCAAATGTGTTGGCTGAGGCCTGGCAAGGAATTTGTTTGCAAGTCTCAAGGATGTGTACTATATGAAAACCATGGACGGGGCACTGGTAGGTTAAGTGCAGTGGAAAAATAGCATCATGGCCGTATTGCGATCACCAAATGCTATCCTGAGTATCTTCCTAGTGCGGATTTGGCGTCTTGGTGGTTTTTCCTTCTCTTGTCTTTTTCTGTTTTCCTCTCTCTTTCACCTCTGTAGCTGCCATTCCCCCCGCATTATCACTGAATTCGATATCCTGTGGAGAGCAGTAACTGAATGTCTATCCAAGGTTAGTGACTGGATGTAGTGTCAGGTCGGCAGCGTGTTGACTCCTCCACGCCTGCGACTTCCTGGGCTTGACTCTGATTCGCTGATGATAGGGCTGCAGGTGAGCAAACACCCCCCCCCCCCCCCCGGTCTTGCAAGGACTCCCTACTGGCTTGGATGAGCGACAAAAGGCCCAAAGACGTGCGGAAAGCGACGGTGGGTGCTAGCGCTAGAGAGATGTGTTGGAACGCCCAGTCGGCTTTGTCCAGACAGAGATCACCCGCATTGCTGAGCCACCTTAGCCCTCCGCTGAGCTTCACTCAGCTTGGTGCTTGCATATCACCATTCGCAGCCAGCAGTTGGCAGCAAAAGGTGAACCCCTGCGAGGCAACTTTCGAAGGTCCATTGCTACTTGTCACCCCCATACTCATGACACTGAGATGCTCACCTTGCCAGGCAGACATCAGATCAACAAATGACCACCACCGTCCTCACTCCTCTGCCCTCTCTCTTCTTCCTGACGGTCGTCCTCATTCATGCCTCATCGTCTTGTTCAGCTTCTATTCTTCGTCTCCTTCCTATTACCTTTGTATCAACCTTCTTGAAGGACACCTCGCCCTCTATCGTATCAGCCTCACCATTCCTGTCCTCTTCACCTTACCTAAATTAATCTCATTCTACTTGAGCAGCATTCTGTCTGGCAATTGTACCGTTTGACACTCACCGCCCATTGTTTCGCTTTTCATTTTCATACAATTTCCTCTTCTATACCTCTACTCTATTATCGACCTCGCCAACATAGTTTCCCAGACATGCATATTTCAGACTGAAAACCCCATCATGGCTCCAAATTCTCCAATTAGTCTGGGCAACCGCCTGGAAACCACATCGACTGAGACCCGTGATGCAAATCAGAAGCCTCCGACAGAAGAAAGAGCATTAGCCCAAGCCGTCAAACTATCTCTCGAGGATCAAGCAAAGAAGCAAGCAAATTCTCCTGGAGCAATGAGGCGCTTTCCCCTCTCCCGTCACGAGGCTGCGGTAGATCTCGTTTTGAGCCTGAATAATGAATTCACCAACTTGGATGATCCGGACGGCGATACCGTCATCTACATCGGGCCGCCTCCTCGGATGCCAGAGCAAACTGAAAAGGAATATAGCTACATCTCCAATCATTTTGACCAAGTTCATATTGTCAAGAGCACCACTCTGAAGCTCATGGGCGATACTTCCAGATTTAGTGACAAGGACCTCCTAGGCCCTAAATCTGTCCGTGCCGAGAGAAAACTACGAAAGCTTGGTGTACTCAGCAAAGCAGAAGCGAGGAAGGGTGGGAAATTCAAATATTATATAGACCTTCGCCCGCCCAAGGAGGATGAAGAGGCAGTCATTCTCATCACTGATTTGACCTGTACTAAAGGCGTTCTTGCTTGGCATCTGGCTAAGGATAAATACGATCTGTCTCCCATGGCTGTCTCCGGTCACGATGAATTCGGAGTTCAATCTCCATTGCTGCCATCGTCTACGAATGCAACCTCTTCAGAACCAAAGACTAGTGACAAGACGAACTCCGATACATCCAAGGAAGCTTCAGCCGACAACAGCCCCAAGCAAGGGAGCCAAGATCCACCACCAAAAGTCGCGCCTGAGTACTCCCCTCTCCGTCATACATCTGCTATTGAGCGACTTGTACATGCGATTCATGGCAACAATCCCAAACTCGATTCCGCACCAAAAGTCTGGACTTATTTTGCTGTTGCCAGGTATTTTGGCTGTGCCCATAATGAGCGCATTTCGGGCTGGATCACGACTTGGATCTACACCCAGAACAATGTCAATTTCATTCAGAACAACCCGGAGGTAGCCTATCGGATTGGAATGGGTATTCGATCGCCTGATCTCGTCCAGGATGCATTTTCCATTCTCGTAGGGGAGAGAGCGCTTCTTGAAGCTTACGGGGAATTTAATGCACAAATATTCTCTCCCCTTGTCAAGACGGTCCATGGGCGCAAGTTGGAGCTTCTTGACGATGATGAACGTAATCGAATTGATCACGCTGCATCGTCATTTGTCCGACGAATTCGTGGCTTGGTGGTTTGGCTCTGTAGGGATATGGGATGGCTTCGACAAAGCAAGGAGTACGCAAAGCTCGATCAGCTGGTCGGAAACACTGCAGAAGAAGTGGAGATGCTGGAGTCAACAAAGAAGCTCATCAAAGACTATGTCCGTTCCAGGATTTATTATGTCCTATGCCAGGATCAGTATTCTTTTGATGAGATTGAAGCTTCCCCGGCGTCGACCCTTGCGTTCCGATCGGCCACCGACGAAAACTATGTCACCGTATACAACGGGCTGAATCAACCCATGAGAGTGTTCACCAAGTCGTTTTGGCTTGCCTTGCAGCGCACGCAGTTTGACACGGGTCTTACTAACACTGGGAATGAGGGTACGACCGGGCGCTCCAACGAAACTCGTTACGTCCAGGGTCTTCGAAGCCTATACGCCGACGATCCACTCAATGGGATCATCTCTATCAGTCGAGTTACCTTCGACCACCAAGTGAACAATGTCAATCGGCTTTTGCATTTGCGAGAGACTATGAACAGAGAGGCCAAGGGTAAGGGTAAAGTTCTTTCTTACCTCAGCCATGAGCCTGAAAATATACTAGATGGTCCAGAAAATATTCCTCTTGGTTCACTTGCCATCGGAAGTCCAAGATCTGGATCTGACAGAAATGAACCATCATTCCCTGATGGATCTCGGGCAAAGTATCGCAAGATCCTTGAGTCGGATGACATTAGTCATGCCGTCTCGTCTTCAGTTGACGCAGACATCTCGGCTCCGGGGCGAAACAACTCTGCTACCAAACCGAGCACCCATGGGCTTGCCCCTGTGGACAAGTTCTCACATACACGAGCTTGTGACCTCCCCGTTCTTCCCTTGAGACCAAAGCAGTCTGAAAGCTTCAACCGTGAGAAGGACTATTTGGATAATCAATTCTCTCACTCCAAGGCCGAAGAACAAGAGGTTCTCCTTCCGCCTAGGAAAACTTTGTGGGCCATGGCAGGCAGAGAAACTATCATTGAACAGTCTCTCCGTATTCCAAAGGATGGAAAGAGTGAACCTTCGAGCTACTCACATCAACCCTCCTTCTCAAATAAATACTCTAATCAGTGGTGGAGTAATTGGGACGAATGGGACTCTCCGGTTGCATCTGAACAAAGGAATAAGTCAACTACTCTCAGCCCCAAGCCTCTCAATTTTAATAAGCCAACCAACAAGAGCCCCAACGCAGTGCTCACGGGCTCCGACTTTGTCGAACATGGCTGGGAGAAAATCCATTCAGCGACCATGCTCTATGAAATTGGAAAGCAGATATCAAATATCTGCTCCGGTATTTTATACCCTCCGCATTTGTTTCACCAAACAGGTTTGCTGCCCACAGACCTATTCGACAACCTCCTGTGCCTTGATGCGAACGAGTTCCAATACCTTCCACTCTGGGTACCCAACGGCAATGATGACGGCAGTGGAGGAGTGTTTGATGAATGCCCTGTTCCGAACCTCGACCCTACAAGTTCCAAATATGAGCCTTTTCCCGCCGGCCAGATCAGAGTTGGCTATGACAAGGCAGACTCAGATTTCGACGGCTCCATTGAAGACGTCGCTAGCCAGGCTATCAGTACCGTTGGCAAAGCAAGTAAGCTCGCAACAGATGGCACTGAGACAATCAAGAGTTTGTCGAGCATCAGCGTCGGTGAGTTCGCTGCGACGGAAACTGCACTTGTGAATGATTCGAGGAGTGTGGCGTCCGTCGTGGTGGCAAGTGTTATAAGCGATGAGGAGATGGTTTTGGATGCCGACGCCGATTTGGATCACGCCAACGGCCTCGATGATGACGACGATGACACCGACACACTTAGCGACGATGTAAACGGGGAGATGTCGGCAAGTCTCCAAGCTTTCCTTCATTCTTCTGAGGATACCGAAAGTTATGCAGAATACCTTGCTGCCAATGCCAGTACCAGTTCGCTTGAGAGTGGTCTGGCCCTTCGCTCCAGTGACAACAGCATGGGAAAGGGAAAAGGCAAGGAAATCCGTGACGGACCCCAAGGGACAAAGACCCCAGTCAAGGATGATGATGATGATGATGATTTCGAATTTATATGAACATCGACTTCATGCTTCTTGCTGCCTCGCCATTCGTTCTACTACGTACAGTACACCACTCTATCCTCATCAGTCGCTATTTCCTATATCCAGCAATAAGAGATGAATGAAAGAACGACGAATATCTCTCGGCCACGCAGTTCAAACCTCACTACGAACCCTAGATCCAATCCGATTCTCAAGTTCGCCGACATTTTCATTACATTACATTTCAACGAGACTTCAGGAAACGGGTATGGAAAACACCAGCAGGCACATTTTTCTTCTATTTCTTTATCATCGGCCGGCGTTTGGAGTCGGGATCGGGAACGGGGACGGAACAGAATGGGCTGAATCTGTAGATCCGCGCCAGGCGATAGCGTAGGGACATTCAAGTGCATGGGCATGGCATGATAAACAGCGTGATATGGAATCATATGATCGCCAACAAAATACAAAGAGATGACACCGATGATTGAGCAATCACGTATTTTATCACAATGACCCGAGAATGATTGTGAATAAAAGCGAAAACAAAGTGTACCGCGAAAGCTAATCTGATCTACTCTGATCCTCAACGAGATCAAAATGCCGAGACACCCAGAGCACAGAAGCTCGCCTCGCTAAACGCCTCGCACTTGTAGACAGCACATAGCACAGCGATATCGCGGTAATTGATGGTTCGAGGCACATTTGCTTTGTCTTTGCTGAGCTAATAAAGCTACTCTACCATTGTCGGTCCTCCCATCTTCAGCCACATCTTCCATGTCAACTTATCAGGCACTGTAATCAAAGCCTATCCAATTCAGGCGCCGTTCTCAGGTACCATGGCAGGCATTTCCTTCCATCCCCTTTGCAAACTAGCAACACAATCCGTATGAATGAAAGTACGGGGAAGGAAATGCAATGGGGAGAAAGTGTGGTATTATTCGGTACAGTCGCTTGGTGAAAAGAGAAAGTCGGGAAGTCGATCTTTTCGAGTTGAACGGGGATTAGCATCCGGTTCGGGTGTCTCTTTTTCACCACGTTCTAAGACCCAAGGTGTTCACTGATGCCGGTGTCAGTCCAAACACATTTAGCAGATGAATTCGACATCGCTCACTGAAATCTCGTCCATGCCCATGTCATCACCGGTGTTAGCTGCGGGAGCTGTACCATTGGCGGTGGCAGCTTCGTTCGATGCTCCAACGGCAGATGGATTATTGCCTCCCCAGTAATCGGTCATTTCAGCATCAAGCTCTTCAGCGGTCTTCGGCTTTGGACGAGAGCTACGGCCACGCTTTGGCTTGCCGGGCTTGCCGGCAGATCGTCCTTTGGTCCCATCCTTTCCGGACACCTTCTTGACTGCGGTGGCAGATTTTGGTTGAGCTTTCGGATTGGCGCTGATTTTTGTCAGTGGTTCTGACTTGCCCGAGCGTTTTGGGTTTGCGTACGCAACACGTTCCGCAAGAGATTTTGCCGGTGCTGGTTCTGGAACGCTGCTGGCATCCATCACCACTTCAATCTAGTCAAAGGTCAGGTGGAATTCCGGTACGGTAGGTGAAGTCGTGCTTGCCTTCATTGGTCGCTTATCAACGAGCATTCCGTTGAGGTCTTTGGCTGCTTTGGCTGCAGAGTCTGGCTTGGAGAAAATGATGTCGGCGATGCCGCGGCTCTGGCCATTTTGATTGTATTGCAAAGAGACTTTCTTGACGTTGCCTACAGATTTGCCGAAGTATTCCTATGCGTCCCAGAAGTGATCAGCAATGTGTTGAAGTAAGATAGCAATAGCATTTCTTCCGCATCCTCATCTCCAGTCAAACAGGTAAGAGATGTTTCCTCAAGTAGAGTATAGTCCGGGTATAAATCCTTGGTAGGAGCATCAGCGAGCGCAAAAATCCAGAGAGCAGCAGCAAATCGGCAGTTGAGTCCGGTAGAGGAGTTGAAACAGTCGCGTCGAAGAGAACGTAGTGGTTTCACTATTGACCAAGACCTTGGTGACGCGAGATTGCGTTGAGTGTCGAGGAGGACAATGGCCGTTGATGTGTTCAAGTTGCTTGTCATGGCTAGGTTGGCCAGCTCGAAGTACCAGGTGTTGTGATCTTCCAAGAAGAATTTTTCGGGTAGACAGGTTGATGATGTTTCATTGGATTCGCCAACTCATTCCACGATTGGGTGTCTGTCGATCTTTGTAGCGAGACACTTGATTTACGAAGCTCGCGCATCATATCGGGTGCAACTGCGATATGTGGGCGCAAGGAGTCTGCATTGCAGATGATTGGGTCCGGTGTATCCAAGCTGCACGGCTGTGCTTTCTGTAGATTGAGTTGCAAACTCGCTGATGCTCCAAACGATAGAAGGACAAGGATACCAACAGCCCTTTCAGCATATTGGGAATCCTTTGGGCAGATCTGCATCAAAACCCTACACGGTGGCTAGCCGGAGGGGTTGAATTTGCGAGATCATAAGGCGATCCATATTCTCACCGCAATGCATCGCGCATGTAACATGCGAGCAACGCGTGGAACGGGTGATGCCTGCCTCTAATAAAGCCAGCACTTTTCAGCATGGCGATATGCTCCTTGGGTATAATCTCTCCAGTGTCGACATGTTTTCTCTTTCTTCCTCATTGTCTTCAACCCCACTCGGAAACGGTCTCGGAAGGAGCGAGAGAATAGCAGGTGATGACGAGCGGCGACGGAAATCCAAGGTCGAAAGCCTCTTTATCAACATACCTTGATCTGGGCTTCGTTGACGTCGAATGGCTAGGGAGAGAGTTAGTCGGGGTCTTATACCAAAACGGAGGTAATCGCAAATCCTACCAGTCCACTGACGACAATCTTGCTTGAACGTGCTTGAGCTGAGGCGCCGGCCGCAGGTTTGATGACTGACTTGACTGGTTTGGTTGCCTTCTTGACACCACCAACAGGAGCGGTTGCACCAGCTGGCTTTCCGACCTTGCGACGACGAGCTTCACGCTTCGCCTTCTTCTGGCTATCAATGATGGAATCGAGGGATTGATCTAGCCTGCCAGACATCTTGAATGTGTAGAGAGATGATTCGAAGATGAAATTGCAAGGTGGAAGCGGGAATGGTTGAGGAAAGTGGTGGCTTCTGCGAGAAAGTCGCGCAGGTCAAGGAGATGAGAGAGTAGCAATGGTGGTGGAAATTTGTCGAATGTGTTGACGAAGACGAAAGAAAGATAAAATTTGCGGATGGAGATGGCGACCAAGAATGTGAAGTCGCAGGTTGAAGAAGTCGCTTTGTTTGTTTGATGCAGCGAGAATGATGCCAGGCGCATACGAGAGACGAAAAATGAAAAGTAGGAGGCGCGAGAGACGAGGCGCAGAGAAGCCCCCAAGGCAACAGAGCCTGAGAGTTTGCAGGTGGCATTGCAAGCCGCGGCACTAGTCCCTTCTCGGTCTATCAGTTCATGTCACGTACCACATTTGATACAATACTCATCGATACTTGCTAGTCTAACCATCAAGTCTTCTGGTCGGTTGCCACGTGCATCCACTTAGATATCTGTCACGCAAGTATTTCAACCCGTGATCCTTTCATAAGCATCACGTCTCCGGCCCTGGCGTGGAATACTCCCCCCAAGTGTCAGCATATCCATTCCATGCATTTGTCCCTATATCGTTCAGACCTCAACTCTTCAAAGCTTCCAGTCTCCCTCGCATCTGCTCCAGTTCTGCTTCCCTGTCCTCGGCATTTTCTTCCTCCTCCACGGGCAGTTGCGGGACTTGCTGTTCTGGAGCTCCCAGCTTCCCCTTCAGCACCTCGCCCAACACTTTGTCGACTTCGGTCTCGGCTTCCTCGTCCTCTCCTTCCAATAATTCATCATTGGGTAGAGCATCGCCGACCATCTCCTCAATAATGCCCGCCTTCATTAACTCCTGGCTAAGTTCTTGCATCGTGCCCGTCAACTCGGGCAATCTAATGAGGGTGTTGACATCCTTCATGATATTTGTACTGGCCTTCAAACTGCCTTCGATCTTTCGTACTGCGAATGCTTCGTTGACCTGCATCTGTACGCTCTGTAGCTGGGCTTTGCTCGTGTGTAATCTTGCCGCCTGTTTCCGCACCTTGATCAATTCTCGTGCAAATATTCGTGCCTCGGCTGCGCCTTGTTTCGCTTGTGAGGGGTTTTTCTGCGCTCTCTTCGATGAGTTGAGGATCAGACTCCTGGTTTTTTGCTCGGTGACTTTCAGATTGAGAATATCGCGGTCCAAGGCTCGGACGTTCTTCCGGATGATAGCGTCACATTTTCGTTTCTGGAACATATATATTTTAGCCTGACCTGAAGAACCCTGCAGAAGAAGACGCACTTGTTCCTGCGGATCCGGCTTAAAGAAGACCGCCTTAAATGACTGCATGATGATTTTCTTTGAGGAGGGGTGTCAGTGTAGATCAAAAGACACTTCTGCCTTGTTCCTGAGGACAGAATTTGGAGATGAGAGTCTATTGACCCATGGTGATCGGAAGAAAGGCCGGTCACGCTGCGGATAGCAGACCTCTGCTGAATCACTATGTGCGAGTAATGAGAATCTTCAAAGAGGGAGCGAATTCGCAGAGAGGGTGGCAGCCCAACGGGGTCGTGGTAGGGCTGATGGGCGTAGATCGATTACCTCAAAAGGAAATCTCCAGGTCTTGGAGGATCGTTGATAACTCGCAGACGTAGCGGCGAGTGAGAAAGTCAGTGAGGATTCCCAGCCAAAAGTCCAAGACAGGTCCGTACGATAGCCAGGTACTTCCGGAGCAGGTCCTGCGCTGATGATGTGGGTTGGATGCAAATGGTGGGGGCTGTTCAAGGCGCCCGCAGCGTCTGCCCGTAGCAAGGTTGCGGGATAGGCATAGCATCTTGGGAGGTTTTCGATGTCATTCGTCGCAGTTCGAACAGCCTCGTCTTTAACTAGTTACCCGCACACACAAATCGTCAACAAGCCAGCCAGCAAAGCTACCTCTTCTCTTCAGTGTTCCTTTGACTCTATTTCGGCCTTCTTGCTCGAGCTTTTGGTTCTCCCTTCCTCATCTTTCCAGAGTAGAGACCCCTCCATCCACCAGTCGACAAAGATGTCTGCTCAGGTCACCCCAGAAGGTAATTCTCTGACCGTCTCTCTCCTCCCTCCTGCCCAAGCCCCGTAGACCTTGTCTCAATGGCAAATGTCCAGCCCGCAGCCTTGTCTAGATCAAATCACTAACGATCATGCCTTCCAGTCCTATGGGCTCAGCGCTCCTCCTCCAGCGAAGCTGAGAAGAACTACATCTACCTGACCATCAGCGTGCCTGACGTCCCACCCAAGGCTCTCAAGCTCAATCTTAAGCCCACGGGTCTCACCTTTACTGGCACTTCAGAGACCAAGAAGACAACTTACCACCTGGAGATGGAATTCTTCGGCGAGATTGACGTCGAGAACTCGAAGACACATCACACTGCGGCCAATATCCAGATGATTCTCAGGAAGAAGGAACTCAAGGAAGAATACTGGCCACGGCTACTCAAAGATCCTGCAAAGGTTCACTACCTGAGAACCGATTTCGACAAGGTACGTTCCGGCGACTGATTTCAACGATCGCAACAACTAATTTCTCTTTCAGTGGGTCGATGAAGACGAACAAAATGAAGCACCGGAAGACGACTACATGAACCAATTTGGCGGTGGCCTCGGCGAAGACGGCGGTTTTGGAGGCATTGACTTTTCAAAGCTCGGCGGCGGTGGCGGCGACACACCAGGTATGGAAGGATTGGACGCAGGCGATGCTGACGCCGGTGACGATGATGGTGGCGATGATGACGACGACGACGACGACGACGACGAGATGCCTGATTTGGAGGAAGATGAAGGCGACGCCAAGGGCAAGGGCAAGGGCAAAGACGCCGCATAGACTCTCCCCAAATCCGCAACAAGCACGGACCTCATAGGTCATCTGGAGCGAGCGAGCGAGCGGATTTCAATCGATATGGATGACAATCACTGATCCTCCCTGAAACACTGCGAAAACACGACTCCACAAACCCCAACCCTCTTGTTCACGAACGGTCTCGCCTTATCGTTCATTGCTCTAGAATTTCTACATTACGTGCCTTCTTCTTTGGACGGTTATCGACCTCGGACTGTCTTGCAAGAAACGAAGCAAAAGAAAATACCTTGGGGAAAAGCACGGCGTGTGAAACTACGGGGCATTCAAACTGGAAAAACATATTCGAATTACATTGAAGCAACAACGAGCAAACACGGGAAACATCATCACCCGTTCTTTTCTCTATGCCGAGAGACTCCTTTTCCTACTTCAGGCCTAGTGGGGGGGTTCTTGGGGTGTTTTTTGGGTGTTGGGGTCACTTCTTGAGGGTCAAATCAGTCAGTCAGAGCTGGTAGTACGGTAGTAGCTATTTACTGAGGCAGTCCACAAAATACATCACCCTTCCATCATCTTTGTGCCAGTATTGCAGAAGTCGAATCCTCGTAGTCGGTTTTGTCATGGTCTCACGAATTAAGGGGATAATCGATACAAATTTTGAGAATTGCAAACCACTGTTTTTCACCCACCACCCGCCTGGAAACAGGGCTTGAACTTGGGAATGTAACAAAGGGTATCCATCAGGCAACCATAACTCGGCGCCGATGGACAGAGACGCACAACTAGGCAGGCAAGCAAAAATCCGATTGTGCGGACTTGATGACTCATGCAGCGTGCATGAGCAACTTGAGCCAGTCCCAGCTCAAGGCGCCATCCACCAACGACAAACAAGAGACCAAGCCGCGGGTCACTGGTGAGCTTATATGACGAGCCCGTACCGTACCGAGAGGGTTCACCGTACCAGGTCATACAGTGCCTCTTCTCTTCGATCTGACTAAGGTAGATCATCGATCAGACCGGAAAGAGGAGAGGTGTTCCTTGCATATTTTCCCATGATCTTTTTTAAATTTCGGAAATGATCGTCTGCATTTATCAATTTTTAAGATCGACGAAAAATCGGATCGCCAGAGACTGACTTTTTCCTGAGGTGGGCCGGAAATGGCATGACAAGAGATTTGTTGAATGGACCAGAAGGGTTGTGTCCAACAGTCACCCATCCATCGTTGACAATCGTCCGATAAGGCGGAGGAGGGCCATTACTTTCCGTCGCCACGCTCTTACTCCCTATTCGCGTTCCTCCTGCGTTCCCAAGCACTCATGCCCGAGTTCGCAGCACCCTCTTCACCAGCACGAACCGCTCTCTCGTAGTCGTCCCGTCCACCCTGCCGTCTCTCCCTTTCTAGCATATCATCAAATTCTTTCTGCGCGTTCTCCCTCATCTTCTGGTCTCCTTCTCTGGAGAACTGAGGAGAGCTAGAATCCCTGTACGGATCGTCGGGGTCGTGTTTTGGAGCTTCTCGATTGGCTGTGCGTATACGGTACCATGTAGGGCGGTACCATGCCTCGGCGGAATTGTCTTTGCGGAAACCACGGGTTGCTTCTCCATTGTCCGGTCTAGCAACTGGTGATGCATCATCGTCATCGAAAAAGACACCTGAACCAAAAGAAGCATCAGATTCTTCATGTCTGCCATTTTGTGGTGGTGATGGCGGCGTCAGAGGCTTTCTCCATGACGAGCCACGTCCCAATGTAGAGGATGGCGGTTGCATATCCCCCGGACGGTGACTTGTGGATTCACTCCACATTCCCATGTCAGTTCTTCTATCTCCATAGGTATTGTCAGAACTGATCCCGAAAGACCCTTGAGGTTCAGCGTCCTCATACTGACCTCCACCCTGACTTGGAGGTTGATCATGTCCTGCATTTCGTCTGTGCTCAATTTCCAAAGGCCGGTTGAGACTGCTTGACTCGAGATTCACATTCTTTTGTTTGATCTCCATCAAGAGCTGATGAGTGCGTTCATCACGGTAAAGTCCCACCATGGAAGCCACATCGCCAGCAGCAGCGGCAAAGGGTGCCATTGCAATGACAGCCACGAGGGCCCAAACATTGGCCCTTGTAATTTGCCACCAGGTCCGCGCCATTTGTCCTTGGAAAATTGTGAATTTGCGACTGGGAAAGTGGTCATATCTCTCCAGGGGTTTGGCATTCATGAAAGGAAATTTCATGTTCTCCCGAGTCCTGTAAGCTATTGCTCCACCAATTAAGCAGCCAAGGATGGTGCCATTGAACATGTACATGCCTCGTTTGCAACCATAGTATGTAAGCCCTTCTACCTCTGTTTGGGTGATCGGTCGCCGGACCGTGTTTTCAACTCCGCGCATCAGATCAATGAGCGCAATACCCGTCGCCTTGGACCTCTCGGAATCTCCACAGAGCCACCATCTTGTCAGTCTATTCATCGGAATAGATTCATATGGAACTTGATAGTCACGTTGTTCGCCATAGAGCTGGTAGCCAATACGAAGGTGTTCTGGTTCTGCGGAAAAGACGTAGGTCGACCTTATTTGTGTCATATCAGCATGGCTTGCTTTTGATGAAGCTTCTCCGGGTCGTATAGGCCGAGCGCCAGGCCCCATAGAAGGAGGAAGAGTGGATGGTGGAGGACGTTGGGAGTCCATTGTCAACCGGGGAGGGTGGCAGTCTATGTTGGTGGCTGGTCATGAGAATTGAAGTGGTATGCCGGAACGACTCAAGATTTCAACATCTTTGAGGATTGTAGGAGGTCGCGAACAGGGAATCTGGGAGAATTCAATGACCTGAAGGGATTCGTGAAGCCCTGGTATTTTGGGTCTCATGTTCCGCAGGGATGTCGATGTTCGAGCCTCTGATGTCGGGCTCTTTCCCCACACAACGCCGAAGACTCACAGTCCACTTATTCATTTCCTTTCCTTGATCTTGCACTCCCCCATTCACTACCTTATTGAGCTGAGTCGCCATCTCGTCGCATTTGCCGGGCCAGACACCGAGCTTGTTCTCGACTTTCCCTCATTATCATTAGGAGCTCGACCCGGGAAAACGAAGTGTTTCCCCACAATCTTTCCGCTCCTGATCACCCTTGACGACGACTTTTGCGATTTCTTCCCATTTCTAATCACCATGGCGCCCAAGGGCAAGGGCGGAGATCAGCCCAAAAAGGCCAAAACCACTGTCGAGGACAAGACGTTTGGCATGAAAAACAAGAAAGGTGGCAATGCTAGGAAACAGATAGCCCAACTCCAAGCCCAAGCCAAATCCAACAAGTCTCCCGAAGAGAAACGAAGAGAAGCCGAAAAGGAACAGCGAGCCAAAGAGAAAGCAGCCGCCGAAGCCGCCAAGGCAGAGGCTGCCGAATTGTTCAAACCCGTTCAAGTCCAGAAAGTGCCTTTTGGTGTCGACCCCAAGACCGTGGTTTGCCAGTTCTTCAAACAAGGTTCCTGTGACAAAGGCAAGAAGTGCAAATTCAGTCATGATCTAGAAGTCGGGAAAAAGGTGGCCAAGAAGGACCTGTACCAAGACACTCGAGAAAAGGAAAGAGAGGAGAAAGAGAAAGATAATATGGAAGATTGGGATGAAGAGAAACTGCGGAAAGTCGTGCTCAGCAAACATGGGAATCCTCGGACAACCACGGACAAGGTGTGCAAATATTTTATCCAAGCGGTGGAAGACGGCAAATATGGCTGGTTCTGGACTTGTCCCAACGGAGGAGATAAATGCATGTACAGACACAGCCTGCCACCGGGGTATGAAGATGCCCATCTTCCGCTGCTTTGAGCTCTTCGCTAACCTGAACCTTAGATTTGTGTTGAAGACCAAAGAACAGAGACGTGCAGAAAAGGCGTTGATGGAGAAGTCGCCGCTCCATACCTTGACGCTGGAGGATTTCCTGGAGTCCGAACGTCACAAGCTGACGGGCACATTAACACCCGTAACGCCAGAGACCTTTGCAAAGTGGAAAAAGGAGCGCCTTGACAAGAGAGCCGCTGAAGAAGAGGCTCGAAAGGCCAAGGAAGCAACGGGCAGAGCGATGTTTGAGAGTGGTGATTGGAAAGACTCAGAAGACGAAGATAGTGACGACGACGGTGACGACCGAGGAGCATGGAACCTTGAAGCCATGCGTAAGGAAACCGAGAGACTTCGAATGTTGAAGGAAGAAGAACGATTAGCCAAAGCAGCTCGTGAACCCGTACCGGATCGAAACGACGATACGAACAGCAATGCGAGTAAAGAAGGCGATGGTGATACAGGAGACGGCGATGGTGATGGGGAAAGCAGTGGAGGGCAGAATTGAATTTAACGGATGTATGTGTCAAAGAGTGGATGATCTATTCCAGATGGCATTTTTAGCGACCAAACTTGGGGTTCAGTAAAGATTCAAAGGGGGAGTTTGGGGTTGGAAGACAAAGCGAGGAGGGTTTTATTCCAGGGGACAAGAGCTCAAACAGCTGGCCTTTAGTTTCAACATTGGTATCAAGGCAGGGCATCACAGGCGAAGACGACGCTTTGTCGTATCACGGTACTCGAACTCGGCCCTGAATTTGAGATATCATGGAATACTGGAATATGAACATGGGTATCATCATCAGCCCCGACAAAAATAGGATTTTTATCGTGAATACGAGTCTTTCTTTCTTCGGCTTTTCCGCCACGGCAATCACTAGCCCTCTATAACGACTTCGTCATGGAGTAATAAATACTTGATCGACAAACAGATCGTGTCTAGTTGCCGCCTTAACCCGCTGTCGCAGAGGCCATTCAAATTAAGCCTAGTCATCGCTCGCCGCTTTGACAATTTTCTGCAGTACGAAAGGCTTTTCGCATATAACAAAGATAACTACAACTTGGCCCGCCCAGCTGATCTACATTGCGAGATTTGATCCCAATCCAAAGCCCTTCGCTGTGCCTGAAATGCCTGCAATCCTATTGCAGCCTCGCCGTCAGGTCGCATCATCCTATCGAAGAGGTCTTTGATACCATTGGCTTGAGTATCGCTTCCGGGATGCACCCAAGCCAGTTTCACTATCTCCTTGCACATTCTCGAAGCCTCGGGACCGGCCACTTTCAACGAGCTGAGATACAGGTCTACTTCTTCTGACAGCTGCTGCTTTGGATGCTCGACGACGCGGGCGATCAACCCCAAACGCTTCAATTCTGCCGTAGAAATAGGACGGGCTGACAACATGGCTTCTCTGGCGAACGGAACACCCCACTCCCTAATGACATACTTGGATATCGTTGCGGGACATAGCCCCAGCTTGACCTCGCTGAGTGTCATGGTGGCAGTGTGCACGGCGATTCTGATATCACATGCAAACGACAGGCCGACCCCGCCTCCAAAAGCCGGTCCATTGATGGCAGCCATCGTGACTTGAGGAGCACGGTCAATGGCGTCGAACAGCCGAGTCAGTCGCTGGTACTGTGCATCGCTGACCTCCTTTGACTGAGCAACCGGTGACGTCCCATTTCCCAAGTCCATGCCCGTGCAGAAGAATTTTCCTTCTCCAGCGATGACAATTCGGTTGATCGTCGAGTCATTCCGTGCCTGGTCCAAGATCTGAGTCAATTCGGTGATCATGGAGGCAGTAAGCGCATTGCCATTCTTCGGCCGATTCAGGACGATTTTGAGGTTAACTCCCGATCGATATATCTTTAACCCTTGCATTTCAGCCGTCAAGGTCCATGACAATGGCGCTGGAGCAGGACCAGGGCAAGGTGCGGCGTTGCTGGAAATGGAGATGCCGTGCTTGACCGCCAACGCGGCACCTGCACGACTTTCGGTAATCTTGCCCAGCTGATCTGATATCCAGATACCAACTTCGACGAGCTTGAGTAGATCGACGCCTGTCTGGACGCCGGCCTGCTGGAAGAAATACACCAGGTCCTCCGTGGCCGCGTTTCCTTTGGCACCAGGAGCAAAGGGACATCCACCCAAACCCCCAACACTGGCGTCAAAGACTCGAATGCCACACAGGTATGCTTGCCAGACATTGCACACGGCTTGACCGTACGTGTCGTGAAAATGTCCCGCGATCCGAGACAAATTTATCCCCTCTTGCCGCAGATATTCACACAGGTTCTTCACATCCACCGCCGTGCCGACTCCAAGTGTATCTCCGAGACTGACTTGGTAGCAGCCCATGTCGAATAACTCCCGCACGACCTTGAGAACTGCGGTCGGCGGCGTTGGCCCATCATATGGATCCGCAAAAATACACGACACATACCCTCTAACAGCGAGTCCGGCGGTCGTCGCCTTCTGCGCCACATGCCTTGCCCTCGATAGGCCCTGGTCTACCGTGGCATTGATATTCGCTCGACTGAATCCTTCACTCGCACTGACAAAGACCGCTACCTCTCGCACCCCACTCTCCAGCGCAATCTGCAGTCCTTGCAAGTTAGGGATGAGAACCGGGAGGTGAAGGCCATCCACCCCATCCCCGTCACCATGGCGTAACAAAGTCTGTATATCGCTATCGCCAAGAACCTTTCGACAGTCCGCCAACTGCGGTATCGCGCGCGGAGAGACGACAGAGGTGATCTCGATAGTCTTCAGGCCCGTTTTGCGCAGACGAGAAATCAACTCGAGTTTAGTCTGCGTGGGCACCGTCGTCCTGATATTTTGCAGGCCGTCGCGCGGTCCTACTTCGACAATGCGCACCGCGTCCATTAGTTTGTGAGTTTGATTCATTCCTACTCTCGGGTCCAACGATGAGTACTCTGTGTGGAGATGAGAATATTGGGCTTCGGTGGCTTCAGCCTAACTCAATGCCCGCGCCATGTGTTTTTCAGCCCAGGATCAGCGCATGTCGACCGAGAATTCATTCTACAACGCACAGGTCAGCCTCGGCTGTCACAACCACCAGCCCAAATTGAAGCCCGGGGTTGTGGATTGTGGGGGGAGGTGTGGGAACGGGAAGCGGGCCGCCTCTTCCAGACAGCGTCCCGGTGAGCTGCGAGTACATGAATTGTTGAATTCAGAGAAACCTAGAAGAAAGGTGGGGGTACGAAATTCAATAGGACAATATCTCATTTGGGTTTCGAAGTCTACTATCTATGTACACTTTATAGCCTATATGATCTCAAGCACCAACAAGGGGTTCTACAAAAATTAACCAAAATCATAACTTGGCCTGAACATTACCCTGTGCTGTTACAAGCCTATCCGCCACGGCACGAAGAATATGTTTCTGATGTTTCCCACTCCCCGTCTTAGGATAATCATTGCCCACTCCTTCATCACCAATCCAAAATACATGGGCAGGCGCCTTATGCGAGCCCAAGGATTGCCTCACCCACTGCCTGATTTGTTCCAAACTCGGTTTGGGGCGTCCTTGCTTCAGGCGAAGGAATGCGCCGACGACTTCGCCGTATTTCTCGTTCTTCACGGCGACGACACAGGCCTCGGTGATGGATGGGTGCTGGAGGAGTCGTTCTTCAATTTCGGCGGGGAAGATGTTTTCGCCTCCTATCATGGAGCATGTGAGCCGTTGAGAAAGGAAAGGGAGTGTGGTAGGATAGAGAAGAAAAGAGGGGGTTTGACAAACCTCGAATAATCATGTCTTTAATCCGACCTGTCACTGTACAATAGCCATCAGCATCGATGACACACTCGTCCCCAGTGTACATCCAAAGCACGCCTTGGTCGTCCTTCTTCATCACCTCCTGCGTCTTGGCTGGGTTCTTGTAATATCCTCTTTGCAACGCATATCCGCTTACGCACAGCTCCCCGGGTACTCCTCGAGGTACAACATTCCCTTTTTTATCTATCACTTTCGCTCCCGTATGTGGGCAGATTCTCCCAACGGTCTTGAATCGCTTCTCTTCCGGATCGTCGAGGGATGTGATGAAAGTAACCGGGCTCGTTTCTGTCATACCATATGCAATCAACATTCCTTGAACCCCGAATTCTTGCTTCAACTGCCTCATTAGAGCCGGAGGAACTGATGACCCCGCTGCTAGTCCGGTCCTTACTGAAGAAATTTTGTATTTCTTTTTCTTGTTGGCTTCTATTTCCGCGATGAACATCGTCGGTACGCCGAGAATGGCCGTACATTTCTCCGTATTGAGTGTCTCTAGCACCAAATTGGCATCAAACTGGTCACAAGGGAATATAATAGTGCTGCCATGCACAAATGCAGTCAGGAAACCCAATACGAGCCCGAAACAATGGAACAATGGAGGTGGGCAGCATACAACATCGGATGGAATTAGCTTCATTGCTGCGGCGATGAAACGAGCATTGTTGATGAGGTTTCTGAAGTACAAATCAGCATCTAGATCAGGGTAGCATTAATCTGCACCTACGTATGGCAAAGCATAGCTGCTTTGGGTGCTCCGGTTGTGCCTAGCTAGGGTCAGAGTTCTTGCCATCAGTCTCAACACACCTCCGTACCAGAAGTGAACTGAAGATTTACGATGTCACTGCATTGGACAGCTCTCTCAGCTTGCTGAAGGGTCGCTGCATCCATGGCCTCTCCTTTAGACACAAATGTCGAATAGGTACACAGCTTCGAATTTGGATGTGTGTCTGGTATGCGTTCTGAAAGGAGCACGATGTGCTTGAGTTGCCGGAGGGTGTCGGCCGCTCCCTGCACTCCTTCAAGGTGCTTCGATAGGCCTTTTAGCCCGATATTGGTGGCAACGAAAAGAAGTCTGCATGCTGTACTCCACATTAGACCCGGCCTCATTAGAATTTTGAGGCCACTTACATGTCATTGAGAGCACAGATATTAGCTCTTGAGGTGTGTACGTGTTATTGACAACGATGTAGGGGCAACCGATTCGGGCGGCACCAAGGAATGCTTCAATATACTGGTAGCGGTTCCCAGCCATGATTGCAATGCAATCCGAATGTCCTAGACCATAGGCTAACATCGATTTCGCCAGCTGTTCGCTTCGAGATGCCAACTCTCGGTAGGAAAGCTTGTGACTCTGCCATGGGAAACTGATAGCCGTGTGGTTCCCATATTTTGCTGCCTGTTGATCAACAGTTTCGGCCAACGTCTTGTACCACAATTCTGGCGTTCGTGGGCCTGAGACGAAAGACAAAGGTGCTGATGGCGTCGCCTGTAAAGTTGCAGAATTCGTATTCATCACCGCTTCTTCTGTCAACGGTGGAGACGTCTTGGTCGTTCCAGAATGGTAGAATCTGTCTTGAGATGGCAAGACACGGACATTGTCAGCTTAAGAACGTTCCGGGCCCGCCCCATGGGGATTGGAGGCTGAAGCTCCGTGGGTGGCCGGGCGATAGGGCTGGTGTGAGGCCGTTCCTCCCCGGGCCGTTTCCAGGAGCCGTTCTCAAGGGCGGCCTGAGGCCCGGTGTGAAAAATACCTTGGTTGCTTCAACCAGCTATAGAGCTTAGGTGATCGAAGCGTGCCATTCAGTTCTTGCTGACGACACCCGTCTGTCTAGAAAATTGCGTGCATGGTCGTTATTTTGATCTTTGGATTTCGCGACTTCTATGAGCCTACCTAGGATGTCCCATATTCAAGACTTTCCGGTGGTTGGATCCGAGGTCGACTTGGATGGACCGACATACAGATCAAATCGAGAGGCGTGGAAAAATGTTATGCACGAGTATGAGACCAATCTAAAGCACACCATATCAGAAGGCAGTGTACAGTCGACCAGAAGGCACCAAGATCGAGCACAATTGTTGGCTCGGGACAGGATCGCACTTCTGTTAGATCCAGGCTCACCGTTTCTCGAACTCGGCTCATTTGCAGGCTTTGGTTTGGATGATTCTAGCTTCTGTGCTAGTCTCCTGGCAGGTATCGGCAGTGTCAGTGGGCGCATCTGTCTGATACTCTCTCACATACCGACTCTGAGCGGCGGAGCTTGGAACGAACTCACAATAGTCAAACAAAATCGAGTGACAGAGATTGCTAACGAGAATGACTTGCCTATTATCGCTTTGGTTCAATCAGCTGGCGTTCTTTTGCCCCAACAATTTCGAGTCTTTCACAAAGCCGGCCAGATCTTTCGTGATCTGGCGGTTCGGACACAGAACCAACAGGCTTCCTGTGCCGTTGTCTTTGGATCATCAACAGCTGGAGGGGCATATCATCCGGCCTTATCCGACTACACCATCTTTGTAGAGAACAAAGCACAAGTTTTCTTGGGTGGTCCGCCCTTGGTCAAGATGGCCACGGGAGAGGTGATTGATGCTGAAGAGCTGGGAGGAGCCAGAGTGCACGGGGTTATGACTGGACTGGCCGACCAGCTGGCGGTGGACGAATTCGATGCCATCCAGAAAGCTCGACATTGGGTTGAGACGCTGAAACCCACCGTTCTACCGCCGGAAGTCCCCCCTCGTGTGCCTTTGGCTCCACGGTATCCGATTGAGGACATCTTTGCCTTGGTGAATCCGGATATCCGTAAGCCATTCGACATGAAAGAAGTCATCCTTCGGATTGTGGATGATTCAAGGTTGGCGACATTCAAACCGTCCTTTGGGCGGAATCTGCTGACCGCTTGGGCGGACATTCTAGGTATTCCTCGATCGACCGTGGGGTATGAGCATAAGCTGACATGAGGGATCATTTAGGCATGCGTGTTGGTATGGTGGCCAACCAGACACCCATAATCTATGCGGACGAGGCCATGAAAGGGGCCCAATTCATTCGCCTTTGTAACCAACAGAATACGCCCATTATCTTCCTTCACAACGTAACAGGATTTATGGTGGGCTCGAAAGCTGAGCATTCAAGCATTATCAAAAAGGGAGCACAATTGGTGTCGGCGGTGAGCTGTTCGAAGGTTCCTCATATCTCGATCATTCTAGGCTCGTCGTATGGGGCAGGCAATTACGCCATGTGTGGACGATGCTATAAGCCGAGATTCCTGTTCACCTGGCCGATCGGTCGATGCAGCGTGATGGGACCGGATCAGCTTTCTGGAGTGATGGAACAGGTCGAAGGAAATGCGGCGAGGAGTAAGGGGATAGTCTTGGAGCCAGAGACGGTCAAAGCCCGAGTAGAGAGGTTTAGGGACACAGTGCAACGGGACAGCAGCTGTTATCGAACGAGCGCTTTCGTCCACGACGATGGAATCATTGATCCTCGGGATACGCGGGATGTGCTTGGGATGTGTCTTGAAGTGGTGCAGACGACGAGAATAAAGGGGAGCGTCGGTCATCGAGCGTTGGCAAGAATATGAACGAGAAAGAGACGTGGAGCTTATAATAGACAGTATTGTAGATGGACAACATCGGATTTTCACAGTAGTTACGAGCCTATTAGATAGAGACAGGGCACCCACTGGCGGGGCGGCCTACTGGTTCATGGCTGCATTTCCCCCCAGTTATCGGTTACACAGCCGGTAACCCCGCCAATCTTGGCATAAGCTACCCCCGTGGAAAGTCCTCTAGGGTGCTTCAGCTGCCCTTCCGTGCTTCTTTACCCTGCATTCTTTGCTCATCAGCATTATTCTCCCTTCATGGTTCCCATCTAGGTGTCTCGCTCCCCGCGAGATACCTGCTGGCCGTCCTGGCTCTCTCAGTCTAGATTCCTGGGCGCAGCACACTGAATGCGAGGCACACAGAACGGCAGATAATTGGCCTATACCAACTTCCTTATCCTTTTTTGTCGATTCACCATCCTCCGTCGGCCCCTTGGATCCGTTCAGATGGTTGTTATCATGGATACTCGACGCGAGGCCAAACGAGCGCGCCAGGCTTGCCTCAATTGCAGGAGAAAGAAAGCCCGCTGTTCTGGCGAGAAACCTGTGTGCGCCTTTTGCGCCCGTCTCAACCAGGAGTGTACTTGGGATCAGTCCTCCACCGACCCTCTATCCAAATCACCACCAACGTCTTCACGATTGGATGATCAAAATCTCGCTGCAAGGGTTGCTCTCCTCGAGTCCAAATTGAGCCTTCTCGGCGACAATGATGCCTTTGGCCTGTTTGCATCATCTGGAGCACCCTCAGCCGGCGTTGGCCTGATGGGCTCCGTTCAACAAACTCCGCCTGGTCTTGATCAGCACGGACGTGTGACGGGAAATCCTTCCTCCTTCCGACCCCGAAATGACTTCCTCCATCTTCCTGATCACGGTGTTTTCCAGTCCCTGATTGATGTTTACTTCGAGTATTGCCATAATCAACCATACGCATTCTTCCACGAGGCTACGTTCCGCCGAAGCTTTGAAGATGGACTTCTGCCCGAATACTTGCTATTCGCCATTGCTGCTACCGCATGTCGGTTTACCGAGCATCCCTTCTATCAAGGCCGTCAGGCCGAAGCGATTGAATCCTACTCAAACACCTCTTGGTCTCAAATATTCGAGCGCTCCTTCTCGTCTGAAGGAAACCCCGAAATTTGCATTGTCCAAGCCACTAATATGCTTGCAGTCATTGACTTCACGGGTATGCCTAACCAATTCATCATTCCCTGGAAGATCAGCCTAACCAGGTCGCAGCGGGCCACCCCAAACTTGGCTGGGTAAAACTGGCACTTGCCGTCCGATTTGCTCAAGGGCTGCGCCTGAACGAGGAACCAGACCATTTACGACCAACAATCGAACAGGAAGAACATCGACGTACATTTTGGTCGGTCTATCTTCTTGATCGACTGATGTCCCTGGGGCCCGATCGACCGCCATCCTTCCCCGACGCAGACTGCACGGTCCGTCTTCCATGCAGCGAAGACATGTTTATAAATGGTCTCACCACTTCCATCATGCCCACCTTAGAATCTGTCATCGAAAATCCGACCGCTTCGAATCATCAAGACCTGGACCATTTTGCTATGCTTGTCTTGATGGCGTCGACATTGGGCCGATTTGCAAGATTTAGTCTGAAACACGCAGCAAACAATACCCATGTCCCCTGGGACCCTCGATCTAAATTCTACAATGTCCATAGCAGCTTACTGCATTTCGAAAGCCTGTCGCCCTGCATGTTAGCTTCTGTGGCCGACATTCTGAGAACCAATTTCACCTTCAACGGCCAAGTGGACAAGCAACGAGCAGGCCATTTTATCTTCTCCCATGCCCTGTTTCATCTCAACCACTGTCTTCTCAATCATCCGTTTATCCTCCTTCGCCTGTTTGATCCTTGTCAAGCACAAATACCACTAAGTTTCGTCCAGGAGGCTCTAGACCGGTGCCACAAACATGCCACCGAATTACTGGATCTCCTCCGCGATGCCCATCAGTGTGGTCCGGTCGTTCACTTAAGCTTTTACGGATACTGTGCTCTAGTTTCCGGCGTTATACAGCGACTTTATGCGAGCCACACATCCCACGACATTGCTCGAGCCTCTAGTGAAAAGGTTCAGGCATCAATGAGTTTCCTCGAAGGCAAGCCTGCGCGATGGGCCATTTTCAGACGTATGGTGAGTGATCGAACATTTATATATCGAATTCACTCCATTCGCCCGTAACACGGCTGATATCTAGCCCCCCTGAAGTCGTACCGCATCCTTGGGAGGTTCATTCTGACTTGGAGACTCAGAAAAATTTACTTCAAAATTTTAATCCGGACGCGAACACGGCAAGAGCGCTCACTAACCCTGTGAGCCTGTCGCAAAAGACCCCAATCGCAGACCGAACGATCTTATGGGAACTGCTTGACTATGCTCGACTCGTGGAAATGAACAATCTTTACCCAGTCTTGAATTCTGTATCCGCTCTGCCCCCTGCTGAAATGATGCAAGAGCCTGTTATCATGCCGCCCACATCTAATGGAACGAATACAAACCCTGAGGGACTTCGGTTTAACGACCATGTTACAACCCCAAACTACACCTTAGATGGGCTTGGCGAAGATGGAGGTAGTCTCTGGTCTCCACCTCGTGGAAATGGCTCTACAGGATACCGTGACTTTGCTATGGGATATATGTGAGCATGGAACACGGTAAGGCATATTATCACAAATTACTCGTACGCTTTTTCCCCAAGCTCTGCAGCTCCTTCATTTCTAATTTGACTGCTAGGTCACTCAGGATCTCCTCACTGCCACCCCCGACGACCATAACCCGAACGTCACGACTGATCTGCTCTATTCTTGCCCCCTTCCCACTCCTCGAATACCCGGCGCCGCCCATTATCTGCTGTGCCTCACGGTTGACATGTTCCAAAGCTCGACCAGCGCTTGTTTTCAACGTGGCGATCATACCACCAATATTGAGATCAACCTGGTGTTGTCCGATTCCTGGATGTGGCGCGATAGTGTGAAGCTTTCGCTTCCGCTCCTGCTCAGTCATGTACACCAATGACTCCATGTATGCATGAACAGGCTCAATCTCACGAGCAAAGCCTGCAAACTTGGCAGAGATAATTTGGTTGGCCATCAGGGGCTTCCCGAATGTTTCTCTCCTGATGGCATACTCATACGCATCTTGGACACACACGCGCGCCAGTCGCAGCGATGTACAAGCCAACCAAAGCCGCTCATGATTGAAATTGGACATGATGATTTCAAAGCCTCGATTTTCTTGTCCGAGAAGATTCGTTACCGGGACTTCAACGTCGTCAAATTCGATATGTGTCGAACCACTGGCGCTGACGCCGGAATTTTCGATCTTCCTGCAGGTGACGCCTTTAGCTTTGAGAGGAATTATCAGGGCTGAAATGCCATTACGGCCTGGCCCTCCCGTACGAACAGCAGCGGTGCAATAGTCGGCAAACAGCGCATTTGTGATCCACTTCTTTGCACCATTGACTAAGTATATGTCTCCTCGACGTTCTGCTGTGGTGGTGATCCCGGCCACATCCGAGCCGGCTATTTGAAAAACCAGTCAGTCATCTTCTCAACAGTGTATTGAGCATATATACCTACCGTCAGGCTCCGTAACTCCTAGACAGAAGCGTGTTTTGGCCGAGAGGACATCAGGCAAAAACCTGTTCTTCTGTTCATCGGTCCCGAAATTGACGAGAGGTGGCGCACCAATGGAATTACCACAACTCAACGCCCATATCACGCCCAGGTAGCCGCACCTAGCCATTTCGTCAATGACAATCAAATCGTGGAACCCATCCCAATCTTCCGGCGCAATGTCTCCTGGCAACCTCTGCTTGCATGCCTTGATCTGCTCAACGGCAAGCGGATACACTGACACAGCCATGTATCCGAGCCTGGCGTGGTTGAGGATGACATCTCGAGGCACGCTGCCTCTGCGCTCCCATTCTTCGTGGAAGGGCGCGATGGTCGTTGACACGTATTGTCGTGCTTCGCGCTGCAGTCGTCGATGGCTGTCATTGTAATATGCGCTGATATTGCGCGTGATCCAAGGAGGATCGGCGTAAGGTGCCTCGGAGAATGATGCCATGTGCGTGCCCTCAGTTTACTCTCTCTCGAAGGCGGATATCAAAAATATAATATCGAACGTACTTTGCTTTCTCGGCGGCACCAAAGCCAGCATCAGCATATCGCACGGCAGGCAGGCCTAGATTTCTGGACACCGAGCTGAAAGAATTGCATCACCATCACCTTTGTCATTCTGACGGAGGCTGTCCTTGCGCCATAAAACCATTAGCCGGGCCGTGTCCTTGCTCACTGGCCAAACCCGCATTCGTTGGAGGGAAAACAGGGGCTAACAAGGCTCTCAGTGGGAACGGCTCGGCCCGTCCACGGCCCGTCCTCTTACTGTACTTCGGCAGAGATTGGCCATAGTGAACAATAGACATAATTTCAAGTCTGGAGACAAGGGTAGGAGACACCTCAGAACTCATCTTCGGCCCGAGTCGTTAGCAGGTCAGTAAGGGCAGAGGCCACCAGCTTGAAAGGAGGAAAAACATCAGACCTGATTAGAGAGACTAAGTACGTTTGGTTTGGGATAGCCTAGTTAGTAGTTATAGGGTTTGGCCCAACTCGTATTAGGTATTCCCAGTCCTTTGTCTGACCTAATCCTTGATGGGAGTGTTCAGCAAAGCCTTGGACCGTTCGCATGAGCATTGATAGGCGCAAAGTCACCTATCACATGCTGTAGGCATAATAGATGACCCTCACGCTTTGACACAGGGATTTTTGAAGTCTGACGAAAGTCCTACACGGATACAAATCTGAACCCCAAGCCAATGTATATTTGATTTAGTCAACCCAGCACAAAACTTCTCCATCATCCACCGCCGCCCCCTGCTTGACATTCGTCATGAACTTGCCTGCCGCCGGAATCACCACGTTCGTTTCCATTTTCATGCTCTCGATGACCATGACCGTCTCCCCACTCTTGACCTCGTCGCCATTCTTCTTCAGCACCAACAACACTTTGCACGGCATGGGCGCTGTGATAGATTTCGGCGCCGAGCCTGTTGCAGATGCCACTGCTGCCTCGCGTAAAGTGGAGAAATAGTCCAGCAGACTGCAGCATTTATATTCGATCCAGGTGCCGAGGGCGGGAAAGTGGCATAGGACGATGGTTTGGGAAGAATCTGCTCGAGGAACCGTCATGTCAGTGGCGATGTATGCTTGGACTTTGGACGTGTTGAAGGATACTTCGACAAAAGCCGTCGACCATAACGAACGACATAAGTCGCCGGTCGTGTTAATGTTCTTGCGTTTCTTGAGTTCAACTTCGTATTGTGGAGCACTCGAGAGGGCGTTGCTTCGAAGCTTCCTGCTTATGGCGTTATATCGGAGAGACCCCTCGTCCGTGGCGGATTCTGTGGCCTGGGTTGTGGGTTGATTTTCAGACTCGTCGTTCGTCCCGGACATAGGGAGTAAGGAAACACAGTGAGCTCCTCGATATGCTGCCCTGGACGGCGTCCAGACAGATAATGTTGGGGTTGTTGTAAGCCCTGGACTATTTGGCACAATGACTAGAGTGTTGAGGTTGACGGGATCAAACGGTTGATTCCTGAATCCTCGACGCACGTGCCTGAATGGTTTGGGGACAGATCCAAATTGATTGTCTCGCACGACTAATCCTGACACGATCGACAGCATTGATATCATGTCCGCTGCTCTCTCTGAATGGGGGTTCTTGAGCAGGGTCTCCAAATGCGTCGGGATGAAAGACGTGGTGTACCGTGGATCCTGAAAGCCGCTATGCAGAAGGCAACTCTGGAGGAAAAGCTGGTTGGTTCTCACACCGGCGCACACAGTGTTGGCCATGACCCTGACCATCTTCGAAATAGCCATGGCCCTCGTCGGTGCCCATACGACGATTTTGGCAATCATAGAGTCGAAATGAATGGAAACTGTGGAATCCGTCTCCACAGCCGTCTCAAAACGGACATCTCTCGATCCCGTCACAACGTCTGCCTTCTTCCACAATCGAATGGTGCCATGATCGGGCATGAAATTGTTCACCGGGTCTTCGGCACAGAGTCGACACTCGATTGCATGGCCATACTGCGGAATTTGGCGTAATGCAGGGAGACTGGCGAAGCTTCCCCCCGCTGCAACGAATAATTGCAAAGAAACAATATCTAGACCAGTGACCTCTTCTGTGATGGGATGCTCGACCTGTAGTCGTGTGTTGACTTCGAGAAAATAGAAGCTGCCGTCTTTGACATCAACGACAAACTCAACAGTCCCCGCCCCTACATAACCAATGAGCTCACCGATACGAACGGCAGCTGCACACATTTCTTGTCTCTGAACTGGAGTCAAGAAGGGAGAGGGAGTTTCCTCGATAACTTTCTGATATCGTCGTTGTACTGAGCACTCTCGCTCCCATAGAGATATCACTTTCCCGGTTGTGTCCCCAACAATCTGGACCTCAATGTGCTTAGCCGCTTCGATATATTTCTCCAGGATGCAATCACTTGAGCCGAAAGAGCGTTTGGCCTCGGATTGTGCTCGAGCTAGCTCATCTTTCAAACTCGATCGCTCTCGAACAATACGCATACCACGACCACCACCTCCCGCAGATGCCTTAAGGAGAACCGGAAAGCCGATAGCCTGTGCGGCAGTGTCCAAGTCCTCCACGTTCTGGCTTGAACCTGAAAACCCCGAAATCAGGGGGATGTTGGGTGCATGTTTCCTCAGGTAATCTTTCGAGTTTCTTTTGTCACCCAGCGTGGACATTGCTTGTTGACTTGGTCCGATGAAGATCATTCCTGCTTGGCATATCGCTTTGGCAAAATCTGCATTCTCGCTAAGATAACCGTAGCCGGGATGTATAGCGTCTGCTTTGGCTGATTGAGCGATTTTGACAAGAAGCTGGACATTCAAAAAGGGGTTGCCTTCTGTTTGATTGATGCTACCGAGACGGATGGCCTCGTCGGCAGCAGAGACATGTTGAGAGGTCGAGTCTTCGTCGGCATAGAGAGCAATCGATGTTAGATCAAGTTTACGGCATGTGGCGATGATGCGGCATGCTATTTCGCCTCTGTTGGCAATAAGCACCCTCTGAATTCGTCTCCTTTCGTGATTATCTAGAGGTAACTGTGCCACAAATAAGGGGGGCCGTGCTGGCGTTGCAGAGCACTGCTCTGGCTTTGACGAAAATTCATCATCCAGGTGCATCGTCATGGCGATATGATGACAATCGAGGGAGTATGATCGTTGGCGCTGTCTACAGAGGGAACCGAAGATGAAATTAACTTACATGGTCGCGCCGCTGAATCTTACCTTCCACAAGGCTACCGAGGTACCGGGAAGCAAGGCCTATTCTTGGGGGACACGGGCCGCCCAGCTTCAGACGGCCGGGTGATCTAGAATTCATTTCTTCCTGGGCGAGGATAGCAGGCGGAGCAAAACGGTGCTACATTCACCGGTGACAATCTTCCCCAGATATCTGCTAACGAGTGGTTCACTGGTCGGCCGGGATAGGGCTAGAGTTAGACTCGGGAAGCGCTGGATGTGTGCAGGATGACAGGGCTGTGATCGAACGTTCTACTCCCTCTGACGAGCCCAAGGATTAAAGATCGCGCGAGGAGATTACGCGATATTCTTAGAAGCGAATCCATCAATGCGAGGAAGAGTTTGGGGGATGAAAGAGAGTTCAAATCGCAACGGGAAGTCGAAAAGTGCATACTCACGTGATTTAATCACGTGATAAGGCATTGTTCTCGATGTCATCCGATTCTCCCCGCAAAAAGTGCCCGGAAAGCTACTCAGTCGACGTCAACCATCCACCACCTCATCATCAATCCCGCGCTGCGAGCTTAGCTACATAAACATAAGCAGACAGCTTCCTTGTAGCAGGCTCCTGGCTCTCAACCAAGAGCTATAGGCTCTGCTTGTAAGAATCATGTCTCTCCCGCTACTTCCTTTCCCCGGCCAACTGTAGAAAGCAACAAGCCGAAGGCATCTGCAATCGATTCTAGCTACCAGTTCGCAGAGAAGGGACTGTTTACCTGGTTTGCAGTCCCGACAGTTTAGTCGGAAACGTCCCATTGATCGCTCTACACCAACCTGTATCGAAGATCCAACATTCTCGAACAACTCGCTGTGGCCATGCCTTCATCCGATTCTCGACCTCAAAGCTCCATTCCAGGGTATCGGCCAGGGCCACTCTTGACGTTTGTTCAGCCCCTTCTCCTCATTCCCTCTGCATGCCAGAGAAACCGAACTAATCAATCCCGCTCTTAGACGGCCGAAGAAATTCTTCCTCGCGTCCCTAATCTTCGTCCCAGTAGCTGGCTACCTATGGCTGCGTCGGCTAGAATCCCAATCTAGAGAACAAACGAGACTTCTTGAGGAAGAAGGACGGCGGAATTGGATTCAAGCTGAGAACCAGCGGTTTGCAAGAAAAGACCTTAGTGTGGCGGTGGGGAGAAGTGGTGGTGGAATTTGAACAGGAAAAAACAACACCGACTCTCCAAAATGCTCGATTATACGGAAAGCCATGCTTCTCGAACGACGTATTGAGCTGAAAGGACGGGAGTATAGTTTATGACAACAAGTTTAATGCTACGGCCCCTCCACGAACACAAGAGGAATTTCTCCCTAGCGCGCGAAAGCTGTGTACAGCAGGCACCACGGAGCCACAACATCGGTTGAACTTGCAAAAGGCACGCCAACATTGGACACCGAATCTATTCCCTCAGATGAGAGAAATGTCCTTTCTTCCACTCTGCCAGACGAGCGGACCAGTCCTGATAGGATTACATGTTTTTCGAAGGAACTCTTGTCCAGAAGCCACGAGATGACTTTTATACAAGGACCGATGTACCAAACCTTCTCCTTTCTCGCGATTATCAGATTCACACAGGGTTGCAACTATGTAGGCAAGTCCTGCAGAAAAGCTTGTCGCCACGACGAGCCTTTACGAACGATTTCTCAAACATTTGTCAACACTTCACGAAGTCAACGACATTTTCCTTTTGGAGGGAAATGGCTCCCATTTATATTATCACTCAAAAAGAAGGCGGAAACCAGTGTACAAAGACTTGAAATGCCAGAATCTATTTTGAATCTTCAAATGTGCAACAAGGGAAGGAAAAGCGAGTCATCTTTCACGTCAAAACAGATTAAAGGCTGGCCGTTGACATTTCCTACTGCTTAAACTACGCTGTCACCGATTCACAGCAGCTGTCCCTTTCCATCTTGTCAAACCTTTCCGTCCACCGTTCTCTTCCATGCCAGCATCGATCATGATATCAAAAATTTGCCCGAAAAATTATTACTCCTGCCTCTTCCTTCTCATTGAAACCTAATCCAAATCCAAAATTCAACTTCAACATCCAACACTCTTAGAGCTAACCCGATAGACAGAATTCGTCATCCCATGCACCGGTATTAGCTAAGGTTGACCCGGTGATTCTTTTCTGTTGCTTTGCTCTTGACGCACTTGATGGGTAGACAAGCCTGTCAATAGATGGAAATCTTTCTTTCCCTGCACTTCACATCACCAAAGCTAGAAGAGGGATCGTCGAGAATTTGGAGAGAAAAAAAAAAAAAGGGGGGGGGAAATGCTGACATGATGTCCGCCAACTTTGGGCCCTCGCGAGCTCAAAACAATCTCTTTTTCTTTTGCTTTTGTTTTCTTGGCAAAACAATGGTCAAAGAGAGACAAGATCTGAGGATTTCGAACGGATGATCCCGTCTCCCCCTTCCTCGGCCGTGCAACTTCACATTACCCTCTCCAAATCACGCACCCCTTTGCACTTGTGGCCATGGCTTCTTCTTCCTACTAAATGCTTAAGAACCGACACTTCCCATCATTGCAGAGGGAATACTCTCATACGGCGCGGCATGTTCGTTATTCATCCTAGGACTCATGGCTTGGTTGTCATCGCCTCGACGACCCCGAGACGGACTGCGTACACGCCCGGCAAAGTTCCGGATTTTCCCAAACAGCTGACTCGAGCCAGAGTTGTTGCCGTCGTTGCCGGAGCGCCCACGCCGATGTCCCATAGACATTGACACAGCAGAGAGGGGATTTGCGCTGTGTGGTGTTTCGGGGAAGGTAGTTGGGATCGCAGACATCGGCAACGGTACGTTGGCGGGGTCACCTTCAAATCCTCGAAGATTCGATAGACTCGGACTGTTGAGAGACATTGGCATGTTGGGCGGAGCAGGTGGAGGTGGTGGAGGTGGTGGAGGTGGTGCAGCCAAGTGCTGTAGTTCAGGAAGGATAGGCGGATTTTGTTGTGGAGGTGAATTCGCATAAGTAGTCGCCTCAGGAGGACCGATAGACATAGGTGTTGCTTCCCGGGGAGAGACACGTGTTCGATCACGGGATGTTCCACGGCTTCGTGATGACGCTCTCGCTTCTGCTCCTTTGCTGCTTGATCTGCTGTTGGCGATCCGACGGTCGTAGGCGGGATGCTTAGGGATTTGGGACAGGAATTCCAGGGATGCAGGAGCACGAGTTGAACCTGGTCTGCTTATATCTTCACGCGTCGGTGGACGATACACATCGCTGGATAGGAGTTCTGCACCACTTGAAACAGCTGCAGTTTCTCCCTCGGAATTCGTTGTCCCAACTTGCATTGCTTTCGGTGTACCTGGACGCTCCTTCACAACACCGAAGCCGGACATATCCGTGGCTAAGGTATGCTCCTGAGATGAAGAGCTGGCAGCCATCCCTTCATCAACCTGAGGTTTGGCAGGTGGCGGCACATTGCTGGTCGAAGCCGACTTCGTATGGGCAGGAAGTTGACTGGGAAGAGGAACATTCGGCACTGAAGGACGACGAGTTAATGACTGTCGACGAGCTTCCAGCTGCTCAGCTGCGGACTCCTTTTTACCTCTCTCGTGAGCTGGAGGTGGCTGACTGGTCGAGCGATGGTCCTCACGAGCCGAAGTGGCCGGGATACCGTCTTCGGGATCATCTGGATGAGCGCTGCGCTCGTACATCGCGTCGCTCGGACGGCGTCGTCGGCGGTGGTGTCGATCACTATGGCTTGTTTTTCTGCTAAGGGATGCTTCCTCTGCTTGACGGCTGCGAGACCTTGCCCGTTGTCTTCGTCGATCCGGTGATGGATCGCGCCTAGCGCTAGTGTCACGTTGAGGTCGACGACTAGTACTGCGGTGCAGGCGGTGGCGGTCGCGAGAAACCAGTCTCAAAGCAGAATCTTGATCGAAGCGGCTCTGTAGGTCTTCTTCAGAAGGAACCATAGGTCGTGGAGACGAAGGAGATCGGTGTCCAAGGTTTTCTTTGCGTGACGAACTTCGGCCTCTCGGAGAAAATAAAATATCGGGACTAGGCTGCCTGCTTGTGACACGGCTGCTGGTTTTGCTTCGGGTACTGATACCGCGTGTCTTTGAGCGCGATCTCTGGCGATGTTTGGTGCCTTTCGCCGTTGACTGTGAGCCACGTCGGCTGAGCCTTGACATGCTGGCAGGTGTTCCCTTTCGGTCCATTCCAGACAAATTTGAACTGTACATAGAGTCAAAGCTTTCCACACTGGTGCTGTACAATCTGAGATCCTCGGGCGACATTGGGACAGGCGAAGAAGGTGAGCGTTTGGCGGATGGAACGGCACGTCGTGAATCTCTTTCACCACTACCATCATCCATATTAGCCCGATTCTTCTTTTTCTCCAATTGGTCATCTTTTGATTGCTTGCTGGTGCTGCTGTACCCGCGGGCCCTCGAATGCTTCCCGTAATATTGAGCCTGCTCGAGGCTGCTGATGTATTGATCAATGCTCCGGCCAGTCACGATAGGACTCTTCACGCCACGATAGCTCTGACCCGTGGTTGGCGGGCTTGTCAGATCTCCGGACGTATCGAGTTGGGTGTTGCTGTATGATCCGGTAGTCGCTGGTCTGCTTATTGACTCGTTATAGCTTGCGGCCGGTAAATATTCTTGATTAGAATCCATTTCTTGTACGGGCATTGTCTGAATTGAAAGACCATCTGGCTTTCGGTTCCTTGAACCCGTTCTTTGGCGAGACATATCCACTTGGCTTGCATCAGCGCCTAGCGTACCATGAAACTGAGAACTTGTTCCGGGGAATTTGATGGCCGTCTGTGGTCCGACAGCGGTTTGAGGCGTCTCCCTGACAGGAGTGGCAAGGGGCTCGTAACGCGCAGACGTGAGCAATGTCAATGCTTGCCTATCGCTTTGTTGTGAATCGTTGGTAGATGGGCCAGCTTCCACAGCCTCCGTGTTCTTGCTTGACGTCAGTTCTGCGGGCACAGAAACCGATCGTTGAGGTAGGGAACTTTGGAATCGTGGTGATTCAACATCAACGGGCGTCTCTCCGATTGATGGTAGTCTATTCGGCTGAAAGCCACCGGGAGTTGCAGTTTTGGCCGAGAGAGCACTGTTGATGCTGCGAATATTATTCATCCGATAAGAACCCAGACCTCCAGGTGACAAAGCAGATCTGTCAATTGCAGATTCTGCAATTGGTGTAACTGCCGCAGCAACAGTGGGAGTACGGTCGTCGGGTTTCAAGCCCGGGAACTTGAATTGATTGTTAGCCTGGGGCCCAAACGACGTGATGAGTTTGAGAGCAGATGTCTGCGGAGTGATTCTTGTGCCCTGAGCAGCAGCATTTCTGAAGGGTGTAGGAGGCGCTGGCGTGGCTGGCATGATGTTTGGTGGAGGCATCGCTACCGGTGTTGGCGCATCAAGAGTTCGTCGTCTTTCTAACGTCTTTTGGAAAATTGCTGGGTATTCCATCGGCTCCAGAGGCGGCACTTCTTGAGATTCCTGCGGGACCGAGATCGGATCCAACATTGTGTTCGTGGCAAGTTGTGCTTTCGGAGACGTCCAGGGATCAGAAGGCTCGACACCGGTGCATGAGAAGCAGCGTATGGCAAGTGACTGCTGCGAATTTTCAACCACATGCTCACCCCACCGGCGCACCAGGTATGACTGCCGTTGCCAGTCATCCGGTGTGACAAGACAGGTCAGCAAGACGGCCTCCATGAATTGATTCCTTGAGACGTAGACTTCGATTGCATCACTCCTATCGCCGAGGGCAAGCATTAACGTCGCTGCAGCATGAACATCGCCTTTGCTCAGCATCTTCTCGATGAAAACTTGGGTGATCTTCTTAGCTCCCACTTGGTTGCTGATTGTGCCCAAAGCAAGCAGCATCCAATCAAGATTTGAAATAATGCCGGTCGAGCCCATGATTTCTGCCAGATAATCGGGATCTTCATCGAGCCATCTCGCAAGAAAGATGGCATTCTGACTCTCATTTGGATGGCGGCTCAACTCGTCTCGAATGAGATCCTGAATATCTTCATCCCAACCGAAAACAACGCTCAGCATCTGCCTCCTCAGATCGTCAGGCGTCATGTGACCCTCGTCCATTGATCGAGGGGGGCGATAAGGTACGTCATGCAGACGCGCCCGGGTGAATGGAAAGAGATCTAAGACCGGACGCTCTTCGGGACTCATGACAACCTCTTGCCTTAAGCGGGAACCCTTTCTGGCCGATCTGGCGGTAGCAGGCGACTGGGCTTGGTACGCTTGATTGGAAAGCTGTACAGGCGCATTGAATGTTGATTGGGACTGAATGCCAGTATCAAATGATGTGGACGTGTATTCGGTCTTACCAGCAGGGGAGATGATGTCCTGAATCCCGTTCTTGAGACCCGACTTCTGAGAGCTGATGGCTGACTGGGGACTGGGGATGTTGATGTTAGACCGATCTTGCCTGGCGGCTTCGGTAGCGCGGAGTTCTCTACGGGCACGGACGAGAGGGGAAGCAACATCTTCTTCGCTCTCAGACGTCGTCCACATAGGTCCTCTAGTGTCTTCAGGGGGCGTCGGAGGAATAGTTATTGGCATGTGTCGAACATTTGCTATTAGCTGAGCTCTTTCCACGTCGTACTGTTGAACCGTATAGTCTGGGCCCAAGGTGAACAGTGTGCCAGTCGGGCCGTGGGCGGCGATGGCTCTCACTCCCTCGACTGTTGGAATAGGTTCATATGTCACATGTTTGGTGCGCACGTCCCATGCCCATGTCTTGCCTTCGGAGAATTGTACGATACGGCCGTTCTTAGACCATGAAATCCAATTTCGGCCGCGAACATACGTATCAGAGCGTTTTAAGACACGAATTACTCGAGGAGCTTCGGCGGTTGGGGGCTTCGAGACACTCCAAACTCTCAGATCTCCATCTGCGGTCTGTGTGGCGAGCATGTCTGACTTTTGTTTCGAGGACGAGGCATGCCACGTCAAGGAGACAATTGGAGACGGAGCACGAGACGTTGTCAGCGTGTGAAGGATGGTAAAAGACGGTTGTAAGGCAGCCAGGAGGATGGAGCCATTCTTATATCTAGTTAAGATTAGCACAGGCCATATGATGACGAGACACCAAACGCACCCGATGGCATACGTCTTACAATCCGACGACGGGGCAATTGCCGTGATGGGATCAAATATCGTTCGCGCGGAAATGTGATCACTCGTTGCAGGCTCGAATAAAATCACCTCGCCTTTTGCATTTCCTTGGAGTTGTCAGCTCATCGTCGTAATCTGAAAGACGGGAGACCTACCAAAAGCGATGTTTCCGTTTCTCATCCAATGGGCGACTTGTAGCGATTCGTATGATACAAAGCGCGACAATTGTTCGCCGGTGGCCATGTCCCATACTATGGCCGTTCGGCCGACATCATAGGTGACCACCAGTCGTCCGGCCCCAGTTTCACTCACATTATCGGCCGATATGAACTGAACATCCTTCGAGTGCTTCTCAAAACGTCTCTCAACCGCAAGGGTGTCATGTTGAAGACATAGAACGGCCGACCCTTGGGCGAAGAGAAGCAGCGATGCCGTACAGGCACATGGTTCGAAGGGGACATCTTCTGCCGATGGCCTTGCCTTGGCACCCGAAGGAAGGATAGCACCCTTGGATTTGTTTGATACGGATCGCTGTCGCGAAAGACCTGGACCAGCAGACATACTGAATGAGGTCCACCGATCTTTGATATGCGACTGCTAGGGTATCAGCGATGGCGGTGTGAACAGCAGAGCATTGGAAATATCCTCAAGTATACCTCTTTCGCTATGCAGGCCCAAACAGTGGCATGGTCTCTACCAAGTCAAGTGAATTATATCCAGAGCGTCGGTTATTGGGATCTCGACTGATGTTCCCGTGGTGCCACGATGAGGCGGGTAGCAGCCGATTATGTGTTTTTCCTGAGTGACCGTGGAATCCAGTGACTGCCGGGCGGGCGCCAACGTAGCCGCGGAGAGGCTCGACCCGCAGAGGAGGGTATAGGAGACGCAGTACAGATCGGGAAGACGTCCTTGGGTCAGGAGAAGGGAAGATATTGCGCAGACTCAGGCTCAAGGCTCAAGGCTCGCTCGCAGGAACCGGATGCCAGGGACAGGCGTTGACAGCAATATACCGTGGAAAAGACTGAAACAATGAAACAAGGAACTTTCTTGGACCTGATAGATCTGTACAAGCAATGAATCAATTCATCGACAGGTCCACTCGCTCTGATCCCGGAGAGAGGCGCAGCAGAGAAAGGAGTGCGCGATTCTGGCAGCAATTCGAGCAGAGAGCAGTCATCTCGACAAGTACCTACCAACGACATTGATGGAAACATGGCTCCGAAGTTCTACTAGCCGGCGGGCGCTTGATTGCGGCCCCGCCGCATGAAGTGAGTGAGGACGCACCCAGTGACCGGCGTGGTCGAATCATGGCAAACGGACTGTCTAGCGTTGAATCCAGGCTGCAGGCTGATCTGGTGGGAGGAATGGTCAATGGCTATGGGAAGTGGGAGAAGACGTGCAGTGGGAAGAGCACTGGCAACGGATGGACAGGCACGAAGCTCGCCAGCTCCAGTGAACGACAGGCTTGGGCGCTTAACCCGCCACAATTGGCTGCCACATCGCCGCTGTCACACACCCTTTTCCTGCGCCCTCTACCAATCACAGCAAGCAGCACACTCAACTCCCAATTGCTACATTCCCAGTCTAACTTCCGTCACTCTGCCCGTCGCAGGGTTCAAGGTTTGAAGTGGAGCAGGCTCTTGTCCTAGACGACGACCACGACTTTACCAGAGAGCATTGACCGATTCAACTGGACGAAATGAAAGCCCTCACTGAGACTTCTGGCCCACCGGCGGCTGGCCTCATGATGCCAACCTTCAGATTAATTTCCTCTCACACATTGGCCTCAGCGGTTATACAATCAAGTGCATTGGAAGAAGTATATATCGCTACGCCGACTGTCTCTCGCCTGCTGCTTCACGGGTAGCAAAAACAGTGTCGTGTCGAGACGAGATGCGTCAGTATCAATAAGACGATGACAAGAGCGTGGAGTGACAAGCTCGCTATCTAGCACACAAGAAACATCGACTACACAAGCCTTGTTCTATTGAGACTTCTTGATTCTCGATTGCGTACCCTCAGTTTGTCATGTAAGGGTTCCCCTCTTTCCCCCCTCCCTTCCCCCCCACCCTTTTCCAACGAGCGAAAGAGTCCTTTTCTGCGATCTACTTTCCAAGAATATAGGCTCCTCAATATATATAAATGTACTTCTTCCCGACCCCGGTTCGTCGGCTAACCAGCGACTAGCTCCTCCGCATCGCACAGCTGCTAACTTTAGTACTATCTCTCAGGCCGGGGGCTGTTGTCAGATGCTGCTAGTCGACATCTGCAACAGACTTACGGTAATAAGTCGGGAGGGCTATTGATCAGACTAATATAATATGCGAATTCTGCTGCTTGTTCGATCCGCAGAAGTCGAAGAACAAGCGGCACCAGAAGACTGAACCAGCATAAACCGGACAAAGGAATGACCTGGAGTGGTGCCCGAAGCTCCCGCGACAGGCGAAACAGCACGGCCTTTTACACCAGTCGATCTCTTCAGAGAGGGACCCTTGCAGAAACCAAGTCCGCAATTTTCGCCGAGCGAAGAAATTATGTTTCCGAAATGCGATAGCATTTAAAGTAGGAATACTACTTATGATTCGGAAAATTGACGTCGATCAATGAGAGCTGGATGGGGGGGCGCTCCAAGCCACGGGACGATCCAGCACCAGACAGAATCATGGGCGTGGGAGAAACGTGGTCTGCGCGGGTGGGCAGTCGTTCTTGTCACTTGGTCGTGGCGTTGGGAATGTTTCTACACCTCACAATCACATATTGAGATATCGCCAAAGAATTTGTTTCCATCGGACTCATAATTCGACTATCGACCCATGACCGAAGCGAATATCACATTCATCACCAAGCCTTAATGGACTTAGGCAAGTTTTAAGGATAAGTGCGATAAGGGTCAAACAATAGCCTCAAAGCTGGTCCCGGCCCCAAGACGCTTCTGCACCTACGCGCCCGCGCTAAATCATCCTTTCGAAGCAGCCCAATCGGTGCATGACCGCATTTCAAGCCGACACGAAAAGCCTTTCTGATTTTTCGACGCTTCTAGACGAAATTCCTTCGCATGTATGTACCATAGAGATGTGAGAGAGCGCGCAGCTTGTCAAGATCTCAGCACAATACGTTCAAAAGATCCCGACATATGATCAGCTGATTTACGCGAGGCATCATGTAACTTCAATACGTCTTCACATTCGTACAAACACCTGTCGCTGCGGTCCCAAGGTTACTCGAAAAGAGCTGTAGAATATGCCAGTGTATTCTGTCACCTGAGTGAGTTTTAGCTTCGTGAGCCATGCAATGACACCGAATTGTTCCTCGCACTTGAAATCTGAACCGTTGCTGACTGTGTTCCATTCTGGTCAAGATGTGCATTGTGCTTCGTTCCTTTTTACCTTCTCGTTCTTGCGTCAAATGCAAGGTACCGGCCTCTTGTAAGTCGTGTCAGCCAGAATTTTCAGCGACTTCTGGGGACCTTGTACCACGCACCTTTCCGAAGGACGGTACCGGAAGCTTTGACGGACATGATCGCGTGGCTTCCGTAGCCTGGCTCCCAGCCACCCTCGTACATTAATTCAACTGGGATCAAGGTCCTTGGAAGAAGAAGATCGATGCTTTCTCACATCTAGAATGGAGCCTCCCCTGTCAGTCAGTCACTCCCACGAGCCGAATCGCCACCACATTGCACCCGTCATCCACTTCGGTTGACCACTTCTTGGAAATATGCATCTCCTCCGATTATAAGCAACGTGTCTCGCTTCGAAGCTCGTCTAGGAATTGGGATAGATGGATGGATACTGGATGTCGCCAGAATTGGTAGGTCATGGTGATAATGCGAAGTAAATACGATTGAGTCTGCCATACCAGGATTCAACCTTTGCACCTTGACTACCCGACTTGCAGACTACGCCCAGGTCTTGAATTTACATCCTGACACAGTCCAGAAAAATCCTGGCGCCAAAGTGATAGCTTCGAGTGTGTTGTTGCGAACCAAGACCTTCGTAGTGGCCTCGAGGCAACGATATCACTTTTGCTCGTCAATGATGTTATCTACCAGATTGACATTTTCGACCCTGACGACAAATTATACAAACTGCTTGGAAACCTCTCCCTGGGCTGATCTCCTTGCTCATCTCTTGCTAGCCCGAGTTGAATCTATGCGATTGCAATTATGCTGTTACTCTCATCGCCAGTATGCTCCTTTTCCGTCTGAAATTGATTCAATTCCGATAGCGATTGACAATGACTTTTGCGTCAATACAAAAGAACATGTCGAAGAACATGGATTTTCCTTTCCTCAACAAGATTCATGATGAGGCTTCCAAGCGATCAGATGTCCCGACGTCACACTTGACATCAATCAACAATTCCTTCTTACTCGACAATCCTGGTTCACGACTTCAGCTTCACTTCGCATGCCTTTCCTTCGCTTATCACCCGAACAGTCTTCCCTCAGCATTATGCACGTCTTGTCCATTCTCATCCTCGAATCTTCACAGTCTTATGTCCTCCTTATCCTTCTGACTTGGGCAGAGGTCCAAGTAATCAAACTGTCGCGAGGACAAATGCTGATGTTACTCCATTGGCGACTCTCGATTCAGCACCCAGCTGCTCTTGAGACAAAGCACTTCTGCTAACAATATCTGGAAGCTTGGTTTCAACTAGGTCGAGCCTCGAGATCATGATCCCTCTGGGCTTTTGCTTTTATCTTCACGGCATGCTGTCCACTCTGGCGTCCTGGACCGCTGTCGAATCTCAACGAGAATCCTCGCAATTTTTTACTGTTTCCTGTACTTCTGGTCGATGAATATATTCCTGGGCAACATCTTCAATATATTTGGCGATTTTGGATCCGTTGTCGTCAAATTTGAGTTCTCCCTGGCCTAAAGTCCACGTTGAATATTGCATAATCGATATATCCAACAATTTCCGCACACCACAACATGGTTTTATGTGTCTTCAGACTCTAACAATACGATTGCGTTGCCCAAGGGACCGGGAAAGAAAATGATACCACAACGGAGCCATCCAGGCCTTGGTGGTGATTCGAGATGCAACGCTGCATGGTAGGGCAACATAGCTGTGGGTACCACCCTGAAGTCCGCTGATACCATACACATCTATGATAGCCTGTAAAGTTGGATTGTTCGTCCTAATTGATCCATCGATCTCCATGGTGTGATACATCCAAAGCACAAATGAAAAATATACACAGATTTTGCAGAAAAGCGAGCCGACGAAGGTGCTGCGCTGGTGACTTTGTGCGGCTTCCGTTATTTGAATGTTGGATGTCAGGAGGAGGTTGTCCTGTTCGAAGCTCCAGGACAAAGTCAGCGCTGCAGGACAAAAGATTGGGCTAACTGATGTTCTGCACCTGGCACGACTCTCTGCCATAAAGTCCACCTCCTCCTAGTTTTCCGATTTGACTTTGAATAACTTCACAGATGGAGCCCGCCAACTTCTCCCGACTGTATCGCGGCCGGGGAGACACGGTTGAAAGAAGGCTCTGGCCTCCTGAAAATAGCGCTGGGGATATCCAGAAATCGGTCGATACATCCATCGACACTCATCCTGAACCGGCCATGCATGATTGCATTCAGACTGTAGTGGTTTCAGCTTAGTATTTGCTATTCACAACCCTGGACTAATGTCTTATCCTTCAGTACTTGTTCCACTGACATAGTCAAGGTAAGGGCCCAAGTCAAAGTTTGAGATCATGTTAGCATCACCAGCAGGCTCCATTTCTCTCATAATCCTCATCAGATCCCTCGAGCTTAACAAGGTAGAATAAGTCCTGACTCCGTCCCCATCTATTAGACGACAACAAAGGACCCGCCGTTTCCAAGTCATTGAGAACAACCGACCAAGAGCGAGCAACAGTTTTCCAGCCCGAGACCCTGTTCTCTGGCACATACCAGTGTCAACATGAGATGCATCCTGGTCACCCACGATCGGCGTCTCAGTCAAGGAACCTGTACCGACTTTTCCGGCACACTTCTGCTGAGCTAGCTGCTCTATGACTTTGATGAAGTCTCGCAAAGGGTTCTGCGGGCCAGCTTTCAATCGGAGGGCTTATTCCACCCAGATGAAACCGCCGAGGTCGACAACAACTCCTCACCAGGTCAAAATTTACATCGTTGACCTTTTTGAAACACATGAATAGTGCTTCCCTATGGCTAAAATGACAAGTCCAATCGTGAGTATTGATACGATAGCTGGAACCCGTGCTGGACTTAGTCTTCCCTCGCAGCTTCTGAAGGCTTGACTAACATTTCTGCGATCGCACGAGACTTTCCCTGGAAACTTTCCCAAAACATTTTTGGGGTCCACCACTCAATCAGACAACACACTGTCCTTGGGCTTCAGAATCTCCGTAAAAGTGAATCTTTGTTGCGGACTCTCCCTCATGTGAGAACCCGATATCTGGAGCCGAAAGTAACCATCGTCGATCCCTCTAGCAAGGAACTGAGGTAGGAAGGAAGTGGTTTGGTCGTACGCCGGCTCGCTTACTGGATGTTCACTTATCCATTGTTCATACAGCTTTTCGAGACGGTGCCCTCGGGTCGAGGATCAGCCTTGACCGCTCAACTCCTCTGATTCCGGCGGAAAATTGTTGCCGAGACGACAGGGGCGACATTGTTCATCGTCGCCAACTAATAACAGCTTTTGCATGTATCCAGATGGAGAAACGAGATAGAGGCTGAAGAGGCCACGTGTCATGGGGCGAACCCGCCGGACCGCCTCGCCCTCGTTCCGGTCATTGTCTAGCTCCCGCACCCTCATATCATTACGATTCCACCATGAGGTATTCTTACATCTCTAGATATTATGGACCGATTCGGCTGGTCGAGCCTGGCCCCGGAATGAGCTGAGTTCTACCGGATCCGCGCACGAGTCCAGAATGAAAGCTAACCAGTTCCGGAGAGGGCAACTCATTTGATAGCTCCGTTCTCCATCACGAATGCGAATATCGCCATTGCACATATGGCCATCTGAAAGTCCTCCATTGCTGCTCGCAGGGCTGGTTCCCCAGATCTCCACATCGGTTGAGAAACCCAAGACCTTTCGGGGAGCATTGAATGCAACGGTCAGAGTGCTAAGCCTTCGAAGTGTCTCGAGGCTCGGTACGTTCCGAAAATCTGACGCCATTGGATAGTGTGTGTCTACACAAACGTTTATAAAATTACCCCCCGGAAGGGGTTCCTGGTACATACTTATTTCCAAGCCATCAACTCTTGGTGGAGACTCACGTCTTCTAACCATCCTGACAGATCACGCACATGAACCCAAAATTCTCACAAAGGTATGGCATACGATATTGAACTGGGGGAGTTCCCGTTCCCGACCCGGCGGAGGAAGGAAACCATTGAGGACTCTGAATTTCGAGGAATTGAGTTTTCGAATCATGCTGAAGTGCCGTTTCAGAATGAACAAGAAATCTTCGTTGTGAAGGATCTTTGGGAAGAACAGGGAAATTTGGGATATAGTAGAAGAATCAGGGAGACAAAGGCTAGGCTGCCTATTCTCATTGCCAGTCATTGAAGGAACGGTTTATCTAGCCATGGTCCTTTCGCACTACATCTCGGCAACTCAACGGCAGCTACACAATGGAAATAGTTACTGGAGACGCTGAAAGCGACGATGAAGGTGGGATATTTAGGGCAAGCAGACTGGCCGAGAGATCCACTGCTCAGACTACTTGTCAGAACACCTGCAATGCGAATACGACGCTTGTCTACAAGGCAGTGTGTCTTTCTCTTCCATCGCCTCCTCCGTTTGTTCCCTCGATTTAATTCATTTTCATTCCACTACTAGTACTAGTCATAGTCAATATGTCTCTTCCTCTTTCTCACGACTTCCACGCCACGGCCTTCCTCGGCATCACCATCGACGGCCACATCGCTCGCGCCGACGGATCAATCAATTATCTGCCTCCAGCACCCACTGGTACCTCGGAAGAACATGCCGGCAGCAGCACTAATAGTAGTATCGTCCCCACCATCACCGACATGTTAGCGACAATGGACATCCTTGTCCTTGGCCGCGCGACGTACGAAACGGTCCTGAAGCTTCGCAATGAAGAACACGAGTGGCCGTACAGAGATCTTCCGGTTCTCGCGCTCTCCAGGCAAACTCCTGTATCGCTTCCGGTCAAACTTGACGTCGACGACACTGCCATTTCATTTGTGGAGAGCATCGAAGCCACCGTCCAACATGTCGTGGACAAGGGTTATAAGAAAGTGTGGATCGATGGCGGACAGACGGTGCGGTCGTTTCTTGAAGCAGGGTTGTTGGATGAGCTGGTACTAACTACGGTTCCGGTTGTACTAGGTAAGGGGATTAGTTTGTTTGCAGGACTTCAGAGGGAGATGAGATGTGAGGTGATGGGAGTGCGGAGGATGGAAAGACTAGTTGGCGTGAGGTATAAAGTGGTGTATGGGGAGATTGATGAGAGGGGGAGGCTCGTGACGTAAAGGCCCAACGGGGCTCCAGGGGTGTTGTTACCGCTACCGTGTTAGAGTGAGAGCCCAACGTTTTGGGTATTGCAGATACATCGGTACCTAAACGGACTTACGTATTGCCAAACCGATTTGACCCTGTAGAGGTGAGCATGTACAATTCTTGCGATGTTGCCTGCGTAATTTTCTTCATCCCGGTAGTCACGATGCACGTACGCGGATAGAAAAGGAGCCTCAGCCTCGCCAAGCCAAGGCAGCCTCATGGTATTCTAGTTCCTCCCTTCAAGAGTCAGCCTTCAACAACAATGGTACAGAAAACCAACCTGTTTTGTGACAGAGCCAGACCGTCCAGATCCGAACCCAAGTCACAGACGAACCTGGCAGCACGTTTTCCATAGCTTTCACGGGAGTCACGCCGTGGAACTTTAGCCAAGACAAATAGGTATTACCACCCAGAAGCAGCCTCCTGGTACCCGTTACGACATTCGCTATGATATTCGTGGACTTGATGAAACACGAACATGGTCGCGAAATCATCTCAATACGATGACAAAATTTCGCTGAGAGTCAGTCTCCTGACCAATAGCGTTTGAGATATCGAGCAAAGGTAATTCGTTGAATTCCGACACAACGCGTTCCTCACTCTTTGTTTTGCATCCACAAAGAGGAGGAGGGGGAGGGGTCGAAGACATTTCCGGAAAGGAAGGGGAATCGAAGATACTGACATTTGGAAAATCCGGCCTTCTACCACATGTGGGCAATTAAGGATGAGGTCAATTGAGGCACTGTCACTCCACCTATCTCCGACAAAGTTTGAAGAACGAAATCAATACTGTTCAATGACAGCTGTCTGGGGGGCTGTCACGCCCTTTCCCCCGGCAGCCCCTCAGAAATTCGGATCGAAACTCCGCTCCCCCATCCGCACCCGTTTGATCCATCGATCCGGGGATTCTGCATCAAAGATGACTGTACCCAGCCATTTGATGATGGCTTGAGGAAAATTTTGAATGACATAATTGACGTCTACTTCATCACGGATCATGTGGTTGGTTGGCGGAGAGGCGGGAAACTCAAAATCTGAGGTTCGATGATTTCAGGATTTAGCCAGGACACCCGAGGTATGATCCTGGCAAACACGACTGACGAAAATGTCTCTTACAATCTTTTTGACTGTAATCACTTTGATCGAGGCATTTTGAAACCATTGCGGCTCTGGTACGTCCGTAGCTGAATTAAGTCATTGAAAGCATTAGTCAGAACGCTCCGAGTCATGTGAGTACTGTGGCTGTGACTATGTCTGTGGTTGAGAGAAATACAGTGGCGGTGTCAGTGGTCACGGGATGGTTTAGTAATTCTCGGATCAATTTCCGATAGAAATGATAAATGGAAAGAGTTTGGGCGAAAACTTCCCTTTCCCCTACCATGCAACCCAACCTCCCACCCACCTTCGACACTTTCCTCCATCCGCTTTGCCATGTGCTCTCCCTGCTCCCTGCTCCCTGCACTCTGTACCGCAGAAGCATATGAAACCCCCCCACACCAGTATGACCACGACGCAACGCTGACCGGGAAAAAAAATCTCAAACTTCTCCCACACACTTCTATCGGTCCTTCTACTCTCGGTATTCAGCGTACCGTACCCACGCATAGCATTTTCTTCAAGGGCAAACTATGCTGCTTTGAGTATTCTATACCGACCGGGGAAAGTTAAGGGTTTTTCTTTCTCGCAAGTTCGCAACACTATTTGACCGACGAAGGAAAAAAGTGGACGATGGATGGACGGGAGGGTCGAAATTTTAACAAATGTTGATTCGATAATAGCGAACGTGAAGTTGTAGGACAAGGGGGACCTGATGCAACATAGCAAGGTGACAGTCCATGACGCACACAAGGTCAAGGAAAAGACAAAAGTCGACACGGAGTCGGGTCCGACAGCGGTGTAAGATCCGACGATTTTGTAGAGCCTGGACACCACGGTGGATAGAACAAGTACCACAATCCGGAACTGGCAAATAGAAAAAAGCTTCCCAATTTGGGTAATTGAATTGTCTCCTATGGCCATTCCCGATGGGTTCCGGTTGATGAGTCAACACCCTTAAGTGGTGTTGTGTGTATGAGTACTGATGGGTAGAGGACAACAATAATCAGGCTGAAGGGCCAACACAACGAAACTCAAATAACGTAACCCCAAGAGGTTGATTGTCGCCCCTGACCACCGAGCAGATGACGTACGCACCTCACGGCCTATTGAGTAGACCTAGGAGTACGATATTCCATTGCAGGGCTGGGAGAAGGAAAGCACAGTAAAATCAGAGCAAAACAAAAGCAAAAATGAGGCAAGGACAGCAAAACAGAGTAGAAGAAGATGCAAGTGAGCAGATGCATGGCCGAAATTGCCATCTCGCTCACCGACAAAAAAAAGCATCCCACAACTCATTTCCCCCCCACCTACATTTGTAGGGTAGCGCAAGGTTCGGATTGCAGAACACATTGCTTTTGTCGAGGTTTTGGCATCACTTTCTCACCGAAGAACCACGGAAAAGTAGAGAACTTCTCATCGGAAAGCGAGCGTTCTCTGCCCATTGGCCCCCCCATGTCGAGCATAATTATGGAGATCGCGCAGGATTTTGAGGGCTTTTGTAAACGAGTTGCACAGGTTGTTATTATCGAGACGCGGAGTCGGAGAAATGGTCTGCGAGTTTACGGCGTTCAATACTAGGTGTCCGAAGACGAAAATCCTAGACTTTCAGAATCATCGTTGCTCGCGATCGTTTGAAATGAAACAACATTGAGAAGTTCAGCTTTCTCGGAAATCACACCCCATGGGCTTATGGTCCGGAATCCAGCTGGAAATTCCGATCGAGGTCACTCGGGTCGCAAGAGCCCAAGAGAATTGGACTGCTAAGACATCGCAAACCACGACTGAGAGCAAAAACACAACACTGACAGCCTGAGTGAGGCGATGCTATCATGTGAGTCAGTTGGAACATCTGAAACCCATGAAATAGAGAATAGAAAACCAAGCTTCTGTTGTGAATAATAAAAGGTGTGATATTAGGCTAGTAATACTATATTCGAGGTATGTATCGATGCCATGGTCCTCTGTGTAAAATGGTGGGAGTCATAAGATGCACGACTCAGCCAAATCCGTTCCTAATGCCATTCAAGGCAGGGTATCTGGGCCGCATGTGTACCATATCCGTGTGCAGATGCGGATGATTCGCTCACATAAATCAATCACAAATAAATCACGTCGCTTGCAAGGTTAGACAGACAACAACATCAGGTCATGTGGTCCAGGGACCAGCCCGGTACCACTTCCACCGTCTCAAAGAGGTCCGTTCAAGTGACTCAACCCACGTCGGACACTGTTCTGGCGTCTCTTCACTGTGCTCGGTCTGCGAGACTTGCTAGGAGTATCAGTGTGGCTGGCGAAGCGGACGACTTTGCGTCTTGCCTCGGCCTCACGCACGTAATGTGCGGCTGCCTGTTGTTGTTGTTGATGATTGGAGGCGCTTTCTCTCTCTTGCAACTCACGGAGGAGGGCGATTTGCTCCTCGGTGGTGAGTTCCTTTTTGGGGGCGAGAGTGGGAATGGTCTCGATGGGCAACTTCATCTCCTCAGCTGGGCAGAGGAGATCGTCGTCGGACAAGTAAGAGTTAGGTTCCGAGCCGAACGATGACATGCATGATCTGTAGGGGCTGGGGAGCCAAGCTGAGTTGCTGCTGTCCCGTCGCATGGCTACTGAAGATGTCTGTGAGGATTGTGAAGGGGTCGTGGATGTATTGCTGTCTGAGCGAGCTAGTGCGTGAGAAGTTGGCCACGCCGAGGTGGGAGACGCGCTCAGGAGGGCCGAGTACGCGGATGTGGGCGCGTACGAAGTGGTGTTGGTGGAAGAGGTTGAGTCGCGCGAGTCTGAGCGTGACATGGCCACCGATGTCATAGCTGGGGTTATGTTGGAGGTGGGTGATGAGAAAAACATCTTTGCTGGAGTCGAAGGATGTGAAGTTGGAAGAACGCGACGGCGAAGTTCAGACTTGTATGCTGATGCTGCCCGCCGGTCGGTCGGATTATAATTGTTGTTGGCAGCCAGTCTCGGACTTGGGTTGCCTTGGATGTGTGTTTCCGGCAATTGCTGTGGCGATGTTTTGCGGGTGGTGATGCAAATGTGTTACCGTGACGCGAATCACGGATGTTCGTCGGCAATAATAATACGCGCTTGACCAGGGGGGGTGACTGGGAGAGTGATGTGCAATGTGATCGGTTGACTTGCCGCGGATGCTGGAGAGAGGGTGTGGTGGACCAAAAGGGCGAGTGGTTGGGATATCGCTCGTCGGGCGGCTGTATATGAAGGTGTGTTGTCTGGGCTTGTTCAAGGTCAAGATGAAGGAGTGTCAAGGGAGAAGATGTATTAAGTAGAAGCAATGGCTATTTGCCCCCTTCTCCGTGATGTGATGGCGAAAATCCGGTGTGTCGGATGCGACCTCGGCGAGTCCAGGTTGGCCTTTGATCGGAGCACGGACGGGGGACGCGGAGAGTCGAATCCTGGCAGTGGCCACCCCTTCTTTTGTCCGTGCTTCGGCTTGTGGGGAGGTTGGCAGAAAATGGCAAAATCTCAGTCGCTTTTACGGCAACCGTGTCCGGGGTTCTGCGAGTAGTTCGCCGTCTAGGGTATGACTGGCTGGAATGCGGCGTTGGATCGCTTGTTCCAGTCGCTGCGGACCGTTGAGTGATGGACGCAGGGGGAGGGGAGTTGATTGCGATAAGTAGGCAGTGAGGAAAGAGGTGAAGGAAATATACGACAAAGCTAAGGCTCGAGAGCAGGCAAGAGGATTATGTGTTGTTTTCGCAGAAGAAGGCAGCAGCCAGGCACAGCAGGAGGTAGCAAATTCCGAAGGTGATTTGTTGTGTTCCGCACCGCTGACTCGAAATGCGAATGAATGAGGGAGAGAGAGTAGTTCGGTTTTGTTGGTTGTCGGTCAGTAGACCGCCTGAAAAGTATGAGATGCGGGGGGGGTTCGATGGCCGCCGGGTGTATTGTGACCCGCGACGTGTGAGGCGTGAAGGCTCGGTGTGATGGAGACAGCTGCCAGTCCAGGCAAACTTGATTTTGGCCTGTGGGACGGCAGTCGGTGGTCGTGGGCAGATAAAAAGCCACAGGAGATGTCGACACTGGCGGTGACCGGGGGTACGGGAAAGAGTTGCAAGGGCCCAAGGGGCTTGGGGTGTTGCCTGGCTCAGGCTCCGGGGGGCTGAGCCGTGAACCGCGAGTGCCGTGGTGCTGGCAGACGGAGGGCGACGTGGATGGCGGATGCCGAAGATGCCTGAGTACTAAGGGGACTGACTGCAAAGGGAGGGGCCCAGATCAGATTCACGAGCAGGGGCCAGAGTCCCCCCACGCAGAGCAATGCTGAAAAGGGTCGGCTAAATTGGTCTGGACTTTTTCCGACTTTCTTTGATTCTCCTCCACTCCCACGCGCAAAATGCAGGGTCGAGTCGAGATTCGTTCGGGTAAAATGCTCTATCGCCTCAAATGCCACAAATGCCCACCTATGAAAGGGCAGGGTCGCAGAATGCTGGTGATTTCAGATTGTGATTTGCGAACAGGCAAGCCCAAGAGAAGATAGGAGCAACACTGATAGCAACAGGTGCGCAGTTGCACAGGAGCACAAGGAGGCGCCAGGAAATCAGTAGAGATGACGGAATCGAATCATCCAGCATGACTGCGGTAGTAATATTTAGCCAGATACTGATGCTAAATGTTCTAACATAGTGGGCTATGTAACAGTAAATTATAGCAGCTTATGGGTACTTTGTACGAGCTTGGCATGCGATGACTACGCATCGCCGTTAACTGACATCCCCTGGAAGAATTGGCACGGAATATCTGACAAGCATGCGAAGGGTTTCGCAAGCCTCTAGCAGGGGTCGGATCATCAGGATGGGTGTCTCTGATTACTATCGAGGATAACAAACTGGCCCCTCTGAGTAAGAACATTGGTATGAACAGCAGAAGTGTTTGCTGGCAACCACCGGAGGCGATTACTTCAGCAACAGGGCACGGAATATCGTAGGACTTAAGGGCTTGGAATTTCCTACAAAGGAAACTGCCCTCTGCTTAGAGCCGGAGTAATTCACTGTTCATCCAGCTCAACCCCCCTTTTTCCCACCCTTTTCCATCCCACGCTCTTGCATTGCTTCCTTGTTTGGGCACAATATCAAAAAATACGAGGTATTCATGCCTTGGGTTTCCCTCTCTTCTGCCTTTATCCGATCCTGTTACACCATCAAACAGTGTGCACCCCAAACACATTCCCGCCTCAAAGTCAAACTGCGAATGACTCAGGCCTTTGTCGATCGCTGTTTCCGGGCGCAAAACCAATTGCTGCCCAAAAACGCACCAACTTACCTGACTCTCCAATTCTTCCCCTCCTCCATCGGTTGTTTCCGGGCGCCAGAGAAACGTCGGTATTGCGTCCTAGCCTAAAGGAGCTCTTCCGATAGGTGACGGGCCGACTTGATGCTTTTTCGTTGCTCTACCACATTGATTTCATCGACACATTCGAAATGGTAAAAACGCCCCTACCTAATGGACCAGGGTAGCCGCCTGTTCAAGGCTACTGTATATCGTCGCGACCGAAAGCAAAGCCTATCTTCTGCTGCTGTAGTCAACCCCAACCGAGCAGAAGAACATCCGCCTATGACTTGCCCCATGGTTTGTCACAGTTTTGACACCCAATCTACCATGGGGGTATTCAACCCGAGATTTAGACGCGAAGACCCAGGGGGGGCTAGGCAAAGACATTCGTTCCTTTTCTCCCAGACTTACCGTTTGAGGAAATCCCGACGGCGTCCCACCAAAGATCCCTTAACTTCCACAAAGTACCTCTGCACCAAAACTTGGCCGGGGTAGTACATCCTCCGACCTCGGGGTACTGTACCTCGGGCGTACCTAAAAAAACCGTTGGGTAGCAGCCTTTGTGACACTGATGGGGTATTTCAGAACTCATTGTGTCCTGGTATGTATTCTGTACGTCTAGTACCTTTCATTTTCTTCATTTTCTTTCCCCTTCTCCGTCTCGCCGGTGGCACGTAACAGTGCATGGCAAATTTCTTCCAAATCCATTGCCCACATTGTTCCAGAATAACCCACCCCAGCAGTAACGAGTGGCATATGGGGCAGATGTGATGGTGGAGGCCAAAGGGTCCATGCTTTGCTCCTGGGTGAACTCCCCGTCCCCTGAAGACCCATAACCCGTCAGCCTTCCGCTCGCCCCAAGCTGAAAAAAAGTGAGACCGCCGACTCTTTCAGGCTCCCGTCTCGACTCTCCGTCGTGTGAGAAGCAAAGCGCCCCACACTTCCTGGATGCTTGCGTGCGTCCCCCGATTACCGAAATGCCCCCCATTCAGCCACTTTTTTGTTATTTCAGAATCTCCACCCATCCACTTCTTTCCTGGTGGGAAAGGGGGGAGAGAACGCGTGGCTGGGATATGCCCACCGGGCGTCCCTAACTGTTGGCCCTCACAATCTCGCTTACCTCCCAATCACCAAGTTTCCTTTTTCTGATAACACAAAGGGAAAATCCTTTCTTTTTGGTTTCAATTTTGTTACCAACAATTTGATCGGCAAGTCCCTATGATTTCGGGGATGGTATACCGTTGATCCGGCATCTACCGTCTCGACATTTTCTTTTTTTTTTAATCGACCTTTTACCTACCTTGTTGTACCCGCTGTCGGGCATGATCTATCAAGACTACACAGAATCAAATTGTATTGCGCGATCCGCCATTTGTTCGGGGAAGCAAATTCACGAGATGTCAAAACACGCCGTCTGCCTTGGTTCAGTCCCCATCGGTTATTAGCTGCCCATTCCGACGGGACACATTTGGTGCTTGGCGGCGAGGAGGCGTGAAAACTGTGGCAACCCGAGATTGAGTTCATCAATTTGACTCGACCACTCATCATCTTGCTTCTTTCCGTTTTCTTCAGATGCATTGTTGGAAAGCCAGATTCGCCCAATTGTTCAATTATCGCCAAGAATGTCCCTCTGACGCTGGTCAGTTACCTCGGTGCACCGTGGCCCTCGGCTCCTAGGTCTGTGATCATTGTTGCAGGTCAGGCTGCCACATTGACTCCAGCTTGGAGGGCATTCATCCTGACACATGACATGCATGACTGCAGATTGCAGGGTCTCACCCCCAGATCACGTCTTACCTGACGTGGGCTATTCCTGGAGTCCAGATAGTCCAGCCCCATGACAGTTCAGCTGACTTATACTCTGGCTAGCTGAGCCTCACCACATGCGTGTTTTCGTGTGCTGGCACAACATAGCTGACATTTTGCGATGATTGACTGCGATGATCGGCCTAGCCTTATCGGAGGCCGTCCGTGCATCGTGACTGCGGCACTGCATGTCAAAGTTTATCGGAGTCCGTGCTGTCCTTGTCTCAGTCGTCGAAGTCCTCGGAGGAAAACGAAAGTTCGAACCATTTTCGTATACGAGGCACCGCTTTTGTTGTTCCATTGTTCCAAGGATTCTTCCTCTGTGTGGGGAAAGCGCTGTGTTCGACCCCACATTCCTGGGCATACGGTCGTAGGCCCCGACAAAGGTATCCACTATATAGGATGCGACTGGCCAAGTCTCTTATTTGGCTTCGTATATTAGGAGATCGTTTTCTTGAAATTGTATCCTCGTTTTCGTCGGACTTGACCCCGGATCTGGCACTTTTTCGTACTCCAAATCGTGCCTCGCAACCGCCCGGTCCGCTTCCGCATATTTTTGCTTCGCACACTTCCCCGCTCCCAATTGAATGCCTCGGCGCCGAATTACCGAGTCTGTCAAATGGCAGAGGATGTGCGGGATGACTTGGAGTCCACGATGTCCAGGTCGACATGATTTTTGCCAATCCAAAGACATCATCAGTGAATGATGGGGTCTATCGTGGACTCAATCTCACAGCTAGAAAGTCTCAAAGTGTGACGTGACCCAAGAGCATTTGCGAAGAGATTGCCACGTGATCTGTAAATCACGTGATTTGCACTAACATCATGTGCCATCGACTCCGAGCCTCCGAGGCGACAAACTCTTTCTCGTTGTTACTCCGAACGATTCTCTGTCACGCATCTTGCCACCAGGCGTCGAGCGTGAACTGAAACAATCCATCTCAGTGACTGATATGATTATATGCATGCAAAAGAATTCAGAAATCGCGGTAACGTTTGAACACTCCCAGCATCTGCAAATCTCGGAGCCACAAGCAGAATCTACCTTCGCAAAGCTATCTCAAATCCATTTTCCGATGACAGACTGAGCGACACTCGTTCGCGAAATGGTTCTTTATCGCGACTTTCTAAGGAGCTATAGGTCTGCAGAAGCCTGACCGTAAGGTAGGCGGTCTGAATCATGGCCAGCTCCTCTGCTTAGGTTATTAATGAGTCATTTTAAAAAGGGGGGGGATGTATGTACTTACGGCCAGGACAGGTCCGGGGACCTAGTCCAAATGGCATAAAGCCAATGGGATTCTCGCATTCCTCCCACCGTTCAGGTCTGAATTTGTCGGCGTCTTCACCCCAGAGCGATCTGTGTCGATGAATTGCCCAGACATGAATATCGATGATACAGCCCGCTGGAATAAAAGCAGGTTGGCGGCCATCTGTCCCGCCTCCGTGAGGTATTTGAGTATCGGTGTTCGATGCTCTGTCATCGGCCGGAACACTGGGGTAGAGACGAAGAACTGAGGGAAATCAGAATTGAAGCACGCAATTATCGTTTGAATCGGACTCGTACCTTCTTTTATGACCCACCAAAGATAAGTGATCTCGCTCAGCTGCCTGAAGGAAAAGGTAGGGCTTTCGATGGAAGCTATTGCATCCCGAAGCTTCTGTTGGACCTTCGGATGCCGTGCCAAGTTCCAAATAACAAAGCCGATGTGTGATGCGGTGGTGTCTCGACCCGCCATAAGAGAAGACAAAACATGGTCTCGAGTGGCTTTGGCGTCGCTGCCTGAAATGACCAGTTGTTTGAGAAATATTCTTGGGTTTGCTTCTTCAAGACTTGATTGGGATGCTTCTATGGCTGCATTTGAATTCCTGATGATATATGAGTCCACAAAGTCATGGAGAAGCTTACAGCTCCGTCTGAACGTTGCATCCCAATGCAAATGGACGAAGAACCCAAGATCTGTGCCGAGTCTCATGATCTCGATGGCATAATCAAAGGCCTGGTCGAGTGTACGTGTCATCTTTGACCCGGCTGTTGTGAGCCAGGACGTGGATTCACCAAGGAGGAAATGGGTGCTCGTGTCCATGGTAAACAACGAAAGCAGATCCCGAAGATCAATCGTCGTACCATCAGCTGGCAAGTGAGCGAAGAGGTTCTGGACATGTGTCTCATACTGGCCAAGATCCCTCACTTGTCTGTGTGTCAAGGCCCGACTGAGAACTTTCCGGCCATGAGCCCATTGCGGCCCATTGGCGGCAAAAATGCCGTTTCCAACAGCGGGGCGGAAGGCGTTTTGCCGCACATAACTGATCTCAAAGTCTTTGGCATTGTTCATCAATACAGCCCTGGCATTGACAGCATCTGCGGTACATATGTTGGTGTGTCCGGCAAAATTCACTGAGAAGGTTCGTCCATTCTGTTCCATCCATTTGGTGGACTCTTGGAGCACAATACCCTGGTTCACCCATCGCACAAATTGAAGTGCGACATCGAACCCAAACCACCACCACCTCTGCACAAGTTGACGGACATGGTCGAGGTCAGATGGGATGTGCCTTGCTGGAATGAGGCATAGGATCAAGAACAAAGCGACAAGAGACACGGCTCCACCAATCATCTTCTCAAAGTATTTCTTTCAAGTTCTAGAGTGCTGATCAAGGAAAGTCTCAACAAACGAGGGAATGCGTGGTCTATGAACGGTTTCCTCCGTCTGCCTCTCGATATTGGAGAATGATTCAGAGCGCTTTTTGCTTGGGCATATGAATTAATTCAAGAGACTCCATGAAATATTGGCGTGTCTAGTGTCGACGATCACAATCCCCGTGCAGTCGAGGGGCGGTACACGAAACCAAGATTGCACGGGGATGATAGTGTGAGGCAGTGGATGATAAGCCCATTGTTTTTTGATCATAGTCACAGCCACATGGGATCGCTAGATGTGGTTGGACTTGCCCAAGCAATAATTAGCCGCATACAGCTCGCCCAAGCGGGAAAGGCGGTCATTTCAATCTATGCCGATGGGCTGGTTGCTTTGCAGAAGCCGGCTGGGCTTGGAACCAGAAACCGAATCCAAACAAAGAAGGTGGCTCGTATTGCCAATGGCCTTCCTTTGAAAAGGTGGAGAGCTTAATCATTTTCATCTATGGAGCTACCGGCATGTTCATGGAGCATATTACGGGCTGGGGAGGTCGTTGGACTGCATCCGATCTCGAACATGTCTCCATTGCGATAATGTTCTTCGGGGCTGGATTGGTAAGTCTTCAGTTCTGTCAGTATGTTTGACATATATTGACATTTAATCCTCCAGTGCGGATTGCTCATTGAATCGCCAACTATTCGAAGTCTCCTGAATGCTCGCGCCACAGAACAAAGTCCCCGTGAGGCAGACTCAGACGACAATTCTGTCCGCGCAAATCCTTTGCCGGCACTGACTCTCCTGCTGCTTGGACTCGTCATCAGCTCGCATCACCAAGACTCGGAATTGGCTGTCAAAGTGCACTATCAATTCGGAATGTTCCTCATTGGGTTTGCAGCGTGTCGTCTTCTCACATACGTCTTGTGGTACAGTTCGCCACCTAAATCAAGTCTCCCGTCGCGCCCCTTGTCAAAATTCATGGGTGCATTTTGTGCCATGGCTGCGGGTCTCACGTTTCTGGCGGCCGCTAGAGATGTACTGCAGCTCTTGGATGCTCATGATATAATGGTGACTCTTGTGTTCGCGATTTCGGCTAGCTTGACCTTGTTTCTCATGTCGTGGACACTTGTGCTGTTGGGTTTAATGAACTGGATCTCTAAGAAACAGGCTCGAGAGGGAGAATTATAGCTCGAAACACATCATTTTGGATAGGTCAAAAGGGAGCATAGTCAGTGCACCACCGCCAGTCCAAGTGTATACGAAAATTCAATACCATCTATCACTGGGAAACGGGGAGGCATCAGCTAAACGACCAGGATCCATGTGACGGAATAAAGGTTGAGGATCATTCCTAATTGCCCAAGCAATCTAATTAGATCTTTCATTCCCAGTCCACAAATATAGATGTTTTGTCTTCACAATTTTATTGCCCAAGTATGGCTGAAGAATGAGCATCGAATCACTTCATTCTTTGTTCCCACAACGTGATGTACGGGAAGACCTTAATGCCACCCACCTACAGACGGGCCCATTGTCCAATTTATCTAAGCTTTCTCATCCTGGCCTTCATCCTCGTCTTCGGCTTCGTTTTCACTCCTAATATCATGATGATGCTCTTCAGACTTTAGTGCGTTCCTCAAGCCTCTCGTGATTTGCGTCAACCAAAACAAATTCAATCCCTGCAGCAATACCAGACAAATCAAGCACGTAATTTGAAGAGATCGAGTTAGCGGCGGCAGGTTGATGTCGAGAAGGAAAATGTAGAACTTCACAGCCGAGACAAGGGCCCAAATCATCAAATAATGTCGCCCATAGAGCCAGACCAGTAGAAATACGAGCCATGCAGCGGGCATGAGTCGGGATTTGGTGTACACTGACATTTTGCGAGCTTTTATGATGAATAGAAAGTCTTGTCAGTCTCGTTCAAGGAAATGGGGAACCATGCGGGAGAACTGGGAAGAGACATACACTAAGAAGAGCATCACTGGCACCATGTGGGACAAGGATCATCAGACCAAAGTCCGTGTAATTATACCAGTAGCTCCCCAAGATCAAAGTAATAGTCACGACGTGATGGATGATCAGCTCGTAGAAATCCTTTCTTCTCTTCTCTAGGCCCATGGCTAAGTAGGCCGCCTCGTGAACCCACCAAGCCGTCTCGATGAGGTATAGGTACTTGACCTTACCATCCAGCGTAGAATCTTGCAACCGATCCAATAGCTGATTTATGCTCAAGCGCCATATCGACTGTTCGACAGAGACGTAGATGCCGTACGAACTTGAAAAGAAGAAGTAAGTGAGCTGGAACAATTGCTCTGAGAACCTCGCGCTGGGTTTCGCTTTCAGATAGCGTGCGACTTGGGGATAGATTTGGTCCACGAGCAGATATCGAAGAGATAGGAAAAGCATTGCGTGGAAAACCACGAAAACAACGTCTCGTGGGCCCTTGACGTACTGAGTTGACGATTTTTCCTGGGCATAGGAAAGAATCACAGCACTCCCGGCTTGATTGAACGGAGGTTGATTGGCGAGGAAGCACAGAAGAATAATCACAGTCACCAGAACTGTTCGTGACTTGAACAGATCACCCAGTTGAAGTTGAAACTCGTCTCTCATTCTTTGCCAGAAAGTTTGTTCGTGGCAGAGCCTGCTTGGGATGGACTTGAATTTGCGGGAGGCTTTGAGCTAAGCCGAGTCTTCTCAGCCAGTTGAACACAACGGACGCTGGTAAAATGGAAGATGAAGAAACAAGCACTCATCTCTGAACGCTTCAGTGGAAGCAACGGTCCATTGTGTGACATGTTGCTGGAGACTCGATAAAGCGGATTGGCTTTCCCTTGACTTGAATTAGAGTACGAGCTGTAGGCTCACGTGATATTGTACTTGTGTCGGTGCCTCTTGGATGAATGTGGGAGCCGCAGGAAAATAAATGATCGGCCACGTCTCACGGAAGAAATTTGACAATTCTCGGGGTAGCTATCTTAAAGTTCACCAGCAAAGCTAGGTCCCTATTAAGTTGAAAAGGGAAAGGCGTGAAATGACCGAGGCTGAGATACGGCCTTGTAATTTTTGTTCTCCACTTCTCCACACTTTGTAATGTCAACAGGTGAAAAGTTACAGCTAAAAAAGCTACAGGGTACACTCCACAAAGGTATTGTACTTGTGACATCCCAGGCCTGACGTGGGCGTCAATAGCGTAGAACACCTTTTTTTTCTCATCCTAGACTTTTGTCCTTTTGCACCCCAGGGGCCAGACACTTTGGCAGCGATTCCAGGAATCCCGCGCCATGGGGTGATCAGGGGTTTACAGTTGTCCATGTTCATTGACTTATGTATGAAATTTTCCCTCTGATAGTCACCCATGCCTTGATTTCGAGAAGGATACTATCTGGTGTTTTCACGGCACACTAAAAGTTTGTATCCGCGAAACGAACTGGGGTTAGTTTCGATGATCCAAGTCCAGGTTTTAGCTATCCAGGTAGCGTTATGTAATTTTATCATGCGGATCTTGACCATGATCCATCTCGCACACAATTTCACAGATATTCCGAGAGTAATTTTAACCATTTTCGGAGCCTTGTGTTAGATTGTGGTGATCTTCCTTCATGCGATGGCTTTGGCCGACGGAAGTGCCGTGAATTCCAAGGATACGGATCATCAGAAGTTCCTGGCAGGATTTGACGAATTGTCACAAGCGCGCCGACTGCCTCAAAATGTGCCTCTGACAAATGAGAAGGCGTTCTCAGAACCGAGATCTTTGCACGCCATCACAGAAAGAGACAGGCATGGGAAGTCATTGGCTTCAATGGGCTTCCCCTGCAACCTTGTGGGAGCTGGCGTATATGGACTGTACTTCGGATTGACAATCGACATGTTGTCTCTGCGTAGTTGACAGATTTTCTGATGTCCGTATTGATGGTTTTTATGCTCAAAGATTATATGATGCCGCCGGTTTTAGGCCATCTAGACGGTGGTTGTGTGTCCTCGTGCTAAATCTGAGCAGTATCCAGAGCACGGGCAATTGACCGGTGGGTACCTGCATCCTAAGACAACCAGATTCCCGAAGAAAAAAAAAAAAAAGTCTACTGCACAACTTACGAGTACACTTTCCGCTCTCCGTCTTCAGAATTATGTACGTAATAGGGTCAATGTTCATATCTCCGGATCAGAGCCCCTGGGAACCAAACTGTCACTAGCCAAGGCTAGTGGCGCATTTCGGATATGAAATGCGCAAAAACGAGATAAAGGGGCCAAGGTGTGATGAGGGATAGCTTCGAATCGACTTAAGAAGCTAAGCTTAGCCTGGTCCAAATTTGCCAAGTCTTCGCATCGAAGTCAAGGAATGATGTTATTTGAGCCAAGAGAGCGTCAATATGTACGAACCTACTCTTCCATACCGACTAATAATCTAGAGAGATGACCGGCGGGCTTATCAGCCAAAGGGTGTATCCTTGGTTGGCGGTTGGGGGCGGCAAGAGTGTGATTGGCGCAATGGTTTTTCCAGAGAGAAGTCCCCTTACTTTTCCTGCTGACTAGCTCCTGGACCAATGACTATTGGATGTTGCTCAATGTGACAAATAACCCAAGTCGAGAGCGGATGCGAGTAGGTCCAGGCATGCAAGCCGATAGAAATATGTTGCTGCCGGGAATTGTTTGAATGCTCGGAAGCCGCTGCGCTAGGGTATGTTGGCTCGATCAGTGTGCGAAAGGGGCGTCTTTCCGGTCATGGAGAAATCTTGGCCCTCTGTGAGGAGCAATACGGCAAAGGTCGTTGTAGAACCGGAGGCATGATCTGGAGGAGTCCTGTCGATATCCCACACGCCAAACCAAATTAGAGCAAGTCGTTCTACCTAGTGCCCCGGTCATCCTGTTACCGTGTTAGCGCTCAAACTCAATCCAAACCCCCAAAATGGGGAAATAACTGGCACGTGACATGGAAAATGTGGTTTGGTCGCTGCGTTCTTGGCCTTGCACTCCTAGGCTGCGAAAACTGACTTGACTGTGAAGGGAAAATAAAGATATGTTCGGGATTGACAGAGGGACTGCAGAAATATGGACATGACTAATCGTCTGGCCCCATGCTTCTGTGCAGGCCAATGTGTTTGCCGGAATCGCTCCCGGCCGCTGGACGCGAATGATGGTCCTCGATATGTACAGGCATCTTTCTAAGTGACGCCAACATCGGCTTCAAAAAAACACAAGGACCTTTGACTGGCGTGAAAATTGCAAGCATAGTCCTTGGCGACCTCCTCTGGGAATAACACAACTGACGAAAGCCATTACACTGCTATCTCGGCAAGTTCTGGCCTGGCATCTCATGGACAGGACCAGCTTTGCGGTTAATTTCTTCCAACTCTGATGGTTGAGGGTTCCGATCGGAATATTTATAGCTGACTTGTTGATATAGTCCCGTATTTCGGGGGACATTTTGATCTGGATATGCTTGAGACGGCCCCCAATTATTCTGGATTCCCTGATGGCGACGTGCTTTGATCAACAATGTCGCGTGTGCTATAATTGTCACAGCTGCCACGGCTGCTCCGACTCCTATTCCAGCCTTGGCGCCGGTTGACAGGCCGCTCGAGGGTCAAGGTGTGAAACCAGTATCGTCTGGGTTTGCCGTCGAAGTACTGGTCGGATCGGAGGTGGTGGTTGGAGCGATGGATGTCGTAGACGATGTGGAAGTCGAGGTGGAAGTTGATATGCCGCCGTTTGTTGAGACAATCGCACCAAGCCCATTAAGCACAATGCCATGATTTTCCGAACAGCACGGCGGGTCGTTATCGCAGCAAAAGCTTCCGTCGTCGCACTCGAGGTAGGTATCCAGTTCCAGGATCTATTGGACGCAATCAGCACAACTAGTTTCGAGGGAGTCGCTCTGCACAAGACTGACCATATTGGCAGATATTGGCGCAATTTGTCCAGGGAAAGACTGCACATGCAGGAACAATGATCTGGCTGTTCTGTAGACAGAATCGATTTGGATCGCACAAATCTGCTGTCTGACAGCAGACCTGGGAGCCTGGACATTGAGTGTTGTTTGAGAAAACCTGACCGGTCCAGCTATAACAGTCGATCTTCCCAGGGAATTCGTCGTCTTGAGCCATTGCAAGGCCCAAAATTGACCAGCTCAGGAGTAGACGATGCATACACCGTGTCATGATTCTATCCAGTGTGCACTAATGTCCAATGCTGTAAATAAGTGGAAGGGAGGGGGGGCGGATGTGCTGAGATTCACGCCCAAGTAGGTCGGTCGTATAAGGCATCAATGGCCGATACATGCCATCAATTGTATGGAAACAATAATGAAAAGTATGAGTTAAAGGGTAAATATTCTCGACTCTGTCAAAGACGTTGAATAGGCCTTTTTTCATAGGCAGTCCACCTGGTCATGTCATGGTCCTCTGGCAGTTGGGGGTATTAAGGAGGATCAAGGAGTGCCAAGGAATAGAAGGGCAGGAGTAATTCAGGGGACTCATTGGCGATAGTTTTCAAAACAGCGAGGCAGTGGAAACTTCTTGTACCATGTTACGCAATTATGCTAGTTAGGAGCCGAGGCAGCCGCTTGACGGACAATACCGGCCTTTATTGGGCCGTATCGGCCGGCTTGTTGAGAAATCAGCACACAACATACTTCCCAATATCGACGGCTCTTCGGGCTTTAATCTGCAATCATCATTGAGAATGGTTTGGAAGTTTTCTTCCTGCTCCTCAAGTCATGACATGCGCCGCCTGGCAGGCTCAGAGGCTGGTGTTACCAGAGCTTGCATGGAATCGGGCACAGAGCACCCACATCACCCTTGGGCCCCCATCTTGATTGGACCTCATCTATATCGACGTCGTTGTGCTATACGAGTATTCCACCTAGCCGTTACATGTTGAACGCGTTCTGGCACATCAATAATGACTGGCACCGTAGCGAAAATCCTGAGTACAATGAATGAAAACCGCTGTGGGGCTCTTTTATCTCCGTATGGGGAAGAACTTGGCAGTTCGGATACTGGCGTGTCCCCAGTCTTGGGGGTCGGGTCTTGGTTGGGGTCGCCTAAAGCGCTTCGCCAGAGCTTCACCTAAGGGTGGCCGAGCTACCCCAGAACTAAACTCTAAAGTTCTCTTTGCAGTGACCGAAAACTTTTCGCTCTCAACATGTCAGTCCCATACCATACTCTTTTACCATGCCGACATACCTTCCGGTATCACTGACCGCCAGGTATCGTTCTATCCTGGTCGCTGGCATTGCCGTGGCCCTCCTCTTCTCCTTTTGGGCCTGGCAACGGCCAGCCACGGCCTCTAATAACCCCATCCAGCCGCCAGGAACCCCCAACGATGACCAATCCGCCCATTCCTATTATGCCTCCGCGGTTGAGGTCGCCAATTCTATGCGGGCAAACCCTCTCGACAAATCCGAGTTTGGGCAGATGGGAAAGAGACTACAGGTAGTAAAAGAATGGATTCAATATAGTGAGACTACACCTTTGGCACCAAACGAGAGGGAAAACTGGTCCCAATTGATTGAAAGTGTGACCGCAATGCTTGTTCCATTTATCCAACGGCCCGGATCGCGCGACGGCAAGCCCGTAGAAAGATTGCGCACCAGCTTTGTTCCGGGCTCCAAAGGTCTGGTCATCACCACGGGAAAGAAACGTTTCCGCTATGCGTGCCACCTCATTACCAATATACGCCAGGTGTTGGGTTCTCAATTGCCCATTCAAATTGCCTACTCTGGAGACGAAGACCTTCCCAAGAATTTCCGAGATTTTGTTACTTCTGTCGAACCGGATGTGTCAACTTTTGACGTGACTTCTGTCTTCGATGACCAGACGTTAGACCTACCCCACGGCGGGTGGGCTGTGAAAGCTTTCGCCATACTGGGAAGTACGTTTGAGCAGGTGATGCTGCTCGATGCGGACGATGTCTTCCTCCAACGACCAGATGTCATCTTTAATGAGCATCCAAAGTATCTCGAAAGGGGCAATCTTTTGTTCCACGACAGACTCCTCTGGCAGGGTGCTTTCAAGGAACGACATGCGTGGTGGGAGAAAGAACTCGCCCATACAGAGCTCAGCGATACCATCAGGCAGTCCAAAGTCTACATGGAAGGTTATGCAGAGGAGGGTGACTCCGGCGTTGTAGCGGTTGATAAATCTCGTTTGGATGTCTTTATTGGTCTGCTCCACATTGGTTGGCAGAATACGAAAGAGGTCCGCGACGCGTTTACCTATAGACAGGGATATGGCGACAAGGAGAGTTGGTGGTTTGGTTTTGAACTCACTGGTACTCCTTATTCCATGGAACAACACTACGCAGCGATCGCCGGCCATGTCAAAATAAATAAAAATGGTTCCCCTGAAAACAGGGTCTGCAGCTTCACCATTGCTCATGTCGACCACAAGACTAAGCTACTTTGGTTCAACGGTAGCCTCCTCAAGAACAAGGAAGTCGACTCGGTCGATTTCGATGTTGCCACAGAATGGATGATTGACGGTACATGGGAGAAAGGCGCCACCAAGCAGGACATGAGTTGCATGAGTGGTGCGCAGGTTCAACCCATTGACGAGAATACTGTCAAAATCCTCCGGGACTCGGTTGAACTGGCCCAAAAGATGGACGACAATCTTCGCGAACATATTCCCGAGGCTGTTCCTTGAAGGGAGATTAGTATCTCCTCGTTCCGGTCAGAACCCAAACAGGTGGTCTACACAACCTTTCAACAGCATTACCCGTGAAATATTCCACCGTCGCGACTGAGTGTGGCCAAGTGCAAACTTTTTGGACCGAACTGTAAATGGTTCTTTACCAACCGACGTGTGGGCCACATGGGTAAACAGTCAGGGGCTGAAAGACAAGCCTGACCAGACAGAGCAATCCAACCCCATCGAAAGTTGCTCAGAGGCTGAATGCTCTCTAAGTGTTGTCATTTCCGAACAGTTCGGAAGAGACAAATAATGCAACCGTCCGGTGCAGACAGTGGAAAATTCCGTCGATTGCTTCGGTATGGGCTTTAGGGTCTTGAGGGATTCTGGTGTTTGACGTGTTGATAAGTGATATGGTGATGGCATTAATAAAAAGGATGTGGGGACCGACGGTGATAACAAAGACGTTCACGCAACGTTGATCAACAAACTTGCCGTACTGTGGATTGCCTTGTTACGATATGGAGTATCTTATTCCTCTAAATGGGACAAGGGCAACCCTCATACGATAGCATTCTAATTATAGGACAAACACTCTAGTTCTGAGATATAACCTATAATGTTCCCCTCGACATGTTAGCTAAACTCCTATTACTCTCCATTTTCCCTGCCTCGACCAACAACATGGGCCTGTCCTAGTGATTCCCCTTCGGCGTCAGGGGCAGTCAAGCCTTGTCTTGGCGACGGGCCCCTAGTGTGTATCTTATGGCAGCGATTCAAGTGCATTTCTTCAATATTTACTCTTTTAGTTCCTTCTTGTGTTGCGCAGTGATCTGCTACAAGCGATCACTGTGACTGTGGTCATGACAGGTCGCACATATCGCTGCCCTGTACAGTTACTGCAGCGATGGAGATAAAATTCTTCATCACAACACAAACTGTGCCTCCGTTCTTCCACCTTCGCACTCCCCTTCAACGATCAAATGGACAGCGAAAAATCAACTGTCGACGCTTCCTCGGATCCTTTGCTTTTGAGGAAAATCGATACGCGGCATCACATCCCCTTCTCGACTAAAATGAAGCGGGGATGTGAGGATATGGTTGATCGATTCGATATATATCGAGAGCGCAAGAGATTCACGAATCCTGCGCAATGGTACCGTTTTCCACCTATTGAAGCAGGAGTACAGAGACCATTCGAGAAGATTTGCCTTGGAAAGCTACCCGTAGAGCTTAGACGACTGGTTTATGAGTTTTTCTTGAGTCGTGACGCTCTGGAAAGGAACAATTTCAACATTACCGTTGCGGAAAGCTCTCATGATAGGTCCAAGCATGGCATCCCAGGGTCGGTCACAAGAATCCGACCACTTCTCCGCCTGCGGACAGATGCAAAGCGAGAGTATTGAGTACCTCATGAGGCAAGGATTTACCGGTGAAGGTTCAAAAACCGTCCTTGGGTTGCCGAAAGCTCTGAGAACGTCAGCAATGAGAGGGACCACCTCGCCCAAGCTCAATACGCACTTCGATAAAAATCGACATGAAGGCTGGTCCCCGAAGTTGTCGTCTCTCCTTTGCGACTCACATGTCAATCCTGGTCAGATTCCAGCTCATCGGCAGCTATCAGCCAGATACGATCACGTATCCTCATCATAAGGCCAAGGACCTGGTGACCAGCAATCACCACCAGTAGAAGGCATGTTCTTTGATGAGTTGTGGGGCGTTTCTAGTGCTGGACTGGGAGGGATATACTACTGAGAAGGAGAGACAAGCTCTGCAGACACGCTTCATTCCTGTCGATGGCTTGGTAAACATGTGTCGAAAGAGAATGAATAGCGCATTGGAACGTCATGCACAGGGAAGATCTCAGAATCATGTTGTCTCCATTCGTGGCCGGGGTCGTGGTCGAGGGCATGGGAACTGCTGTGACGGTTATCATCGTTATGGTGCTTATGACTCCACGTGAATTGCCTTGACAAAGAATAGAGACATGATCAGTCAGGATGGGCGAACTTGAGTGGTATTCTAATGCGTGCTCGAAGGAATTGAAGTCAAGGGAGCCAAGCTCATACCGGGAAGTTGTCTTGATTGATTTGGGGGAAGGACAAACCATGTGACAAGAATCCAATCACATGTCTGTTAGAGGGAAACATTTTGTCCTGCCAATGTTCCTGGACCAAACTAGCACATCATGATCTGGCTATCACCTTCCCTCAAGATCTGTTGGCAGCAAGGCTGCGCAAAATGGCACATACTACGTGACTCCGCAAATGGTTTGTTCTGATTGGTTGGAAAACTGATACCTCATTTACGACGGCTACACCGTATTTACCACCTCGATAACACCACTATGACGAGGCCTCTGGCATCGGATGACTTCGGAGTTGCATTCAAGAGCCGTCGGGGAGCATTCATGTTACGAGAGGAAAAACCTGCAACGGGAACAATGAGCCAAGTGGGGCATGTTCAGCTTGGGAATGAGGAGCCTCAAGAGAGCATTTTTGGCAAACCGAAATTGGCTACTGCTGACTCATGGTCTTTCTCCAGACCCAAATGCGGTGATTCCATGCGCGTGGTGCTACAAGAATGCGAAAGGCTTCAGGTTGCTAATCATTTCGTAACATGACAGCCTCGTGTCCGGAACCGTTTTTGGGGGGGGAGGAAGAAGAAAAACAGTTACATTCGTGTTTGAAGCATACGGGAATAAAGGGAGGTGGTACGGGTGTGTTATGTTGTTGTAGTGGTGGGAAGAGAATGTATAAGCCAACTAGAAACCGTCTGTCAGGGAGGGGGGGGGGCCCCAGCAGACAGTTATATTATGTTTCGTAAACGAATGTAGTTTAGCATAAGCCAGACCCGTTGGCAGAAATCTACAGTCACATGAGAACACGTGATGGGACTTTGTGAGGCTTTCTTTACCCGACTTTGCATGGTCTGGGGAAATCTGGATTCAGCAATATCGTTGATGAATACGCTCTATATGTAAGCCATCCCACGAATGGCCTTTTGCTAAATATCCGTTTGAGAGTTTCGGCACCAGAAGGGAAACAAATGCCATGGACGGGAAGGTTTCTCCACTCCAAGTTGTGCAAGGTGCATAAGAAGGAACAACTCGGAGGTCGGAGCGGATCGAAGCCAAGAGTCTCGGAAGAGGAAATGCTGACATCCAGCGACCGGGCAAAGAGACCCCGCGCAACTTGAGCCCGCTAGTAGTCGGTTAGACGATTTTGTTCCCGGCCGACCCCTGCTCTTCCGCTTTCACAGACCCGTCCATCTCGTATACTATCCCCATCGGTGCCCCTCTCCCGCCTTGACTTCGTTCTTTCCTTCCCCCTTACCAATCCACGGCCATGACCTCCCATCTTAACTCTTTTGCAGCCTTCTTTGATCTGTCCACCAGGCTGGCCAACACCTATGCTCAGATAAAAGAAAACCCCAGTCAAAATGTCGACTTCGTTGGTTGGCAACATCACCACAAACAATGATCGGACCCGCAGAATGTCTGGAGCTTCTCCGCAATCTCCAGTCGATGACTATCCTCACTTGGACAGATCCATGCTGCAAAGCGGCGGCGGCGCAGTAGTGGAGGACGGCCAGGATGAGAACAGGGAAATCCAAAGACTTGCTCGTCAATATTCCCGCGCCTCAACTTCAGAAGAAGGTTTTCATCCTTTCGAGGCTGCAGGAGCCGACTCCGAGGTCGATCCAAATTCGGACAACTTCAATGGTAGAGCCTGGACCAAAGCCATGCTGCGGCTGCAGAAGCAGTCGGGCCAGGATAATGTGGGACGAAAAGCAGGCTTCGCCTTTCGAAATCTTTCCGCTTTCGGATACACCAAGGGAAGCGACTTCCAGAAGACCGTCGACAACTATCTTTTGGCCGCCGTGGATGTTGTGAGAGGCTTCCTTGGCAACAAAGGACGTCGCGTCGATATCTTGCGAAATTTTGAGGGTGTTGTGCAACCGGGAGAAATGCTAGTGGTCCTCGGACCTCCTGGATCGGGCTGTTCGACCTTTTTGAAAACAGTCGCCGGTGAAACGCACGGCTTTAACCTGGGTGAGAATTCTTACATTAATTATCAAGGTATGTCACTCTCCGCTTTGATTGGGGCCACGTTCGCACTGACACCACCCACTTTCAGGCATCAGTTTCGAACAAATGCACCAGGATTTCCGAGGTGAAGCTATCTACACGGCCGAACAGGACATTCATTTTCCCCAACTGATGGTGGGAGACACCCTCCTCTTCGCCTCACGAGCAAGGACACCACAAAATCTCAAATTGCCTCACGGTATCACCAAACAGATGTACGCCACACATTTGCGTGATGTGGTCATGGCCACGTTTGGCATTAGACACACCATCAACACCAAAGTCGGAAATGACTTCGTCCGCGGTGCGAGCGGTGGTGAAAGAAAGCGAGTCTCGATCGCGGAAGCCGCCCTCAGTAATGCGCCGCTGCAGTGTTGGGATAATAGCACCCGAGGGCTTGATTCAGCCAACGCAATTGAGTTCTGCAGAACCCTTCGGACTTCCACGGATCTGAACGAGACTACCGCAGCGGTCGCCATCTATCAAGCACCACAATCTGCCTACGACTTTTTCGACAAGGTTATCGTACTGTATCAGGGACGCCAAATCTTCTTTGGCCGGACCACCGAAGCCCAGCGCTACTTTGAAAACATGGGATTTGAATGTGCCAAACGCCAGACGGTGCCTGACTTCCTCACGTCGATGACCAACCCCATTGAACGTATCGTCAAGAAAGGCTACGAATCACAAGTCCCTCGCACTCCAGATGAGTTTGTGGAACGGTGGGAGAAAAGTGAAGAGCGCCAAAGAATGTTGCAGGAGCTTGAGAAGTTTGAGACCACTAATCCCATCGGCGGAGCCAACCTTCAAGCTTTCCTACAGTCTCGTCGCATCCAACAATCAAAAGCCCAACGCAAGTCGTCTCCCTACACTTTATCCTACGGAGATCAAATTTTATTGTGCCTGTGGCGAAGCTACAAGAGATTGATGGATGATCCCTCTATCACGGCCACTCAACTGTTCGGCAATTGTGTCAACGCCCTTGTGGTATCTTCACTTTTCTACAATTTACCAGGAAATAGCGATTCGCTACGAGCTCGGAGCTCGCTCATTTTCTTTGCCGTCCTACTCAATGCATTCGGCAGCGCCCTGGAGATCTTGACGCTGTACGCACAACGACCGATCGTCGAGAAGCACACGCGCTACGCACTCTATCATCCTTCTGCAGAGGCGTTTGCGTCCATGCTAATGGATATACCGGCCAAGACTCTGAATGCCATAGGATTTAACCTCATTCTCTACTTTATGACCAATCTACGGCGAACACCGGGTGCTTTTTTCTTCTTCTTGTTCACATCTTACGTCCTCACGCTCACCATGAGCATGCTGTTTCGAGTGATCGCATCAGTTTCGCGGACCCTGATCCAAGCCTTGGTTCCGACAGCTGTCCTAATGATTGCCATTGTTGTTTATACGGGTGAGTTCTCTATATGTGTCAACGGCTTAGTTGGACCGGGCCGCCTGTCTCGTCTTCCAACTGTGCCGGCTCCCGGGGAATTATGACTAACCCACTCATTTTAGGCTTTGTGATACCTGTCGATTACATGCTTGGCTGGGCGTCGTGGATTAGATGGCTTAATCCCACCGCCTATGGCTTTGAGAGTCTTATGGTCAACGAGTTCCACAACCAGCGGTACGATTGTTCAACTTTTATCCCCCCGGCACCCCAATTCGGGGACGGGACAACACTATCGCAAACTTGTACCGTGGTTGGTTCTGTTGCTGGCGAAACCACTGTCGATGGGGATGCCTATATCAACTCCTCCTACAAATATTATGCCGCACACAAGTGGAGAAATATAGGGATTCTCTTCGTTTTTATGATCGGGCTTCTTGTCATGTACCTAGCCGCCACCGAGACGGTCTCAGCCAAAAAGTCCAAGGGCGAGATTTTGTTGTTCCGCAGAGGCTACAAACCAAAATTCTTGAAAGAGAAAACGGACGATACCGAATCTGGAATATCTGATCAAGCTGTCGCCCTCGAGAGAAAACAGACAAAAGATGAGGAGTTGGCTCGGCAGGTTAGTGCTGTGATTCAGAAACAGACAGCCATCTTCCAATGGAAGAATGTCTGTTACGATATCAAGATCAAGGGCCAGCCTCGCCGAATTCTCGACCATGTCGATGGGTGGGTGAAGCCTGGAACAATGACTGCGCTTATGGCATGCTTAATCCTATCACGATCTGAAGTTAATGAGCTGACGATGGTCCTAGGGCGTTTCTGGTGCCGGTAAGACTACTCTACTTGACTGTCTGGCCACGCGAGTGACCATGGGTGTTATCACCGGCGAGATGCTGGTCGACGGAAAGAAACGAGATGGGTCCTTCCAAAGAAAAACTGGTTATGTACAGCAACAAGATTTACATCTTGAAACGACGACTGTGAGAGAGGCATTACGCTTTAGTGCTTTGTTGAGACAGCCGAGAGACACACCTCGAGCAGAAAAGATTGCATATGTTGAAGAGGTCATTAGGCTGTTGGATATGCAAGAATATGCCGACGCAGTGGTCGGTGTTCCTGGAGAAGGTTGGTCGCCTTTCTGTGTCCTCTACTCACATGGTTCTCGGCAGTATTAACCAACTCGCCTATCCCGACAGGTCTTAATGTGGAGCAACGAAAACGCTTAACTATTGGTGTCGAGCTTGCTGCGAAACCACAGCTACTCCTGTTTCTCGACGAACCCACTTCTGGGCTCGACTCCCAAACTTCCTGGTCTATTCTGAACCTTCTGGAAAAGCTCACAAATGCTGGCCAGGCGATTCTTTGCACTATTCATCAACCATCGGCAATCCTATTTCAGAGATTTGACCGGCTACTCTTCCTCGCGGAAGGTGGCAAAACAGTGTACTTCGGCCCCGTGGGCAAAGACTCGAACATATTGATCGACTATTTCCAAAGAAACGGGGCCCCACAATGCCCTCCTGGTGCAAACCCAGCTGAATATATGCTCGAAGCAATTGGAGCCGCTCCTGGGTCCCATTCGGATATTGACTGGTTTCAAGTCTGGCGGAACTCGCCAGAATATCACCAGGTACACCGGGAACTGGAAGAGATGAAGATGGAAAGATCCCAGATAGAGTCGCCAGTCACCACCAGCAAGGCCGACTATTACGAATTTGCCGCGCCTTTTATCGTCCAATTTTACGAAACACAAATGCGAATCCTTCAACAGTATTGGCGAACACCGGTGTACATCTACTCCAAACTACTGTTGTGCTGTCTAACGGTAAGTCCTGACTTGGCCTAAACATTTTTAAAAGATTGCTGACAATACTCTTAGGGTCTTTTTATCGGGTTCTCGCTTTTCAAAGCGCCGAACACACAGCAGGGTCTCAACAACCAACTCTTTGGCATCTTCATGCTCCTTGTCCTCTTTTCACAACTCGTTCAACAGATCATGCCCCTTTTTGTCACTCAGCGTAGCCTTTACGAGGCCCGAGAACGTCCCTCGAAGACCTACTCCTGGAAAGCGTTTATGCTATCGAATATCCTCGTGGAGTTTCCCTGGGCAACCCTAAGTGCAGTAGTATTGTTCTTCTGCTGGTATTACCCTATCGGTCTTTATCAAAATGCCACCTACACCGACGCAGTGTCTTCGCGCGGAGCACTGGAATTCCTGTTCGTGTGGGAATTCATCCTGTTTAGCAGTACGTTTGCCCATATGATAATCGCAGGTATTGCGACGGCTGAAGCAGCGGGAAATCTTGCCAACGTCCTATTTTCTCTCTGCTTGCTATTCAATGGTGTCTTGGTAGGACCAAACGCTATGCCTGGCTTCTGGATTTTTATGTACCGGGTCTCACCGTTCACCTATCTTGTGGAAGGACTACTTGGCAACGGTGTGGCCCACGCGCCTGTCACGTGTGCTGACAATGAATTCTTACGCTTTAACGCGCCGGCAGGATCGACATGTGGCGAATACCTTCAGCCGTACATCTCAGCGGCTGGTGGGTATCTGGTTAATGCGAATGCTACGAACTGTGAGTTCTGCTCACTGGATAGCACGAACACCTTTTTGTCGTCAGCGAACATCTCATTTTCACACAGATGGAGAGATTTTGGAATTTTATTCGTCTACATTGGTTTCAACATTTTTGCCGCCGTGGCAATTTACTGGCTGGCAAGGATGCCGAAAGGGAAGAAGTATCAAGGAAAGGAAGGTGATGGAGCCCTTGCGTTGGTAAAGACAGAGAGTCGCGCAGACGGCATGGAGCAGCATGTTCATGATGATCCGGAGAAAGGAGGGGTGTTAGTAGATTCCGAAAAAGATCGAGCTGTTGAAGATTCGGACCAGGAGGAGAATCATGGCAATGGAGTAAATGAAGAGATTTCTGCAATTGAAAAGAAGGATGAGGTTGAAGCAACGGCAACGGAGAGACCTGGACCACAGAAATAAGGGGGGGTATTGATTTTCTTAGAGAAAGTGTATCAACACAGCGTCGCAGCGAGCTGTTCTGAAGGTATATTGGGTGTGGTTACTTGGAAGATAAGAGCTTCATTTCCCGGGGATTCTGTGTGTGAGGAAAACGGAGGGTCTTGCTTGACTCTGACATAGACACATATTTCTCCTCAACCATATCCCGTTGGCGGCACGGAATTGGACATCGTCTGCTGCTTGTTGTATAAACCCTTAGATTCTTTGTCTCGTTGGAGTCGGAATGCCGCGACTGTAGCAATGACCGGATAGCCAATGGCCGTATAGTCTGGAAGAGTTTCTGAGACAAATGGCAAATCTTGCGCGAACTCCCTAAATTAGTAAATAGTGAACAAATACTGGAGTCACTTGTGAAAATAATGGAATGGAAGCGCCTCGTACGCGCGTACTCTCGTATTTCCGTCTGCAAGTCGAGGCTTCGAGAGCACTTACGAGGCTGACCAATAAGCGCACGACCCATGTTCTCAAAGTTCCTCTATACGCATGAATGGGCTGGTCCAAGGCAACTTCAACTTTATATACGCAAACGAATTCGAAACTCGCCCTCGACCTGTCCCCAAGCCCGATCCTCGCCCTGTCGAGTCTACCTAACGTTGCTTGCGCGCTTGTCCACCCTCCCTCCAGTCTCTCGCTTTCACTCACAATCTACCCATCGGCCAAGCTCGTCTCCCCCTTCCCTCGCATCGCCTCACCAACTGAAAACAACGGGTAAAATGATAACAGACAACCAACTTTACTCCTTAGCCATTTTCCTCGGCAGCGCCGCTATGCTGATGATTGTCCTGTATCACTTCCTCGAAGTCAATGCGCAGGAAGGAGAGGATGCGGACGTTGGGGGACTGCAAAGTGAGAAAATCACGAGTACTGGTACTGGAAAACAAGTAGCTGCTGGGGTTGGCAGTAGTTGAGGTGCATAGGAGAAGAGATGAAAAGATGAGTGGTGTGCAAATGTCTGTAGAGTTCAAACTTCTGGCAGAGAAACATGCTCAACACATAAAGAAGAAAAGGGGGGAGGGAAAAATACTTAGGAAGTTCAGAGATGAGTTTGGAGGGTTGACTTGTCATTGTTATCCAAGGTGAAATGAGTTGCTGGGGGCCAGGCTCATTCTCGGGATTCTATGACGAGTGGTTGAGTGTATACTACAAACGAGGCAGGCATTAGGGAATCAGGGATGAATGGAACCTAGGGACAGTGTGAGAAGATGGCGGAAATACTGACGTGCTGGCCAACCTTTGGGCGGAAGAAATTCGAACAGGGGATCAAAACTCGAAATTATTTATTCATCCTGCGACAGAGCAAGATGTAAGCTGCGTGGCTATCAGAGTGGCACTGAAGCCTTGTTGCTGTCTGGCTTCTCTTGTTATCAGCGCATCTTTGCCATTCTTCCGCGTTCTGCATGTTGACCAGGTCACTGTACCGCCTTGCCTTCGGTGCTTTGTATCTCCTCAATAATTGGCATCGACAACTCTGGCGATCCCCGGGTTCTGAAGCAACGTTGCTCTTCTAGCTTCGTTGACCAGGATACATCCACCTCGATCAATGCCGGGTCCAACTTTGGCCTTCCATGCTACCATTGCTCGTAGTGTCTCTTCTGCAACAGCCTTGGGAGTGCTCTTCTCTTGACGATGTGTCTTCATGAAACTGTGCTGGGCTTGTGCTTCAGCATCGTCGTGGTCGGCTTTGAGGAGGGTCATAGTATCCGGTTCAAAGTCTTCCGAAAAGTGTAGCGGAATTACTGGGGTTGTAACTCGTTCATTTTCGTCAGAGAGGTATCGGGCTCTGTCCCGGAGGATCGTCTGGGGATCTAAGTAAGAAAACGTTCTAGCCTTCTGTCTCGGTGCAGGATGGTAACGACATCTAGAGACATCAAAAGATGACACTCTTTGCTTACCGATATGCGTTGTCGATGGCCCGTCTCCATACTTTAGTGCAATTTGATACAGGTGGTCCTTCTCAATATGATGGAGCCACCCCTCAACACTGGAGAATGTCTTTTCGGGACGAATTGCGCCTTCTTTGTCCTCTTGCAAGTACTGGCACTTCTTCCACCAGCAAACGAAGCCCAACACTTTGATCTCGTCTTTTGATGGACGGTGGACTTTTGATACGTGTTGCCGTAGTGTCGCCAAGTTGTGCAAGTGTGCTTTGCAACCTTTCCAACGACATCTGAAGATGGGGAAATTTGGGGTCGGAGGTGAAGGCGCAATGACTGAAGCATTAGGAGCAAGCTCGGCGTGTTGCAATTCACCGACAAGTTCCGCATTGTACTTTCGGGGAGGGCGTCCTCGTCGTTTTCCACGAGGGAAAAAGGAGTCGCTACTCATCTTCTTGGGTTCGATGGAGGATCTCAATTGAGTGGAGGTAGATCGAGTGGGCCGCCCGGCAAAGCGAAAGAAGAGACTCTTTGGCGGAGATGAGGTTTGCCTGCCGCTTGTAGGGTATCGCTGAGATTACAGTTGCCTCAACTCTGGCGACTTGGGGCTGCGGAATTTGAGGCGAGCTCAGGTTACCACCACGGAAGGGCAGATATTTGTACAAAGCAGCCTGCCTCCATTGGAGGTTGCGAACGCGGCGGGCGCGGAGTACGGGTGCACGTGACAAATCCGACTTGTCCAAACCTGGCAAGCTTGTGTTTCCTGACGCTCCAGGCTGTTGATAAACCGTTGGCAGCATCAGGCCCAGTGCGTCGTCTGACCTGTTGTCCAAATCGATATCGAGGAGGTCCGGCTGGAACGTCAACGAAAGTCACTTGAGGTACTGGCGGTCCTCGGGGTCTACGGCGTCCCAACCAAATGTACCCAGATCAGAGTTAGGTCAAAGTGTTGTCCAAGATGGCCAGCCAGATGTCTACCAGCAGCAATCAGAATGTCACGAGTCACAGTCTTGGGATTGTAGCAGTCTTGAGAAGCGTCTCGTTCTTGTTGGTGGGATTCGCAAGGATCTTAGTCGCTCGTGGTTGTAACGGGTCAGAGCGCGGCGCTGGTGCCGAATCGACAGCAGGCACTAGACGCTGTAGTGGAAACCGAGTCTGATGGACGGGGTCGGACTCAAAGGGAATACTAGGTTGAAAAGGAGGGCGGGTGACGGGAGTTTGTAGGGCAGACATTTGAGGAGAGGATGAATGTAAAAGCGCCATAGGAGCAGGGGAGCCTTGACAGGTATTTCGCATATCATCCTAAAGCCTTTGGAAAGCGTCGGATCCTTGTTGCGAAATTCTCTCATCTTGTCCATCATTGCTTTCATTTCGCCGGGGATGTCTGCCTCTGTTGTTGAGCCATTCTACGAGGTTGAGCCGGATCAGGAGTAATTCCGTTAAAAGGTCGTCTTTCAGACGTAGTCGTTCGTTTTGGTGAGTCAGAAGTTCTTTTTGCTGACTTTGCTCGTTTCTTTGCTTTTGATTTTGGTGCAGCAGACTCCTCTGCCTTCCTCTATGCCTCTGCTTTGGCTTCCCTCTGTCTTTCATGCTCCCGATGAAAGGGGTTCAAGACCCGAAAAGGATCGACATAATTTGGCGTTGCGTTCTGAGGTTCAGTTGGTGCAAAATCCCCCATTGAGCGGTGTCCTCTGTCGTCTGAGTCACAAGATTTGAAATGCTGTTAACAGGCTGGACCTATTGCGCTTGAGGTGGAGTCACTCTCGATTGTGGATTCTCGACTAGGAGCACATTTATGCCGTCCAGAATTCCCATTTTGGGTCCGCTGCTAGCTCGTCGTTGGAATAGGGTTAGTTGTCCTGTACAGGGTTAGGGATGAGGGGCATCTCTATGTCTTCGTCGACTGAGTATATCGTGAAGCCGATCTTTGAGGCACGGTTGCTTCCACTGAACTAACATTCTGCAGTGACAACGACGCTGATGACTGCCCCACGCCTGAGGATTATTGGAAGCAACTACCAAGAGCACCTGTGAGAGCAGCGGCGGCAGCTGACATAGTAGCTTGTTGATCGGATGCAGGTGCAGACTCATTTTGGTGAGAATAACTCATCAATTGATTTGTCCCATACCGTGACGGACCCTGTGTGACAGGGAGAAGAACAGGATTGGGCGTCTTCGTGTTGGTTGTGGAATGGTAATTTGAGGTAGAAGATACGCTTGATTCTGTGCGCTAGGACCCTGTGAGTTTAACGATGTGTCCTCCAATTCCGGGGCATAAACCAAATTGTTCAGCCGCTGAGTATGCTGGTTCGTTGAGCTCGATGAATGAGAGTCGTAACAGTCATGTGAGGTGCTCACCGACGCTGCTTATGCCGCACAATTACTAGCTTATCTCTGCCCATAGTATGGCGCTTTCTGAACATCTGTATCATTGCAAGACTCGTTGGCATATCCCTGCTGGTGCGAACTGTGAAGTTCTGTTGATTCTGGTCGGACCAGTACCCCGAGGATCCTATCGGGACTGTCGAATATTGTTCGAGTTCGATTATCTCCCGATATTGTACGAGTGACTCACATTCTGTTCTTGGTTCGGGATATCGTAGTATTCTGTGGAACTTGAAAGTGGCGGTACAACATTTCATTCAGAGCCGCGCCTCTAAGCATAGTCCTGCCGAATGAAGGACATGGCTTTGCCGTATTCAATTCCCCTCGTCCAACTCGTTATTCGAGAGATCCCAGCCAGGTTCCAGGTTCGCGCCTGGTGAAGAAGAGATGAGCAGGGATATGGGATCTGATGGTCATCATTTTTGTCGCCGTATCTAGAGTTGCGACGGAGGTCACTTTCGATGACGGAACGATGTGGCCAAGCACGGGCACTGGTTGCTCCGCCGCAATCCTTGGCGCCGCACTTTTCGCAAAATCCATCCAGCCTTGAACTTTTATGAATATCCCGATTATTGTCGACACCCATTCATCTCACGCCAAACCGCAGCGATGACGAAAATGAATGCCGGTGAGCATACCTGTGGTAACATCGGATAGAAGAATTAAATTGACTGGTTCCCCAGGACTGGCCTCGTCGAGGCGCAAGTCTCGCAAGTTGCACTTTGGCGCTCCTTCAAGCATCCGACGAACAATCATGAGTGCTCCCCTGAGCAAGGAATTGAGAGAAAAGCACAATGTACGAAGAAACTCCCCCAGCCCCATCTACATGGTGACCACAGCGGCGGGTGAGATTTGAGATTGCTGAACCTAACGCGACCTCCGCCACTCCAGGTTCGCAGCATTCCCATCCGGAAAGATGACGAAGTTACCATCGTCCGAGGCTCCAACAAGGGCCGTGAAGGCAAAGTCACGTCCGTCTACCGATTGAAATACCTGATTCACATTGAGCGAGTTTCCCGCGAAAAGTCCAACGGCCAATCCGTACCCATTGGCATTCATCCCAGCAAAGTTGTCATCACCAGACTCAAGCTTGACAAGGATCGAGAAAAGATCTTGGAGAGGATCGGAAAGGGTCGGGAAGCTGTCAAGTCTTAGGGGATCAGCTGAGCAGTGGTGAGCAAAGAGAAGAAAACGGAACCAAAAAACATTTGGCAATGGTGAGGATTGAGCATTTTCAAAATGGTTTCAAGGAATGAACGGGAGGTGCACAACTACCAACATGATTGATAGAGCGGCGTCCTACATACCCGACGTGGCATCTCAATCTTGTCTCAAATGAAAGCAAAATCGAACTTCAGAAGAATTGTTCTCGCGGAAAGACCCTTGAAAGCGTTTCACCGAAACAACCCACCACGTGACTCACGAATGTCTTTTACTCCTGGGTTTGTTGCCAGTATTATCTCCTTGCCTACCCATTCTTCTCGTGGTTGTACAAGGTATACGGCTGGCGCATATTGAATTGCCTCATGATTCAGAAGGGCTTGCTTCCTTCGGGAACAGTTCTCAAGCATGGCTCGCCGGCAGACTGTCTTCAAGGACACGATCCAATGAGTCGCAGGATTTGATGGCGAGATACATATGCACGATGTTGCCCCCGATGTGATATTTGAGGCTTTATGAACACTGACACCTACAACACTTCGCTCAAGCTTTATGCTCCTATCATTCACTGCCTCCACCTGCAGCTCCAGAGGCCCTTTTCCAATCTCCCGCTCAGAACTGTTTTTCGGCAACTCCACCCGTAGCGTTCATCGTCCCGCGATCACTCTGCCATGCCTGGTTCGCGATATCAATGCCTGTAACCCTGGAGATGTACCTTTGAAGACCCTCGTCGCCCTCCTTGTGCTCTGCGTGTCCTTTATGAATCTTTTGCAGACTGTCTCGCATGAGGAACTCGTAGTAACCGGTAGCAAGCAGAGTAGCAGGTACGTTGACCAAAATTGAGATCCAAGAATACGAGCTCGAGAACGTAAAGGCCTCCTTGCCGAAGAAGATGGCTGCCACAATACGCGTGCCCAAGTCCCTCGCCAAGTTGGTGGAGATCGTATTTCCGGCAAAACCCCAGACCATGACAGCGTAAGCAATACCGATGACAAATGGTGCGGTTGGCGGGCTAACGAAGGGATTTGCCGGGTCCAAGCAAGCCCAGATCACAATGCCGATGTAGCTGTCAACAAAAAATTCCTGGAAGAAAAGGTATCCCTGATTTGTCTGGTCTGGGTTGGGGAAGGAACAAAGGATACTGGCAACTCCACCATTGTAAACTGCAGTGCCATGTTCCCTAATATCGATTGCCTTGGCGGCTCGGATTTCGGGCCAGTAGCATGCCATAAGCATCAAGCCAGCCATGAAGGCGCCAAAGATTTGGGCAAAGACGTAGTGAGGTACTTTCTTCCAGGGGAATCCCTCCCAGATGGCGAAACAGAGTGTTATGGCTGGATTGAAGTGCCCGCCGGACGTGGGAGCACAAGTGATGATCGCGAACGCGATGCCAATGGCAAACGCCCAACCGATTTGGAAGAGGGAGCCAAAAACGTCAATTCCAATCTGTCCAGCGACTGGGTTGGTCGTGGCCAGAGTGAATGAAGCAACGGAGGCGATTCCGGGAAAGACGTAGAAGAACACGCCAGTGGCTTCAGCCATCATCTCACGGAGAATTCGCGGACGTTTTTGCTCAAAGTTGAGCTTTCGCTGGGAAACAGGTTTAGGCGGGACAACATGTCGAGAGATGTGGCGTTGGAGCACGTCTGACATACCGAGTTCAATGTCGTTCGTGTGCTGCCGCGCCATGTCCGAGTGACCTTTTCGTTCAGCCATGATGCCGTTTTCTTCTATTTCCTGTAGATCATTCGAGTTGGGAAAGTATTGGGAAGATCAGGGAGGTTCAGGTGATCTGGGGCATAGGGGAATCTTGGAGGGAAAATGGTTGAAAAAATAATCACAAAATCCTGGGGCGAGAGACATACATGTACCTCGCGGGATATGTCTCTCGTTTCGGTGGGCCCATGTTAATGGAACCCAACTTGATTGCTAAGGAGTATTCCGGACGCACCGCATGAGCATAAAACTGGAGTTATCGTCCCTTCGGCTATAACCAAAAGCCGCGACTGGATGGGAGGGGCTTTGTACGGGGCCAATATGCATTGACGGCACGCCCATGCAAGGGAGTGATGTGTCGTCGTAGCTGTTGACAAGTGTTGAGCAGGAGTTTCGGCCGCCATCATGAAACAAAAGGATATCCGGCACATCAGGCGTGGCATTGCTTGACCTCCTGACAAGCTTTGATCGAACGCCACACATTGAAGATCAGCGAATAAGAGGATTCTTCGAACAATCTCTTTACAATGACAAAGAATGCGAGGGGATGGTCCAACAAAGCGGCCAAATCCCCCACTTTTGGCGAGAAGAGGAAGGTAGGATCAATTTGGTGGAGGCCGGGCGAAGCCAACAGGTCGAGAGCCTCGGTGATTGTACGTCACTATGTGAGTATGTGTTTCGAGATGAGTAGATGAAGAGATGCCCCATGGGCGGCGATTCGGCTATCCAGCTCTCTCCATCATACTGCATAAATGTGGAGAAAGCTTGTGTTGTACTCCCACAGCATTTGTTGGGAGAGTCGGTGACGTTGGCTTAGTGCATGCAATAGCTCTTGTGGTCGCATAAATATGCTTCTAGGGGGTTTATTACATCCGAGCTCCTGACACAGGACAGGACCTTTCATCCGGATCTGGTCCGTTCAGGCCCGTGCCATGCTTTCATGCTGCCGAAAATGTGTCGATATTTAGTTAGCTCACTGGCCTGATCGGAACCGGGACAGACAACGATGTTGCATGTTTTTCTAGAGAACCCATGAAAGACAAATTTTAGTTATTTCCATCAGGTTGAGGAATCTTGCAACGCAAGTGGCAAGGAGGACGACGCAAGACAAACAGGAATGGTCTCTGCACAATATGATGAAAAAGGTGGTTTCGTTTCAAGTGATGGCACAAGGGGGTATATTCTCATATAAACTCTCCCCTCCGGGCCTTTTTTTTTTCACCACTTTTCAATGTATGGCCGGATGTCGATCTCGTTAGTAAAGCAAGTCCTTGGTTGGGTGTGTAAATACCAATATGAGTCGGCAATCTGACGCGAAGGATCGAGGTCAGCACTCAATCCTCGTTGTTGAGAATGACTATGGGAGCAAGTTCTAGCTTACCGCTTCTGGCTTGATCTTTGCATCTGGATGATCAAACTTCCAGTCTTTGGTCCTCTCAATATCAATAACGCCATCGATAATGGCATGTGTGACATGAATGCCCTTGGGTCCGAACTCTCTTGCTAGTGATTGTGCTACCGCTCTCATGGCGAACTTTCCTGCTGCAAATGAGGCGCACAAGGCAGAGCCTTTCATGGCTGCAGTGGCAGATGTGAAGATTAGAGTGGGCGGATATTCCGGGTCCGCATTGAGTTTGTCCAGAAGCAGTGGCAGAACGGCTTGTGAGAAGTGGAAGGCTCCCCGTCTGGACAGTTGAGAAGATGACCGTCAGCATGGGAGTTTTTCAGAGGCCATGCCCGCGGGCCAGATGACAAGTACAGGTGTCTTGACATACCCATTAGTTTCCCATCCGCTTTCAAACTCCTCCTCTGTCAATTCGAGGAAGGGCTTTCGAACGAATCTGCCCCCGACGTTGTAAATGGCGGCAGCTAGTGAAGCACCACCCATCTCTTTTTTCAACTGTTCGAATGCATTCTTGACACTTTTGCCCTCTGAGCAGTCGGTGCTGATACCGATCGCCTTACCGCCGGCGGCATTGATCTCTTCGACGATGGGTTCGAAATTTGCAGGTTTTCTAGCTAGGAGGGCAACGGCATAAGTTTTCGCAAATCGACGAGCCACACAGGCGCCACTGTTACTTTTCAGTTGCCGATCGGGGTTGCGTGAGAGAAGGCAGAGCTCGGGACTTACGTGCCAGGTCCAACACCTGCAACAACAGCCCAAGCCTTTTGCGATGCCATCGTCCTAGTAGATTGGTTCAATTTCTGGGCTTTACTGCTGAGTCTGTTGTACGCAGTCTGGGAAGGCAGCGTCGTCATTCAAATGGGAGGGGGTTTTGGAGGGGGCTATTGCTCGATAGAAGATTACTGGAAGCACATCGGTTAGAAGACAAAGAATCTTCCCTAGCACATCAGAGAACGAAGCCTATAAACTCAGTCAAAGAACCTTGAGATTTGGAGTAGATTCCAAAAGCTCATTCAACCCCTCAATGATGTGCTCGCAGCTTTACAAATCGGCGATAAGTAATCTGGAGCATCAGACTTTCGAGACGCACGGCCCCAGATGTCCCCCGAATCCGATAATAGTGGCAGGGGTGACTAATCAGCCTGCGATCTCGAGAGATGGCCCATGGGCATGGAAAGAAAGGATCAATTAAAGGATCAATTCTGTTTCATTTTCTATGCTATGTCCGCCTAACGGATCGTCACACGCGCTCTCTCCCGGTGCTCTACAGTGACACTTACCAGAGAACAAAGCTGTAGCAGCACAAGTCCTGGGTTCAGAGCAATGTTGTTGCAACGAAACTCCTGAAATTTGCAAGTGGCATCAAAACCAAACGTCATCCTACTTGCTCGTCAGGAACATTATGGTAGACCATTCCATGCGTGGAATGCCGAATTCGGACTGTAGATTAAATAGGGGATCTGAGCAGAGAGGGAGTCGGCGTGACAAGACGTCGGATTAAGTCTCTAATATTTTCATTGTAAGCTTCATCGTGTATGTGATATCAACTGGCCAGGGGCAGGATAGGGGCCATTCAGGAGGCCAGCCTTGCCATCGAACTGTCCCTGCTGGTCTGAATTTCTGCTGTGAAAAGGGGACAGCAAGAACACTGTTTTGCGCTCTCCTTTCGGCCAGACTCGTTCCTGTTCCTTTTGTTTCAATGTTCCATCTTCTTGGAATACAATACCTTACCAAAACAAACCTTACAAACCCCTAGGGATCAAAACGGCGGTGAGGGTGACGTCTGCGCGGAAAGGCAACTAGGCCGCCGGAAGGGAGACTCGTACCTGCAGGAGACCGGCGATGACCAACCGCTTGTTTCGACGTCCATTCCCCCCTTTTGCCTGCAGCTTGCCAGCCTTGCCCTCGACAAATGATGAGGTAGATGGTTCGAGTCGCAGAGACGGTTTGACAAAGCAGCAGGTGTCAGGTCGGCATCGTGCATGGTTACTCGTCTTTTCGGGTTTGCAGCTCCCGTGCATGTGAAACAACAGGAGGTTGGTGCAACCAGTGTTCAACGAGCGTGGCAAAAGTTCCAAAAGGACCTTCAAAACAGGAAAATCTCATATTCCCACACCGGTTCCAGGCAACAGTGCAGCGAGGGCCAGAGGATGTCAAAGGATAAGTTACGAGATGGTCATGTATTGGATAGAAATAAACCTACACGATACACAATGTGCGAGTTCAGATTGGGCATGTGGATTTGGAGGGGGGAAGCGAATTGAAGTCCAGGGGGCGTTTGTTTCGGCCTTTGCCCAGTGGGGCCCTCCTAACTACTTGCCCGTCAAAGCCATTCCCCCGCGAAGCCTTGTGGCAACGTTGAGCCAGACTTGCGCCCCAGACAATGGTGCCGTCGTCTGTGTGATTGGGCAATTTTATCCCTGCGAGATCGCTAACAAGCAGAGTCACCGAAGGCGGTTAAGGTGGGAGTTCCCCAGTCCAGAGGCTGAAACACATGTTCTCGCAAGCGAGGAAATGGTTTTGGCACCATGGTAGGCAACACTCCTAGCATAATATTTTGACATGCCAACGTTTACCAAAGTTCTCTTGTAGCCGACACAGGGGACGATGTGACCAGACGCCCTGATCTGCGGCGCGAAGGGGACGAATCAAGCGAAAGAACAAGTCTCTTTTCAAGCCTCTCGCAGCCTGTTTCCATGTAGAGCACCCAGTCCCTTATTGGACGCCTTACCATCCTCTGAGCACTTATCGGTTATCGATTGAAGAGTTTCCGTCTGCTTCGCGAAGAGGAGGGTGCATGTGAACAGTGAATGGGACGACTTTATTGACATGTGCACGCGGCAGCTGGTTATCACACCCACCACCACGAAAGCAGAACCATGGGGAGTTCATGCAGGTCGATGAAATCGCTCAAGCGCGGGTACACAGAACGAGTCCAACGCCTATTCGTCCCCGCGTCCCAGCAAGTCGCGGCGGCTGGCCACAGCAATGGACCCACGTCGCTTTTGCATCCCCCTCTGGTCAGTATGGTCTCGCTTCCTACCTCGTCCGTTCTTTTTTACAGTGATATTTGAAAAGTCACGCGGGAAAACGTTACGGATGAAGCGGGTTCACATACCCTCGGCAATTCACTCGATGCCACACATACTACGGAGTAAGATGCTTGTCCGCTGTTTTGCTCTCGTCCAATCCTTGCCGTTCCATGCGCTCCGAACAAACGGATGGAACGCAATGAGCAGCTTTCCCTCGGTCCCACCACACTCAGGTATTATCCTATCACTTTACAAGGCGCAAGGTGTGGTAAGCGAACACGACAATCAAGTACAAAGTATGCAGCACGGCTCCGATCTCCAATCACGACGAGAACACTGCCTCTCTTTCTTGCAGCCGCTGACGATACACCTGCATGACCGAAGAACTTGGAACTTCCAAAAAAACTTCGCAGGTGAGCGAGAACTCGGGCTTCCCAACTAACGGCGTTACTGGTTAGTACTTCCACCGCTATCCGCCACGCTACACGGGTTCTCCACGACGCAGGCTAGTAGATTATTCAACCAAACGATTGTGACGTCTGGTTTCTTCCTTATCCATGAGCTCACTAAGCGCCCAATATCGCATCGCCCGTTCCCTTCGCTACGAAGACCTGAGTTTGATGCTGTTCCCAACTTTACACAGGAGAATTACTCGGGACTCAAGGTAGGTTACCCCAACACTCCTCTCTCCTTGTGTTCCACTCACTTTACCTGAACCTGGACATACCTTGCTGGCAAGCTGGACAAAATTTTAGCCCTTCCCATACATGGCTTCACCCCACAAAATCACAGAAACGTGCAAGGACATGCCCCTGCTCTTCGTAAGCTCTAACCTGTTTGCTGACTTGGACACCAACCCACATCGGCGGTCAAGAAAGGCAGGTGTTATTGGCGCGTAGTCGTCGTATCCAGTTACGACTCGGCCCGTTGGAAGTGATCGTGATGCTTGATGCTGTGTGAGTGCCTGGGTCGACGCACGAAGCATTTAGTACTCCTGGCATCCGGCAAGGAATCAAAGGGAGATCGTCCTCCAGCGCTTAAACATCTTGACTGCCTAACAACCACAGCAGTTGAGAAAAGCCAGCCAGCCAGTCAGGCGAGAATCGTCAGTTCCAACGTGTGAGCGACAGAGCAATGTGACTCAGCGTGCATCAATGAGTCTCTGTTGATTCAGGTCCGGAGCAGTCAGGTTTCGCATTTCGCATTCACTACGTATTGATAGTGGACTGGTTCGATCTACATTACGGCGGGGCCATGGACGTCGATATTTTACGAGGGATCACTCATATACGCGAGACCAAACCGAGAGAGAGGAGCCGGGACTAGGTACGGGAGTTATTGACACATCGAGCGAAAAGATTTGTTAAAAGCAAATATTGTATTAGTACAAACCCTATATTCCCTAACCTACCTACCGATCCGCATAAAAGCAAGTTACTATCTAGAGGCTCAGGATCTATGTGATGTCTTCAAGGTCCCGTGGTCCAGTCCTGAAGTAGTCCAAAGTCCCATGACCAAAGAATTAAAAGATTTTCAAGCACGTCCAACTCCCCAAAACTCCTAGCAAGTCCTGGCGGACATTACTTTCTTTCTGAAAATCAAAACCGCAAGCCTGTAATTCCAGATCTGATACTCTGTTCAAACCGATGATCAACAACAATAGACAATAGCAATATAAGCATACAAGACAAGTCAAGATCAATAGTAGGATCTTGATTTGGGGGGTATCTCTTGCGAAACAAAAAGTTGACTCCGAAGTGGCAAAAGAAAGCGAAACCCAAAAGACTAGACTGCCGTATCCGTAGAGTAGTACAAGATCATCTGTCATGTCGTCCTTCATGGCTTCATGATTATTTCTTTTATTGGCTCTCCTTGGCCCTTTTTTTCTTTTTTTTCCGGTCCATGTAAGCCATTTCGCCATGCTGCGAGAAAAGGGATAAAATGATGGTATCTTTGCTTGCTGAAACGAATGACTCACACCTTCCATGCAAAGCTCAGTTGGTATGTAGTGACTCGTTCAAAACATAATGTTGTTACAGGTTGCCTGACCCTAAGCGCCAATGATGTCCCGTAAAAATGCTGAATGATAGTTCTGTAGTTGGTATCGGAGTGGCGAAGTCGATATTTGCCACCAGGAGATGACTACTCTCCTTGCCTGCTTCCTTTGACTCGAAGCCTCAACGTGACACGTCGTCTGTACCTAGGCAACAGAGGGTCGACGCAGAGTGTCCTCGCAATTGACATCGAAGCGCATATTCCAGAGTCGGATCTGGTTCATGATCCTCTCAGTCGCTTCGAGGTGACGGTCTCGTCCAAAGATGGAGTCGACAAATTCGGTGCCTGCTTTCTTGCCCATGGTTTTGGTGCCGTCGCGTTTCGCAGCCTTCAACATGTAGTGTTCACAGTCTTTGAGAAGTCCTTTGAACTTCTCCCACAATCTCTGACCACTGATGATGAAGTCCTCAACGGTTTCTTGCTTTTCCAAATTCTTGATGCGACCGACACATTCCTCGGCTCTCTTCATCTTACCCGCAAGCTTAATAAGTAGGAGCCACAGTTCACCAGCCATGTCGGCCATGGGAGTGGAGGCGCCATGATGAAAGACTGTCCAATCGTAGATCCATTTTCCCAGTGAGTTGGCATCGAAGACACTGCCCAGGAGAATGATAGGCAGCTCTGTAGGATCCCAGTGCTTGATGGAATACCCTGCGGGAATACCTTCTCGGATGGCGTCTGCCTCGGTTGCCTGCGGCGTAGGCTTAGGCTGACTGGATTTGGACTTTGGCGACGGTTTGGTGGTGGTCGAAGAACGTCGTGCCCTCGATCGCTTTGGCTGCTCATCTATGATTTGTCCCTGCCCGTAGTAAAAGTAGGTGTCAGTGCTTGGCTTCCTTGTGTGCTTGGACTTTGATTTTGGCTCTCGTAAGATGTATGTTGCCTGCACTCCTGCATATTCAGCTTCACCGTCGTAAACATAGATGGGCTGATTCTGCTTGCGCGATGATGAACGGGTATGATATCTTGAGCTAGGAAATGTGTTGTAGCTCTCATGCTTGCGGGATTTGCCCGTCGCCTCACTCACATAGACTTCATCCCGCGGTACAGCGTATTGGACGTTGGCTTCATAGAATGGTGGGGGAGAGCCAGCAGGGGAATACCAGCCTCCGACTCTGGGTGACGGATTGTAGCTGGCTTTTCGAGCGTGTCTTTTTGGTGTCGTCTCGTATTGGGGAGCGTAGTGGACATACTCGCCGCTACTGTATGGCGAGCCCCCATAGTATTTCGCGTAATGCGGCGGTGGTACGGAGTAGTGATAACTCATATCGACTGCTGTTTGCTGATTTCAAGTCTCTCTGATCTGTTCTGGTATTGGGCTTCACTCCTCACTCCTGCCCCTGTCCACAACGGTTTTCCCCCCGATCGGGATCTATGTCTGTCTGGTCTGGTTCGGAATTTTGTCGAGAGAAAAGGTAGGTCCGGGAAATTTTGGACTGGCTGAATATCATAGCGTGGTTGACCTGGAAAGGTGGCTAGGTTGGGGGTTATGAAATTGAGTCTGGAGACTCAATTTGACAAATATATTGTGTAAGCTTCGTTTGTTGTAGTCTTGCGACGACGCGAATGAGTCAGTCTGAGTAGGAAATTGGAGGGGAGAAGGAGAAAAAAAAAAAAAAAGGATGGCTGGGTAAAGGTGCGTCGAAGGTATATGTTTTTTGGGGGAAGTGGCCAGGCCAAGAATCGATCGGACTAAGGAGCGCGGAGCACGCTTCCCGGCGTGAGTCGATTTGAACCGGATGAATCGACGGGTCGTAGGAATGGGGTCTGAGGGGGCTGTCCGTTGAGGCCCGCTGTTCACGCGTTTGAATGCGGCTGAACCTTGGACGAATTGGTGCTAGGGGAAGACTGGAAGCTGGTAGAAAGGTTTGGTACCAACTGGAACCAACTGGAGCCAACTGGCGAAATGGCCAATGAGCAATCTCGTAGGATTGGAGAGGAGTTGAGTGTTGAAAGGGAAATTGATGGTTGTGAAGGGGAAATCAGGGGCAATTAAAGAGGTTTCCTGGTGAGTGCCCCCGACAAAGAGGTTAAAGTGGGTGGACTCTCTTGGTTTGAAATGGTAAAAGTGGATGCAGCGGATAACTTTGGGAAGACTTTCAAGGCTGGTCCATGCCTGCGCGATGCCGCCAGTGTGGACAAGGGATTGCGTTCGACGTTCGTGTGTGGGTGTGAACTTTGAACGATGGATGAGTCAAGGCTCAAGGTTCGAGGGTGTGTGGATTTTTTAGCTTTGCGCTTTGACCGGCCCCTGGCGAGAGAGAGGGTAGGCCCAAGAGGAGAAGGTTGCGGTTGGCGGGTTCGGGAGGGTCGAGGAGGGTGCTGGTTTCTGTATGGTACGTTACTGTAAATACGAAGAGGCAAAAGAGGAGAGAGGATGGGTGGCCGAAGTACTGGTAATGAAGAGGTGTGATTGACGGCAGCCTACGCTTTTGACTTTGTCGAAATTTGCCGCTGAATAAACAGAACGAAGTCGATGGAAGTACCAGCGACGATAGTGGCACCAGAAGGAAATTCGCCGCAGTCAAATGGTAGGAGAGAGTGACGGAGAACACGCAGAGGTAAAATGCCCCTCCGACAGAGCCAAATCGATGACCTCCGGCTTACCTGATCCTTTACGTTTGTGCTCTCGCAATAGTGACGAAGCCGGTTAATGGGGCATGCCGGAGCCACAATCCTCGTGCTATGTCCCACGGAAGTTGAACATGAGGGGTTTCATAATGGCTGCCGCCGTATCGTTCTAGAAGATCTAGTGAGCCCTTTCGGGGACTGATTCCCCTCCAAGCCTCCTGCGAGGACCCCCGATTCCCAAAAATCTTTGAGAGATGTCCAGCCTAGGAGAGTCCCGGCTACTTGAAAGTGCAAGTCACCGTCAGCTTACTTCCCCCATCGTCATCGTCCTCACAGTCGCTTACCAACCCACATGACACCTTTTTTTGGTGTTGATCGGACAGCTACCAGAAATGACGAATCCTCAGCTCTGAGCCCTTGCGTACTCCCTTCGTCCCTCCGATGAGGATTCCATTCGAAGCGGCCACGCACGGTCCCTCATAAATAGCGACAATCTGCCAATCGTCAGTATCGCACATCCTCTCCGCCATATCGGCCCTTTCGGGAATACCAATCGAGCTGCATTTTTCCCAATGTTGAGTCAATTCGTGGCTGTGTGGAAATGGTCCATGCTAATGACGTATGAATACTTTTGTCGCGAATATGGATTGCAAACTGAGCAGAGATACCGTTACAAGACTCAAAAGAATGTCTTGGAGGCACCAGACGCATCGCAATGGATCAGGCCAAATTCATATCTGGTTGCCCGTTAGGACGGTTCTGGTGTCTCATCCTTTGCCAAATGCAATTGTCCGCCTCCTTCACGCGCAGTCCATGGCATTTGCGCTCGACCTCATTGGCAACTCGTCCCATCCAATCATGCTTCCTATCGGACATACTTCCTACCGGACATGATTCTCTCCCTTCACCAGCTGAATTCTCCAGCGATCAGATCCAATCAAACTTAGGAGCATGCATGATGAAGCCTCATAAGCTCGTTGACCAGCTGCTATCATCTACGCAGCCTTTTCAGCAGTATGTCACCAACGACGCTTTCCTATTTCTTCTATCGCGTTGCAGGGCCCATGCAAGAGGTCGAGATCGACTTTCTAGGGCGATGTGCGCGGTCGAGATCACTTGCGCGTGATACCAGTCAACTGGTGTAGACATGTCAAAATATGACACAGACAACATGTTCCCCGTCTGGGTCTTCCTCCACCATTGCAGCTGACATTCTGTAGTTGGGATGAAAATGGTCACGTTCCAATGCAGCTGACCATCCAATATTGCAGACAGATCACCAATTGACAGGTCCCGTGGTGAGGCCGGCTCGCTCTCGGCCATTTCCGGCAACGCGCATAAAAACGGGCCCAACAGCTCGAGTCTCGAGTTCTCTATATTGTCAGTTATTTTTGTGCCGCACGTCTCTTGTCCCCAAATTGGTTTCCAAGCGCCCTCTGCAGGCTCCCTCGGTCTCCTTGAAGCCATCCACAGTATTGTATCTAACAGTTCTCAATTTTACCTTACCTTGCAGAGATTCTGTCGCTGACCGGCTCCTTCAAATGGGCCCGCCTCCTTAGGCAGCTGGTTATGAAGAGGCCAGCGAGTGAGGGAGTGCCAGCTCATCCCAGCTCTGCAGCAGCCTTGGCGAGGCTTGGGCACCAAAGCCCCTCCCCGTCCTACAGTGCTCTTCTGAAGCACCATTTCGCATCATTGGGAATATTCCTATTGATCAGTTTCTTTTGGGAATGAGGCAAACTCGCATGGCCCATGGCGCGGTGCATTAATATGCGACTTCGCCCCGATCCGCTAGTGTCAAGCCCTTTTGGGCACAAAGCGTCACTTTGACCGTTTGTCGAGCAAATTATTACTGTTTGTCGACACGAGAACCCACTGGCACTGGCGATACCGGTAGGGATTTGAGTGATCGAAGATTCGAAATGGAACTATGTTCTAGCTCCCAAGGCAGATTTAGCTTGCAATGTCCTCTATTAAAGATGGGTAGGGACTCTTGTCGGGTTGATTCCATGTGCTTGCTGGCAAAGAGCTTGGATTGATTGCCTTGTGGATCTTTCACAGCCTGGTCTCTGATTCCATTTTGAGTCATCCGGCACGTGCAGAAACAGGGTTATTGAGCGGTGAAGATTGAATTCGTTCCCTCACAATTTATTGGGAAAATTTGGTGTCATTCACCAGCAAAAGCGTCAATTCCACTTTTGGAGTTTCAAAGCCCACGGCGATGACGCGTTTGGCATCTCAATTATCTGTTCGCTCAGAGCCTGGTTGTTGATTGTCAGGTCAACAAACAAACAATGAATTGACATGCATCAATCGAGCCGGCCGTTGACAGGGGGCAAGTACAACTACACATTGCAGATGTGAAAATTCAATGTGAGAATATGTTTGCTCTGGGCTCCGGGCTAAGTGGGATTTCGACGGCAGCCAGAACCTTGCGAGAAATGGAATTGCAAATTGGACCAACCCCGGCAAAGTAATTTTAACCCCGCTTTCGCCATGTTTGGGAAGAATGGAAGAAAGGGCTCAGGCCTCGAGGCTGTGAGGCTCCAAGCCAGTGTTTAATTTGTTCAATTTGTTTCGAAATTTGATCAAAATTCGAAGGCGGCCGCAAAAAACATAGCCGTAGCAACCATGGAATTCTTGTCCACAGTCCCTTCGCTTTCGGCTGATGAGATACAGGAACCCAAGCACCAACGTCGATTGCTACTCTTAAATCTCCAGCGTGTTATTTCGTCGAAGGATCGGGAGATGTTCTCTCTCGCGCGGCAGTATGGATTTGTTGTCTCAGCAAATGTAGCTTAGACAAGTGGGAACGCGGTGCAGTTTTTGCACAGCGTTCCGTATACCGCGCGGCCGCAGCTTCGGATAAAATGCAACAGGGATGATCTACCGATAGCTGCAGGAGGGGGGGAATGTGTGTGAAACCAAAAAACATCCTCGGTATGTCCCATCCCGGAGTTTGTCCTGACCTGCAAGATACTTAGTACACGGGTGTTCCTTTTTGGTTCCACACAATACCATCTACAGTTTTGATAAAGGATAGAGTCGGGAATGAATGGTGTGGGAGTGCCGAACATACCACAGAAGGCTTCAGTATAGACACCGTGAAACGAGCTGGGTAGCACCCCTTGGATCCCACCAATGATGTCCTATTTTGTTTCCTTCCCTAAAACGGGCTGTCCAGAGTGGTTCTTTTTCGAGAGATAAGAGGGTGACAGCGAAAGAGGACTCGGTCGGCCAGTCCCGGCCAATGAGGGCGATCGAGACTCCAAGACTTCTTGGGAGTAAAAGGCAAAGTGTGTGCCACATTTGTGCACCCACGAAATACAACTATGTGCTGATGTCACCGAGAGGGCGACCTTGGGGGAATTTGCGTGTACCGCACGACCCATTATCAGCAACAAAAAGTTACTAACATATGGTACAGTACCTATCTCTTTGGACTCGGGGCTCAGGGGGATATGCTCACACAATTGAACTCTGGCAAAAATGTTACCATGCCTCGAGCTAAATAAAGCTGCTCTTAAGAAGCTTCCCCCTGCCGAAGCCAAAACTCTACCCAGCAGCCCCCGATTGGCCTCCAGGTGGCCCGTTCCGCCACTCGCGCAATGCTTCTTGAAATCCTTCCCCATGTTCTTGTCGATAGTCATCCATCCATTCTCCATTCTCTATCTTCTGGGCTTGCGCTCCGCCTCCCTCCTCCCTCGTCCATCGGTACTCAATGCAACCACGCTCCTCGATGACTCTGAACCAAATTCGACCTTCCCTTTTCTCGTCTCACTTCTGAACACACCAGCTTACCGATATGAAGATCTCGTGTCCTTCATCAACTTTCCAATCAAATTGACGCCGTCATTCCTGCAAATGACGTCTATTTTCCTCCACCTTCCGCGCTACCGTCCTGCAAGCTGTCAGTTTATACTTCTGCACTGCGACAGTGATGTCTATGCCTCAGATTGATGCTCAAAGGGGGACTGCGCAGACACAAGCAGACGTCAATGCCCCTCGCAAAAGGAGGAAACGCGCACCCGCTGCTGGCGCCACCAACGATTGCTTTACATGTACCACTCGTCAGCTCAAATGCGACCGACGCAGACCCTATTGCTCGCAATGCCTGGACGATGGGAAAGATTGTGCTGGCTACAAGACACAATTGACCTGGGGCAACGGAGTAGCAAGTAGAGGAAAGTTGCGTGGCCTGTCGCTGCCCATTGCAGGCACTCAGAAAGTTGCCACACCCAGTTCACCATCGAAACCGAAGAGAAAGCCTTCGCAATCATCCCAATCATCGCAATCGCCCCACTCCTTACTACAGGGAAATCATAATGCCATTCCAGACTCAAGGAATGTGCCAGCACATTTAGTCCCCAGTCCCAATTCGTCCAACACTGGGAATGTCGGCCCACAGTTCGATCAACCCCAGATTTCTTTCCCTCTTCCCCCCCATTATACTACGGGCGCAGCGTGGGCACCGGCTACAGCCACTACCTTGCCCGCAACCGCGGGCGTCGAGTCGGAGCCAACAGAGCCGTCATACTCGACAATTTCCTCCATCTCGTTGACCTCCCCCCTCGAGAGCTATCCATCTGGTAATAGACTCAATCCGAATATTGGGTATGGCGGCAGCGATCGAGTGTCGCCCATGTCTCATTCCACTTCCTCACCAGAATCTGCATATTTCGGACGAGTTATGAGCCACGGCTCCACGGGAGTTCCCAGTGCCCTACCAGAGTATCCCGTTTCGCCTCAATTTCGTTCGCCACATGACAACGCCATACCTGATCACGGGAATTTCTCCTTCTGCCAAGCCCTGGGCGAATCCTACGTTCGCCATGATCCGTATGCGCAGTCTTATCTATCACATCATCTTGATCCGTCATTTGAGCATGGGACTGAGCAGGCAGTCGATGACGACGTAGAGGAGGTTCGTCGTGCTGAATGTGGCGAGGATGATGGATGCGCGGTCGTTGAAACTGACTCTGCTGTCGCCTTTCCACAGGTGTCCCTCCATTACAATGTGCGCCTCTCTCCACTCGCTGGTGTGGGCGCCATCGGAGCAACCCCGAGGATGCAATACCTCATAAGCTATTATACCGAGGTCATCTCCCCTGTTATAGTTGCCTTTGATGGTCCCTCGAATCCGTACAGGACAGAGATTCTTCGATTAGCCGCTAGGAGCGAGACGCTGCAACATGCAATATCTGCTTTGTCTGCAAGCAATTTGAGGCAACGGAGAGAAACCGGTGCTCTCTCCACGGGTAAGACTGATCCGGCGAGGCGATCGTCTATGGCGCACCTGGCCCTGACCAACGAATCATGGCATAATATTGGTTTGCTATGCCCCCAAGAACAGGCACGAGAAGAATCGCGGCACAAGGGAATTGCCATCCAGTCCTTGAACAGACAGCTTGCCAATCCTGTCTTACGAATGGACGATTCCACCTTGGCCACTCTCCTAATTCTGTGTTTATTTCATATTTGCGATTCGGGGGTTGCGAGGTTTCAGACTCAATTTGCTGGGGTGAAGAAACTCCTTAGCCTTCGCAAAAGTGACCCTGCTTCAGAAACGAAGGCGACTAAGTGGTTCACTCGGATGTTTACCTGGTTTGATGCGATGACCGCCACAGTGAACGATCGAGAGGGACAGCTTCAGGGATATCACCTAGACGTGTCTGCTTTGTCGGATGAGGAATGGGCATTGGAAAATCTTGCCGGCTGTGATGGACAACTATTCAAGACGATTGCCAGACTGGGCCGGTTAAATGTGTTAAGCCAGGGGAAGCCCGTGAAAGAGAATCCAACAATCGTTTCCAGACCATTACCGCAAATGCCCGCCGCACTGAATCTCGACTACAACAGTTTCGACGGGAATGGATGGATGCGCATTGTTGAGGATGAAAACCTATTCTCAAGCAAGACCACGGATCCGGATGTAAAAACACAGTTCTGGCGGGAATGGCGGGAAATCCGGCACGCATTACAAACATGGCAACTGAACACTACCCTTTTCGATTCTTCGAGCCCGGAAGCTCCATATCTTACGCTTGAACAGAGAATCGACCTTGCCAATATATCCGAGTCATTTCGATACTCGGCGTTGCTCTATACCGAGCGTCTAGCGAACCCGACCGTCCCAAGTACAGACCCATGTATTCGATCTTGGGTGCAGAAGTGTTTGATGTACATCAAAGCAGTTAAATCGGATGTATATCTTCTCTGGCCCCTTTTCATCGCTGGCAGCGAATGCGTGGATGAAATGGACCGGGAAGTCATCCGTGTACGTTGTTTGGACATTCAGAAAGACAGTGGATTTCTCAACAATAAGAGCTGTCTAGAACTGTTGGAAAAGGTGTGGTTGAGAAATGATGAGAAAAAGAGGGGTTCAGCTAGGCCCGGCCCGGGCTCACAAGTGGATCTGGAGAAAGAGAGTGGTTTCAGATTCACGACGATTATGAAATCGGAAAAGAACGATGGTGAATATATAGTGGTGTGAAAGGTGCTTCAGAAATGCGAGCAATCCAAGTTGCTTGCTCATTCGGAAAACGATTGCGGAACCGGAGTGGCGACCACGACCCTTGATGATGGCAGAGATCAAAACGATTCAATGTGGGCTAGAAGCTCGTTGGCGAAAAGTCTAGCTTTGCATGAAGCGTGATCGACCGATGACCTCTGGTGTAGCCGTACCACTTCATGGAGAGAAGTGAAATATCACATCATTAGTATGTGGTTGCAATTATGATTGCAACTAGCAAAGCATGTATTTGACGCAAGATATGCAGTGCATGACGAATAATGCAGGATCTCTTATCTGTCCAGTAAGGGAACGTTCCCATGATTTCCCAAGTGACTGGTAGGACCAAATCGTAAAATTAACGAGCAACGGACTTGAAAATACAAAATCCCATCTCAACTCTTCCGTTTTCCTGTGCTAATACCATTCATTAACCCATGAGCTGTCTTGAATACAGCGTCAGCTAGAGAACGTAACTTGACGGTCAGTTCAACCGCTACTGGCGACCTCCCGTCAGGCCCAACTAGCCTTTATTCTGCGGGGGCTCAACGAGATGGAATCAAGGCTGAGAACGAAGGAAGTATTTGACAAGATCAAGCAAGATCAAATTGGATGTGGCCTAAATATTTTGAAGATCGGCGAGGAAAATAACGCATGATGGTTGTTCTAGATCTCTGCAATTGAGCTTAGCATGACAATAGCCGCAGAGTCCTAACACGGGAGTCCTTAGTCTTGGTTCAAGGTCTCCTCAGCTTGACGGAAGAATGGCAATCCTGACTACCTCGTCTTGAGGCGCGGTAAGAAGGATCCGCAGAGCATGATTTCTTACCGAAGCTGCTTCCGGTCCATTGATTGCCGCCGATTGAGCTAGATGAAACGTGCTTGCAATTTTTGAGAGTCCGTCTACGATGGAGAGGTAGTTTAATCTTACTAAATCTGTTAAGACGAATCGGAACGAAGACGGTGGCGGGGGATTCATTGGTATATGGTAGATGGCATGCTGAAAGGGAAGTTATCTGAACGAGGCTGAGGGTGTCGCGTTCTAATTGGTCCGTCGATTCCGATGAATCTTGCAACCCCCGATGCGCAAAAACATCGGAGTTGACCTCGCAAGCACGGTTGTTCTTCTCGAAATCATAATTGTCTTCCTTCACCTTTACAAAAATGACTTCTACCTCCAATCCTAATTCGGGAACATCAACGCCCCGGGCCTTCACAAACCAAAGCGCGTCCGCAGAAGAACTCCTCAAGTCGCAGACAGTCGGCCTTGTCAATCTTGCCGATTTTCGCAAACGCCGCGCCGATGTGCTTGAGCAAAAGGAAAAGGAGGCGCGTGAGAGCTCTGCTGGAGCCCGCACGTCCGATGTAGAAGACAGTGACGGGTGAGACCTTCGACCTAGCACGGGCATTCTGCAGGACTAACTTGCCAAGTGTAGAGCGGTAACTCGACGACCCGATCAACCACCTAAAAAGAAAAAGAAGACACCCAAAGGGTTCCTATCCTTCGGCGGGGATGAAGGGCAAGATGAAAGTGTCATCTCTACCTCTGCTGCTAGAAGCAGAAGGTCTTCCGCCGAACCATCACCCGAGCCTTCTGGCATGAGTCGAAAATTGACACCGAATCCGAACTCCACATTACCGGCTCCCAAAGCCATGACGAAGGCGGCATTGGCTGCAGATGCTCTTGCTAGAGACAAGCTAAGAAAAGAATTTCTGGAGATTCAAGAGGCGGTCAAGGAGACTGAAGTTACGATACCTTTTGTATTCTACGACGGTGCAAATATCCCTGGGGGTACCGTTCGGGTCAAGAAAGGAGATCATATATGGCTATTTCTTGATCGATGTCGCAAAGTCGGCGCGGAGCTAGGTGTTTCGGGCTCTGGCTCGGCGGGGGGTACTTCCTTCAAGAGCAGAGAGGACAGCAAGAAGCGGTGGGCTAGGGTGGGCGTGGATGATTTAATGTGTGTAAGAAGCGAAGTTATCATACCACATGTAAGTTGACGGATCTCCCTTTTCAATTCAAAGCTAACCATCACCAGCACTATGAGTTTTACTACTTTATTGCAAACAAAATCCCCGATCCGAAAAGGGATGGACGGCTTTTGTTTGAGTATTCTGGCACTGCTCCCCAAAAGCAGGATGGCGAGGAGGGTCGTTTGCTGCGAGTACCAGGAAAACAGGACTTAGAAGGCCACAATGACGATCCCACTTTGACCAAGGTGGTGGATAGGCGGTGGTACGAGAAGAACAAGCATATCTATCCTGCTAGTGTATGGAAAGAATTCAAGGCCGGGAAAGAATTTGAGGAGATGACAAAGGGACGGAGGGATGCACAAGGCAATGCCTTTTTCTTTGGATAAGGCGCACTTTTTGTGTACAGTCGTAAAGACACCCTGCATATTTCTTTGAATTAGCGCTAATGACGGTAGTGGCTTACGCTTGCCCCAATAAAGTATTAGCCAGCTCGACTACGGTCACGAATCATCAACGACCGTGTTTCATCATGGTATTGCAGATACGGTATAATGTTTTCGGTCGTATATAACGTAAGTCATCGATAAAACTAATAAGTTAGCGCATCATGTCAGTCGTCGTCATCCAATATGCCTTAGTTTTTCCAGAATATCGTTCCTCGCTTTGGCTAATTCCCCTTGCTCGTCTAGAAAGCTCTTTGCCCCAGTCAAGATATCTCCTACTAGACTTCGTAAGACAAGATCTTCAATCTGCACGGCGTCTTCTTGCGGCACATCGAGCCACTCAACATCGCGTTCTACGCACCACTTCTGGAATGCAGGCAAACATTTCAGATCAAATACGGCATGCCTCCCGTTGACCAAAATGCTCGACGAGTCTTGTGCGATCGGTGCAGGCCTTTTTTTCCACCACAAGCGCTGCCAGCTTCTCTTCTTCGGAATGGGAGACGAGGTCTGATCCAGCTGATGACACACCTCCTCGAGCACGTTACTCGGCCCGTACATGGCTCCTGCGCCTTCTCTTTCGATTGTGTTCTTGCCGCACAGAATGCCCAGCATGAGTGTCGTGCCGTAAATGACATTGTCTTCGGTCCGAGAAATCTTGGTCACCACGACCTGGCGCGCGTCCCATACCCTCGTTGACGCTTTGATAGGAGAATGCAGAATCAGTGCCAGCTCCGTACCATCTGGATCGGGCTCAAAAGGCTGCGGCAAGACCACAAAGAACGGAAACTCAGACTGTACCGTGCTGCGTCCCTTAATATCACGCAGCCAGAATAGCTGCAGTCCCTTGCTCACCTTCCCCCACAGTTTCTCTGTGTGAGGCCCATACTGCTGCAGTCGCCGGTCGCGAATCTGCTGATAGTGGTGGGTCAGCATATAAGCCCCGGCATCATCTCCAACCAGGCTGAGAGCCTTAGCCCACGTCTCTGCACCGTCAAATTTCCATGGTCCGTCCGCAAATTGGAAGTACAGAGACTTTGCGAAGATGCCCTCCTGGTAACACCATAGCCTCCGTCCCCACGTGGAAAGGAAGATACGCAGGACAATCTCTGCCTTGGACATGTTGCCGTGTTCCACGCACATGAGAGAGGCGTCGAGAACAAGGACTTTGTCTGCATCTTTGTACGTCTGACCCATCAGCTCCAGCGCGATGATCTTGGACTCGCGAGGAGACACGGGACATGCAAGGGTGTCGATCCAAAAGCATGTGTCTCTTCCGCGATACGGGTATAGATCTTGAACGAATCTGCTGAGCTTTCGCAACTGGCAGCGCGGGAGACTGTTGCTGCTGGATCCCAAACCATCAGCCCATACATGAGAGATCGCAACATATGACGTCAATATGTTGAACTCCCTAAACTCGACAGTGTGTGGCTCGCCGTCTTCGTCCACAGAAGGGACTACTAACGGGATCTGGTGGTTCTTCAGTATCGCTTCAAGCTGTGATCCCTCAGCGAACACGAATTCACACTGGCAGTCCGGATCGACATGTTTGGTCCGATAGTCATCCAAATAACCTCGCAGCAGATTGCAGTGGTCCGGCTTGCACTCACCATGGACCGAACCACCGCGAAAACTGCCCATATTGCTGATGAACCACAAGCTGATGAGGTTGAACCAGCCGAGTCGTTCCATGTCCGCCGGACACCACCCGTCCCTTAGCATCCCTTCGCTCAACCATCGCGTCACTTCATTCGCCGCGAGACTGGACTCGTGCTTCCAACCACCAAACTGGCTGGCGCTGAGCCTCGTAGTCTTGTTCACAGCCCCCACCAGCGTCTCGCCCAGGACACCGATAGACAGCAGAATCCGTGGATCAACCGTGCTCGACTGGCTGACGTAGAGATAGACCTCGTGGGCCTTTTCCAGGCAATATTCCCAAAAGTGCTCCGTACCGTATCTTTCCTCTGGCGAGAAATCGTCCTTGAACTCGACAGCCCAACCCTCGATCAACTCGGGCAACTTCTGCGTCGTGAGGACTTTCTCGCCTTTACTGTTTACACGTACAAAATCCAAGGTTCGAACCCTCTCACCCCCCAAAATCACCCTGAGCAGCCCGAAAAACAACCACGTCTGCAAGAACGCAGCGTTCTTCTCAACATCGTGCAGTCTCTTGCAACTGCACAGATGGACATAGCATGTCCCCTCGGGCTCGTCGTCGGCACAGCGGTAATTCGCGTCCCAGGCTTTCCGACAGCGGAGTTCTTGGTCACCCCAGCCTTTGGATCCTGGGTAGTAAGAGAAGGCGAAGAAGCCACGTTGAGAATTGTCGTACTCTTCCGTACAGATGTAGGGGACCTCGATCCTCTCGCGGGTGCAGTCCGAGGGCAGGTTGAGGTGGTCCATCCCTCCTCAATCTCGAGGGTTAAGCTGGGTCGAAGCTGCAAGGATGAGACATCACGGCACAGCATACATCAAGACATTTCTGAACGGTCGAAGCTGAGGTCTCTCACAGCCCGAGGGATGTTGATAGTTCAGCCGCAATGTCATCGACTTGGCTTGCATGATCCAGAAGTGAGGTCTCGACTCTGTCTCCAGGTCATCCGAGACACCAAAATACGAGCCGGCAAGACTTTGATTCTTCATGGTCCAATGAGCTGTACACCACAGCCCATATGAGCAAGACAAAACGTTCTAACATATTGCTTCGATGACCAACTCCTTGGAATATCACGCATGTGGTATTCACTTCGGTGTGTGGCAGATTCGATACTGTAGATGCAGGAGAATGCTAACAGACTCAATCAGCCTTGTCGAACATTTGCCCTCTGGCACGATCAACTACTTAAAACCGCGGAGTCAGTCAGGTTCGACTACCGCCAATCGAACACCAGCGCGCACCGGAAGGTTCACTCTGTAGCTCGTAGGTATTGATCGAGCGATATCGTGCGCATTCCTCATCTTTGGGCAGCAGCCCTTTTTCAGTGCCTTCGTTTCAAGGCATGACATAGACATGCCTATCAAAGCTGCGATCGCAGGAGGGGTGTCTAATGAAACCCACGGAAGGCATGTACTTCAATACCAGAAGATATTAAGATTCGCTTGGGGATGGAGATGAGGATGAGCATACGTCGGTAGATGAACGTGATGGTTGCTCCTTCTCCCCAAGCATTGGTCATGACTTCAAAATCCCGTTGTCCGGAGTTCGATGAAGGTGAAAGCTCTAGCATACATCATTTCGCACATCTCTTCGGTGGATTGTATCTCGGATGTCCAATTCTTCTATCTCATCTCTGGATCGATTCAAGGTGTGCCCGCATTGCTGAACCTGTCAACCAGACTTTCCCTTTCCGTTTTCCTCCTAGGCTGTTCTCTGATCTGAGACTGTGAAAGAGCCATGTCACTGGACACGAAACGACGGATTTGCGCATTCCAGTGCTCGCGTCTCGTTCTCTTCGGCTCCACGCAATGATGGCCTGCTTGACGACTCCTCAGTCATCATCGTGCTTGTCAGGTCTATTGTCTAGCCATGAGAGCCCGTGAATTATATCGGACGTCGGTAATATTAGTCTGAGCACCGTCTTCGCTAATATCGCTCTGATATGCGCAAACAGTTGTGGCACACCTTCAACATTCTTAGGGTAGGTCAAGAACGTGTGTATGATTAGCCGAAAAGAGCCTGTCTGTGTCTGTATCGTCGACATCTGGGAATGACTCCCCAGGCCGGTTGCACGGTTGACGCTATTCCCTGGGAACCGTAAATGGCAACAAAATACGCTCCTAAATGATAAGAACACCCTCTTCTGCATCTCCTGCTCGAGAAACACCGACCTTGCTGCAGCTCATCGCGATCAACGCCAGTGTCCTCCTTGCAGAACCGACATACGAACCCCTCCGATGAATACAAAACGAGCGTTCCTAGTGGTCTGGATCCAGCAACCACTATTGAGTGTCCCGGAAGGGCGCTGGCGTTCTGGACTTCCAAACCGCACAAAAAAGCAAAGGAAATAGAACTTTTAGAGCGATGATCTTCTCACAAATGCACAGCGCTTGTCAGCAATATATTGCCAAAAACCTTACGGAGAGGTATAGCGACCCGAGCAATACAATGGACAAAATCATTCATGAAGCCAACAGTCGAATCCTAGCATCGGAGAACAAGGTTGCAGGTACTGATGGCCCTTAAACGCCGTACACTCTTGGACTGGCTTGATGGAGATATCTCTGACGAGCATAAACCACTGGAGCAAAAATAGTCCGAAGTCATTGACTGTTATCGTGAAAGAAGTAAAAAGTATGCTCAGACTCAACAATTGTCCGATATTTTCAAGAAGAAAAGCGTGGACAAGCAAGACGAAGACGTCACTTCCGAGAATGTCACGCAGATGCCTTAATCCATGAATACTTCCTTGACCTCGGCCCGAGACGCTGGCATTTCAGGCACAGCCAGATCCACGACAAGAATTCAATGCTCCGGGAAACGCAAACCTGGCCGAGGGAACAAACAATCGGGCTAACCCCGTGCGAGATGGTCTGCGCCAGCTACAACATCGTCAAAGATCTAGTAGTTAGTGTTGTTAGGAGTAATCATATGGGTGTCCAGCCAGCAGAAAGACAGCGATCAATGAGAATTGGTGGAAAAAGCCATGGTGGTCTTCGGCTAACAATTCAAAGCAAACCCTCACAAACTCTTGCAACTCCCCTGCATCGGACAGCCTTGCCAGGCCACGATCGCACAGCCGTCAACCAGTCTCAGACTCCGTGACGACTTCTAGAGCACATTTACCGATAGGACATTGTGTGCAAGGCTCATCTCGTTGGCAACCATACCTCCCCATGCATCATTCCAGGTACCTCCCAGAATCCTCTCCGCATCACTTCAGGTGTTAGAATTGAGCGTACCGAAGGATCTGGATCGTTAGACATGGGTCGAGGCTCGGCCTATATGCTGGCAGATGTGACATATTCCAAGGATAAAGCTGGTCAAGCACAGATTATATTTATCGTGCTGCGCATCGTGGCCAACGCGCACGCATGGTATTCACAAACATTTTACTAAGCAGGAGAAAGTGAGAGAACCACATCAAACGTACTTGACGTCAAAAATGCTAGCGTTCAGAGATTTGCTGTGTCATTCCCGCTGAACAGATCTGTCCTTACTTCTAGTACAAGTGACATTGCTTCATTCACTTTGCCTGCCGCAGCTAACTGACTCACCAGTGAAGACTTTTGCTATTTGCCGGGGCATGTCTCCTTCGTTCTTAAGCACTCTTGAGCTCATCGCCGGTAGAATCGGGCATGATGTTGAGGTTGGAAGATGTTAGAACAGACACGACACTGAAGAATTGTCCTAGAGGTCGATGAAACTGACTGTGTCGTATCATCCCAAATGGTTCCTGCAGGATGTGCGGTGGAGCGGTGTTGACACTCGGAAAAGGCCACTTACTTCAGGAATCTGGGACCTTTTCATTGTTATATTGTCGAAAGGGACGACTCTTGCCTCGTCGGATCCATTCGTGATGTTCTGGCCGGTCAATAGAAAAGCGATTGTCGAAGTGAAGCTGAAAGTCGAGCATTGGCATACGGCCTTCAATATCGTCAACCCCAGGCCTGAATGGAGGAGGAATACAAGGAATAAACGCGACATTTTCCCTGCTTCTCGGCTTGGGCGGGTATGACAAACTCTCAAATGGTCAATTTAAGATCCATTGGGAGAAGTTTTGGTTGTTCTGGCTTGATCGTGAGTCCGAGAGGATCACAATCCGGCTTTGAGGAGGCGGCCTGCCGGCATCGTCAGCTTACTCCGTACACATCCAGAAGCCTCTGCAGGTACTCGATCCAGCCAAAGACTGTACATTGTGCGCTGAAAAAGGGAGCCGGCATTAAAACTAGTCGAAGACGTCCAGCGACGCATTCCATCCATTTGATGATCTAACAAGGTTAGAGTCAAGTGCGCCTGTGCGTCTTGTAACCTTTCTGGTCGAGATGCATAGATGCAGAGACTTTTGCGCAACGGGTTTTTGCGGAGAGGCCATAGGATGATTGGAACTTTAGTCGATGATGCAGGATCACAATGAGTAGGGCGCAGTTGGGATGGTATGAGGAGGTGTGTTCGATCTTGGCAGTCACAAGGCTGAAAAGTGCAGGGTGTCGGTCAAAAATTGAATCGTTGAAGCTTCCGAATATGTTGTATGAGTCCAAATCATTTTTGTTTCGCTTCTTTGATGATATGTCCTCGCGGGCAGTAGCAAGCATAATCTCGAAAGATTGATCTTGCTAGGTTGGTTCGTCATCTCCAGACCAATACATAGCGCAACTTGGGGATCGATGCTTCCATAGCACGTCGAATCCTCCAATTTCCTGCCTCATTTTGAACCATCCTGCGCTGTCCAACAGCATTATCGTCTCGTCGTTTCACTTACTGCATTTCGCGAGGGTGCTCCGCTGGGTGGTCCTCGGTTGGATAGCTGCAGCTTGGGCAGAGCTCTGAATTTCAGCTTCTCATTTAGCACCTGGTCTGAAGGTGTCTGGACTGTAAGTCGAATGACCGCGTCAACAATCGGTGTTGAACCGGAGAATCTGGATGATGAAATTGTCTCTACCAATTCCTCCTCCCACCCTTCCCCCTTCCGCGCCCAAATGCAGCACCACCTTGGTCGAATCCACTACCGCCACCACCTCCACCAGCGAACGAAGCAGCAGGACCTGTAGGTGGCTGTGGCTGACCCATCATGCCCGTCCCTCCCCCCCCCATAAATTGCATGAATTGAGTCGGGTCCATGGTTGTTGGGTCAAGACCTTGAGATGTCATTGCTGAGAACATTTGCTGCATCTGGGCTTCAGTAGGCATCGCCATTTGTGACATATCTCCGCCAGGTGCGCCAGGTATCCCGGGCATTCCAGGCATCCCCCCTCCCGGTATACCTTCGACAAAGGCTTTCATCTGCTCTGCTTGCTCTGTGATTTCCTTAACCTCTTTCCGCATCTGCTGTTGCTTTAAGCAATATGATGCCCATGTAAACTCGTCAAATCCATAATTGAAATAGTCCGTAATGTCGGCTCCAGGCTTCCGCCAAGGTTTCGAAGATTCGGAAGGGAAATCGGCATCAAAATCTGTCGACAGAATAGGCTTCCCAGTGGTTGGATGGACAGGATTCCCATTCAGATCGATCTTGGAGGTATGCCTCGCGGGGTAATCTGCGCCAGGACGGTCATTTGGTGGTTGTGATCCGCCTCTCGTGTCAACAGGCGTTCCGCCTTTTACTATTGGTGTCGGGGTCGATGACGATTTTCTTATATCTGAGGCAGCTTGTGCAAGTCCCGGAGGGCGTTTGGTCTGCCTGTGATCTGTTAGCAACCGTAGCCTCGAAACTTGCAACAGTATACTCACGATCCTGGTTCTGGTTGAGGCTCATCTTTGACGTCTATGATGAAATCAACGTCATCCTGCGGAATGTAAGCTCACAATGTAACGGATCCCTCTCGAATATCATACGTCGCTGTCTTCTTCAACCTCTTCGCCCTCTTCTTCACCGTCTTCGGCGTCTTCCATCTTCACTTCGCTGGCATGTCGATTTCCATTTGTCTCATCGTGCTCAGGGTAGATGTCATCTTCATCCGAGTCCATCATCTTGCCGATTGCGAATGTTTCTAGACGCCGCGAAGGTAAATCCTATGGGTTTGCCGATCACCTCGAGAAGCACCTGGATACCCTAGATGTTTTGTCTGTTTGCTTGCTTTGCTCACTTGCCTTGGCGGATTTATTAGTCAAATAACCCACCCCTGCGAGGAGGAAATTTTGCCGACTGGATCATTCGAGAAAAATGTTCCCCGTAACTTCGAATGGTCCATCTGTTTACTGGTTTTTTCTTCACATCTTCCTGATCTCTCTACCTTGTCATTTACAAAAGCTCTCTTCCTCCCCTTTTTCTCTGTTTATCATCGTCGAGTCTCCAAACCCTCCAAAATGGTTAGTTCACCTTTCCGACCCCCAAGCTATACTCGCGCATGTTTTCTACGATTGAAGCGTGACCTCGTCTGGCTGACGGACAATCATCCAGACCACCGCTCTCAAGAGTATTCGATCGCTCGCTCCTCTCCTCGACCGTGTTCTGGTCCAGCGAGTCAAAGCTGAGTCAAGAACTGCCGGTGGCATCTTCCTTCCCGAGAGCAGCGTCAAAGAATTGAATGAAGCAAAGGTTCTGGCGGTCGGACCCGGTGGCTTTGACAAGGATGGGAAGAGAATAGCAATGAGTGTGAAGGAGGGTGACAAGGTGTTAATTCCTCAGGTATGAAATGATACTTTTCGTGAAACTTGGACGTTGAGATAATAATGCGTTATTCCGCAGTATGGTGGCAGCCCCGTCAAAGTTGGAGAAGAGGAATATCATTTGTTCCGGGATCATGAGTATGTGTTACCACCCTCCGCTTTCAAACCTGCACTGTCCCTCCTAACCGTCACGACAAGGCTCCTCGCAAAGATCAACGAATAGACGCGCATATTCTCTTTTTTGGTCGACAGCACCATTTAGGCTATTGCGTGAACCTAAATCCCTCGGCAGCCCAATCCAAAAGAGATCGCAATATCGATTGTACACCATGTATCACCATTGGATCATTTCAGCGCCTTTAGGACCCAGATCTTATCGGTCAAAGAGGAGGGAGGCCGAGGAAGTAAAATGTGATTTCAGCATCAGCGAAAAAGCGCGGAGTCTGTTCTGCGTTATGCATACCACCTTGTATATTTTTCTACAGGACCCAATACATTTGATCTCCCCTCACGTACTAATCATTTTCAAGAATCTGGAACCACCCTTTCTGTCCATATCGTGCTGATAAATCCATGGAGATGGCGGAGCAAAGTCAAGGGTAGCGACCATGCCTGTCTTAACTTTCCCTTCAAGCAGTGCCCCTAGCACGCGACTTGGATCTGCTCTGCTCCCTACTCCTTCCGGAAGTGTTCCCTGGTTTGACGCTGGGGAGATCTCTGACCCCGAGTCCTCTCCCAATGACTTCTCTGAAGTCCAGTCCTACCTCGCTGAGCATTTCTCTCTCATGACCCCAGACAACATCCATGCATTCCCTCCATAGCTTGCCCTCCTTCTCTATCGCACTCAACTGTCGTACAAGAAGTGTGTTGAACGTCTCCAAGTGATCGTTCGCCCACTTGATACACGCACTGATCATCGTGGGCGGGAAGGAAGCTTGATAAATAAGCACGGTGTTCTTGACAACGGTAAAGTAGACGTAGGAGATGGAGAAGACATATCGGTGTAGATCGCCCTCGAACACGCACTGCCGTGCGCGCTTGGCCAATGTCTCGCTGCGAGCATTCAGATAGATTTCGCGCGCTCGGTCCTCGAAGCCAAGTCGGATGAGATAGTTTGTTGTCCTCTTGGTAGCTTCCATGAAAGCGGGCGTTTCCACAAGTTCTCGGCAGAGGACTGCTGCGAGTTTGCCGGCACGTTCATCAACCTTGACGGCGATGAGCTCCTGCGCGATCGAGTTGCTCTTAAGGCCTTTCGCAATCTTTCGGAGTTTCTCGACTTTGTCTACGGCCTCTTCGAATCGTTGCAGGGAGATCTCAATGTCGAGATCGTCGATTTGACCTTCAACCCATCTAAAGTTCTGTTGCTTCCCATCAACTTCGATCAAGATATCGGGCTTCTCCTTTGCAGAATTGATACTTTCAATAATCTCGGTATTCTTCGCGGACGCCGGATCGCGAGATGCAAAGTAGTTCAGGCTTTCAGTCTGGGGCTTATTTTGCTCTTCCTGAGTCTTGGTCGCCTTTCGAACATCCTCTGTTGCCTTCCTCAACGCCATCAAAAGACCATTTTTGGCCTTTTCATCCCGTTTCTCGTGCCTATAGGTGAGGGACCGACCCCCGGATCTGATCGTCAATGCGGACGAGATGGCTTTCTCCTCAGCTGGTGTAGCAGTCCCAGTTGCCAAATTCGCCGCCATGTCAACGATCTCAATGTCTTGCAGCGGCCAACACTCTTCTGCCACCAACTTGGTCAGAGCAGGGCCTTGCTGAGGTACATTTGGATCAACTCGCTTGCGCTTCTTAGACGCAACCAAAAGGTGATCGTTCAAAAGTACAATGTGGACAGGACGTGTGGGTTTCCAGGTCGCGCTGTCGAGTTCGATCCAATTGCCGGTTTCCGCCACAATGTGGCGGCCAGGAGCGGCAGGAAGAAATTTTTGGGATTTCTCGACATTTTTCCACAGTGCTTGTAACTGGATATTCCACATCTGTTCGAGATTGGCAACCGAGGTTCGGTTCGCTTTACGCCTAGATTGGGAGGGACCATTCAATTCAGGTGACTGCACATTGTTAGCGCCACCCGAGGTACCCTGCCTAAGCGTGCCCGTCAGCTCTGACATGAGGCCTTGTAGAATTGCCATTTCGGTCTTGAGTTTCTCTGCCTCTTTGCTGATCTTGATGAATTGAGTCCTGTTCTGGTAGACACTGTGCTGTAGGTCTGCAGAGTTGCGATTCTTCAGCCGCTGTAAATTCGTCTGATATTCTTGGATGTCTTGTTCCGAGGCATTAGACAGCAGATCGGCCACATAACGTTCGTGCTGGAGGTTTGGGTCTTTGAGGATATCATTGTCGACGAGAAGTGGTCGTGCAGAGGAGGCAGTTCCTGGTCGGCGCGGCGAACCACCTTGAGAGCGTCGCTTTAGCGTTCCCGGGATACTGGGAACAGGAGGAGCACCAATATTGCTGAAGTCAGGGAGTTGGTTATAACGTGTCGAATAGCGTCGTTTGACAAGATCGGACGTCTCGGTAGGGCCATTTCGTTCTCGAGGGACTGTGAGATTGTTGCCAGACTTATTTTGCCGAGCTGCTGGTTGGGTGATGCCTGGGCCCGACGCATTCTGAGGCGCGCTTATGGTCGGGCGGTCTTTGCGTTTCTTTCTCAAAGTTAAGCTCCGCGTATCCATTGCGACAGGTTGGATTTGAGAACAATGGATGAGGGTCTATCCGAAGAAGTTTGAACGTCTCTCTACAGAAGAGGGAGCTATCTTGGCGGTGGATTACTGCGGAGTAAGTACTTCGCCAAGGCAGCCTCGCAATTTGTGCTGGGGCCGGAACCGGCACTGGGTGGTGGTTGATGGTCGGGGGTTCAAAGCTGCGGAAATTTTGTAGAAATCCACGTCTGGATGTACAGTATCACGCTGAATTTTTCCAACAACCTATCTTCCACCACCACTCTTGCACAATTTATCTTTTTTTTTTTCTTTCTCTTTTTCACATATTCGGCTTTTCGTTCTGATTTCATCGCCATTGCTCAACCTCCACAAACTCGTCCTTTCCGCTCTAGAGCGTACCCATCATGCAGACTTCGACAATTGTTACGATATCTGTCGGTACCGTTGTAACTGGGCTGCTCGGTATGTCGACCCCGTCTGCATGAATATTTATGACGCATGTCAACTCCAGCTAACGCTTCGGCAGCATATGCAGTGTACTTTGATTACCGGCGGAGAAATGACCCTGAATTCCGAAGAGCTTTGAAAAGAGAGTCACGAAGGCAAGCTAGGATAGCAAGGGAGGAGGCCGAAATCCAAGGCAAACAACAGAGAGAAGAGATCAAGCGGGCTGTCCAGGAAGCTATTGAAGAAGGTTTTCCTACAGACGTCGAAGAGAGGGAAGCCTTTTTCATGCAACAGATAGCCCAGGGCGAGTCTTTGGCTGGAGATGGTCCGCATTATTGCCCGTCTGTTCGTGAGATAATGAGCTTACTCTTTTCAGGATCTGATCCTGTCGCTGCTGCCCTCTGTTTCTACAAAGGCCTCAAGGTCTGGCCCGAGCCATCATCGCTCATCGGCATCTACGACAACACCGTTCCCAAACATATCCTCGAAATTTTGGCCGTCATGGTAGCCCAGGACAAGTCGCTCAATGTGTCCTTTGGCGGTGGTAGCTCAAGCTCGCCTTCAGAGAGTGCGCATGGTGTGGAATAAGTTCCCGCTGCGCGACGAAGAACGGACCCTTGTACCAACAAGAACTTAATTCTTTGTGGCCTATGGATGGAATGGGCGCTTTTACAAACCTCACCCTGACGAATCTCGCCTCTTGTACGACCCTTGTATACCATCGCCGCGCAGAGGCGCGGTTTACTATGAAAGGAATACCTGGCTTGGATATAATTCAGTCGTCGCCCGGATGGTCAATCTTCTTCAATCAAAAGCTTGAAAAGAGCGCAGTTCTTCGATCGGTTCTATTTCTCCTCGGACCTGGGGTTGCTTGCTAACAAACTGGGTCCAGAACTTCAATTGAGGGCGTCTTGGCTATCAGCAACTCTGATTTCTCTTTCAGCCAAGTCTGCAGAATGTGGTTTGCTTGCATTTTGGATCCGCATGTTCATCTTATCCCGATTTCCCCTCCCCTCCCGGACACCGAAAAGATGATCCCAACCCTCGTAGAGCAAACCTTCAGAGTGTGCAGAGCACCCAAGTAGTGTTCTCACAATATCGTGTTCGTCCTTACGAGAATCCCCCAATGCTCAGCCGTTTGTGAGCACCACAACGACGGGTGAGACAATGAAGCTGAAGGTTCTTTCGGCCTCATTAATCTAAATAGTGCCTGCATATCTGCAAACGAATCAGCATAGAGAACTTCCCCAAACTGCTGTCTTCATATACGTCCATCTTGACAGGTACCACGGTGAATCGCGAATATCCGGCAAGGCTCTTGTTGAATCCGTGGGCAAGCGGATTCCTCCGACTGAGTTCTAACTCGACCTCGTTTCCACCTACCTTTAGGGAAAATTCCAACGCATTTGTGGTATCAATCGAGACGTGTCAAAAGGCGTGCTAATATGTTCTAGGCTTCGAATGTATATTTGGTACTTCAAGAATGATTCTCTCCTGTCAAATCTGTCAAGTCCTCCAAACTAACACGACTCACAAATACCTGAGGATTATCGAACACCAATCACAGCCTTGACTATCATTACATTGTTCAAGTGGCACTCGCCTGGCAAAAAGCGACCGTATCAAAGAATTGAAATCTCACGGAGACATGGGCAAAACAAACCCTCATCCCTTCGACCCTTTGACACCTCAGGAAATAAGATCAGTATGCTCGATAAGGATGCCCATATTATCTCCATCAACGACTGACCGGTAGACCGCCAATCATGTTCGGGCTGCATTCCCTGACCAGGAGGCCTACTTTCGAGTTATCACTCTCGCAGAACCACCCAAGACCGACATGATAGCGTTCCTAGACGCTGAGCATGATGAGGGAACCTTACCAACAAGTCCATCTCGGATTGCTCTGGTACAGATGTTCCTAGGTCCTCGAGATGGCGAACACTTTTATCAACTCAAGGTCAATGTGGACTCGGGTGCCATTGCTCAAAAAGAACAATTGCTTGGCTGTCACCCTCATGTCGATGCCGAGGACATGAAAAATATAGAGCGAGCGTGTCTCAACGATCCGGGTGTGCAAGCCGCAGTCAAAGACATGCAGTTACCTGATGGTGCTGTGGTCAAGATCGAGCCATGGACCTATGCGACCGATGGCATGAATGACATGAGCCAAAAGATTACCATGGTGAGACGAAGAACTAGTATATTCTCTCCGTGTGCTCACACTTTGCAGTGCTATTTCTACATGCAGCTCATAAGCCATTCGGACGCAAACCATTATGCCTATCCTTTAGACCTCTGTGTCGAAATGTCCGGAGACGCTCGGGTTCTTAAGATATTTTATCTTCCGGCGGGCACCTCGAACGATATCAGCATGACCGCAACGCCATATGATCAAAGAAAAGTTCATGACGCCAGCATTGAATATCACCCTGACTTGGTCCCAACACATCGCACAACCACGAAGCCGTATCATGTTTCTCAGCCACAAGGACCATCATTCGTCACCGAAGGCAATCTCATCAGATGGGAGAAGTGGTCCTTTCGTGTGGGATTCAACTATCGAGAAGGCATCACGCTGCATGACGTCAGGTACGCTGGCCGAAGCCTGTTCTATCGACTGTCGCTTTCGGAAATGTTTGTTCCTTATGGAGACGGTCGAATGCCCTATGCCCGGAAGGCGGCCTTCGATTTAGGGAACGATGGTGCGGGAATCAATGCAAACAACTTGCAACTCGGCTGTGATTGCCTGGGTCATATCAAGTACTTTGATGGCTGGCACACGACAAGCAGTGGTGATCCCATTCATATCCCTAACGCCATTTGTTGTCACGAAATCGATGATGGCATTCTTTGGAAACATACAAATTTTCGAACCGGAAACGCTGTCGTCACACGCTCGCGAGTTTTGGTTCTTCAGACGATCATAACCGTTTCAAATTATGAGTATATTTTTGCCTTTCACTTCGGCCAGGATGCATCTCTACGTTACGAGGTACGAGCGACAGGCATCGTGTCGACAGTTCCTATCAACATTGGAGACAAAGTCCCGTTTGGCACGACCGTCGCGCCAGGAGTCATGGCCCCGTATCACCAGCATCTCTTCTCTCTGCGAATCGACCCGGCTATCGCGGGCCATAATAACTCCCTGGTTGTAGAAGAATCCCATCCCATGCCACTTCAAGATGCAGATGTTCATAATCCATTCGGGGTAGGATATACGACAGAATCACGAATTGTCGAAACCGAATCTGGCCTAGATCTTGACCACACGGTCAACAGAGTCTTCAAGGTGATCAATGAGGACGTCATCAACCGAATTACGGGAGGTCCTGTTGGATACAAACTCTCACCTTGCTATAGCCAATTGCTTCTCGCTCATCCATCGTCCTATCACGCCAAAAGATCGGAATTTGCCGCCCACGCTGTCTGGATTACCCGGTATAAGGACGATGAGTTGTTTGCAGCAGGTCAATGTACGATGCAATCTTTGGGTGGTCAAGGAATTGACTCGTGGATCAAACGTCGCCGGGAGCAGAAAGAAGTCACAAACGTCAGAAACGAAGACATCGTCATTTGGCACACCTTTGGCTCGACACACAATCCTCGTGTGGAAGATTGGCCTGTCATGCCCTGTGAGAAAATGGTCGTCGGGCTTAAACCTGTCAATTTCTTTACGGCAAACCCGGCGATGGATGTGGCTGTGTCAACGCAGGAAAAGAACCAGAGTGTCTTGGTCCATGACGGCACTCCGGTGACGAATGGTCACTGCTCATAGCAGCAGATCCACATTTCTGATAGATGTTGTCGTTAGAATCCTGGAATAGACTTTCAGTTTCTTGGGTAAATTGTTCGTTGAATGTTCTTTCATTAGTGTCATGGTCATATTTCGTCTGGAATCTGTCATTAAAAAGAGAGTGAGTTCTGCAAAGTTGTCAGGCCCAACATATACATGCTCAAGACGGTTAAGATGGCAGAACAAATCGCCACGAGCGCCAGTTGCAGGGCATTTCTTTTCTGGGCCTGTGCGTTGATGTCACCATACCACAGACGCTCACCGGCGTCACTCCGCGCAATTCTCAAACCTGGTAGGCCGTCTAGAGAACGAGCGTTCCACTGGGACCGATAGTCGTTTATAACGCCGTTGGAAACTTGCTTCCCGGCCCAGTGGCCGAGAGTATTGCGGTCTTCTAGATATGCAATCTGCTTCGAAGCGTTGTCCGGATCCGGTTTGGTCGCAAGATATGGCACGGCATAACCGCAAGAAGTTTGAGCCTATGAGGTTGTCAATGGTCCTGGAGTCTTTGAGATTTCGCGATGGAAAGGGGGGTGTCCTACCTTGAACACGTCCAGAATAATGACTGCCCTTGCTCCAATAACATTCTTGTTCCCCATCCTCTTCAGCCATCCATCGAAACCCGGTTCGTTCCAAGCCACGAGTCTGCCCGTACAGAAGAGGCGCATTATGCGAGGACTGGCGTCAAATGAACAGAACATGACGGTACAGCGACCATTTTCCTGGATGTGGGAGATGGTTTCGATGCCCGAGCCGGTGGCATCGACATATGCACATAGATTACGGTTTAGGACACAGAACGAAGAAGAAGGCAGGCCTTTGGGAGATAGATTGATGTGTCTCCCTCTCAACGGGGCCGAGGCAACAAAGAAGACTTGTTGCTTCATCGCCCATTCTGCCAGGTCGGGCTCAATGTGATTGTAGAACTTGACCATGTTGAATAGAATGGATGACTGTCTACTGTATACAAGAAAGCGTGACTCACCGAGTAAAGAAGCAAAGAAGAGATAAACATTAGCTGACCTGCCAGCAATTATGCCGCTAGCCCCGTACAGTGGAAGATAAGTAAATTGACGAAGTCGCAGTCGCACGTTCTCCGCTCTGGGACCCTCCCCGCACAAACAAAATACACTCAACTCCCCCACTTGTATATACCCAAAAAAAAAAAAATCCTCCCAGAAGCAAAAAAGTTGGTTACCAGACAAGCCCGAAACTTCGCATATCTTGCCACGGTGTAATCTCACGCCGCCAACTCCGGGTGGAGAAGTCTCTGCAGAATTGCTTCCCTCAAGTGTCTTCTCCATTGCTTAACATTCCGTAGCAGTCGTAGTTTACACGCACGAGTACGAAGAACGACCCGAAATTCCGAGCAAGGCACACATGAACAAGTGGGAGTGTGAAGCGACGCCCAAGGCTCAAAGGCAACCTCCTAGCTTTTTGACCATGACAGCCAAATGCCAAGCCTTGGGTGCAAAATATATTCTTGTTTTCTAACTCGAGGAAAATAACACGTGACCGTACCCGATAACTGTTGACTGATTTTCTATTGGCGCCTCTGTCCAATCCGTATATCGATTGCTCAATCGGCGTAGTCTAGCAACTCCCGCTTCCGCTGAGATCTCGCATGCAGCAAATGCACTCCGGGGGTAATTGGCCCGGAAGGGACAAGTTCGCCAAAGCAGGCTGAAGACTGAGAATTCAGATTAGACCGAGACTGAGAGATTGGGTTCCGCCGGAAGCCCCAATATGGAAAGAGCGCTCGGCCGCAACCCGAGTCCTCGAGTCCGCCATCTGCCCCTCGTTTTGCTTTCGCAAACTTTTTGGGACTTTGTTTAGCTAGCTCTTTGCCTCTTCCAGCTACCCTTCCATTTTCCAACCTTGTCCTTCATAATCATCCATCGATGAGTCCCTCTCCGTCTAATATGCAACAATGCAATCCTCTCCATGTGGCCGAACTCGCCCAAACTCTATCAGTCACGGAATCCTGACTTTCTCCCCCTACCGTTCTACCGAGTCAAAAGCATGACGGGATTCTGGATTAGTTATCAGCCATCGGTACATTTCGGTGCAGGCTGGTCACAAGAGATCCATCGACCTAATGACCACTAGCGGCAGTTTCGAAACATTTAACCCAATCCGGAGACTTGAACCGTTCGACCGCGCCTCTGGGTGTTTGGACTTTCACTCCGTACGTCCTCGATATCCTGACAAATCTCAAACGTCCTCCAAATTTTGGCTCTGCAACAGCTGCCCTTCCAAGCTCTTGTGAAATGTTTAATTTTCCCCCGAACCAGTCATAGCATCCGATCGCGGCCGACCGGCGGTAGCATCCATGCACGGGTGCATACGATACCAAACGGACATTGGGAAGAAACACAACCAACCCCTCATTCATTGCCACAGCATAACCCACCCTATCAAACATCGTCGTCATCCGCCTCATCTCCGTTCCCCAGTTCATGTGTCATCTACACCCAATCCAGACAATGCTCATCCTCTAGCCGCAGCCAACCTTCGAACCGCACTCGTTGTGCCCTCCTTTGGTCCAACTGACAACGTTGTCTGACCTTCCTACCATCCTTAAACCCCGCAGTTGATACCAGGGGGTTCCGATCGAGCCCAAAAGCATGATGGAATTTCGGCGTCTCCCTCCACCCCACCTGCGCCTCCTGCAGCTGCCGTTCGGCCTATTGAACATGACTTCAGCCCCTTGCTCAGTGGCTCGGTCCATAGGAAAGCGAGTTTTTCTTGCGGATATCATTTCGTTCATACCGGACCTTCCCCGCGCATCGATGATTTCACATAAGATCAAGGTTGCCCTCGGTTGATCGTCTGCTCCTCTTTCTTTTGTCTATTAAATCCGGACGACGTTCATTTTTTCCTGTGATACCCCTGTCAAAAAGTCCTAAAAAGTCCCATTTCATATCAGATACCTCAATCATGTCTTTGACCGCCAAGATCGAGACCCCCAGCATCACATACGAGCAACCGCTCGGCCTGTACATTGATGGCAAGTGGGTGAAAGGTGTTGAGGGCAAGACTTTCGAGACCATCAACCCCACCAACGAGAAGCCCATTATCGCCGTCTACGAAGCTGGTCCAGAGGGTGAGTCGCCAGGGGTATTGTATTTGTGCCGTCGGGAAGCTAACGATCTTGTTCCCTAGATGTCGACATTGCCGTCAAGGCTGCTCGCAAGGCCTTCAATGGTGTCTGGAGCCAGACACTCCCCTCCGTCCGAGGAGCGATGCTGACCAAACTTGCCGACCTCTTCGATGAATATTCTGATACTCTCGCTGCTATCGAGTCGCTGGACAACGGCAAGGCCCTCTCCATGGCCAAGGTCGACGTCCAGCTCTCCTCTGGCTGTCTCAGATACTATGGTGGATGGGCGGACAAGATCCACGGCAAGACCATCGACACGGACCCAGAGACCTTCAACTACACACGACACGAGGCTGTGGGCGTGTGCGGTCAGATCATCCCATGGAACTTCCCTCTACTCATGTGGGCCTGGAAGATCGGACCAGCTTTGGCTACCGGTAACACTGTTGTCTTGAAGACCGCAGAACAAACTCCGCTCTCTGGTCTATTTGCGGCCACTCTTTGTGAGAAGGCCGGTATTCCCGCTGGCGTCGTCAACATCCTTTCTGGTTTCGGCAAAACCGCTGGTGCCGCGATTGCTTCTCATATGGACGTCGACAAGGTCGCCTTCACTGGCTCGACTGTTGTCGGCCGAACTATCCTCCAAGCGGCTGCCAAATCCAACCTGAAGAAGGTCACCCTCGAGCTTGGAGGCAAGTCGCCCAACATTGTCTTCAATGACGCCAACATTGAGGACGCCATCTCCTGGGTCAACTTCGGTATCTTCTTTAACCATGGCCAATGCTGCTGTGCTGGCTCTCGTATCTACGTGCAATCTGGCATCTACGACAAGTTTATTGAGGCATTCAAGGCCCGGACAGCCAAGAACGTCGTCGGCGACCCGTTCAAACAAGATACCTTCCAAGGCCCACAAGTCAGCAAGCTTCAATTTGACCGCATCATGAACTATATTCAGTCTGGTAAGGAGGCCGGTGCTAAGGTTGAGACTGGTGGTGAGCGCCATGGTGACGAGGGTTACTTCATTCAACCCACGATCTTCTCCAACGTCACCGAGGACATGAAGATCATGCAAGAAGAAATCTTCGGCCCCGTTTGTGCCATCAGCAAATTCGACACTGAGGAGGAGGTCATTAAGGCTGGCAATGAGACCACCTATGGTCTTGCAGCTGCTGTCCACACCACCAACCTCAACACTGCCATTCGTGTTTCCAATGCCCTCAAAGCGGGTACTGTCTGGGTTAACAACTACAACATGCTCAACCACCAAGTGCCTTTCGGTGGTTTCAAGGAGTCTGGAATTGGCCGTGAACTCGGCAAGTATGCCTTGGGCAACTATACACAGATCAAATCCGTCCGTATCCGACTCGGAAGTGCCCTCTTTGGCTAGATGCGAGGTCCTTAGGTTGGTGGTGGTGGTGGGGTGGTGTGTGAAAGTAGTGAAAATGGGGAGGTGGGGCCCCAAAAAGGATAAATATATTGAGGACACAACCAAACCAAAGCCCCCAAGGATGTAAAACGAAAACTCTTGTCTTTGCATTCCAGGTTAAAGCTGGGCATGGGCAATGAACTTGTTTAGGCGTCCTAGTTCAGCGCATTCTGGTCTGTCAAATTCATGTACATGTTAAGAAGGAAATGAAAGATACCAGAACAGAAATCACATGAAACATGAAGCAAGCAATGTACTCATGGTCCCTTGTGCTTCGCGGTGAATACTGTTGTAGCTTGCTAGACCCTCTCCCCTGTGACGTGTATGACCTCGCAACTTTGTCGCCATGAGAGAAAGCTCATTCCGGGTTACTGCGCGAGTATTATACACTGGTCTAGTAAACGAAGCATCCTAATATCTTTCTCGTCCGAGAGAGCTTGGAACCTTCAAATTTCACTCGTATCATCTTCGTCACGGTACCTATCGAGACATTTCATCACAAGTCTCGACCGAGAAGTCACGATCACATGACTTACCCCCAGATAGCTCCTGGTGGTCGGCGCCTGAGTACCTGATATTCCGTTTTGCATAGAGGCGCAGTGCCACAGAAATACAAAGGACCTGTCCACACTACGGTACCAATTGTTCATTTCGAGCATCTCCTGTTCTGTTCGTGACATCAGCACTCAGGAGAGGAACCCGACGTCGACAATTAAGACTCTCGGCCGGAGCGTATGCGGTGCTGGGTCCTGGTCCTTCTGAGCCTGATCTTTCTCATGCTTGCGATCCTTCTGCAATTAAATACCGCGAGTACTAATATCGCAAGAAACAAATTGTGTGGAGCCTGGACAGGAACTTTTCACAAGGCAAAGGAGTTTGCAGCCTACCACCACCCTTCGACTTCCTTTTCGATAAAACCAAGCACTGGCATCAATTCTGTCTCGGTATCAACATCGACGAGATCCCGACAATCTTCAGAGCCCGAGCTTCAGCCTCTTCAACCGTCCCGAGATCAAATTCCTCCTCGTCGGATCTTCAATATGGCGTCGTCTGAAGACGCTGTGCCTCCGGCCCCTCCTACATCACTCGGACAGAATGCTGCTCCGGCAACGGAACAAAATGAGCCCGAGTTGCCCAAGCTCTCCGCTGAGGATTTCAGGGTGTACAATCGACTTGCTGTCATGATGGATGCTTATGTATGTTATTCTCCCTTTTGAGCTCTTTTAAATTTGTATTTTGCATGTTTCCGTTGTTGACGCTGTTTGTTGGTTGTTCGTTTCTGATATCCGTGGCAATTCCACAACACGAGTCATACTTGACAAGAATGAGCATCGTGTCGCCTTCGACTTCTCCTTTCCTTCCTCGTCGTAAGCCAGCGCTAATTTTTTCCCCCTTCTTTCCAGCACAATCATTTCCGATATACCTGGAACATGCTGTACAAGACGTGCACGTCCGGATCACGACCGGCAGGCATGTCGATTCGGAGTTTCATCTCCCAGGGCCTGCACTTCTGCCACGGTTTGACCATGCACCACACGATCGAAGAGCAGCATGTATTCCCCGATCTTGCAGAACGCATGCCCGCGTTCGCACCGCACGATCACCTCATCACGCAGCACGAACAGATCCACGAGGGTATCGAAAAGTTAGAGGCGTACCTTGACGCTTGTCGGTCCGGGGAACGGGAGCTAAGAATGCCCGAATTGAAGGAGATTATGGATTCGTTTGGTGAAGTGCTTTGGGCTCATTTAGATGATGAAGTCCGTATGCTGAGCGCTGAGAATATGAGGAAGTTCTGGTCCAAGGAGGAGATTATGTCGATGCATTGGTGAGAAGATTGTTGGGAGGGGGCGGGGAGCGTCAGACGTCAGATTCAATGCCGGATTAACGTGGGATTTGATATGGAGTTTGCCTCGACCGCATCTGGTGGGTGTAAAGGCATAGAAACGGTAGTTCCTAGTATATGTCAGCTTTCTATTTGACGCAATGGTTCAATGTTTTCTCAACAGGTGAACGTGGGAGTATCTGATGCTTGGTGAGCATCAAGATTCGATATGCAGTCAGCCCAACATTTCATTTGAAACGCTAGAAAACGCCTAACCCCGCTCATGGTCATGGTCATGGTCATGGTCATTTCCATTCATCTTCCCTCTCCAAGAAACCTGGATCAATTTGAATCTTCCTCTCAAATTTGGTCCACCAATCCTGGAAACTCTTCAATGGCACCACTTCGATCCCATTCACCGTATTCCCGGCAAAGCTGGCGAGAAAGTTGAACGCGTCCTTGATGATACGTTGAGCCAGTACTCTAGTATCGGGAGGTCTCTTGGCCACGGCGTTGGAGGTCGATGGTGTCTGTTGAAGCTGCGCCATTTGCGCCTGGATATTCGACGCCGGTTCGACGGAGATACCGAGATTCACATCGCCGGCTGTCAAATTGTCTGGGAGATTTACTCTGAACAAGGCCGAGGGTTTCTCGTTGCCAATAGCGCCCAGAAACTTGAAGCCTGCTTCTCCTGGAAGTTGCATGTACACTCCGGCTGCGGTATCGGGGGGAAGTAGTTTGTTTGGGTGCATGAAGATGCCAACATTGTGGAGCTGTGGTGTCGCAGGGAAGGAGACGGCGAATTGGTTTGTTGATACGGTGCCCATCTCTGGGATCACCGGGCGGGCAGGGATGAAGACTCCAAACATTTTTTTTTTTTTTTCTTTTTTCTTAAAGATACTTATGTCTTTTTGTTCTCACCCTGGATGTTTGACGCGAAGATCGATCTGCTGACTCAGTCGATTGGTGGCTGTGGAGCTTTGCCGTCGCTAGGGCGCCGTACGAACGTTGGAGGACTGGAGCAAAGGTGTCATTTCAAAGGGCACTGGAAACTACTTGAGGAGTACAGCTGCTTCATCCTGTCATATATTCAAAGGAGCTCTTGGAGCATGGCAATCATGCAAAGGGATGAACATGACGCAAATCGTGCCAAGCCATCAGGCTGTCGGAACAAAGTATTTACCGATCCGTATTTCTAGTACCCGTCCACCTCCCCGAGGTAGACTTGGACAATTCTGTCAAATAGGTGAATAGAAATGAGCGTTGAGACACCTTGATCAGGTTTGTGTGTTTTTGGAAATGGCGCAAAAAACAAACCTGGACTTGGTCAATGAATGCGACAAGTAAGTCAACTGAGGCTGGGTGCCTTCCAGGTCTCAACCGCTAACTGGAAAGCTTCCCTTACGCCTCGGACGACCCGGCAGCATTCATCGCAACAATGGACAGATATTATGTTTTCCTACTAGAAGGATGCAAAGCATGTCTAGGGTATACGCCGTGCAAGATTGCTGAGCAAATGCCGCCCAGTATACATTGGAACCTCGATAAACAGCGGAGAAGCCTGACTTTCCAACCCCGAGATGATAACGGAGGACCAATTAAGAATTTCGGCGCACGCAATAAGATTCTAGCAGAATACCTCCAGAGTCTTAGGGAGAAGAAGATCTTCAAGGTGCTGGACGGTTGGCGCAACGAGCTTTACCACATATATGGACCGAAAAAGGAGCTTCTGTTGAACATGGAACGTTCAGCAACCCCTCTTTTCGGAGTAGTCACGTATGGAGTTCATATGACTGGCTATGTAATGACGGATCAGGGTATGAAAATCTGGGCCCCTCGACGGGCCTTGATCAAGCAGACCTATCCGGGTATGATGGATAACACCGTTGCTGGAGGCTTGAGTGCTGGAGAAAAGCCCTTCGAATGTTTGGAGAGAGAAGCAGAAGAGGAAGCTTCACTACCCGCGGATGTGGTTCGTTCGGCCCAAGCCTGTGGAACTTTGACCTACTTTCATGTCCGAGACTCTAGAGCTGGAGGCGAAACAGGACTCTGTCAACCGGAGTGTCAATACGTATACGACCTCAAAATGCCGGCGGATGTCATACCGAAGCCTGGCGACGACGAAGCCATCGATTTTCAGCTTTTGACGGTGGAGGAAGTTCAGAATGCAATGGCTGCAGGAAAATTCAAGCCGAATTGTGCTCACTTGTTGTTGGAATTCTTCGTCAGGCATGGGATTTTGACACCCGAGAATGAGCCTGATTATGTCGAGATTGTCGCAAGACTCCATCGAAAGTTGGAATTCCCAACTCCTTGATGTTCTCAAGGAATAGCCACCACAATTCCTGAAACGCCTTCGCTGAAATGAACTTTTGTTTTTGGGCCTCCCAGAATGCATTCCCTCAAAAGGTTGAACCGGCCAAGTTTATTTCTTCATCAACAAGTACACATGGTCAATTCTCAGGGCGTTAAGAAGGGCATATGGCCCGTCCATGTAGAGCAGGAGACCACCGAAGGACACGTAAACCTTGCTGAGAAGGACATCAGTTTGGGTGAACCAAGACATTGTTTGTGCAACTCACATGTTCTCTCCATTGCCTTCTTCAAATCTGTAGATTTTTCCGTGGCATACATAGTCGAATTCGTCTGCTAGTGTCTGTTCTCCTCTTCCAACTTCCCTCCAGCCTTTCCCATCGTCCTTGCTGCCGTCCAGGTTCAGTGACAGCGCCAGAGCGACAGTCATACGGTCATCGACATTCAGAGGGTAGAGTTCGGTATTAACGTCGAGGGTGAGAAGAATTTCCTGGCCGCCTTCGCTAAAGGCTTTGATGCGGGATACTCTGTCATATTTTGTGCTGTTGATGTCGGTAATTTTGAAGCTGTTTTCGAAGAGAATATTTTCGGACATCTTGACAGCGACCAGATAATGTCTTGTGAGTCTGGAATTAATGAGATCTACAGAATAAAATGTACTCTGCGCAGGGAATAAAATTTTGGCACATTGGGTCTGTTTGATTCGCTGAAGCCTTCCTTGCCTTTAACCTTGGAAATTTTGTCCCCTCCCCCTCTTTGAGTACACATCACGGGTCCAACACTTAACACTACATCGATGTCCTTCCGAAAGCGCAATGTAGGCCTCACAGGCTCTGTGCGACTCGAAGGAACGCCACAAATGAACCTCGAAGAACGAAGTCAACTGCCAGGAGTACGACCGTCGCCTGTGGATGGGCGCTTAACAACATCCACGGGGATTTCAAGCCTTGACTCCCTCCTTGCTGGACACTCCGGCCTAGTTCTTGGATGCTCTGTACTATTCGAAGAGAGCGGTACGACAGACTATACGGGTGCACTTCTAAGATGTTACGCTGCGGAAGGACTTCTACAAGGTCACCATGTCCACGTCATTGGATTGGCAGAACACTGGGGTCGCGAACTTCCTGGAGCGGTGGGAGAATCTGAGAAGAAGGAAGAGCCTGTTGAAAGCACGGAAAAGATGAAGATTGCGTGGAGATATGAGAGCTTGGGACCATTTGGCGCAAACGCGAATGCAAGAGGTGGGCAAACTCGTCCTCGTAGCATAGCTAGACCCAATGCGATTGATTTGGGAACAATTTGCAGTTCTGTCTTCGCAATCCCACTGACATTTTCGCTCTTCTGCAGAACGGTCACAGGCAGTGTCAACCCTACAAGGCCAAGGCCAAGAGCCAGGACGAACAGCACCCATCGCCTTTTGTCACACCTTCGACTTGACAAAGAGACTGGTGCATCCAGCCTCGTCCAGATTAAACTTCCTCCGGTTGGGAACGGACCCGACCCAATCGCCTTTTGCTCCAGCACTTGACCGATTGAACGGGGTTTTTGCCAACTCAGCTCCAAATACAATCCATCGTATTGTCATCCCATCGATGCTTTCCCCAGCTTACTATCCTCCACATTCGAGCCAACCACAATATGTTCTTCAATTGATGCATGGACTTCGCGCTCTCTTTGCCTCGTACCCTGATCGAGTTACAGCAATGATTTCTCTCCCACTATCTCTATACCCCCGATCCTCTGGTCTGGTAAGGTGGATTGAGCTGCTGAATGATGCTGTTCTCGAGCTCTGTCCATTCCCTCATTCGGCAGACGGGGACACGCAAATATCTCGTGGTCCTGCTGGAACAACGGAAGAGCCGCCTCAAGGGCTACTGCAAGTCCATCGATTGCCAATGCTGCATGATCGTGGCTGCGGAATTGGGACTTCGGAAAATGATTGGACGTTTACTTTAAGCAGGAGAAAGTTCACCATCAAACCATTCAATCTACCGCCAATTGGAGGTGATACAGAAGCTCAGCAGGCATCTGGGTCGGAGCAGAGAGGAAAGAAATTAGAAGTGGAATTCTAGGGTATTCAAATGAAGGCTTAGGAATCGTCATGAAGATGACGGCCTCGTTCATTGAGCATGGTCTCCATCTCGATGTGTTCCGAAGCAGATGGGCCAGTGTTGGCCATAGTCCGGAAATAGGTGTGGTCGTATGATGCATCACGAGGATTTATACTGCATCCTGAGAGCCTTGCGCGGAATCTGTCACCTAGACATGAAGAAAGGGCGAGAAAGGCTATTGAAGCGGTCAGAATTTGTGATGATTCAGAAAGCAGCATGAGATATACCAAGAAAGAATATGATAGGCACGAAGAAGAGTAGAGCCAGAAGCCACAAGACCCCCATTTGGGAGAGGGCTAGGATAGGATGACGGGCCTCAGCTCTCGTTAGAAGCGACTGTAAAGAAGGAATCGATGAACTTCAAACGAGTCAATCCAAATCAGAAAAGTTGATCCCAAATGAGTTGATGCGACGCCAAGCCTGAAGTCTTTCAAGCTTTGAAACTTTTTGGGAGTCAACTTCCAGTTCAAACTTCATTTTCCATTTTCTCAATCAAATTCCAAAAGATGATGTAGTCTTCCTTCTCTGCTTGAAGGATGGTCTTCAAGCCACTCACTCTTTGATTTTTCTAGTCTTCGTTTATCGGGCTTCGTACATCCGGACTTGTCCCTGTTGCTGAATAAGTGACAAACTCATTACGCACGCCCATCTCATCATCAGGCACAAGTGTTGTCGTTAGGTCTGGTGAGTTCTTCTGTCCAATATCCTGGACTCCAAATTCGGAAGATTACACCAATTTTCATATCTGTCAATCCACTGAGGAACTTTTCGAAGCATGTGATTGAATCAAAAGTTGTTGAAATATGACTGTCCCCGATGCCACATACGCCATCTTCAATCCTCTGCTTGAGACATGTACTAATCTAAATGGTCTCTTCGACAGACTGCAATTTTTCACCATGGATCCCGTGGATCTTTCCTCTGATCTTGGGTTTGATCACAAACCCGAACTTCCAGTCGCCGTTTCCTTGGTTGGGGGAAGATATTTACTTTTCGATATCAAGACAGCCACCTATCTTCGTCGAGAACACCGAATTTGTGGCGTTACTATTGGAACGCTTCCACTGAGTCCCTCTCAGAATCTGTTCCTTGGTGTTCCAGTGGAAATTATGCCTGAAGATGCCCAGTTCCTTGTTGAAAAGGGCATTGGCTTCATTGTAGACGACGCACGACTCCATGATCAGGCGATTCATTTTGCCGACGCAGCGAAGCGCGCTGATTATCTTGCAAGACTACGGAAACAGTCCAGACAATTCGAGGAGCTCCGAGCCCGGGAAAAGTCGCAGTTACGGAAACGTGCATTGCACAAGCGATCCCAGAACTCAGCCGAGGCCTCCTCGTCAACTCCATACCAGGAAAATAGTGATCTACTGGATTTCAACGATGATGAAAATATGAGGTCTGCTCCAGGAGAAAGTACGAGTGTTGAGGAGGGAGCAACTCTGTCTTCCGATCCACCAGTCCAAATTCTACCCCAGACTGGCGGGTCGAGCAAGTTTCAAGTAACGCCCGCGACATCTCGTCTTCTTCTTCCGACCCCCCCATCGAATTCCGTGCCAAATATAAACGACCTGCCGAGTTCATACCCTTTGTACAGATATCTTCATGACAGAGGTTTCTTCATGACATCTGGGCTGCGATTTGGTTGTCAATACACCGTCTATCCCGGTGATCCTCTTAGATTTCACTCCCACTTCCTCGCGGTAGGAGTTCAATGGGATGAAGAAATTGACCTGATGAATATTGTGGGTGGAGGGAGACTTGGTACAGGGGTGAAGAAAAGTTTCCTGCTCGGCGGTGCAAGTCCAACGGGAGATGTTCGAACCTTCAGTGTCGAGTGGGCCGCGATGTGATTGTATATGGCCATGGCGTCGTTCCCGGAAACAATCGCGGTCCCGAGAAGAGCGTGGGTCTCCCGTAGCTCAGTATTTCCCTGGTGACCGTGCTTTGCAGTCTCAGCTGTGGTAAAAAGGTGTGATAGTCGGATCTCTGCTTCGGAAAGTCACAGATAATCCATGACCTTCCATTTGAATTTCCTGTTCGCCCTCTCCGCCGGTCTAAATTCGAATTGATTTCCGTGTAACTCGAATTTCAGGTTTTTTGACTCGTCTTTACTTCCACTAGGGATGGGAATTTCATATCTGAACACGGTATCCTTCTTCGGAAGTGTCTTCGCCTCATCCTTCGCCGTGACCACCACAAAGGTGAACTTTGTATCTCGGACCACAATCCCCTTGATGCCAACTTTGCTCGTGTCCGAGCATCGGGCCACTTCGATCTCCGCGCCGTGAAAATCCGCGCTGGCGAGAAGGCTTCCATGGCCCTGGGGTGTGATTTCTTTCGATACGCTTGTGTCCACGATCTGTCCGTCTTTCATATAGCCCAGCACTTCGAGCATATAGCTCTTCCACATCTCATGCAAGTTCTTGTATATTTCATACTTGATCTCTTCTCTCTTGAGCTTGAACACGCCCAGCTCCCGCTTCTCTTTGGCACTAAGAGGTCTCGGTTTTCGTTTCCGGAAGTAGTATTCCTTCTTGCGAAGACGTATATGTCGGCGCAATGCTCGTTTGTCCGTAGAGACGGTCGGTTGGAGGAGAAGAGGTTTGTTCTTGATTTTGTCGGTAAAGATGCGGTCGGCGGTGTCAGAGGAATGAGCGCGATTCAGAAGAGAGTGTGCAGGATGTGAGACTGCTGTGTTTGGGACATTGCGAGGTGAAGACGTCATGGCGCAGGACGGTATGCCTTGAGGGACTCACCTTGATGGAACGAACCTTCAAGGTGGAAGCCGACAGGCGTCAACATGAAGACACGCGACCGGTCTGAAAAAGATTCAATCCGCTAAAAACGTTTCCTCGCTATTTTAGTTAGGGTGACGATACGCCAAAAAATAGCAAGAGAATTTTGATGCATCGATCGATAGTTCAGCAAGTTATTGCAAAGGCAGGTTTGCCGATCACAGGTGGTCAGGTGCCCATGTACCAGCCTTGCCATGACAACACCACCTGCCTGCTATTACATGGGAAGTTCCCTGTCAGAGAGCTGTGTAATGAGGACTTAATCAGCTATAATGATATGCAGAAAGACCTCGCACCTTCTCCCAGACGCGATATTACGCGTATTTTGTCCTCCTTTGGTCATCGCCGGGCAGTCGAGCGGATTATGCGACTGACAACAACCAAAGAAACCAATGGCGAATCCGATCTGGCACAGGAGTTCCATCTGCCCGAAAGTTGAATTGTCCACAAATCTCCAAGTGCTTGCTAAATCAAAAAGTGTGCTGTGTGATGCGGCAGACGGGAAAATGGGTGGATCATCGCTACGTTCACCTGCCTGCTGTCAATGGGTATGATGTCCACCCACGCAGAAATTCCTCCTTAATGGTCTTCGAACTCGGTAAGAACAATTGATCATCTCAAACACTTTGTGGAAGAAGCCACATTGAGCAATCACAGTTCAATCAAGCATGCACATGAGCTGCTGCGCCATGCTAATCCCGCATGATGCTCGCGTTGATCAATCATGTTTCTTGGAACATTGGACCGCGCAGCACCCCTCTCAGGAAGCTGATCCGTTCATGTCATCGTACAAGACGAACCCCTGCTTGATGCACCAAGCAAGTTCCCTTTCATCACGCTGGAGTCCGACGTTTCCGGCGAGAAGGGGACCCCAGCGGATGGACAGAGAAGCCTACAAAGGTGCAAAACGCAACTTCGTCGCACAACACCACAAGATCGACGTACTTCATGTCCGCCACGCTGTAAGCATGTCGCCACAAAGTCACTGTTGTCTGCACTCCATGCCGAACCCATTTATATCAACTTCAACACACCTCATTTTCTCTCGAGACTGATGTGCAAACACACCCTCTACCATGACTCTCAAAAGCCTAGTCTAAGCCAACAGACAAAAAGAAAATACTGGAACTCTCCGTTGTTTGGTGCACTGATTATGGCTGCTGCTCTGGAGCTTCCTAGACAGCCTGATGGATACATAGCATTGATCACTGAGAATGGTACGTTGTAATCTTCTATGCCAGAGTCAGAACGCTGGTGGCCAACTGAAGTGCCATCACAGGAAATTTCGGTGACTTGTTCTGGACTCGCAACGAACACGACAAGGACACAAACGACGAGGAAGAGATTTGGTCCATAAGCAACAACCCCGGCTCCGAACTCGACAGCGAAGTGAATGATGAACAGAGCAAAGCAGGGAAGAACACATCGACAACAAAGCAAAATCTAAATCCTTAGACAAATGGGGAAGAAAAACAAGAAGGAGAGGGAGAAGGGGGGCCCACTAGGGATGGGCTATGGGATATATCTCAGCCAAGGTCTAAGCCAATTTAGTTCAGACATGTGGATGGCAGGTGGCGAAGCTCACTCTTTAGCAGTCTGGAGTGCGTCTGGATTGTGGATTGTGGACTGTGGATCGAAACAATGAACCTTTGTTCGGCCATCTGCAAGGCAGGCAGGTGGGATGTATCAATCAAGGGAAGAAACGCATCAAGAACTCGCTGGCTAACTAGTTAGCCTTACTTAGTTTGACAAGGCTGAATTTGGAAACGACTCCACTGAAACACATAGTACTTACGAGTGATGTTCCGCCTACTTGTATGTTGCCCCGCCTCTGGCGGGCATTCAGAAAGAACCAGGTGCACGTACTGCAAGCCCCAACCCACCTGCGCCCCTAGATATTTTCAGCCTCAGTGTATTACCAGTACTGCTTCTATTGAAATCGAAACAATGTTGTGACAGCGTGGCATCCTCCTCATGTCACGGGCGCATTCAGCTCCGGCGAATTCTCCCTGGAATCAGCCTCAGCCTCGTTCGTTTTACTAGGCAGTGCTTTTACGATATCTCTACCGAGCCAGCCATATCCAGCAAGACAACACATCAGGGATGCTAGTCGAACATCTAGATCGCAGGCAGGCAGTCAGGCAGCAGTTCGTCGCTCAACTTTTCCCCGGATATGTATGTCCCGAGGGTAAACAAGAGACACGCAGTTATATGTCAAGCATCCTGCAGCTCTCAGACGCAAATGAAAACATGTAATCGTGCATGACAGCCTTGGCAGCCTTAACAGCCTTGTTGCGAAGTATTAATTTATGTTTCATGTCACAAAATCTCCACCATCTCCTGGCATGATTAAATTAATGATACTGTCGATAACAGGATACCTGATTGGATCCATGTACATATTCACAAGGGTCGTCGAATTTCATTCGTCCATGTCTACGTAGACCCCCCACACAACTTGGTCTCCATCTGTCCCTGAATCCAGGGATATCCATGTCCTGTTTTCTCTTCCATGGCATCCTGCTTTTTATGAACAAATCATTATTGCTAGCTTTGCCGGGACTGCTGGTCCTGTCTTACTGAATCCCATATTCAAACAAACCATACCCGTTTTCTTGCGGCCGGTTTAACACACCACTACCTGGCCCCATCACAACGCCATCAAAATACCCGTACCAGCCTTAGTTGAAGTTGGGAAGGGAAAAAAAAGAGAGAGAAAGAAAAAGAAAAAAGAAAAAAAAAAGACACATCAATAGTCCGCCATCTCATTGAAATCAGAAGGTAAACCTCCAACGCCATCATCATGCTATGGTGAGGTAGCTTCGTGGATTGTATACGAGAAGCCTGGTGTCCTGTTCCTTCGGATCACCGCCTTTGAATCAGATCATATGGCCGTAATGCCAGAAAATCCATACATCTGCGTTGTGTTGTGCATAATATGTCCAGGTGTAGGAGGGACGTAATTTCCTTGATAAGGCGGGTTTTGGGCTGAAAAGTCCGCATTTTTGTACAAAGGATTGACAATCCCGCCTGGATATTTGGGACGAGGAGATAGACCAGTTGGTGGTGCCGGGGGTGCAGATGAAGTCGAGGAAGAATAGTATGTAGATGTGGTGCTCCCGTTGTCGTACTCGGGAGCATTGCTATTCCAGCCCCATTTTTCTTTAAGGTCGTCATGGATGAATGTGACCCGCCAGCCGGTTTCTTTCTTTATCCGGTCGAAAATTTGTAAAACTTCTTCTTGTTCTCGTCGGACCGTAAGGTTTTCTCCTGCCACAGCGAGACATCGAATAGAAGCCGAGGCCACACCCCTGTCCTTGACATGGGCGACTATGCCACATATCAGTCTAGAATGATAGACTCTCATTTCCCGCATTTCATCAGCTGTCTGGGGTTGGATGCCGGCTAATGGATGGACGGATCCGAGTAACGCCATGGCAGTATGGTAGAAGAGCCTTGCCACGATTGTCGTCCTCTTGATGAGCCAAACTTCGGGAAAAGCACTTTTTGACGATGTCATGTATGTTGGGACATAGGCCATGGCATGCATTGTTGGCGGGACACAACGGTGCCAACGATCACAAAATTGTTTCAGTCCCAGCCATTGTTGATGTCTCTGATGTAAGCGGACCTGTTCCGCATGAACACTGGCGTCTTGAAACCGTGGCTGTGCCGTCGACCGAAAATTCGTGATCTTCGATAGAATCCACAACATTTTGTGTGTCCAGTCCTCTTCATTTCCGCCGACATGCTGAGGATTCATCGTCATGTCAATGCCCCAAGTATCAGGATCCCAAGCGACGCCCCAGTTGAAGTGGAGGCAGCTGAACAGCTCGAGTCCGACATTCAGCCAAAAACAGGCAGCTCCGATGCCAGTTGCCGTGGCATCCCATCGACATTCTTTGATCAAGGCTCGGGCACCAGCAATGTGATTCATTCGTTGTAGGGCTTTCTCGGACATAACTTCATAGACATTGAGAATGGTGGCTGCGGTGGCGCAGAGGACACTGTCTCTATCTGGATTTTGAAGAGACTTTAGCAGCAGTTGTGTGGCGTTGTTGTAATAATTCAATGCATGCTCTTCTGGATAGACCGAGTTCACTAGGGTCAGGTGGCGAACACCACACGCTAGCAACGCGTACTTCAGCATGGGCTCCCGCAGAGCTTGGAACGGAATAAGGCGAGAAAAATGTTTTTGGGAATCCATCGAGTCCATCCACAGCCCCACTTCTTCTACGAAGACCTGCATGTATAATACCTCGTTCCGGTCATCCAGATAGACAGGTGTTTGATCCTGTTCGGCGGGTACCAGCATCGGTGGTTCGTAAGACTGTCTCAAACTTTGAGATGGCTCGGAGTAGGAAGCCATTGCACTCGCAGCTTCGTCGTAGCCTTGACTAGTTGCACTGGCGTACATTGCCTGGGATGATTCAGCATAAGAACTGGGATAAGACTGTTGAGGTGGAAGTGGTTGATGTGGAATGATTGGCACGTCGATTTGACCATAGTCGTAGTTCATGTCCGTCACGTCCAATCTCTGTCGTTTGGGTTCGGGTTCGAGTGGATGGTATCTCTCCAAACCACCCTTGTATTCGGAGGCAATTTCACGAGAATCATCTTGAAATGCGATTCTCCAATCGTGGGTCGGAGGAAGTAAATAAGGCGGTTTCTCGCATTGGATATCGATAAAGTTCAATCGTACACCACGTTTGCATTTGCGATTGGACTTTTTGCAGTTCTGACAATGTGGAAGACCCTCATCACATTTGAGGTGTCGTTCTCGGCAAGTAAGACATCCGGTCCTGACTCGTTTCGGCTTTGTCGCTGGGACATTGTCCGGTCTAGCCTGAGGAGGAGGAGCCTCAGGCTCAGTCATCGAAAGAGGGCTGTTTTGCAAGGTTCGGCCAGTGGGTGTCGATTTGGTCGACGAGTCCCGGGTCATGGAAGTCGGCTCATTGATCACCGCATCTGCGGCTGCGTAGGGCGGGGTCAAGAGTGTAGGCCTAGAGTGAAATATCTTTTCGGAATCCTGCTTTCGAGGTAGTTCAGAGTGCCACGACGATTGTGGGGGAGTAGTTTGCGTAGGTGCCGTTGTAGAGGCGAGGAGAGAATCGCTACTCGACAGAGGAAGAGCCGCAGCAGGCGGGTATGTGGAAGGATGGTTTTGCGCCAGCTTGAATTTCTTTACGGGAAGATCATGGCCGGTTGGGTCTGAAAGAGAGGTCCCCTCTCTGGGGATGGAGAGGATTTCGGGTGCTCTTTGCACAGAAGCGTTTTTCAGGTGCAGCGATGTAAAGGAGAGTCGAGGATGGACTGGTCTCGCGAGGGGGTTTTCAGGACTGTTTGCGGGATACCTGTTGGACCAGAATTAGTATGCGCAATGTACCAGACACATAATGCATAAGAAGTCCTTGCAAACACAACTGTGGCGTTCTGAGATCGATCGCATAGACATTCTGTGCAAAACTGTTGTAATTTTTGCGAGGTGTTAGGCAAGACTTGCCCCAAGAACATGTGTGTCGCAGCTTCAAGGGGTTCAAACTGCGACTGGGGTTGCAGGACATGCAAGCGTGTTGCACAAGCAGCCTCCTGCAATAAATGACGACATTTTCTCCCTCCACCTACAAATGCCCTGCGGCCATTTTGGAAAGCATGACAGACACTGATAAACACTCTCGGCGTACCTTTACAGGTTGGGGCTCGACGGTATGGTGACGAGGCTGGCAGAGGATGCTGAGGGAGAACGATCAGGTCAGAAAGGTTTGCAATATGAAATGCAACGACGGTGGGGGAAAGTTGAGTCGGCGGGTATGGGGAATTATGAAAGAAAAGACGAGGTGGACGAGGGAGGCCTGGCATGGAAGGGATTTGAGTTCAGCGGCATCTTGATCGAGGTGGACTGCTGGTCGATCCCGACGTTCCAGGAGTCTGGCTCGCAGAGGGATAAAGTGTGGCTTCCTGACTGTGATGCTAGATCAGCTTGACTGAGACTGTCGAGAAACCTTAAAAGCAATGGAGGAGACGTAGCTAGGATCAGAGGTGATTGGTGTGATCGCCAGAAGATGTCAGGGGACTATTGCTGCGCAAATGACAAGTCCGCCACCGCATCGAGAAGTCAAGGGAGATGGCCGAAAACTTAGAACCTCTTCTGGCCGTCTACTGGACAATCGCAAGTGGTTTCAGCCGGGGGAGAAACTTCAGACGCTCGTTAGAGGCGCGGAGGGAGCCTAAAGGCTAAAGCACAAGACCCCGGAGGGGCTGACCACTAAACTGCTATGGGTACTAGGATGTCGCTAGCAGGTACCTTTCTGCTGGAGTTCCAGTTGAGAGATACATGGCGCAGGGTCGGTTGAGCATTGCTAGTGGACGACTGCCAGCCTGATGGACTCATCAACAATCAAATCTTGGAGCAAGGTAAACCCTTCCATCCGACCTGCTTTACGTACTGCCGCTGGCGATGAGCAGGGCGGACTGAGCGATCAACACAATTTGGGAGTACAAGCAACATTCCACATACCATATTGATTGACCAGGGGGGTTAGATGGTATCTTCCATGATTCCATCTTTGATGCCCTGGGTTTGGTCTGGAGTGTGCCGCGGAGGAGACAAACTGCTGCTAGGGGGGCTGGATGATTTGTACTTTCCTGCTCGATTGATACTCCGGCAATCGCCAAGATGGGCCTGTCGTGCTGTCTTCATCCCGGTGTTACTGTGGCCTGTCGGCAATTTTGATCTGTTGACGTTTTCTCTTTCTTTTTTGGTCACTCGATCGCCTCTCCATCTTACCAGTTCCAAAAGAGCATTCTCCCCGTCCCATCAGTCCCACCACCAGCTGTCAATCATCTCATCACCGGCCATCTCTTTCTCTTCCCGAGCGCTGTGGCCTGCGATAACCAAAGCCTTTCGTCTCCATCAGGACGCAGAGCTTTGATTCATTCTCGCGTTTGGTACATCCCACGTCCTAGTCGGGATAGTCCCTGCAAATGGTCAAATGGTGATTTCAGCACATTCTGGGATTGGAATCTCTCTTCGCTTGGGGATCCCCTCCCGCATAAACTGTTGCCCTTTTTCAGACTCGCTTGTAGTAACGCATCAAAATCCCTCAGCTCTGGGTGGGCTCATACGTAGTTGTGACCTGTCGGCGTTGTTACCAGCGTACAAAAGAGCCAACATTCGGCCCGGCCTGGACTCGCCTTAGGCTGTTCTTGGGGTATCTGAGCGGTTTGGACCTACCATTCTCGGTCACTTCGTTTATGTCTGTCTTCCTCTCTGGGCGATTTCCCGCCTACCCCTGCTTTAAAGCGACTTTGTGTTCGCTTCGAGATACGAAAAGGACTTTGGATGTGGCTTGAACCACGTGGCAGCTGGCGCCCATGGTCATCTCTATGCGACTGATGGTGGTTCGAGCTTCACAGCACTAAGGTCTCATGTCCTAGTGACTTCTGATACCATGGTGGAGACAGTTTTCTTCCTTCTCCAATCCCTGTTCAGCGCAAAACTTTTCCCAGCTGGAGGATTCTACCCCAGCTCTTTCGCCCTCTCGAGCGAATCGCCTTCTGCAGTTGAAACTTGTCGAATCTCATCTATGAACGGAATCTTAATCCTCACACTGGTTAAGAGTGGGTAGCCTAACAACCGTTGAACTCTTCAGGCTGTAGCGGGTAAAGATGACGCAGACTAGGATATTGTTCTCGCTTGAGCCTCATGAAATGACATGTGTGAGACATTGTACGTCAAACCTCTCATGCAATGTGATAACCTTATGGTAAACGTGACATCCGGAAATAGTAGGACTATATTGGGCATCATCAAGTAGGGACAGGGAAAAGTGTAGTTTGATAATATTATATATATAAAAAGAACGCGAAAATTTGCGTGATTTATGCCGCAGAAATAATGCTCGCTGTATGTATCCTACCTCATGCATATGTCGGCAGTATTCTCACGTATCCACAGTGGCCCAGGGGTAAGGCGTGTCACTCGTATGATTTTCATGATGACAAGATCATCGGTTCGAATCCGATAGTGAGCAATGCGCAAATGTTGCTTTCTTTTTGTCTTCTTGCGCAGCGCCCCTTGGTTTTTGGGCTCCCAAAAGTGGCAGTGTGTGCGGCGTCACAGGCCAAATGTTGCCTAGCCGGGAACTCACGTGAACCGATTTGGGCAAGCATCTGTTTTCATCTTCATTTCGTGCAGCGCATTTGAATAAGACATCCCCTGATATGTGATATGTGAAATGCGTCAACTCTCTTTCGAAAAGATAGGCGCTGATGAGGCCGTGAGTATTCCGTGAGAAAATGTCCTAATGGGAGCCTCCATTCTGCGAATGTCGAGCAATCCACTGGACTGAATTAAGTGGCAGATTTTTGGACTCATATTCGACTCGGATGCCGTTCTCGTCGACCCCAAAATATTAAATCTGACGAGAAGATCATGGAACAAGAACCTGCGGTACCATCTTACGTCCTTCGAGGCCATGAGTCCCCAATCCACGCTCTCCACTTGTACGCAGGCAACACGTATCTTGTATCAGGCGACAGTGAAGGCTGGATAGTGATATGGAGCCTTTCCTCCAAACGTCCAGCCGCAACCTGGAAAGCGCACGTTGGCGGAGTCATGCAAATCAAGCACTGGACGGACGAGAGACTGGTCAGGTGCGTGGATGTTTCTTTCTTGATAAAACTTTCATTGATGTGGCTTGCTAGTCATGGAAGAGATCATAAACTGCGAGTCTGGAAAGTCCAATCTGAGGACTTTGCTGGCCTCAGCACAAAGTTACCTGCGGATGGTGCTCTTCCAGATCAAACGCAGCCATGGCTATTGCACTCGTGTTCTGTAAACGCCCTCAACTTCTGTGCCTTTTCGCTTTGCGACGAGGATGCGCAACAGCCAGCAATCAAAGAGCCGACACCACAATTGGTCGCTTCGCCCAATGGACTAGATTCAGGCGGCATCGACATCTTCCAGCTCCCGTCGGAGCGTCGTGTGTCCCAAATACACGCTGATAAAAACACCACGTCCGGTATGGTCATGGCGGTCTCTTTGTTTCATGAGACCAGTTCCTCGAGACTCGTCCTGGTGTCAGGCTATGAGGATGGTCGGGTGATGGTTCATATCCACCAAGGAGACCTCGGAGCTAATGGACAATGGCAAAAGCTGATGGCTGGCAAGCCGCATACACAGCCAGTTCTTTCTGTCGACATCCTTCCTTCCAAGGAGCATTTCATCTCCTCAAGCGCTGATGCCACGATTGCTAAATACCCTTTGCTGCTCTCGGAGAATCCATCTGAGACTCAGAGTGAAGTTCAACCGGAAAGGGCCATGAAAACAAAACACGCCGGCCAACAGGGCCTGAGCATCCGTTGCGACGGCAAGATCTTTGCCACGGCCGGATGGGACGGGCGTGTGCGTGTTTACTCTTCGAAAACTATGAACCAGCTAGCCGTCTTGAAGTGGCACAAAGTAGGATGTTATGCCACAGCATTCGCAGATGTCCATTCACGCACTGGCGACCCGGAGCCAGGATCTGATTCACCATCTCATACTTCTACTGAATTGATACAGCCACATAACGCCCTCATTGCAATTAAGCGTCAACGCGAGGAGAAGGCCCGCTCCACCCACTGGTTAGCAGCCGGCGGCAAAGACGGCAAAATATCATTATGGGACATTTATTGATCCATTAGATTGTACCACTTTATTGATATAGTTTTTGAAGTTTCATCTTCCTCTCTCTTTATCCTTGTGTAGCTCCTGGCCTGGTAAACTGTGCTGAAGGTCATAATGCTCGTCTTTCGCTATCTGTTCCGAAACCTGTTATTCCTCTCTCCTCCCCCCCTTCCTTCTCCTTTTTTTTTTTTTTTTTTTTTTCTTTTTGCGCCTTTTCATAGACCAAAGGTTCTAGATTTTGTTTTTGTCCACAGAATCCTCAATCCTATCAAGGTAATCTTCTCGGTTGGCTTCTTTCTTAGCCTTCGGCACAACTTAACGTGGCTCGAGAATGACATTGTCAATGAGCCTCACACTTCTTTGATTCAGCTCCTCGTTGGTATTGGGATTGTCAACGGGCCAGACAATCATTGCAGCACTCAATATCGCCCCGCGTCTCGGATTGATCTTTTGTTTGTCCTCAAGCATCGTCATATTATCAGGATCGCTCAATGCAATGTAGTCAATCTCCAAGCGCGCACTTCCCCCAAGTCTACCGTCTTTTCTTTTTGTCCTTGATTGTTGGGCGAAAACTTCGTACGCCGCATCTCTGATCTTCTTCACTGATAATTCACCGACCTTGTAGAGATTTTGAGCAGCAAAAAGAGCCCGGGATAGCACGACGACGTCCTTTCTTCGTCGTTCCCCTAGATACGTATTCCGACTGCTCATGGCCAACCCGTCTGGATCTCTGCTAGTCGGAATCACTCGTACTTCGGTGGGAATGTGAAAATCTTTTACCATACGTTTGATCAAGACAGATTGCTGGATATCTTTCTGGCCGAAGTAGACTCGATCTGCTTGAACAATATTGAACAATTTAGCGCACACGGTTGCAACACCTCGGAAGAAGATCGGACGAGATTTTCCTTCAAGTTGATTTCCCAAAGGAGTGATCGTGACGAATGAGCCGTCTCCTGCCATGTCCGACGTGGGTGGTAGGGTCGGGTACATGACCTTGACGGTGGGTGCAAAAATACCCCGAATTGTAGAGTCTTTGTTCGGCCCTGACGAGGCGGCATGTTCATCTTGCACTTGCTGCAATTTCCTCACGTCTTCTTCCCATGTTTGAGGGTATGAATCAAGATCCTCATGAGCAGCAAATTGTGTAGGGTTGACGAAGATGGAGACAAACACATCTGTGTTCTCTCTCAAAGCATGTCTCACTAGCGAGAGGTGGCCCTCATGTAGTGCCCCCATCGTTGCAACGAAGCCTACTTCCCTTCCCTCCCTGAACATTTTCTTGCGCAACTCTCGTAGCGGTGGCACATCGCGGAAGACGGGGAAGGGTGCTGCTGGAATACTCGAACTCGAACTCCATCGAATATTCTGCAAAGTTCGTAGCCTTTTTGTCCATGGTGATAGGGCTAGTTGTTGCCGCCACACTGACTTTCCCAGGGTTGGTATGCGGCACGCTCTCAATGCGGTTTCCATGGCTGCAAATTTCGTGGAATCAAGGCTCGTAAAGCGAGGTGAGATGTCGGCGGGGTAGGCAACAGCTTCATTTTGAACGCCTTGAGCTCACCGCCGTGCGAAGGTGAGTCAAAGTGTTCATGATAGAAAGTGCGGCGTGGTGTGTAGAAGGCTGGAAGCCGGGGTCGGGGAATAGAGCGGCTGATGCTCTGCGTGGGTACTTCCAATCGGAGAAGCTGCTTCGCATTTCCACTTCCAAAAAGAAAAAAAATTGTACGAAACTGCGCATAATTTTCCCCGTCGTCGACCTTTGTCTTAGATTGTGCAGGCCTTCACACCACCCAGACCGAGGGCTGGCTGTATTTCATCCCCTCTTTTGCCTACAATGGCAGATGATGGCCTGCTTCTGAATTTTGCGGTCTCTGAGAACCCCACCTCCCGTGTCCAGAAGTTCAAAGGTGGGTCGTGGAAAGATCGTTTGAGAGCGAAGCGGTTTGCCCAAAGAGGCGGACAGAGAAGACGAGAGAGTGCGAACACTGTCCCTGTACTGCCACGACACTCAAAGAATCACCTCGAGAAGACGGAGGATTTCCCGGACTCGAGACCGGTCAAGAGGAGGCGTGAAAATGGATATATATCCAAGTCGGACGAGGTCGCGGGCAAGCGTGGTCCGCAAGACCAGAGGCTGAGTGGACAGAAATCTGTATCAGGCTCTCGTGAAGTTATCTCCTCTCTATTCACCTACAATCCCAAGCCTTGGACGACTGCCGAAGAGCCCAAAGATGCACTTCGAGAAGAAGAACCGGCAGCGCCCTCGAATGCACCACTTGTAGACGGCATAGACACATTCACATCTCTGGGACTCTCACCAGCGGTTGCCACTCAACTCTTGACCAAGATGGACCTCGAATTTCCGACTGCAATCCAGAAGGCGGCGGTGCCTCAGATGTTGAAGGATGACAGTGATGTCTTTATACAATCCGAAACGGGCTCGGGCAAGACCCTCGCGTATCTTCTCCCACTTGTACAACGAATCATGGTGATGTCCGAACTGCGGAAAGACCGACAAGAGACAACTCAAGATTCGTCATTACATCGAGATTCAGGGTTATTCGCAATTATCCTTGCTCCTACACGAGAATTGTGCAAACAGATCTCTGTGGTTCTTGAACGCTTACTTGGGTGTGCACATTACATTGTTGCTGGAACGGTCATTGGTGGTGAAAAGAAGAAATCCGAAAAAGCGAGACTCCGTAAAGGGTTGAATATCTTGGTGGCGACCCCCGGTCGTTTGGTAGACCACCTTGACCATACGAAGGTGCTTGATGTGAGCAGTGTTCGGTGGCTTATTCTCGACGAAGGAGATCGCTTGATGGATTTGGGCTTCGAACAAGACATCACGAAGATTGTCAGGACTCTGGACCAAACGAAGCGGAAGAGTACTAGACCCGGACTGCCTGATCGGCGAACGACGGTCCTTTGCTCAGCGACGTTGAAGATGAATGTCCAGAAATTAGGGGAAATAAGCCTCAAGGATGCTATTCTGATCAAAGGCGACCCAAGCAGCACCGACAACCGAATGGATGGCGAGGGCAATGGCACAGATTCCGCTTTCCTTGCTCCCGCCCAGCTCAAACAATCCTACCTGATTGTCGCAGCCAAATTACGACTGGTGACCCTGGCAGCACTACTAAAACGAACCTTTGCAAGGAAAGGGTCTGTTATGAAAGCTATCGTTTTCGTCTCTTGTGCCGACTCTGTTGAGTTTCATTTCAAAGCATTTACTAGAGCTTCGGAGGCAGAGTCAGAGGGAGACCGGCCCGCGAACGACAACGTATCCGATTCCGACGTCGAGTACGTCAAAGAGTCCACCAAGTCTGCTATAACTTCCCCTGAGGCTGACTCAATCTCCCCATCCGCCACTCTCTCGTCCCCAAACAATCAGATTACCCTGTACAAACTCCATGGCTCCCTCCCTCAAGCAACGCGAACCAGCATAGTAAAACATTTTGCCAACACCACATCGCCTTCTCTCCTTATCGCCACAGATGTTGCCTCGCGAGGCCTCGACCTGCTCAACCTCGATCTAGTAATCGAGTACGATCCCGCTTTCAGTTCTGACGATCATCTACACCGAATAGGCCGTACCGCCCGCTTGGGTCGGGATGGACGCGCCATCATCTTCCTCCTTCCTGGCAAGGAAGAAGGCTACGTCTCCGTACTGAAGAGTTCATACAAGAACTCCTCCGACACATCCCGGAACGTCACGCAGACCTCCGCCGACGAGGTTCTGAAAAAGGGCTTCTCACCTCCCTCTGGCGTCATCCCAACCAAGAACCAGAATCCCGACCGAAATTGGGAAGTCCACACCACCGACTTCCAACTAGAAATTGAGCGTTGGATCCTCTCAAGTCCAGCCACAAAGGAACTTGCAAAACGGGCATTCCAAAGCCATATACGCGCGTACGCCACGCACGTCGCTGCCGAGCGGAAATGGTTTGACATTAAAGACCTGCACCTCGGGCACCTGGCCAAGAGCTTTGGCCTACGCGATCCGCCCGGCAGGGTTAATGTTGTAGGACAAGGGCGGAAGAACTCCGGCCGGAGCCGGAATGGTAGAGCCGATCATCGAGACGCAGACGGTGGCACTGCTACGGACGGGAAGGCCGGTGGACCAGAGCCTGACATGACAGGCAACGTCGACGAGGCCGCGAAGAAAATGCGAGACAGGATCCGGAAGAATAACAAGATGATGATGGGGGGTGGTGCGGATGAGTTCAATATCGCTTAGCAAATAGCAATATCTTCTCCAATGCAGCTGTCCGCGCTAGTTCAAGAGACTGAAAAGGGTTGGAACAATCCCAACTGAGGTGAAAGAGTGATGCTGCTTGTGAAGAGGTCCTGTTCACTCGCGGGATACCCTTTTGAGTACTGTAATTTAATTTTCTATTAGACTTCAAGGACTATGAGCGCAAATTCCTCCCAGCCTCGCCATGCGACCGCTTAAGCACCCTATCGAATTTGTCTGTCTGCCTGCCGCAAGATTTATTCGCTTGTTCTTTCGCTGACATGCCATGCTTTTCACTTTCCTATTCTCATCGGATTTGCAACGGCTTCAACCGCCGCATCTCACTTCATCCCATATATAGCTCCGGAACTATGAATTCTTCCTTGCTCGTGTCTAAATCTTGAAAATGCCACTCTTGCTTCTAATCCCGTCGAAAACACACGTCCCATCCACGGGAACGTACTGCCTCGTGAGTAACTTGATTGCCTCCTGTGCAACCATGCCTCCAATCACACTAGAGATATTATGCAATTCGCCGCCAGAGACTCGTTCGACTTCAGCGGTGGCTTTGTTCAGTTCTTCTTGGGTATCCGCGCTTGATGATGATGTTGTCACATCGAGAAGCCTCGAAGGCTTGACGCTGACGTTGAGAGCGATGAAGATGGGTAGGAGTGATTCCCAGTCATTTTCGAAAAGAGTCGGTAGTCGTGAGAGTGTTTTGGGATCAGAAGTCATGAGTCTCAGGGACGGAAGGGGCTCGTTGTTCGGATTCGTAAGGACACGGACATGCGCGGCGTTTTTGCAAAAGCCTTCGATCTCGGACTCTGGGATAGGGGTTGTTCTTGCCAAAAACTCTTCACTCCTTCGCACCAGTTTTGTGACCTCGGCCACATCGGCTCTTGCTTTTGTTTTGTAGATGGTTTGCAGCTTGATGTACCCTTCGCTAGTGGCTTTCATATCTGGCAATGACCCTGGGAGGGGAAGCACACCGTGGGAATCGAAGAACGTCTTGATCGCGTTCGCAATGATCCAAAAATTTGCCGAGTCACTTTTCAGGTCGATACATGAAGTCATGGACATCATTTCTTTACAACCACTCCCTAGAGGAGGTGGAGCAATGCTTTTCAGGACCGCAGCACATGCTTCATCATAGTTCTCCTCGCCGCCTTCCGGATTGTCTGTTCTTGCCCCGGACCGCACCAAGTCGCGGAATTGGGTCTTTTCCTTGAACGTCGAGGGGTATGTGTCGTTGTGATTTGTCTTCCACTCTCTTAAGTAATGTAGTAAGAGGAGTATGTAAGGGATGTGGCCATGGTCATGATCTGATAATGACCAGATATCGCCGAGTGAATCCACTGCAGAATTCAATTCTGGCCAAGGTGCAAGAAGTCGAAGATCTTGCGTACTCTCGGAATCGGGGTGCGTATCGACGATGGGATATTCATCAGGGAGTTGGATCGAAAAGGAAGCGTAGAAGCCAGCGGATTGAATGTAAATCGCCGGTATTGAATTTTGCTGGGCATAAGAACATATTCGTGTAAGAGGTTCCTGAGCTATCGGGGAACACAGGAGGATGAGGTTGTAGGGTTTGAGGGATCCTGGAACCGGAAGCCATTCGGCCAGAGGAGCAGTAATAGCATGGCCTGTAACGTCGGGATTCAACTCTGACAAAAGACGTTTTGTCTCTTCCGCTCTGGACTTGTGAAGGCTTTCTGATTCTAAGAAGAAATTGACCCCAAGATCCGCCTCAGTAACGTCGGCAGAATCTGCGATTGTGAAGTTTCCAATGCTGGGTAAGATTAAGTTCTTCAAAGTCTCGACGCCAGCGACGCTGCTGTTGGAGCCATGGTGCTCATCGCCGGTGATCAGAAGAACGTGAGACTCTTCCAAAGCACGTTGACCTGAAGCGGCCCATAATCTCAACTGTCGGTCATATTTCTTCTCTTTAGCGCTTGGTGCTTGCAGAGGCACAGGAGTCACTTCGCGTGGAGCGATTTGGGTCATGGCTGGGGCTTAACACGAGGAGGAGCGGCTGGTGAAGAATGAGTCTTCGTTTCCGATTGGCAGTCCAATAGATGCGAAAGCTACAGACATTCCTAGGAGACTTTCATGTCGGGTTGCTGTTTGTAAACACATTTTCATGGTGCACTGGCACCGCAGGAAGACGCCTGGTGAGCAAAATTCAGCGATCGACGTCACCGGAATTCGGGTCAATTGTTGTGCCCCGCGTTGAGCACGGGCATTGTACCAACGAAAAGGCAAACTGCCTGCCCATCCATATAACCGCCACAACGGCACTCGATCGACCAGAAACAGAACAGTCTCCAATAGCGGCAAGCATCGGCTCTGGCCCTGTCCAGCTAGTCATCTGTTTCCGTGTACGTAATCTCAATTAGACGCTTTCGATATATGTACCTGAGAACCATTACAGGCCTTTGCGTCCGCGCGTGTGAGTCGCCGACATGCTCCCCGGTCATGCCACCTTTTCTCAGCTAATACCGTGTAGCTGGGAAGTTGAGATCTCTCTCTACTATATATCGACTTGAGGCTCGCCATTTTGCTCCGTTCAGCGGCACTGCAGCCATTCCCAACCCCACGAGATCCCTCCACACCAATCTCTCCGAAGCTCTCAACATGGCCGCCGAGATTGAGGCGGCGAAGAAAGCGGCTGCCATAGAAGCGGTACGAAATCATTTTCCTGAGAATCCGCGCTTCGTTGGCATCGGATCCGGTACAACAATTGTCTACGTGGTGGAGGCTATTAAAAATTGCGGAGTGGACGTTTCCAGAGTGGGCTTCGTGCCAACAGGATACCAATCTAAGCAACTCATCATAAACGCTGGCCTTGTTCCCATTGAGTTCGACGCCCTTCCGGACGATTCCGTGATTGACATTGCTTTCGACGGCGCGGACGAGGTAGACGAAGAGCTGAATTGCATCAAAGGAGGAGGTGCTTGTCTGTACCAGGAGAAACTCGTGGCCATGCGGGCGGAACAGTTCATTTGTGTTGCCGGTACGCGACCGTCTCCCTGCACTGACTTCCACTAACGAATGATAGACTTTCGAAAACTTCAACCCCGACTAGTCACCAAGTGGCCAACCATTCCCGTAGAAGTCGAACCAAAGGCTGCCCGGCAGGTCATGAAACGACTGCGAATGCTGGGAAGCGTAAGCCCAACAGGAGCAGGCCCATTGATCCGAGAAGGCCACATGGCCAAAGCGGGCCCAGTCAAGACGGACCAGGATTTCTTTATCATCGACGCCCCATTCCCACACCCGCTTCTGATTGGCGAGGATACTTCTGCAGAAAGAAAGGGTGACGGTGAGCATGGTTATTGGGAAGTGGAGCAGCTTGCCAAAGCCATCAAGGATATCAATGGTGTGCTTGCCGTAGGTCTTTTCTGTGGTCCAACCGGCCCCGAGGCCAAAGCGGCTGGAGTGGTAGGAGGCCAAAGACCGGTAGCATGCTATTTTGGCATGGCTGATGGCACTGTATCGTTGCGAAGAGCCCGAGAAAAGCGACATTCCGTTGTCGCCAAATATCCTCCCTTAATACCGGTGCATTCGGTGGAGACTGCTGCGGTCGAAAATTGATAGACCTCTGTGAATGATCATAGATCGACAATGATCTTTCGTATGAATAGAATTGCTTGGCTCGAAATCACTTTGCCTTCCTCTTGACCTCGGTCTCACCCAGTTCACGAATGAAGATGCCGACCGAGCCCTCAGAAATCTCATCCTTGCCGTCCTCAAATCCAGGGCTGATTGCAGTAGCGAGATATTTGCCGTTGGAGCTGAAAGAAATGGCGGCAACACTCGAGGCTAGTTTGGGGTATATCCGAATTCTTCGTTTCGCGACGGCGTCCCAAATCGCCACCACTCCATCTCCACCACCGGTCGCAAAAGTCCCGTGAATGGGATGAAACGTAATCGCGTTCACCGGATAGACGACATCGACATCATCTATGTGTTGACGGTGGCATTTGAATGCATATTTGCGAGCCTGGGACTCATTCGACGGATCAAACCATTCAACCGCGACTCGACCCTCGATGCTGGAGGAAGCGTACCCTTCGTCATTTGGCATGCAATCGACTGCTCTCGTCATGAACTTCAAACTGCTCTCGCGCCTCTGCCATGGTTCAATATCTAGTCTATTTTGGAGCGAATTTGCCGAGCTTTTGCATTCACTTGCGAGTGTTTTTAGTTCGTAGATATGAAGAGCGCGATTTGCCATTGCCACCACAAGCTTGGACGTTGACACGGCGAGCGAAAAAGGTTTGGAAGGTAGGTTGATCGTGGCGGTCGACCACTCTGCATCTCCGCCAGGATGAATGTGCACCGTTGAATCCCAGGCGGCGGAAACGACGAGCGAATGTTCTTTGCTATAGACAACGGACCGGACACCGTTGTCATGCGTGCTCAATACCGTTTGTGTGCCGGAAGCCACATCGATTCTGCGCCATCAGTCTCAGCCTTTTTTTTTTTTTTCAGTTCAAACAGGATGTCACACCTTCGCACGTCCCAGTCTAAGCATGCAGTATAGATTTCATTGTCGTCCTTGCCAAAGCAAACGTCGAGGACCGGAGCTCGATGCTCGAATTTAGCAACCTGAGTACATGTTTTTCCGTCAGCGAGTTCGTAGATGTATGCGTGCTTGTCCCATGAGGCCACGGCAAAGCGAAGGGAATCTGGATGTGGTGAGAAGCGCAAGGCAGAGATGGCATCCGCAGGAATATCGGAGACAGAAAATTGACCTAGAGAATTGTAAGAACTTAAATATTATGACAGGGCATGGACTCACTAGACATCTTGAAATCAAGAGCAAATGTTATTTGGTGGTCGTCGTAGTCTTTTCCTGAGGAGCGAAAGTATAGCTTTTTGTTTTGGGGAAACAACGAGATCGAATATTGCCGTTCTTCACCGCTCTGGTACCTGCAGCCCGACAGCCTTGAGGGAACCCCGACCCCAGTCTGCCGCAAGCATGAGGGAAGACCCGAGAAAATAGTCGTTGATTGAATAAAGACTAGTCATACGCAAAAATTATATTCCAACTATGTTTCTGTGTCCAAAAACCGGTGTTTTATGCGAGAATGCTTCGAACGAACATCGCTCGAATTCAGTGAGAATGAATATCCAGACCCAACAAACGTCCCATGCAACCGTGAGAAACTGAAGATAAGCAAAGCTTTTTCCTGCTGGCCAACACGAGAAGATTGGTGTTGATGATGCATGCTCCCAAGAAATGGGCCTAGCGTCAATACTTACTTAGCTCACCCGCTCAATACATAAATGGGTAATCGTCTAGTCTTGAAAGGATGACAGTCAGACTCAACATTAGATCATGTCTTTCCACTCATCTGGGACATCTTCCTCGGCGATCATCCGCCGTAAATCCTTGAGGACTGCCTCCGTGCCCTTTTCAATCACAGTTAACCTGGGGACACGGAACTTGTTACCGCTTACTTCCAACACTCTCAACTTCCCAGGCATTCTGGCTCCTGGGGGATGATTTCCGAGGAGCCCTATCTTGGGCGGTAGGGTTTCAATCTCATTATTGCGGATGTCAAGAACCTCCAGACCGCGCACTCCCTCAAGATCGACGCTAGTAAACCAGTTATCTGTCGCAAGCAAGGTGCGGCAGTTCGACCACCAGGCTCGCACCCATGGAACATGGCCGGTTAACCGATGGCATGAAATGTTTAGCTCCAGCAGCTCTGGAGCTTTGAGGTAGGTTGTCAAGCCATCGAGAGACGTGAGACCAGTGCTCACTATGTACAAAGACTTGAGGCTTGGAAGAAAGAGCTCAGAGGAGAGGTACTCGGTCGGATGAAGAAGAGGGTTGTGACTGAGATCCAATGATTGCAGCGAGTATTTCAAAGTTGGATGAGAAAGAAGGTCGACCGGAAAGGTAGAAAGTTCGTTGTTGGAGAGTTTCAATGTATGTATCGGCGCATTTGAGTCTCCGAGGTCAATATCGTCATTGGAGATGGATGTGAGCCCTTGAGAAGAAAGGTCGAGGATGCCATGAGAAGGCTTGTATCGGTAGTGTTTGTCAGCATCGCTGTCCGAGAGAGATGTAGAACCTGATGGTGCGGTGGTGCCCAGAGACTGGTCGAGCTTCTTTTCAGCATTCGATTTAAGCTCAGTTGTGCTCATGGTGAGATACTTCCTCTCTCGGAGAGGGTTGCCGACCACGGTGAGACTCGACAGGCTGTCCATTCTTGCTACTTCGGGGGGAATTGACCTAATATTGTTGTGGCCAAAGTCTGCATTCTTCAAAGCCTGCATCTGGGAAAAGTTCATAGGAATCTCATTCAACTGATTTTCCGCAACTCGAAGAGTTTGTAAATTTTTGCAACGAGTCAAGTCGGGCAATCTGGCAAGTCGATTGCCGTCCAAGGTGAGTGAACGTAAGTTTGGGAGATCAAATTCACCCTCAGTCACCTCTTCCAGAGCATTGTACGATGCATCAACAATGCGCAAATCAGATGGGATTGGCGATCCGTGAAATAGCACTCCCGATAATCGATTTTTCGACACGTTCAGTTCGGTAAGCGGTAGGATAGAGAGCGATTCCCAGGGGAGCGTTTCAAATCTGTTGCCTGCGAGATCTAATTTCCTGAGGTTCCTGAGCTGAGAGAGGGCACTTGGGCCAAAGTTTTGAAGGCCATTCCCATGCAGGTCGAGAATCTGAAGATGTTCAAGATGACTGCTCATAAGCTCCAAGGTTCCATTGATAAGATTTTCGCCAATGACGAGCTCCTTCAATTGAGGAATTTGCCCAACGATTTCAAAAACGGCGCCGGAAAGCTTGTTATTGCTCAAGTTCAAAGTGTGAAGTCTTTCCAACCTTCTCAAACCGACAGGTAGATGCTGCAATTGATTTCTATGCAAATCAAGCTGCTCTAGACCACCGAATTGGTTACTCTTTTCATCGTCGTTGGCGAAGTCGGATTCTGTGTAGTCCGGGAAAATGTCATCACCAAGCTCCTCAATATCGTTATCCGCTGCATTCAATTTGACGAGGTCCACCATCTCTGCCCAGTTTATTGTGCTGTTCTCCGGTTCGTACATTTTCATGACTTCTGGGGGTATTCGTTTCAAACTCATCCCTGCAATGCTCAAATGACCAGAAGTGACTGCTTGTTGAATTCGGTTTCGCAACAACCTTTTATTGTCTCCGCTGTCCACTCTCTCGACATCGAAACCGTCCACAGCCCAGGCGGAGTTTCCAGAAGGGTGCGTAAGGGGGGTCGTAGAATTTTCCATGGCCTTTTTCCTCGCGGCCTTTGCTTTGGAGATTGTTTCCCGCAAAGCAGCAGATGATTTGGCGGAGTTTGACCCCGGGGAGTCTTTGGTGCCGGCAGCAAGGCGGTCCTGCTCCGTGGTAGAGGAACTCTTCGACTTCCTTGAGTTTGCAGTAGGTGGTGTCGACGGTGCAATTGTGTTCTCCCCTCGCGATCTTGGTTTTAAAAGAGCCGGCGGGGCATCAACGTTCGAGACAGCAAGCTTTCCGGCGGGTTTCGTGGGAGAAGGATCTTTGAAAATTGATGACAAGGGTGGCTTCGATCCAGAATTATTAGGAGTGATTGATTTCCTACCATCGGTTGATTTGATTTTCATTGTCTGGGCGATGGTCCTTGATTGAGACAAACCATTGGTTTCCTGGGATTGAACCTCGAGAGCGGAGCTGACGGACCTCCCGGGATCATGAAGTGGTTTTGCTATCCTTGAGCGCTGGCCCCTAACAAACGCTTTTGGCGGGGTATAGATATCACCTGGAGATACGACCGGTGGCAGGGTCGCAATGTCTTTCGTAGGTGAGATCCTCCCTGGTGGCCGAAAAGGCTTCTTGGATGGCGAATCCGGGCGAGAAGCCGTGGGCGTCGAAGGCTGTGATTCTCTCATGCTGAATCCGGGACGTGCCGGGGGAACCATAGCACCATCATTGCTGAAAACACTCGTTCTTCTTGGGACTGGCGAAGGGCAGGGCGAACCTTGCGATAAGGTGTCGATGGTCCTTTCGGATAGTGACGGTCGAGGTTTCCGTTTATCCCTGGTCCCCGGTCCTAGATCGTCCTTGCGTACGGTCGGATTTTCGTTACCATCCTCGAATACAGGAGCATCGAGATTTGCCCCAGGGGGAGTGGTGTCCATGGCCGCAGATTGTGCATCGTAGAGGGCATCTCTCACTGGGGATGCACTTCTCACTTGGTTCGAGTTGTTGATCAAGCCGTATCGTGATCGGATGGACTGATTGATGTTGTCGCCTAGCGCTCCCCGAGGATCCGATGGGCGTGGAAGATGGGAATTCTTGCGCAAATCATCGCCGTGAATTCCTGGAATGATGGACGACCTAGCAGCAAGTTTCAGGTTGTCATTAGAGGCCACCGCACGTGCAATGGGGAGCCGTGACAGGCGTGGAATGCTTCCACGGAGGGGAATATGGGATCCTTGCTCGTGGTCCATGCTTCAATATTGTCTTAATATGCGTCAATCCATGGAAGCTGCATGGATTCGTAGACAATTGGGAAACCAAACATTGAGAGCCGGGATTGCAGGGTACGGCAGATAGAGTTCGAAGTTCGAACAGGATCAGGTGCGAGGTGTCTTGGATCGAATTTTAACGACGAAGACCCCATGTTGACGAGAGAAAGGGGTGAGTGGAAGCAAAGATCGACTGGTTGCTAAGCGACGCGCTGCCACTTGACGCGTTGGCACTAGTAAAAAGGCTAGTCGCTGGACATGGTCAGAATCCAACGCCGCCGCCTCCTCCACCAACCCTCCTCGTCCTACGTAGCACCACCGCTCCCAGCCTCTCCCCTTCTTCGACCTTCAACCACCGGACCAGCCTGCCAAAATATTATTCTGTGTCCCATCTTCCACGTTTTAACGGCAACCAGAGTTCTGTCTCCCAGACCTTCATCGCAATGTACCAGTCTGCGACCTGACGGGAAAACACTCTTCCTCTCTGCGTACGGGAACCCTTCTTTGACCGCTCCGCCCATCAACTCTCTGCTCCACCACTATCGATACCAGCTCAAGCGACAGAATTCTCTGGCATTGGGCTCGGAAATCCATTATTTCCCTCAATCAACTTCAGCGCGAACGGTAAATAAATAAACTCCATCCGGTCCAACGGTTCAAGTTTGGGTCACCATGGCCAGCCCCCATTCCGATACGGCTGCGGAAGACATTCTCATTGCTTCTACTCCTCCGCCTGCGCGGACACGTTCAGCAGACAGCATGAGCAAATCCACTTATGCATCTCCTCCACCAATATCGGGAAGCATGACCCCTCCGCCTTCTACACAACCTCCCCGATTCCATTCGCCGATCAACCGCTTAAGTGTTGGGCCCAGTGACACCCTACCTGCGTCCCCCCCAATGACAGTCAGAACCAATGTTCTACTTGCGTTGCCCACACCAGACGCGATCGCAAAAGCAGACATTGAAGAACTCCGAAGAATGGCCAAAGAGTTGGTCGCCGCTGTCCGAGATGCTAGAACCTCCGCCGCACACTTCAAATTACAACACAGTTTCTTGGTCATGGAGTCTGAGGAGGCTGCACAACGAGCTGAAGTTGAGCACCAGATGACTCGCAGAGAAGTTGAAGTCCTTCAAGCTGCTGAGCACAGACAGCGCCGGTCATTCTCAATGAATTCTCGAAATTCTCAACCACCACCGCAACCGCAGATTGATGCATTGACCAGAACCTGTAGGGTGTTGGAGGAGGAGCGAGATGAAGTAGAGCATCAATTATTGCGAGCTAAGAAACTGGTGGAGCTAGAGAAGGACAAAGTTGAGCTGTTGACGGAAGAAAATGCTCGGCTCAAGAAACGCATTCGCGAGAACAGAGAGCATTTTACTCGGCTCAAAAGCTTGTCCCCAACGTATACAACGCCTCGCGACACGTATACCACCCCTCAGCGCAAAGCAGTACCACGGTTTGCAGAGTCTGCGCCGAATCATGCGAATATTGCAGCTCTTCTGGCAGCCGATCAAGTCCTCAGCGGAGAGAGCGTCAGTGTTCCATCTACTCCCACCAGAACTCACACCACTAAATTTAAACATGGTCACATTCGTGGTACCCACTCTTTATCCTCGCTTCACACTACACCTGCACAAACGCTCCCTATGACTCACAATGGTTATTCGGAATCGATGGTACCATTTTCTGCTCCCGCTTCCCAACTGGCGATTGAGTCAGCAGAAAGAGAACGTCATGATCGAGACAGCACCATATCGATCTCTGATGCTGAAGAAGGCAGTGACGATAATATCCCTCAGTCACAGGCCAGTTCTTTGGCGAGCGACATGTTACGGAGAAATCCCGGAAGCCAGGAGAGCTTAAGACTATCACAGAATGCAGAGCGCTCAAGCAGTCTCCTTCAAACTAAGCTCTTCGGACCCGTTAAGAAATCGAGTCATCTCAGAAAGCGAGGAGCCAGCTTCGGGGAGGCAGACATCAAAGCCAAAAAGGCAAAAGTTTCTCATGGTGTTGGGCTTGGTATTGAATCGTGGAGTCAAAGTTAGGAAATCTCAAGTGACAATGGCTCAATGCATTGCGATATCAGATTGTAACGATACCCACTCAATTCCGGCGTTGATTCGGAAGGTTGGGATGATAGATGATGGAATGTTTCGGTTGATAGTAGCCCAGGCTCATTTTCATGGATGTATAGAAACATTCTCGACTTTGGTTGAATCAGGCCCATAACAAACTCCTACTGTGCATGAAAATAACGATAATCCATGTTGCCCATAACTTCACATCAGGCCGCCAGAGTAGTATAAGGCTTTGAAACGGGGAAGAACATGAAACAAGCGGCCCAAATCCGGATCAATCAACGGCCTGACATGTAGAAAGGGCTGGCGATGCTAAGCCAAGGCGAGGCTGGGCCATGCAGGGCTTACTTCAAAAATTTTTATCACGTGACTAGGGCAAAAATCTTGGCAAAGTTAAATGCCAAGACCCGATTTCACACTGGGCACTCGCGGGATGTGTTCTGAAAGTTCGACCTGCGCCTGCACCACCAATTCTCAATTCTCTTCAGTTTCGAGGCTGTGAAAGGGACCCTTTTTAGTGTCAGACCTCGCAGAGATGGCGATCAAGCACAACCAACAACTGCCCAACAACCACTTCCACAAGGACTGGCAGCGTCGAGTTCGCGTGCACTTCGACCAAGCGGGCCGCAAGTCTCGAAGACGAGCTGCCCGACTCTCCAAGGCCGCCGCTGTCGCTCCCCGGCCTGTCGACAAGTTGAGACCCGTCGTCCGATGTCCCACCATCAAGTACAACCGACGCGCGAGAGCTGGGAGAGGTTTCACGCTGGCTGAGCTGAAGGTATGATGATTTCCCCCCGACTTCACCAAATTGGTACCCTGGTGTTTCAATCCGTGGGATGATGGAGCGTGGGTGAATGTGGTGAAAGGGCTGGAGAAAACAGGTTATGGATCTGGGGTTAAAGGAAGTGTGATTGGGTCCAGAAGCTCAAATGAAACGACGGGGAATTCAATTCACCTCAAATTTAATCTTTTGGCGCCACAGCTTACAATCACGCCCCATACCAAGGGAAGAAATCAAGATAACTAACAAACATCTCTGTTCTCTATATAGGAAGCTGGCATCCCTCGCAAACTTGCTCCTACCATTGGCATCTCCGTCGACCCCCGCCGCCAAACAACCTCTCAAGAAACCCTGGCCGTCAACGTTGCACGACTCCAAGCGTACAAAGCCCGTCTGATCCTCTTCCCCCGAAAATCCGGTCAACACAAGAAACTCGACAGCTCTGCGGAGGACGTCAAGATGGCTGAGGACGAGAGCAAGATAACCAAGAAACTCTCTGACGCGCTGCCGATCGATAGCGGCGTCGGTCTCAAGCACGGCTTTAAGGAGATCAAGAAGGGTGATATGCCTGAGGGCGAGGAGAATGCTTACCGCAAGTTGAGATTGGCGAGGTCGGATGCCAGACTTGTTGGCGTGAGGGAGAAGCGAGCCAAGGCTAAGGCGGAGGCTGAGGAGGCGAAGAAGAAATAGACGAACAATGAACGAGAGTCTGGTTGAGAGAGTTGGTAGCCGCAGGCGACGAAAAGGAGAATCTCGTGTTCGCTTCGAGGCTTGTTAATTTTCAAGCTTGCGGATTCATGGCATGGATGATAGATGATGGGTGATGGGAATGGATCGCATGGACATCGAAAAACCACAGTACGTCTGGACAGGAAGTCTGGTATCGTGGTGTTCCGCTTGCGTCTGCAGTCGACTTCATTCCGAGAGGGGAAAAAAGGCCTTCACGTCGTGTCACCGGTCAATTAAAGTGACGGAGGGAATCAGAAGGCACTACCAATGAAAATGAAATTTCACAGCAACAAAATTTTCTCTTCTGTTGCGGGATTCGTATCATTATATTCGTGCCAGCACCTATGCAGAAGTCTTGAGAAGCGGAACTGCAATAGCTGAATATTCGACTCGGTACCTGTAGTTTGAGACTTCTCATCATTAATCATCATGGATATCATCGAACCGTCAACTTATTGTTTGTCGTACATGCATATCTTGAATGCCTGTCAAGTTCGTTTCCTCTTGCCTTTCCCTTCCTCTGCCCCAGTACCGTCATTCGTCTCGCTATGGATCAATTCCCAAACACCTTTGAAGGCGCCGATAACGCCTTTGGCTGGAATCAGGCAGCAAAAGACCTCTTTCGAACCTGCCTGCGCTTTGGAAGAAACGCCGCTGACGGCGATGCTGATGTTAGACGTAACACCTCCAGTCCAATCAAGGTCGATGTCCCACATGAGCATGACTGTTGCTGTGCCCTTTTTGCTACGATTTTTGGAGTTAGAGCCTTTATAGGCAATCTGAATCTGCGTCATGTCCAGGTATCGACTCAATTCAATAGTCTTGGATCGAGTCCACTCTTCATCACCCTCTTCATCATCGGCGCTGCTAGACGAAGAATTGCGATACACCTTTTCCAGTCGTTGAAAGACTTTGGCACGTTCCACCATTGCACTGAACCATCGACCCATGCCCCATATCACTCCACCAACATCTAGACAATGCAGAGGATGCTGCAAGCGGTCTCTGATCCATTTATAAATTCCCGGCTTTGTGGAATTTCCGCGCCGCTTGTCCGTTATGGCTTCTTCCATTCGAACACTCTCGACTCGTACATCTTCGGCGTCAACAATAACCTCAAATTCGCAGGCCAACACATTGGGCAACCATGGAGGTGGAGCATCAATGGCCAAAAAATGAATGATCTTGAGTCGACCTCTTATTTTCTTGGTCTCAGTCCGACTCTTGAGTTGGAGGTTGCCCGGAGAAAACAAGGTCAGGTAGGCTAAAGCGTCGTCTCCTAGATCAAATGATTCAGGGAGCTTCTGTTGAGATGCAGGATCTTCGGTGGAAGTTTGTCTTAGGAGCGACAGGTATTCATCGCCAACCTCCTCGTCGTTCGCGAGAACTGTCCCAAGCCTTTCATTTTCTTTTTTCAATTGTTCCAAAGTTTCTTTGAGGGACTGAAGAGTGGCCTGTTTTTCTTTCAGGTTGGCTGACACATCCTCAACATCTTCATCCTCCGGTCCTTCAAGTTCACTTTCCTTTGCTTCGTCGATAAATCCCGTTGAACTTTCCAAAGCCTCGTTACCAGTCGCACCGGGTGATCGAGCCTTTGGTTTCAATGGACTGCTTGTCATAGGTCCATCTGCTCTTGTTCTCTTTCTTCTTTTTCCGCTGCCCGTCTTGGATCCTCTGGGACTGCTGCTGGATGCCAAACCTCGAGGTCTCTCAGGCACGGTACTAATGCCTAATTGAACGGGTGTCGGAGGCAGTTCGGGCTCGTTGCTCGCGTGGTGAGACGTCGCTCTAGTACTTGGATCCGTTCTCCGGACCAGAGTAGGCATTATGGCGGGTGACATTGAGTCGTGGCTGAAACCTCTTGTTCCATGGCCGTTGATGTGTGGCTTCTGGCGCTCTCTCAAAGGGGAGCGGGAAGTCATGGGAGGGTGGCTAGTATTTGCAGTTCTAGGATCCTTCTGCGACGCATTTGGGGCTTGGTCGGGAAAGTTCTTGTCTCCTTGGGCTGGTCTTGACTCGTTCACCATGCGGTCAGGAGGCTGGCTAATTCGGGACGCCGTCTCGGGCGGTTCTGAGGCACTGGACTTTTCATCGCGGATCTCATCTCTTAAGCTCGCTCCTCTTGGTTCCGTCAGAGATCGACGAGTTGTTCGAGGGATGAGATGTGGATGTGAGCGGGCTAAAGAACTTTTGGTTGGGGAAAGGTAAGAGGCTCTGGTGGGGGTTGTTGGCTGTTCATTGATGCTCGTTGCACTAATTTCAGTGTCGTCTATTGGATCGTGCGAGGCTACCCTGCGTCTCTTTGCAGGTGACGGAGGCATTGTACCTCTGTTGCTGAGAAAAGTCTTGATTCAGATTCGGACATGCGGGCATTGAAGGCGCTTGTCACGATGGAGATTGCACCGTAAGTTGACGCGACCTGGGTTACATAAACATTCACGTGACTATCCGCTAGCGATAGCAGAAAGTCGATGCCCTTATTCCGCCAATCGCATGTTGGCAGATTTCACTTTTTAACTACGACTCCGGAAGTGAAAGCCGAGAGGCAATACTTTTGCCTCAATGACCGCCAGCCACAGTTCACGTTGTTTTCACGACGTCATATGGAACAGGCCGAATGATGGCAAGCAAGCATTGGCCCTCGGTGGTCTCGACGTGCATGGAGGCCTCTCTACAGCCGTTCCTGACATCCTCCTGCTTCTGAACGGTAACATTTTTTAAGAGCAATTGATTGAGACATTCATACCTTCAAAAAGCCCTCGGTCATCCTCTCGCCTTCTCCATGATGCCATATCTTGGCCGTTCTCTGAACCCGCGACGGACAGCCAGCGGATTTGTCTCTCTGAGATCAGTTGCTTGTTTTCATACCACTTCTGCCAGACGTGCGTTGAGCGAAGATAAAATTGGTTCGTCCTCTTTCGGCTACATATTTACATCAGCACTACACGCCCTTCCCTTCAAACCCTAGTAGCGTCTTTCCTGTTCGGACAAGCTTCCTCCTGCTCTATAGACATGACCCTCTCAACTAATCCCCAGGCCTCGCCACTGACGCACCGCCAACACAGATATTCCCGAACGAGCACAAGAGATCGATCGACACAAGTCAGACAGCGTCGAGAAAGCGAAGACTGGCAAAGGAGAATGGAAACCGGAACTGGCGTCTCAAAGTGAACAAGCGATCAGTGGCGATAAGAGTGACATGACGATGGAACAGATGCAAAAGATGGGCGAACAGAAATCAAAAGGTGCTAAAAACTGAGAGTGACATCTAGAAAGTGTCCATAGAATGGAGCTTTACAAGAATATGATTCTCTCTCCCTCTCTCTCTCTTCCCCCAAGCTGGCTCCAGTAGATTTGGATGAAAAGTGCGGGGAGTAAGCAACGCCAAACTAAGTGTATAGAATGTGTACACAGTATCCATAGCTTTGCCACACCCCAGATCTGAAAAGATTTCCAGATTAAACATCCGAATGTGCCATCATGTCTGTCAAACTGGGAGGGAGATTGCATATTCAAATAATTTCTGTATGCCTCACCGATATACCTTCTACTGCATTCATTCGTAAGTCGTTCCAACATAACTATTATTTCATTTTCCAAACTTCAAGCCGACCATGCCAATGTGTGGCGAGTCAGAGCATGTAGCGAAACCCAGCGTTCTCTACATTGAGTTTCTTCACACCCCCAATCAAGGTCTCTTCGACATCTTCCGGCCCAAGCCCGGTTTCATCATCTTCTTCTGTCTTCCTAACAGTCGAGCTCACTAATTCATACTCACCACCTCTTGCAGGTTGGGCAAATCCGTTCTTCCTATTCGCGTTCTGAAGTACCAACCTTAATACGCCTGCCAGACCGGCAACACCCAGGGCCATGAAGCCGGCGCAAACAGCCATTCCTGGAATGTAAAATGGCCCGTGGCTTTTTGGGAAAACATGTACTCCAATAAGAGGACCGCACTGGCCTACGATATTGAGGATTGTGAGGCCAGTGCCCTTGCCCGTCGCTGTGGCTTGGTTATTCAGTGTCCAGGTAATGATCAATGTGACCGACGCAAACAATCCCATCGCCGCACCGTATACGGCGACATAGCGGATGGTGATGCTACCCGCATCGCCGAGAGATTCGTGTAGGGTCCCCGCAATAGCGATGCCGGCGTACGACAAGGCGCTGACCAGCGCAACGCCGATTAAGAACAAGGAGCGGGAATCAGGAATCTTGTCGCTGTACCGGCCGACCAGAAGGACGAAGAAAAAGGATAACAGGTAGGGCGGCGCGGCGAGAGCTTGAGATGCCAGAGGCGAGAAAGACATGCTGTTTATTATGGTTGGGAGAAAGACAGGAAGTGAGCTGAAAGAAACATTCACGCTCAGAAACATCAAGGCTGTGAGGTATGATTTAGGATCGAGAACGGTGGAAAAGATTTCCTTGACGTTGATACGATGGGTTGTCGAATTGTTTGTTGATGGGGCATTGTCCAAATGCGAGTGGTGTTGTTCGGACTGGAGCCTCATGACAGCGACTTTCCGTTGTCGCGGGGTCAAATACCGAGCCTGGGCTGGAGCGTCAGGAACATAATACCACGCTGCGACAGCTGCAATAATGGATGGAAAGCCTTCGACCAAAAAAAGTGCTCTCCATGGTGCAATGGGACCATTTTGACTGAGCTTGACAATTACCCAAGCCAAGGTGCTGGCGAAACTGGTGGCCAGCGGTGCCGCAGAAATCTGGAGACCAACACGATAAGCCAGCTCGGATCGTTTATAAAAGAAGGTCATATAAAAGGGCACCCCCGGACCGAACGCGGCCTCAGTTATCCCCAAAAATCCACGCAAAATGAGCAACTGAATAAAGGACGTCGTCAAGCTCTGCAGGCTGGCGACCAAGCCCCAGGACAGTACGCATAAGGCGATGTAGACATGTGCGGGGACAAGTCTGTACAGCAGGATCATCCACTCGAACGTGATGTAAGTGATGTAGAAGGCAGTAAGTAGCCAATCATATTGGGCAGAAGAGAGGGAGAGGTCCTTCTCCAAGCCCGCAATTCGAGCATTTCCGATGTTTGAGCGGTCGAGGAAACTCAGCATGTAAAGGAATCCGAGAAATGTGACCAGCTTGCGATCTAGCTTGCGTACGACGGCCTCTTCCTCCTCATTTGTATACTCTTTGGACTGAGTTGAGACTCTCTTCAAACGCTTGATATATTCTTCGTCCTCACCGTCGTCTTGGTCACTTTCCAGTAGCTCTTCTTGCTCGTCGACAGCATGGGAAAGGGTATGGCGCAGTCTCCTCAATTCGACGGCATCTTCTCTAGCCTCGTAGGAGGTTCGAGTAGCAGCGATGCGGGAATCAGCGCTGCCAGAGTCTGGAGTCAAAAGAGTAGGCGCAGGAGTGCCTTTGGAACTGGTAGATGTTTCATCGGTCTCAAGAGAAGACATGACTGGATCGAAAGGCACGTCGCCTCGGACTGGACCTCTCCATAAGATTTGCACGCGTGCGAGGTATCAGATCAGATTGAAAGTATACTGCAAAGGCCGGGCTGGGCCATTCTGACAGAGAGCTCAAGAGCAGAATGTCATTCCAAGTTGTCTAGGGGATAGAGCCACATAGCCTCGTGAGCAAGAGGATGGGATTCGCTGTGCCGTAGCGCTGAATATACTGGTCTACGGAGGATCACAGAGCATTAGCTGCCAAAGTAAAATTTCCGAGGGCCTAGTCTTTTCTCCGCGAGCCATGCAAACATCACCTCCAATCTTGTTTGCTGCCCATCCTTGAGAGACTTTCTGTATTCCAACTTTGCAACTTGGACAGTTCATACTCGTGAGGTCTGTAAAACGTATTCTCCGCTTTGGAAACGGTCGAGTTAATCGGGCAGTCTCGCTCGCCCACACTCATCTCCTGGTTTCAGCTGCTCCTCCGTAAAATGCCGCCTACGGAGCAGAAATCTTTTCTATACCGAACATCCGAATACCACCCTTGTTCCCTCAATGCGCTCATCGCCAAGTTGCAGACCTACAATGGGGCCGGGCTAGCTGTCAAGAGTTCCTGTTGGATCTCAGAAAAGCGATCCGTCGGCCTAGCATACCAGTCCAGGAGCGTTCATGTTGGTAGCGCGGGCAATTTCCCAAGTGGATGAAACACGGGGTTGACCAAAGAGGCGGAGCAGAGCGAGCCGACTACCCAGAACGTTACCGTACCACCCTTCTCATTAATATGGTCGTACTCTCGCTCTTCTTCTTTCTTGTCGAGCTGCGAAAAAGAATTCCAACATCCTCAGCTGGTCTGTCGTCTTTGTTCGCCACTGTTCACTTCAGTCACTCATTTAGGGCTCGATCCAATTGTCGCTCATTCCCTCACTTCCGTCATTACCGATTTCACGTTCAAAATTCCGGCTGATTTTATTCTAATCTCGAATAATTCACCTGACCAAATATGTACTCGATTGTACCCTTTCTCGTGGCCTCTGGCCTCATCACGGTTGCACAGGCTTACACCAAACCCACTGAAGCCACCTGGGGTCCGCTTCTCACCCCCGATCTGTCCAATGTACGTCCAGTTACCAATATCCAACTCTACTCCTGCACTGTAATGGATAGGCTGACCAAACTCGAACAGTCCGTCACCCAGGGCCAAGAATTCACCGTGACCTGGGACCCCGAAGACCACCCAACCGACGGCGTCACCGTCAGCCTCGTCCTATGCCACGGCCCCTCCAGCAACTGTGTTCCCTCCGACGATGCCATCGCCTCTGGAATCCCCGCTGACCAGAAATCATTCAAATGGGAAGTTCCCTGTGACTTGGCAACGGGCACTGCAGGCACCGACAATGGATATGGCATGCTGATCATTGTCGACGGCACCGGAGAGTTTCAATGTGAGAATGACAGCCCAACCGACGCAATACATATAGAACAGAGAGCGCTTACCTGGTAACCATTTTAGACTCTACCCAATTCTCCTGCCTAGCAGGTAAGGCTTGCTCGATCTCATCGGCCTCCTCGTCATCCAAGAGCACCGCCGTCACAAGCACTGCCGACAACGGCTCTATCATCCTAGGCCCTCCCGCTCAACAGACCGGCACCTGGTCATCATTATCCAACTCAACAACAACCTATACTGGCAGCGGCTGGAGCAGCGCAACTGCCACCCTGACTGCTGGATCTACTGGCTACACATTCGGCGGCTCTCCATCGACCTTCACCACCGTCTCTGGCACCACCGTGAATGGAGCCAGCACCGCCAGCACCGCTCCCGCCGAAACTACCGTCGTTGCAGGAGGATCTACAGAATCTGCCTCCGCCCCGGCCGCCAGCGCATCGACCTTTGGCGGCGGGGCTCCCCAAGTCGGCTGGAACGCCGCTGTCGCCGTTGTCGCTGGCGCAGCTGCTTTGTTCGCATTCTGAGCTTCATCTCATAGAGAGAGGAATGAGGCAGTTAGGAGCCTATTGTGATGTGTCACGTTGTGCAGGAACCTCAAGCTCTAAGAAAGAACAAGTTAGTGCGCATTCTAATTCCCCCCCCCCCCCCCCTTGCTTTTCGAGCCTTTTGCCCACTATTAGACGGAGAAAGGTGGCGCCAGAGTGCAGCATTGGAAGTGCTCCATATCATACTACTAGTATCACATTACCTAGTAACATGGACTTGACAATGTTAATGTGTAGCCTTGATCTGAGAATGCCTTCCCGTAATCTTGCCTGCTCCAATCCCGTTGAAATCGCCCGACCTCGAGTATAAAATTCGCCGCATTTCAACTTGTAGTGGTACTCCTGCGTTTGTATCTTGCTTTTGCTTATCGTAGAGACAAAAACGCAATGGACTCAAATGCCAATCAACCAAGTAGAAAATGCCACTTAGAGAACAAGAGATCAAAACGCAACGATATAATACTATTGGAGTATGAGGTTTGATGGGGCGGGCACAGAGTCTCTAAAAGCAGCGTGATTTGCTTTGATTGGCTGCTTACCCTAGTGGAAGCATGATGGAGTCCTCATCCTGACATTCAAACCTTCATTCAGAACAGAGCCTCTGAAGAACGTATTCAGGCACTTGCTTACTAATAGTAATAGGAGACAGCGCTCTCTCCTGGTCCTGGCAGCCCATTTTGCGGGGATATTGCCGGCTCTTGCTCGCAAATGACTGAGGTATGTACGCACACACACACGATCCGGCTCACACCTTGTAGCCAACTCTTGATCTTGCACCTTCAGACACTTTTCTTACCATTCCTTTATGGAATCGATATCATGACTTACCCGGGCGAGCTCTTGTGGGGTCAAGCTCTTAGCCATACATTCCTCTAGGTCTTCTATCGCCGTATGGCTTCCACGAGTCAACTCCTCTCGAATATCTGCAGGGAGTGCCGCTGTGTCCTCGACCACGCATTGAGGTTGGTGCCATGCCACTGCCGCGGCCTCTTGCACGAGAGGAACCTCTATCTGTTAGTGGGTCACCGTAGCCACGTTGAAAACCTGGGTCTTCCGTGAAACGAGCAATTGAAGTGTCCAAGTCCCTCGCTCCATACGAAGACCCGTGCGAAGATCTCGATTCACGATGGCCACTGGCAATGTCGGTGCTTCTTGAGAGATATGGTTGTTTTGGCTCGCCTCGTCTTGGTGTCTTGGTCTCGTTACTTGGGCCACGCGGAACTCCTTTGACATCATCGATTTCCACCAGGTCGAATTTGCGCTTCTTGCCACCAGTCAAGGACACCACCTCTGCTTTAGCCATGTTGTAGGTTGCTTCCAGCTCTGTTACCATAATCGGGTCGACATTTTTGTTTTTCAGGTATTGCAGGGTATTCTCGGCCGTGTCACGAAGAAATTTGGCTGTGGAAATTGTCTCTTGGCTGTCCTTGTCTACCACAGCCAGGTAATCTGCTCGCGCTGTCTCATACACTCTCCAGAGGCGTGCTAGTTTGGGCTCCATGTCCTTTCGATGACTTCGTGGGAAGGAATCTCTTTTGGCCGGGCGCTTCTCAGTTGCTGTTGTCGTTTCGGATAATGCTGAGCCTGAAATTAATTAGTTTGTGGACCCCAAGGCAAGGCCGAGTATTTACCTTCATCCAAGAGCTGAGGGACTTTCACTGATGCTTGCAGAGACTTGGTCACTTCTGAAACTTTTCCATCGAGGTTGAGACCTAGGAACTTTTCACAATAGAAATGAATCGCCGCCGGACTCTCCAGCTCATTTCCATTGTGTGTCAGGAGCAGGAGTGCCTTGTCGTATATTGTCACCTGTCCGTCATCGAGAGATTGTGAGCGCGACTTGATCAGTTGGATTTGGCGATTGAGCACTTCCACGAACATGAACTTGTGATGATCTAGGAACTGAGAAACGGCCGAGCTCAGGGATTTGACGGTCTGCGCCTTGTGGACCAAGACCGAGATTTCACCTTCTGGAACTCGGAAACCTGTTGGCGGTGGAGGCGAAGGGAAGAACAGGTTTTCAGGTGACGGACTCTTTTGCGACATGATTCCCCTTGCCAGTTGGTAAACCCCCCAAGCGAAATTGAGAAATGATGTAGAAGGTTTTCTGGTCACGAGAAGGTTGGAGAATGCAAGAGAGATTTGGTTGTGCGGTTGCTGTACAATTCTTGGGTGCAGTGAATTCACAGGTATCTTCCAAAATGAGCTATGTTTTGGACTTTCACATGGTGGATTTGCATACTGGGCATGATAGAGGCAAGTCTACTCCTCCTGAACCCATCGTGGGTGTTCCAACCCTTTCGCCACATATCTTCCTTTGTGTGGACACTATCCACATCTGTTCAATGTAAACGAATGTTCAGGCTCCCTGCTTTGTATGGATGTAACTATTGAACCTGGCCGTTTTGCTCAATGATGCTGGGGAACGCCTTCTTCCACTGCCAAAACAAGTCCCGTCGATACCTTTAACAGTGGAAAAAGGGATGACGTATGCCCGGAGTTCTGTGATCCTTTTACTCATGACTTTAAAGAGAATGTACGACGAGGAACACTGGATGGCGTCAAAGGAGCAAAAAAAGAAAAAAGAAGAAAAACAAAGGAAAAGTCTCGCGCCTTGTAACGACCCTACCAAAAAGCTGGACTGAAGGCAAATGCTAGAATGGCATACATCAGACAAAGGGTTTGGAGTCACAGACACATATTTGCGCCAGAAGCGTCCAGAAATGGCCTGCAATAGTAATACACAAATGATATGAATGAAAGGGAGAGAAAATAACACAATTGAGGTATCAGTATGACGACGGAACAAGATCCTTGTGATTGACCGAAAGCAAGAGCTGTGAGAGCAACTGCGAAGAATCCGAATGGACTCCCACAGCAACTGGGAACAGAGGAGGACACTGTGAGCTTATCAAACAGACTAATATGAGCGCACAAGAAAACTTGAAATCAGGTAATCCTGTCGAAATGATGGCGGTTTTCTGGAAACAATCAAGCCAGTGGCCCTGACTAACCTGGAGGAGGATATCAACCGCCGGTGTCACTGTGTCTGGACGAACATCAACAATAAGAGCTGCTCCCCCAATCAAAATGAAGCAAAGAACGAAACGGAGGTAAAGAGTCAGGATGGTCTGTTTGCATTAAGGGGGAATCTATCTATGCAAATGGGCAAAATACAACCTATCTCGAGTTTCCATGATTTAGAAATCCCGGAGGATAAGTAGCTACATACCTGCCTGCTTGCATAGGCAAGCGGAAGCAGAAGAAGCATGTTGCCAGTCTATCATACATACTCAGTGAAAAGCTCATCATCCCCGAACCACCGGAGAGAAATCGAGCCTTCAAGCTCAAGGAAAGACACCGTTCGCCTGCCCACACCAGTCCAGTCCAGCCCAGGCCCATGTCCGGAGCCCATTGCAGAGCACTTGGTCAAATGGTTGCGTATCAAAACTTTTGGTAAAGGCATATTTTTGCCAACGATGAATACAGTGATCGTGCAATTTGGGAGAAGTGTTCTGTTAAGACAGTGAAAGCGGACCTGACATCAAATCGCCTATGCAGTCGCTTCAGCGCCGTCGCCCCTCGACGTATCCTCCTCATTTGCGCCGTTGGGGCCTCCATCTTTGGCTCGGCTCTTCATGTAGTCATCGTAGACACTGAGGGCCTCGTCGACCTTGGAGCGAAGGGCAGTGTCATCATCGACCCTAGAGCGAGGATTAGTTGAGTAAAAACCACGATGAAGGATAAAGACTTACAAAGCAAGAAGTTCGGAATTGTCCATTTCCAAAAGCATACCAGTAATCTTGCCAGCAAGTTCTGGTTGAATCTGTTGGATCTTGGGGTAGATGGCCTCACCAAGCATCTGCTTCTGTTGGCTGGGGGGCAATGATGCGAGGTTGTTGAGGCTGCTTGATGTAGTCACATCATCTCTGCTGGGCATCATCTGGCCGCGACCTTGGGGAGGCACGCGACCAACACCTTGGCCACCTGGAATATTCTGCACACCGCCTCTTCCACCGCCTTGTGGGAAGTTCGGTCCGCCACGCATTCCACCCATGCTCTGCATGTTGGGAGGCATACCCTGCATACCTTGCATCTGACCACGACCACCGGCACCACGGCCCATCTGAGTTTGCATCTGGGCCAAGGCTTGAGGGTTGTTGTACATGCCGTTGACAAGAGCGGGATTCTGGATGAATGGCATCTGTCCAGGCAAACTAAAGTTGGGAGGAAGTTGTTGACTTTGAGGCATCCCACGGCCTTGTTGAGGGAATCCACCAGGGAATTGCCCACGGCCGCCTTGCATACCGGGAATGACCATGCCCGGTTGACCTGTGAACGGCATCCCCCCACGTTGAGCGCCGGGGGGAAGGAATTGTTGACCTGGACCATAGAAGACCGTTGGCTGAATGTAGCCTTGCGGCATGCCAGCAGCTGCGGCCTGTTGCTGTTGGCGAAGGGTGTTCCGTGCTTGGATGCTAGCCTCGAGCTGATTCTTGCGAACATCCTTGCGCTGAGCCAGCGCAACATAGAGAGGTTTGCCGTTGACCATCTTTTGATTCATCTCAGAGACGGCCTTGGAGGCCTCATCCGGGTTGCTGAAGCAGACAAAGCCAAAGCCTTTGCTCTTGCCAAAGACTTTCTGAGAGGTTTTGCTATCTTTCTTGGAGTCTTTGGTGTCGTCTTTGGATTCGTCCTTGCTATCTCCCTCAGTCTCAGGCTTTGGCTCCTCGCCACTCTCGGCATCATCATCATCATCTTTCTTGTTCTCACTGTCCTTATCATCCGTAGGAGAGGAGGTACGCTCAGCTGTATCACGCATGACTTTGGCAGATGTGATGGTGCCATAGCTGCTGAAAAGATCGCGAAGCTTGTCGTCGTCGACATCATCGGTTAAATTCTTGACGTACAAGTTGACACCTTGATATTTAGAAGCTTTTTCCATGCGAGCAGCCTCGTATTGCTTGCGGAGCTCTTCTTCACGTTCGTGTTTCTTCTGGGCACGTCCAACGTACAGGGTCTTGCCGTGAAATTCTTTGTCGTTGAGCTCCTCGACAGCTTTGGATGCCGACTCGTGATTGGCGAAGTTGACGAAGCCAAAGCCCCGGCTCTTGCCATTCTCGTCGCGGGTGATGGTGGCGGACAAAACGGTTCCATAGGTCTCGAAGAGCTTGGTGAATTCTTCGTCGGTGACAGACTCCTCGATGTTCTTGATGTAGACGTTTGTGAAATTGGCCTTCATTTCTTCGAATTTGCTTTGTCGATCTCTCTTCGCGATGTGGTGACCAACGAAGACCTTTTTGTCGTTCAACAACATGCCGTTGACAGACTTGATGGCTTGGTTGGCCGCTTCGGCGGTCTCGTAGTGAACGAAGCCATAGCCCTTCGAATTTCCAAGCTCATCTTGAGCGACTTTGCAGCTGAGGATGTTGCCAAATTGAGAAAAGGTGTCGTGAAGCGCTTTGTTGTCGATTGCCGCATCCAAATTCTTGATGAAGACATTACCTTGACCAGTCTTGCGAAGAGCAGGATCACGTTGAGACCACATGATGCGGCATGGACGACCCTTGATGCTAGTGTAGTTCAAATCTTCCAAAGCTCTTTCTCCGTCGGCGGTGTTGTTGTAGTTGACATAGGCATATCCGAGGGAACGGCGGGTGACGGCGTCGCGACAGACACGAATGGAGGCGACTTGACCGATGGAGGAGAACAACTCGAAGAGCATGGCCTCCGTGACAGAGGGGTCGAGCTCACCGACATAGAGGGAGGCGGAGTGCTGCGCCGTAGTGGGGGTCGCAGAAAAAGGAGTTGCGATGTCGTTGTCGTTAGGGCCTTCAGACGGCGCTACATTGGTATTGATCGCGGGCGCGCCGTTCTGGGTAGGCGCATCTGAAGCCCCGTTCTGGCCAGCAGAGGCCGGAGCGGCACTGGAGACATCGACTGCAGACATTCTTGCTGCACGGTGTATTAGCGATGGTATGATCGTGATATCGCCCGGACACAGACACGCAGGCAAAGATTGGGTTCTTTCTTTGACTGGCGCCCGCACAATGGAGGAATAAGGAGCGCTCACTTTTTTGAATGTGTTTAATTGGGGAACAAAACGAGGGTATGGACAGGAATGCAGAGCAATAGCGACAAGGCGTCGGCAAATGATATGTGAATATGTCGAGCACTACAAGTTTCAGTTAGATGAAATTCAGTTGGCACAGGTTTGAGTGCGTGGATAGAAAAAGGGTCACGCTTTTTGGTTGGATGACTTACCGAATCACTTGCAGGTTTTTGAAAGGGCTTTTCTCTTTTTTTTTTTGCGACTTACGAGTATTTTCGACAGGGGGAGGGGCAGGACAGCAATCGACTGCAGGGAAAACTGGCAGAAGATGTAAAGGAGAAAGGTGAAGCTGAGATGTGTAGATGCGGTTGTTTGATGGCAGAGGCAGAGCGAAGCGGTAGAAAATCAGACGCAAAAAAGTGTCAGGCAATCAAAAGAATTTGGACGGTGGCGCTATGCTGTTTCCGGTAAGCGCGATCTGCCGCCACCGTTCAGGCGTCTGCAAGGCGTCTGTCTTGTCCTGCACCTCTAGACATGGTCTCCCAGTGAGTACGAAGCACTGACTAATATCAAGGCAAGCCATCTGTCTATGTCCTTTGCGCACTCGAATCTTCTATTATCATCCCAGGACGATACCGTTGCCGGTCTTCCTCCCTCTACAAGAGACAGGTATCCTCCCGTTGGCTCGCCGCCTAGGCCATCCGAGTCCTATGAGCTGGATAGCTCAACATTCGGGTTTGACTTATTGGTCCCCCTTCGTCTTTCGCCCGATTAGTAACATCTCGTTTCTCCTTTGCGCTCGTGTCTTGCGCCCTCAGAGCCCCGTAGCTGAATTGTGTCGAGTGGAAATTGATCCTGCTTGCCATCTGAGATTTCTTTTGCGTACAGGCATCATGCTGAGACATGATGGAGGAGCCGAACAGAGACGTTCTACATCTTCTCCTCCTCCTGTGCTTCATGCTTCTAAGATTACCAAGGGTGCTCCTGGTTTAGACATAGTCAGCTTACAGACAATAGACTGCGGTGACATCAAACTCACTCTCCCATTCCAACACCAAAATGTCCCAGAATCATTTCTATCTTTTTCCCCAATCACCATCAACATCTTCGTCACACTTTCGCTGGGGCTGATGATGCCTTCCACCTCCCAGTCGAGGTCAATGTTCGCCATGTCCCTAAAATAAATTGTCAACAAGCATTTCTCGAAGAAAATATCAGCAAGCTTCTCACGTCTGTACTTCCCCAGGATGCATCGCTAATACGCACACATCCTGCCACTTCTCCCCTTTTCTCTTCAGTTCGGCGGCCATATGTCTTAGCATTTGGTTTAACGCAGCCTTGCTTGCTGCGTATGCACCAAACCCATCTTCATGATCTCGGAACAGCGCTGTCGATCCTGAGTCGGAGGAGATAAAGATCACCTTGGAAGGAGGAGCCGCACTGCTGATCTGGAGCATCTTCTGGGCGATGATTATGGGTCCGATCGTGTTGGTGTGCAGGTGGAGTGCAAAGTCGCTAAATGATCTGTGTGACATTGAGGATTAGCACTCTGATCAGTAGAGTTATATGACGGGTGCCACGCTCGTACATTTCAGTGGCCCTCTGACCGTCGCATTAGCTTTCAAGTGTTAGGAGAGGAGAGAAGATCGTACATTGGGGTATTTCAGGACACCAGCGTTCAACACAAGGTTTTCAATCCTCATCCCCTTAGACACAAGTCCTGCCATTCGACTCACAAAACTCTATCAAACAAATTAGAATCATGAGATGGTTCGCGTTCGATTCGGGCGCGCCCCCTTCATTTGGCCGCGCTGTTTCCCTGCTCATGAACTTACATCAATGCTGGCTTCATTCGTGACATCGCATTGCTCAATCAAACAGGCAGCGGGCCTCGTTGTGTGCGCAGACAACTGCCAAATCTGGTTGGCTGTCTGAACATTTCGCACTGCTGCAATCACCTGGTTGCCCTGTTCAAGCAATTGACGCACAAATTCGAGGCCTATGCCTCTTGACGCGCCGATGACCAACCAAGTCGATGGTGGCATCTCCGCGAAACTTCAACGGCCGAACAAGCGAGGTGAACCAGCTTCGTTCAGTCTTTGCCTTGGGATCGATCGACGTCTCGCTGTTCTGAGATAAGGAGTCGGTAGAAGTGTGTAGTAAGAGGCAAGGGTACGAATTGCTGGCCTGATATAATTGACAATCGCAACATGCCGGCACAAGCAAAAAAAAAAAAAAAAAGAGAGAGAGAACGCGGGACCAGGAGAGTGAGACTCAGACAAGCGAGGCTCTGGGAGATATTCCAGTCATGCTTCCGTACTTGCCAACAGCAAAGAAACGGACAGATCGGAACGGGGGAGACGCATGGAGTGCTATCGGGAGCATGATTGAGTTTGTTTTACTCGTGAGAGTGAACGCTTGAGACGGATGAGGTCAAGAGTGGAAAATTTGTGGAAACTCGACATGGGACCCGGTCGAGCCGTCGGCTAAAGGTGACAGTTGGGCGGGAAATGCTCTGCCTGCCCTCGAGTAGACCTTCACTTTTCACGATCCATGAGTGCCGTGGTGGAGGAGAAGCATGGAGCCCAAGGTGGGCAAAGAGGAGAATGAGAGGAGAAATAGGCAAAGACCGCTCCAACAGATGCAAGGCACCTTTTTATGATCGAGTCAGGAAGTTGAGCAACCGGGGGGAGCGCCACACATGTCGCCGATCCTTGTTTGTCAATCCCAACTGGCTCGATTCGCAAATGAAAAAAATTTCCCGAGCTAACATCTGAAGGGCTCAGCTTGCCAGGGTCGAAATAGGGCCAGGTGATTGACTACTATGCATCAGATCACAGCAAGAAGCGACTTGTTTTGTTGAGCCTCAACGTCTATTCTTTCTTCATATATCATTTTCTGCCCGGTTCTATGTGAATAGCATCAACCTCATTCACGGAATCGCCCACCACCTTGGCCTTCTGCTGAATTGTAAGTACGCGAAATTCTTTACTCTGAGGTTCTTATCGGCTGCCACAGATCTGTCTGTCTTGAGTCTAGCAAGCTTCTTCGCCTCTAGATAAGTTGTTGGAAAGCACGATTGATTGGGGATCGAGGTTTGAGACCCTTGTAGAAATCAACAGTGGCGGCGGCCCGCTTGGCAATGCCCTCGGGAGTGAATTCGAATTTCTGCAAAGATATTAGACTCGAAAGTTCCACACGCGAGAAAGATTGAGCTTACCTTGTAAACGTCCTTATAAGGGCCGGAGGCACCGAATCGGTTCAGGCCAAATTGCTCGTGCGAGTACTTCTCCCAACCAAGAGTAGACATGACCTCAACAGACATGGCTGGAATGCCGTCTGGGATCACCTTGAGCTGGTACTCCTTGGGCTGGGCATCGAACACTTCTGTGCAAGGCATTGAGACAACCCGGGTGGTGACGCCGTACTGGTCCTTCAGAACCTTGACAGCTTCAATGCAGATAGCGACCTCGGAACCAGTCGACACAAGGGTGACATCAGCATTCTCGGCCTCAAGAGCAACATAACCACCCTTGATCGCGTTCTCTATCGTGGAGTTTTCGAGATGAGGGAGGTTCTGTCTCGTCAAGGCCAGAATAGATGGAGTCGATGTGGATGTCAGGGCCATATAGTACGCCGCAGAAGTCTCGTTCCCATCGGCAGGTCGCCACACCATCATGTTGGGGAGTGCTCGGAAGTGAACTAGTGTCTCGATTGGCTGATGAGTTGGGCCATCCTCACCGAGACCGATCGAGTCGTGGGTAGCGATGTAGATGACTCGCTGGTGTGAGAGCGATGATAGACGAACCGCTCCAGCTGCGTACGATACAAAGTTCAAGAAAGTACCCCCGGCCGGGATCAGAGTACCATACGCAGAAATGCCGTTCATGATGCCAGCCATTCCGTGTTCTCGAACACCATATCGAAGATAGCGTCCGGACCAGTCCCCGATTCCAAGTGAGGGAGGTTGGAAGTCGACAGCATTCTTCCATCGGGTGTTGTTGCTTCCCGTCAAGTCTGCAGAGCCTGACAAGAGCTCGGGAATAACCTCATGAATGTCCTCCAAGACCTTCTCAGAAAGCTTCCGCGAGGCAACAGGGGCATCCGTAGGCTTGTATGCGGGCAATTTCTTCTCCCATCCCTCCGGTAGCTTCTTCGCCAAACGACGGCCGAAGTCAGAGCCCAAATCCTTGTATTCAGCCGAATATTTCTTGAATAGCTCATTCCAAGCTTCCTCAGCAGCAGCACCTTCAGCAGCGTGCTTGTGATACAGATCGTAGACCTCTTGAGGCACGACAAAGGACTCTTCAGGATTAAAACCAAACTTGACCTTGACTTGTTTCGCGTCATCGGCCTTCAGAGGATTGCCATGCACACCGCCGGTGCCTTGAAGCTTGGAGCCGAAGCCAATAGTGGTTGTCAATTTGATCATGGATGGTTTGTCTTTGGCTTCTTTTGCCTTGGCGATGGCAGCTTCGATCCCCTCCAGATCGTGATCTCCGTCCTTGACATGTTGAACATGCCAGCCATAGGCTTCGAATCGCTTCTCGACGTCTTCAGTGAAGGCGACTTTGGTGTCACCATCTGCAGAATTCTCAGCATCTCTAAGGCCCAAGTATTGTACACCACAGCTTACCAATGGAAATATGGTTGTCGTCATAAATGCAAATCAGGTTGCCCAACTGCAGATGTCCAGCAGTAGAAGCGGCCTCGCTCGCGACACCTTCCATGGCACAGCCATCGCCGAAGATACAATAGGTGTAGTTGTTGATGAGGTCATATCCGGGCTTGTTGAAGACAGCGGCAGTGTGAGCTTGAGCAATGGCCAAACCAACTGCGTTGGTGAAACCTTGACCGAGAGGACCAGTGGTGACTTCAATCCCGGGGGTATCATGAGCTTCAGGATGGCCTGGAGTGATACTATCGACTTGCTACAGCCCAGTTAATTCGAGGAAACACGGCAAAGGATGTCAGAACATACTCGGAAGTGCTTCAAATCATCCATCGAGATGGCATAGCCGAACAGGTGGAGGAGAGCATATTGCAACATGCAACCATGGCCATTCCTATACGAAGTCAGAAAAGTTCTCTCCGCATCGTCGTTGCGTCAAAACAGAGTGATCTCCAATCTCTTTGTATGATGCCAAAGAAGAAAACCCCAATTCGGCAAAATTGGAACATGGTTCATCCGCAGGTGATCTGAAGCGTCTTTCTGAAAGTCCTTCCGCTTTTCGCGCTGTATAGATTTGCTGGAATTGGGGAATGGACTCACGAGAGGACAAATCGGTCGCGATTGATGAAGTCAGGATTTTTGGGGTTGAAGGTCATGAATTTGTTGAACAGGACGTGGGCCGCCGGGGCCAACCCTGGAAAACAGTCACTAACCTGATTCACAGTGACAATTGACCCCTCTTACCCATGGGAGCGCCCGGATGGCCGCTGTTTGCCTTTAGAGTGGCATCGACCTGGACGAAGAACAATTAGGAGGGGGCAATTCTGGATAGGTTGGTGGGGTAAAATAAATACCGCAAGTAGTCGAATGGTGTTGATGGCCTTCCAATCGAGATCTGTGTACCCCATTTTGGCAGCTTTGTATCAGAGTCGAGGATGGAAACAATTGAAATGGAGAAGAGGAAAACAAAAAGAGTCAGAGAGGCGAACAAGCTGCTGAGGAAAAATTAGAGGACGAAGCCGGAGCTGTTCACCTGCGGATTTCTGTTGACAGGTCAGGGCCCTGAGCACTGAGCACCGTAGGCAAGGCAGTGTGGGTATGGCGGGGCAGGGTCGTGAAGTCACTGCCCAGCAGACCTTTTATGCTTCGGCTGTTGTTGCTGTTCGTGTTGAACTGAGGGATCCCGCCTCCTTCGGTTTCACCAAATTGGGCCGAGTCTCAAATTGAATATCGAATATGTCTCGGCCAAGGACCAGAAACGCTTTGCGCTGCACTCACAACCAGCTGAAGAATAGAAGGGAAATCAAAGGGGTATCGTCGACGACCACGGAGAGTATCGAGCATATCAATGCCAAAGCGTCCGCGGCATCCCGCCATGGTATCGATTACGGAAGCATCTTCCCACGCATTTGCTGACTACGTACTCGAGAGCCCAGTCAGGAGAGCACTTCCCACTTGCCCGTTCCAGTTGGCTGTCTTGCTGGCGTTGTCACCCAGAGCCCACTTCTCGGGAGATGGCTACACGTGCAATCAATTGAACATTATTTCGCACCTTCCTATAGGTCATCACTCCACGCTCGCAGACATCGACGCCATCGCATCTCATGAGAAACAGACACTATTGTTCTCGAGATGAAACGCCTCCAGCCAAGTCCCAGCGTGGTTTCAGGAATGGTTATGCTGTTTCTGTTGCGCCCTTTGTCGCAGACTTTGAAAATTCGTTTGAACCCGAATTGACGCGAAATATCGGCCTCACTTCGGCCTGCTTTTGGAATCCAGACTCTGCCCCTCCTGACCTTGAACCTTTCAACGCCTCGCTATGCAGAATGAATCTCAAACCTTCACCGGAAGCAACTGAGGCCCTAGTATGACCCATACCCACCGGCACCATATGGAGTCGCCCCATAGGGAGTTGCGCCTCCTCGAAGACCACCATATGATGTATATTCTCCATTTGCCGGTGCAGGTTCATATCCATCAGGGCTCTGCACACCATTCATCCCGTCGACACCAGCCACCTCTGCCCCTCCCAATGCTTTGATGGTCTCGGCAAGCTTCTTCTGGATGACCTCGATTCCTCCACGTACAATGTCGTCGGGTTCGAGAGTGCCAACGCCTTCAACATCGAAGAAGAAGGCACTGGGAACGGCGTCAGGATCGAAAGCGGCATCGGCGGCAGAGTCATCCCCCTCCCACGTGGCGTTACGCTCATCGACCGGCCACTCTTCTTTTGCGTCAGTTTCGTACCAGTAATCCACGTGTCGCAACTTGTTGTTTGGGTCGTATTCAAATCCAACAGCGGCAGTTGGGGCCCACTTCGCATGCTCTTTGGCGATCCCCTTCCTTGCAATGCATTCCAGCTGGATCTCTTGACCTTGTCTCAGCTTGGCAATGAGTGGTCCGGTGCCGTTAGCATCACGAGTGACTGGCATGCCGATACCATCTTGATGAGGATTGGAGACAATCAGATCACGAGCGTAGACCATCATAGTGCCAGGCTTGGTGCATCGGGCGTGGAGGCGCAAAACGACGGAGCAGTACTCGCAGTGATCTGTGCATCGATCGCAATCTCTCTGGTAATTCAGGGCTTCGTCCACTCCCTTGCTGTTGAGGGGTACCATTCCGAGTCTATGTGCAAGATATTCGTCCGGAAGAACGGAGGAATTTGTATTGATGTCGATCAGGTCGATGGAGATGGTAGGTATTTCGGCGAGAATGGCTCGACGGAGGGAGTTGGCGAGAGCAAGAGAGCATGATTGGAGGACAAAGTCACAACGATCTTGTTCGACCTGTTGCGCGTCAGATCAGATCAAAGCGAGAAAGAGCATGAGGGGTGGCTCACTTCTCTGACGGTCACTTTAGGGCCCGAGGTTTCGACGCCGTCCATGACATCTTCGTTGAAGCCGTTGTAGCCATTGTACGCCATGATGAGTAACAGTCCCTTTGCGCGAAGGATCTCGCTTCGTCCAAGAGAATGGCGATGATGGGCGAATCGCCGACTTGGGGAAGAGGAGCGGAGGTGACAAAAGTCTAGACGCGAACTTTGGAATCTTTTTGCGAGTTTGGAGCGGAACACAGTCTTGGCAGTGACGGTCACGTGCATATCTCCTGGATCCAGACGGCCGGACTATAAAGGAGTTCCTGGAGCCTGAGTGCAATTCTCTTGTTTCCCTGAGTGCCTAGATAGCTTCCGGTCATCATTGTCCTTTGATACACTTGAGTAAATACCTCCTGGAGGTTCTCCATACGTGGATCTAGTGTTTAATATTCGAAGGCACGCCGATGGGAATGTTAGCTAGTGCTCGGTAGCTAAAAGAGATCGCCTTGGCACCAGGAACAGAGCACCCCTCACCCCTCATCGACCTAAAGAAAAATTCCTGTAAATGGCGTCAAGCTAGAATCAACATGATGCCATCGGCATTCCGCCATTTAGAAATACAGGCTTTGCAGAACTAGCATGCGAGTCCAACAGCTGGCCTCAACTTCACCCTTTTTCCTGCCTTACCGTTCAATTTGTATCTCTCTCTTCCTTTACACACCATTCGGACACTCATTTGAACGGCAATATCCCATTGCAGCCTACTTGCAAGATCATCCCTCTGGACTCGGGCTGCATTTTTCTTTTCTTCCCTTTCCCTTGTGAATTCGCCCTTGTCGATCCTCCTCTCGCCCTCGCATGCGCAAACCTGTCGACCTGAATTCATGTCTGTGTATAACAAGGAGGGAAAGAGACTTTACTTCTTCAGAAAACTTTGCCTACACCAGCGAGCAAACATTCGTTCCCATTCCGCTCAGGAAATCGAGTACGCTCTACCAACCTTCCCTGCGAAATTTGGTCTGCTTGGGCTACCGCGTCCACACCTTCGTCGAACGAGCTGCTGGGTTTGAACATGCTTGGAGATACATGAAGGTCGTGTTGAATATCGAGGTTTTGAAACAAGGCCAGTCGATGTAACATGGTATGCGCAAAATTTACTCCAGCTTGTTAGAGCTAACCTTTTCCTCAGCGCATGGCCCCATGTCTGCAATGGCTCCACCATATATGCTTTGGGGTCTTTGTCTTCCCTTTAATTGCCCGAGCACAATTTCCTCCGCCTGTTGCCAATGATTCTCGGGTGACCCTGCCTTCGCCTGTCAATCCAAATGTCACAATTAGTTACAAAAGCATCCCTATCGGCACTTGTACAACAGTCTTCTCAACTCAAAAACAATTCGCTGGCTACATCACACAGCCACCAAATGTGTTAGATCCCAGCCAAGGGAATTACACCATCAATACCTTCTTCTGGTTTATCGAAGCAAGACAGTTGCCTGAATCATCCCCTTTGACTGTATTCATCAATGGCGGTCCGGGTTCAAGTAGCATGGTCGGTCTCTTTCAGGAAGTCGGACCTTGTCAAGTCATCGAAATCTCAGAGGATCAGCTGGGAACCATTCCGCGAGATTGGGGCTGGGACCGCAGCAGTAACATTGTCTTCATTGATCAACCTGTCCAGGCTGGGTTCTCATACGACTCCACCACCAATGTATCCCTCAATCTATTGGATGAGACGCTGGTCACCCCGCCAACCACTCCACCGATCACACAACCCCCTTATACATTTCTGAATGGCACTTTTGGCTCTGGGAACTCATCTTTCACTGCAAATACTTCTCAGATTGCGGCTCAATCAATATGGCATTTCGTGCAAACGTTTCTCGCTTCATTTCCTCAATATAATACGGCCCTCCGCACACAAAGCACCGGACAAACTGCAGAGATACATCTTTTCACAGAGAGCTACGGAGGCAAGTATGGACCTGCGACGGGATCATTTTTCCAAGCCCAGAATGCTCGACGACAAACGGACGTGGAATTTGCCAACAGCACCATTGAAGTCAGTCTCAAATCATTGGGTATCATAAATGGTTGGATCGATTTATTAACCCAGACTCCATATCATCCAAAATTCGCATATGAGAACACATACGGCATACAGGCAATATCTCAACTTCAAGAACTGAATGCTCTCAGCGCCTACAACAGTGCGGACGGATGCCAGCAGCGAACGGCAAATTGTAGGGTGCAAGAGGCTGCTCTTGACCCTTTTGGGTCTGGAAATGTGGATGCGGTTAACGCTGCGTGTGCTGAAGCGCAGTTATATTGCCAACTCTACGTTGTTGGTGCTTACACTGTATCAGGTCGATCCGTTTACGACATCTCCCAGGACATGCTCGACCCATTTCCTGATTCTCTGTACCTCGAATATTTGAACCAATTGTCGGTTCAAGAGGCTATTGGGGTGCCAGTGAACTACACACAAGACTCTATGGCTGTCTTCACGGCTTTCAACACCACGGGTGACTATGCCCGCGACGGCGTGATTCAAGATCTCGTTGATCTGCTCCACTCCGGTGTGAGGGTTGCGCTCATTTACGGTGATAGAGACTACGTTTGCAACTGGCTTGGAGGCGAAGCAGTTTCTTTTGCCATTGCTGGTGCGGCGGGATGGTCGTATATGCCTTGGTATGCTGCAGGGTACGCCCCCATCGTGGCCAATAACTCATACGTTGGTGGCGTGGTTCGAGAATATGGAAACCTCAGCTTCAGCCGCATCTACGATGCTGGCCACTTGGTACCTGCCTATCAGCCGGAAACTGCATTTACGGTCTTTTCGCGTATCATCGAAGGTACAGACATCAGTATGGGAACCCGGGTGGATTCATCGAACTATGGAACTCTTGGAGAGAGCAATGCTACGCATCAGAATATTGCACCGCCAGTGGCCGACCCCACATGCTTCCTCCGAGCGGTCAATGCAACATGCAACACCGACCAGAAGAACATGCTCGCGAATAGTGCCGGTGTCATTGTTAACGGGGTCCTGTACGACCAAGCGACAGATTGGCAATCCCCTGACCCGAGGTTAGTGACGATGGCGGGCGTACCAGGGACCGCGCCCATGAGTATGATAACGAGTGCCCCAACATCCGAAGATACCACGGCTCCAGACACTTCAACTCTCCCAAGCACACGGCGCAGTCGTGAGACCCGAACAGGGAATGGTGGTACTAAAACAGCAACAACGAAGGAGAAAACTACGACAAGTCTCCCCACCGGTGTTTATACCGCAACAGGTGTCCCGCCGACGTCCAGCGGTAGCAATGCCAGCACGACCAATGCGGCGTCTTCGCATACCAAGAACAGCCTTTTCGGCCCTGCTTCACTTTTCAAGGATAGCCTGCCGAGGACAACAATATTTGTATATGTCTATGTCCTGGGACTTTTGAGTCATGGATTTGTCGTGTGAGAAGGAGATAGAATGTCCTGGTAGTCAAATCGAGGCATGAGAAAGAAGAAAAGAAAAAAGGGAGTAATGAATGATTCCAAATAAACAATTAACAGGTTGGTGACCGATGTCCTAACCACAGGTACGGTCTTATCAAAATCACTTTTTCTTTCCAATTGATGGATAGAACAAATTCGTCCCATGTCCCAGACGTGAGGCCCGACGACTAATACCCAATAACATTAGCGAGTTGCTCATCCGACGCTTTAGAGTCCCCCCAATAATATATTGATCTAGTCATTTCAAACGATGTGATGATTTGTCGCGGTCTTCGAAGAACGTTCAGGATGCGTTTGTATATCGGATCGAGCGTCCCGATCTCTTTTCTGCTAGATATTGCCACCGTTTCTGACAGTTACTGAATATCATATGGATCATCGCGACCAGCTATTGCAAGACTGAACAGATGCCAGGAAGGGTAGTCAAAAACTGCAATCTAAAAGAGTTGCTTCATTGGGCAGCAGCTAACGGTCTGGCCCAGCAAGTGTATAGCAAGCAGGAGGCTTCCAGTTCCAGGTAAAGTTGGACGAACGGCAGAGTTGCACAGCAAATATACTCACCGTCTGCGGATCGATCGGTTTCAAGGAAGTATTCAAAGGCGCCTTGATAAATCCGAATTCCTCGTATAAAGCCTTTGTTCTTGGTGTTAATTCCGGGCTCTGGTCGCTAGATACAGTTCTTGTACCATCTGCCCAACGAACGAATATTCCCGGCCGAGTCCCGTGGAAAGCAGGTCCATCTCTATTTCATATGGAATATCCCGTCGGCCTTCTGCCTCAGTATGGTCCTGGTGGTGTTCTCCGTGTTCTCCGTGCATTGTAAAATACTACCAATCAGAAAGGTGCTGTGATGTAGTCTCGACCGGCTTGCGGAACATACCCGGTCGTGTGGAGTGTCAAGCAAAAGGTCCCAGATGGTGATCCGGCGATGTTCGGGTCCGAGAACTAATGAGAGCGCGCGAGGTCAGCCAGGGACTACAGACCGAAATTGTCGTTTCTTTCTACCATAGTTCAGCTCGTGTTCTGAAATGACTGAAGCTGCGGAACCACCGTATTGTACGGTGAACAATGAAGCGCCTGAACAAAGACATTTGTCAGCAAGGATGGAAAATAACTGCGGAGCGAGAACTTTTCTTCGTGGCTAGACTTTTGAGCATGGTGGTAGCGTAAGGCTCATGCCATTGCGCCGTGCATCCTCGCCGCGGAGTTGTCAGGGCATGGCTCACTTAAGCTCAGTTGTCAGGACCACGGCTTGCTTAAACCCCGGACGAGGCTGCCAGGGAGGATTTCACCTTGTTGCTGCTGTGACTCGTCAACATCTCATCCCGAATTGGTGTTTGAATAGCGCTACCTTGGGTGGTCACGAAGAGGCCACTCAATGGTTTGCTGACAATATCATTTGCCAAAAATCAGTCGGACAGCATAAATTGCTGATTCATTGATGTAAATGCGGTCCTTGTAACTGACGTGTCTGCCCGAAGAGACCTTCAGGACACCCTAAAGTGATTGTCAAGACTCGATGACTTTATGATTTGTGATCGAAATTTAGAGCCTGGGTTTGGTAAAGGGAGTAAGAATGCGGAGCTCAAAGCCTCGAAACATATCCCCAAGATGAAAATGGCCTGTCGAATGGGGAAAATTACAGCTATCCAAGCTTTTCCCCGACTAGGCCAGGTTGAGACGACCCAACGATCCAAAACTTGCACTAGCAAACTATACCGAAAGTGTGGATTTAATAAAAGAGGATCCAACGGTCCATGGACGAAGCTACTGGGAGATCCCATTGCCCATCTTGGAAGCTCAGCTCGTGCTTCAAGTCCGAACCGCCAAGCACACCGAAAAGCTTCGTCTGCTGGTAGACGTTCCAAAAGAGATGGTGCCAGCATTGTATTATTGACCTTCGGGGAGAGTTTCGACATAACAAGGTTAGATACTGGGTCATTCCCCACTGCCTCCGGCCAAGATCAAGAAGCAACTTGTCTGAAAGCCAATCATCGAGCTGAGATTCGTTGATGGCCAAATCGAGATTAATTTCCGTCTCTGCGAAAGAGTCGCAAGGTAGAGCTCCTGTTGAAAATGCTCCTCATATGCAGAGTCATATTCAAACGTCAGGTCTTGCTAAAATGATGCATTCGATCCGGGCTACGTCCGCAGGAATGATGAAGGTTTTTCATGTTTCAGAGCCACAAAAAGTTTGATAGCTCTTTGTCGTACCGTGATTGGGCGGATCATGATGCATGAAGGCTTGGAAACTCCTCCCCAAAAAAGTAATTGCCTTGGGATGAATTGAGCATTTTTCATCCAGAAAAGGTCCATCCGATAATTCTTGCGTTGTTCGATGAGTTACCAACGCATTTGCAGGGTACATCCGCGCTGCAAAGACACGTTTCGCTCAGGTCTCGGTCAAGCCGATCGTCAGTAGGCGTTCGCCCATCGCTTTGGCGAAAGGGAATTCACCCTACATAGGCAGGCGAAGTCCAGGGTAAATAGTAGCTGATGTTGGGCTGACGGCCGCCTAGCAAGCTTAGCAGCTACCCACCCGCGACAAGTTCCAATGAGATCAGTCATTTGAGGTGGAATAGAGGGCGACAGTAAATTCAGGGAATACGGAGGAAAGGGGTGAGGCGATGACACATCAATGGTAGAGTAGTTAGATGCTGACCTAACAAGGTGCTTTAGGAGTAGCAAGCAACTACCCGCGTAAGTTGGACAGGGATTTGTGTTCATCCAGGAATCTGTAGTGACCATGCTGGACAAATAGAGTTGATTTATCTGGCTGAGATATGCCGGCGGGGGAAAATTGAGCAGGTGCCCCTAAGCGGGTCAAAATTGAAGTAAAGGAAGAGTCTTGAATGCTCCTAATAGCGGTATGGTTGGTGACTGATTCAACGTGCTTTAGCCAAAAAGATCTGAACTGGAGGTGGGGGCCGAAAGGCTTTGTGGTCTAAAGCAGCTACGGTAATGTCGGGTGGGAACCTGGAATGGTGGCTAATGATAGAAATCGACAAAGGCCATGGAGAACGAAACAGAGGTCGAAGATTAGGGCTCGGTGGGTGTCGGAGAAGGAGCCGATACGATCCTGAATCAGGCGTAATCAGGGTTGGAGTGGCGGTGGCGAGGAGCGATGAACAATTGAGCGATGCGCGGATTGGCGTTTGGAAGGATTGTTGTAAATGAGGGATCGATTCGAATTCGGTCAAGGTGGAGGGATGATGAAGGTTCGGATTTTGAATGGAACAGTCAGAGAACAGTCAGCAGGGAAGGGATGTAGGGAGAGGCCTGAAGAGGCAAACAGCCGGGTGGGACGGGAAACCTGAATGGTGGAGAGGAACGAAGGAAACGGGAGAACCGAGAATAGTGCGAGAGAGGTGGGTAGATGTGGTAAGCAAGAGGTAATTTGGCAGGTGGAGGGCGTCTCGGAGCCCTGCAGGGCCCGGCGGTTTTTTGTGGTGAAATCTGCCTGCGCCTTGCTGGTGGTGCGGAACAGAGAGAGTAAGAGCAGGTCAAGGGTGCTGTATTCGGTGATGCACTCGTACATAAGGTATTCTAGGTACCTCAACTCCAGGAACCTGGGATTGAAAGCTGGCCTCAGCCGATCAGGACTAGTTGCCAAGGGAGTGACAGGTTGAGTGACCTTGAACTGCCACAGACACAAAGTTGTGCCGCGTAGACATCTTAGTAGTAGATAGTTATGCGACTGCGGTTAACTGTTGCGACAGCACGGGGACTGTTCCTTTATTGGCAGGAGCGACGGCAAGAGGCTAGTCTCAGGTTCGACTTATTAGTCAGTCAGTCCAGTTACCTCGGGCCATTCGTGGAGATCACTTGTAAACCACTGGCACACCACACGGGAGTTATTAGGTAAGGAATTGCTAATCCAGCTTTTCCCTTCCCTTTCCCTTTCTTTCACTTTTCTCTCCCCAGTCTACTCGCTGCTGCCAGCCAATTTCTTCCTCTGCTTTTGACTATTACTCATCCGGAGCCTGAAAGTCGTCTTCTCTTGCCACTGCGCGGCCAAGTAATGAGAAATTGATTCATCTCGATTCAGTTCTTGTCCCGTCTCCCACAGCGTCCCAGGATCCTCATCCCCAGCCAGCGCCTCGTTTCTGCTTACTTTATCAATCGAACCGCGCTGCTCGATCTCAACCCGTCTGCTACTGCTCGATCTGTGCAGCACCCTGGCCTCGTTCTAAGCGTCCAAACCCCCGATCGGGCGCCAATCCACCAGTGTCTCCCCGCGAAAAACTACCAAACATCACCATCAGCCATGCACCCGGCGCTCGCTCCTCGCACGGCTAGCTCTCCCTCGACCATGCCTCAGGTAAGCCGTCACCACAGTCAACCATGCTCCCCGTCCACATCATCCCGCCACGTTCGCATGACTTGCACTCATCAATGATCAACAAATCGATTCCAGTCCTATTCCCAGTTTTGTTCCAACCTTGCTCTCCAATCCCTCACCAGCTCATCCTCACTCTTTTCAACCTCCTCGTCATCATTACCATCATCATCGACCAGGGCACGCCGAAGCATTGGGTGCCAACCCCCCTTCCCCCCCCGGGGTTTGAATCTTGCATGTTCCGTTTCCATCCTCAGGTAATATTACGGCCAGCGTTCTGACCTATTTGAGCAATAGGACCATCTCAAATCCGAACACCGTACGTATAGTAATCCTCGACCCACTTCCTCTACGCACCAACGCCTCCCGTCTAAGGCTCCTGGGGCCTGACACCTTCCGACCCTCAACCCTCAAACCCGTCGACTCTCCTCCTGCTCACTGGCTAGCTGCTAGCCTGCTCTTCCACCATTTACTTCCCCTTCTCATCTTTCCTCACCCACTGCTGTCCGCTCCCTTAGTATCGTCGATCCCGGTGGCGGTTCCTGTCCTACGAATACCGTATTGGTACCCGACTCCTCCCCATACTCGCTCGTATATTACCCTTTCCCAGTTTCGCTGTATCATTTTATCTCGTACCTAACCACCAGGGTACCGAACCCCCTCCCCGGCCCACTCTTGGTCATGGTATACATATATCCTCCATGACCACCCTCCTTGTCCAGCCTTGTGTCCAGTGTTGGAACTTGGTTGTGTCTTTGACTCTCCGTCCATTTCATTTTCTTTACTCATCATACTAAACGAGTTCCCCTTACACGTCACCATATACACAAGCCCTTTCACACCGCCATGACCTCTATCATTCAACTACTGTCTCCATGGCCGGTTTCTAAGCATTCAATAGTCCTGCACGAGCAACATTACCCTCCACCTCAATCCGCCGTCCTCCCTGACCACCTGGACACCATGCCTCAACACCAACCTTCGTCTCCCAACGACCCGGCCAGCAACGAGGCCGTCACCGGAAGCGCAGAAAGTGATGGAGGCGAGAACAACGGTGACGGCCGCAAAGGTTATGGGAAGCGCGAGCTGAGCACGAGCAAGAGGGCCGCTCAGAACAGAGCTGCACAAGTAAGTTAAAGTTTCTCGGCCGGGCTTGCACTTCTCCGTCTTTCGAAGCGGTGCTGACAAATCAACCAATAGAGAGCTTTTCGACAACGAAAAGAGGGCTACATCAAGAAGCTGGAGGAGCAAGTTCGAGATTACCAAATTCTGAGTGAAAACTTCAAAGCGGTTCAGGCCGAAAATTATCAACTCCGAGACTACATCATCAATTTGCAATCCCGATTATTAGAATCGCAAGGCGAGGTCCCCCCGCCGCCCAGCAATGTCGACGGGCTGCAACCTGGCAAGCCATCACACGGGGCCATGCTACCTCGTCTCTCTGAACTGGGAGAGATTGGATCCCGCCAGGGAGACAGTATACGCCAGGAAGCTCTTCGCAGCGGTTACCCGGATCCGACGTATTCAGAATCCCCAGCCAACAAACGAGTCCGGACAGGATCATCTGAGATGACTCCATCTCAAGCGGCATTGCAAGGCCCGGCCATCTTGTCACAGTCGTCTACCAGCACTCGATAGAAAGCTGATTTCTTCACTCGCATCAAGGATCTAAAATTCGACGACAACGGATACTGTGGTCAATTTGCCAACTCGGGTTGCTGACACGGCATGTCGGAAAGGCGTCATGGTCGGGGTGGGCCTGGCCCCTGTATGCACCATTGTTACTTGTGTTTGAACACGAAAGTACTGGCGTTTGGGGTGGGACGGGATGAGATGGGGTCTCGCGGAGTTGTCGAGACAAAGCAATGCGGTTTATGACCAGAACTGGTATCCCGACGAGGATCTGGCTTATGTGAAAGGAAGGGCTAGAGGCGGGTGAGTTGATGATGGATGCCGCCAGCATTCCCTCGCTGGGATAGTTTGTACGTTTCCATTGTACCGCTCCAAAAGGAATGTTACTGGCCAATGTACAAGAACAAGGGCCTGCGGGGTTCTGTAATCTCTTACGGCTCCCTCTCCCTCTCACCGTGCTACTCGAAACGAGGCGGGCATTACTGAAGTATGAAATCATACCGAATTCAGAGACGAGGGGATCATAAGTCAGCTCGGAGGGTTTGGTGAGCCATCATGACGAGAGCAATGCCTCTGGCCAAGCGAACTGCTCGTCAAGGCGTGCATTGGGATTTCCTAACTCCAGCCGACTCAGTGATCCAACCGAGCATCACTCCCAATCAGAGTGAGGCCGAGCGTCACTAACGGGACAGGGGTCAGCGTGTGCCGCCAGCATGAATGCTCTGTTCCTAGTTCCCCTTTGGGTGGTGCTAGTTTACAGAAGTACCGAATACGCAGGTGAGGAGTGCGTCGATACTGCCCATGGGGACAGGACAGACTGAGCGCACGAAACGGAGCCTCCTAGAAACCAGTGAAGAAAAAGATTCCTATATCTGCATTCAACTTAGATGCTGAATCAAAGTCTCGAAGGGGTGAGCACTGGGAAGGAGACGGTAGGGTATACCCAGCAAGACAAGGAGAGGGGCGCGAGGAGAGTTTACCTGGGCCCCTAGTTTGCAGGTAATTGTTCGCAGCGTTGCGTAACAACATGAAACCTGACTTGTATGTATGACACTTTTGGCGTTCTGAGGTGTGATAAATACAACGAATGGGTATTCAGACGGTACATAACCTCAATTCGGAAAAAACGATCAAAATGACCGGAATATCTAGCCAGATGACGGTACATAAGAGAGTTCACAAATAGGTATTAGCTGCGCCCCGAGATAGTGTGTTCGGAATCTCCCAGCCCTACCAATCACGGCAGGGCCTATCCTATCCTGTCTCAGCAGAGGCTACTGTACGACGTTACGACGTACGTCAGCGCTCCCTAATTGTTGGCTTTCCGCTTTGAAAAGCGCTGCGGATCGAACCACAACCTTATAACCATGTACCATGCTGGGGCTGTATCCCGCTCCCACATAAAGTGTTTCGGTACCCTCCTGCTGACCACATCCTTTGTCAATCGGCGACCATGGGACATCGACCTCGCTGCATATGGTCCCTTTGTTTCCATCCTTCTTGCATCAAATCGGTTTACCTGACGGTACCTGGCTCCCCTCTATGGGGACTCCAACCCTACGCAGATCCACCTCGAAAAGGACGGAATTTGCGTGCGCTTGTACACCCAGGAGCGAGATGATTTGACCAACATTCAGGCGAACAAAAAGCTATATACGGGAGAAAGATGTCCTCTGGTTGTTCTAGGATTTCCAAAGAAAGCAAAGAGCTTGAAATTTCCATAGCATTGGAGCTCGGCGGACCCAACGACTCGATCTTCCTAACCGTCCATCAGCTCAGGTCTTCTGAGTCCAACACACTCCGTATCGCCATCGAGCCCCATCGAGATACTAAGTCACGGCCGCAAGGTCTTCCGTCGCAAAACGACAGGAAAGTAGGCACGAAGATCCTTCATTTCCTTCTTCCTCCACTCTCGCCAGAAAACGAAGAGGCGCTCTACGGGATACGTAGCTTGCCTTCATATCAATTGCGGAAGTTACCATAATATCCCATTGCGACCATGTGCATGTTAATTCTATGGCCCGGTCTAGACTCTGAGCCGCAGAGTCACAACGGAGCTATGCCTGATCATTGTCTCTCTTGATATCAGGGATCAGCTCATTAGAAGGCTCCAAAGAGTGCACAAAAAGAGGACCTATCCATCTATATAAGTGCCGGGTGACATCGACTTCAACGCTGAGGAAGCCGAATGGGGGTATCCTACGCAACGCATGCTATGTACATGATCTATGTACATGATCCTTCGCGACACGGCTTGACACCCCGTGGTATAAATTCAGTGGTCTTGCTAAACGAGCAGTGAGGTCGGACCAGGAGGATAAACAGTATACGAGCACATAGTATCTCGTAGAGTATACCTAGTATATGCTCCAGCCGTATGTAAGGTAGCTCCACTATATCTCCTACAGGTAGTCGACCGGTTTCATAGTACAGAGTGCCAGTACCTGGCTCCGGCTCCGGGCTCTCTACGAGTATTGAGTATTCAGATACGTCCAACTAGGGACCTGCCAGAACATCTGCTCAGACAGTGTTTTACCCAGCACCCATCACCGATAATACTCCCGAATACTCCCTATGGTGAAGCTGTGACTACAGAAGCTACATGCGCAACAGTGCACTGCGCCGAGTACTGAGCACGAAGCAGATAAATCACATGATAGGGAAAATTGCTTAACTAGGGAATAGAACCAACCATTGCGGAACCTCGCTAGATTACTGTGCTCGTGACATGACAGCGGGCATTGGCATCGATGTCGCGTATTTGGTGGGGGGAGTCCAAGATACTAATCACATGGTGAATCGGTACTTAGTATCTGGATCGTAGTATTGTATTGAATACGGAAGCTGACGGACGATCCGCTGCGAAAGCCAACAGAGTCAAAGAGATGGGGAATCTTGTGCAAAGGATAGGATAGGATAGGATAGGAAAGGAATGGCAGAGCAAGGGGAAACTCATGTCAGGTGTCCAATGTTCGACAGCCCTCAGCCTGAGAAAAGTAAGTGAAATCCCCCGTGAGCCAGTCAGAGGGTAGCTTCATAATGTATCAGTAACGTAGCAATGTATGTCATGGCCACGGACTCTGTACACGGTGAAAATGTCTCTTCAAATATGAGATCGAAATTGACCTGTTGATACCTATATTGTTCGCAAGTGAAAAGCCTCTTCGCCAAAGATGGTTTGGTCCTAGTGGGTGAGCGGAGGCCGCTTTAAGAGCACTCCATGAACACTCGTTGAGCTATTATTATGAGAGCGCAATTGGGCTCCTGGGTGATCGGCTAAAATTGTCTTTCAGCATAAACAGCTAAGACCTCCATAAACCCCCTACATGTGGATGGTGCAGAGCTGTAACCGCTCAGCCCCTTTGGCGTCGATTGTGTTGCAATGCGCGGGCACAAAGTGGCTCTTTCTCCGAGCTTCTGGCAGACTGGCCATCGGAGATTTGACTGAGAAGTCAAAAATGCGAATGTAATATCAGAAACTAGCGTGAAAATACCTCCCTTCTTGCCGCGAGGAGTTGATGGTGTAGAGTTAACCGCCCATCAACCCCAAGCCACCCCGCAAGGTCTGGGCTTGACGGACGTTAGGGACGCAATCCTAGGATCTTGTCGCATAAGTGTTTCATCCTGAATCATGTACGTACACGAATCCCATACTACTGAGACTGTGGCGCAAGGTACAATGTAATGAGTTCCCCATTGTAAGAGAGGAGCCACATGGTAATCTGCAAGCCTGTTGCCTGCTGTAATATATCACCGACGCTCCTCTCCCAGAGATGACCGGGTACTCCGACATTCCATACCATCGCTAGCAAAATGAAGCGTCGGGCCGAACCAGCGTCTGTGGAAGATGTGTCGGACGAAACCAACAACACGATCCCGAATACTCGAAGAACAGCAACCCAGCCCAATAGGCCAACCCCAAAACGGAAGAGAACGATTGACGTCCTCGGTCGGAGCAGGACAAAAAGCGCTACAGCGGCGATTATTTGTCATTCTTGCGAACCCGTTCCTCTAGTCGAGGCGGTCCAAAAGTATGATGGGTCTTGGCCGATGACAATCCTCTCTGGAGGGACCGACCGAGATACGGTGAAGAATGAGATTAGTGGTTACCGTTTGAGAATGTTGTTCTACGAAGGTAGGTGTGCTTTTTCGCGACGGCACCAATTATTCTGTTCTTTGTTTCTAAGAACAGTCATGCAGACCGCCCCATCAGTAACGACACTACTACATTCATTGAACGTGACATCTTCATGACAGCGGAAGATGCAGAGGAAAGGAATCCACATATTTGGATCGAGCAGAGGATCTTCGAATCCGGAAAAGAAACGATCAAGGCACGCGAGCTGTTCTTCCTTGAACGACTGGTGGATGGGAAGGTATATATTTTCAAAGGGTGCGGTGACCAAATACTGGGTGTCGAGAAGCTTCCCGATCTGCATTTGACAGCCCGAGTAGTAAGTAACTCGCCCTTGCCTTCGAACATATTTCAGATGTCACAATTTGCCTATGTTGCTTTCTAACAATCACACCCGCAGCTGCCACAAGAAGAATGGCCCAAATATTTGTCGGAGACTGCAAAGTACTATGGATACGACAGGCAAATCGAGGTTCACCCCAATAGGACGGAACTCAAGAGCGGGAAGGGAATCACGTACGACTTCAACGAAGGTGAGGCGGGCCCCTGCTCCGGTATAGAGGTGTCAAGCAAAAGGTTGCCGGGGCAGTCCTCCTTGGGCCAAGACTTGAATATTTTCACCGTCAAGTTGCGGGGATTGGGAACATTAATTGAAGACACTGGCCGGAGGAGTGATTTGAATTTGAAGATATGTATTGAGTAAAAGTTTCTCGACGGACACGAGAACTGTTTACCAAATTACCTTGAGAGGTGTTGAGAATGGCTATGAAGTAGTTGAGCTTTCGTGGCAAGACCGTGAATGAATGCCAGGACTCTGAAAATTCAACAAGCTTTGCTATTAGGAAACGACCTCTTAGCTCGAGCTTCGAAACGCACCTGAATACGAAGCGCTTTCGTATGTTTGAAGTCAGTCATAGGGATCTACTTCCATAATCTACTTGAGCAAGTTTACACGACCCAAGCCTTGCCTCCTTCGATCTTGCTATGAGAGGTATCCCCGGAATTGCGGCCGGGTTTCGAGCAATTGGACCTTGCGACGATTTTGAAGATCGACGCATGCCTGAGTTTGGTCTGTTGCCGTTCAAGGATCCGGTATGGAAATCCCTTTCCAATCTCTTCTCATGTTCGTGGTTCCTTAGGTCATAAGCGGTCCAGGAGGCCGCGCTTGCTTGCTTAGCGATTATCCTGTGTGGCTGTTTAGAGCTCCCCTTTGACGATCTCAAAGAGGAATATCGAGGCTCGGAAAGACTCTAGAAGTACTCGGGAAAACTGTCATAGTACAAGGAGCCGAGAGTGAACAGGGAGATAAAATTTTTTGCGCAAGACTACCTTGACAACCTAGGCAGCCAGCGGTGAGTAGCTTTTCCTTCTCGGCGCTTGGGGGAAGTGGAGTATTCAGTGCTGTTCCTTTGGGCCCTATCGCTGGCTACAGCTTGCAGATGCCGGCGACATAAACAGAGGGATCAGCCATAACGCTGAGTGGTTGCTCTGAGTCGTGGTGGGTCCGGAAAAGATACAAATGAATAATTTACCTTGTGCAAAGTTTGCCCACGTGGCGAGCTGGATGTTGTTTCGTGAATCAAGATTGGTAAAGGTATCTTGTCACCCATAGGCCTAAAGGTCTTGACAATATCCTTGGCCCGTATGGGTCGAACATCTAGACTTATCTTCGAACTTAACTTTTCTTTCATGGACCATTTCGGATGGGCGGAACAGGTCACAAAGCTCCTGTTTTGCAGTGCCGGTGCCAGGTCTGAAGAAGACTGTAGGCAGCGGCAGAGAATGCGAGTAGAAGCATCAGCTGCATGGCGCCAGATCCTCTTCTCCCTCGGGATGGGTCTTGGGGAGCAAGTGCTGACTCGCATGCCTCTCTTATTGTTTTTCCAGGCACGAGCCTGAAGTTCACCAGTTGGTTCTCAAACCTGCCGGTGGTTTGAGAAGCCGGTAGAACCAGGTGGAGGAACCTAATCGTTCACTATGATCCACAGTTTAGCCTGATAAACCAGGGTTTGCCCAAAGCAGAAGCCATGAGATCTCAGATCCCCATTCCCGGAATCTCTGCAACACTCAGCAAAATATCTCATGGTCTGGATGGAGAAGACTTCATGTCCAGCCTCATAGAAATCTCCCGATATTGACGAAGACAATTGATGATGAAATCGTCTCATGCTGACTTTGCAGGTGACGAAGATGATGCTCCTGAGATATGACAGCAAGGATAGTTGCTTCCACATAGCGTACTCAGCTTGCCTCAACGCCACGACGCCTTTATGAGCCATTTTATTCCAATAATGTCACTGAGGATGTCTCAAAAATGGGACGAACCTTTGGCTCGCTGGTGTGAAAGTTTGGAAGCTCGGTCTTGACAAGCATGGTCTCGCTTAGCGTCATTTGACTTGATATGTTTGCATTCTCAAGAATTCATCGTCGGAAGCAACGACAATGTCCAATCCATCAAAATCATCGCCCACTCGGTGATGAAGGCAATACGTGTCACGGAGGACGTGAACCACGGGTAGAGCAATAGCGCATACATTGAAAATGACGACCGGCATTCGCTTGCACGTACTGTACCATGATACACCCCCCTCCCTCTCTCTTTTGGAATGTAGAGGCCTTCTCGAGTTTCGATTGCAGATGTAATTAGCCTCCCAAACATTATTGGTGGCTGAAAATATCTAGACCCACGAATGGCGATACGCGTATCTTGTTCTTTTTCGACGTCCGACTGTGGAGGCATGATCAAGCCAGTACGTTTGCCTTCTGCCTGGGTTGTAATTAGTGATAGACTTGCATCCTTCCCTATCACCATCCTCCTCCTATGTAGCCCTGCGTGGGTGACTGCCCCGAATATCGCCATGGCGATACCCAGACCTGTGCCCCTGATGTGCATACAATCAGGAATCAGATTGACCGGTATGTAAAGGGACGACGAGCAGCAAATATTCCGATTCCAATGCTTGACCGTTGGCGATCATCGGTATGCATTCCCAGGCTAGCAATTGCTTTCGCCTTGGTTGGGCCTGCACTCATAGCTCGTAGTATCTTTCCCTTAGTCCCCTCCTAGAGTATGCAACATGCGTCTCGCTTGCAGGACCGAGTGCTCACCACTTGTAGTCCGTGGGGAAGATCATACCAAGATTACTCCATTATGTCGGGTCGTGGGGAAAAGACCAGCTTTTCGGCCACACCACTTTTGGGGAGTTTCCGTTTCCAGAGACACTTACACTTGGGCGATCTATTATTCAGAAGATGGCTCCTAGTGGACGAAGGTTTCAGGTACCTGACCATTGGCAAAATGATCGGCATTGATGATGGGGCATATGCATTTATGCACCACCAGATGGGGTGAATAGAAGGAAAGAGTTGAGAAGATACCATTGCCCTAAAATGACAATTGCTCGTTGCTGCTTTCGCCCGATAAGTGCCGTTGTAAGAGAAGCGAGCATCTAGGGGCTCTGAAGTGATGGACCACTGACGTCGAATGAGGAAGCGTGTCGATGCAGGACGCTCGTGCAGTGGTTGGTGTAAGTTCCAGGTTCGGTGTGGGACTCTGGTTCTCTATGGCTCCGAACGCCAAAAAGCAGTAAACCAGGTAAGCATTGCGCATCACTAATGGCTGCCCTTATCTGCTCTGTACAAGCCCCTTCCGAGGGGGGAGCGATTCTGCCCAACTATGGAACTTGGGAGAGGAGAGGTGTTTAATCGATTACCTGAAGGACGACGATGTCTGAAGTAAGCAGGGGGCCTATTATGGAAAGACCGTCAAAAGACGGTATCGTAAAGACGATACAGAATGACCTCGTATCGCGTCATTACGGAGTGTCTCTGTCCGAGCCCTGCTACTCAGCTTCGAAGCTAATGGCATCTGGTCTCGAAACTGGGAAGCCTCATGCCGTGGCCTGACAGGTTTTCTTTCTCCTGCGGCCTGCGGCTCAGGTTTAGAGTGCATGACTCGATTTGGAAAGCCGTCTGGATAACGAGAGATGTGTATTGCGTTCGGGAACCGAGTTTGGTTTCGTAAGGGAGATCAAACCAAAAGGTCACTCGCTTACGGAAGTATTGAGTCAGCTCGATCCTTTGGTTACAAGGGAGTGAGGGCTTCTCGTCTAAGCACGGAGAATCTCCCCCTTTTCCCCCCACTCAAATACCGGATCTTATCTGGGTACTGCACCAGCAGGCCCACAAGGCCAATTGTCAACAAATTGGCCGCAAACGGCGCACCCGCCCACCATGCTGCTTCCAAAGGACCAGCACGAACCGCCTCGAGTCAGCGTGCAACATATCCTCAACTCCGGTTGCCAATGCCACCTTTTGTGAATGTTTGCGAGAATCAAATAGATGTGCCATCGAGCTCCTGGAAAATTGGATTTCCTTTTTTGCCGTTTTTGCTTATGAATTTCGTCCGATCCGGCCAAGGACTGTTATACATCGCCCGCTTGACGTAAAATCTTGGCGGAACTCCTCGCTCAAAAATATCATTGGGGTGGACTTCCAGATGGGGTTTATGCAAACCCTTTGTCACTCAGCAATTCGACCAAAGCCCATGAACGGAAAGGGTCTCAAATCGCGAGGCAACCGTTGTTTCCGCCGGCACATGAGCTTCGCTTAGTGAGCGGCATTGAGGTAAGATCTTAGTCAGGAGTTCGAATTCCCGGAACTGGGCAATCGAGTCATGACTGGCCCGGTTATTCTGAACGAATTCTATGGTTGTTCTACGTACGGCTGGTCGATTGGATTAGGCGGTTTTTGATATGTCAACCTCGTTGAATTGACATCAATATCGGCTGAAACCAGCGATACGAGTCTGAATTAACCCCCGGCTCGATAATGATCTTTCGGCGTTTGCGTTCGCCGCGGTCTGTCGCCATATACGATCGTGGGCAGAAGTCGACGAAAAACTGTTCGGAGACGTGTTTCTCTCTCTCTTTTAAGCCCAATCGTTTGAAGGCCAAGGTTGAAAGCCTTGTAGCAAGACTGAAAAGAATTTTCGTGCTGTGGCGATGACAGCCCAACAAAATGTCATATATACCTGGCGTCGTGTGAGATAAAATGATTGCTTTCTCTGTCCATGATTGCGCCTTGTCTGGCCGAGATATTATGGGTGGAACCAGGGAATCTTCCTCCTTCCCTACATTGCAGGCCTTACTTCCTGTGGCTTTGTTCTGGTGTCGGGTGGGGTGCTGTTCTTGCTCTTTTATGTGATAGTTCAGCTCGGGAGAAACTGATAATATGATGCCTCGGTAAGTGATCATGGAGCGATTCTGCCGTGAAAGCCCAAAGACATGTTACAAGACAAAGTTTTCTTGTGACCTTGGAAAATATCGAGGGTTGAGTAATCTGGTGGTTGAAACATCCTGCGAGTATAAAGAGGTGGTGAAATCAAATTTCTTGCCTCACTTCTCTGCAGGAAGGGTTCGCTAGACAAATCATCACCCAAAACTAAACGATGGTGGAGCTAAATTGCCCAGATCATGTTCCTGTGAAACGGGTGAGCAATCTTCAATGGAACTGGGGCAAGTCGTAATCGGTTACCTTGAGGTAATCACTCCCTTTCTCCGAATACTCGGCCTGTGTAACAGTGGCTGCAGCTCTGTCGGCTTGATCGCTGGCACTCCACCACGACGCTGCTCCTTTCCACGCATCAAGAATTGGGTCGTGTGCTTTGCGGACGTTGACCGTGAAATCGGCTGGAACATTGGCAACAAGTTCCCGTTTAAGTCGATCTTCGAAAGTCGAGAACATTGTATTTCCCCCAGTCAGAAATACATCCTTCAGAAGTGCCTGTTGTTGGTCGACATCGGAAAATCGACCCATGACAATACCTTCGATGATCTCAACCAGCCCAGCTTGATCAACACCAGCGATTCCCGGCTGGAAAACCACTTCTGGAACCCTGATTCGTTCAACGTTCAAATGAATCTGATTCGCTTCCCGTTGACTCTCGGGATCTGCGGGTCGTGCTCCTCGGAGAAACGCATGCAAGATACTTTTAGTCCAGTCATTCTGCGCTTCGATCGTGTCTTTCTCGGAGAAATTTGGATCGAATTGGAGAAGTTCGCTTTCTACGGCCTTCAAGGCGGCCAATGGGTCTTCCTCTGGCTCTTCGTCGTCGCTGGCTGGGTCAGTAGCCACGGTACGATAGACTCCCCAGTCGTCGTCGTTTGCGCCGAAATCATCATCATATTCTCCCCCGCCTCTGCGCTTGCGCTTGGGTCCGTCTGAAGCAAGATTTGCTAAGGTCTTCATTCGCATTTGGGAAGCGATGCCTTTGCGGTTACCGGAATCCGCCTTTTGCCGGGCTTGCTCCTTGATCTTGGCCAGGAGGGAGTCTCGCTGCTCCCGACGACCTGCAAGCCATTCATCAAATCGATTCTCCCGCATTTCCAGATCCTTTCGCTCCTCTTCTGCCGCTCGTGCTCTCTCGCGCTCTTTCTCAGCCTTGGCTCTGATCCTGGCTTCAACTCCCGACTTCATGAGTCTTTGATGCCGTTTTTCCTTGATTCCGTCCTCATCTAATTGATCATCCGGGACGTCAAGAAGTGGAAATTTGTTCAGCTGTTCTTCCAGCTTTTCCTCCTCTTCCGGAGCGCCCAATTCTTTGTTCCTCGACTTCCGAATCGATCTATCAAGGTCTCTGATGATCCGCTCTAACGCAGCTTCGTCCTTGAGCTCTTCGTCGTCTAAAATTCGTCGCTGTTCCTTTTTCGTGGTAGCGTTCACGTATGAATTGTGCAAGTTTTGGTAATACTCCAATTCCTGCTCCTTTCTGATCAGCTTCTCCAGACGCATCTTTGCAGCCTGTTCTTGAAGCCGACGGCCAGACTCCTTTTTTCGTTCTGCTATCCTGGCAAGCTCTTCGGCGGATTTCTCAACCACGACTTGTTCGGTGAACGGGTATTGTATGATGATGTCACGCTCCTCTTCGAGACCGGACCAGTCGAGATAGGTGGAAATTTCAGCGGCATAATCTCTGGAAAGATAGCAGTATTGTTTAATGTAGGTTTCCATCTGCTCTGTTGTCATCTTCCCCGGAAAGGTCGGGTATTTCAAGCGCAGGAGCTTCAACAAAAATTCCTGGGCTTGAGACCCTCCCCAATTCAGTCTCGCACATGATTGCATCTGAGGCTTTCGATCCAAAACGGGAATGATATGAGTTGATGTGTGAGATGAAGAAACAATCAGTCCAGATTGACCCTTGTTTTGTCGATAGGAGAATAGACAGTCGATGCCGTACGTCACGCTCGGAGCATTGTAGCATTCGAATAACATCTCGTTCATCATTCTCCGGCTGTGGCCTAAATTCGCCACGGGCTCTGTCACTACCAAAGGCCTTCCCACACTTCCTTCATTGTCGACTCCAAGCTTGAGAAAAATGTAGTCATAAATGCCTTCCATAATATCCCAGTTGGTCGGAATGCTAGTATGTTGCTCAAATGCAGTTCTGATCTGGCCACGTGTTGTAGCATCGGCGTAGGCATCGTACCCCACGAATGCGCAGTACTTATTGTATTTGCGGTCTTTGAACTTTGCCACAATCGGAGGAACGAGGAAGCGAGGGTTCTTGTCAAAGGAGAAACCTGCCTTGACGGTGCTGGCTCCTATCGTGATCATTTGTTAGTTTCGTCTCTTCATTTGTAGTGGTGGAGAGTCGATTACCATTGTCGATAACTATAGCACTTTCAGTGGGGGTCGCGGCGCTTTGTCGATATCCCTCCGGCTGCGGAGGCTGCCATCCCTTGAACGGGAAGTCTGGAGCCGGATATATTTGTGGCTTTGATTCTTGTTGCCCATCTAAGGGGGGGGTAGGAAGTCGACGCTCGGTCACGACGCGCGACGTGGAGATGATCGTCATGATGCTATGCTCATCCTAGAACGTCTGCAAAGACCGGGGCCGTGGAAGAGTTGTAACGTCTCAAGCACAATCAGGCAAATCTCAAAGATACTGGTCCTACGCTGTCGTGTTGACGGGAAGATTCACCAAAAAGAATGAAGAAAGAATTTTGCGGAGAGGCGCAGTGTGGAGAAGCCACCGCCAAAAATGGGTTGACGAGACGGCTCAACTGATGTGAAACCTGCTACATATACTACCTGGAGATTCATCACAATATGTGCTCACTACTCAGTCTCATGCTTTCAATGACTGAATAGATGTATGTACAAGGAAATCAGAGGCGTCGTTCCTGTTTTTCGGGGGATTCTGCGAGACGTAGGAAGACAAGATGTCTGAAATTTGTCAATGATCCTCAAATACGGAACAAGTCCACAGCGGCCAAATCTTCTTTGCGAGCCAATTCATCCCTCGGGCTTGTTACCTGGGCTTTCTTTGTCCTCTTCCACGAAGAGATATTGCGAAGACCCCGAGGGTCACCGTCTCCTTGGAATGTCCAGCACCCATCAGCGCATGAATACCATGCTTGCAGGTTCCTTGGTCGATATTTTAGGAGGCCTTGTAGCTTGACCCGTCGATTCATGTAGACTTATTCAAATCAAATCATGAGCTCCATCGCCACCATGGGATTTATCTTGTTGCACGCTCGACGCCTTTTCTCATTAGGGATCTTGAAGATTCTCTGTTGCTATATTCTTGTTAAATGTGTTCAACTTCGTTGAATCGCGGGATCTCCTTACCCTCAAGATGAAAGAGCACGTTGGACTGGTAATTCTTGAACATTTGCGCAACCAGTTCAACATTCATGTTCTGGATGTTAACCTCCTGCAAAGCATCTTCAGCATTTTGTCTTCGTGGCAACAGCTCCCTGACCATACTTGCAAGTTCTTGTTCATCATCATTACAGCCTCGTTCAATTTTTCCTGTCGACACTAATCAACAAGCGTTTGGGAATCATGATATGGCAGAGCATACAATGTTGGTGATGATCCGCGAGAGCAAAAGACTCTGCTGTTGCTCATGAGGGCTCTCCTAGCACTCCAATGAGCATTCCATTTTTTTAAATACGATACCAAATACTCACCATGATGTCGCCAATCTCCTAGTCGATGACATGGACAGACGGAGGTTCTGGCTGCGAACGCGCTGGGAGGGCACGAACGCGGTCGCTGCTGCGCTAATGCAACAGTTTATCATGCCGCTTTAAGACCCGCACCCTGGGCCACGTCAACTGAGTTGCCGCCGGTTTTGGTTTATGCAAGAATTTTTATCAAGGGCCAAGGGGTAGTGCTCATGATGGGTTCTCAGGATCCGATGCAAGCGGGATCCGGTACTTATCGCTAGAGTCTCATGGTCAGGATGCATTGCCCCTATTCTGAAATTCAATGGAACAGCTTTGATGGTAGGTACAGTTGAGGCGATGGCCTACATAGCTTACTTGCGCTCAATGTTCGAAGATGAGTTACCAGAAGCTCTAGCTAGAACTGTTCGCCTGACCTTTTACTGTATTTGCAGAGCAAAGATGTCTGAGAAGGCTGATGCCCCTGCTGAGTCATCAAGAGTGCAACGCACCTGCGGCCTCGGAAGGTGTCTTGGGTGGTTTTGGATTTCCGCCGGATAAAGAAATTTTTTGCTGTCGTCCATCAGTATTTGCAAGTTGTGATTCATAGAACCGGAGAGAGTTCCGATATTCATGGTTGCAGAGGCGCTCTGCAGATTACTCGACTGAGCACCGAGCTTGGAGAAACACGGGGACCGTCGGCTTATTGTCGTCACGGTTTGACTCCCCGCCTTGTGACGGGCACCAATTAATTCTCTGCTCCCGTCCGTCTGTTTCGATTTTGACCCAGGACGATAGAAAGAAAGTTACCATTTTGTTTGGGTATGTCTTCTGCAGAGTCTCTAGCATGCAAGAAGCTCCTTATTTTTGGAGCGACGGGCTTGATTGGGAGCCGCATTACACGAGAAATCGTCCGGAATAAGTCCAAGTTCGACCGAGTTGCTATCTTCACTTCACCAGCGACTGTGGAGACAAAGGCCAATGTGATTGAAGGCCTGAAGGAAGAAGGCGTCGATGTTATAGTAGGAGACGTCACCAGTGCGACTGATGTGGTTCAAGCCTATCAAGGTGAAGCATATGGTGCAATATCCACAGAGACAACTAATGTGTTGAGACAGGTATTGACACAGTTGTCTCGTGTGTTGGCAGAAATGCAATCGAACGTCAGATTGAGCTTATTCGCCTTGCGAATGAAAGCCCAACTGTTCACAGATTCTTCCCATCAGAATATGGTACCGATATTGAGTATGGGCCAGCATCCGCCAACGAGAAGCCTCACCAGAAAAAGCTGAAAGTACGAGCTGCAATCCGCTCCTGTGACCATTTGGATCATACTTTCGTAGTTACTGGTCCCTACGCCGATGGCGATCCAGGACTGTATTTCAGCGCGAATTCAATCGCTAAGCCATCGGGAAGTTTCGATGCAAAGAACAAAGAAGCGGTTTTACTGGGAGACGGAAACCTGAAGATCAGCTTCACAACGATGCACGAGTGAGTAAGCTCTGATCCACCGAAGGAATATTTGAAATTTAACGGCGGTAGTGTTGGCAAGCTGGTTGTTCTTGCAGCTCTTCATCCCGGGGCCAGCCGGAACAAGGCTTTGCGAGTCAACTCTTTTACAGCCACCGATTCGGAAATCCTCCGTGAATTTGAAAAGCAAACTGGTGGAGAACCGTGGAAAGTATCCTACACTAGTGTCGACACTTTGAAACAACTTGAGCAAGAGGGATGGGAAACTGGAAAACCCTTTGCTACTGTGCTGACACTGAGAAGAATTTGGGCGGAAGGGGGCACGTTATACGATAAACGGGACAATTACCTCATCGAAGCAGAAAATGTCATGGACACTCTGGCTGATGCTGTTGCGGAAGCTATCAAGGTTCAGACGGGTTGAGACAGGAATCTCTTCCCAAATGATTCTCCATGGTGGAACAGTCGGAGAGGAACGATATGAGGGTTGCCAAAATCGCCGTTCGGATATTTTCTTCGCCTATCCTTTGTCTGTATTCCGGTGGCAGCAAGCTCCAAGCCCCGGACTAGATTATGTTGGCTAGCCTGGGTCTCTTCAGAGTTCGATTGTATTTCCACATCAAGGATGGATGGGAGCCTCCCGATATGGAAGTTCCAAATGTCACGTTTCCACGCGTCAATGATGTCGAAGCGACAGATAGAGGTCATAATGATTCAGATTCAACGAGGCATCGTTTCGTGGGTGGGTTGTCGGGAAGGTGCGGTTCTGTTGGCCATCATGGCGTGCCAGGTGTGAGGCCAGGAGGAAAGGAAGGATATCAGAACGACTAGATATATATAGTATGTTAGCATTTAATATTTTCAGGGCCTGTGTGAGAGAGAGCAATTAGTTGGACAAAAGACTTGATTGGGTGGAGTGAAAGAGTAGATCTGACCTTAGAATTTTCACGTCCGACGCTGTCGGGATCGAAGAGTTTGATTCGTGTTCGCTTAGGCACGCTGCATACCTGTTCCTTACATCGCTATCCTCGACGGTCTCCAGACACCAGCCGAGCTCTTCGAGTGCAGGTTTCAAGGTGCGAATAACGCCTTCCTCCTTCCAAAACCCCATTGCGGAAAGTCTGCTCATAAAAATGCCGCCCTCTACGCCGCAGCCCGCGGATGATTCCCATCAGCAACTCCTCGACCAGATGGATATCTACTACACTCCCAAGCCCTTTCGCAATCCCAACTGGAAACCTGGTACTCGAAGAAATAAAAACACCAAGCAGATTGTCTCTGAATCACAACGCAAAGAAGCCTCCGTCCTGGCAACGCAGAATAACTCTGGTGCATCGACCCCCCTCCCTGCCACTGGAGCCACTTCGGACGGTGCCGCGACGCCTGCATATTCCACTGCGCCCTCGAAACCATTGAATATGGCGCAAGCGACTCAAAGTTTAAGCACACTGGTTCTGGAACGAAATCTTCAGAGGGCTGTAAATGGACTCGCCGCTGGGTTAGGAGGTCCTGCAGTCACATACACAAATATCGAAAGCGCTCCAAGTCTCCACCCTGCGAATCATAAACATTACTGCGATGTGACGGGTTTGCCAGCAAAGTACACGGATCCGAAGACTAAGTTGAGATACTATGACAAGGAAATCTTTGCGGTGGTAAGGAGCTTGCCACAGGGAGTGCCAGATCAATATCTGGCTGCCAGAGGAGCAAACGTGGTTTTAAGATGAAATTGCCAATTATTGCACGGCCACATCCTACACAAATCGCTTCAAGAGAGGAACAAACAAGCTCATCAGATTCAGACCGTCCAAAATGTCAGCCCATCCAAGTCAAGCTCATCTCACCCGCCGTATTATCTTTCGATATACAGTTCAAAGAGGTGCTCCGGCTTAATTGTGGACTGTAAAAGAGTTTTTCTTCGCCGGGTTGACACGATACCGAATCCTCATTGCGAAGCAGAATCAGTTACAGCAATATCAAAATGCTGTGGTCAAGGCGGATTTGCGCATTGTGCAGAATTGATAGCTTCACTCCACGCTGGCCTGGACATCCGCAGAGCAAGACGTGGAAGATAGTCGAATTCGCATTCAAGGTTGCAACGGAGCAAGACAAGGCGAACAGTTTTAGCAGACAGATATGACCATACAGATGATCTGTAGAAGTCAGAGTTCACTCATATCGGGCTGGCCATACAAAAACCAGCCGGAGGATGATGTTTGTAGCGGAGATAGACAATATCAGACAAAGTTATGAGTATTTGGAAGGTGTTGCGAATTAGTGGATGGGTAGGTTTCCTGGAAAACAAATATGAGCAATAATATTCTCCGACTTCGTTACCTCCACTCCGATGTTGGAGTTCACGATTTATCTTAAAGAGCCACTTTTCTTTCGTTCTTTTTAAATCACATCTGGCGGTAGACTGGTCCCAGCCAATACCGCAACCCTGGATATGTTTCAGGTAAGGTCTAGCTCTCAAGAAAACATGGGACATTCTGTCTGATCGCAACTGCAGCGCCTCAAAGGCGCCATAGACAGCCGGATTGCCGAAGAACAGGCACGACAACGTCAGGCTGCCCTCAGTGCCCAAGCCGCAAGAACTCCGCCGCGACGACGTGCCCAGGGCCAGAACGGAGGCCTTCCCAGACGCCCTTCACGGCAGAGAGAGCAGACCAATGCTTCCACGGAGAACAGCCCGCATCCTTCTGAGTTCGAACCTGAGTTTGCGATTGGAGAAGATGAAAGTGCAACACCAAGCAGGGCGGGTACGCCGAAGCCTGAAATAAAGGCCACAGGGAATGAAGCAGAAAGGGAGAAGAATACGCCAGCTGCTGGTGACGATGCGCAGGAAACGGGGAGTTTGGCCGAAGCCACCACCGACAGGAAGATGTTAAATGCGAATGGCAGCTCGGCTGGCTCCTTGCGACCTGAAGAACTCTCGACCGAGGTTCGCCTTAAACTGCGCAAGCTCGATCGAATGGAAAAGAAATATGCAGAGTTGTTAAAGGCATACACTACGGCTCACGCAAGAATCCAAAGCATCGAATCCTTTGAGTCTTCTTTGCGAGAGAATACCCCTTTAACGAGCATCAACGACCCAGGAGCCTTGGTGGAATACTTGAACCAAATGAATCTAAAAAGTGACATGGTGGTGGACGAGTTGAAGAGAGTGGCGTCGAACAGGGACGAGTACAAGAAGAAGTTCCTGGCCTCGGAGGAAGAAACCAAGAAGCTGCGCGAAGAAGTGAATGATCTAAAGACGAAATCAGTATCAATCGCTCAAGAAAGCAAATCCGAGAAATCAGTTCCGATCGGAAGCCCGACCACTGCTGTCCCAAGTGAAACCCCTTCAGCCAAGGAGCCTGCTGAATCAGAAGCAACAAAGTCTCCCACCTCTACTTCTTCTCGAATCGCAAGCTTTTCATTGTTTTCTCCTCGTTCGAAAGCTCTATCGCCTCCTCCAAAGGAGACATCCGAGGATCTCTTCTCCTTTGACTCGGAACACACCAAAATGGAAACTGAGTTGAACGAGCGCCAGATTGAGGTCGAGGATTTGAAGAAGCAAGTTACCAGCCTAAAGGGTGATCTCCATGTGGCCCGTGAATCGACCGAAAGCATGGTTGAGAGTCTGGAAACTGCCACTCGCGAGCTACAAACTCTCCGTGAAGCAAAGGACAAATTTGATGAGACCAAGACTGATTTACAAAGCCAGATAATCGCCTTGGAGGCCAAAGCTGCTTCAGCATCTGAGCGCACGGGTGAACTTCAAAGCGAAATTGAGATGCTTCAGAAGCAAAAGAGTGACACATCTGAACGTCTACGGAATTTGGAAAGCCAGATACGCGAACTCGGGACCAATAATACCAAGCTGAGAGAAGAGATCGAATCCACGAACAAGGACACAAATCTGCTCAACGAAAAGCTTTTGCAGAAAGACTCCATCGTCAAAGACCTTGAGGATACGTTGGCCATGTATAAATCTGCGGAACGGCAAGAAACTGCACAAAAGAGAGAGGATCAGTCCAGCGAGAAGAGACTAGCCACAATGCAGAACATCATGGACGCATTACGCAGTCAATTAGACAATGCTGAAACGACCGTTACCGAGTTGAAAGCAGAGATCCAAAGCAGTCAGGAAGAGTCTTTGAACCGACCGTCTACGAAGGTCTTTGGCTTCCTTGATGAGAGTCAAAGGGCAAATGCTGATACCTTGGATTCACGCGAAGATGTTGTTAAGTTCCTCACCGAGCACTTCGGTCTTCAAAAACCTCCGACCAACAAGGCGGTCACAGAACCTGTGGTACCCTCCCCTGCTCCCTCGGAGGCGACAACCAATGCCTCCAAGAAGAAAAATAAGAAAAAGAAGAAAGGAAAAGGCCAAAATACTACCAGAGATGACGCCGAAGGTGACGCACCAACTACCGTGTCGGATAATTTGGCTGAAGTGGACGATACTGAACCTATGAATGACAAACTATCAGCATTAGATGTCTCCAAACTTGAACAGAAGATTACCGATCTGAAAGCAGAGCTGCAGACCAAGGCGGACACCATAGAACGACTTTCAAAGCAATTGAAGGACCAAGAAGCTTTGCAAGAAGAAATCGAAACACTTCGTGATGACCTCTTACATCAAGGTGAAGAGCATGTCGAAGCTCGTGATGCCCTGAAAGATGCTCAGGCACAGAAGAGCACGCTTCAAGAAGCAGTCGACAAACTTGAGAAGGAACTCATGGAGGCTCGTAAAGCAACCGCCAGCAACGCCGACACGGAGAAAGCTCATCAGGATATGGTTGAACAGTACGCTGAACTCAAAGGCCGGCATTCCACATTGGAGAAAGAACTCGCCGCCTCGGAACAACTTGCCACAGCTCGATTCAAAGATATCACTGATTTGAAGGAGTTACTTGCCAAGGCACAACCTGAGTTAAGGAGCCTGAGAAATGAAGTTGCGGAGCTGAAATCTGCCAAGGAAGACCTCAAGAATAAGACTGGCGAACTGAACAGACTGGAAGCACGATATGAAGACATTAAGGCCGAGCTTAAGGGGCTCAGCAAAAGACTTGGTGATAAGGACAGTGAGATTAAAGAGCTTCAACAAAAGATTGAGCAAGAAACAAACACGAGGACCCGGATGGAAAAAGAACTGGACCAAGCTCAGGCTGATCTTCGCATTTCAGAATCTCGACGTCAAGAAGCGGCCGCCTCGTCTGAACAATTGACCAAGGACCTTTCCAAAGCGAAAGACGAATCTGCGACCTTGAAGGCGAAACTGCGTGATTTAGAGGAACAAATATTCACGCATACCCGGCAAGTGACCGAACTAAAGGAAGAAATATCTCTCAAAACAGCGCTACATTCATCTTCCCAATCTCTGGTCCAATCCTTGCGGGATCAAACGCATGAATTGAATATCCAGGCTCGCGAAGCTGTCACTCGAGCCGACAGCCTTGAAGAAGAACTCGTCGAAGCACAGCGGATGCTTTCAGAACGCACACGAGAGGGGCAAACAATGCGCATGCTCTTGGACCAATCAGAGAGCGGAACCGAAGCCAGACTCCGCGAAATGAAAGAGCGGCTGGATGCGGCGATTGAGGAGCGTGACCGCGTCGAGGACGAAGCAAATGTTAGTAACAGACGCATGATGCGCGAGGTCGAAGAGGCGAGAAGCAAGGCTCGAGATGCACACCGAGCACTCAGGATCGTGGAAGACGAGAAAGAGGACCTGGAGAATCGCCAGCGAGACTGGAAAAAGAGACGAGATGATCTCGAGCAAGCAGCCGCACGAGCGACCAAGGAAGTCGAAGAGCTCAGGTCTGCAATGAACGGACTCAGGGAAGCTCTCGACGAAAGTGAGAGACAAGTTCGCGAGCTTGATGCGCAGAAGGCAGATCTACGAAGAGCGGGCGACGAGGCCAGAGAACGGGTCGAAAAACTCGCCAAGGCAAATAAAAATCTCACCGGAGAATTGAAGGCAGCTCAATCCAGCGTGAAGAATGTGAAGATTCCGAATCGACCTGGCCCGGGGTTGGAGTCCGGCGTCCCCAGTTCGAGATCATCCATTGACTCGGCCAGCGCGAGGTCCCCAGCGCCGAAAGAGAGAGTGCTCTCGACGACCACGAGCCGAAGTGAGACGCCAACAACCATTGCGGGCTTAAGTCAGAGCACCGTTGATTATGTCTATTTGAAAAATGTGTTACTACAGTTTTTGGAACAGAAGGATAAAGGGCATCAGCGGCAGTTGATTCCTGTGTTGGGCATGTTGTTGCATTTTGATCAGTGAGTCTCGTAATTGTCTACTTTGTGCCTTTCACTTGCGTTAGGCAGTATAACTGACTGTTGAAAACAGGAGAGACGAGCAGAAATGGAATGCTGCAATTTCCGCACGATAGTCTGTTTATGCGTATGTCTTATCTCTATGGAGCTGATTCTTAGAAGTGACCATGCTCGACACCACCACTGGATGGGACATAGAAACGCACGAACTATTGGCAATTATGAGCTGGACCTGCGCTCTCACGGTCTTCCGATCACTTTTTGGATCCAGCCGCTTTACATATTGTGTACTGGTGGTCGTTCGCCCACTTCGGTTAATGGATCAATCATTGAGGCCAAAGGAGATTTGGTTCAAGATTGGATCCTTTCGTCGCATGAGCATTATTATGCTTCTGGCATGGCCCATGAATCGCGGTGATTTGTAGATTACGTGCAAGGTAATAATCGAATGAAATGAAGAAAATAAAACGTCTGCCTCCCTTCCTGGATTGTCAACCATTGACAAGGCCGATGCTTCATAGCGCCCCGTGCATTTCCTGCTCAGCTCTCGATTGTGTTCGTAAATGAGTGTGCTTCTCGTAATGTGGTGCAAACAATATCTGGAAGATCGCATCACACCATTCATATTGTCATGCCAACAAATCCATACCAATCCATCCACCTCTCCATCTATCTATTCGTCCATCCATTCTGGAGCGAAGTCCTCACTTACCTTGAAAGCTCAAACTCCGTAATACTCAAACCGCTTATCGTTCAATAGACATTGGCGACGTCCCTTGTTCTCACCTTCAAAATGGAATCGATCGCAAGGATTCGCACGGACCCAGGTGCGATTGTACAGATCATCTCGACGGTTACTGGTACTCTCGTGCTGTGATATTGCTGATGACACCAAATAGACGGAGGCGAAGCAGGGGGCGTGCTTAGTGGTGGAGTTTGCGAAGGACGTAGGCGATCCGTGATCACTCGGTCAGGCTGATTGTCGAAGATGAACACTTCACCGTCGCCGAGATCTGTGAGTGATTGCGTGGGAGAAGGATAGGCGATTATGAGAGGAGCTCTCCATGGATCTTGGAACTCTCGGGTGCTGGTCGTGGCGTACGTTGGCGGGATTACCATGTCAAGTTTCTAGAGTCACTAGACCTTATGGGTTCTGGACTAGGCGCTTGGTGGTGGTTGAAGTAGGCCGGTCAATGCAAATTGAGCCAATGTGTCTCGAGAGCGCCTCTTCATCAGCGTCGTTGAATAAAACTGCTGTGAATTTCGCATCGCTGATGACGAAAAGGGACTATAGACGCTGGATTCGTTTCACCCCAACCCCAACCCCCAGGCCACCAAAAAGTAGTGGCCCGGAATATCAAGTGGGCGTAGAGCCCGATCAAGCGGTGCAAGTAAGCGAACAAAAAAAATAGCAAGGTAGATAGATCAAGTCGGATGGACGACGGGAAAAGTGAAGGAATCAGTTTGAACATCTTCGTCGCAAAGATCCACCATCGGATACTGAAAGAGGAACTTCGGATTCCGCAAAGTGCAGGTGCCTAGAATGGTTTCGTCCGTGGCATCCTTGCAGTACTGGAATCTTAATTTTCCAGCCTCGTGTGACTAGCCATCTGGCGGTGTAATTGTCGACGTCGGCATTGAGGGCCCAAACTTACCGAAGAAGAATCGCTCGTCCATGTGGCCTGACAAGAATGATGAGTCTTGAAAAGCGCTAGTTCGATAAGCTGCTGTACGACCTGGGACGACGAAAACACCCCGTCAACGGCGTTTGTGGCTCGAAATTATGTTGCTCAGGTCAGAGCACCGATCACGTTGAAGAACGATTGAAACCCATATCCTGTACTCAGTCGACGAATTCGCTCGTTTGTGTATATACTACCGACTCTGAAGTCCTCGAAAGGCGCGATGGCTGTTCTGGAGAAATCAATAGAAGGCCAGAAGACATGGTAGCGGACAAGAAAAGTGACAGCGGTCTAACCATGAGGCTAGGCACAGGCAATTTGTTGACGCTTTGGCCCTTGCAGCCAAAACTTTGATTCGAGTATAAGGAAAAGCAGCTTGGTGCGTCTTGATGATCTGTTTTCGTCAGATTTTGCCGGTGCTTTCCTACTGATAATCAGAACTTCCAAGGGAGCCATTCTTGAGAACCGAGGAGAGACACTCGTGAAAGTCCTCATTGTCCGGCTCAACGGCGGGAATGATGAATGTGCAATCTTCTTCAATGACGGGCCTCACACGAGGGATGGGAACGGTTTTGTAGAGCCAAAAGATATGACGCGAACGATGAATTGTAGACAGTGGAAGATGAACAGGAAGATGAATAGGTAGGTGAAGCTCAGGTGTAGACGCAATTGGACTGGAATCGGATGGAAGATGCCTGCGAGAGTTTCTCAGTCCGCCTGGCTGGCTCTCACGAAGAGATTTTCTCCATCACGGAAGGATACAGTAACTTGCCCGACAAATTTTCTGTAACGCTGTGTGATAGTGTCTCTTCGTAGGCTTGGGCTTACCGAGCATGATCGAGAACGTCGATTAGGGCTCACCCGAGCAGATCGAGTAGTTTGATACTTTGCCAGATCTCTTCCGCGTTCTGTGGTTGATTGAGATCAATATAATCATGATGGAACGTAGATAGTGTGATGATCGGACAAAGAAGATCAGTGAGATGTTCAGAATAGCAGTATGGAAGTCGTAAACAATGAAGGTGATAATGAAATGTGGGAAACCTTCCGTCGATACGTTTGGAGCATAAAGAAGCAAACAAAGCATGAACGCCTAAGATAACTGCCTCTCCGGTTCGAGATTCTTCAAAAGATTGATAGCAACGGGAATCGTATCAGGAAGCAGTGGCTCATTGAGCATGGGGTTATCTCGCACAGCCAAGTTTTTTTATGCCGATTGAGGATCAAAGGTCCATCGGTGTCCTGCTCGTTTCTGTCGGTTTAAATAAGTTTCCTTGTTAGATAGGACATGCGTGCCCAGACGTACCTTAACCAAGGGCCAAAAAGATTTTGCAGAATATAAAACTTTGGCACCACATGGCTTGTTCAACATAGATGAAAGCCAGATAGTGGAATAGGTCAAGACAAATCTTGATGAGCCAGAGCAAAGACATGGCAAAGATAGGAGAAGTTGCGGAGTAAATGTCAAAGATTTTGAGATACGATGAGATTAGGTTCTTTTTTTTTTTTTTTCTTTTGGCGGATTCCAGGGATACAGTCCGTAAACCGATTTAGGCGTCAATGCCGATATAGGCGAAATATGTGCATCTTTCAAAGGATCAAAGGAGAAGTGGCCGCCCCAATACCAAAAAAGATCCCAAATTTCTTCTCTTGACGTTATACGCAATCCAGTATATGCTGACAACAAGTGTTCCAAATGGGTTTCCTCTTCGACGCCACGCTATGCATGCAATTTCTGTGTTGCACAAAGTCGCCCGCTTCATTTAGTCATTATTCAAATGTCATCTTGATCCCCCCCCGGCTTTGATCAAAGTCGTCATCGTCATCTGCCCATGCATTACGTTCCAGATCCAAGTCTGGCATTGGCGTTGCAGCACTATTACCCGATGTTGCTGTTTGTCCGTTCCAGCTCGGAATAGAAGGATCCGTGGCATGTGGTTTAAGATCCGGTCGTAGATTTGGGGACCCCTTGTTGCTCTCTGGCCAGTGAGGCTGTGAAGGCGTTAGACTGAGAGGCGGTAAAGTAGTGACTAGTTCTCTCGGTTCTGAGTAGGCATAGGGTGATCGTCGATTGGGGTCTGGAGATTGTTGTGGTGATCGTTGTGGACTTACTCGTGGAGATCGATGGGGGCTCGAAATGGATGAAGGCCTCAGAGACGATGTTCTGGCAGGTCGTACAGGCGGAAGTTGGACAAGACCAACGCCTACGTCAATTTCATCTGGCCGGGGCGGAAGATTCATCCTTGCAATCTCATCTGGCTTAATGTCATGCGGAAGACGAATATACTCGACGTGCTTTTCTCCATCTTTGACCGACGTGATCTGCATGGGCGGCAACGTGCTGTTCAATTCTCTGACTTCAATCATTTCACCTTCCAGTTCTTTTCGGATGGCATCAATGTCGAACAGGACATTACCATCTTGGCTAGGTGCTAGTTCTTGACTTGAACTGTCGCTCCGTTTATGACTGCTGTCATTCATGCTGTACGTCTCCCAGCCTCTTTTCTCCGCCAGCTTCCCGCTTTTGAACAGCCCAAATCGTTTCTTTTCGGGCCTTTCTTCGGCCTTCTTGCGGGCCTCATCGATTTCTTGAATCAGCTCGCGTTGCCGTTTTGCATGATTGTCGGGGTCAGGATCTTCGATTTCAGTGAACTCATCGCTTTCCACTTCCCAACCAACCTGGCGCAATAATTGAGGCATAGCTGCCCGGTAAGCCATGTGGCCGGACACCAAATTGCTAACGTCGATGTTTTCCACTCCCGGAATGCCTTCCACAGGAGCAAGTCCTGCAACACGCATGATGCCCCCCGATGTTGCTCGAAACAAATATCCCAGAATCCAGTCATTAGAAGCATAGCCATTTAAGAATCTGCCAGAAACAACAGAACGAGCTCGTAGATATTCGTCCTTTTTCGCGACGACCGGTGAACCAAACAAATACACATTCTGCACCAAGCCATACGCTCCACGGTTGGATAATTCTTTCAAGCAGGAAAATATCACTCTGGACCCGAGGGAGAATCCCAGTAGAGTGATTGGTCTTTGTCCTAGATGTCTGTCCATCAGCGAGTCCGCCAAGATGAGCCCGGCGGCATTGGCTCTGTCCAATGAAACACTCCAAGGGTTATCAATAAGGTAAGCCAGCTTCGACAGGACAATCGGCAATTGGAGCGACGCCATGAGTGCAACCAAGATAGTGCTTCCGAGCACTTGCTGAACCGTTTGAGTTAATGCTTCCGTAGCGAGAATGTTGATGGTGTCACCCATTGATTGAAGCATTTCCGGTTCCCAAAGCAGAGAGTAAATATCGCCCATGATTGGATCGACGGTACTGTAGGGTAAACGAACATCGTCGATTTTGCCTGCCATCCAGCCAGAGACAGTCAATATAAGGTTGAACCGTTTGTTGTTATGCAGAGGGCGATACTCGAAAGTTTTTACGTGTCCGGTCCGTCGTTCTGACGCTCGAACCGCAATAATACCACCGGCAGCTGTGGAGGCAGAGGTGATCAGTGCTGTTCCTCCAACTCCTCCCAGAAAGCCTGCGGTACCAGTGATACCGATCGTTGTGAACCCCGTGGCAAGGCCTGCTCCAATGAACGGTGCAAGAAGACCGGCAGAGAGACCGATGACAAGACCGCCACCAACGGTCGCCAGTCCCATAACCATGTACTTTCGCTTCAGACCTAGTTTCCGTCTTTTCTCCATGTTTTCAGACTCATCCCAATTTTCTTTGGCTTCTGCTTCTTGCATTTCCAGTTGATCAATGACCTTTTTCTCAAATCGGCAAATCTGGATCCAGCTAATATTCATGGTCGAGCCTACCCTTTCAAGAAGTCTCCTAGACCGAGCATCGTACTCACCGTCGGAGATCAATACCAGGAACAAATCACAGAGGACAGTCCAGCGCAAATCAAGTTCGATCTGCTTCGTGTGGGGCATATCTTCCGGCCCGTGCACCTCAGGAACTTCTTCTCCATCTTTGCCCTCCTTCAGATCCGGTCTGTCGCCCTTAAGAGAAGGGTTGGAAACAGTTGAGTCCCTGTTCCGAGAGATATCTGGCCTTGATGGCTCTGGAACAACGTCATGAGCCAACGGATTCTTGACTTTAGCATTTAGCATTAAGGGAGTGACCAAATCGGACGGCTGCACTCCATGTTCTGCAAGCTGTTCGATCATGATCTGTTCAGCAGGGTTAATGTCCATGTGCGTATACAAACGAACCATCATTTTCTGTCCCCACATGTCCATGCTCTCCAAGGCCTTGGTGATTTCCCTCTTCGTAGCTTTTGTCCTCTCCAGGTCGCTGAGAGCCTGAAGCATCTTATGAATCGTCAGGCGAACCACACCAACGTAGGCTATTCGCTGGCCCTCGGTCAAAAGATCCTTTGTGGCTTGCAATTGGGTAAGAGCATCTCTTTGTTCATCGTCTCCTGGGAACTCTCCATCCAATGTCTGGGATTTCTGGCTATTTTGGAACAAATAGTTGGTATCCTCGTCCATGCTGGTGGCAGACTGAGCGTCCTCATCGAGCTGTACCCTGGTATATCCTTTCCCGGCGCCTCCTATTCCGGAATAAGCATTCGTTTCCTCTTCGGTTTCTCGGTTGCCCTTTGCCACCAGTCGGCCATTGTCATCATAGATGTCAAACTCGTCCAGAGCTGGCATGGCTTGCCACTCCTCTTCTTCCTCTTCGTCGTCGGAGGGATGGTCTTGCGTTACTTGTTTTTGATGCGACCATTCGGACACAGCGGGAGCATGTGCCCGAGTCACACGCTTGCTTATGGCTGAAACTGGAGAAAGCTGAGAATTTCTGGGAGATGTGCCTTTTTCGGTTGCAGAATCTTGCCCCGACTCTGAAGCCACAGGCACTTTAATCTTGGGGATATTTAGGGCCACATCGGGCCTTGTACTCCCTTCATTCTTCAGTGATTTATCCTCCGCTTCCTGGGATTCTCCATGTTCGGCTTCTTTGCTTGCTGTGGACAGTCCAGTCTCTGGATTTTGGCTCTTGCTCTGATCCTCCTGTTCCGCAGTGTGTCCGTTGAGCTTGGTCTCTTCGCAGACATTATCTTTGTCATCTTTCTCGGCTATGGTGTTCGTATCTGTAGGAGCTTCGGCATCGTGGAAAGTATCGCTCTCATCTCCGCTGTCATCAGGTTCGGGAGGTCGAGATACGCTCGCCGGTCTTCTGGGTAGTCCAAAGTCGTCCAATTCGGGTTCGCTAGAGGATGAAGAAGACTGTGGTTTATACCCTGGTGGCTGTTCGCTTTTGGGATCCTCAGCGGCATTTTCTTGCTGAGATTCTTTTCCGCCGGTCATAATGCCACATATATGGGGTGGTCAGCTTGAGACATGTGCCTCAAAACCACACCGGGAATGAAGCACTGGGACAATGTATTGGCTGTTGTTCCGGTTTGAAGACAAAGAACAGATAAAACATAGACGGTGCTAGGCCCCCAAGCTAGGTCAATGAAGCTAGGGGCGCATTGACTCCAGATGCTTTGTTTGTGTCAGCCGTACACTGGCATTGAGGCAGATCAAATTGCGCTCATTAAGCGGAACCTGAATGGGAATTCTTGACGCGGCCGCTTTAAGAAGGGCTCGGAAAAACTTACTTGATCTAGCGAAGTGATCTTCATCACGTGAAATATTACAATGATCACGTGAAAGGCCGAAAAGGAGTTCCAGACTTATCGTAGCCATGAAGACATTCCTAGCCGCTTTGTTTCGTTCGATTTATTATGATCGTACCCAACTCTATATCCAGAGCCACCACCCACTCTATTAAAGTCTCAAGTCGCGAGATGCCGAGCATCATCAATTCTGGTCTCTTTACGGAGAACTCAGCTAGCCATCGCTACCGTCACACTCGCAGCATCAACTCAGCTGCAACTTGCTAGCCCTATGAAACTTGGCCTTCAATGCTTCGAATGATGTGGCTGAGGTAGATGCTAGCCGTTATTGTTTTGCCATTCTCATGTGAGCAGGCTGCGGTAAGTCTCGAACACAATTGAACTACAGACGGAAGTTTCGGTCGTTACAAGTCCTGCGGGAACAACTTTTAACCTTTCCTGCAAGGCTCACTGAAGAACTGCGCTTTCGCAAGTTTGCTTTGATTGATGGCCTGTGGACGAAAGCGGAGGTCCATGGAAGACCTCAATCTCAACGCTGGGTCTTTTCGCTTTGGATGAAGGATAATCCACGAGAATCATCTCAATTCAATAATTTCATGTCCAGCTATCGAGCTGGACTACCGAACTGGGTCGACGTATTTCCCTCAGAAGAGTTGTACGCCGGAGTCAAATGCTCTCCCGACGGTGTGTTAATTGTCGACGTTGGCGGGGAGTTGTGCCCAGACCCTGTGGTCTTTCAAAAGAAATTTCCAGACCACTCTGAGAAGCTCGTCCTGCAAGATCTTCCGGAGGGAATCGATCGCGTTCCGGCCAACCATATATAGCGGCACTGAAGTTACCAAGTATAATTTCTTCGAGCCCCTGCCAATGAAAGATAAGTTGAGTCAGTCCAACGTATATCCTTCTGGGGCCCATGATATATTTCTTCACGAATATTCTACACGATTGGTCCGACAAGGAGGCTGCCGTGATTTTGAAGAATATTGCCGGCGTTATGAAGAAAGGCTATTTTAAGGTAATAGTCGTGGAAAGAGTTATGCCAGAGACGGGAGTCCCTCTTCCAATAGCAAGGCTTCGATATTATCATGATGTGGGCTCTAGCATCTCTAGAACGCAATGAAACCAAATAGATCGCATTGATGTTCGAAGCTGGCCAATATCTGGGCCAATGAAATAGGAGATGTAATCATCGAAGCTGTTTTGAAATGATGGAGTTTGGTGACTTGTTCCGCCTCAGACACTGGACTAGATACTCTACAAAGAATATGTGGCGGAATTGGGGAACGGAATACACAATTGAACGGGACAATGATCCTCGGCACCAGCGGACGAGCTATGCTCGTGGATTCAATAGAAATAGTTTTATAGTCTCCCCAGTGGACTAAGCAGATTGCGATTGAGAGTGGCGTGATGCTGATAAAAAGAGCCAGCCATCTTGTCGAGCGGAGAAAATTCAAAGCTGTACCCGTACTGTACAATTTTTTGTCCATCACATGAAGAAATTCTTTTTGCGAGCGCCAAATCTGGGCGCCGCCGACCACCTGAAACCCAAGTCGAGTGGCTGAGACAAAAAGACGCCGTCCATGAATCATTCATTTTCGGTTTGTGAATCGTTCCAGAGCTGAATAGTCCCCTCGGTCCATCTGCTCCCAAACGGCCTCAATCCTTGCTCGACGTTCTAGGCTCGTTTCTCGATTCCTTCTGCTCTTCTTGCTTCGTTCGCCTGATAGGCACTTGTTCACTTCTCGCTTGATGTCGTTGCAACCACCCATGGCCTTGTAGAGGAATCCACGAGCGTGGCACTCGTCGAGCGCGGTCATGATTTCTTCGCACCCTGCACATAGTCAGCTTTGAGTCGTAGACTTTGAATTCGACACTTTAATCCGCATGCATCGTTGACAAGAGCAATAATGCAGAGGTTTTCAAGGTGAAAGCGCAATTAAGCTTGACCATCAAACAAGTCTCCGGGGGACTTGCCACATACCAACATTGTCTTTGGTGTGCAAATGGGAATGCATTTTGGTGGAGACTCGCCTCCAGTATTGATCATGCGGTTCGAGCCACGGCCACATGTATGTACTTGCGATCAGCCGGGTTCAAATTGGTGTTTGACAAGTTGGACTGAGGAGACAAACAGCTCGGATCAAATTCCGCATTGAATTGTCGATGCCAAGGCATAGCCTTGCCTAGGAAACGCAGCCTTGCACTCGACCAGTGTAGCCCCTCACCGCCCAAAAGTTCGCGGATTCTGCCGCCTTTTTCTCTCGCCCAAAAAGTGAAACTGCAAGACTGGATAGATCCAGTGGTCCTACAATTCCCAACTCCCAGTTCAAAAATGTCGATGACTCTGGCGACCACATGGGTGAGGCGAGGTGTCGCCGCACAATTCCCCACGAAATATCAAGTCGACGAAGCAGAACTTAACCGCATCTCAAAATTAGCCCGGTTGCAACTAGAGGATGCCCAGGCGGATCTAGACAACGCTCAAAATCCCAAGGGTGGCGATGAGTCGGAAGATGCAGACTCGGACACTGGCATGCCCGCAATGGAAACTACCCAATCCAACAGGGACACCGTAGAAGAGACAGATGACCTGAAAGAATATAATCTCGACAACTACGACGACGAACCTGTCGACGAACAAGGCGAGAAATTTGCCATGTTTGGCAATGTCAATTCTTTGGCATATCATGCGCCGCATGAAAAAGATCCATACCTCGTATTACCCGAAGGGGAGCAAGAATCAGAGGACGAAAGAGAAGAACTACAGATACTGCCCTCAGACAATCTTATCCTGGCGGCCAAGGTTGAGGATGAGGTCGCGCACCTGGAGGTATTTGTCTATGAAGATGAGGCTGACAACCTCTACGTCCATCATGACATAATGTTGCCTGCAGTTCCGCTGTGTGTTGAATGGATCAATGTTCCCGTCGGGAAAGACGCGGGGAGTCGGTCCGAAGGGAATTTCGTTGCGGTAGGAACCATGAGCCCCGAGATCGAAATCTGGGACCTCGATGTCGTGGATAGCATGTACCCTAACGCGATACTGGGGCAAGAACCAGAGCCATCGGCTGAAGAACAGGAGCAGAACGAAGAAAGCTCTACAAGCAAGAAGAAGTCGAAAAAGAAGAAAAAGAAGCCCAAGGCCAATGATGAATATCATGTCGACGCAGTTCTTGCTTTGGCTGCCAATCGGCATCATCGAAATTTGCTGGCTTCGGCATCTGCCGACAAGACTGTTAAACTTTGGGACCTAAATACTGGAAAATGTGCAAAATCATACACAATGCACTCTGGAAAAGTGTGTGCGTTGGATTGGCATCCCACACAGTCAACTGTATTACTCAGTGGAGGCTATGATCGGACCGTTATCGCTACGGATATGCGAGCCCCAGACGCGATAGCACCAAAATGGGTGGTCGAAGCTGATGTGGAGAAAGTGAGATGGGATAGCCATGATCCCAATTTTTTCTGGGTCACAACGGAAGCTGGCACGGTGCATTATTTTGACGCTCGCATTGTTCCCACTTCTCATGACAAGCCAAGCAAATCTATATGGACGTTACAAGCTCACGATGGTGCTGTGAGCGCATTTGATATCAGTCCTTCTGTGCCTGGTCTCCTGGCAACCGGGTCGGATGACAAAAAGGTCAAGCTCTGGGACGTGGAGGACAACAAGCCTCGTATGGTTGTTTCGAGAAATCTCGAAGTGGGGCGGATATTTTCAGTCCAGTTTGCACCAGACCCAGAGGTGGCCTTTAGACTCTCAGTTGCGGGAAGCCGCGGACAAATGCAGGTGTGGGATATCAGTACCAATCCTAGCATAAGGAAAGTGTTTGCCGGAAGAGTCAAGCTGCCTGAGTCAGATGGCAAGGAAAGACTAGTTGGCGTCAACGAAAGCAGTGATGAGGAGAGTGATGAAGAAGACCAAGATGAAGGCAGCATAGAGACAGGTGAAGGAGGTCAAAATGGTTGGGAGTCAATGGATGAAGACTGATCAGCAATATATCTGTATGATTGTATGACCGATACCCTGGAAAAGGTCGTGATGAATGAAAACATCCACATATTGAATATATTGTCCGATAACGGTTACGTCTCCTGCCCCTGTGTTAATTAGACCTCCGATCGGGATGGGCTATTACCCCTGAGAGACTTTCAGCCTTGTATATCGAATGACCATCCCGACCGACTTTCTTCCTTCAATTTTAGCCTGAAACAGTGGATAGCACAGGATATGCAGATGCAGATGTTCAAGACAGCAAATAATCGAACACCGACCCATTCTTGATGGCCACATGCCCAAAAGACATTCTCTGTGCAACCTTGAACCTCGGTCGATTACTTTTGTGGAAAGAATAGCTCAAAAGCAACTTGCGATCCCCTTCTGATAATTATTACACTTCCGTTGTCGCTGTTGCTTCATTTGCTGTCAAGCAATGGAGCATGATACTGCTGCTCTTGTTCTCGTTAATCCCGCTTCCTAGAGGCCAAGAATGTCTTCGAAGTCTCTTTGAGTCTCCCAGCCACTATTTCTGCTTGAACCCTGACAATACTCGACGAACGAGGCATCCCTCTAGCGGCCGATTCTCGGAGTCTCTTATTGGCCGGTTGTATTGATGCATTCTGCAGCGGGACAGACAACCAAAGCGGAGGGATCGTGGCGTCTTTCCGCTCTGGTTGAGGAGAGGGAGATGTCCGACAGCCTGCCCCTGTTCTGATGTGATTAGATCTTTCTAGGGTCTGGTACGTGACACTCGAATCATTCCGGTCCTTTTTCTATCCCCCGGTCTGTCGAAGTGTCGGGAAGTCTCGGAAACAAATCAGCAGGGTCAATACACTCACAGTCATGGCTGATTCTTCATTGAGGTCCCTGACCCTGCAACATTTTGGATCTTCCTGCAGAGGTTCGAATCGAGTTATACCAGCATCTTTTCAACGTAGCACAGTCATCCATCGAAGGGGACAATTCAGCTTCTCTTCATTGCCACTCCTCAATTTGTTCATGCGCATTTCCCTGGCATATACTGAATACCTGTCAACAGCTTCAATATGAAGTCATGCTTTACCAATTGCCAGCAGCAACAACTGGTTGACTTGCGGGAAGAGGTTTGACAATCAAAGATGACTGTTTTGTGGCCTGTCTTTGCTACCGTTGAGGCAAGTATGGTCAAGACACCCTCCACTTAAATCAATATTTCGAGCCTGCAATGGGAGTTCAACGAGGACTCAGCACAGTCTGGGAGGTCTGGCAACGGAAGCCTGGAGATTGTCCTCGACAACATCGGCCGGGGAAGAGGATCAGGAAGCCTATAGTGGACCGACTATTCGAATCACCAGTCGTCGTCGTCAAAGGTGGAAGCCATCCAGGCGAAAGTTTAGAAATTTTCAGTCCTGAACGAGATCACCATTCCCTTCTCATCCAGCGTGATACACTCACACACCCTTCACCGTAGTATCAAATGCCTCAACGGCCCTTGAATTGAAGCACTTTGTATTTGTTGTCGGAAGCCTGAGTCTGACGTTTGTCTCGGGAGGGGCGCACAGCCAATCAAGTCGAGCCTGGGCGGTTTCGACGCGCCGCGAAGTCACGTGGGCAGGGCTTTTTGATCGACCCGCGTCCGTTTCATTCCAGTTCAACGGCCGTCGTCTCGGTTTCTTAGTTACTTCTCTCCTGTAGTCAGTGCTTCTTGACCGATTTTCTCCCTTGCCGAAGGTGTCACTGAAAACAACTCCAACCTTGACCTTCTACGTCCACCGTTCGGGACAAACTTCATGTTACCTTCACCAAACTGAGGCCTGTGCTCCTCCAGGCTCGTTCCGCTCCCAGCATCGAGCCACTATGGAGCAAACGGTTCTTCTACTTCTTCGGGCAACAACCCAACCCGATACTGCCGCCATTAAGGATGCCGAGAAGGGTCTTCTCGGGCTTTATCCTCAACCTGAATTCCCCCTTGCCCTCCTGGCCGTCGCTACCCACAACGACATCGAGTCTGGATCCCGAAAAGCCGCCTTGACCACTCTTAAGAATTATGTCGCCACAACATGGTCCCCCCAGCTTGGTGAAACTTTTACTGGAACAGTATACTTGGATGACGAAGCCAAAGCTCGAGTACGCGATCAGGTGTACGCTATTTGCACAGCCGAAGGTGACCAGGCATCCAAGGACGCCACGATCCAAGCACTTGCAGCCAGTGTCGTCTGTAAGATTGCAAGCGTGGACTTCCCAGACGCCTGGCCATCCTTGTTCCCATCACTCCTCACCATCTTGAACACATCAAACAATGACGACCCAATCCATGGCGCTCTCAGAGTTCTTGCAGAATTGATTGACTCCGGACTGACGGAAGAACAATTCTTCGTGGTTGCACGGGATCTTGTCAATGCCTTGCAGCATGTCACCGTTGACAACCATCGTAGTTTGATCGTTCGAGCCATGGCTCTTAATGTCTTCCGAGGTTGTTTCGAGATGCTGGAAATGGTTATGGGAGACCATGGGGCTGCGGTGAAAGCATTTCTGGATGAATCTATGAAATACTGGATGCCGTTCTTCATGGAGACACTGAAAGAGCCGTTACCGTACTCAGGGAAATCCAGAATTGACCAGGATGATGGCCAATTACGAGGCCTTGTGGCATTGAAAGTTCAGGTTGTCAAAGTATGTATCTCCTTACCCTGACGAGGCGGCACTAGACTAATATTTGCATAATAGACTCTTGATAAACTCAGACAAGTCTATGTTCATGCCATCTCACCTCACGCAGTAGTGTTGTTCGAGATTGTCTGGGAAGAATTATCGAGGATCGCATCTCCCTATGCCGAACTATTCATCGAGGGTAATGCAGAAGGAAAGCTAGTTGACAGTGACAATCTCCCCTGCAGTCTTGACGCTTTGGTACTCGAAGAACTCGATTTTCTGCAAATCACCATCAGAGCTCCACCGGTTCGCTCGGAACTTTCAACTCAAATGAAGCAACTAGGCGACGCACCACATACGGTTTCCTGGTTACAAGAGCTCATCCGCGTGTTGGTGCTGTATGCGAGAATACCAAAGGAGGACCAAGAATTGTGGGAATTCGATGCCAATCTTTATCTGTGTGAAGCCATATCTCTCACTGCAAATTACACCCCAAGAGCTGCCTGCGCCGAATTGGCAGTACGAAGCCTCGGAGAGTGGTTGAAACAGATCCCGATTGTCGCCATGCTTCATTTCAACCAAAAGACGTTGTCGAGTGTAACATCTACCTGGAAAGAACGCGAGGCTCTCCTCTATCTTTTGAACCAATGTCTCAAAGATGTCGGCGAGATCTCTGGCAAACTCGAATCCGCCACAGCCTCGGCGGTACTCGCAGAGGTATCCGGCTCACTACAGGACTCACAAATTTTCCCCCGGGCTGCTGCACACCTTGTTTTGGGCTCCTTCTTCAAGATCGCAGGCGACGAATACGTTTCAGCCGGTGCCGCATCCTTTACTAGTGCCATTGACGCCTGCTCCACCGATTCCTCCGACGTTGTCAAAGTCGCCTGTCTAAGCATTATCCCTGACTACCTTGACGCACTACCGTCGAATGTGACACAACCAATGCACGGCGCAATCATCAACGTGATCGACGAGTTTCTTTCATCCCACGACTTAAGATACGACCTGGAGGATGCCGACGACGTCAAAGCGGTAATGATACAATCTCTTCGCGACACAATTCTTCTCGACACCAGAACTGTGACGGAGACCAAAGCCATCGACTTGTTCTTCACACTTGCTTCTAGTGGTGCCGCTAACTTCCAGCTTTTCGCCCAGCTGACTGAAGCGTTCGAAAACATTGTTTCCTCCGTTGTTGCACACGGCCAGGACAATTACATGCGTCTATGTGCGAAGACTCTTCCCTCACTCACGGGAGCCTTCGACGTCGCCAACTTAACTGAGGAATCGGCATTGGCAAACCTTGCCGCCGAACTCGTCTCTGCACTCGCAGAATTCGGCTCAGACCCTCTGCCGCCAGGCTTTGTCAACACGGTCATGCCAAAATTGCAGCGTGTGCTGATGGAAGCAACCGAAGCTGAAATTGTTCGACCAGCCACTGTCGCCGTCCAACACATGCTCAGCAAAGGCACCACGCAATTCCAAACCTGGATAGACCCCGAGGGCAAATCATCCATCGAAGTGACATTGACCATCATCAACCGACTGCTGAACTCTCCCGACGTCGATGAGAACGCAGCCCAAGAAGTTGGCGGCCTAGCCCTGTCGCTCGTGCACAAGTTTGGTGCCGACAAACTCGGCCCTTACCTGATGGACCTCCTGCGCGCCTTGGCCATTCGACTCGCCACCGCCGACCGCATCCAATTCATCCAGAGCCTATGCATGGTGTTCGTCGGCCTATCGCTCGACGCCCCCAAAGAAGTGATCGATTTCCTATCCGAAGTTAACATCAACGGCGCCAACGGTTTGACCGTGGTGCTGACCAAATGGCTCGAAAACTCAGTGCATTTTGCGGGTTTTGACGAAGTCCGCCAGAACGTCGTGGCCCTCTCCAAGATCTTCTCACTCCAAGACCCTCGCGTCCAATCCGTGACCGTCAAGGGCGATTTAATCGTCGACGCCAGCACCGACGGCCGCATCAAGACGCGATCCCAAGCCAAACTCAACCCGGACCGCTGGACCAGTGTCTCTGCAGACCTGAAGATTCTAAAGATCATGGTCGACGAGTTTGCGTCCGCTGCGACTTCGCAGTTCCCTAACTTGGCAGCCGCACAGGCCGCCGCGGAGGCACTGGAGGAAGAAGACCCCGAGGCCGAAGATGCCGGTGATTGGGAAGATGTTCAGACGGGAGGGGCTATTGATCTAGCCAGCGCGAGTGTGAGGGATGATTTGATGGCGCTGGCCGGCGAAGGTGGCGTAGGGGGAGATGGCGCTGGTCTTAGTCCGACCGGTTCGCGCGCCAGAGATGAGGAAACGGCCGAGTATCTTTTGCAGTGGTTCAAAGGGGAGGCGGAGAAGGAAGGGTTTGCATCCTTGTTCGATCAGCTAAGTGAAGAGGAAAAAGGGCGATTGCGTGAGTTGGTTGCCTAAAAAGGGAGTGGGGGAAAGGCATGAACTCAGTCACTACTTGTTTTCGTCTTAAACTGGCATTCGAATTGTGGGCTGGAAACAAAACCACGGCGTTGTCGATGTGCTTATAATCGTCCGAAGTGCAGGGAACAAGGAAATATCAAGCATCAAATATCAAACATCGAGGATGAAAAAGGCGTGTTATTTGACACGAGAGTGAGAATCCGAATCCGAATCCGAATGAGGAAAACTCATAGATGAAGCAGGAAGGCGAGGTTGAGATTGAAATTGAGACTATCCAGATCTAAGCCCATAGACGGATATGTCGTGTACGTTATTCAAATGGTATCATTCAGAGTGCTCTGCTCTATTAGCGAATCAGATCCCTTCCCAATATCTCTGAGGATGGAAGTTCTTTCTGGGTAGCACTTAGGACGTCAAAATATACTTGTGTACGTACCTAGGTACTGGTCATCGGGGATCCACTCCAGAGGCAGAACGCAGACTGTTATCATGAACGAATACAGAGAGAGCTGTTCATTTCTGTTGGGTTTATCATCCAGATAATATCAAGAGTCGTACAGCCACCTCGGAGTACAACACTACCCTCTCAGATCGCTCGTTCACCATCCTCCATAGTCTCGCGCATGAAAGTGTATGACATGATATATCGTGTCGTATCGTATCCCATCTCATCATCTTTGGGTCCCAGCACGAACATTCCTCTGCGCCCCAAACTTTTCATGCCATTTCCTCTTTTTCTGCGCTTTGGCATCAGCATCGGCACCATGTCTGGGTCCTTTCGCTACTGCTGCCGCCTTTGAAGCAGAACTCGTGAATGCCGTGTCAGGACCCGTTCTTGCTCCGAAGGCGTCAGTAATATCTAAATTGAATTTCAGCACATGCTTGCCTGTCTCGACGTTCCCAAGTTCGACGCCATCGACGGCCGCGACGAGGGCAGGAACATCACAGCCCTTCGCCCATGAGTCAGGGAGGATTTCTGTCCATCGAGTCAGGAACTCGTCGGGGGATATGCTCATGCTTGGAGAAGCGTCGTCGCGCAGAGTCTCGAGAAGCCAGATGCCAACGGCGTCTCGGAGTTCGGGTTCGTTCCACTTGGACGTCTGCTCGTCGCTGTCATACTCAAGATCTAGGATCAGTCCTAGATCCGTTTCGAGGTCGGTAACGCTTTCACCCTCAATGCAGGGGACCTTGGCCCTTTCAGTGAAGCGTCTAAGAATTGCCGTCGTGACAGCCACAAGCTCGTTCCCTCCGTCTTCGACATCTGCGAGTGCCCTCAGCGCACTTAGGACATCTTGCAGGTCTCTGACCTCTAAGTCTCTGACCCTGTCGACTTTGACCCCTGAAATCGCGCACTGCTGGATGAACGACTTCCAGCTCTGAAGCAGAACGGCTGCGCCGGGTATATATGCTGCCGACACCTGCAGCTCCTTATCCTGCGCTTGTCCTGGGACTAGGATCGTGAAGACGAATAATTTCCTCAGGACGGATGAAATAACGTTCGTAGGCGCGGGAATATCGCTGAAGACATCTCTCAGTGTCACTATAGGACCGGTCTCTGGCCGTAAACGTTCATCGTCGTTCCCACGATATAAAGGTACCATGCTGCGAATCCGTCGTTCGATTTCCGTCTCGTCTGATTTGACTTCGATGAGTTCGAGGATATTCTTGACTTGGGAAATGATCGTTATGTCGCCCCGTGAATCCCTATCTGCTTCAATATGCCCCGAGGCAGATGTTTCATAGCCTCTTGACTCTCCATTCATATTCAAATCCAAATCCATAGACACATCTCCATCATCATCCTTTTGTTGCTGTTGCTCATTGTTTTGCCTCCGCCTTTCTCGTTCTGTTTCTGTTCCTTTCTCTGATTCTGATATCCATTGTGTTCGTGTCCGTGTCTGCGTGATATAGACGCTATTACTCGTACTGACCTGCTTGACGGCCCAGGCTTTGTCGTCGCTGCACAGATGCAGATGTCCTTGCCCTTCCCCATACGGAGATGACGACGGAGTTTGTATTTGTAACCTTGAACCGGGATGTCCAGGAGACTCTAGAGCGGGTGCAGATTTGAATTGCAAGCGTAGTCTGTGATTCAAAAAGGGAGTTAATTGTCCATGCCAAATGCCTCCCCGCCAAAGCTGTGCCGAACAATCTCACCTCAATTCGCCCAGTTCCCGCTGCTTCTCAATCGAATCCGCCAATTCCAACGGCAATTCGAGCAATCGGAAACCCTGCTGCGGAAATGTCGCCGAGAAAGGTATGGAAGGGAATTGGGAGGCCTGCGACGACGAAGTCATGGTGGTTCAGGTCTGGTATTTCTAATTGGAGGTTATCTGATAATTGAACATAAGTCCATGCCTGAGAGGTGGGATGTGAATTATAATCTCCCATTGCGACACGGGGCCTGCGCCAAAGAATAAAAGGAACGCGTCTGGGCTGGGACGCGTTTTGATCGAACGACGTCAATTTCTAAGTTGTCAGACTTTACAAGACTGATTCTTACAATCAATTATTGACAAAAGAATGATACATGGAATAGCGGGAATTCTTTGAATTTTGCGTTAGAATAGTGGTACAACGCCATGCCATGCGTGTTTAGTGACGGCCATCTCAAAGAAGTGCAGTTCATTGCGATGCTTGATTTATCCTCCATCTTGCCTGCACTGAATCATTTCACCATGGTTCAAGCACAGTTCCTCCCATTCCCATACTAGTGTCTCATATCCACGGCCGGTCCCTCAACAAATCTGCTCCATAGCAGGCCGGGCTTGAGACTTTTTGGAATTCTTTTCTTTTGTGCATCAAAGAAACTCACCATTCCACTCCGAAAGTTGCCCGAAATGCTCAATCAACGCCATGTATCTGATGCATCATGCTGTTGAGGTGCTTGCTCGCGGTCTATTCCATATCCCATATTCCGTTTCCCCTAACTCACCAAGTGCTAGTAAATTCCATCATCGTCGTCCTTTTTTAGTCTTCTTGTTGCCGTAGCTCCGTGCAGCTCGCTTGGTTTCGTCTTCCATTTTAGGTGCCGCCACAATCTTCTCATTCTTGACATCTTCCTTACCCTGGGACTTCTTCTCGGATTCGTCTTGGTGAGTGTTAATTTTCTTCACAGTCTCTTTCTTTCGGTTGTCTTTTTGGGGTTGATCCTTCGGGTTGGGCTTGGAAGTACCATCTGCAAGGGCTTGTTTGTCACTTTCCCATTGAGAATCCACTTGTCGGAATTCCTCTTGGATCTTCTTCGCCACCTCTGCGTTTTCTTTCTCCCGCCTTTCTCTTTCGCGTTTCTCTGCTTCCATTTCTTCCATATGTCTGATGTCGTCCACGGATGGTTCGTAAAGATGCCAGACTGTATAATGTGGCAGACCGACCACTGAAAATTGCATGCGTTTGGCCATTTTGCCAAACCCTTCCGTCTCGGCATGTCTTTCGAAAGAGAATGCAGGGAAATGTACTCCAGCGCGGAACACTCGAGCTTTAGCAAGGATAGACACACCACCGACACCATCGAGCTCCATCTCAACATCCGGATTGCCGTAAGGATCACGAAGGTAGGCAAGATGAGGACGCCAGGTGGCATATTCGGCGTAACCTTCTACAATGACGGCGTCTTCATCCAAGGTCTCGGCAAGGGCAATTGCCGTTTCGGATTCCTGCCATGAATTTAGGTCGTATGGTTGTTCACCGCCGAGCCAGTCAGGAAGCGGGCGCCAGATATCTGGAAGGTTGGTCAATTCACCGTTGTTCTAGCCACCGCCACGATGGACTTACTTGGGACGATTATGTCTCGGTCATGCCTCATCAAATCCTCAATGATGGTGAAAGGACATGTTTCAACATCAGCGTCACGCCAATATACCCAACTATGATAAGGTCTCAAAGCGGCGCTGAGTAACCAATTTCTTGCCTGCGCCATGAGTTTTCTTCGGCCGGCCTGCGCAGCAAAACCATGTCTGCTTTCCACGTCTTGACCAACCGCTTGTCCAAAATCTTTATGAATGACGGAAATTTCTCCGTATGGTTGCGAAGGGTCTGGATCGGCTTGTTGTGCTTCGAGCATTTGCGAAAGCAATTCTTCGGTGTTGTCTTTCGAATCCGAAACCAGGAAGGCCAAATCAATAAGATGATGCGGGTAGGTAAAGTTTCGCAGGTGCGCAAAGAACATTGGCAGATGAGGTGCGGCGTCTCGTAAAGGAGTGCATAGCAAGACTCGTTCCTCTCTCTCCCATCCCACCGAAGTCCCTTGCACATCTTCAAGGTCATAGTACCGTAGTGTCTCAATGTCGAAATATTCTTCCGAAGGTGAGCTACTACTCGACAGAAGCGAAAGATTGGTGGCGGAGGGGAAAAATAACCAGACAGTGAGGGCCAGCGCCCCGATGGCGATCAGACCAAGACGGATGAGACGAGAACGGCTGTGAAGGGCTCTTCGTCGAGGTTCGAATTTGCGGCTGAAGGGGGGATCTGATTTTTCATCCTCGACTAGATCATGCATGCCCCAGATGTATTTACTCTCCAGGTCGGACCTGTCGGAATAGGGGTGATGGACATCATCGTCGCGTTTCTTGTTGACGGCATAGCCGTTGGTGAAGGCGTGATGCCTGTTCATCCCTCCAACCTCATCACCCCCCTCAGACTTTCTTGTTTGACTTGCACGACTCTTTGTCCCGCAGTAGTCTCACAGGTCGTGCTTCAATTAATCAACCGGTTGACAAGGAGGAATGACAATGGGGGTCTTATGACGTCGAAAGATTGAGGGAGTGAATGGACGTTGAGAAACGAGAAGAGGGAGAATGACTGTCGAAGGAGAGGACTGGCGTAGGTGCGACAGAGAATGGATCAGGATAGAGTTTGGCAGTCTGAGTGAGATGAAGACAGGATTGTCGTCCGCAGTTGTTGGAGAACGGACAAAAAGGTGAGATCGACAGGCACTCCGACAAGAGTCACACCAGGGCCTCCCCTTGAGTCCTGGGTCACTGTCACTGACAACTCGCGGCTCAGTTTGAATAAAGTAATCAGTCAGAGGAGAGGAGAGAACGCCGTCATAGTCAGTTGTCAGAAGCAGATGCCAGAGTCTGAACCTTCTTACGCAGTCACAGTCACAGCCACAAGCCGCCAAGTGTAGTCCATTTGAGGATGCGGTTCACGCCGCCCTGTTTCCCTTCCGGTTCTTACGGACTGAATCTAAAAGCGGCGCGACCAAAGATTTGATACATTCAGCCTTGTAAAAAACAAAACTCCTCATTGAATGTATCTCTCCTTTGCATGTTGTCGCTCAAGGCTGGTAGAATTATTTCAATTGTTTTGCGCCAGATCGATCTCAACACCCGAGCACCATGGAACGGGTAGCTCTTATCTCCTCCAGCAGGTTCTCCGCCAGAAGAACTAGATCAGCTCGCACTACCCCTTTGAATGACACTGTGGTCCATGAGCCCAGAGTATACCGCCCAACAGCGAAGTCGCCACCCCGCAAATCCTCGAAGTTCGGCAGTAGAAGTTCAAGTTCGCGATGCGGCGATTCACCGTGCTTGACCGAGAAAGGGGACATGGGGTTCTTCGTGAAACGTCAGCGCCAACGAGAATCGGTACGCCTGCCCGGTCTCAGGCCGCCACTGAGTCCTCAAGCATTTTGATAATTTGACTTGCCTCTACGGTTGGTTTCTTTCGCTGGACTCCGATGATTCTCAAGAGTGTCAAGGGACGCATCAGTGTCTTCAGAATGGATGTCTAGCTCAAGGGTGTAGTCACTGCCTCCATCATGACCAGAGTCAGCGCAGATATGCATCCTTCTTGAGCCATTGGCAAGCATGCTTCGTCGTCACGGGCTTTGTCACATGGTCCGTGAGTTATGAATGACATCTGCACTAGCATCCCTGGGCTCTACCGAATGGATGCAAAGCTGCTGCGTGTGCAACGACGAGTTTTTGGTGTTTGTGTGCTTCGGTGACAATCGAACTCAACGTGACCTGATCAGGCCTCGATACATCTGCGACCACTTTGACGTAATCGACGCCTTCCTTCAAACGATCTTGGACGAAATCGAACACCGTCCTGAGACTCGTTGACGAATGTCTCTTTCGGAATCGGCAAAGGAGCGCAATGCATACTCATTGGCGACTGAAGCAGCTTTTTGATGTTCTGGGGGGAGGATGGCAATTGGGGTTGAATTAACATGGGTAGCCTTGGATGCTCTTTGCTTACCTCAGCCAACAGCATGCGAAAGTAGAGATTCACATCAGGGTGAGAGAAATCACGTTCCATGGAGTCGAGACTGATTGTTTCGGGCTCCCCAGAGGTATATACAATCCTTCTTAGACGGCAGGGGGGTTTGCTGACTGGGGCTTTGGGCAGGACCAACATTTGGAGAACGGTAACAGATTCCCGCGCCGAGGACAGCCAAAGTCTTGCTCATCCTTCTTTCATCTCCCGTGTTTATTTTCGTATTAAGGACGCTTTATGTATACTATTCCATAGCACAGTTCGCATCTCATGCTCGTCTTTCTCTGCGTCTCATTTCATGTGATTTACATTCTGTTAAGCATCAACTTCATCTCCGTCCCTTCTAATCTCGAAAGACGGAAATAGATTCCAATTTGATCGGAAGCATTTGATTAGATCCGATGTATTCATCTCACAATCTTCAAGAAAGGAGAAAGGAGGCCGTGTTGGTCTCTGTTCTCTCACAACGAGTTGTCCGCACATGTGAAGACACCCTTGACGTTTCCTGCCTCGTAGTCAAGAATGATACTGTCGACGGAAGCCTGTGAAGTACAAGGACGTCAATGTGTCAGCCATGTCTACTTTAGTCCTCGGCAGGTCATATTCAAAATGAGGGAACACTTACATAGGTACCAACACCAAGGAAATAAATCCCCACAATGATGATGAAAATATTCATCAAGAACCCAATCCACCCACGAACACCACGTTTCTGGTAAAACTGGGGGCCCAGATCCGCGTTGCGCATGCGAAGATACGCAACGCCCCAAAAGATCCACCCGAAAAAGGAATCGAAAAGGCTACTCATAAGAGACAAGAGATCTGCAAAAAACGGAATGACTTCGGCGATTATAAAGGCGACGATCCAGGTGACAGCCAGTATCCCTGCCCACGAGACCCAGCCGACAACCGTATGGCTGGTTTTATGCTTCGTGCCGTCAAACACGCGGAAGAAGATGAACCGTGCAGACACCGAAGCGTACAGAACTCCCAGAAAAATGAGGGTGGGGACCATGAAGGAGAAGGAAACCTTTTTGTACACATCGTTGCCTAGACTGCCAAAAGCCGGGGCGGTGTTGTACTGAGTGCCGGTGTAACCGTAGACTTTTGTTGAAAAGCTCGAGTCAGCATTGGTTTGGAATTCGTGCCGAAACTTTCTTTGAATTAAAGCCAGTCTGAGGAAATCACTTACCAATACCACCCACCAAGCTGAAAAGGATAATCTCGCACATTGTGACGAGCCACAGAGCTTTCCTGAAATCATAGGGGTTCTTCATCTCGGCAATGAAACTGGGCAGTGTGATCTGGCCAATGAATGTGTAGCTGATGTTGAGGAAAGCGTTCATTCCGGAGACGAAGGTGGTGCCAGCGAGCGGGACGGCCAGCACCAGTGGCTCGCCGCCGATATTCTTTCCCGCCGCGTTGATGTGGTTCGGATCAGGGTTGTATCCGGCGGTGCCGTGTTTGCCTTCGGCGCCGGCGAAAGCAGCGGCGAGAATTACACTAATGAATGTGAAAAAGGCAGACAGTGCGGCGAGCTTGGAGAGCGCGTGGAATGTTCGTGGCATGGAGCACAGCCATGAAGCTACAGCACCAATGGCCGCAAAACCAACCGTGCAGATGCTGTGACCTAGAGTTTCTCAGTCACCGGGGGCTAAATTGTCGTCGACAGAAATACGTACCGCTCATGGTGTTCAAGTACCGCGAAATGACCAAGACATGGAGACCTTGAATGAATGTGTTGTTTAGCAGGAACATGACGGCGGTGAAGTACCAGGCCCATTTCGAATTCCAGAAGAGCATTTGTCCGATATCACAGACATCTTTGGTCTCGGGATGACGCAAACAAAATTCCCTGATCCGTCTCGATGAGAAAATCTTCTTGGGGACTGTTCGGTGCGGCGTGGTTGCTTACCAGACGACGAGAGAAGTATAGAGAACGAATGCCGCTTGAACTACAGTTAAGATGATACCAGGAACTAGGCCGAGAACAGAATACGAATAAGGGAACGACATGATGGCCAAACAGATGTACTCAGAGAAGAGTAACGCAGCCGTCTGATATGTAATGTTTTGTCAGCCTCATGCTCCAGACCTGGCGCTATTCAGGTCACCGTCGTACTGACCTTTTGCCAGGAACAAGTCCTATATTTGATGGCATCATTGGCCTCCATCTCGACCAATTTTCCATATTCATCTACCGAATCCGGGTCGATACCAGCCAACGAACCCGTTTTTGGCGGAGGACCAATCCGACTCATCTTGCGACCATGGACGGTGGTCGAGTTGCGTCGTTGTTCAATGTCGACATCTTGGCCGAGCTTGAAGGAATCAGGCTCGCCAAAGATTCCGTCTTTCTCGCGCACTTCCGTCATGGCGAATTGACGATTTTGACCAGGGTCGGTTGAGCTGGTGGATGAATTGCTCAACGCCACTTGACTGCGCGAATGGCCCGTACGAAACAGGCGTAAAACAAAGAATCGGGATCAAGAAGGATGACCGCCTTCATATGAGGTTGGAAGAAGCTCAATGTCGAGGAGCACAAAAGTTACGAGCGATTGCCTGGGAGGAGACGAGGGACAAGAAGCGAAAGAGAGAAATGACAGGGTTGGACAAGGCGGTAAGGGTTGCATTTAAAGAGAGCTTTGCTGAATGGCCAGTAGCTTCCGCTAAGATAGTGATGATGATGAGAGAGCAGAAGTAACGTCCCGAAGCCACGCGAGTGGGTTGCGGGCGTGTATGGTGTGGATCGAGGATGGCGATGGTGGAGAGTCAGGAGCATGGTGACGACAAGGCGCCCAGGGGATTGCGGGAAAAGGCTGCGATGATCCTTGACGGGCCGTGTGGGCTGAAGTGAATGAAGGTACAAACCTAGCCGGGTTCCTGGGGATCCAGGTAGTAGCCGGATGTATAAAGTTACCAAGCTGGGTGTAGTGTGACCGCGACAGTAATACGGAGTCGTAATGAGGTGCCTATGTGGTGGTCGTAAATTGATAGAGACGGTGGGGGAGGCGCCAGAGAGCGAAGAGGCGAACAGCAACTGGGTCCACACGGCTGGATATCTGCTTCAATAAGACCATTCACACCTAGGCACCACCATCTCCCGGGGTACATCCTGCAGCATTCGTTGCCACAGTGAAGAACATGTACCCCCAGAGTCCTCGCAACTTATGTCATGTTCCACCTTTTTTGCACCTGCTTCTGCATCACTAGTGGATCGCCCAGGCCCCAAGACTCAGCTAAGACTCCGCTAAGACTCCGCTAAATGGCTCTAACAAGACTAAAACTTTAGGGCCGAGGACCTATCAAACCTCTAGCAGAAGGCGTGATCCAGCACCTGGAGTACATAATACAGAACTTTTCCATTTGTGCAGCGTAATGAGAATTGGGTTTTCGCAGTAAAATCAAGTATTTTAGTCAGTGATCACATTGTGCAAAAGCCAATGCGCATAGAAGTACCTCAATGGGACGGATGAGCCTTCATTGGTTTGTGATGGCTAGCGCCTGTCAAGCTTATCAACAAGAGTTTCCCAAGACTATCTTAGAATTGCTTGCGCCCTCGCTTACATACGTTTGCAAGACCAGCATCCATTTCAAAGGCACTCCCAAAAAATCCATCCTTCCTCCCCTCCTCGGGCTCGCTATATATGATATGGCTTGATGAAACTGTTACTCCAATCAGAGAAACAGGCCCTGACAAAGTACCCATCACAACTTCTAATGACATTGTATGCTTCTCGGTATCTAACTGTGTCCTGCTTCTCCCGTCACTCCCTGGCTGCGGACGCGGAGAATAAGCGATGTTTTGAGTGGTTCGAGTGCCGGACTGGCAAAAATCCCGGGGCTATTCGTCTTGACTTTCTAAGACATATTATTCTTCCAGGCGTACCTGAATGAGCTGGCCGTCTTGCATATTGTACTCAACTTAAGCTCCGGATGCAATATTGAAAAATGGAGCAAATCCTTCATAAGAGGGCGATTGTCAACGTCAACAGTCAAAAGCCAAGCGATGATACCCCATATGAGCAGGACCAGTTCATGTTGCCACATTACGTCAAGGCGATCGATCATCTTCAGCCGCATTTCTTAACCGAGGATAAGTCATCTGTTCGCTTCGCTCCAATTACTCTCTAGCGTGGACGATGATGACGGGGAATTCTCCTCTTAAAGTCTTTGATAGACTGTGGAGTCTAGAGAAGGAATGTGTTGTTGTTCTATCTAAGAGAGAGCAAGACGAAAAGAAGGGCGCAAGTTGCCAAGCCAAACAGCCTCACGTGACGTTGCCAAGGCAAAAAGTCACGTGATTGGCCAACAGTCTTCTCGTGATTTGATCGACCATTGGATCGTTGAAGCATTTTCTAGGCTGCACATCCAAGCCGAGCTCTTCAAGCAGAATTATAAACATCCGTACTTCGTTCTGCAGGATTTTGTATCTGAGCTTCCATTCCCCGTCTTTCATTCCATCAACGAGGCCTGGAAACAAATAGAACGGTTGTTGAACAAAATATTAAACAGTGGCTTCAGCAACGAGTGTCAAGATCCCTATCTTTCGGGCACCCTTCTACGCTGCTTGAGCATCAGCAATACATTCAAGCAGAGCTTGCGCGGTGGTTCGACACAAACGAAGCGTCCAGGAAAGACTGCAAGGCCAAGAATCTGATGAATTTGCTTGCGAGCTGCTGGACACATATCACACCATGGCAAATATCATGGCTGACGTTTGCTTGTGGCCAAACGACGGATCGATATACGACTGGTACACGAACTAATTCATTTTCCTGGTGGGCCAATTGACAAATATATGGAAGATCAGGTCGTCGTGTTCTCAAGTCCAGGCTCTGCCGGGACCTAGCCTGAACATATCCAGATCCGTGGTCGATATTGGCTGGATTCCTGATACAGCCGATGGCTTCCTACTTTCCGGAAAGATGACTGAGGGACGGGAATCACAGGCCAAAGGACGTCTAACCCCAAAATGAAAACTTAGTCGCCACATATTCGAAGTCCGCACTGGGATTGCCACAAGGTAATGCATTGATGACTGACAGGTCGTGTGACTGCTGTAGGCTATTCTCAGCTTTTCTTCTCCGCTCATGCATGATTTAAATATTGTGAGCGCTGAGCGCAATCGCAGTATGACTGGGATTTGATTCCGTGCAGGTCCGGATTGGGAATGTTGGGGGTATACTGTATACAGACCGCACTGAACACGGATGTTTATTTTGTCCTCTTCCACCAACAACGTGGTGTAGGTTTCATACGGAAGAGCAGAACACTAGATGATTATTGTCACAGCGCCCAGTCATACGCAGCATATAAGCCATCCTGCTTCTCAACCCACACATTAGATATGATGACATCTAGGATTTTGGGTCAACAATTCTCATTTCCGTCCGATTTCGGGGACGTTATTACACTAATCTTGGTACTCTTTCCACTTGGTCATCCGTTCCTGCAGGTTGATAACTTGACCATCAACAACAAAAGTTCCATCGCCCCGGTGATGTATTGTTTGATGCCCCTGAAGTTCAGGAGTAAGCCATGCCTTAACAGCTTCGAGGATGAACATGTTGAATTTTGAGACCATCCGAATGTCTGCGACTCGGCACTCAATGTTGGCTTGACATTCACTGACTAGAGGTGCTCCAACCTCACTGCCCGAGACGGCCGATAACCCAAATTTTTCAAACTTGTCTACGACTGCACCCGAACAGTTGCCAATATCAACAACGGTATTGGCCAGCTGAACTGTGGGGATGGCAATGACACATTCTTTAGTAGCGCGTAAGGCGTTGAAACTATGATCCCAAGGCCCTACGATGACAGCAAGGAGAGGCGGTTCGTGCTGGACGGCCATGTGGAAGCCGACAGTCATAATATTAGTTGTGCCATCTTTCCCTCTAGTTGTTAATAGCACAACGGGACCAGGTTCCAGCAAGCGATGGACCTTGTTGATAGCGTATTCCTCCATGGATGAATCCTATTTGCATCAGCCAAGAAAGTTTTGGCAGTGATTTGCCAGCACGTCGGCATGTCCTGCCCAAGAGAAGGAAGGATTCTTACAAGAGGAGGAAGTATGTGTTCTGTATAATCGTTCCTATCAAGTGTCTAAATAGACAATGTCGTCGTGTTGATGGAAGCCGAGTAATTGTCACGGCAGAAAATTTCAAGTGCCGTAATCGAGAATTCATGCCAAGGAAATAAATATCAAGGCGTTGCCTATGCGAGCTGGGGGGTAGGCGATCAAACCGTAACAAAAGTGCATGGGGATGCAATCACACGTCCGCATTCTCATCATTCTCCAGCATCTTTGTGTAATCTTCCACAGATGCAAATGTCGGCAAGTTCTTCAGCTTCATCCCGTTCTTCGTCTTGGTCTTCTTCTTGGTATCATTCTTGCCCTTCTTGACCGAAGCTTGCTCATCTGCCCGGTCGAATCCGGCAAAGTCGGACGCCTCGTCATCTGTTTCCATCAAATTGTCTTCATCATCGTCGTCGTCGTCATCAAATATCCCCTCCTCGACATCCACGTCTTCCGAATCCAGCTCAGAAAGATCCAGATCATCCTCGCTCTCTTCTTCGCCCTCGAGATCTGGAGCACTATCCATCATAGCCTTCCATACTTCATCTTCATCATCAGCTGACTCGTCATCTTCGCCTCTGCGTTTCTGTTTGACCTTCGTCTTCTTGGCCGCTGCGTTCCCAAGGCTGGAGAAGTACTGGTGGAAGAAAACATCCTCCGCCGCAACTTCCTCGCTCTTCTGAGACTTGAATGCTTCACTGTTCACGGGTAACCTTCGTTGACCACCTGAAGTGCCGCCGATGAGCACATTTTGAGTGTCACTCGCTGCCATGGGTTGCATAATCGACGACCCTCGCAATCCAGACGAAGATGACTTCGGATTGCGATAGACGAATCGGTCTAAGAAATGGCTTAGTGTGTGCAGGCTCAGATCTGGTTTTCCGGGCAATTTGGCCTGACGCAAAACGTGATCGGCACTGACAGACGCCGAAGGGTGGAAATGCGCCAGAAATGGAAGAAGCTCCCACACACAGCTGTTGTCTGCATTGGCATACTCTGGAGCACGTTTGTGGCCATCGTACACGTTACCAGCCGGCTTTTCAATGGTAGCAGGATCGGTCACGTCAGCATCTTCATCCACGTCTCGAAATACTTCTTCCTCGTCCTCGTGGTCTTCAGGCTGGTCGATCAGTCCTGCGAGTGATGGAAACGAAGACTCCAGATCTTGAATGAGGAAACAAGCCCCACAGATAAAGGGGGGTTCGTGCAGCGACAGGATCTGCACCAATCTCTTCACGAATGCCTTGACTCGTTTGACGTTCAAATCGGCTTTCAGTGCTCGATGCAGCAAGTTCAAATACATTTGTTGTTTAGAGGCAATGATCAACCGTGGATCCAGCATCGACTCGTACAACACGCGATAGAACCGGTCATTCGACGCCTTGTGAGTTGTAGACAGCTGTTGGATCAACGACATCGCTTGGATGCTCGTGTTAAAATTCGATGAGTGAGTGACTTTGAACAATGTTCCCAAATGGTCGGTAAAGCTCGATCCGCTTGGGCCCACATAGGGATATGCACGATTGACCCCCGTCAAAATGGCTGATATTAGCTTCTCCCTCAATTCTTCTGTCTGGGTTCGTCCTACAACTTGGGGTTTCTTCTTCCCACGTCTTCGACGAGGTGGTTTCTGGCCGTCCACAATTTTGGGGGATGGCATGCTGGTGGCTTTCAACAGGCCCGTGAACATCCCGAAATATATGTCCAGCAACTTGGCAGCCACATCTTCTTCTTTGCTGCTCAATGCGGTCTGATTCAGCGTCACCACCGCGTAATACTGACCGTGCATGCTCTGTCCTGGTCTGAAAATGAAATCTGTCTCGATCGCAGACACCACCACCATTTTCATCGCCGGATGCCGTATCAACAACTGCATCAGTAAATATGATGCTTGTGAAGCAATCTTGTTCACCGGGTCTCCCAGTTTATTTATCAGCAGCCGTAGCAGATTGGATTCTTGTTCGGGTCTTTCCTTTAACAGCTCGAAAACGTAGCTGACAGCCCTTCCTTTGGAAAATTCAATCTCGTCATTACACCAGACTTCCAGAATCTTTAGGACTTCAAAGTATTGTTCTTTCAGCCAACTCTCGAATGCCCAACACACCAGGTGGCTCTGCTCGAGCCCGCGAGGTAGCTTATGTCCCCTCTTCCACGTTTTCATTTGGCCCAATAGATATGGCAGTGCCGGTTGGGCCGGGAAAGCATAAAGTTTCCTTGATTCTGGAAGTAGAGAGCCTTGGGCGAAAAGATCTTTGAGGGCTCGGAGCACGTCAACCGCCTGTGACCGGCTTCGTTTTCGAGCAAGCCCAATAAGAGTCTCCAGTGCTCGCAAATTGTGTAAGGGGGAGTCTTGGACAGCGAGTGTGAGGGCTGAGATCCGGTCAGATAGCGTACCTGAAGCAATGATCGTGTTGTAGAAGGACTGAGCAGACGACGACTGCTGTGAGTCCTTAAATCTTTGATTCTCCTCATCAAGTAGGGACTTCGCATACTCTCGGATTTGATCGAGGGAGTCCTTTGAGACGACATTTTTCGGTGGTGTCTCTGTATCCACAGCGGGCTCGGAAATATTGAACCAGTCTGGTTTCGGGTCGCAAATGAATCGAACTTTCTTCCCTCTTTGGAATTTGTTCAAAGACTGGTCTTTCTCCTGGGACAACGGCGTTCTTTCTTGGGCAGGAACAAGGCGAGAATCATTCTCATCGTCGTCGTCGTCGTTAGAAGGACTTGATATATCCAGATCCTCGTCTAGCTCACCCCGAGCGAGGGCGATCTCTCTCAAAATATTCGTCATTCCCTTGTCTAGTCCCTCGAAATCAGTCTGAGAGAAATGAGAATCCTTGGGAGTTTTGTTTGTCGTCCCTTCCAGTTCTGATTCAGAATCTGCATCTGCAAGGAATTCCAAGTCCTCAGCAGTACCACCCAGAGCTTGTGCTTCTCTTTTGAATACGTATTGTTCCTCCTCATCTCCTTCGAGGCTCTCTCGCCGTATGGAATTCTTCTCATCATGATTCAGGACCTTTCCACTTCGATCACGCTTTTTCCCTCGCCCTGATACGACGTTGTGGGCTTTTTCCTTCTTCTCATGTTGGGGCAGCAGATGCGTCTTGCGATCCTTCATCTTGTCTGCAAGAGTTTCCGGGTTCGAGATCTGAAACCGCGTTTGGATCTCATTGCGGAGGTTGTCGACCGACTTGCTCTTAGACTCAATTGTCGACTTGGGGAGTTCATTGGTGGGAACCCCCGACCCTTTGGCCGAAGAGCGCTGCGGATGGGATTTCGTCTTTGGCATGAGGATATTTGGTGAAGTTCGGCGCCAGTCCAGAGTGGATGAAGAAGATCCCCCCAAAAAGTTCTGGAAAATTAAACATTTCGGTCCGGATTTAACTCCGCCAAGACAAGTTTTATATCCGTAGTCCTTTTGCTGCGTAGGCACTCGTATCCAGTACCAACCCTGCGCTGGTGGACCAACAGCAATATTAGGTACCTAGTACCAAAATATGGGCTAGTTACTGGACCTGGTACTCCGTATAAAACTCCTTCTAGGGCACTTGCAGGCGAAGCAGTATGTGGTGTGGGAGTATCTTCGCTTCCAATACCTAAGTTATAAGAGGTATTCGATAACGGGACTTCGCAGACTCTCAAATCACCCGCTTCGACATTAAACTCTATCTTGCTATGTTCACCAAACCAGCGTGGTAGATTGGTGAGAAGATCATGCGTGTCAACAGCCCGTCTCGACTCTATGAATACCGAAAGCCATCGTCATCTCTACTCTCGTCCTGAAATCAAGTGCAACGATTACCCTTTCCACGGCGCTGTGCGGCTCTACCTTCGATCATGTCTGAGAACACTCAAAGAAGCAACACAAACATTCCAACTCCAAGAAGGGCGATTAGTGTGCAGGATGTCATCGTGGAACTCCCCAGCACGACGTTATTACTGGCTCCGTTCGTGCTGGAAGCGCTAGCACTTGCTGCAGACGCACTGGCACTGGACGAAGGATTAGGACTTGCCGATGGCGTAGCTCCGTCCTCAGTTTCATTCTGTTTAGCAATGTCACCGACAAGGGTCGCATTTGCGATTGCAGGCTGGGCAATAACGCCGTTGTTTGGATAGACCGAGCAGTCGGCCATAGGATCAAGCGGACAGTCTGGAGCAACACAAATGGATTGGAGCTGAGGGCCGGCAGAGGCGGGAATGACGGCCGCAGGAGGCGAGCAGCGATGAGTGAAGGTCATATCGAGGGCCGTGAGGGTGAAGTTGACGTCAGCCTCCTCAAAACCTACAGACGCGACTGCAAGGCCAATCTGTTGGTTGAAGAAACCTGCTTCATATTTGTCCGAGTCCATGAACCTGATGTCCATGAGCCATTTCCAAGGTGGAAGGGGAAGATTGCATTCTTACTTATGAACCTCGAACATGCTTGCACGTCCCTCATATTTGGGGAACACGTCATTTCCCTGTTGAGAGCAGCCATAGAATTCGCCAAAATATTGGTACACGTGGGTTAGAAGCCGGCTGTAGATCGACCAGTCAGCACGGGCAACTTCGATCTGATCGAATATGAGGTCACTCACTATTGATTAGATGAATTCCCAAAAGCAGGTATATTTTGCAATAGAGCATCAGCACCTCCACCGTCAAGGAAGTTCTTGGCGACGCCCGTGTCTCCTCCGTCGTTGGTAGAGTAATACCCACCAGTGAAGTATGGAAGAAGGTTGACCTGATGTCCTTCAAATGTGGCCGGTGCAGCAACCCCCATCACCTGGACTCCGACGTTGGGAGTGGTATAGTTTCCGAGAATAAAAGTGTGGGTGATCTTCAACATAAGTTCATACTGGCTCTCAGGGGAGTTCTCTCTGCCAGTGACGATGGGAGTGTAGTAATCGCAGATGGTGGTGTCGTTGGGACGAAGGGCAGAGGCAACGCCCGCTGTTGCAAGGAAAAAGAGTGTTTTGCCAAACATGCTGGTTCACAGAAGAGAGACAGGTCCGAATCTCAAGGAGTATATTTCGGAGAAGAGACTGAAGAAGGTCGTGGTTGGGAAGAAAAATCGAGTAGAACCTCGACAATTCAGCAACTTAAATGCCAGCGACTGGCCGGGGCCCGTGTGCTTGCTGGCTGCCGGCCATAAGAGGCAACAGAACACGATTGAAAAAGATATCCAAGAACACCGGATCGTTAGAGAGATCTGCATAGCGCACCCCGGAGTAGATATTTGCATCGGCATAGATCGCATGAATCCAATTTCAGCTCGTGGAAAGCTTCCAAAAGCGGGAATGAGTCCAGAAACCCCCTTGCCCCCGGGTTGGCAACGTGAGCCATGTTGCCAATCAAGATTGGGTTATTACCAAGCGAAGAATAGTCAACCTAAATATTTATAAGGGGTTACACTTGGTCGTTTGAAAAAGAGAATTGCAGAGATGTGATGACCGGCTCGCGCAATGTCAACCAGATTAGAAAGGTCGTGAAGTTGCGGCTTTGCAAACACCCAATCAAATGTGGCTGCCCCTTAGCTGACCGATTCACGCAGCCTCCTATTCGCTACAATTAAGACTGCAGGGTGATGCAGGTTGATGCAGGAACCGGGGCCGTCAGTGGACAAGAGGAAAACGCGAGGAAGAGCACCGTAAGGATGGAAGGATTTGTTAATCAAAATGCGCTGGGGTGTGGAAGGCCATATTCAGCCCAGCATCAGCTGCTTGTACCCTGTACCTCAGCAGCCTCGGTGAAGCAATCTACCTCAAGCGCAATATCAAAAGTCGCGAGCGGGCTGTGTCGCACTTTTTTTTTATCTGCGTATTGCAACCACCTGACACGCTGACAAATTCAAGATCGAATCATTTCGACCAGTGATTGCTTGCAGATCAGTGTTTGCAGTTATTGGTCTATCTAGATTGAGATCACATTGTGGCGGCCGGATGTACCTTCGTTTTTGACAACCTATCTTTATGAAGCATAATGTCCTAGCCCGAGCTCCTACAAGGGGCACATGTTGTCTCGCTAAAGGGCGCCGCGGCTTCGTTCGGCAATCCCATGCTGACTGCAGACAACGCATCTCCGATTTCTGGATACCGACTGTTAATCTGCAGAAGCAAGATGCTCCTCTTGACGCGACCCAGCTCCTTGTACGAGCTGGCTATTTTCGACAAGCATATGCTGGCATATTTCACATGCTACCACTCGGACTTCGTGTTCAGGAGAAATTAGAACGACTCATCGACAAGCATATGAGATCTATCAAAGCTTCCAAGGTTTCTTTGTCTTCTATTTCTTCGCAGGCATTATGGCAAAAATCTGGCCGTTTCAAACCTGGTGCCGAATTTTTCGCGTTGAAGGATCGGAAGGACTCAGAGTGGCTTCTGGCGCCTACACATGAAGAAGAAATCACGACTTTGCTGCTCGATCATGTTCACACTCGCCAGCAACTGCCTCTACGGCTGTATCAAATCGGCCGGAAATATCGTGACGAGAAAAGGCCACGCGGCGGTCTCCTTCGAGGCCGAGAATTTCTCATGAAAGATCTCTACACTTTTGACGCAACAATCGAAGAGGCACACACGACCTATAATGAAATCCGAGGTGCATACCGCAGTTTTCTCGATGAACTCAAAATCAACTATGTTGAAGCTCGAGCCGAGTCGGGCGATATGGGAGGAAGACTCAGCCACGAGTATCACTTCCCGAATACTGCAGGAGAAGACACTGTCATTACCTGTTCTGACTGCGATTATGCCAGAAATGAAGAATTTGTCTCGCAAAAATCGTATCCACCGCAGCGCATCGAGGACATTCCGGAATACGAAGCTTCCGAAGCCGTTCATTCCAACCGATTTCTTCAAGAAGACTTCCTGAGTACAGACGGCCGTGATCTCGTCCGTGCTCTAGCACCACAATACCCTGATGCACCTTCGGCGGGTAACATGAATGACCGGCCACTTAACTCTTATGCTATTAAAGCGGCGCTTCGGGGTGTGCTGGAAGTCGACTCCGGCAGAGAAGACCCTTTGACATATTTCAAGGAATGGATGGCCCTTCCTACCCCTGAAAATGTTTCGAACCAATCAATATTCTATCTCCTCGACTCACGTGTGGAATTGAAAGCCATAAGAGGTTTCATCGCTGATGATATGAAATCCTTTTCCCACAAAGGTGTCGATTTCTTCGTCATCAGAGCACCACGGGACGACGCGAATGGAATCAATCTCCTCAAACATCAAGCAGGCGACCCGTGCCCTGAATGCTCTACCGGCAAACTCAGACTGGAAAAAGCCATCGAAGTCGGCCATACCTTCCATCTAGGGACCCGATATAGCTTGCCTTTTAACCTCTCTATCCGGCCCGATGTTGGCAAGGATTCGGCGCCGGTCCAGATGGGTTGTCATGGAATTGGCGTGTCTCGACTAGTTGCGGCCGTTGCATCATGTCTGGCAGACGAATCTGGGCTGAACTGGCCAAGAGCAATTGCGCCTTTCGAAACCATCATTATCGTACAAAAATCGCAGAGGGAGAAAATTCAAGCTGCAGTGCAGATCTATGACGACCTATCTAGCTCCAAGTTCGGCGCCGTCGATGCCCTCCTCGATGATCGACAAGACCAGGGACTCGGATGGAAGTTGAAAGATGCTGACATGATTGGGTATCCTGTCATTGTGGTTATAGGTAAAGCGTTTGATCAGGGAAAGGTCGAAGTACAGTGTCGAAGACTGGGGATCAAGCAGGACGTCGAGATCGGTGGCGTAGTGGAATGCGTACATGGATTGCTCGAGCAGCTTTGACTCTGTTTGAGTGTGTTCTGTATATTTGTAGATATCCCACTCGCGGAATGTATGAATAGTAATTGGCGTGCGTCCTACAAGCTGTTTGCTAGCACTACAGCCTGGTTCACCGTCTGCCCCACCTGCGCAGTCTGCATTATATAAAAAAAGTCGTCCAACCCTCGCCTCAATTTAGCTTCAGCACTTTCAACGCCAATCCAACTTTTCAACACCCAGACTTGCCTTCGTCTTAACCATACATTCTCTCTACCCATCAATTTCAGTTTTCGGTCTCCAACCATGTCCCAACAGCCCCCAAATCCAATCGACATCTCTACGCTCTCCGTCCAACAACTCTCAGCCCTTCAATCGCGCCTGTCCCAGGAACTCGAGCACCTGAGTGCATCATACCAGCGGCTGCGAGCTGCTCAGTCCAGATTTAAAGATTGCATACGCAGCATCCAGGACGGCGTGCAGGGAAAGAGTGGAGGTATGTACCTCTCAATTCCATGAAATGCATGTCGTGTGCCATTCGGGCTCTCTTAGGTTTAGTCTCGGAAGCACAGAACAAGACAAACCAGATACATGCACTAACAGTCCTTTCTTATCTACAGACACGCCTCTTCTCATCCCGTTGACAACATCCCTCTACGTCCCGGGCACACTCGCCGCGTCTTCGTCTTCGTCTTCCAAACCAACCGTCCTCGTCGATGTCGGGACCGGATTCTACGTTGAAAAGTTCCCCTCGGATGGTATCAAATTCTACACAGAAAAAGTGGAGGATCTCGCCAAAAACTTGTCGGAGATCGAGAAGGTAGTGGGTGGGAAGAATGAGAATCTGCGTGTTATCGAAGATGGTGAGTTCAACAACACTGACACCCAGAAGAAAAGAGAGAGATGCTGTAGGCATATTTTTTTTTTTTTTTTTTTTGGTAAGGAGAGAAGGGGCTGACCATGATATGTCTCGATAGTCTTGAGGCAGAAAATGCTCTCGGAACAGGCTGGGAGTTCGAGAACGGGTCAGGCTCCGACACAGATGCAAGCGGGAGCGGGCTAAGGTTGAGGTTTGCGGAGTTGATCAAAAAGTAGGTTTTACAAGGACGCAGGCTACGCTGCTTTTTGAGTGGGCTTGTTCGGACTCGGTTAGAGAAAGAGAACATGAAAGGAATTGGCGAAGCTCATGGCCGCTTTGCTGTTCAAACAATGATATGTGGGAGAATCAAATCCGGCCTCCTTTTGTCAAGCTCGGATTGATCTACTCAATCAATGAGTCAATGGATGGCAAGAATACCACTGGAGATATCTCCACACACACACACCTGTCTTTATCTCATTCCCCTTGCATATCTCTCAGATTGTCAAAACTCCGGGAATCTCCGGCTAGGTGTCTGCAGAGGTTTATGCCTCCTTGTGCAATCTGGAAACGATAGAATCGCTGCTTTGTCCCGTTTCCATTTTCACGTTCTCCCTCCGACCAAATCATATTCAAACGCCATTCTGATGCTCTTCATCTCTGTCTTCCTCTTCTGCATTCTGGTTTCCCTTGGCTACTTTGCTGATCGCTTCGGCCAACAGATCTTGAATCTCCTCTACCTCCGTAATGAAATTCTTGAACCCTTGTGGCAACGCTCGTCCGTCATCATTGTTGCTTTCAGGAAAGAAAGTCGCCGCCGATTTGACCCAACTTACGTCCTCGCCCGGTTTGACCGTTGCAAATTCACCCAAAAGATTGTCCCATTCGGGATAATAGTACAGGGCATGCCAGCTGGATCGGATCGGACCTGGGCTGCGTCGACCTGGTCTTTCATCGTAGACGTCCTTTCGGCGAAGCTCGAAGATGCCGTCCGTTTGCTTAAATCTCCATCGCACGACAATGAGTTCCGAGACGTTAGACAAGCCGGAATGGCCCGAAGGGTACTTGACGCGCCGACGGGGGACTGATTTGATACCATCCGGTGGTCGTTCAAAAGAGATATCGTTTTGAAAAGCCGCCATGTGGGCTTTGAGCGACTTGTTGGAGTGCAAGGGGAATGCATCCAGTGTGATTTGGTAATCTGGTCTTTCAAAGTTGATAAGACCGATTTGAAGCCGGGAGACCATGTCACCGAATTCGACCCATCGCTTCTCTCGTATTTCGAAACCTGCCTCACCTACCGGGAAGATGACGGTCTCCAGTCGAAGAAGGGTGTGGCTGCTTGCCGCAGGAAAGTCGAGGAAAGCTCCGTAGAATTCGGTGCGGTCCACAAATGCGTCCATCGAATCAAGGATATCGGGTAAGTCGATAACATCACCTTGGCGGACAGGCAGGCTATTCATGTTGAGCTTAGTGCGTCCTTTCGTGACCATTGCGTAGAAGTCTTCAAAGGCATATGTGTCCGCCCCCTCAGCAGGCTTCTGGAACAACGTGAACCCAAGCTCTCCAAATACAACTCTCATCCGCACATGATGCTGTGATAGTCTCAGTCGCTTAAGAGAAGAATCCAGTGTTTTTCTGACCTTTTTCCGATTATTGAGATGTGTTGTGCGTCGTTCCTTAGCCAATTCCTCCTCATCAGCTGCTGGCACACCGTGCAAAGTTGGCAGGTACGAGTCAGTGCGTGGATCTTTATCCTGAAGACCAACCCTATCTCTGTAGATTGAGTAGTCGGGGAGATGAATCAAAGTGACCGTGAGGAGCTGATCTTTGCGAGAGACGGTTTCCTTGACCAGATTTAGGATCCGTGACTTGACCATGGCAATGTGGACTTCGGTGTATGCACTAATCTCAATATACTGCATGTCTGATGTCTGGAAGTCGATCCGACAGGGAAAGCTGCTTCTCAGTTGGTCGAAGACTTCAGCGTGAAAGCTTTCAAACTCTTCCATGTCAAGGTCTTTTGGCCAAAGAATAGCTGCTTCGACGGGATAGTCAATGTCCACTTGTTTCAATAGCTCATTAAATGCCTGCTTTCGAGTCTGCCGTTCAAGTCGATGCTCGGCACGACCGTCAAGTGCATATGATTTAGCCCAGGCCGTCCGGTTGACGCCGTTTGTTTGGAATGAATTGCGAACATCCTCCTCCCATTGCGCGAGTGCGGTTTTGGTTTCCTCCACCGGCTGTGGATCGCCCCAAATGAATATCCTGTCGTCTTGATCGTCCGGTCTCTTGATGAATGTACTAAAATTGGACATCATCTCTTGGAGCTGCTGCAATGGATGCGGTTGAGCTGCCCTATCAATCCGCAGCGCCATGGTTCGAAATGTTTTCCATGTTGAAGCAAATTGATGCTCACCATTCGCTGGTTGTCCGGCTTCGAATCGAAGTTCTGCTGTACTCTTGGGGGCGGGAGGCCCTGCTACAGGTCTCGGTCGATAAAGAAGGCCATTGCTACCGGAGTTGGCATAAGCGGCAAGATATTGCGGGGGCCGATGGGACGTCTCCGGAAATCTGATGCGCCGGGCTTGATCTACGTAATTTCGTTGGGTTCCATATCGAGGGCCTGTTGGTGGGTGAAGATTGGCTTCGCCAGAGCCTATGCCTTGGTTGAACACATCAGATGCAGCATATGAGTAGATCGAGGCGCCGGGAAGGCTCGCTTCCTCCCATCCTGCAGAGTATTAGATTCGTGATTTTGGTCCAGGAGCATAAAAGTGGCAAGGGGAAAGTTGCACGTACGATCAAGGTCAAGACCTTCACCCTCATGACTAGATCCGCAAATTAGCTGTGGATGTTTGAAAAGGCTAGATCGGATAAACTCACTCGCTCATGATGGCAGTCCCTGATTCTTGTCCAGAAGGGTTGAAGATCTGTGACTCATAGATGAAGATGGAGACAGGTCAAAGAAGAAAAGGAGGACAGACAGATCTCCTGCATGTACCAGGTGAAGGAGAGAGTAAAACGAAAACAGGCTGACCTGCTTGATGGGTACTGGTGTGGTAGCCTTTGTGAAAGGGCTTGTCGTAGTGATTTTCACGGACAGCTCCACTAATGTCAAAGCCTGCCAATGCGGTGCCCAGAAGCCTGAAGAGATGGAAGACGAACAGACTTCAACGTCTGTTCGGCCATGTGCAGATGCTGCAATATAAAATGAGGCCAAGGCGCAAATTCAGTGAAATCAATGATAGCTTGAGAGACATTCGATCTGAGGCAGTAAGTTGATAGATAGCGACAGCAATGCGAGAAGGGACATTGGGCCGCCGTGGAAAGAAGTGACTTGCACCGTTCACGCACGGCATTTCATGTTTCAACCAGTGAACTTATTTCAGTCACAGTGCATGTTGTTGAACATGCCTACCTCTCATGATGGTGATGATGGTTTTGGGAAGATGTTGAACAAAAAGTGAGTGGAGAAGAGCCACACTTGACACAGCCAAATCTTCAAATTTGTGAATCCTTTGATGCCGAGGCAGACTAACCATATTGGGCTAAATTAGTCGGGGACGCGTCTTCGCGCGCCTCACGCGTTTTAGGTGAAAGATGAAACCTGAACCCAAAGAACGCAAAGAACGTACATCACCGGGAAAAAAAAGGGGGAGGTGACTGTCCAGTATTTGTCAAGGATTACAGGTCCTTTTCCATAATGCCCAGGCAAAAGAAATACTCGACGAAGGGTGGACTCCAGAGGGAAGACTCGGATGATGAGCTGGGATATGATGACCACCCTTGGGAATGGATATACGAGAACACCCAGCCTCTCGAGAAGGAGGAGATACCTTCCAAGAAAAGAAAATCCAGTGCTCTGAGCCAACCTTCGAAGAAGCGGACCATCGTTGGAGCGCGTATGGGCTCCTTTTCTGTACGGATAGGAGACCCAATCCTCTTGAAATCACCCGAACAAGGCAAAGATTGGGTCGGACTGATCTGCTCATTTTCAGAGGTCAATGAAGACGGAGAAGACGAGATGTGTGTTTATATTCAGTGGTTCTGCACTCCCGAGGAGTTGGCGTTCGGGAAGCGATCCAAAGTAAGATCGGACGTCCTACCCAACGAGTCCTACATCACAGCGGATTTCAACATGAACCCGTTAACGGCGATAAACGGAAAAGCAACAATCTTATCAAAAGACACTTTCTTCGAGAAGTATCCGGGCGGAGCACCACCGAAATCCAAGTCTGCCGCGAACCAATATGCAAAGACGATTTTGTGTCGACGAGGAGTCAAGCAGAGAACCCTTCAGTTCACCGAGGACATGGTCTGGGAAGAGATTTATAAGGGTCCTGAGGACTTGTTAGACCTCATAGACTGGGTCAAGGAACAGACCAGAGGGAAGAAAAAGCAAATAGCCACAAAGGAGGAAGATCGAGAATATGAGCCAAAAAAGGATGTTGACGATGAGCCGAAAACTCCACACAAACGACGAAAGATGATTGCCACTGTACCAGCTTCCAGGTCTTCAGCCAAGGCATCCAAATACACCACTCCGACTCATAAGCGGATTATGATCAAGAAGCCCATTGAGATAACACCTCTGGGAAGTCGAATTCTCTCCCCGTCTCCGTATATGTCAACGCCGTACTCCCACGCACGCACAACCTTGCACGTCTCTGCCGTTCCAGCGTCGCTCCCTTGTCGTTCAACCGAATTCAACGCAGTCTATTCTCATCTTTGCTCAGCAATTGCCGACGGATCAGGCGCCTGCATCTACATCTCAGGAACACCAGGCACGGGAAAGACAGCGACAGTTCGCGAAGTGATAGCCTCTCTGCGCCAAACCGTGTTGAATGAAGAACTCGATGATTTCAATTTCGTCGAGATTAACGGGATGAAAGTTACGGAACCACACCAGTCTTACTCGCTCCTGTGGGAGGCGCTGAAAGGTGACCGGGTCAGCCCCAACCACGCCCTGAGCCTGTTAGAGCAGGAGTTTTCACATCCTTCTCCACGCCGCATCCCGTGTGTCGTTCTGATGGATGAACTCGACCAACTTGTCACCAAGAACCAAAGCGTCATGTATAATTTTTTCAACTGGCCAGCGATGCGGCATTCGCGGCTTATTGTGCTCGCTGTCGCGAATACGATGGACTTGCCCGAGCGAACTTTGTCGAATAAGATCAGCTCCAGGCTGGGATTGACTAGAATTACGTTTCCGGGATACACGCACATGCAGCTAATGGAGATTATTTCGTCAAGGTTGAAGGCCGTGCCGGGGAATATTGTCGATCAGGACGCTGTACAGTTCGCCAGCCGAAAGGTCGCAGCCGTGTCCGGTGATGCACGTCGCGCTCTCGATATCTGTCGTCGCGCCGTGGAGATCGCAGAGCAATCCGAGCAAAAGCTGAACGTGGCTTCTGCGGACGGCGAGAACAACAAAGATGAACTTCAGACAACCACACCCACGCGCAAAGGGAGGAATACTCCAATAGATGCTACGCAATCTGCTCCCCAGCCAAATGAGCCTGCCAAACGATTAGCCCGAGTGACCATCGCAACAGTCAAACAAGCCATCAACGAAGCAACTTCTTCGCCCATAGCACAACACCTGCGTTCCTTGCCATTAGCCTCGAAACTCTTCCTAGCGGCGGTCCTCGCACGTGCCCGCCGCACGGGCGTTGCAGAATCCACACTCGGCGACGTCGTGGTCGAAGCCAAACGAATTGCCGATGTCGCCGAAAACCACGCGATCCACGACTTCCTTCTTGTCGACAACACGGCCGGCAAAGGCACGACGATGCCGCGGGTTGTCGCTCTGGGTGCCGCCGCGATGGAGCTTGTCGAGGCAGGCATAGTATCGATGGAAGCGAGAGGAAGAGGCGAAAGGGCGGGAAAGATCAGACTGAGGGTTGGGGAGGAGGAGGTCAAGAGTGCGCTGATGGGCGATAGTGAAGTCAAGGGGTTAGGTTTCAATGCTTGATCGACCTGGAACGCAGACCATGAATAGAGACACGGTGACAGCGCATTGGGCGAGGTCAATTGTCTGGAAAACATGGATAACGACAAATTGATGTATTGATACCGACATTATTGGTTTTGGGACATTCTCCAAACGATGGCTGCTGATCTTGGACAGGAAAGCCTCCTCATCTTCTTCACGCAATAGGACATCTTGCAGGCCCCCGGACGTACCTTACATCGAAATCAACATCTTCAAAGCCTCATGCTGCGCCGCCGACTTGAAAGTCGTATACGCCTTCTCCATTTCCTTGAATGTGAATTCATGCGTGATCAGATTTCCTGGCTGAATTGTTCCCGCAGCGAACAAGCTCAACAACATCGGGGTGGTGACAGTGTCGACCAGCCTCGTTGTCAAGGAAATATTACGGTCCCACAACTTCTCAATCTTCAACGTGCAGCTTCTCCCATGCACACCGACGTTCGCGATTGTCCCGCCTGGCGCAACGAGATCCTGGGCCATTTCCAACGTGGCAGGAATACCAACGGCTTCAATTACAGTGTCGCAGCCCGTCTTGTTGGTGAGGCCCATGATTGCCTCCTCAGGCGACGACTCGTCACTGTTGATTGTATGGCCTGCGCCGAGTTTCTTCGCGACTTTGAGACGGTTTGGGTCCTTGTCAATCACCACGATCAAGCTGGGAGAATAGAGCCTCGAAGTCATCAGCGCCGCGAGCCCGACTGGTCCTGCGCCAACGATCGCGACGCTCGATCCCGGCTGAACCTTGCCGTTTAAGACACCGCACTCAAGTCCTGTGGGAAGAATATCAGACAACATGACGAGGCTTTTCTCATCCACTCCTTCAGGCACAAGGTGCAAGCCGCTATCCGCGAGTGGGATTCGGACATATTCAGCCTGGGTACCGTCACGGGTGTTGCCGAGGATCCAACCTCCCTTGATACAGTGACTATACATTCCCCTTCGACAGTATGTGCATGTGGCACAGCTGGAGATGCAATTGATGAGCACGCGATCTCCTTTCTTGAATCGGGAAACTGCTGGGCCCGGTTCATGTACAACACCGACACCTGTCCAATATCAGCTTCGGACTAATTTTTCCACCACTTTAAGAGATGTACCCTCATGTCCCAGGATTCGTCCTGGTTTGCAAGTCGGGACGTCTCCATGCAGGATGTGCGTGTCTGTTCCACAGATTGTCGTATATGTTACTGTAACAGTGAGACCTCCAGCTCTTTCACAGATGACAACGAGCCTTACATTTCACAATAACATCCGTTGGGTCCTGGATTTCTGGAACCGGGCGTTCCTCAAGGGCACATTGGCCATTGCCTTTATAGACGAGGGCTTTCATCGTTGTGATTGATCAATTTATCAACCGATTATTCTCTTCTTGTCTCTTCTCCGACAATGCTGACGATTGGGATTGCAGGGGCGCTGAGACCATTTTGTCTCGGTTCCTGTATCCATCATATATCACTCTTCATTCTGAGAGGGGGGTCCACCCGCAAAGCTTGCGGATCCGGTGATGTTGAAAAAAGTCATTTTCCCGGGCCCTTGCGGTCATTCATTGGATCTCACGACTCTCAGACCACCTTGGTACCTTTCATGCTGCTCTCTCATGATTGGCTCCTTTCATGCGGAGGCGCTCCTCTCTTTTTGTAGGCAGTTTGTTTCTTCCCCTCCTCTGTTCATTTTTTCTCCTTTTATTTGTCCCTGAAAGGCTCTCGAGAGGCCAATGGATGCTCAACTCGTGTTGGTGAGGGGGAGGGCAGAAAAGCATCGAAGGGCATTCGTTGGGCGCGGGGTCGAGGAGGTCGTTTCTGTCCAACCTAGGCTGTGGACTCGCGTTTCGAATCGAGATGTTTGCCCTTTTCAAATCCCCTTTGTATCGATTTTTCTTCGATAGGAGGCTATAATATTCATCTTCAGCCTTGTGCATTGCGTTCCCTTGTCCACCATATGTCCTGCACCTGTAGGCGCGAGCGTCGACCTCCCTTCTCGGGGGCTTCTTGTCGGCCGTTTTGCTGTCTCGCGCTCGCGCGTTTACAATCTTTCCTTTCTTTTTCTTCTCCAGGCTGTGTCCGTTCAGACTCTGTAAGTGTTTCCGCTCTTTGGTGATGGGCGATTTCGTGCTGACGTGCATAATATAGATTCGTAGCGACGGTAAGTCGCTACTATTTCGGTGTTGCCGTTACCTGCAAGTACTAGATTCCCCTTATACCGACTTACCTATTGCTTTACTAAATCCAAACCGTTGGCAGTATGCATCTTATTGTCTGCCCAGAGGATGAGCCAGCGTGGAGGTGGCCGTCTTGGAGGGAACACGTCGCCGGCGACGCCCGAAGATTCTTTTCCGTGGATTTGAATTTCTAACTGAGTTCAATAGTGGGATCTGGATTTTTGCTGGCTTCGAGACCGCATGCGTGTATGAGGTGTCATCTCCATGACGCCAGCCATTTTGAAAGTTGTCCGGCCCGGTGGACGAATTATACACGTCTCGTCAAAGACTTCTCGCATGGCCATGCCCAGTCCATATACATTATATGCTGCACCCAAGGCCGCAGTCGAACATTTCACCCGGTGCGTTGCCCTGGAGTATGCGTATCCGTGAGGATCACAATCAACAGTATCATACTTGACGGAGTTGAAACTGGTATGTTCATGTTCATATCGTTTTTCTACAAACACAGATTTGTCGAACTATTTGGGGTTTGCTGACGATTTGGCCGAATCTAGGATATGATTGCTAGCCTTGCTGAGTCTGCCAAAGAATATTATAGGAGTCTCCCATCGGAAAAGTTCCTGCACAAATGGCGATACAATCTCTGCCACATGAGGTAGAGTCATGTATTGCGCCTTAAGAGCACTCTCAATGACCTGTATTGCACCTCTGCTTGAAACTGGGAAGAGAACGTCGAAATGCAAAGATCCACCGCAGAGTAATATCACAACTTCAGAATTCTAGATCATGTAGCCTATTTGTATAGTCCGTCGGATCTGAAACCCATTCTCCTCTCAGATTCGAATCCCTTTCTCCATGAATATGCAATTTGCATATGCTGCCTTATTTGATGAAAACCACCTGACCGCCCGATGGAGTGCCTAAGTGTAATATATACTCAAAGAACCGCTTTGCTTTCCGTTCGCTTCAAAGGAAGAGAGAGGCAGAGGAACAAGTGGGCCGAATGCGTCACACCATGCCTTATATCTGCAATAAATCTGAGGACTCTGTAATCCGCACTCTCCATCAAAAGCATCAGAATATCAGATCAGCGTCTAGTGCATTCTGGCGGTTCATTCCACATGATCGGTCTCTGGATGACGGGTTTCTTACGAAGTGGATTAGGTGTCTAGTCGTCCTGGATACGGTACATGTCTTTTGAAAATCGGTGAGGTCCGGACTGTAAGGTCCCATTGTTCTCTCCTTGAACTCGACCTAGAATCCCTCGGGCGGCAGCATTGCTTGGCGGACTTTTGCCGTTGAAGTGTCATGGGAAGCGCCGAATTTTGGAACTCATTGCTTTTGACAAGAACTTCGGTGATCGAGTTCATTAGCTGCTGTGTCTGGGAGAATTTGTGAGTCGATCGGAAAGAACACGGAGGGTTGAAGTTATGACGAGCGACGCACCATGGGGTCGTGGGAGTCAAAAAAGGGATAGCAACGTTTCTAGAAGGTCGAGATTAAGAAATGCGACACCAACGAGCGAAGAATGAAGAACTGAAGGATATGATATTGTGTAGGATCAGCTTACTGGCGGCTTTATGACCATGAAGCCAGAGGACATCGTCCCGCGCCGTGAGCGATAGCTTAAAGCCAGACTGACGCCCATTTGTCCAGGTTCCCAAGCTGAATCAAGACAAGGTTCTTCTGGAGTTGCTCATACTGAACGCCCATTCTCAGCGTAGGCTAAGTGAGTACCTTTCGGCGCGTCTCAGAGGGAAGCGGAAAAGCGGATCGGTCGGGCACAAAGGCAAACTTTTGATGCTCCAATGGGATGCATAGGCTGAGAGAAGATTTCTGGGCAACAAAGCAGAGAGATGTCCGTGCCAATTCTTCTATCCCAGCTTTCCATCAAGTCACTGGAGTGCTGACCACTTGGATATGGAAGGACTTTTGAACTTTTGCTCGAAGTGAAAATAAGGTTTGCGAGTGCAGCCGAATGCTTCACCGGAGAGCATATTTGCGGAATTTTCCCGTGTGACCATATGGCAAAGGATCTCAGTGTCTTCGAACGACTGAAAAAGCCCCAAATTACCACGATGACTTCAGGTATGGTTAACGTGATTGGCTGACCACAAGTCTCAAAATTGGTTCTCCCAATGAAGACAGATTTGACCATCCGAATGAAGAAAACACTCTGTCCCTTGGCCCTTCTTAACCGGGCTTCGCTTGCAAGAACAACAAGTTAAAAATGCGAGTTCCTGAAGGTTAGTGTCTCCCCTGCTGCTACAAATGCATACTCCATTCCAGCAAATCCAGCTGTCCCAGACCTACGCACTTCTATTAAGCATCAAGAGTCTCTAAGGGCGCAAACAATGCGGTCGTGCTACTTTCCACTGTGGTCCTTCCCCCCCGCCAAATCATTACCGGCATCGCAACCGAGTCCAGCAACACTCTATAAATCAGCACCTATCATTTCCCCAGCCATCTCGTGTCCTTTTCAACGAGGCATTCACTGAAGATGCGCTATGGACGCGAAATAACATCCAGTACGTGGGATTACCCTGCTATGGGCCGAAACGAGAGCTCTTCAACTTCCTCATTCCATCGTGGCCGCGTACTTGCGAAACCGATCCTCGTGTTGCCCAGTTACACTGGCACTTCGTTTGCAAGGGCGAGATTGATTCGCAACGTAAGGTATATACACTACATAACCCGTCATGTATTTTGGCATCGGGCCTTTGACTAGCTTTTCCTTCTTAGTTCCAGAAATTCACCACTATCAAATAAATTCGCAGAAGTCTCTCCGACAACCAGAGCCGGGACAGATTGTAAGTGCTGTAGATCCAGCCATAGCAAAGCTCTGAGCTGGTGGTTTTAGACCGACCCCCTTATAGTGTCTGACCTCTTCCTACGGCAAGTTCGAGTGAGTGAGGTATGACCTGCAAAGGAAAAAGGAAAACAGGATCTTTGAGGTTTTCTCTATCTCGTAGAGTTTTCGCTGTCTTGGCTAGAGGAGGTTCGAATGAGGTTGGTTCAATTTCTCTTTGGTCCTAGTTGAGTTCTGCTAAATGCTGCCGGTTGGTGATTCCACTGGCACCCTCACTCTATGCGTGAAGGAGGGATGGGCCCTCAGAGACTCGAACCCAGCTATTACTAGTAGTATCGGTTAAGATCGTGGTTATCAAGAATACTCGGGTCCGTTCACTCCATTGATCTTGACCGCGCTCCTTTCCTCCAGTTGTCTCAACTCCTCCTTCGCACTACGATAGTCCTCTTGCGCCTCACGCTCTCTTCGACTCACGAACCCGACCTCATCTCTCAATCTTTCTAATCTCCTCGTCAGTGCCCCTTCCTCACTGATCTGCAACGTCTGGAAACCATCCAGCTGTGCTCGCTGCTCCTCGATCTGCTCGTACACGCCGGCGATTTTCTGCTTGAGCATCTTCTGCCGCGCCTGATACCCTCCTAGGTGTAGTGAGAGTTTCTTCTCGAGCTTGTTGCCTGCTTCTGCGGCGGCGAGGAGATTTTTCTGCGCAGCTACGAACGCTTTGCTGTATTCGGCCGGGGTCGTGCTTGTGGTGAATTTCAGAGGGAGAGCATCGGGCTCAGAGGATGCGTAGAGGGCCTCCACGGCGGAAATGTAGGCTTGTCGGTCATCTGCGTTGCATGAGTCGGCTAGTTGTTGGCGAGCCTTTGTTAAGAGATCGTCTGATAATGAAGCCGGCTGGACGGGTTTGCCTATCAGCCGAGAGCCAGGGAGAGGAAACTTTCGAGCATCGTTGGCCATGAGCAGAGCTGCTTCTTGAGCGATCATGGCCCTGATTGGGTCGGTGATAGATGTGGCTTCTGAAACAAGGGAATTGTAATCGATGGTAGTCGGTCGGGGTAATGCTCGCCGGTAAACTTGAGTTTGTCGTTGAAACTCCGCAGCGGCAGCCGCTTCCCGAGCTTCACGCTCACGTTGGTCAATTTCATCCTGGTCCTCCCTTTCCGGACCAGTCTTGCCAATTGACTCGGCTTGTTTGGGTGGCAAGACTTCTAGTTCCCATTCTGTTTCCTTGGGCTTCGGCAGAGAGGCCAGCTTCGCTCTTAGGGATTGGCGCGCTGCATTCTCGGCCGATCGCAAATCACGAGGTGTTTGCGCTACTAGTTGGCGTTCTCCTTTCTCATTGATGGTCAAATTATCGCGAGGAGTCCGTAGTGGCGTAGCGCTAGGAATTTGACCTTCAGCGTCAGTTTGACGGAATGGCGTTGCCATCGGGTTGGGCGTAACCATTTGTTGTCTGCGCGGAGCAATACCGTCGAATCCGGTCGAGGCACTGCCCTCGTGTAGAGGCGTGTTTTCGCCTCCCAGCAAAGATGATTGCGTTTCGGTCAAAGCCCTGATATTTCTGATTTCATTGGCAATGTGATCCTCTTGCGCCGGTGCACGAGGAGTCCGAATGGGAGTGGCACTGATCACATTTGGATAATTAGACACCAGGCCACGATCGTCTCCTTCGTCGTCTCCGACGGCTCTGACTGCTCTGTCACCAGCCATTCCCATCTTGACGATCTCCTCCAGCTCGCTTTCACTAACTTGAGGGGCCGGGAGGTTTAATGCTCTGCGCTTGCTTCGCTGTTCGGCTTCACGTATTCGTTGCATTTGTCCTGCCTTTGCCGCCGCGATAAAGGCAGCCGAGGGTTTGTTCTTGTCCTGTTTCTGCCGTTTTGGATCCACATTCTCTTCTGGATCCCCTTGTCTCTTTCGTGCTAACTGTTGCTTTCGTGGATCGAACATTTCTCGCTCACGCTCATTCTTGGCCTGTTCCGCCTGCGTATCGTAGAAGCCGGGCGCTGCCTGCTTTTCGAACGGAATATCGGCATTGTAGTCCATCTCGCCCTTCTTTCGGGTGATAATCTTGATATTAATGCCTGCATTTTTGAGCTCCCGTCTCTTCTGTAGCACAGCAAGGCGTCTTGACTCTTCCAGCTGTCTTTCGCGCGCCTTCCGCTTTGCTTTCTTTCCTTGTGTATTAGCCAGACGGGCACGAGCTTCGCTGAGCATTTCTTTTTCATCTTCGTCGAGATCGATCGTATCCGGCCATGCAGGTTTGGATTCGGGGTCTGGGTCAAGTTCTCCAGGTCGCAGTCTTCGGACTTGATCTCCTGTAGGCGCAGCGGTCTCTCCTCCTTCTGGTCCACCCAGGCCCAATTCATCGTTCTCCCGCGCTTCAGCTTCATCGAGCAGTTTCTGATAACGTTCGAGGCACTGAGTGGCAGTTCGTCCGACGACCGGTGCAATTGTTCGCCATTGCGTGGGCATCAACTTCGCCAGGTGTAATAACTTTTCATCTTCTTCCTTAGACCATTCTATTTTCCGGATGCCTGGGTCTAACCATTCTGTCCATCTTGCCTTGCATTGTTTCGGCGTCTTTCGCGCGAGCAACGAAGAAACTCGCGCCCACTGATTTAACCCATACTTCGACACGGATGCTTTCAGAATTTCGTCTTCGATATTGGTCCACACACCTCCTTTGACAACAGGCATATTGTCGACGCCGAAGTGGCAATGGCTGTTGCGTTGGAATTTGTAATCAAAAGAAAGTCCGAGTCGACACCGGCGCAGGCAGTTTTTATTCGGAGCGGAAAATCTTGGCGCCGAAACATGCCTAGCGCCGCCATCTTTTAGGGCCGGGTCTGCCAACAAAGGCTGCGTCGGACCAAAACAAAACGCTTTTCACATTTAGGAAGACGATGGGGAAATAGGAAATTTCTGACATAGATGGCTTTTACGAGCAGCTCGTAACAGATCATCATGTTTCCGCATTTTCCTTTCCGTCAACGAACTGCTTCGCGGAGTCGCCAGCATCGAACCCCTCCTTTTCTCCGCTACTGGCCATCCTTGACAACTGCTAGGATAAACCCATCAACCATCTCCTCGGCATTTTTCTTGTGGCTCGAGATCGTGGATATAAGAGTCGCATTCACTCTGTCGTCTCTACCCACTTTGGTCACCAACGTCTCACCCTCGTCCACCGTGTCACTCTCCATCAACTCCCTGACCACATTATCGACATAAATGCAGCCATTCCGCCTGCTCAACTTCACTGCCCACTCAAAATACTCCCATTGTTCATGCCACGACGCATCGATGAAAATGAAATCGAACTTCTGCCCCGCAGCTGCAAGCTTAGGCATGACATCCAGTGCAGCACCCAGAATGATCTCAACATCCATTCCCTTGGTGTTTTCAAGCGCAACATCTCTGTGTTTCGGATTGATCTCGATGCTGGTAACCTTTGCACCAGTGCTGGCGAACCAGATCGTGGAGTACCCCCCTAATGTTCCTACTTCAAGAACAGATTTCGCGTTGATGAGCTGGCATTGGAGAGCGAGGAATTTGCCTTGGAGGTCCGAGACGGAAATAGGGGGTAGACCGTTGGCAGCAGAGTTGCTCAGGGCATGATCGAGTTGTGGATTGGGCTTCAAGAGACTGGAGCGTGCCTGAGCATCAATTTTACCCACTTGCTCGTACCTTTCAGTCAGGGTTGGAGTCATTTTGGAGATATTGTCTTTCTAGACTTTTGGCGTGGGTGAGAGTAGTTGAGCTATTATTATCTCACGGGTTGCCGAAAGATATAGGAACGGATTCAATTGATTGCTGAAGAAAAGACCAGGTAGAGTGGCGATGAAAGAACTTCTTATCCCTCTTCATAGACGCGAATCTCCGAGCTGGATCCATGGTATCAATTGTTGATCCTGCCTGATACCGTAAAACCGAGCTTGAATGGCCGAGCTGAGGCCGAAAGTGACACCTGGTATGGCCGAGGGGCCTGCTAATATGTAGATTTCTGCCAAGGATTCTGAAGCGGCCACCCCCAGCAGATAGTTTTAGTTAGTTCATACATTCTCTTCCCGCCGCTACAACCACAAATATAAGACAACACGTGATAAGAAATTTGGCCGTTACGGGAGTCATTATGTCTCGTCTGCGGAAGAATACTTATTTAGATGTCGCTTTTCCACACATGACTCGCCACTCTCTTCTTCTCTCCTTCGCGTCTCGCCATCCACCGGCAAAAGAAGCGAATGGACGTTGGCTGGTGTCGATACCAATCTGCTGCAATCGGCTCTGGTTGACTTCGGTCGTTAGCTTAATGCAGCCCTACGCGACTTTCCACCTTAGCTACTTCTATTGCCTCCCCCACCATTCAAGCCACCTTCAATTGCTGTTGTTGCTCTTGGTGTGTGAAACAAAGGTCCTTGAATGACTGGCTGCATATGCGAGGCTTCCGGAGCTGAATATGAAGCTCTTCCATCTCACTCGGGCTGGTCTCTCCTTACCTAAAGTTCTTTTTCCTTTCCGCTGCCTTCTTCTTCCTACCCATAATCTGGGCCGAAAACCACTTGCTCTTGCGCAAAATGGACCTTCATGCCGAGGCGCAGGGACGTGGAGTCTCCGCGTCAATGCAGTCAGGCTGTTATGCGGGACGTCAACCTTCTGCCGCCATGCCCGGCCATCCCTCTTCATACCCGTTTCCACAAGGCCGGTTGGGGCGCAGAATCCTTCGGGACCAGGGGTAACATTTGTGTTACAACGCATCCGCGAGCAAAACGCCTTGGGCGCGGCCCGTTATTCGTGTCCTTCTACCTGAATGGATTAAGTCGCAAACGCCAGATGGAAAGACGATTTTCTTCCATTCAGAAACGTAGATATGTTTCTTTTCGATGGCCGGAGCAAGGCGCAGTGGCTCCCTCGCCGATTGTTCTGCCCAGCGCAACAACCCAACTCACCAGAAACATCCGAGCTCATGGAACTATCCCAGCCAATCTAAACCTACCATAGTTCGAAGCCAGACTGTCCCAGTCTCGTAACTACCGAATGTGCCTCTTGCTCTGCTATGAATGTCAACACCGCCATAGCAAGGAAGGCCGTCCCTGGGTCTGAAGAAGCATATACTGTGTATCAACTCTGCGAACGTAATAACACCAATGCTCTATCACAGAAGTTCGCCTCAGATTTAGCCCAAACAGCCACCGCTATGAAAGAGACAACCATTACTGCAGCAAGGTTTGCAACGGGACAAGCTAGAATGGTCGGAAGTTCACTTGTCAGCCGTAAGAAGCTGGGGAAAGCATCTAGGAGAATAGCCATGCATACAGGCGCTCTAAGCATGAAGACTGGACATGCAGTCAAGGGGCAAATATCAGCCATAAAGGGATGCCATTTATTACCTTTGTATGGCTACGCGCAGCCTCCCATTCCGACCGAGGCCCATGCAGATGATTCCTCACAACAGCATAGTGATCGATGTGAGTCAGAATGCCCCGACTTTGCTTCCACCAACTGAACAACCTTCTATGGCTCACAACTCCTGTTCCTTCCTAGACTCCTGCACAAATACCAGTTCGGTCTCAATCGCTCACGCCCAATAACCAGACATTAAGCCAACCCACACCCTCCGTCCAAGGACCGGCGGCTGACGACTTGACAAATCAGGCCACGGCAGCACCAAGACCAACAGTCAATCCACCACTGTTCGAGATAAACCTTCTCGATCCAATACCAATACACCCGTACTACCGAATGCGGGTCAGCCTTTATCTTCAGGCACTGGACAGCAATCAGATCCACTAAAGCCAGTTCAGCCTTCTCTTGAGGACAATAGAACCATAAGGAGCCCAGTCAATTCCGAACCAAGCATCTGGAAACGTGTCCACGCAAGATGCAACCGATCCTCCTACTTATGCACAAGTTATCAATTTACCTGCAATAAACTCTGCTGGAAACCGTCCACCGCTTGCCCCGAGCTGCAAATTGCATCTGTGCCGCTATCTACACCATTACGGAAGAATCCGCCAGCCAGTGTTGGTGACTCTCAGCTAAAAAGCACTTAAGTTCCTCCGCACACTGGCACAGCTCCAACAGAACAGAGAGTTCTTGCTACCCCTTCTTCTGGTGCTCCTATGAATAACCAGCAGCATGTGATGCTTCCTCCCGAGCAAACAACCTATGAGGACCAACGATTTATGCAATATTATGTAGATCCATCGTCCTCTAGTGCGGATCGGAATCTAGGAGGCTCGGGCTAGACTACTCTCATTGAGCAAAATCAGACCATGGTTCAACAGCAGGCAGGCAGGCAGGCAGGCCCTCTTCCTTGCGCAAGCACAGACTGCCATGGCACAACAGACTGTTAATAATTATCTGCAGCAAGATGAATCTGATTTGGTTTACGTTCAGGACAATACAAGTGGACACGGTGATATGATGGAAGTGACGTCTTTCGGTGACACAACAACCGATGGAATCCGAAGATTATTACAAGATGGAGCATGCGGTTGATATGGTCGATGGGGGCTTTGCAGATGGCTCTGGAGAGCAAAACTTTGAGATCTCTTGTTGAGCACTTGAGAGCGAGATCGATCGGTGTTTGATTCTCAGAATGCGGTTTATGGTACATCATTATGTTTCGCTGATCTTAGGTTTTGCGATTAGCATAGTATGATCCCAGTAAGAGTTTTTACCTTGTAGATTGTCTCTATGATACCTTGATGATTGACTATGGGTGTGGATGGTCAGAGTTCTTTGTGTCTAGGGCTTGGCATCTGCGGAGAAACCAAAAAAGTTTTGATCGCAGCGGAGTACCTTTTCAAGATTTCGACCGGGCAAGCCAATTGTTACAGATACGAAGGTTAAACTCACGATGTCTTCTTCAATAGGAGCTCCCCAGCAGCGCAAGCAACCCTCAAGAAAGGGTAAGAAGGCATGGCGCAAAAATGTCGACCTCACCGAAATTCAACAAGGCCTCGAAACTCTACGAGACGAAATCATTCAAGGGGGTCCGATAGCAGAGAGGCCATCCGAAGAATTATTTGCTCTTGACACAAAAGGTTCGGAAGATATCAAGAGGAAATACAAGCTACAAAAACCACTGAAAGTCGACGTGATTCTCGGTAGACGATCTGCTGTGCCTGCAGTGGACAGTCGGAAGAGACAAGGTTCCGCAATCACAGATGGAGTTATTGAGCCGCCCAGCAAAAGACAAAAGCCCGACTGGGTGAGCAAGAAGGAAGTACAAAGATTGAGAAACAATTTGAATACGACTTCGCATTTGGATGCTGAGAATATCGATGGCGAGACATCTGGATTCGATCTCTGGGCTTCCACTGTCCCAGCAAAATCCGAGCTCACCAAAGCCGAGGAATATCTACCTAAACCGAAGCCCAAAGTCGCCCCATCAACTCTTCGGAGGGCACCAATTGCCATGACCGCAAACGGCAGACCAGTCCGAGCCGTACAGCAACCTGATGCGGGCACAAGTTACAATCCGTCGTTCGAAGATTGGGATTGTCTTCTGAATAAAGAGGGTGAGAAGGAGATCGAAATAGAAAAAATCCGTCTCCGTGAAGCACAAGCTGCAGCAGAAAAAGGAGCCAGAATTCAAGCTATAGCTGCGGCCCCGGAGCCGAACCCTGCAGACGATGAGAGCGCCTGGGAAGGCTTTGAGACAGACAATGATGATCTAGAAGTATTGCAGCAAAAACGGCCGCGGCGGAAGACACCGGCTCAGCGAAACAAGATGAAGAGACGAAAGGAGGCAGAAAGGCTTGCGAAGCACGAAAGAAGAATGACAGATAAGCACAAACACGCTGAACAAATGCTGACTGCTTTGATAAAGAGCCACGAGCAAAGCCCGGAGTTAGTGGAAGGCAGTCAAGTTCAAGAGCCTGAAGAGGGGGATGATCGAGTCTTGCGACGGCGGAAGAGGGGCAATATCATGATCCCAGAAAAGTCGCTTGAGGTTGTCCTACCGGATGAGCTTCAAGACTCTTTGCGAAGATTGAAGCCAGAGGGAAATTTGTTGAATGATCGGTTCAGAAACCTCTTGGTGAACGGGAAACTCGAGGCTCGGAAACCGGTACTGCAGCACAGGAAGAAGAAGAGAACGTTTACGGAGAAATGGTCGTACAAGGATTTCAGCATCAAAGTGTAGTTGGAGCATGATCGATGTCAAAAATATCAGAATTGGTTCTAAATGCCACGATTTGCCTCCCCCCTCTCCCCAGCAGCTCATCTCCCCTCTTTCCCTTACAACCCCTGCCCAACATAGTGCCAAGCCTGCGCCCGGCGTAGCTCCGTCCCCAAGTTCAATCAAATTCCAGGTTCAAGTTTGCGATAGCGCAATCTGCTCGCCTCTTTTTGTCATACCCATATCGTCACAGCTCCATGTGCAATTCGCAGTTAATGTAGTCTGCGTTTGTTCGTCCTTTGATTTCATCCGCTCTATCGTTTCGTTTTGACAGTCCTCACCATGTCGTTGTTCGGTTCTTCTCCCACTGAATCTTCGCCACTGAACTCCAAGTCTTTGTTTGGCGACGAGCCTGCCCGTCCTAGTTCCACTTCCTCTCTCTTTGCCGACGACGGTGGTGAATCGCCATGGTCAATGCCCACGCCCAAGAAGGCTGCCAGACAAAATTTGGTCAAGAATCTGCTCTCCGCCACCGATGTGCCGGATGGCTATGTTGACGCATACGACACTGTCTTGAATGCAAACGAGCGAACTGGGGTTGGGATTGGTTTGAGCGGCATTAGGAATGTCCTCCAAAGTAGCAATCTAAGCGAGCAAGAACAGAGCAAAATCTTCAACCTTGTGATCCCAGGAGGCCGGGAAGGCGCCAATGGAGTCGGTAGGAGTGAGTTCAATGTCTTGCTCGCTCTCGTTGGCTTGGGGCAAGAAGGTGAAGACATTACCCTCGACGGCGTCGATGACAGGAGGAGGAGTGAGTTGATAACATCTTTTGACTCCCGCCACAGCTGACTCTTTGCCAGAACTACCTGAACCGAAAATCGCTTATATAGACCAACTGCGGTCCAATGCTCATCGGCCGGCAAATACTCCTCGATCCAATAATCCGACTCCAGTGAAGCCACAGAAGCCCCGACGAGATTCCTTCGGGGGTGATCCGACATCAGATCCGTGGGCCAGCCCGTCAAATAACCGATCACCACCGCCGTCCACCGCAGCTCACACAATGTTGTCCAATGGCACCTCCAATCACAGCGCGAAGAGCGCACCAAACGGCATTGTGAGAACAACCAGTACTTTCACTACAGGTGGTGATCAACCTGGCAGCCACGGTGGTTCTCCCAACGACTCATCGAGCAGTCCTGCCGCCGGTTGGAACAGCTACAATGGCAACTCGGGAGGCTTCTCAGAGCAGCCAATGCTAGGAGGAGGATTTGGGGATCCTGGAGATGATCAACAACCAAATCGTCCCGGACAGGATCCACAAAGCGCTGCCCAAAGTGTCACTTTACCACCTGGGACCGGTGAAAACGTTACCGTAACTTTGCTACCAGAAAAGGAGGGCATGTTTCTTTTCCAACATCACAATTACGAGGTCAAAACGATCAGAAGAGGGAGCAGTGTTGTCAGACGGTACAGTGACTTTGTTTGGCTACTTGACTGCTTGCAAAAGAGATATCCTTTCAGAAGATTACCATTGCTACCACCAAAGCGAGTTCAAGGTGAGAGATTGGAGATGCTTAAGCAAGCCTCCGGCTGATTCAAATTTAACAGTCAACGGGACACACCTATCAGCCGATGTAGCTGTCTTCCTTGAGAAACGGAGGAGAGGGCTTGTCCGATTTGCCAATGCACTTGTCCAACATCCGGTCCTGAGTCAGGAGACTTTGGTGGTGATGTTCTTGACTGTACCAACTGTGAGCCAGCTCTCCTCTGCCTTTGTTAGTCTTAGGATTCGTATCTGATCCCGATCCCAGGAACTCGCAGTATGGCGAAAACAAGCCACGATATCGGTCCAAGAAGAATTTACTGGCAAGGCCTTACCTCCCACACTTGAGGACAGCCTCCCATCCTCCCTTCCGGACCTTTTTGACCAAGTTCGTGTTGGTGTCAAACGCTCCGCGGAAATATACATCAACCTGTGCGTGTTGTTGGAAAGGTTGGTGAAACGCAATGAAGGACTTGCCGCAGACAATGCGAAATTCAGTCTTGCGTTGTCTCACCTGACTGACAGCAGCAATGACACTTACGCCATCGATCCCAACGACGTGCCTCTTTTAAACGAAGGGATCATCTCGACCGCCAAACACCTGGCCACATCTCAGACACTTCTGGAGGATGAAGCAAAGGCTTGGGATGTAGGAGTGCTCGAGGACTTCAAAGTGATCCGGGATCATTTTGTATCAATGCGCGACATGTTCGATCGACGGGACCGATATGCTCGCGATAATATCCCTCAACTCGAAAAAAGAATTGAGGCTTCAGAGAACAAACTACAACAGCTGCGACAAAAGCCACCGGGGCAGGTCAAACCAGGCGAAATGGAGAAAGTTGAAAGCAGCATCATGTCAGACAAAGAGAGCATTGTTCAGCAACATGCTCGAGGAGTATTCATCAAGGAATGCATCAGGGACGAGATTGTGACCTTTCAAACGACGATTTATGCCATCAGTCGTATGCACCAAGAATGGGGTCAAGATCGAGTCAAGTATGCAGAGTTACAGGCGAGCAATTGGCGAAGTTTGGTTGATGAGATCGAAAGTATGCCTGTAGGAGAGTAAGTCTGTTCGGCAAAGCCGGGAATTGCTGGGATCCGTATTTTCATATTGTTCTTTGGAGGATTATATTTGGCACTGAGTGGCAATGAATGCCAACAATACATAATTTCTATAACAAACCAGGAAACTCACAATTTGTCGTTGTGGAGGGAGGTTTACCGTCTGTGATGCGTTCTTGTGGTTTAGGCAGCAGAGTCTGCTGGGGCGGCCAAGCGATTCCCCCCGCACCCTCCAACCACCACAGCTTGCCTAAGTGACAAGATTTATCTTTTCATCACGACTCCATCACTTTCGCTCATCAATTCGTTTCCGTCGATAGATTTTGTCGCATCATCGATCCGATCATCATGGTGGGAGATCATAGCACAGAGTCAGGCGACACACCGGAACCCGTGGTAAAGAGCTTTGCTACGCTGAATCAGTTGCAGTAAGTCTTCTAAGAGATGAGATCTCTCGAAAACATCACCCTATAAGATTGATGCTGATCTCTGTTTCAGGATCGGAGTCAAGGCTTTTGTCGAAAAGGTGAGGGCTTTTTTCGTTGCATTTATCTTCTCTTTCACCTTTTCTCCGTGCCAACTTGAGACACGTGACTTCGTTTTCGTTCACCTTGAGCCTACTGACGTTGGGGACATTAGAACGGAGAACCTAGAAAGGCAGAGATCTTGTCTATCAAGCAGAGAAATAATGCTTTGACGTTCTAGTACGTCGGAGGGAAGCCCCGTTGGTTGGCACATGTTGGCTAACTTGCTTGCAAAGCGTTCACTATGTCGAATTCAACAAGCGTCTCGACGGTATGTCTGTCATGTCCATCTTCCCGGAGGAAACTGACTCAAACTTCTAGAATGGGTCTCGGCCGACCGAATCGACCTTTCACAGGAAGTCGAATGGCCGGCTCCGGAGAAGCCGGAGAAGAAAAAAACCACCGTCACCACCAAAGGACCCCCATCCAAAGCCCCCGTCACCACGAAAGCCGGTCGACCCAGAGCAGACTCCCGGCCTGGCTCTGCAACACCTGATCTCCTAGGCTCCAAAGCTGGCAATGACCGCAAACGTCCTGTGCCCTCGAAAGCAGGCGGCAAAGAAAACCGCGACGAAGCACTCGCACCCGATGGCGACCCTTCGCTCGTCACCACCCAAGCAGGCACCCCTCTCCCCAGTCTCAGCAATGAAGATAGCAACGGGCTGACTAGCGAGAGTATCGATGTCGACATGCCGGACGTGACCAAGATGGAAGAGAAAGTCGCGCCCATCATGGAACCGGAGGAAGAAATCGAAAAGCTACGCACAGGCGGTTCCATGGTGCAGAACCACGCTCAACTTCATCTCGTGCGCAACCTCAACAAGATCCAAATGGGCAAATATACCATCGAACCCTGGTACTTCTCGCCATACCCGCAGGAATTCTCCGACGCGGACCTCGTGTATATCGATGAATTCTGCCTCTCGTACTTCTCGTCCAAGAAGGCCTTCGAGCGGCACCGGTCGAAATGCGAGCTCCGCCACCCGCCTGGGAACGAGATCTACCGCGACGACTTTGTCAGTTTCTTCGAGGTCGACGGGCGGCGGCAGCGCACTTGGTGTCGGAACTTGTGTCTCCTCTCCAAATTGTTCCTCGACCATAAGACGCTCTACTACGATGTCGACCCGTTCTTGTTCTACTGCATGGTCACGCGTGACGAACACGGGTGTCATCTCGTCGGGTATTTCAGCAAAGAGAAAGAATCTGCAGAAGGGTACAACGTCGCCTGTATTCTGACGCTGCCACAGTACCAGCGCCAGGGTTTAGGAAGACTGCTCATTGCCTTCTCATACGAGCTGAGCAAACGCGAGGGCAAGCTCGGGTCGCCTGAGAAGCCGCTTTCAGATCTCGGCCTGCTCGGCTACAGACAGTATTGGAAAGAGGTGTTGATTGAGCTTCTCTCGGATCCGGCGCGTTTGCCTCCTCCCGGGTCGGCCACACATACGCCTACGTCCGACCATCTGCATCCTCATTCATCTCTAGGATTCGCGGCTCCTTCGTCACAATATTCGACCAGTATCTCCGAAATTGCCAGTCTGACGGCCATGACGGAGAAGGATGTCCATGAACAACTCGAAGTGTTGAAGCTGCTGCGCTACCACAAGGGCGCGTGGATCATCGTCGTCAGAGACGAGTTGCTCGAGTGGCAGGAGAAACGGCTGGCCAAGGAGAAAGCCAAGGGAGCTCGAAGGATCGATCCAAGTAGGTTAAACTGGAAACCTCCTGTTTTCACAGCTAGCAGTCGGACGTGGAATTGGTAGGAGAGTTTTGGTGGGTGATGGACTGTCTGTCTTCTGTACATTAGCGAGGCGTTGGCGGAAATTTGGTCCGGAGTGGAACACATTACAGCATTTGAGATAGCCTTAGGGGAAGGCTTCGGGACGGAATTTAATGGTGTGGACGATACCCGTCAGCCAGTGAGGGAATGTTGTCCACGCTCACAACCCCCTGGCTCAAAGCCATTGTTCATTGGGCGCATTGTAAATCATATCCCGGTAGCTGATGGGATGTTTAAGATGGAATGGTCGTATATCTTGCTTCAGCATCACTACCAACGGTGTTATCTTCCGCCCCGTTTTCTGTCATTTCGGTATCTCCATGGTGGCCATTTGAGCTCCCTTTGGAGGGCTCGTCGCCGTCAAGACCGAGACTGAGATTCTCCGGTAGATCAATATTCTTCTCCCTCGCAAGTTGTTCGGCCCACGCGCGCGCTTTGACAAGATAGCGAATGTTGGCTTCTCTTCTCTGATCCTGGGATTGCAGGAGTGCTTCGTTAACTTCTTTGGCGACTTTGCGTCGTAATGAAGGATCAACAAGCTCAGCCAAGGCACCAAAATCATTCTGTACTTGTGACGCCGACGAGCCCGAAGAGCCTGATGAAGTTGCTTGAGTCCAGGATTCCTTAGGGACGATAAGCAGTGCCATGGCTCGTTCAAGGTCGTTTTTGAATTGAGCTTCTAGTGGAGCATATGGGGCGAGGTTGTTTTGGGCGAATTCTATCGCTTTCCCCACCAGGCCGGGGTCGGAAGAGGTGAAACTTTGACGTATAAGCTCGACGAGTTGAAGGCGTAGAAGAGAGAAATGAAGTTTTTTATCGGTATCCAGGAGCTAAATTTGAAAGGTCAGTGTTTGAAGAGAGACGACGCTGCTGAGTGGTTTCGGAGAGGAGATTTCGGTGAATCATACTGAGGACTGAAGGTGTTTTTGCTCTCATCTCTGCCCGAAGGCTATGAGTGGTGCATGAAAACAAGTCTAATCATGGAAATGGAGCAGACCGAACCAAAGAAAGACAAGGACTTACTTCTGGGTTGAGTTCGTTGATAAGTTCAATGGCCATCTGCAAATCACCACGATGTATCGAATCTCGAATCTGAACTCTTTCTTGAATACTGCTAAGATCCGCCTTGGGCTGTATGTTGGCTTCGGCAGCGAATTTTTCAGCAGCTGAAGGGTATCCCTCTGTGATGAGGTAGTCCATAATCAGGTTGTTCACATCCCTATACACCGTGAGAAATCAGTCAATGTCGGTCCACCAAAATCCATGTATATTGTTGATGTTCAAGAAATTTTTTCAGAAAGCCAAAAAATATTATTCTCCTCAAGTGCTTTCAGAGAGATTCCCATTTTGTCAAGAAGTACATCCTATGAAGTTGAAGGGCTTTCGGGCCGAGGTTTACGTACGACTTGGAGATCTGAGTGTCGGCGACTCGTTGCTCAAACGAATGGGCTGTAGCAGCGGCCTTGAGGGAAGTGAGCAGTTGAGCAAAGAGATCATCTTGAGGAACAAACCATTTCGGGTCTATTTCAGATAGGCAAAAATAGGGCAGACTGTCTGTGACAGCCCAAGGATTTCTTTCTCAGTGCATTACATGCATAGCTATAGTGAGGAAAAAGAATGGAGGTGTGAGAGCTGTGAATCCTGAGAAATGACCATCAGGCTGCGGTTGGTGGCAGTTGAAGCATGTGGCACGTGACAGCACAAATGTCCGAGGGCCTCATAACCCAAGCCCCACAGCAAATTCTGCCCTTAGGTGCCCTCCAAAAAAATCACAAACTTGTCGTCTTGTCAATAGATTGACTGACGTAGGGATCGAATCTGCAATCTCTTGATTGCTTCAATATCGTAGTCAATACAGGCCCAGCTGGCCTGTGACGGTCGGGATTCTCCTCTCCGACATAGAGCCGAGGCTGGCTTCAGTATCCTGCCGTGTGCCGGAATAATCAACATTCGACATTCCAAATCACCGTCTTAGACAACCCGTGTCTCACGGAGGTTGCTCTGCTTCTACGGTCGATACTGTTTGAAGCCACTTACTAGTTATCCCATTCGATATGCGCCAATAACACGATATCGCAGTAGCCATGGAATATCTCGGCGCGCTCCAGTCGCCTGTCGACGAACTCAAGCCGTCTCTGTTCGAACTGCTCTCTGAACAACAACTTGCAGCCCTTCTCCCACCGACATTGCGATACCTCCTTGCAGTTGCCACCCACAGATATCCACGTTATCTCCTTCGGATCCTGAACAATTACGATGAAGTCTACGCCGTTCTTAGTCTGGTGGTGGAGAAATATTACCTCCAAACATTCGGCGGTAGTTTTACAGAGAATTTCTATGGCTTGAAAAGAGAAAAGGTCTTGAGTATCAATGGGGGGGAGATCAAGAGAACGCAATTGGCTGTGCCGGAGGAGGTTCGTGAAAGACTCAAATTGAGCGGCACAGACATCTGGAAGAATTTGGTCGTGCTTGTCGGCATACCTTATCTAAAGAGAAAGTTGGATGAGAGCTACGACATTCATATTGCCCCGAGTGCGAGTCTGCTCATGAGCGGCAGTCTCGGGGGTCCGAGATACTTGAACCGAGACTCTCTTCCACCGAATCCGACGATTCAGCAAAGGCTCCTGTGGTATTATAAATGGTTTTTGCGGAACGTCTATCCGAGTTTGAATGCGGCATACTATTTCAGTATATTAGTTTTCAGCTTGGGATATCTGTTTGATGGAACGAAATATCCCAATCCGTTCCTATGGGCGATTGGGACCAGAATACGAAGGATGGGAGCGGCCGATTATCGAGCCATCGATGCAGCGAGAGAAGCCGCCGACAAAGCCGCCACGGCTGCCGGAAGACCTGGTCAGGGACTAAGTGGCTTGCTCAATCCGCGAACTGCTTACCCACGATTGTTGTCCAGCCTCAGGATTTTCCTCCCGGCAAGTATATTTGCATTGAAGTTCTTGGAGTGGTGGCATGCGAGCGACTTCTCTCGTCAACTGAGCAGGAAAGCAGCCGAAGGATTGGAATTACCGCCACCGATCGTGTCGGGGATGGGTGTCGCTCAGAAACCTGCGCCGAAGCCAGATTCTTCAAGCAAGACCGCAAACACCGCTGCGAAACGGAGCCCACCCATCTCAAGCATAACATATCTCCCAATTTTGACGGTTGCACCTCCACCATCGAGCGACTTATGTCCTATTTGTCTTCATCCAATTTCGACTCCTGCTGCGTGTCAAACGGGATATGTTTTTGACTATAAGTGCATTTTCCAGTGGATTGAGGGTTCTCATGAAAGACAAGAAGCGTTTATGAAAGGAGAGAAAATGAGCGAATGGGAGGATGAGGAGGAAGAGGGGAAACCCGACGGTTCAAAAAGCAAAGAACGAAAGAGCCGTGAAGGTAGCTGGGAAAGTGGAAAAGGTCGCTGTGCGGTCACCGGTCGACGAGTCCTGGGCGGGACAAGTGGCCTTCGCAGAATCATGGTGTGATAAGAGAGGGGATCCATCGAACTTGCTTCCTCACCAGGGCGGGCGAGCTCACTTCCCGCCTTCCGTGTATTGTGCCTGTTCTACATTCGCCGAACAGCTCCGTGTCAATTCCAAGGGGTGATAGAATATCAGGCAGAATTCTCCCAAGAGAGACTGAACATGGGGAAGAAGGGAAGTGGGGATTGAAAGGGGGGAGGGAAGCGGGCCGGTTGGTTGCCGGTCAGTCTGGGCGAAACAGGTGACCCGTGGAGCCTTACCTGGACAAAAACTATCACCCGACTGGAAGAATATCGAGAGTCCAAATATCTATGGCGAGTCGTTGGGCCTTTTTTCTTCCAGGCTGCTTGCTGGCACCGGAACTTTCAAAGCAAGTGAGGCAGACAGATCGAGAATTACGATTCATTTGATTTTAGAGGCGGTCTTGTATGTTCTTGACGGATCATTCCATTTTTGTTTTTTTTTTTTTTCTTTTTTGGCCTAGGGCTGCAGTGATGGTATAGGTGATCTTAAGCTCGCCGAAGTTTACCAGCGATAGAGTGGGGAAGAATGAGCGGATCGCTGGGATATCCTGGATCACCGAGAGCGATTTTCTGGAGACTATCATTCCATGGAAAAAGGAGAAACACGGGCGAGAATACTGATAGTTGTGCTGGTGTTAGGGGGTTGAAACATTAACCGGCCTTGGCAGGACGTCCTCAATTTGGGCTCCACTCGACAATTCCTGACATCTTTCAATGTCAACTTACCTGACTATCCTCACCTCTGCCCACCATAACATCTCTATCCGATGGTCTGAACATGCTGTGCTTCCCGACCCCGAACGCTGTCACAGCTAAGCAGGCTCGGATCACTAACATCCACCTGACACCAACATGTCGGTGTCCTACTTTGACGTCTCCTCCATCATCAACAATAACCCCTGCTGGCCACGTTCATCATGAGAAAGATGTGTTCCCGGGACTCCCTGGCTAATCTGGATGGCGCCATGGCAGATCTGATATCCATAGATTCAGTGTTTGCGATCCAGCCTTAGTGCCAGAATCCATGTCCTCTTTCAACCCTTCCCCCACCGGGGGCCAGCTATACCCACCAACCAGCTCATCAATTTACTGTTCATATTGGTGCACTTAGGCATCCATATTCTCCTATTCGTTCCCTGCAACTCATTCATGGTTTATCGGCGAGCTACTCCAAACCTGAAACCTGCCAATGGTGGCGGCTTTACCGAGACCCATATTGCAAATGGTATATATCTCATTCTTCATCATCGTCCATCCTACTCTTTTTCTTCCCGTCAGAGCATTGGTCTCCCCCAAAAGAGCTTCCCAAGCAGGTCTTTCCTTTTTTTTTTCCCCCTCCAGATAAATTGACACCCTATTCGTTCTTTATCCCACATTCGTTTCCAAGGTCTTCATTGATTGAAGCCAGTCCTTCATCGCTCTTTTTGACGGACTATTCTAGCTTTGCAGCAGCTCATGTTCGCTTTATCAAAAGTCTTCTGATCGATTTAAACATCAACCATGTCTTTCATCATCAAGTCTACTGCTCTCTTTGGAGCCCTTTCCTTTCTTTCCAAGGTTTCCGCCCACGGTACAGTGCAAGGTATTGTCGCCGGTGGTGTCTGGTATTCTGGGTACAGTCCGAGCTTCCAATTCCAGAATCCTCCTCCCGTTGTGGCTGGATGGAGTGCTCCAGAGGATCTCGACAACGGTTTCGTCAGTGACTACACTAGTCCTGACATTATCTGCCACAAGGGAGCCACTCCTGGCGGGGCGTATGTCACTGTCGCCGCTGGAGACGCCGTCGAACTTCAATGGACGATCTGGCCTGAATCTCACCATGGCCCTATGCTCGACTATCTCGCATCCTGCGGTGATGACTGCACAACGGTCGACAAAACCAAGCTGCTCTTCAACAAAATTGATGAGGCCGGCCTCGTCGATGGCAGCGATCCTCCAGGCCACTGGGCCTCGGATGATATGATTGCAAACAACAACTCCTGGGTCGTCACCATCCCATCCAGCATCGCACCCGGCAAATACGTACTTCGCCACGAAACTATCGCCTTGCACTCGGCCTTTGATGTCGGCGGAGCCCAGAATTATCCTCAATGCATCAACTTGGAAATCACGGGCTCTGGCACCAACTCACTCTCTACTGGTACCTTGGGAACCGAGCTCTACAACGCCGAGGACCCAGGTCTCTTCATCAACATCTACCAGGAACTGACCTCGTACGTCATCCCTGGCCCTGCCCTGATGGACGGATCTTCCTCTGAATCTCAACCGCCCGTTTCAGTGACGACATCCGCCTCTTCCTCCACCACTACCAAACCCTCCGCTGTTTCCCTCACGGCTCCATACTCCAATAGCACCACCACATCCACCAAGATCGCCATCACAGCCAAGCCCACCAAGCCCGCCGCCCCAATTGTCACTCCCTCCGACGACGTCTCCCCATCCCCAGTCGTCGAACCCACTCCGGTTGAGAGCCCCGAACCCGTCGAGAACCCTTCAACCCCAAGTCCGAGTGAAGTCGCCTCCACCGGCGCCACAGGAACCAGTCCGGTGTCCTTCACCAGCACCATCACCGGCCGCATTGGGAAGTCCACCAAATTCATCTGCTACATTGAGGAATAAATCGCAGTTCCTCGCCATCACGAGGTCTTGTCACTCTTCCGGGTACGCAGCATCTCAATTTTCTTTTTTTGGTGGGAAGATGATGAATGGTATCTCAGTTCTCAAAGCGAAACAAACTCGAAACCCTCGCCGCCCATGAATCTTGGTTACGGCTGCTGTGGTTTGGCACCGCATTTCCGATTCAATTCTCCAGTGTACTTTTTTAGATTTATTTTTCAGTTCTTGTATTATTTATCTCCACTAGCACGCTAGCACACAAAAGCATATCGGTGAGAGGACACCGAAGGCGATATATAACACGAGACTCAATACATGTCATTCACAGCGGGGAACATCCCCTGGGATTCTTCGATCCTTTTGGCCACTCTCTACCACCTATTATCTTTCTGTGCGAAGTTATGTTCGGGCTTGTTCAAATCCACCTCTTGACCCATCTTCAACTTTCCAAAACACTTCTTCCACAACTCACTTTCCTCGCCCAGAAAATACGTCAGATCCACCTGATGCATTCCGGCTTCCTCCCTATCCTCGGACGTGCCACTCCATAAACTTTCGAGCTGCGCAATGACATTCGCCAACCCAAACGCCTTGCCTACACTCTGCGTCGTCCCGGCCTCCAACATCACATGTACCACATGGATATGAAAATGATAATAGGTCGGTTGATAATGTACGTAGCACTTGATTTCATCAGCCTCCATTTCTCCAGGGAATACCTTCGTCACAACCGCGTTGACGATCTGGTCACGGACGTGTTTTAGCCAGGGGACATGTTTGCGGCGCAAGTCGCGTAAAGACCAGATATCGCGCCGTTGAACCAGGGCGAGTAAGTGCATGCCTTGCACGCTTTTGCGATCCCAGTTTAGATCGGGCAGGAGCAAGAAACCAGTACTGGAGGGGGAGGGAGAGGCCGAGTCATCCCACTCAATGCGGGCGATAATGTCTTCTTGCTCGGTGATCCCGTTGAGGATGTTGTAGACCCAGTCGAGACGGCCCAGAGCGCGTTGACTAGTCATGTACGGACGGATATGGGCGGAGTAGATGGCAGGGGTCTCGGTGACCATGCGCACGCGCTGGGCGGAGTATTTGCGGATATGTTGAGGGGTACATGGGTAGATGAGGTTGAGTTTTAGGTCGGGGATTTCTGGATTTGGTGTTGTTGGTGGGGTGCTGGTGGTCGTGGTCGTGAAGGACGGCTTGATGGACCGGTTCGCCATGTACCAGCGGTAGATATCGTTGGCGCCCAAGTTGCTGGTATTGGTCAGAGAGTCGAGGAGAGATGAGACGAGGGCTGGTTCGCTGGGAAAAGCTGCTCGTTCCAGTGTGATGAGGGCGGGTTGAGAGGCGATGGTGCCCAAGAGGGAAATGCGGCGGCCATTTTGATCTGGGTTGTGGATTATATTTGTGAGACTAATGCTCTATCATTGTCCTGTGAGACTGTCCGACACACCTTGATTGAGCACCTTTTCAAGTCGGAATTGAGGCACCAGTGCTTCGGCCTCGGATTTTGTTTCCGGTTGAGATGCCATTCTGAATGGGAGTCAACTCTAGCGTGGAGACGAGGAGGGGTGGTCATCGGGTTGGTATGAGGTGGTTGGTTGGCGGAGTTCGAGATTGCACAAGGCCGAGACCTTGGGTGATGTTAAAGGGCTCGTTCGTGATATCTGGTCGATGATGAGACGGTAGAATCTCCTAGATCTTAAGTTTCAATATCAAACGTAGTACACTCCGGGGTTTGCCTTTGGATACTGTGGAGGAAGCATTATATTCAACATGCCAGTCTCCAATGACCGGTCCGTGAGGATTAGAGCCAATGGTGAGAGAATTCTCCGCCGAGCTCGAACTTTGTGCCGTCTGTACTGTAGGTGCCCACACGGTTTGGGGGTGGTGGGCAGCTAAGACTCGGCCGGGCCTTGGCAAGTTTGTGGATTTTTGCAAAATAATATTGATGTCGAAATGCCCATCCCCTTTTATCACTACTGTACAAATTCTTCCAAATCTCACTCATTTTAAAAGAGGAATAATCCAATTCGGCAGTCACGACGTGCTTTTGGATCTCTGGACATATGTAAATCAACAAAATCATGATTGGAAACGATGCGTACAGAGCCTCGATATTGATCATACACCGAAGAAAACCAAGTTCACAACGACCTTGCTTCTGAGCGCATCAGAGCCGCCTTCCGAAGAACTCAAGTTGCGAAAACAGCTTCAAAGGAGAAGTCAAGATGGATCAGTCGGAGGCGGCTGGGCCGATATTGCTGATGCCCATGTCCATGTCCAAACGATCCACCACAGAGGAGTTGAAGATTGTGGAATGGGGTTGTACAACGATCAAAGATATGGGTGAGGCTATAAGTCCGAGAATCCGCTCGAACATTGTAGTATGCATCGAGTCGATATATTCATATCTCGTTCTCGCTATCAATATTGCTTTCTCTGTTCTTTTCAGCTGGATTGTCACTCGTTGCCTTTGGCAGCCCCAATCCAGTATCTCCAGCGCCTCTATCTTACTGACTCACCCCTGATATATCATCCCAAACAAAATCATGGTGTGCGCTCTCTCCATTGCCACGAAAGCAGACCACTTTCACATCTCGCTCTCAAAGTTTATTGCGAAGTTCGAGAGCATAGGCGAAGACGACGCCAAGTCACTCGCATTCCTCCTGCTGCAGAATCTCCGCTTCACACTCGACGTACGCCATCCCATGAAAGGGTTAGCAGGAGATCACACAGAAATGAACGTCACGGCAGAAGGTCAGCTCGGTGGTATTTCGAAAGCTAATGGGTCTGTGAAAAGGGTAAGCTTTGCAGCTAACCAGCAAGAGACTATTAACTACGGCGGCGCAGATGGCGGACGCATATTTCCTCCATACGCCCAGACAAATCTGGCTTGCCGCCAGATGGTGGTCAACAAAGAGCTTATCGGGGTATATCTGGAACCAAGCTCGCCGATCTTCCATCTTGTCAAGCAGATATAATATTCACACCAATATTCATGCTCACAATCTCCGCATGTGCGAAACTACTCGAATCCTATCGCTCGTTAGAAGACTCCACCCAACCTCAGGAGATCAAGGCGTATCAGCAAGAAATTAACCGACTGTCAACACCCGGAGAAGTTGGATATCGTGGCATTCGTGAGGACGAAGGCTGCAGACAAGAGAGAAGGTGACAGGAGTAATTCAGAAAAGGCGCTCCAAAGGGCAAGCATGAAAGCCCGAGGCCGGAGAAAGGTGGGGAATGTCTTTTGAGCCTCACCTGTGGAGCTGTCCTAGCGTAGTGGAGAAGCAGTGTAGCGGGGTGCTAGGTACTTGGATTATGTAATGAAGCATGCCGTTATCACAGCGCACAGGCAGGCAAGAAGCAAGGAGAACAGGGGGTCAAGAGACGCGAGTGACCAGAGAGTCTTGGAGTCCATGGAGTTCTCTCTGGTGGTTCGTCTTTGCGATGAGATTTATAGTCTATACAGAGGAAGCAAGCGAGTCAACTTTCGTGTGTGGTTGCTCCACGGTCCTGACACCGACATCCTCCCTGCGTGATAGACACTCAGGGGCTAAACCGTTCATCACCTTTACAATAGAAATCTCTATCCTCGTTCCTACACCCGGCATAGGTGCAACCCGGTCACCACCTTTCGGTAGACATTTCGCCTCCTTTTGCGGCATTGGTGTACGAACTTTGCAGGTCGATGATGAATTTCTTACGAATGCCGTCCTTCACGTCCACGCGGGGGCAATAGCTGGTCATGCCCTTGCTGCGAACATTCTTCAGGACGCGCACCCATAACTGCGCTGTGGCATCGACACCCAGAGTCCAAGATTGGCTGGATAAGTCGAAGACGAACACGAGATTGAGAACGTCTTGCAACATGGCACCTCGCCAGATAAATTCGTCGGGCACGTAGGTCGGGACCCCATCAACCGAGATCTTCACGGCGCCTCCAAATTGGACCTTGGGACCGGTCGCAGTGACGATGATGTCGGCATCGAGGTCATATCCAGAGTGGAGCTTGATGCCCGTTTCTGTCACCGTGTCGATGGTGTCGGTGACGACACAGGCTTTGCCCTTTCGGAGACATTCAAAGAAGTCACCTCCCGCGAAACCGTCAAGAAGAGGGTGTTATTTTGAACACCGTGCGCTTGACTCACCGGGAGTGATACGCATTCTTTGCTGCCAAGGGTTGTATTTGGGTTTGAAATGAGGGTCACAAGGGAGATGCTCGTGTAGTTGCCGTTCGGTGTTCTTGCGAAGGAAACGGATCATCCGTTCGGGGAACCACCAGCAGAGCACGATGGCTCTCGCATAATACATCATTCGGATCATAGGATTCGCCCGCTTGAGCGGAATTCATCTCTTAAGGAGTGTGACGAGCGGGTCGACGACAGGAATGTGGACGAGGTATCCGCGTGATCGCTGCAGCATGGTGATTGACTTGACCTTCTCGGCCATGCTAGGAAGAAGGGTCACCGCAGTGGCGCCACTACCGATGATCACCACCATTTTGTCGGCATAATCAAGGTCCTCTGGCCAAAACTGGGGATGGACGACCGTGCCCTTAAAGTTTTCGATTCCTTCAATCGCAGGGCTGAGCCCACGCTTGTAGTCGTAATAGCCCGTGCCGAGCAAGACGTGGCAGCTCCGGTGACTTCTATTTCAAGTTTCCAATGTTGACATGGCGACGGCCAATCCATCGATACAACCATATGTCCGAATTGAAATGCTGGTCGATCCCATGTTCAGTGGCGGCGTTTCCGAGATAGCCAAGAATGGCTTTTGCTTCTGCAATGGCGCGATCATGTTGCCAGTTCCCAAGGGAGGCCAGTGGTGAAAAGATCCGAATCTGATCTGATTCCGGGGAATTTGAACAGGCTTCCATGTCCCCCCAACTGATTTCTCTCGTCTAAAATGGCATACGAGTAATCGGCGAGACTTTGTTATAGGTGATACGCGGCATTAATGCCACTAATTCCGGCGCCGACGATAATGACATCGAAGCTATTCTTCTCCATGACGAGAAGGTTCCGCGGGGGCCAGGGGGGCCGGGGCCGGGCCGTATATCGTAGAGGTTGACACAGCACTCTACAAGTGATGTGAACGCCTCCCTATCCTTACCGGCCACCAATCAGGTCAACGAGTCGGCCCAGCGCAGAAGAACGGGAACTGATTTGGGTGGCCATGGAACTACACTTCTGCGTCCGAGTTGAATGATTGCCGGAGGAGGCGAGGATGATGGACACGAGAATATCAAAAAGGAACTCTTCTCAACCATTTTAGGATCAAGGCTTCGACTAGAGTTATGTTTCTCCTATGAAATATGACCGGGAGATATGAGATTCCTGGCTTTCGAACTATACAAGAGCCTCATCTTGCCCTTCTGGGGCGTTTCGGACTGTGCCAATTGCATAAAGTCTATTGAAGCTCTTCGATCCATCTTTGAGTCGTACGTCGAACGTGGAGATCTAGTTGGTGCAGATATGACACGGAAATTCCTCTAGATGGACATGACTCGTGCTCGTCGATACGCCAATCACAAAGGGGGTCGGAAGTATGGTCCAGAGGCTGTGAAATTGGACAGGTGAGCTGAAGAGGACATTGGCGGCGAGAGGAGAGTTGAAGAAGAAGCCAGTGACATCTTCAAAGGGTATTGGCAGAGAGTGTATTGGGTCAGAGAAATATCTCTAGCTGGAGTAGGGATGGTCCGGGGCGAAGAACAAGCATCTGCAACAGGGTTTAAGATGACGCAGTTTAGAGAATCAACTTCTGGCTTCGGCCGTCTCCCCTTCATGCCGGGGACTGGCCTTGGTGAGAGGATTTTCCATGGATGGCTTGGGCGAACGATATCCATTCTTCGATGCCCTTCACATATGGATCTTCCAAAGCTGGTAACCTATCGTGGCCCCAGACAATCACCTCGTCAAAGGAAGAGACCTGTTCAAGTATTTGGACGGGTTCTGGAGGCTCATCTTCTTCGTCTTGAACCTCAATATTTTCGTCTACTGCGGTGTACGTGGGCCTAGCGGAAGTTTTGGTTGACTGAGATAGATATCGTTCCGTGGATTTCGCCACAACACCTACGTGTGGCCGTCGATAAACATGATCGTCAGAGAGTGTGAAGGGGCGGACCTTGATATCCCTCAGGTAATTTCATGACTCTCCCACGTAGCTTTCGGCCTCGAAAATACGAAGTTTGCGTACCATCTACAACAAATCTGTCAGCAAACTATTCGAGGAAAACGGAAAAATGAACATGAAAAAGAGTCATGTCGTCAGGCACAGACCTCTATGAAGTTGAGGGGACCAATATCTCTTGGTCACTTTCGCCGGACCATCGTGATGAATGCAGCAAGGTAGGATATTGGTGGTGCATTTATCAGCAGAGCCCGAAGAATGTTGGAGGGCAAGCATGATGTCAGGCTGGGGAAATATATGCTGACAATGGCAATTCGTTCGTGGAGTAAGTTCAGAACTTCAATTGAGACGCGTCGCGACGCAGACGCATCGGACATACCGCAGCATAACCCGAACAGATTAGATAAGATGTAGACGTGTACTATCGTTATAGCGGCGCAAAAAGAATGTCCGAGCTAACTAAGCCTCTCTGCTGGAGTGGCCGCTTTACTCTAGAGACCCTGCCAGAAAATCCACCAGCACTACCAATCAGATCATATATGCATTGACTGCTACTATGGGGCTGACGAGCATCATCATACTTTCAGGTAACCCGGTTCGCGATACTCTCCATGGACTCGGTGGGTGCAAAGACCTGGTCGAACGAAGGGTCGTCAGGTACAAAAGAGACACAACCCTATTCGAAAATAAAAAATGTCATCGTCATCATCCAGCTGTCACCCTGCAGCTTTCCGATCCTAGCCCTGACCGGGACACGGAATTTGGGGCTTGTTGCTGGCCGACCTGGTCGGATATCATGTCATGGTGAAGCATAGGGTGTAGCAGATTTGCAAAAATCAATCTGGAACAGTTGATCCCAGACGCGTGCTGCTTGACCGCAAAGAAGCTTTCGTGGAAGCGAGTTAACCGATTTTCATATCATTGTGCCCCACCAATTCCCTGAGCTTTGTCGAATGCCCTCACTAGGTGTAATAGGTTCGGCGGGTGCAGGGGATGGTGCATTCTGCGTCTCTACCAGGCTGCCGTCCCAAGTGGACTCGCGTAGATATATATATACCCAGCATTCACGCCATGGAACTTTCCTAATTCTTATTATGTTCCGGTGCAGTCTTTCAATTTTCGTCTCAATGCCGCTTATCTCATTCGTTGCTTGTCACTAGGAAACATACTGTCGTTTGCGTGCTGTAGCCTTTCTCCCCCTTTCTGTTTTTGCGCTATGTCTTCCTTAGTGACCTCTGCCCTTGACCGAATACGCAGTTATGCTGGTGGAGTCGTGTGGGAACCTCTTGTGAAGACATCTCGACAACTCATCTTGTCCTTGATATCACAGATTAAGGTCGGGCGCCTTACCGTGGTGGAGAGAGATGGAACACAAACAACCTGTGGGAAAGTGACGGGAGATCTCATCCATCCGCAGGCGCAGCTGCGTGTAGTCCGCGATCCGTTTTGGTTGCGTCTGGCATTATTCGCAGACATGGTTCGCGATGTAGCTCTCATTTCCAACGCGTAGCCAACTAAGATTCGATCCAGGGTTTCGCCGAGTCATTCATGCTTGGTGAGGTTGAATGTCCCGACTTAACGGCATTTTTCCAAGTGAGCTAGGATCGGAATTGTTGGATGATCAATACGGTTGACGTGAGCACAGGTCTTCATTTTGAATCGCAGCGAGCTGTTGAATGCGACGACGCTCATCTCCCACCTATCCTCCTCCACTAGCGCCCTCATGCGCCGGACGAACACCTTGACCAACGCCCAATTGAACATTAGCGCCCATTATGATATCAGCAATGAGATGTTTGCTGCCTTCCTTTCCAAAGATATGACATATTCGTGTCCCGTCTGGAAGCCGCTATCCTACCTAGAAGATGGCCAAAAGGACGAATCGTTGGAGGATGCACAGATGCGAAAACTGGACAGATTCATTGAAAACGCAAAGATCAAGAAACAAGACCATGTCCTGGAAATTGGCACAGGCTGGGGGAGTTTTGCCATGAGAGCGGTCCAAAGGACAGGATGCCGGATAACTTCCCTGACCCTCAGTCGGGAGCAAAAAGACCTCGCAGATCGACGAATAGCGGATGCAGGGCTGACCGAAAACATTGAGGTCCTTCTCTGCGACTATCGAGCTCTCCCGGTGCCTAAAGAAGGGCCATATGACAAGATTGTCAGTATTGAAATGATTGAAGCTGTGGGACGAGAATTTCTGGTAACATATTTTGAATGCATCCATAAGCTCCTCAAAACGAATGGCGGCATAGCCGTCTTCCAATGCATTACCATGCCCGAGTCGAGGTATGATGCATACGCGAAGGGCGAGGATTTTATCCGCAAATACATTTTCCCGGGGGGTCACCTACCGACAGTATCACAATTGGTCGAGTCAATCAACAGAGGGAGTAAGGGCCAGCTGATTGTTGATGCTGTTGAGAATATCGGTCCTCACTATGCCAAGGCATTGAGAATATGGCGAGAAAACTTTGAAAAGAATTTTGATGCGTGGATTCGGCCGGCGTTGTTAGCGGAACATGATGGTATGACCGAAAGCGATGTTTCTCTGTTTCGGAGGAAATGGGAGGTAGGCTCGTCATGCAATGAAGAGGAAAGTCCAGGAAGACTGACCGAGATTACCAGTATTATTTCACTTATTGCGAAGCAGGTTTCAATACCAAGACATTGGGTGATGTGATAATCACTGCAGGAAGAGAGGGTGCGATGGAAATGATGGAGGACATACCCCTTTAGCTCTCCCGCTAAGGCACCATACTGCCAGATCAATCTCATATTCCTTACTCTTCATCGGCGTTCAATGGCAGCAGGTCGAGCTGATCATTTCCCCCTCTTCTTTTTCTTCTCCGATTTCTGGGGCTTTTGTTGATCACCTGAGCCTCGCTGTGAATCTGTGGTAGTCCGTATCGGCCACTTCTTGGAATGCTCCCGCTCAAAGGCAGCCTTGTCCCTCCGGAAGAGCAGCATGCAGGCCCGAGCATCTTCTATGCTTGAATGTTCACCCTCTTGGATCTCAAAGCCGAGTAACTCTGACGCAAGGATCTTCAGACGCGGTGGATTGCCTCCTGTAAGCTTTCGGTAGGGTGGGTGACGAGATGTATCGCGGATATCTCGCTTTGGATGACCGAGCATCAAAGCTTCGAGGTCGTGTCGGATCGCATGACCAATGAGCACTCTGTCCTTGATAATTTTGGCAACATCTGCTTGCACTTCTTTCATTGATCGAGCATACTTCATGTGTTTGGGTGCAATGCCGCTGATAGGCGTTCTCCAATCCGTAACAGTCTCAAGAGGGACGACATAGGAATCGTACACTTGTTCGCCATTGTAGTTGACAATGCTGACACGAGCGAGTGCGGACTCTCTGTCTGGGTTGGGACCTACGCCTACCATTTCGCAGTCTATGGCCACATATCTGCCGACTTCGACGCTGTAGACATATTAATCTTAGATTGGCTGCAGGGAGGGGTGAGACTGACGACGGAGAGAGTCCTCCGTTCACATTCTCTGAAGATGCTCGGTCTGGAAATCGTGGACGCACTCCATCGTCATGATTTTCTAAATCTTGAATTGACCCGAGTTTTGTAGACGGAACACCTTTCTGAGCCATAGCCTTTTGTACTCGTTGCTTATTCCTCGGATTGGGGAGCTGCGCAGACAGCTGTGGCAGGGTGTCTCTAAACTGATCTCGTTTTCGTTTCAAGCCATTTTGCAAGGAAGGTTTGGGAGGAGGAGCATCGGGTTTGGAAGCTTCGAAGGTGGCCTGCAGTTTCTTCCAATTTGACGAAAGATTACTTTGGTCCATTGCCTGATGCAAGGGCCCAAATATAGTGAACAACTCGCAAAAGATGGAGAGAGCAAAGGAAATAAACCTTATGCTCCAGTGAAATGAATGCCCGAAGTTCTGCCAGGTTGCGCAAGGAACAACATTTTCCCGTTCCGAGATGACTTCCTTCTCCCTCAAGGCCAACACCTCATATTTCTTCGCCCCTTCTTGACAGCTTAGAGCACGGCATTTTCTTTCAGATTTTCGCATGGCGTAGGCTATCGATGTCAGTACAATGCAATTACTCTTTAACATGAATTTCCAGCTTCGTTGAACGATGTATGAGTTCCGTCATTCCATAGACAGGTACCCCGTTCAAATACCTCAAGGAGCACCTCGGAGAGCAGCCATTAAAGAACATCATACCAGGAGTCATGGACCTCAGAGAACTCTCTATGGTGGCCTCGGCTCAGCAAGCAGCAAATGTTTCGGACACTCAAAAAGCTCACTATTCCCCGCCGTGGGCCGACATGAGTATCATTGGTATTGCTGGCTCTTCTGGTTCAGGTAAAACAAGTCTGGCCGTGGAAATCATTCAGTCCCTGAACTTGCCTTGGGTCATTATTCTGTCCATTGATTCATTCTACAAGTCCTTAACGCCGGAACAAAATGCCCGGGCCCATCGGAACGAATACGACCTCGACTCCCCCGAGTCTATAGATTTCGACCTTCTCGTTGAGAAATTGATGGATCTGAAGCAAGGAAAGAGAACCGACATCCCGGTTTATTCATTTCAGCAGCACCAGAGACTGGACAAGACCATCTCGATCTATTCTCCGCATGTCGTTATTCTTGAAGGCATCTTGGCCTTGAATGACCCAAGGGTGTTCAACTTGCTGGACTTGAAGATCTATGTTGAAGCGGATGCAGATGTCTGTTTGTCCAGACGAATTGTTCGTGATGTCAGAGAACGAGGTCGTACCATTGAGGGTACTATCAAGCAATGGTTCAGCTACGTCAAGCCGGTCTTCCAACGCTACGTTGAGCCACAGAGGGAAATTGCCGATCTCATTGTCCCTCGTGGCATGCAGAACAAGATGGCCATTCAAATGATCGTCAATCAAACGCGACAGATGTTGAAGGAGAAGTCTATCAGGCACAATGCCGAATTGGAAAAGTTAGGCAAACAGGTCGAAGACTACACTCTCTCAGAGAACGCCATTATTCTTGCCGGCAAGCCACAGATTATCGGAGTCTCGACAATCCTCAGAAATCCCGTGACTTCTCAGGTGGACTTCATCTTCTATTTTGATAGATTGACAGCTCTTCTGATCGAAAAAGCTCTGGACTGTCACCACTACGTTTCTGCTGATGTTACAACACCTCACGGGTACAAATATTCTGGCCTCAAATCTGCCGGGAAAGTTTCGGCCGTGGTTATCCTCCGAGGTGGAAGTTGTATGGAGACTGGTCTTAAAAGAACCATTCCAGATTGTTTGACCGGTCGATTACTTATCCAATCCAACCTTCGCACAGGAGAGCCGGAGTTGCACTATTTGAAGTTGTTCCCCGATCTGGCAGAACATGAAACAGTGATGCTTCTTGACCCACAGATGTCTAGTGGTGGAGCTGCTCTCATGGCCGTCAAGGTTCTGGTGGATCATGGAGTCTCGGAAGAAAGAATTGTCTTTGTTACCTGTCTCGCAGGCGGACGAGGAATGAAGAGGTTGATGACCGTATTTCCCAAGATCAAAGTGGTGGCTGCCAATATTGTCGATGATTATGAGAAGAGATGGGTGGAAGAAAGATACCTTGGTTGTTAGCCAATCTCACAGTGTGGAGCGAGAAACTTCACGCAGTTAATCAGGAAATTCTGAATTCAAACGCCTACCTCCATACTTCGGTCCAAGAACAATACCTTGAACGCCCACAAAGGAATAGACAGAAGGTCCTGATTTCTTACTGGCCGGCAAGGAGGGAGCCCTGGGCCATGCAGTCGGGATGTCCATTCATAGCTGACCAGTCTCGAAGCGGAAAGGAGCTTGCGTACCAGAGACGAGATGGAGGGCCAAAGATCACAATTCCGGCCTTTTTCTTTCGACGAAATTCCTTTTCTTCAAATCAGATTTCAACGTATTCGATCTCGGTTTGCATGGTCCTCGACGGTCTTTACCGGTGCACATCCCTCTAAGACTGATGACCTGTTACGGATCTTGATAAACACCTAAAGACTTTTGCAATATAGTTGTCTTGTCTAAACTCGCCTTGGGCCCCAATTTCGATCTCGGTCTTTGTTTCAGCCAGTGTACCGGTAAGCGTCTGAAATCTTGATCAACCATGATAGGAGCTGATGCCTTGAAGAGAACCATTAATTATCACCAGTTGCTCCTCGCTACAGGCTAGGTGGAAGCAAATACACTATCTCCGAATTATACACAACTCTCTGTACGCGTTGGTGGATGGCCAGGTGGACGGCCAAAACAGGGAGAGGTGGATTGGCCAATCCCATCCTAGCCACGAAGCCATAGAAAAGACGCAGAATGAGGCCTCTGGAAAAGGCGCGACTTATGCGATCCCAAAGGAAAATCACACTGGAAACATAAATGCCAGGGTCGTGTCCTCGGCAAAAGGAGGTGTTGCACCAAGGGCGGCGAAGCCATCGTCGACCAAAACTGGTTTGGCTCGGAATTCTAACCCATGACTGGCTCGAGACGTTGCCACCTGTGCCTACAATTGCGATCTGCACATTACATTGCTGTGCGGTTGGGGCGACTGCGCCGTAGTCAACAATCTAAAGCAATTTTGCGAGTGCCAATACAGAGGCTGCAGTGTTTCGAAAGTGAATGGCTGTAAGCTAAGCGACTTTCAAAAAACGAGGATAGGGGGCTAATTTGATTGAAGCACGACGAGGACAGAAAGCTGTTGGAAGAAGAGTGCGAGTAGCTGATGGAGGAGCGCAAGTTATTAGAAGCGGAACGCGCACCTGAATGGGAGTTAGGACCTGCGCATCGCATGCTTGAGGAATTTGGGCCAGCTTGTCACTACCAAACCATAGCTGAGAGTTAGCAAAGAGAGTAGAACAGTGCCGCTGAAGGTCATCCCAGGGTGAATCGCTCCAGTACTTGAGACGGAGTGAGTCGAGAGGATACTATAGTGGGAGAGTAGTTGGTTGGTTTCTTCTGGGCTCACCATTCTCATAGGGCATCCTAGGAGCAGGAAAATGGTATGAAAACAAGTATCGACAAAGTCGAAGCTGGTAAAAATGGAGCTTGGACCTGGTTATAGCAACTGCGTAGATAAGCTAAAACTCCACCGTACAAGTTACTGTCGGATATTCAGTAGACCAATGCAATACGACGCTTCAATCCATCGACGCGGCCTCATCGTGCCTGCGGCTCTTGTGCTTCGTTCTGCAACCACAAAACAACTCATAAAATTGATATTTCCGATCCCGGCACAACAATCAAACTGACCTCGAGCCTCTGATATTGACTGCAATTTCTCAGACCACTTGGGTTTTTCGCGGGAGCTCAAACTCTTAACTGACTGCCGATTGACAATCAATTATCAACCTCTTACGCAGATCACCATCATGGTAAGTTTTTGTGTTCTTTCAACTTCCTCTTTATCTCCAAGCACATGTCCTCTTTCCAGCTCCCTATCCAATACACCTCACAATCCCCATCTGAGAAAAAACAACACCCATGCTAACATTGTGACTACCTCAGTCACTCCGCATCGCCCCCGCCTCAGGGCACCCGGTCAGCACCAGCAACACAAGCACCAACAAACTGCTCCCGTCCAACAAATCCAACGATCAAACAACACCGGACCGCGGGGCTCCCTCGGCTCCAGGCCTCCCCGACACATTACGTTCCTCACACGCACACGACAACGGCATCAAATCCACCCACCCACTCGAAACACGCCTGGCCAACTGGACCGCAACACAAGAGTCGACGAGGATGAACCTGTTACGGCGGAACTTTGGCATCGCGGAGCCGCTGCGTCGGGGCATGGAGCTGAAGATGGTGCGGGAAGCAGATTCGTTTAGGCCGAGCGTGTTGGGGGCTCCGAGTCGGGTGCACGAGGAAATTTTGACAGGACGGGATACAGAGATTACGTGGGAAGATGTGTACCAGGGGCAAGATGGATTGAGAGGCGCGATGGACCGGGGTATCGGTGAAATCGGCGCCGGGTGGTTGGATGAGATAGAGAAGAAGGTAGGAATGGGCAAGTGGTAAGGTTTGAGGGTGCTGGTAAAGAAGCACTGGTGTTGGAAGAGTTGGTTCGGGGATGCCATGTCGTGATGCTGAGTCTCACTGTCAGGGAAAATTGAACTGAAGAGACCTGTCGCGCCTAGATTTCGATACGGAAAAGACATGGTGATATGACTACAATCAACACCCTCGCGGGCCATTCATCACCGGCGCCTCTCCTTGGATTTCACGGGAATTGTTCCCGCCCAAAAATTACGGGAACAGACACACCCAGACAACTCAACACGTCAAGAGAATTCATTGTCTGCCAATGGGGAAAGGAAAAGGACAAGGTTCAGTTCATAGAAATTAAGAGGATTCGATGGACTAGCCGAATTAATGAACTTGTACCAACAACACAATCGCAACCCCGTCAGATTCGAACAGAAGACGAGAGCCAGGAAGTGAAGACACGAAGATTGTAAAATGATATTTCAGCCTGTATATTCTCCGAGCAACGATGCAAAATCATGCTTTGCTTCCCTGCTCTTGTCATCATCGGACCCGATCATCGCCATCCCCAGCATTGCTTTTTGCCTCCAGACTTCTTCAAGAGCCCATATATACACAGAACTTGACTCTTCTCAACCTTGCTCGAATGGATAGATCATCTCATGCCGCTTCGAGTGCTTTCCTTTCCCTCTCGTGAATTCTTCTTCATCTTTCCTCCAAAGGGTATCTATTTCTCTCCCCCCAAAAAAGAGACAGTCGATCTACAAAACACAGCAGAGACGAACCCAGCCTAACAACATGCCATTCAATCGAATACAAAAGCCGGCTGGGGGAAGGAACAATAAATCTGCATCAACACAAAACTCCGGAAAACTGATCCCACCATACCAGGGACGCACGCCATCCCAGAAGGGTCAAATTATCCACCCACCAACGCCGCGCCGGTTTGGGAGGGAAGGAAAAAAAAAGGCCCTAAGGATTTGAAGCATGAGCGAAGAATTTCCCACGCTTGCGTGCTTCTCGGTGAGAAGACTCGTTTAATGGAGAAGGCTCATATGCTCAATGATCTCCACAGTCCAGAGATGTTTTTATCTTGAAGGATTGCCTTGGTGTTGAAATATGTCACATAATGATACAACGACATCCAGGACTTCTTCCCTCGGCTTCTCGGTTGGTTGAGTAGTTTGACTTGGGTCCCTTGGTATCTTCTTCCTCAACATAATCTTGGGGTTTGATTGTCATATGGAGGACGTTGGGAGATTCGGTGCTGAATTTATAATCTGTGCGCGTTTCCATGTTAGCATTCCGGAACGCCAGAGCACATGATCAATCCGACATGTAGGTTAGATTTACCTTTTAACGGCGCTTTATCATCTAATAACCTGCCCATACTGATCAGTCGAATGTAATTGGGACTGGAAGGTCTGGCCTCCCATTCTTCCCGCCATTCGCGCAAGATAAGTTCCTTCAACTTGTAAACACTTAGATTGAACGGATCATTTGCCGGAATGTCAACATTCCGTTTGGTCAAGTATTTACCGTCCAACCTGAACGGATGTCGTGCGCCCGACGTAAGAAGTAAGGCTATCGTCAACGTTGGTCCTGCGGTCTCACCATCTTTGGCCGGAACTACGGGTGAATCCGATGAAGGGCCGATGGCCGTGGTATATATACTCGTTCCTGACTGAGGATTGCCGACTGTAGAAGGTGGAGGTGGAGGAGGGTTCATTGACTGATCAATGGCCGTACTTGTGTCGGTCCTTGCAGGTCTAGCATGCGATGGCGCCGAGAACTCGGTGGCCCCGTTATTAGCGGGAGGGGAGGATGAAGGATTTTGCTGGGAAGTAGAGGCAAGACTCGACATCTCGACCGGCGTGGGTGACGGTAGTTCTTGTTGCGCACGATGTTGTTGCTGAGGAATATCTTGGGGAGAGGAGGAAGCAGGGTCTGGCTGGGGCTGATTCGTGGCAGTGGCAGTGGTCGCACTCATTGCTCCCGAGGAAGTAGGAGGATTCCTACGAGTAGAGGAAGGGGAGGAGCGAGAGAAGTTGAGGTATTGAGACTGAGGAGCTCTGGAGGAGGCGGCACAGAGCATGAGGCGTTTGCGTGTATTGTGTATATGATCGTGGGTGAATTAAATGACGGAAGAAGGTATGGCTGCGCCAAGTTGGCAGAGAACAAGATATCGATGCGAGATACGAAGTGTCGTGAGATGTCAAGAAACGGGAATGGAAAGCAGAGGTGGCAAAAAGGTGGGAGACGATGGAAGCGGAGGTCGACACACAGAGCGGCCACCCGGTTTAGAAGCTTGTGGTGCAACTGTTGCAGTCTTGCAGATGGTCTGAAGTCTGATGTCTGATGTGGCCTAGTTGCAGTCGCAGATGGGCTGCTAGTTCGAGAAATCGTAGGAGGGAGGACAGAATTGGGGATTAATGCTGAGATTGAGAGTTCAACCAAAAGAAGAAAACATAGTGACTTATGTCATACATAGCATTGTGTCTGTTGTTAGATGCCGGATGCTTGAGAGGACGTTCTGGTGGGTGATGCCTCCTGTGAAAACTCACGGTCAGGACTCACCCAACCTGTGCTCGAATAGGCGCGGCCCTCGGGTCTTTACCCAGGTTCACTTTGGCCCCTAGAGAATCCTATCTGCATAGTCTCGTAATCAAGGCCCAGGGGAAGGTCCAACCAATGCTGCTCGGTTCCAGCTCCCGTACTGCATATTTGCTACAGCACGTCATCATGTACCTTTAACCACTTTTTTCCTGGTGAGGGTACTTCAGGTACCAGGTACTCAGGTACCAATACTCAGGTCCAGAACCTGCATGCCTAAGTCTTTCATGACCATCCATCATACTTGCTCACATCCTCCATCTTCACACCCTGCTTCTCCTGCTTCACCCCCAGCAATCTCACATGCCCGATCCCGCCTCCATCTGTCTGGTCTTTACTCTTCCATCCCTCCAATCGAGATTGAAGCTCCCTAACCACCTCTCCATCATTCTTCACCAGTAGAGCAACAGCGTCATACCCTCCAGCACCGGGCGCAACGCCCCCGACCACCCCAGGCAATGACGTACAGAAATCCAACAGCTCAGTAATAACAGGTGGCTCGATGGGCACCCCAGACTCGCTCGACATCTCTCGCACCAGACTGCGAATCGTGAGAATGATATCTCCCAGCCGCCTGAAACCGTCATCATCTTCTTTCGCAGTCCCCTCGATTTCCGCCAGCCGACATAGTTCTGTGCAGAGTTCGTCGGTCCTTTGCTGCAGAGTATTCCACAGCAAATTGGCCGTCTGTTGTTTCTCTTTCCGCCATTGCAGAACCTTCCGCACCATCCCAGGCGTCTCCGAGCCACAGTCGACATCGCACATGATCAAGAGCAGGCTTTCTGGGATTCGCACCGCCTGGCTCGCCACTTCCACGTCCCATTTACGTTCTAATTCGAGATCGTCCACGCATCGATGAAGTCGTTCGCTGAACCCAACACTCGTAGCATCCCCCACTGCTTCCAAGATCGTCGGCGTGAATCTTCGGTACAGGCAGGAACCATATACTGCAGCAGCCACGTCGAACCCAGACCCAACTTTCCCCTGAGCCGCGCAATGAGCCGCCTGAGCCAAATTGTGGATCGTCGTATGGTGCAATGGGGACTCAACTCCAGTCTTTCTTGCGTAAAAGACAAGCAGCGCAGAGACCAGGGCCGTGACCAGTGCAGCAGATGATCCCAATCCTGTCTTATGGGCATCGCTCAATTTGACCCCGAAGCTTGTGAACTCGGACTGTGATTGTGGCCTCTCCTGAGACCTCGATCCCCACTCCCCCGAAATAGGTTGAGGTTGAGAATAATAATCGTCGTCGGCGAGAATGCTGACTTTGACCGCACTCATCCATACATCTCCAGCGAGATGTGAGAGATACGTCAAGACATATCTCAGCGTCGTCTCGACGAACTTATTCGAGCTCCGCGTGAACCCTTCCTGACCCAGAACTTGTTCGACGGTCACGACCGCATGCTCATCCCCGCCGACTGTCGTGGAAATAGCATATAGCCACTTCGCGTCGAGAAATTGTGGTGATTGAACCAATATATGGGAGCACGGGCGCTTCAACGTGGCGGGTACGTTCTTATCCAATGCCTCAACGTGCACGTGAATGCGGGCATTCAAACCAAAGACGAGGCCCGTGTGCTGGCGATCGAGGACCAGAAAGCCGCCGGCGAAGAGAACTTTGCCTGGCGCCGAAACGGCCACTGCTGGAAGAGACATCGGAAAACAAAAAGACCAAGCGGGATGGAGGAAAACCGGCGGGATGAAGACCATGGGCGGTGGTAAGAATTTTCCTTGGCACATTTCTACGACGAATCGAGCCAGGTCGATCAAGTCACAAATTACTCTATCATTGCCCAGGGACTCGTATACCCAACGTAAGTTTCCGGGAACGCATTAAATGTCCATTCATATATTCCCATTCCAATCGCCCAATGTCCCTTTTTACTCCACGCTCATGCACGCTTCACAAAAGTATGCCTCGACATGCCGCCTATACTCTTCTTCCAAAGGGCTGTAAATAACGATTTCATGACACTCTTCTCTTCTATTGGCCACGTTCAATTGCTTCCCCATTCTTCAACCTTACACATTCTGAGTGGGAACCTGCAAAGTCATCCCGTCACCCTCTTTGGCCGGTACTACACCTGTTCCCGGAAGTGGCGGACCCGTTCCCGAACGTCTTCTTCGTTCTCTCTCCGTCGGTCCAGATTCGATTTTGCTGAGCATTGTGCCAGTGTCGGTGCTCTTGCGGAATTTCATCCCATACATCCAGCTATCATCTTCATCACTTCCTAGCCAGTAGCTTCGGCCAATGCTGAGCATAATCCGGCCCAATTTTCCCGTCCAACCCTTGCCCTCGGGCTTCGATTCAGCAAATGGGTTCTCGGCCAAGTGGGGGTTGGGCGAGGCGCTTGTGTAGGAACTCGATTGGGTACCAGTAGAGACGACATGCTGACGGATCACCATCCGGGCAAATGCGAGCATGATAAGACAGAAATAGGCGCGGATCGTCCACAGAGTGATGATAACTCCAATGCTGTTCATGCTTTCCGTCCCCAAAACAGCATTTTGCAGAGCTCCATTGCCTCCGCCGCCTAATGGGGAGGAGGCCGGAACACCAGCGGCGACAGCATCTTGACCATCTCCAAAGCCTGATTGTGGCGTAGCAACGACCTCAACTCGGCTCGCATTGAGCTGAGGATCCGTGAATCCACTTGCATCATCCATCGTAGAAGCGCCAGGTTCCTTCTTGTCGGTCTGCTCCGTTTCATGCTGTGCCAGAACCAAGAACCACGTTAGAGCGAAAGCTATCGTGTATACTGCGTTGATAATGCTGTCGAGAACATAAAACCAAGCGAGGGCGAGGCATTGAAGAGGAGATTGTTTCCTGATATGAGGCGCGAGGTAGGCCGTAAGAATTAGAGCGATGACCGAGTAGACGTACATGCTGAGCTGAAAGGGCGATAGATGATATCCGGTCAACAGTGCAAGAATGCCGTAGAAACCGGCGAGTTTATTGATGAGAAGAGAGAGCGTAATCAGGCTGGCACCGGTTTGAAGGGTCATTGTGTAAAGGAATCTCTGCGAGCAGTCAGCTTGGAGGCAAAGGAGAGTTCGGATGCAATCTATGGCGCATACTTTTGGCCTTCCCAGGCGCAGGAGACGCGCCGAAATACCCATGATGACCGTAACTTATACAACAGGTTCAAATAACGGGAAAGAATACTATCCCAACGGTTATTCAAACAGCGTCACGCGAGAAAGAGAGTGATGGTGAAAGCGTCGTGGAGGCGGGAAATTAAAAATACGGAAAGAAGGCAGGGTCCTAGGCGGCAGCCCCGGGATCTGCGGATCAGATTTTACATACAAAACCGACAAAGCCGGTGTTCCCCTGCCTTAGTTATTTGCGTCATTCTGCACAAGGCTACACAAAAGCATAGCCAGTCAGACGTCTACAGAATAGGATACCAAAACAGTAACGGCATAATTGTTCAATCAAGCTCTATTTTGTCCGCACTTCATCGTCTAGGTAGAATACAATTTGTCTGGCCATTTGAAGGAAATCCTTCAAGGCTTCACCTCCCATGGTACTGTAAGTACCTTTCCGTCTTTGCCATCGGCAAAAATCTGGATTGGCTTATATTCTCCATCCACGCCTTTGCATCTCCTGCGCCCTCATGTCAATGCAGATTAGTGCTATTCTGTCCACCATTCAACCAAATGATCCGATATCAATAACCCGCAATTCATCCTGTCACTTAGTCGTACAAGCTGTCGTCGTTGCCAGCATCACCAAAGCCATTGCCATTGGCAGCATTTGCAGATTCTCCTGCGGATGGGAACTTGAAGAAAGCACTGCCACCACTTTGTTTCATGGCTTGTGCAAAGGCTTCGTAACGGCGGATTTCGACATCGCTGACTGATCGTCGAGCAGCCTGCATGGCCTCTTCGAAATGAGCCTTGGTCAGTTCGGGAACTGGGTCCTCAATATCATCTTCCATGGCGTCCTCTCCAGCGGCCTCACGTTCCTTCTGCTGTTCAATTTCGGCGGCGATTGATTGCTTGATGGCCAATTTGACTGCTCTCTGGGTTATAAAGCCCAAATCGGCACCAGAGAATCCGTGAGTCTTGCTGGCAATGTAGTCGATGTCCACATCAGGAGCCACGGGAGTCTTGCGGAGTTGTGCTCTGAGGATGGAGGCACGAGATGCTTCGTCTGGGAGGGGAACGTAGACCAGGGTATCAAGACGACCGGGTCGGCACAGAGCGTTATCAAGTTGCTCCGGTCTGTTAGTCGCACCAATGACGAAAACATTCTTCTTGGATGTCATGCCGTCCATTTCGGTGAGAAGTTGGTTGACCACACGGTCAGATGCGCCACCAGCATCACCAACGGAGCCACCACGAGACTTGGCGATTGAATCAAGTTCGTCAAGGAAGACGACGCAAGGCGCGGCTGCTCGGGCTTTGTCGAAAATGTCGCGAATGTTGCTCTCAGATTCACCAAACCACATACTCAACAGTTCAGGACCCTTGACGGAGATGAAGTTTGCCGCACATTCGTTGGCAACGGCTTTGGCAAGCATCGTCTTACCAGTACCTGGTGGGCCATAGAACAAAACACCGCGAGATGGTGAAAGACCGAACTTGAGGAATTTCTCGGGATGATCGACTGGGTATTGCACGGACTCGATAAGTTCGCGCTTGACATTCTCGAGACCACCGATGTCGTCCCAGCGAACGTTGGGGACTTCGACCACTGCAACTTCGCGAAGAGCAGACGGGTTGGAAACACCGAGAGCAAATCGGAAGTTTTCCATGGTTACACCAAGGGAATCCAAGACTTCGGCATCAATGGTGTCTTCATCCAAGTCGATCAGATCCATCTTCTCACGAATTTGCTGCATGGCAGCTTCCGAGCAGAGCGATGCGATATCAGAACCGACATAGCCGTGAGTCTCTGCCGCAATGGACTCGAGGTCGACATCCTCCGCAAGTTTCATGTTCTTGGTGTGGATTTGAAGAATCTCAAGACGACCGGTGGGATCTGGAATACCGATGTCGACTTCACGGTCGAAACGACCAAAACGTCGGAGAGCAGGGTCGATAGAGTTTGGACGATTGGTGGCGGCCATGACGACAACGTTGGAACGAGCTTTCATGCCGTCCATCAGAGTGAGGAGTTGTGACACCACACGTCGCTCGACCTCGCCGTTGGTCTTCTCTCGCTTGGGAGCAATAGAGTCAATTTCATCGATGAAGATGATGGCAGGGGAGTTCTTCTCGGCTTCCTCGAATGCTTTTCGCAGATTGGACTCTGATTCACCAGCCATCTTGGACATAATCTCAGGGCCATTGATCAGGAAGAAGAAAGCTCCCGTCTCGTTGGCGACAGCTCGTGCCATCAGAGTCTTACCGGTACCCGGAGGGCCGTACATGAGAATACCTCGGGGAGGCTTGATACCGATCGACTTGAACAGTTGAGGATGCCGGAGAGGCAACTCGACCAATTCACGAATTTGTGCCATCTGTTTTCGGCAGCCGCCGATGTCGTCGTATCCGACCTCGTTGAGGTTTCCTTCTTCATCCTCACGTTGAATAGGTTCACCTTCGCAATGGATGACTGTATCTTGCGCAACAATGCCATACTCGGGAGGATCTACCTCGACCACCTTGAACTCCACTTGTCGCATACTAGCTCGGACTGTGAAGAGATCGCCTTGTCGAACAGGTCTGTAGGCTTCGCGGAAGTACGGGGCAAGGAAGACATCGAAGAGAGAACCGGTCAAACCCTCAACAGTGTCGGCGATTGGGAGGACTGCTATACGCTTGGCCTACGGAAGAAGTTAGATATGCCGTGTTCGAACACGGACAAGAGTGGCACTTACGTATTTGATGTCAGGGCAGGGATGGACGGTAATGATATCGCCATGCTTGACTCTCAGGTTGTGGCGAACGACACGGTTGATGCGTGCGCTTCCATCGTCGAGATCATCATCGGCCAACACGATCAAGACGGTGTCTTTGCGCTTCTTTCCTTTGACAAGCACCGTGTCACCTCTGAAGAGCTGTAGCGTCTCCATGGTGTTGTTCGAAAGAGCAATGATGGAGTTGTCATCGTTGGTGGCATCCGTTACACTGGTATCATTTGTCAGCCTGAGAGTTGTCCCAAGTCAAAGTTTCTCCAACTTACATCAGTGAGTTTGGCTTCTTCTTTTTCTTCAAAATGGCTGTTGAGGTATCGAGTTCCTGGTGGGATGTTAGTTTCTTGTTCGTCGGAACAAAGGCTGTTGAGACTGGGAGGGGGCCGCACCTCTCTCTTCTCTGCGCCGGAGGCATCACTACAGAGTGCGTCAACAGATAGTCATGAATATTTTTTCAGATATACCACATACTGCAAGTTCACCTTCCCCTTGTGATGGGAATGATCGGGTTCTGCAGACATCTTTGTTGTCTGAGAAGAATGGATCTGAAGAGAGCGCCGGTGGATCTCGGCGGGTTTGGGGGGAAGTTGTGAGGTTCGATGTGTTCGGTATCCCGAAGACAAGTATCTGCCTTGAGATAGAGGTTCAAGAAAATCGGAAAATGATGGATAGATGTCAAGGAACTTCTGTGACGAAGAACCTTTCAAGTTGCGCGGGTGATGAAAAGTGAAGTGGTGAAAATAGAAAGTTGAAGCTGCTGGCGAGCCGTCTAAAGTGTAGATGTCCGCATGAGGGATGAGGCTTGGCAGCGTTTGAAATGACAAGTCAGACGCTGTCAAACCATCCACGTCGCCTGCTGCCGCCTGGCCAACGGCTTCGCCCATCCCCAAAAAGAATCAGCTGGAACTTTCTCATACGATTACGTTTTGGCCTAGCTGCTACACGCCTTCGTCATCTTGTATGCATTATTTATTGAGAGAAACAAACAATATCATAATCATCAACTTTTACAGTCGTCTCGCAGAGAATTGCATCGTGAAGGGACGATTGCAACATCCAATCTCTCCTTCCGCCACTTGGAATCTATGTAGGTGTTAACTACAGGGCCCAGCCGCGAGCTCGAGGTTGCTGGTGAGGTGCCCATTTATTCACAAGGTCTACCGTCACGTGGTATCACATGATGACATCACGTGTCATGTCTAGTACAACGTGGCCTACATGCTCTCTAGCTTGCAACGCTTTGCATTATTCGATGTATCTTATGTAAAACTCCTAGATAGTGAATGAATGAGGCACTTCTTCATGACTTGCAAGTAATCAATAAATAGGACAGCAATACTTTGCAGGTAATATTTCTGCGTTTCTCGACCAAATCCTTGACCGTAATCGACCATTACGGAAATCCGCTCTGCCTGCCGCTTTTGCTCCATATCTACAATTATTTCTCAAGTTTGTCTAGGGCTCGAACCAAACTAGGTTTTCTCAATTGCGCATTGCGCTGCTCCTCAGAACTCTCATCGGCTTCTTCCCCCGTAATCGGAACACCTTCGACCGGACTGCATACGTTCTCTGTCTCTTTGACTCCGCAGCGCTGCTGGACAGCAGCTGGAGCAGTGAGTTTACACTCTGTCGACATACCCTCTACAAGTCCAACACAAACCACTAAAAGCCACCCAACACCCCTTTACAAACCACCTCTCCAACAGTCTTCTGCAAAATGCCCACCTCGCAACCCAATGGGGGACCAGGTTCCGAAATCTCTATACCCGTCCCCATCTCCTTCACCAGTACGACCAACTCGCTTCCTCCGTCCTCCTCACAAGCCCTGATCGCCCATCTGCGCGCCACAGGAAACATTCCCGAACTTAGTACCCTGCTCGCCGACTCCTTGGCACGCACAGGCTGGACAGACCGCGTTCGCGCACTGTCTCTCGAACTCCTCCGGAATGGCACCTGCGATACATTCCCTGAGCTGATGTCCGAGGTGCTGAGGAGGGCAAAGATTCCCAAGTCGCAACAAACGAACGCCAAAAGCGGGGCGACTGGTTTGTCGGCATCTAAGACGACCGCAGCGAATGGTACGAGCATGCCCGCTGCGAACGGAATTAACGGCAACGGGGCAATTGCATTGAGTAAAGAATGGTCGGGTGGGCCAGATGGGCTGCCGGACGTGAGGATACCGGAAGTGACCGTGGAAGCTGCTGTGGAATTTTTGAAGGAGAAGATTAAAGATGTCGTTGAGCCCGTGGACGATGAGAGTGACTGAACCACTACCTAGACCGCCGTCTACGACGTCGTTAGCTCGACGGTGTTTCTTTGTCCGGGGGCGTGAAGAGTGATCAAACGCATATTGGTGATATTTGGCATAGCGAAAGGAGTTGGGTGACTGATTAGTACGGGATTGGGACAGATCATAGGACTTACACTTGGCACAATCGATATTGAATTGGATTTGGACCGTCGCTCTCTTGCTAGCATTACGAGACACCTCACGACCGGATGAGAGGCGTTATTCGGAACGGGAAGATGCGAATCATGAACGGTATTGCTATGAGGACGAAAATCTCGCCTTCCTCCCAAGGCTGGCAAATGAAATTGGCATGTTCGCTCCATCATACCGAAGAATACTTTAACAAATAAGCAATGAACAGTCAGATGGCTGCTCTGGATTCTTTTTCGTCTCATCATCTCTGGGTCCTCACATTTTGAAACTGTCACACCTGCACGGGGATTGACTTTCACAAAACCAGTATGTCTAGCAGCCCAAGGTATCCACCACATCTCTTTTCACGAACCCAAACTCCCAAGGAGATATACAGTTTGTTCAACAAGAAGCAATCGAATGGTCAGACAGGTTCCACATGCAACGCTGAGCTTTTGGCAGACATCGGTCTCACAGTACGCCGCCCGGTAGATTCTGAGCTGGCACGGTTCTTACACCCCCGGTGCCTGGGAGTCCTGTACCACCTCCGCCCGATCCTCCGGGTTTCGACCCTCCTGCGGCACTGGACATGTCCACTATTGGATTCGCCAGTTTCCGGAGCATAAACATGGGTTTTTTACCTTCTCGGTCCAGATCTTTGAACAGAGCTAATGGCTTCTCTTCAAGTCCCACACAGCGTTCTTGGTCGCCGTAAACAATATATAATGCATATTGCCGCCAGTCTGCTTGAATATTGTATTTTCGTAGTGCGGCTGGTAGAACTTTGTAGCATGGATCCTCAAGACCTACACGGAAAGATTTGAATATTTCGACCGAGGGAGCTTCGCCAGGAGTGTGACCCGTGGCAGCACTTGATGGGAGTTGAGGGGGCACCGAAGCAGACTGTTCTCGGGGAGGTACTAGAGTAGATGCGTTTGATATCGTGGAATTCGATGGGTTTAGCTTCGCGGAGACGGATTTGGCAGAGGTGGGAGGATCACGTTCAATAGTGACTTGATTGATTCGCGCGGCAGCATCATCAACACCGTCATATCTTGGGATGGCGCTGCTGCCTTCACGCTGATATGAACGAGGCGCAAGAGGTTGATGCTGGTACGGTAAAGGTGAGGTGGGCGAAGGTACTCCCGGAGAAGGATGCGGTAATACCCCACCTGACATTGACGCCGTTAGTGAGTTCGATGCCAGGTTGGCCGCTGCTGAAGGATCCAGCGAGGAGTTCTCTGTGAGGGTCCTACCCTCATGAATCGTGTTAGGTATGTGTGTAGGAGAATTGTTCTTGGGGGTCGAGCTTAGTCCCAGCTTTTTCGAGAACGTCCGTGTCAGGCTGGTCTTCTCCGGCACTGACTGTGTGGTAATGGGGGGAGAGACATCTTGCTGATACATTTCTGGGCTGATAGCGGCATTTTGATAAGGTGCATAAGGCAGTGGTTCGGAGCGTTCTTTGGCCATCTTGAAAACGGGCAGTAACTCCTGACGCAGTTTGCGATAGTCATCCGCCAGTCTTGTCAACTGGGCCTCTGCTTGTGCAATTCGCTCATCACGTAGACGGAGGATTGATTTTGCTAGCCGTGAAATTTCCTCTTTTGTCGCCATTTCATGCTGGGGGTTCTGCTCGGCAGCTGAAATTATTTTAGCACGTCCTCACAATGAACCATCAAAGGGAAGCTTACTTGGAGGTACATAATCATCCGGTTCTATGGGGATGTCCTGGTTTACTTTCATGTCATAGACATTTTTCAGGATGGTCAATCTGTGCCCAACACTAGCTATACCCATCTCTTTCAGTTCGTCATGCTTGAGCGCCACAAGGGCTTCACCTTCAATGCCATGTTCTTGAAGAAAAAATCAGTCTGGCGTCAGCCATGTTCGTTGTAGTCTTCTCACCGATAAAAGCTTGACAATACTGCCGCAGATTCAGACTCGACACAAATTGCGCACATTCTTCTGGCGTCCATTCTGTTATTATGGTCCTAGGCAAATTTGGATCTTCGCCCGAATTCTCAAAGGTGGTGGGAGTGTGCTCATTTGAAGGAAGTTCCGACGACGTTTCGGAGTCGGTATGCAATTGGGTTGGTGAAGTCATGACACTTCTCTCATATTCATCGTCGGCATCAGAATCTGCGTGATATGTAGTTCCACTGGGAAACGCCATGTTGACCTGCGGTTCAGCTGGCATGCGGCGCTTGGGGATTGGTCCTCACCCCAGCCGTGGGAAGGCTTGGGACTAATTACGGACTATGGCAACTTCCTCACGATTGATATTCCACTGCGCAATAAGAGCTAGGGTCTCTTCTTTAAGCCGGGCTGCTAACTTAGGAGGGTGGTCCCCTTGGGGGCAAAGGCGGAGACGAATGTAGCGAAATGCGTGGACTAGTCCGCAGGCGCGAGCAGGAAAGGGTGCATTCGACGTGGGCTGTGGATACAATGGTTCAGGGATAGCGAGATGGAGATGAGGAGCATGTAGGTGAATGACTCGAGAGAGAGAGCACGCCGTTTCCAAGGGATATGAACGAGCGTAGAAACGAAACAAGACAAGGCAAACGGTATGGAGGTGGAAGTTGGAGTTGGGCAATGTGCTGCGCAGGTGCAGAGAGAGTGGTGCACTTCGTTTAACTCTGTTTTGGGCATGGTCGAATTTACAAAGTCACATTAGTGGCGCCCGACATGGCTAGTGCCTAGTCCCCAGCAAACCTCCCAATCACACGACGAGACCGCTGCACCTTTTGGGCCATGGCATGTGTCTCCATATCTCGCTACTGCGAAGAAGGCCTGCACAAGGCCGGCGCAGCTAGTTGCATAGTAAGACCACAACGGAGATCACACCAAAAAGGAGACATCAGCAACCCCGTTGTGTACTGATCAGTCATTGCATTCACTGCTCTAACTTACAGGACCAGTTTCTCAAACGAGTATCGTCCCTTGCCCATATTTTCCAATTCAGCCCTCTCTCTATCACTTCGCTTCGATATCTGTCCTCCACCCTTTCTGATCTTCATAGGGTTCACTACGTTGCCAGCGCGCGAGCTGAGAGGAAGCCCATCCCCAATCTGCAATCCCTCTTGTCCCTCAGATGCTTCGGGGTATAAAGTCATTAATTTTCCAGGCAGCTGCTCCATACCCGTTCTCTGGAGCAGACTAGGAACCCGCACCCGGGCATTTTGATATTTCTGGGTCGATTCCTGGTATCTCAGGGTCTCGCGAAGGATCCCCTGAAGCTCCGCCACGTCCTCAAGGCTCTGCTTGGTATGGGTGATCTCCGTAACCATATCAGGGATAATGTTTCCAATAAAATCCTCGTTGTCCAGAGCCCCAAAGAAACCGAGAGGGCCGATGGCGTCAATGCAGCTCGACATTATACTCACGACAGCATCGAGCTTGACAGTTGGGACTGATTCTATTTCCATTGGCTCTGGATCAGTCAGACTCTGGAATGACCGGGTATGGCCACCTTGGAAAAGTTGTTGCCTCAGAAATTGGATGAGAGCCAGCACTTCTGTCTGCGAAAACGAATTCCGTAAGCATGTGGAGATCCTCGAACTCGCAGAGGCTCCAAATCTATCCAACGCCACCACCAAAGCCCGTTGCAGTCGCATTGGCAACCGCGTGGGGTCAGGCGTTGATGCAGATAGCTTCTGAACTTGCACATCTGTCGGCTTCGAGGTATCGCCGGCTTCGACCTCGTCCACCATACCCTCCGCAGTAGAACCGGCAGCTTCGGAGGAGAAGACGAGGGCCTGTTTGATGAGCATTTGCACTATCGCAGCTTTTTCTTCCACATAAGGACTATAGCCACTTTCGAGACACTCGATGAGAAGGTCTCGGCTAGGGTCCGCGGCATACAGCGCCTCTGCAACCGCATCAATAGCAAGCGTGTTCCCAGCAGCGGGAGCCAGAGCTGGAATTGCTCCTTGTAGATTGCGACCAGAGAGCAGGCCAAGCTGGGCCAGCCAAATAATGAGCTTGAATGTCGGGAATTGGACCTTCAAAGACTTTGTAGTACCAACAGAGCCGACATTTGTAGCATGTGGATTTGGATCTATTTGAAATATCTTGGACAAAAGATAGTGGATCTTAAAGTCCGGGATAGTCGATCGGGTTCGAGGCAAATCGAGGATTGCCTTTGAGGGACCGGTGGAGGAACTAATTGAGCATTTTCGAATGTCATCATCAAAGGCTTCTTCAAATGCCATGACATCGCCCGCTTGTGCCAAGTGATCGAGCCGTTTCCGTACAGTTTGCCATTCGACGTAGGATCCTGCGCTCAAGCTAAAGGTGCCGATGGTCAGTTCCTGATGCTTGCCCACAAGACCAGTCGCCACGTCCTGGGTGCTGATCCCGCGTCCAATGCTGTGAAGAAGTTTGCCCCCCCTTTCTAGCACTCGTTTTGAGCCCCCAGTGGAAGAAATATCAATTGCCAGTAGCTGGTGGCGGCGTCTACCGAGAATGCGTGCTGATTGGGGGAAGTAGGTGACGAATTCAACAGTGCCGCTTTGAAGCTCAGAAGCCATCCTCATCCGTTTCCGCTTCGGATTCATTCTCCTGGTATCAATATGTGCTTGAATTGATTGGTATTTGAGGTCATAGAGTTGCAAAGAATCTTGGAATGAGTAGATCGCAAACGCGGGAGTGATCGCCATGATTTCGTAACTTCCATGAAGTCCATTGCGCAGAACAGATGTCAGAACAGGCAGTAAACCTGACAGGTCGTATGAGAGGAATGCGGCTCCATATCGCATGTAGAGTCGCGAAGCTAAGGTCCCAAAACTACACATTTTGTGGTTCCAAATTGCTGAATTCATCTCAGCACCATCCAAAACCAGTTCATGTTCAACTATTGGCAGAAATGGTTTTGCAGAAGGGACTGTCTGTTGGGCAACACCACTGGTTGACCAGATGCCATAATATACCTTTTTCGCTCTTTCTTTTGATCCAGCCTTGCCGTAAGCAACTGCCAGGTATGAGGTATCCGATGAAGCCTCGCTGAGTAAATCCGATCTCCGTTTCAGAATAGTTTTTTGCGCGTCTGATTTGGTAAGATGCTGGATAGCCAGAACATGGATGGCTTGCTCGTCAGGAGAAGATAATGCTGTTTCGGATATTGTATCTTTGAGGTCTGCAGAGAAAACAGTGAGAGCGCCTTTTTGTTGTACCACCAGAATCTGATCTCTTTCGTTGCTCAACCTGACGTCGAGAAGAACAATTGGGCTGTTCTGATCTCGTAGCTCGGGCGATTTGCTTGATGTCGCCTGGCGCGAATCACCATCGTAGCCTTCGAAGCATTCTATTCGCAGGTCATTTCGTTTTATGGCGCAAAATATCTTCCGATGAGTCCTCCCATCCACCTTTGAACAGATTGAGCAGGGCTGTCCAAGGAAGTGCGAAGTCGGAGGTACGGGGTACGACGTAAGAATTTTGCCATTCTGGACCTGAAATCATGTTAGGATCATCACAACTAGATCAAAGTAGTGTCCGTACTTCATAGATGCTAAGAGAATCGCCATCAACTGCCGCACAAATTTCTTTCCTCCGCCTTTTCGCTCCCTTGCGCACAGCATGAACAGACCCGAAAAGAATTGCGGCATCAGGTCTGGTGGCGCGAGGGAGTTTGACCAGGAGATGAGGAGCCGTTATTTCCATGGTTAGGCCGTCGACATCATGCATTGATCGCGGAGAGTGGTATTCCAAAAAGAGTTTGAAAGAGGTTTTGCACATCTCCAAAAAAAAAAAATAAATCGCATGCAGGCGGTCGATGTTCCGCAGCCAAAATTCTTAGGCAGATTAGCGGTCGATCACCCGCCAAAAGGCAGATCCACTCACTGTGTGAACCAGGACTCTCGCGTCACGGACGCGCGCTATCCAAGACTTCATCTTCAACGCGGATCTACAGGAATATTGCCTCCACAAACGAACCTGTATCACCAAAGTCCAAAGGAGTTAGCCATTACTTCATTCACACTATAGTGTTCTTTACCTATACACTGATCTCACCTCTAGCAAGTGTTGCACATCCCATGGGGGCAGGATTTTCGGCGAAGCGAACGAGGTGACGAATGGCTGAGGTGCTCGACCATGGCACTAGACCAGATCGCCTCGTTCAAATGCATCCATTCTTTAAGAAAGGTGAGTCTTTTGTCCAGTATTCGACTAATATTCGTTCGCTGACAATACTATAGCGGTCATGAACAATGACTCTCCTCATGATGCACCACCCCTCCCACCAGGACTGGACGACTCGGTAGAAGAGAACAGCTCAAACCCCGTCGAGAAACCATCCCATCACGAATTGCTAGTCACAAACCCATATCGCGCGCCTTCATCTGCTATATCAATAAGTGGAGACTCAGGAAGAGAGTGCTGGAATACCATCGAAGAGGACAATGATCGTGACTATAACAACACCCGAAGAAAACGCCGTAGAATCTCGTCAGAGCCGGAGCAACAAACCCTGGAGCAGATTTGCACAAATACACACCAACAAACGAGGCATGGTCAACTTGAAGAAGCAGCAAGGTCATATGCGGAAGATGATACTTCCTCTAAAGAGCCGCAGATTGAAACCTCAATAGTGCCTTCTCAGATGAAATCAGAGGAAGAGAACGCACGCCTTCCGCTAGATAGATCTGCAGGATCTACTCTTACTGGGGATCCCTCTCATCTTTCATGTGTAAACGACCTGGGTTCGAACAAACCGTCAGAGCACGAACTTTCAACTTCTGCTCCTCTCATTATCTACACCATACCCGAGTACGAGACGCAAATGCCAACTCCAAAAAAAAGGAACATAGGGATCAACGACAATGGCAAACTTATAAACTCTCCCAAAGGATCACCTCGACATTCACCTAGATCAAAGAAGAGCGATAACAAAGGCCAAAGCAATGGAGCGGTAAAGGCAGGCCGCAAATCAAAGAAGGTTGAAATGAAGAACGGGAGGTTCGTGTCTTCACTGCAAATTACTCTGCCGTATGCGACGGAAGAATGCGGCAAGAAGATTGATGATATTCTATCAAGGCCGTCGAATACACCCGGCAACTCTGTTCCTCAAAAACAGATGTCCCAAAGCGCTCCTTCAGACAAAAAGGCGATGCATCCATTTTTCCTGGGGAAACTGGCAGTGCCGACACAAAAGCAAACCCAAGTTGCGAGTGAAACCTCTTCCATTGCACCAACTTCGGACGATGAGGCGAATCGGAGCCCCAAAGCACCAAATCCGTGGAAGGGCGTCATATTTAGCTCGCGAAAACCGCTTCAAAAAATTTCATACAGAATATTTCCAATCTGGCCACCATCTTCGATCCAGGATGTACAGCCAAATCAGGAACCACGCCGGCCCGTTACAATCTTGCCAGCTACTCCCTCGTCCGTCGTCAAGTGCAAGCATAGTGCTTGTAGAATCAAACCAGATGAAGATATTCTCTGGAACTTCGCTCGATCTTTGCAAGGTAGCACACACCAATCCAGTCTTGTTCATCTACCAAAGCGACGAGTAATGAGCGGCAAAGAACTTTCGCGATGTTTGGCATCTGAGATCTATGGACAACCTGGGAAGTCAAATCTTGTCATGCCATCATTAACATCATTGAAGTCACGCATTGAATCAACTCCCAGCGCGTTCGATCAGGGAAAAGCCGCGGGTCCACAAATGTGGCCACAAGAGTACGCACCAACCTGCTGGCAAGAGGTCTTACAGCCTGAGGCCCAGGCGTTACACGAGTGGTTGAGCAATTTGGAAGTCCACCAAGTTCAGACCGGCAAGTTGCAGTCCAAGATGAGGCCTCCAGTAGCTAAGAAACGACGGAAGAAACGACCGGATGAGTTGGATGATTTCATTGTTGACTCGGATGATGAGAACAATCATGCCAATTCGACCGGGAAAAATGCCATTTTATTGACAGGACCTTCCGGCTCCGGTAAGACAGCGTCCGTCTTTGCCGTTGCGCAACAACTAGGTTTTGAAGTATTTGAAATCCATCCTGGCATGCGACGAAATGCAAAGGATATACAAGACAAAGTTGGTGACATGACGCAGAACCATCTTGTACAACAAGCCGATCTCCATAGCAGAAGGTCGAGCGTATCCTTCAACGACATGGACGTTCGCTCTCCAACTCCTGAACCAGTGGCTGCGAATCAACCGACGGTGGCCAGTTTCATGCGCTTGGTCAAAACAAACAGGAATCCAATGTTGCCGGAGGCTAACGACACCAAGGAAGTAAAAATGAAATCTCAGAGGCAGTCGCTTATTCTTTTTGAAGAGGTCGACATTCTTTTCGAGGAAGATAAGGGTTTCTGGAGCGGAGTACAGTCACTCATCAGAACTTCCAAACGCCCGGTCATTCTGACCTGCAATGATCTCACACCTGTTCCATTGGATGAGCTGGACCTGTTTACTGTTTTGACATACGACCGACCAGAAACAAACTTGGCAGTGAACCATCTCGCGTACACCGCGGCGGCGGAGGGACATCTTCTAGGCCAGGAAGCGCTTCGAAATCTCTTTCTCAGCAAAAATCGCGATCTGCGTGCTTCTTTGACTGAACTAAATCTCTGGTGTCAGATGACAGTAGGCTCACAGCAAGGAGGTCTTGATTGGATGCTACCTCACAGCGAGAGATGCCGACCCAACCAAGATGGCTCTGTGACTCGCATAGTCAGCCAAGACACCTTCGTTAGCGGTCTTGATCTTTTGCCAGTGGAATTTGATGATCAAGAAGACTTGTTCACCTTTGCTCAGGAAAACCTGGACCTCTCGCCTGTGGACTGGGCCAGGAATGATTATAGTGCGAACGACACCGGACAGGGCGGTTTGCAAGTGTTGGATGAAGCAGATTTCCTCGCCGAAGCTAGGAGCGTGATGGATTTACTTGACGTCGATGTTGCTCCTGCAACAGCTTCTACAATCTCTAAAGTATCGGAGTCTACGCCAGTCCGATCCCCTCGAGACGACCTCGTCCAACTCTATATAGAGAAGCTGAGCGAGCGATGTCTCAGCAGGATAACGGTGGCAGATGCCTTGGAGGCATTAATGGAGGAGAGCAGAATCGGTTTACCTGTCAGCCCTGGCCGAAAGGCGCCGTCACTCGATAGTACAGCTCTACCTCTCGTCACGGAAGTGGCACCATACGTCCGATCCATCGTTGCGCATGATCAGAAATTAGAGCAAATCCGAAACGAACTAGGCGGAAATGGAGGGCCCCAGGCAAAAAGACAGCGGAGGACCAGAGCTTCTCGCGCCGCCCTTGAAGGAGGGAGCAAAGAGAGCACGCGCCGTGACAAGTGGTTCCCCGAGAGCCTTGATTTCGCTGCCGTTCTCGCAACTGGAAACGACTGGCCTCAGTCCAGATCTGGCGAAGTATTTTCCGCAGCAGCGACTCCGACTTCCTCGATGGCGACGGATGCTGACGCCGACTCTGGTGATACGCCCAGGTGAATACCGAAGAAGACACGATTATTGATGACTGATTGATGCATGAAATAAGCCTTCGATTGAAAAATGCCCAATGCATATCCATGATTATGAATGGACATGGGTTTGGGATCAGGACTGGGAAAATCCCCACCCCAAAACCAAAAAAAAAAAAAATTAAGAAAAGAAAAGATAAAGCGAACAAGAGATACTCTGAAGCTCATTGTATATAAGCTAAGATGTAAATCCTTTCATCCGCCCTTAGTAGCAGGTAACGCAGATGTTCTGAAAATGAAATTCTGATGTGGATGTGCAAGGACCTTTCTTCTTGGATCATGAACATGCGTCTTCTAGATTTTCGCAGAGTTTCTACCGCAGTATATACGTCTTGGCCATGTCTCAACTACGTGCCAGAGTTATCCACGGAACATAATATTTTTGCCGCCGTAAAAGCAACATGGTTGTCTTAGTTCAGGCGGCCTCTGGCCCCTGACTCTTCAGCCTTGTCTAATTCCACCATCTCCACGTCCGAAATTGCGGAAAGGCCGAGTTCAAAAGTCGATCAGCTGCAGGAATCATGAATCAGCCACCACGATATTATACTTTCATGGTTCTTCCGAGGCTGAACATCTTAAATATGTGTGGGGGACAGCCGGGCAAACATGGGAATATTTTCACAACTTATATCTGCGATGACAGCCACAATCGACGCATCCAACTACAACCTCTCTGGTTCCAGCATTCTCATATCGGGACAGAAGCAACAAACTCATACTCGGAAAAATGACCTTGAAGCCATTGATCCAGTGAGAAGTCTCTTGCCTTACCAAGGCTTTGACGGGCCTTTCAAGTTCATGACGACATGACCCATGAAGATAGCGCTTGTTGAAAATTTACCTGAAGCAATCATTAGTCTGACATGGCAGCCTGGAGTTTGCTGGGCTCGAATGGCACGCCCCACTGACTGCGGTAATAGTGATTCTACTTAAAATACATTTTCATTTCCACAGAGATTTCTGGGTGCTGGTGGTTGACAAGGCTAAACATTACATCAAGCAAAACCTGGACGGCATGAGGACACTTGTGGTTTATAAATCCGCTAGAGCTCGACTTCAACACATGTTTATAGCAGCCCAGAAGCGCGGGAAGCAACAAGTGACGATTCCCTTGATAAAACTAGCGAGTGAAATTGAAAATCCATTGGAGGTGATATGGACAGTCATTCTGCCGAAAAAGAGATCTCCAGTTCTCCATACCCGCCTTCGAGCTCGAGGAGCAAGCTTTCATCTCCGTCAGACCCCTTTTTCAGCTTTTTGTCGCAGCCCGATCCGGCCTCTGAGACAAGCAGAACAAACACGCCAAGTCAAGGAAGCGGTGCGATCTTCGAACGACAGAAGAAAGAAGGGCCCAACGCCGAAACCGCTGAGTCGGCGCAGCAGCTAGTAACAAGCAAGGAGCAGAGGAAAGTAGGAGCATTGCTCGAGCATGCAGAAAAGTTCAATGAATAAATAGGGAAGTGAGTTTACCGCCACACGTACGTGTAGAGCGATGTTACAAATGTACTAATAGCGTACTGCAAAAAATACTCACTGATCCGAATTTGGAACAAAAGATATGGAGGGAATCATGCCTCTATGTTAAACATTGATACAATATCGGAATTTTTCCCTTTCAAGATATGAGATGCTCAACTAGCAATGAACCTTCAATTACATAATGGCTTCAACTTTTTGTCTTCCTCCTCTCATATCAACGGAATTCCTACTCATATTATCCTTTTCATCGATGCAACAAGTACAGATGTCTTCTCGTACGCGGCTGATGGATGTCGACTCTTTTCAATTCTGAATCTGTGTTGGCAAAAAAACTCATACTTCAGTAGGTGATTGCACATGTTCAAAGTAAGAGTGAACAAAAGGGAACAATATGGGGTACCAGCAAACCAAGAACAGGATGCACACCAAAAATAATTGGAAGCGGGAAGATGTTCTCGGTGGGCCTTTGCGTGGTTGATTCACTTGCAGGACTGCGAGGGGCCGGTAAAGTTCTCTTTACCGCTGGCGGGTTCAAGTCGGATGGTAACTTTCTCGGGACTTGGAGTTATGGTCTTCTTGGTTGCGTCACTAGGTTCTGGAACAATGGGAACGCTAGCAGCGGTCTTTGGAGGAACCTCAGTGTATGGACGAGAAGCTGCCGTGACTGGAACATTGGTGCGAACGGTCGTGGTGTTGGTGTTTGATTGGAGTCCGCCATGCATTGGCCCAGCCGAGCTGCGAACCATGTTCGCGGCCTTGTTGACACCAGGCAATTCTCTGTAAAACGTAAGGTTAGAACCGAAGGGTAATGTTAAGTAGTAGAGTAAGAACTTACGCCGGAGAGACTGACGTCGCCGGGGTGAAAGCATTGCTAGTTCCGGCAGGGGACTGGTAGCTTCCATTGGGACTGACGTGATTATTCATGTTTTGAAGTCGAGTCAATGTTGGTGATGGGGTGTGCTCAACTGAGTAACAGTACTCGCAACTGCGCCAGTTGCGACGTTCTTGACTCTGTTGTTTGAGTTGCTTTTGCGCTTTGCTGTCAGCGAATCGGAGGAATAGCTTGACACCGTCATGTTCCGCGAGGACAGAATGGAACTCTTTGATGACACGCTCAGCAATTTCACGAGTTTCGAATCTGTGCATGTCAGCAAATGGCCATCAAAGGTCTCTGGACTGGGATATGTACCTGACAAAGCCAACCTCTTTGCTGACCCCTGAGGATGCATCACGGCAAATCTTGGTAGAGACGGCATAGTATAGCAAGAAGTGTTTGGCCAAGTCCTTGGAGATGTCAGCGACAGGTATATTGTGAGGGCATGGGGATGACAGACCGATTCATTCCAATCGATAGGAACTCCGGTGCAGTAGATGTTGGTGGAGTTTTTGTCTTCGAGGTCCTTAAGACGAGAGTTGCGAGATTTCTAGAAGCCTTAGATGAGTTTACATCAATGAGCGGTCTACGCACCTGAGCATAGCTTGCTTGGAAACCAAGGTGAAAGAAACCTCTGATACAGTTTTCTGCAGCAGCGGGAGAGCAGTACATGACGAAGCCAAAGCTGAAAGTTGTTAACGGTGGAGTCGCAATCGACATGGCATTCAACATACCCTTTGCATTTTCTAGTGTCCTGCTCAATGATGACCTTGCAAGATTCGATTTTACCGAAGCGAGATGCCCAACGCCCAAGATCCTCATCCGTGGTATCCGGCATAAAGCCACGAATGTAGACATTGGTAATACCCTCGGGGTTTTGAAGACATTTTGCAAGACTGAGTTCTTCTTGATTGGTCCAGAGAGCAGGAACTGCATGAGGAATTGGTGGATCACGAGAGATCAGCTCGTCAACGTTAACCATTTCGTATGACTTGTTGTCTTGACACTTCATTGGCTGAATGGGACCAGCGTTGTAGTGTTGACTGTTGGTAGCTGTTGACAAGTATGGGAAACATGGATAGTAGTCCGATTGGCCTTGGAGGGCAGTGGCTTGGTTGTTGGGAGCATTCTCTTCGTTGGAAGACCAAGAGCCTCGACGAGCAGGATCAAATCTAGCAACGTTGGATGTCATTCCATAGGGCCAACCATAGCCTGGGAGGGCAGCTCCAGCCGTATTGGTGTTGCCAATGAAGTTTGGGAATACTCCGGTTAGGATGTATGGAAGTTGAGGAGCAGCATCTGTTGTTGAGGTTTGGCTTTGACCATAGAAGTTGTTGAGTGGGACCGTCTGGCCCGATGGCAGAACAACGAGAGGGCTGTTGTACCCTTGTATATTGGTTGCACCCATACTATTTTCGACAGGAGCACATGCTGGAAGAGTTGCTTTGAGATTCTGCATGTTGGCAGGTGGGTTTGGACCAGGCAAGTTCAAACCTGAGAGCCATCAGCAAGTGTTTATTGCATATTCGAGTCCATCTCTCACCTCCGTTGAAGTGTTGATAGCCTGTTTCACTGCATGAAATTCGATTCTGGGGATATCCAGTGAGCGTAGTGCTCGGGGCGGTTTGACTCGTAGGCTTGTCAGACATGGTCTCTGGGTCTCTTATATCAGTAGGCTTGAACAAGGAGAAATCGTGCGAAGGTCAAGGGAATGAAGGGCTCTGGGTCGACCTGCCTAGAGTTCGGTTGCCAAAAGAGTAGCTTCCAGCGATGGTTCAAGCTTTTTTCCCGAGGGCCTGATGGGAGAAGTTGGGGCGGACTCAATGAATGGGGCAACAATGGGGATCGTACAATGAGAAAGCCGAGATGCAGAGCAGGATACAGGATAAGGGTGAGGAGGTGCTAACAGCAGGCGTTGAAGCAAAGTCGTAGTTGGGTATTAAGTGAGTTGCAATGAGAAGAAAAGAGAGACAGAAGGAGAAGAGGATAAAGGAGAGGAAGAGGAGACCCTTGCTTGGAGGGAGCTGCATCTGTTCAATGGCAAGAGCGACGGCAGTAGGAAAAAACCAACTAGAATCAGTCGACATTGGCAATAACGATGTCCACTCAACACCTTTTGGGACGATGCTCAATGCTTCGTGCCATCAATAGAGACAGCACTTAGATTCTGCCATATCCACCCAAAACTCGCGAACATAGGGACCAGACAGAAATGATTATCTGCCCCGGATTGACAGCCAGCAGCGAAGAATGGAAGAGATTCTGATTCAAAACCTCTACTCTGGATCATGTAGAGTAGCAATATCGAGGCATACGCCTTTGGTAGTTGTGTCTGTGCCAATGATCTCTTCATTTGCTCTCAAAGCACATCTCATCGCAATACCATGTCTGCAGAGCCCCGCTGAATGTGTGAGCAGCTGAGCTTCTATCTTGAATAGATTTTCAACACTTTCACGAGTATTTAGGCTGGTAAACACCGGCCAGGCAGTAGGAGTTAAGGCTTGAATGAAGTCAAGTTTTGTTGATCAAAAAGTTGACGGCTCCGCTGCATCTAGTACGGCGAATCACCTTCAACCCAACTCCACCCGGAGAACAGCCTTGTCTCGACTCCGAATTTTCGAAATTGCGAATATCGAACTCGGTTCAGCACAGGTGTGAGCGTTGGTGATAGTGTATTGTCTGGCTAAAGAGGCGGATAGGCGCCATGGCTGCAGACGCTGCAGAGTCACTATGGCAAAAGGTAGGTGAACGACCTGGTGCACTCTCTTACGGCAGTACTGACACCGTCCGCAGTTTTTTGATCAACACAAGTCAATTGTCTCGCTGCTCGATACTCATGCCTCCCTTCTGGCAGAAATGTGTCAAAGCTGTGCCGACATAAGTCCTGCCCAAGAGCTGGTACAAGCCCGCTTGGCTCATACTGAGAGTCTGATTGCTACATTCAAAGAATCAACCGAATCAGTGGTATGCTGACAGGTATGCAATATGACTCTATGGAACTGACATGTATGCGTATCAGAGAGAAGCCACCAAACGAGAGGAAATCATATTCGAGGCCACGAGCTCTCCTCCACATAATGTCCCTCCGCCCAGACCGCATGTCCCAGCCACACCAGCGTTAGATCCCAGCGGCCTCTTCACCGTTGACACAAATCCTACTCCAATCGAACAACTTTTCCGTGACAACTCCAAAAGTGGAGACAAATCGAAGAATCAATCCAAACGCAAGGGCGACGAACCTCAAGTGCAATTGAGCTACGTTAACGGCGCTTCTCATGACTCGCCCAAGAAGAAAAAGAAGAAATTAAAACCAAGCGATCAGGGTCCAGAACAAGATTCGGGTGCAGATGATTCATTCCTACGCGGAGTGGAAGCAAGACTTCAAGCGAAAGAAGAACGGAAGAAAGCCAAGCAGGACAAAAAGCGGAAGAGACAGAGCGATTCCTCGATCAGTAATGGAGTCAAAGGGCCAAAGAACAAGAAGCGAAAGCAAAGGCACGACAACAAGGCGTCGTCAAAGACTCTGGAAATACGGCAAAATCAGAGCAGTAAGAGACCAAATGCGGAATCCACTGGCACTGGAACACAGAATGATCAGCCTAGCAAGAAGCAGAAGAAGAATAAGACTTGAAGACCGTCGGGACGATATCCTCAATACCGGTTTCAGAACATCTAATACTATGACTTCGTTGAACTGAATTTCAACAAGACAACGCTTTCTGCTGCGTTGCAAGCTGCGCTGTGTGGCCCACTGGCATGATTCTCCCATATCCCAACCTCTATACGACATGGAATGTGGGGCACGAGTTCTTCACGTTGTGCCATGTGAGTTTGACATTGGACAAGGCAGATCCCTGTTCGACTTCTGAAACTCGATCTTCGCTACTGATGTACCGTGACATCAATAAATGAACCGAAAGTCTGAAGAATCTCGGCCGTTTCCTTTGGAGTCGTTTGCCATGCTCACGCGACATCTTTACGTCCGCAAAACGAAGCGACCCACTCAAAAGTCCTCATCCAGACGTGACCTTTCACAAGATCCTGGTGAGTGACAAGACGCCCATAGCAAACCGCACACCGGAGACTGAAACTCGATGAGATGAGCGGCAAGCTTTAATCCAAGTTCTCAGCCACCTTCCTCCCCAAATCCACATACTTAGTGCCCAATTTGTCGACCTCCAATGCGCAAGACCAGTCCAGACGGCCCAGCAACACAACCCCGAGTTTTGGCGGGAGTTGGAGAAATTTTAATAGCAGGTACATGTGTATTGGGTACCTCCGTGCCCTAGGTAAGGTCGTGTGAGCTAGGTACATATGTAAAGGGCAGCTTCACTTTGCTCGGCCACTGTCTCATTGTCTTCGTCTCTGGCCCAGTATTATCATTCGCTGCAGAGTAAGATTTAGCAAGGCGTCAAAACTTTGATTGCTCGCTTCAGGTTGTTACAGTATGATGCAGATTTGGGAGCATACCCGATGTCACTAATGCGTATCTGGGGTGTATACTTCACTGCGCAACTGATTCGCCGAAGAAATTGCGCTTGCGTGTGTCTCGCACATTTCATTTTATGAATTGATTCCTCTAAAAATCGAACTCGAAATAGTGTCGAATTCGATTCGAGGACAACATGGCCGAGTGGTTAAGGCGACAGACTCGAACACACCGAAATCTGTTGGGTTCGCCCGCACAGGTTCAAATCCTGTTGTTGTCGACGTATCCGAATTGTGTATTCCTGCTTTTCATTTTCCCTTTTTTCATTTTTTTTTTTTTTTTTTTTTTTTTTTTTTCGTCGCTAGAAGTATGGAGGATGTCAAAGTTCCCTCCCAC